TACATGAGCGACTGTCTGGGTCATGTGTTTAGTCACGTGCTCAGGCACCGAAGGCTTCAATCGTTACAGTCATAGTACTAGTATTAGAAGAATCTTGTTAGGGGTTCAGATTATCTCAGTATGAGCCAGGGTTTTCTGTTACAGATACCTCCTTCCCTGAAGGAAAGAATAGGACATCATCTTCTCCTACATCGTCTTACAGACCGAGTAGACCCTTACAGGAACCTTCAAGTTGGAATAAGTCATAGATAAAGGCTAATTGATATTGTCGGATCTTGGTTAATTTGCCTATGCATGCTTTGGTATACCCTTTTTCTTATATCCCTTTTTCCATACTACTTGTACTCCCTTTTTGCATGCTCTTTTTGCACGCTTAGTGGCAATTACCTAAACCTGCTCGGTAGTAGCCATCAGCTAGTTCATATTATCAAAATTTGGTTATTTTGCCTGCACATGCTTCGTGGCCATTGCCAACGCATACCAAAAATGCAATTGCTTCCACAATTCCGATTGGCCAAACTTGAAGCTGACTGTGGGCGAAGTTGAAACGGGCAACCCTATTTTTATATACCAAGGTTGGTATGTCCAATAATGCCCAGGTGGCTGATGTCTGATTCCAACCTTGGAACTTAGTATGCACTGCAGTGCGTTCAAGTCGATCACGTGCGCTAATCATTGACAATGCAGTCTAATACTTTAGTAGTATGGAGTAGCTCCAGCTAGCTACATAATTGCCCCGGAAATACTCCGTGATAAAGGTTTACCATGGCAACCGGGGAGACGGAATACTATGGGGATTCATATCTACAACCCACTTATGGCAGACGATATCCCACAAGAAAAAGTACTAGTACCGACTTCAACTAAAAATCGAATCTCGATATGATATCACAAATGCAAAGGCTTAGCTGAGTCCAATGTGTCAGACACAAACGAATACGAGCACGGTCATTACTAGCAAGCTGTCCATCCAACCCCCCCAGCCTGGGGGAAATTCAACCGTACCTAGATAACCAGCGAGAAGAAGCTTAGAATATTCAAGTTCCTAAACAGATAACAAGTACCCAACCCCGACACCGTGGCCGCCTCCGTGCTCAAAATGAAGCTCGGTTAGCCCCATCCGCCATCCACAACGGCCCGAGGCAAGGCCGCCCCCCCTGAAAACGGGTCAGGGGGCAAACGACCTTGGGAGCAATGGATGGATGGAACCAGGAGCTACTAGCTAGGCATTAGCTATGGCACCAGCGTCAGGCACAAGCCAGCCCATTGACCAATTCCGTAATAGTCCACCCAGGAGCCAGCGCCGCGGAATGGAGCCGTGCCGATCAAACTAGGCTAGGCAGGCGGATAGATAGGAAGGATGATCTAGAAAGGGCAGGTAGAATAGAAAGGATGCATGATTGCGTTAGATTTGAATTGAAGGAATGGTTCTAGGCCGGACATTGCCTTCCATTTCACTCTCCCTTCGGAAAGCCGTGTCCTGGACCCGTTCGCGAGGGATTGCGTTCTTCCTAGCGAAAGGCAATTTCGTCCAACCAGCGTGCACGGGGTAGATTAAATTCGGGACGGGAAGCCCGGTCCAGTAATTTAAGAGATTGACAGCATCGGGTTTTCCTCGATTGAGTACGGCACGGGCGGGACTGGACTGAATTGGACTGGACTGGACTGGATTGGATTGGATTGGATTGGATTGGGAGTGCCATATGGCGACCCGGTCTTCTTAACGGCCGGGAGGATCCGTTGGTGACGCTTGCCCCTGGCTGTTCATTGGTGAAGGAAGTTGGTCCCAGTTGGTCCCAGTTTGTTTCCCGGTTTGTTTTAGGGTAGATGAAGATGGCCCCTTTCGTCGGGTGTTTCCGCTGGGTCCGGATACATGCCGAAGCAGTTAAGCGAGAGTTAAAGCCGGTGTTGATGTGTATGGATCTTTCCAGGTTGACGGTATGAATGACAATGTCTATGGATATGTTTGAAAAGGGGTTATTTCCCATAAATTCCAAACCCCTAAATACCTACGTAAACCCAAGGGAGTGGAATAGGGAGTTAGTAGCACGTTAGAGCGCCAAGAGGAAATTAGTTGAGACAGCTCCAAGCTCCACTGGGTCCATCGGAAACAATCTAAGGAGTACTTTAATTCAGTTGGAAATAGTAGAGTACGGAGTACTTAGGTAGTATGATATAATATGATGTTCTGCTAGTACTTCAAGTAGTAGTTATAACCTACCCGTAATATCAGTGTGGTCACAGCTATAGCTACAGGTATTCTATAGCTATATACTAAGCTAATACTAGTAGAGGGCACTGGTAGAAATAGTTAATACTAGTATCAGCAGTAGATATGATCAAATACATCATTACTACATAGTTACAGTATATCATCATTCTAATATCTGCCCCTGCGCTACTCCCGCTGACTTGGTTGCTGGAACGCACTGCCCCTTTTTATACCCAAGTACCCAGGTACTCCGTACAGCCCAGACCTCACTAGACCTCATCGACTCGGACTCGAATTCGAGTCCACTTTTCGAGCCCACTTTTAGTCCCATTGTGCCCTGTGCTTCTGCTTGCTGTTTGTGCCCTGTGCTCTCTGCCCTGTACCCTGCTGCTGCTGCTGCTACCCTATGCTGTCTGAGTCTGTGCTGGACTTTTTACCTACTGCTACTAGGTATACTCTATTTCTATTATCTACTTTTATTCCATATCATCTATTACCTAGGTACTAGTATCTATCTCCTACTCTCATACCCTAATTCTGCTGGAGTATTGTGGTTTGTGGGTAGCTCTCCCGCCTTTTTTCTTTTTCGTCTCCCCCGCTTGGAACGTGGCCCCTCGTTGAATTTCCCCTCCCTTCTTGATTCTCTCTCTACTTTACCCCCCCCTTACGAATCAATCACGCCCGCCATGTCGGGGAAAATGACCTTGTACAAGCTGGTGGTCCTGGGTGACGGTGGTGTTGGAAAGACTGCTTTGACCATCCAGGTGTGTTCATCCCCATCCCCCCATCCCAACCTCCCGACCGGGGAGCAATCCCTGACCTTCCCCTCCAACCACACACCCCTACCCTACCCAACCATACGACTTCAAACTGATCATGATAGCTCTGTCTCAATCACTTCGTCGAAACATATGACCCCACCATTGAAGACTCATACCGCAAACAAGTCGTCATCGATCAACAGTCATGCATGCTCGAGGTGCTGGACACAGCGGGACAGGAGGAATACACCGCACTGCGCGACCAGTGGATCCGTGATGGTGAAGGGTTTGTCCTCGTCTACAGCATCACATCGCGTGCTTCCTTCTCTCGCATTACCAAATTCTACAATCAAATCAAGATGGTCAAGGAGTCCGCCAGCTCCGGCTCCCCTTCCGGCCCCAGCTACCTCAACTCCCCCATGCAGGGTTCGGCCGGTCCCCCACTCCCCGTCCCCGTCATGTTAGTCGGCAACAAGAGCGACAAGGCCGTCGAGCGCGCCGTCTCTGCCCAAGAGGGTCAAGCTCTCGCCAAGGAATTAGGTTGTGAATTCGTCGAAGCTTCCGCCAAGAACTGCATCAATGTCGAAAAGGCCTTTTACGATGTCGTTCGCATGCTGCGCCAGCAACGACAACAGGCCCAGGGTGGTCGGTCGCAGGATCGCCGTCAACCGGGATTCACGGGGGGGTCGAGACCGAGACGCGGAAGCCAAGTATACTGGTTTCCGGTCCGATAAACCTCGACATCGCAATCGACTCTGCACCATCCTGTGAATCCGGCCGGGCCCGTCCGGGAGACGTGCATCGGTCTCTTTTCATTTTCCTTTTCCTTTTTTCCTTTTCACCTGTCCTCTTCTGTTTCCTCGTCGATTCGTTTCATCGCTTTTTCTACCCTATTCTCCCTACCCCCTCTGACATGGCTGTTCCTTTCTAATTCTTGTGCTCCCTTTTGGTTGTATGTTTCCAGCTGGTTTATTGGTCTCGGGTGCATCTGGAGGGTGGTTTCTGTCTTTTGGTTACGACCTTCCGTTCGGCGTCGGTGCCTTCTCGCTCTCCTCTTATATCTTCGCTCTCGCTCACGCACTCACCACACGCTCTCTTCCTTTCTCTCCCCCATTCTCAACCTGGGTCCACCCACCTACTCCGCTTGCTGTTGAGTCGAGGGAAACAATGATTACGATATACTCGACCTAGACTGAATTTGGTCCTGTCTTTCACACCTCACTCAACAGCTCGCAGCTAGGACCGGCACGGCCTCGCATTTCATTGGAGCAACTCTGACGCCACAAACACAAAAAAAACTTTCCCCGGCGACGAAGCCAGAAGATCGCAGTCGCGCATTAGCAGGCATTTCGATATGATACCCTACGACTGAGCTTGTTCTATTATATTATTTGGATTGAATTTCTGCCAGCCATATTGCAACGTATATAGACAATACAGATTTCAACTCAATTCATTCCCTAACCCCTGTTTCATGGCCCCGAATCGTATCCTTGGACATTTCCCTAAAATGAGAGGTCCAAAAAGTGAAGTGCGCAGAAGTACCACAATCGCACCTAGTTCAATGTACGAGTCTCAGATTTGAGCAATGTTTCAGCCTCGAAGCGAAACAAGCGGTACCGACGGGGTACAGGCGGCGCCACCGCGTTAATGGCTGGAAATGCAAGTACCTTTAAAGTACCGATGCCCTCTCCTCTCGAGTCCACCAAATGCGGGGAAAGCACAGACACCCTCGGGCCAAATTGCTTTCCCCCGCAATCACACAGGTTTCCTTTCAGCTCCGAGCCCATTATGCCCGGCGCTATGCGCTGTCTACCCCTGCATCAATTTGTCCCTCCTCAGACCCGAACCAATCGTATCGGATCGGATCGACGAACCTCGGGCCATGCTCGCTACATAGCTGGCCCGGGCCGCGCATATCACATCATCACATTACATCAACCTCATCCATTCCCTGGAACTGGGATTGGAATTGAACTCGGACTATCTTTCTCTCACCTCAGTCTGGTGCAGCCACAGCCGTAATCATGCCGCCACCTCCAGCTCCAGCTCCCCACCCACAACAAACAGCACACTCGCACTCCCTTTCCGACCCAGAGACCTTCTGGACCACACACGCGAATCGGCTCCACTGGGCCCAAAACCCAACTTCGGCTCTGACCCGAAGAACGAAGACGCTGCCAAGCGGTGTCCAGCACGAGCATTGGTCCTGGTTTGAGGACGGTAAGATCTCCACAAGCTACAATTGCCTTGATCGGCATGTGGAGAATGGATTGGGCGACCAGGTCGCTATTATCTGGGAGTCTCCCGTGACAAACACCACGGAGGAATATACGTACCGGCGGCTACTGGATGAAGTGGAGGTTTTGGCGGGCGTGCTTAGGGAGGAGGGTGTTAAGAGAGGTGATGTTGTTATTATTTACAGTAAGTCTGCCCTCTGCCCTGCTGTGTGAGACAGACTGGCCGCTATATCCATACCCGCTCAACCCAAGGTCAAACATGTCTAACCTCAGCTACAGTGCCAATGATCCCCGCCGCTCTAATCGCTGCACTGGCAATAACCCGCCTCGGCGCAATACACGCCGCCGTCTTCGGCGGCTTCGCAGCCGCGTCCCTAGCGCAACGAATTGATGCAGCGCGTCCCAAAGCAATCATGACCGCCTCGTGCGGAATTGAAGGGTCCAAGGATCCAATCTCGTACCGGCCGCTCGTGGAGGGTGCCGTATCTGCTGCCACGTTCAAACCTAGCAAAGTGATCGTCTGGCAGCGGGACCAGCTGCGGTGGAATAATCCGGATAAACTTGGTGGGCAGCGGAACTGGCAGCGTCTTGTCAAGAGTGCACGTATGCGCGGGGTAAAGGCAGGTCCTGTACCTATCAAAAGCACGGATGCGCTTTATATAATTTATACCAGCGGTAAGTCCTCACAGAGTAGCAGGTCTAATCATCGAAACTAACAACCCCAGGAACAACCGGTCTACCAAAAGGCGTCGTCCGCGAAGCAGGCGGCCACGCCGTCGGCCTAGACCTCTCCATCCGCTCGCTATTCAACATCCAAGGACCGGGCGACGTGATGTTCTGCGCCTCGGATATCGGCTGGGTCGTCGGGCACTCATATATCCTGTACGCACCACTACTAGTCGGCGCAACGACAGTCCTATTCGAGGGTAAACCGATTGGAACCCCCGACGCAGGAACCTTCTGGCGTATCGTCGAGAAACATCAAGTCAACACGCTCTTCACAGCACCAACGGCCATGCGCGCCATTCGCAAAGATGATCCCAACGATACATTCTTCAAACAGGTCGGTCAACGGGGCGGTCTTAAATCACTGCGTGGCCTGTTTCTAGCCGGTGAACGCTCCGAGCCGAGTATCGTTTCCGCGTACCAGGGACTTCTGTCGAAATATGCGGCCGCGGGTGCGCAGGTCGTTGATAATTGGTGGTCTTCGGAGAGTGGCTCGCCTATTACGGGTCTTGCACTGGATGCCGGTGCGGCTCTTGTCACGCCTACACCCACAACCCCAGAGACCAAAGCAAAGGCCCTACCAACGCGACCCGGCTCGGCAGGTCTTCCCATGCCAGGCTTCGACGTCCGAATCGTCGACGACAGCGGACAGGAAGTCAAGCCGGGAACAATGGGCAACATCGTCATGAAAGCGCCCCTCGCTCCGACAGCCTTTACAACCCTTTTCCAGGACGAGGAGCGCTTTTATAAGGGGTATTTGAAGAGATTCGATCAGGCGGGTAATTGGGTTGATACAGGCGATGCGGGGCTAATCGACGAGGACGGCTACGTGCATATTATGTCGAGGTCGGATGATATAATTAACGTTGCGGCGCACCGGTTTAGTACTGGTTCGTTAATGTCTATTCCTCCTGCTGGAAGGAAAAGTCACGCTAATAAAGAAACAGGAACGATCGAACAAGCAATTCTCTCCCACCCCTCTATAAGCGAAGCAAGCGTCGTCGGAATACCAGATCCGATTAAAGGGCATCTCCCCTTTGCATTCATCCACCTCCGTGACAGCGGCGAAGATCTCCCCGCAAAGGCTCCGGCGAAACTCTTCAGCGAAGTAAATGCCCTAGTTAGGACTCAGATTGGGGCTATTGCGTCGCTGGGCGGGATGATTCAGGGGCGGGGCATGATTCCGAAGACTAGGAGTGGGAAGACGTTGAGGCGGGTGTTGAGGGAACTTGTTGAGCGGGGTGTGAGGGGTGATTTTGAGGGGAGTGTTAGTGTGCCGCCGACTGTTGAGGATTTGGATGTTGTTGACGTGGCGAGGGGGAGGGTTAGGGAGTATTTCCAGACTCGGGTTGGGGATGGAGGTAGGGCTAAGGCTAAGCTTTAGGTATATCTATTGGAGATTTTGGTAGTTTGGTTACTTTGGCTTTTAGAAACTCACCTGGAAAGTATGGAGTATTCTTCAATTTGGGAGGAATTCAGATTAATCATACCAGACCGATGTTTGAAAGTAGAGATATTTCCATATATTTGCAATGTCAGTTTCTCTAGACTACTATGAAATCATACGATATATTAGAGATATTAAAAGATTATGAATATTTGATTTCTGATTACTGTAACTCAAATTTTGAATCCAGGGTGCTAGTAGATTTATCTGTGATTTTAACTTCATCATGATAGTGCCAAGATGCCTGAGGCATAGTTTCTGGACATAAAGTCAATAATAAGGTGCCACCACCGCTGAATCATATTAACATCATATCAAAGAGCTTCCAGGGCATCCAGTGCATGCAATCCTGACCAATACGATAATACTCAGTATTTCCCTGCCCACATGGCTTCGCCATGCTGCAGTTAGATCCCGTCGTGTTCATCACGCTGACCTACTACCCAATATGAACCCATGATGATGATGATGATCTTACAGATCCGCTGACCACTATTAACCCTCATTTCTCACTTGAAGGGCAGTTCCAAATCAACGTAGCTTTTTAGCAGGTGATAGGTTTCTCTTTTATCACACTTGAAGGTTAGCTTGTGGCTGAAAGATCTACACGGACATTCCTGAATAAGTTGTCCGGTGCGGGGTACTTCGAGGTCTTGAAGCAATATCACGACCAGTATACCGGCGGAGAGATACCACACAGACACGAAAATAGAGGATGTTGAAGTATTCCCAAATAGAGAAGGCCGATCTAATTGGATGATGAAAAATGAGGCTGGGAGGTGATGTCCGAGCATTTGCTATACCCGTTTCGGCCCAAGGGCCTGATCCTAAACCAGGCGCTTTTCTTCAATAGCCATTTACCAACTCCCATGATAAAATGGAGTTGTCTTTTCAAATAGGATATAGACCTCCTACGTCATTTCCATGCGGCTTGTGTACAGAATTTCCAAGGTTCAACTATCCGGCACCTATTCAGCGTTAAGGACTTTGGCCGTTCGATCATGAGGGTACTTATGAAAGCCGTCGTGTTTACGACTATTCCGATTATAGAGCTACGAATTTATTTGTGCACGACTAGGTTATGGGTCGGGCCATGTTATTGGAATAGGGCAAAAGCCCGCCAAAATCTCCACCGAAAACGCCTCGGGCATCAAGCTCTATGGTCAACTTAGGGAAGGGCTGAACCGTTCTCGCAGTTCGGGCCCTCTCTGTCCTATGCGATGTCACCTCGGCACATCAATCCAAGTTGGTCTCGTTTAGAAGATCTGTGAGGTATTGGAAACACAAGGATAAGCCGGGATGGGATGACTTGCCTGAAAGCCGTTCTTGTCCTGCCCTCGAGTCCGATTAACTCCGGGCTAGACTGGGAATCGGGACGGTAGTTACCCCGCATTAATACTTTCTGGTCAGAGAGAAACAAGTTTGCGAGAGGACCGAGGGGGCCGAGGGGGGCCAAGGGAAGAAAACGGCCTGATCGTGCTTCACAAACGATGTAACTTCGGTTAAATCTGGCCTGGCCGCCGGCGAAGACCACTGTAATCCTTTACTGAGGACTCGGAGTGAACATAATTGTATAGCAGCTTGAATCGTTCTTTGTAGCTGTGAGATATTTTATAGACCCGAACTTGAAGAGGCTATACTTTGCTCCACAATGGGGATATAGGAACGCCTAAAAGCTTGAATTTCATGTGGCTGCATTTGAATACCGCAGACCGACTTTTGGCTTACACTTATGTTGTGGCTTCTATAATTCACACTATCACATTTGGCTTCAGAGCTCCAGGCCAATTATATGAGGGATAGCAACAGAAAATGTGATCTATAATCTAGCCTAATATAGTCTAGCCACATACGCTATAGTATTAGCATGAAGATTGCATTTAGTAGTCTCCCCGCATGAAAAGTGGAAGTCATTTTTGAATGTAGTACAAGGCTTTATTCCCCTGCCTTGCCCCTTTCTCTACCCGCCATTCCGGTTTGGTTTTCTGTTTTTCGGAAAAAGGGGTATTATCAAACTTCCTGCGTCTTCTTCTGGATATCAATATTGAACTTTATTATAGACTACCAGTTGAAGTATCCAACTCTCCAATAGCAAGTATCTTTGGAAACCCATACCAAAAAGGTTGAGTCGGGCTTAAGTCACGCGAGCATTCAATAAGCCATTCCCGTGATATCCCCGAAGCCCGTGCCCTAAATTCTTCAGAATACTACCTTGCATGAAAGAAATGAAGTGTTTAATTCCGAAAACAATGTAAAACCAAGCTAAGTGATTGATCAAGACTCACTACCCCGCAGCATCAAACTATTTAACCATCGACTCAGCCCGAATAACAGATGCCATGCACTCAGACACTTCCAGTCCATTCCTGTCCATATCCTCAAAGCGAGTCCTCCCCTGACACCAAGAAGTCACCATGCCTACCTCCACTTCTTACAGGCTCGCCATAGGCCTCGCTGCCATGAGCTCCCTGGCCGCAGCCGGTCCATGCGATATCTACGGCCACGGCGATACGCCCTGTGTCGCAGCCCACAGCTCCACTCGCGCTCTATATGATGCCTATAGTGGCCCGCTCTATCAAGTCTCGCGAGCCTCAGACGGCACCACCGCTGATATTTCACCCGTGTCTGCCGGTTCAGTGGCGGATGCCGCTGCCCAAGACAGTTTCTGCAACGGCACCGACTGCAGCGTGACGATAATTTACGACCAGACCGGCAATGCCAATCACCTCACTCAAGCACCCGCCGGAAGCGCAGCAGGTGGTCCAGACAAGCTGGCCAGCGCAACCGGCGCCCCCATCACGCTAAACGGGAAAAAGGCCTACGGTATCAAGATCGAGCCTGGCATGGGATACCGCTGCAACACCGCTGTAAAGACGGCTACTGGCGACGGCGCAGAAGGCATGTATGCCGTCCTCGATGGAACAGATTATAACGGACAATGCTGTTTCGACTACGGCAACGCCGAGACAAACAGTGCCGACAATGGTAACGCCCATATGGAGGCTATTTACTTCGGACTCGGCACTGGATATGGCACCGGCACCGGAAGTGGACCCTGGATCATGGCCGATATTGAAAATGGTATATCTGCCGGGAATCAGTTCGACGTGACATCAACTAACCCGTCAATTACCTCGCGTTTTGTCACGGCTGTTGTGAAGGGGGAGCCAAACCAGTGGTCAATCCGCGGTGGTGATGCCACCACTGGCTCGCTTGGAACGTACTGGAGTGGGGAATACCCGACTGGGTACAGCCCGATGAAGAAAGAGGGTGCTATTATTTTGGGTATCGGTGGTGATAACAGCAACTGGGCCCAGGGCACTTTTTACGAAGGTGTTATGACTTCGGGATATCCCTCGGATAATACCGAGAACTCGGTACAGGCCGATATTGTCGCCGCCAAATACGCTACCTCCTAGATTGTGACCGGTATGCCTCCACTAGTGAAGTTTGCTGCTTGAAGATGGATGATCATTTATGTCAATACCTCTTGTCTCTTAACTGGTTAGCTTGGCCGCTTAGAGCCTAGGTGGAATGTACAGACTCGGACCTTGGGCTAGACTCCATTGAAATCAATGTTACTGTGAAATGAGATACTAATATAAGAATCTTGAATAATTTTCCAAAGTTCTCTACTTGTATGAGCCCGTGCTGGCATTGGATCTTTTGTTCTCCATATTCTTATCCATGTACCACTGGCAAGGTTGCTATCATGCTGCTGCGGTTGATCAAGTACTTACCTCTGCCCAGATGGCCGCGGGCAAGCGGCATACTAACATCCAAATAGTAGAGTATTGATCAACTTCGGGCTCATATCCCAAGTTGAGGCACATGGTAGCAGCTATTAACAATTAATCTTTGCTTATATTTATCGAGTGATGAAGCGATTCATAAGAAAAGAAGATATCAAAAGACTCAAGCATATCTCGCAGTTTACACAGAATATCTAGACCTGCGACACTCAATAGACAAACCCGTCCATATTAACAATCGAACAACAGCAATCCATCTCAAAAAGCATATGGGAAGTTTTCCAAAAGGAAAAGAAAACGCCAAGCCCCCCCAAGCAAAACTATGCCCAATCCCGAAAACCCCAAAGCGCCGTAGTCGGGAGGTGATTCACCCCCCAATGCAAACATAATCCAAACTTCCTTTGAAATTCAGCACAGACATCGCCCAAAAGTAGTTCATCTAGACCAAATCTACTTCCTCTGCTTCGTCTCGTCTGGAAAAACGCGCTTAGTCAAGGTACCGTTCTCGATAGCTTTCTGGATATCCGCAATATCCGCCTCGAGTTTCTCGCGGCGCTCGATATCACGTTCGTTTTCGCCGATGGTCTCTAGTTTGCCGAACAGCCACATCTCCTTCATCGTGCGTGTGAGTGAGAGTATGTCCTCCGCAGCTCGGACCTGGGGTGGTAATTAGCTACGAAGACCGCGAGGAGAGGCGGGGGAGGGGAACTCACGAGAGCAGTAGATTCTACATCTAGCTGGTATGTTTCAACAGCAGTAGATGTGTGGGTGGTATTTTGGGCCTGGAAATGTAAAGTAGAAACATCAGTTTATGTTTTCTTTCGACTGTGGGCGTTGTGAATGCCATACAGTTGCGGTGGCCATGATATTCTCGAATCGCTGGAGCAATTGCGAGATATCGGTGTTGATGCGCGCTGGAATGATTGTTAGTTTAAATTGTCCAAATATAGGGCTTTGGGTTCTGGCCTAGCTCACTGTGCAGCGCCTTGGCATTTGGCTGGGTGTCCATCTCAGGCAGTTGAGAGAGAGGATCTGGATGGTCTTCAAGGCCTGTCTTTAATTTGCGGGGGCATTTCATCTTGATAACAAAGGGCGGTGTGGGCGGTGAGTGAGAGTGAGTTCGGTGGGGAAGTGAGAGAAGAGGGTGAATGTGGTTGGTGGAGGTGGAGGAAGATGAGGAAGAGTGAGAACGTAGTGAGAAGGAGTGAGGAGTGGTGGTGAGGAAGGTAGGCTACAACTACCCTAGGACAAGCATACACAAACTCATACTGGCTTAATTGAATGCACCTGTTGGTGTCAGAATTGATTCCTATTACGCCAGGGTATTTCAAACAGAGAACTGCCCATATCATCCTCTAGAACTATGAATGTGAAATGTGAATTTGAAAGAGCACGCTTTTATCGCACGTATTTAGACTAGACAAAGCAAGTTAGCAAACTACTGACATTTCAAGCGTATCGGGTATAGAGGCATGAACATACCATGAATCTCTTGTGGAAGTCGGAGCGCAGCAGATCCTAGAAGTACCCACGTTAGCACACAATACCCATAAAGACATCATCCGCAAAGAACATACGTTAACAAACTCCTGGCCATCCTTCTTCTCAGATCCACGAGACTGGTTCTTGAAGACCACATCATCGTCCCAGCGACGCTTCATGTTGAAATCCTGCGAGTTTAGCAGAGGGTTGCCGCGAGCAATCTCAACCTCGCGATTCTCCTGTTCTTCGGCGGCAAGTTCTTGCTCCTACATATAGCATTAGTATCGGAATCTATCACCATACAGAGCCCATCAACATACCTCCTTCTCCTTCTGTGCCGCCCGCTCCTTCTTGATCTTTTCCAATTCGCGCATCAAATCCGCGGCTTCGTCTTCGGAGTCGCTTTCCTCGTCGCTGCTATCTTCCTCCGATCCGTCCGAGTCCGCATCGATATCGCGTGATTCTTCCAGGATTCGCCTCCGTTTTGCCTCGGGATCCTCTGCCGCTTCGCCGTCTGCTGTGTCTACATCTGCATTCGCGGGTGTTGATTCGAGTTGCCGCTTGTGGGCAGTTGGCTCGGGGGCAGTCTCTTGAACAGGGACACCGTTCTTCTTGGCGAAATGTGCGGCCTCGGCCTGGAGGAGCTCGGCGCGAAGGTCGCGAACTTCGTGATCAGCATCTCCACCTTGTCCGGGTTGTCTGGTGAGTTGTTAGCATAGCTTTGCGATATGCCGTCCCCGGTCTATCACTTCTACGTACCGAACTTTCAGATGGGTATGTGCGGGAAGAAGTCTTTGGTGGTAGGCCGGGCCTCGGAGGGCCTCTTTTCCTTGTGCCTATAATGGTCAGCTGTGGTTCATGGAGTTGAAGATATGGGCTATGGTGTCGGTGGTAATCGTACCGGGTCGAAGGTGGGTCTGTGGGCTGCGAATGGTCAGTCGGGAAATTCAAACAAAGGCTTGAGCAGCTGTGGGAAGCACATACCGGTAGTCATTGTGTGATGTTTAGATTGGTGTGATGTAAAGCAGGAGGGAGGAGTGGGAGGCTTCCAAGATGATTTCCTGCCCAGTGAGTCCACCGCCCACCATATACCGCTTTCCTATTGGCTCAACTCTCTCTCAAATACGGTCAGTCGCGGCAAAAACGGGCGCGGCCCAAAAAAAGCAGCGAGGAATCCCCACGTCGATCGATCGTGCAGGTGCAGGCTTTAATCGCATCATGTCGAAAGAAGCCCCCCCTTTCCAACGCGGAGCGCGACTTCATTCTTGAAGCACTGCGCGAAGATGTGCGTCTCGACGGCCGTAACCCCGATCAATTCCGCCCGCTGAGCGTATCCTTTGGCGATGAATATGGACATGTGAAGCTGCAGCTAGGCAAGACCAGGTTGGTGATATCGAGGCTACTTTGAAGCTTCCCAATGCTTGTTGGAGTCACTGACTGACTCGATCTTTATTTAGTTTGGTTGTCCGCATCTCTGCCGAAGTGACAAAACCCCGCGATGACCGTCCCTTTGACGGGTTGTTCCAAATCAATCTTGAATTGTCTGCGATGGGCTCACCAGCCTGGGAAAATGGCCGGTAAGCTTTATGACCGCGGGGGGAATTTGGTGAAATTTGATTCCTTGGGCTGCGCTAACCAATTCTCCGCTCTACTGCAGCTCCAATGACCTAGAAGCCTATGTCACCCACGTCCTGGACAGCGTCGTCCGTCGCTCCAACGCCCTCGACACCGAATCGCTCTGCATTCTCAAAGGCGTGAGCTGCTGGAGTATCCGCGCCGATGTGCATGTGCTGGATTATGACGGAAACTTGACCGATGCGGCCTGTATCGCGATCATGACCGGACTGCAACACTTCCGCCGGCCGGATGCTGTAGTACGGGACGGTCAAGTCATCGTCTATGGAGTAGAGGAGCGAGTGCCCGTGGCGCTGAACATCACACACAAGCCGTTGTCCATCACGTTTAACTCATACAACGAAGGCAAGAGTATTATTCTCGACGCAACCCGCAAGGAGGAGCAGGCGTCGGAGGGAGAGCTGGTGATTGGAATTAACAATGGAGGCGATGTCTGCTTCCTGTCAAAGTTCTCTGGAGCCCCTGTCGACCCAATGGAGATGGTGACCAAGTCTACAGTCGCGCTAGAGAAAGTGAAGGAGATCAATGCTCAGATGGAGAAAGCGATGCAGACTGACCTAGCGAAACGGGCTAAGGTGGGCATGGCGGATCTGTCTCGCGCTGAAAATGACCGGTGATTTGGCTACTGCTTCTGATGTATGACTAGAACCTTTATGATCCTGGGCTGGAGTTCCGCATTGCTTATAAGAATCAATCGCATGAGTGTAATTATGCACAATCCTTTTTCCGGATACGTGATGAATATGATGCCACTACTAGTACTGATATAGTTCTCAACATTGAGGTTAAATTACCGAGTTTAACGGTAGTAATAAGATTATTACTAGTACTAGGTATGCTAAAAAGAGCAAACAAAAGACACTCTAGTGCCTAGGTAGCAGTAACTAGTATTCTGACAATACCGCAGGAACTTATATGTTGCTATTTTGGGATCTCCGCGTTTCATGTCTAGCGCAGCGGACCACTTAATAGTTCTACTAGTATCACTCCATTCACCTGTATTGGATCAACTTTAGCATTTTAATTTAATTATTCTTACTAGTATATGTTTAATCATTTTTAAGTATACCCTTCTTAAGGTTGAACTAATCCAGGACTATTACTTACTCCTTTGTTGCTTACCGCCCCCCCAAAAAAGCGGGACTGCGGTCGATCAACACTCGACGAAGACGGCTGCCTTCACCCGCTAAGCCACCTCTCCTCCTCTTCCACTTTTTTTTGCCCCCCCCCGTGTATATCTCTACGCAATCCCCACTGACCCCTTCCTCTTGTCATTCATCCCTGCAGATCGAGCTGTGCGCGTCGCCCTTGATTTCCTGCTTCCGATCAATGCCTCAGGGGCATCATCACCACTACTTCCAGTGAGGCTGTCAGCTTCCCCCGCGGGACCATGGCCAGCGGTAGGCCCCCTGGGTCGCATCCAGCTGGCCACGATGATGATCTACTGCTGGATTCAGGATCAGGCTCTATCTACAACTCCGGTCAACCCCCGCCCGTGAACGATGACCATCTCTTGCGCCAATTTAACATTGACGATTCCGACGAGCCCCATGCGCAGCCGCGTCCTTCCGTATCCTACGACAACTTTGTCGGCAATCCAGCACAGCGAGCTGGAGCTGGAGCTCAATACCATGCGCCCTCTGTTGCTCCTGCGCCTGGCGATGCCGGCGTCTTCCTTCACGATCCCTACACGGACTCCGGCATGAGCCGCACCTATTCCCAAACATCGGGCCTCGCGAACTACCAGCGCTATTCCTTTGACGAACTCGAAGATAACCATTCCGGATATTACGACCTCGATCCAGATGACGACCGCGGATCGAGCGCGCATCATGTACGGAAAGCGAACGAGCGGAATAGCATCCTGGGCTTGGGAGGTGGATTGATGGGCAAGGCTAAATACATGTTTGGCATGGGGAACCAATATTCGGAGATGGATCTACCTCTGACTGAGGCCGGAGCCAGGAGAGCGACTGTTGACAGTACTGCTGATCCCAGAGCTGCGCCCAAGGCCAAGAAGAAGTTCCAAGCTTCCGACCTAACATCCATATTTGGGCGTCGCAAGCCCGATCCCTCAACGATGGGTCCCCGTATCATCCAAGTCAACAATCCGCCCGCGAATGCCGTCCACAAGTACGTCAATAACCACGTTTCGACCGCCAAGTACAACTTTATCACCTTCGTCCCCAAATTCCTCTTCGAACAATTCTCGAAATATGCCAACTTGTTCTTCTTGTTTACCGCTATTCTACAACAAATTCCCAACGTCTCCCCCACGAATAAATTCACCACCGTCGTTCCGCTGGCGATTGTCTTGTTAGTGTCGGCAATCAAGGAATCGGTAGAGGATTACAAGCGTCGCACGTCGGATAAAGGGTTGAATTATTCGAAAACACAGGTCCTTCAAGGGTCCTCATTTCATGAGACGAAATGGGTAGATGTCAAGGTTGGAGACGTGGTTCGCGTCGAGTCGGAGGAGCCTTTCCCCGCAGATTTGGTGCTCTTGGCATCGTCCGAACCGGAAGGTCTCTGTTATATTGAAACAGCAAATTTGGATGGAGAGACAAACTTGAAGATCAAGCAAGCCATTCCCGAAACTGCGCACCTGGTTAGTCCCAGTGACCTGAGTCGTTTGAGTGGTCGTATCCGATCCGAACAGCCCAACAGCAGTCTTTATACCTACGAAGCTACCTTGACGATGAATGCTGGAGGTGGAGAGAAAGAATTGTCACTAGCTCCGGATCAGTTGATGCTGCGAGGTGCAACCTTGCGGAATACCCCGTGGATTCACGGTATTGTCGTCTTCACTGGTCATGAAACCAAGTTGATGCGAAACGCGACGGCTACTCCTATCAAGCGAACTGCTGTGGAGCGCATGGTGAATATTCAAATTTTGATGCTTGTGAGTATTCTCATCGCTCTCAGTGTCATCAGTTCCGTTGGCGACCTTGTCATCCGCAAGACGAAGTCCTCCGAGCTCAGATACCTCGACTACGGCGACACCAATATGGTAAAGCAGTTCTTCCTGGATATTTTCACATACTGGGTGCTTTACTCGAACTTGGTTCCTATCTCTTTGTTCGTCACCATCGAAATCGTCAAATATTTCCAAGCCTATCTCATCAACTCCGATCTGGACATCTATTACGACAAAAGCGACACCCCTGCCACTTGCCGAACCTCTTCGTTGGTCGAAGAACTTGGTCAGATTGAGTATATTTTCTCCGACAAGACCGGCACCTTGACGTGCAATATGATGGAGTTTAAGCAGTGCACCATTGGGGGTATCCAATATGGAGATGACATCCCAGAGGACCGACGGGCAGCTGGAGAGGACGATGGTGAATATGGCATCTATGACTTTAAGACTCTCCGTCGCAACATGCAATCCCACCCAAGCCAGGGCCTCATCAAGGAGTTTCTTACTCTGTTGGCCACTTGTCATACCGTCATCCCCGAACGCACAGGAAACAACCCGGATGAAATCAAGTATCAGGCTGCCTCTCCCGACGAGGGGGGCTCTGGTCGATGGCGCCGCTTCGCTTGGATACCGATTCACCAACCGTAAGCCCAGGTCCGTTATCTTCACTACCGACGACGGACGCGATTTCGAGTATGAGCTGTTAGCCGTGTGCGAGTTCAACTCCACTCGGAAGCGTATGTCGACTATCTTCCGCTGCCCCGACGGCAAGATTCGCATTTATTGCAAGGGTGCCGACACTGTCATTCTCGAGCGTCTCCACGCTAACAACCCGATTGTTGAAACTACTCTTCAGCATCTTGAAGAATATGCATCAGACGGTCTGCGAACTCTATGTTTGGCCATGCGGGAGATTCCCGAGGATGAGTACCAGCAGTGGCATAAGATCTTCGACACAGCCAATACCACCGTCAGCGGTAACCGTGCAGACGAACTTGACAAGGCTGCCGAGTTGATTGAGAAGGACTTCACCCTTCTCGGTGCAACTGCCATTGAGGATCGACTGCAAGACGGTGTCCCGGATACTATCCACACCCTGCAGACAGCTGGTATCAAGATCTGGGTTCTTACTGGTGATCGACAAGAGACAGCCATCAACATTGGCATGTCTTGCAAACTTATCTCCGAGGATATGACGCTTTTGATCATCAACGAGGAGACAGCAGAAGCTACGCGTGATAATCTGCAAAAGAAACTCGAGGCTGTCAAGACCCAAGCCAACTCGGGCGATGTCGAGCCCCTTGCTTTGGTGATTGATGGAAAATCCTTGACCTTTGCGCTGGAGAAGAGCATGGAGAAATTGTTCTTGGATCTTGCTGTGGGCTGCAAAGCTGTTGTTTGCTGCCGTGTCTCTCCTCTCCAAAAGGCTTTGGTCGTTAAGCTTGTCAAGCGTCACCTGAAGTCGTTGCTTCTTGCAATTGGCGATGGTGCGAATGACGTGTCCATGATTCAAGCCGCGCATGTTGGTGTTGGTATCAGTGGTATGGAAGGTCTCCAGGCTGCTCGATCCGCCGATGTAGCTATTGGTCAATTCCGGTTCCTTCGCAAGCTCCTTCTTGTGCACGGTGCCTGGAGTTACTCTCGTATTAGTCGAGTCATTCTATACTCGTTCTATAAGAACATCACGCTGTACATGACTCAGTTCTGGGTAAGTTGAACGCGTACCCTTACCTCCCCATTCATCACTAACGTTTTTTCAGTACTCTTTCCAAAACGCTTTCTCTGGAGAGGTCATCTACGAGTCATGGACACTGTCTTTGTACAACGTTCTGTTTACCGTCTTACCTCCATTCGCCATGGGAATCTTCGACCAGTATATTTCCGCACGTCTACTCGATCGCTACCCCCAGCTATACCAGCTGGGTCAGAAGGGTCTTTTCTTCCGCAAGCACAGTTTCTGGGCTTGGATTCTGAACGGATTCTTCCACTCACTCCTCCTCTATCTCGTTTCCGAGCTTCTATTCTTCTGGGATCTACCCATGGCGGATGGAAAGGTTGCCGGTCACTGGGTATGGGGAGAAGCTCTATACACATCCGTCCTTGCCACCGTTCTAGGAAAAGCAGCATTGATTTCGAACACATGGACGAAATACCATTTCATCGCGATTCCCGGCTCCATGTTCCTCTGGTTGGTTTTTATCCCAGCCTACGGCTACGCCGCCCCGGCCATCGGATTCTCGCAAGAATACTACGGCACCGTCCCCGTTCTATTCAAACTTCCTCAATTCTATCTGATGGCTCTCGTTCTCCCGTGCATCTGTCTGATGCGTGATTATGCCTGGAAGTACGCAAAACGCATGTACTACCCCCAGCAATACCACCACGTGCAGGAAATCCAGAAATTTAACGTGCAGGACTACCGTCCCCGAATGGAGCAGTTCCAAAAGGCCATTCGCAAGGTTCGCCAGGTTCAGCGTATGCGCAAACAGCGTGGCTACGCTTTCTCTCAAGCTGACGATGGTGCTCAAATGCGTGTCTTGAACGCATACGATACGACCAAGGGTCGTGGTCGTTACGGAGAAATGGCCAGCTCCAGACCTCCCGGGTTCTGAGTTTTGTCTTTTCTGTCTCTGTCTGTTTGTTGACCGAACTGCATACCTTTTGTTTCTGTTGGGGGTTTGGCCCTCTGTGTGTGGAGCTGGCTGTCTGTTTTTCTTTTCATCATCTTCTATTTATGCTCGATATTGCATGGGATACCAAGTGATTGGTAGCGTTGTAAACTTGTACTTTTTATTATCTTTTTCCATCCCATCCCACTTTTGACTTTATTCCCTTACGGCTTGGTTGCGGTGCTATCAGGTTGGAGGGAGGAGGGAGTCTTGTGACATACTATCTACGTGATGTGTTCTTAGCTTATCTCAATTGGACATGAAATGTGGCAATGCCTTGATTCATTTTTCTCATTCTGTACTATTCCACTCCTTCCATCCGTTAACCAACGGCGATTTTCCATACTGACGCGCGCCACGAAGGGACGTTGACCGGCGACTTGTTGAGAGGGACCGAGGCTTCGGCCACTAGACTCTGCCGCCGAAGGGTACTCTGCCGCCGAAGGGTCCTCTTCTCCACATTTGGCTCTGGGGCAGGTCAGGTATAAACCCCGGGCTATAGATTTCTTCTCCAACATCTTCAAACTAGCACATACAATACTCTGGAGCCGAGACCCCCAATGAATTCCCGGGCAATGAGCCCCATTCACCATGGAAACACCGATGCCTCACCCACGACTCAAAACAAACTGGACTGGACATCCCAAACCGACAAGAAGAACCCAAGAAACTGGTCCCGTCTCCGAAAGACCCTCTCAACCCTAATAATTTGCTCCATCGGCTTCACAACAACGCTAGGAGCCTCAATCTACGCCCCAGGCCACGCCCAAGTCCAAGCAGAATTCCACGTCTCAACAACAATCTCCCTCCTCCCACTTTCAGCCTACTCACTCGGCCTCGCCTTCGGCCCAATGATTTCTTCGCCGCTATCCGAGACCTTCGGCCGTAAATTTGTCTATCTACTCACACTCCCATTGTGCGATATCTTCCTGCTCGGCGCGGGATTCGCGCGGAACATCACTTCGCTGATTATCTGCCGATTTCTCGCGGGTGTGTTTGCTGCGCCGGGCGTTTCTGTTGCTGCGGCTACGATTTCGGATTTTACGGCGCCTGGAGAGAGGGTCGTGCCTCTTGCAGCGTACTATGCTGTGCCGTTTATTGGGAGTTCGATTGGGCCTTTGATTGGCGGGTTTGCTGTGCAGGAGCGAGGGTGGAGGTGGACTTCTTGGGTTGTGCTTATCATGGCGGGTGTTTTTCATCCGCTCGCGTTGTTTTTGAGAGAGTCGTATAAGGCGACTATTTTGCAGAAGTGCGCGAGGAAGGGGTTGGTTGAGGATGGACTCGGGGTTCAAGTTGGAGAGTCTGTTAGTGGGACGAATTTGCTGCGGTTGCGTCGATTCGTCACTTCTACGATTGCGAGACCGGTGCATATGCTTGCTACTGAGCCGCTTGTTGGGTTTGTTTGTTTGTATACGGGGTTTCAGTTTGCGCTTTTATATACCTTTGTCGTGGCTAGTCCCTGGGTGTTTAAGACGGTGTATGGATTCTCGGTGAGTGCACAGAGTTTATCTTTTCTTGGACTTGCGGTTGGGTGTCTGGTTGCTCCGTTCATTTTGATATCGATGGATTCCGTTTTACGAAATAAGAAGATCGCGGCGCGGCGAGGGCAGGAGTCGCAGGGCTTTAACCCAGAGCGAAAACTATATACGGCGCTTTATGGAAGTCTTGTGCTGCCGATTGCTCTCTTTTGGTTTGGATGGTCCGCTCGACCAGATGTTCACTGGATAAGTCCGATTATCGCACAGGGGACTGCTCTCCTCGGCAGCATCCTGATTTATGTACCCTGCAATTTCTATATGCTGGATGTGTACGGGTCAAAGTATGGGGCGTCGGCTAGTGGGGCTTCGTCGCTGTCGAGGTATAGTCTTTCGGCGGCTTTCCCACTTTTCGTCACTCAGATGTATGAGGCTCTTGGAGTGGGATGGGCGACGAGTGTTTTGGGATTCGCCGCGTTGGTCATGGCGCCTATACCCTGGCTGTTCTATTATTATGGCCCACGGCTGCGAGCGAGGAGCTCTTATGACCACGGCACTTGAGTGGTTTGAGAGCCTGGAAGTGAATATATTGAGAACTAGGGGGGTAACTACCTAGGTAGATATTCAAGTTCACATACTAGTACCGTGACTAGTACTAGTGCTCTTTGTTAATTAGCGCCTATGTATTACTAGTACTACTAGGATTGAATTCCAGGCCTGAGCCTGCTAATTGGAAGAGCGAAACCCATTTATTGTATTGCTCTGGTGAACTTGAGCCCTATAGGTTCCTGATTATGCCACAGTATACCTCTCGGGCTATTCTGAACCCTGCCTACTGCCCAGGGGGCAGGAGGCATTTATTTTTCCAATGAGATATAGTATAGAATCTATCAATAACCTTGGAAATATGTGCTATGGCTACTACTAGTACTGGCACTCACTGGCAGGCTGGTACTTTAGAACATACGTAGGCTCGAACCTTATAGATGCCTCAATACATAGTTCAATCAATCATAAGCTTTGATTCAAACTCTGTAAGATCTGTTTGAAATTCCTTATACGTGAGAGCTGGTTTAATATCTTTAGTTCGTAGAAGAACCTCGCCTCGGAAGGGATCATACGCCTGCATGAATAGGATGGGATATGCACGCTAGCCGTTATCAACTTGAAAGACCCACCAGAGCTTATCCATTTTGCCGGCAGAACCCCAATCTCTTTCTTCCAACCCCCTACCATACTCTACGCGCAACATGTGCTCTCTCTTCGCCCTGCGCCCAAATGGCGCGTCCAAATTGTCTCTACTGGGTCAAATTCGCTGGGCATCATCCAAGCGCTGGCAAGCGCGTCAGCAGAAAGATCAATTTACGAGAGAGGCGACCGTTCAAGGCCTGAAAAGCCGAGCGGCTTTTAAGCTGCTTCAGGTATTCTACCCAGCACTTTGATCTTCTCGCTGCTGCGCTGCTAACACTATTTCTTGGCGACAGATTGATGAGAAATATCGGCTTTTCAAACGGGGCCAGACCGTCGTAGATCTGGTTCGATCTCCTCTCAACCCAATTTACGGTTGGACATGATATTCGGGGGGTAGCTTTGCTTACGAGTTGATTAGGGATATGCGCCAGGATCTTGGTCGCAAGTATGCTCACTGCTTCATATCGATTTCCCGGCAATTTACTGACAGATCTCAATCTCAGGTAGCCGTGAACCGCACCCAACCCGGCGGCCGAGTCCTCGGCGTCGACCTCATCCCCGCCCAACCGCCCAAGGGCGTCTCAACTATCCAGGGCAATTTCCTAAACCCCGAAATCCAGGCCTATATACTCGAATTTCTGCGCAATCCCAATAGAGGCAGGCCGCGTCCGCCTGGCGCTATTGACGAGGCTTTGACCAGTGCCCTAGAGACGGAGACAGATGGAACTGCAACCAAGACCGAGGCCGAGAAACTCGTGAATGAAAGGACGGTAGATGTGGTCCTTAGTGATATGTCCGCTCCCTGGCAGCAAACCACCGGTTTTTGGAAACGGAGTCTAAGTAATCCTTACAACAGGATGATGAATACGAGCGGCAATGCCTTTCGAGATCACGCTGGAAGCATGGTACTGTCACCCCACAGCTGCGCTGCACAAAATCTTGGAACTTAGGGACTTTGATTTTGATTTTGATTTTTTATACGACGCTTCCAGTCCAGGGCTAACAGACTCATTGTCAGGATTTGTGTAATGCGGCGCTACATTTCAGTTCGATTGTTCTCCGAACCGGAGGCCACTTCGTCTGCAAATTCTACCAAGGAATTGAAGATAAAGAGTTGGAAAGTAACCTCAAAGCAATATTCAACAAAGTCCACCGACTCAAACCCGAATCGTCACGAAGCGTAGGCCTTTCAATTTCTCGCCCCCAACATTAGGCCACCGAAGAAACCACCAGCTAACACCTTTACAGGAATCAAAAGAGTCATTTTTCGTTGGCCTAGACCGGAAAGCCTGATTATGAGCATAGCTACCTGCCTTGATCCGATCTACAGCAACTTGCGCCGCCCGGTTGCTCGAATGAGATGCAGCTAGAGAATTTCGATTTCTTCATTCTCAGAGCCCTCGTCCCAGTCGACTTCGGCAAGTGCTGCTTCGGCCTTCTCGTGAACCTAGCTTTGGTGTTAGGGAAGGGGTTTTGGAGACACGGTCTACAACTACCAAGGAAGGTGAAGGGACTACTGTACCTCTTTAAGCCCACTCAATTCCTCCACATACCCAGGCTCATTGAGAGCTCTGCGAACAAAGTCCCACCCCTGATCTTCGTACGCTTTCGTCACTCGATCCGAGCACGCACTACAGCAATTATAACTCCTCCCCGTCACGGCGATATTCTCAAACGTCGCGAGGAATCCCCGGATCTGGTGCGGTACAAGTCCTAGAGGGTGATCACCTCGATCATCATCTTTTTTCAACGGGGCCGGCGCCGTGACTCCGTCTGGGTGCTGGAGAACCGAAACAAGCAACTCGACCAAGAGTGCAGAAGCAATGGCCGCGACGCCGGGCCGGGTAACTGTGCATTGCTGATCGAGCGTTTGATCCTTGACAGACTATATTTATAGGTTAGCAATGCATTGGATTCGAAGTTTTCCGCAATAAAAATCTTACGTTTGCCGGCGCCATGACATCGTTGCAAAAGTAGCATCCGAGTTCTGCGGGGCTGTCATCCGTTGCCGACACGCCGTGGCGCATTACTACGAATGAATCAAATCCGAGTGCCGCATTCATAACGACTTTCCGGGCCGCCTTTCCCATGACTGTAGGAAGCCAGCGAGACTCGCGTGTATCCATGAGCAGGAAGATAGCATCGTGTTCATCGATGAGTGCGCGAAGGGTCTCGAAATCTGAACGAGTTGCATTTTCGTCAATGATTGGATGACCTGCCATCGGCACTGAAAGTACGTGGCCGGCAGTTTCCACGCCCGGGTAGATCTCCGTGAGAGCTTCTGACGCTCGAGACGCCTTTGGTGCGCCGCCATTCAAGCAATCTGTAAATTTGAAGAGGGGCTGTCGAACGGGATTAGAGAACGAGACGTTGCCTTGATCCACGAATGTGATCTTTTTGACGCCCCAGCCCTAGAATTTTATAGATTGTCAGAGAAAGTTTTCATCGGTTTGTGTAGGTAGACTTTGGGGAGACCAGGCATACCAATAGGTTTCGGGCAACATAGCTCCCAAGAGTCCCTGCGCCCAGCAGTAGACACTTGGTATTCTTGATCTTTTCTAGATTTAGCGTGGGACTTATTCGCCATTTCATCAGTTTGAGGTTAAGATCGACTGATTGGTCTGCTAGTCTGTAAGGAAATCAGCAAGAAAATATTCCGCTAGAGTTGCTTGAATCAGGCGAAACGAACCTTGTGGGATCCATATATTCAGCCAAGTTTACAGTCCTCCCGGACAATTTCCCAGCTGGGTTGCGCTCCCAGCCAGTAATCTTCGGCAGTTGGCTCTGCTGCGATTGCTCGTTGGTTGGCTCAGAACTGGATTGTAGCGAAAACACCATGCTTCGGCCCCCATCACGCTTCGATTGGGTATCACGATATCGGAGAATTTGCACCTTGTTGAGACCCCAGCGTTTTCTAACCAGGACCAGTAGATTTCGCAGCATCCAGCCCGGAGCCTTTTCATAATTCGAGGGGTCTGCAAAACAAACATAGCGGCTTTCAGGCGAAGCACCGTTGAAGAAACCATTCTCGTATTCCGATAGTGACGCTATCCGCCAGGTGTTTTGAACAGAGTCCTTCGAATCTGGCTTTTGTTTACGAGCTAAGAAAAAGCCCCGTTGTCGGTCATCGACGCTGTAGCCCCAGGTTTGAACCGCTTCAACGAGAGAATTACTTTCGATTGAAGACAGATGCTCTCCCTGGAGAGTGCTTAGATCCTCGCCCTGGTTGGTGTTGGATTGCGGGCTCGCTGATTGAGCGGGAATCCATGGCGGATCGGAATGGAGAGCAGGGAAAGCAAACCAATAAGAGAACTTGTACTTTTTGAGATCTGCAAATGACAGGATAACAAAAGATGAAAGCAATGAAGGACATGAATAGATAGTGCCATCATTGATAGCATCCCAGATCTAGAGTAGTGTCATTAGTTAAGGGAAGCAGGGATCAATCGAAATAGCGGGACAGGCTCTCCTTACCGTCCTTCCAGCTTGGGTCATCATATGTGACCGATCCAAATTGCGATAATCCTCGATCGTATTCACATTTTTGATCATACCTTCGGCACGATAGTAACCGGCGGGTGCCCTATTGATCTAATCAGCGATGATGATCGCCAACCCAGGAAGGTCAAGTCTCAGCCTACTCATGGCAAGCAAGGGAATTTCCATGAATCTGTATCCGGCAAGAAGCATTATCGGGATCTGTAGAACGGATTTCATAGAGACCAAGGACGGGGCGGGCGGAGTCGTCCAGCTTATCATGGTTGATCTTATGAGAAGCAAGCGTCGTATAGAATGGCAAGTCAATATCCGAGGCAAACGGGGCGTACTGCATCTTGCAGGAAAAATCGCCGAGAGGCTTTGATTCCCTGGGTTCAAGTTGAGCGGGTACAGCAGGCTGTGGATATACCCTAAGGTATGTATGGTCGGGGTATGTAGGTGTCTATATGAGGGGGGTGAAGTGGGGAAAGGGCGTTGATGTAATCGGGCCCCAGCGCGAACCAGCCAAAGCGGGAGAAGATCAGGCGCCGCGGACGCGTGATCTGCCTGGTGTCCACCCCACCAGATCTCTTTTCCCCTCTGCCCTCCAAGGTCCTACATACTGACGCAAGAATGCTTATCGGCTTGTGTGGAGGTCAGCAGAACAGTCTCACTTCGCCACACTCATCGCTTGGCCTAAACTAACAACCCTTCCCGAAAAGGCATCTGTGCCGGCAAGCATGCAATTGCCGAGTACCTCATTGAGCATCAAGGCTTTCAGCTTTTAGAACTCGCTAGTCAACCATCGCATCGCACTATCACCGACGATATCGATGACAATCTACGACTCCAAGCTTCCCAAGTTAGCAAGTCCGGTGCCACGCCGCCCGAACACATCTTCCAAACGCCCGAATCCCTTCTCGATTTCGTGACAAAACATTGGCAAGAACGCTGGGTTACCACAGATATTGCAGATGGCGCAACCCTCGATCGCTTCATTTTACGCCCATTCTTCCTACTCGTGAGCGTTGACGCCCCCGTGAGCCTCCGCTGGAAGCGATTCTCCGACCGGTTCGTGGTGTTCCAACCTCCATCTATACTTTGATTGCCTCGGGGGAAACTTGAATTTATTCTAAACTTATCTATACAGATGCTGGCGAAGACAACTCGACCCGCCAGATCTCGAGAAATTCGTTCTCTGGAATGACCGTCACCTTTATGAGAGGGATATTGGGCGTGTCTACCTGACCGATCGAGCTCAAGTTCGCCTATTCAACTCATCCTCATCACTCGAAGAACTCCACCAGTCTCTACAAACACTTGACCTTGGAGATGAGCAACGACTCAGACCCAACTGGGATCAATATTTCATGCAGCTCGCGTCCCTTGCGGCGCAGCGAAGTAACTGCATGAAGCGGCGTGTGGGATGCGTTCTTGTTCGAGAACGCCGGGTCATCAGCACAGGGTACAACGGGACTCCAAGGCATCTGACGAACTGTAATGAAGGCGGATGTAGGTCTACTATCATGTCGATGAATAATTTTGTTCCCCACAACTAATCAATTAACGCCTAGGTCCTCGTTGTAATCGCGGCGATGGAGGCGGCGTTGGTCTTTCTACTTGTCTATGTCTGCATGCGGAGGAGAACGCGCTTCTGGAAGCGGGCAGAGAGCGCATTCGAGAGGGTGCGATTCTATACTGTGATACGTGAGTTAATCTAATCTGTGTCACTTCACTGTTGGACCAATCACTCATGAGTCATGGCTACAGGTGTCCGTGCTTGACATGCACCGTCAAGATTGCTCAAGTTGGAATCTCCGAGGTGGTCTACGCCCAAGGTTACAACATGGACGAATCGGTACGTGGTTGCAATATACTTGAAATATTAGATGTCTGGGGTTATTATTGTACTAACATGGTTGAATCCAGAGTGCCACCATTCTTAAGTCCGCAGGCGTACGTCTACGGCAATTCACTCCAGTAAGCACCGTGTCCAGACAATACATTTGATTAATGTGAACCTGACTGATTATCGATCGCAGCCTTCGAATGGGTTGATTTACCTCCAAGCATCAAGCGAATGAGCCATCATTTAGAAACACCGCATCAAAACACTATTTCGGAGTAAAAAATATAAGTGCATTAGAAAGGGAACATTAGTATTATCTCCTTCTCCCCGTGTTCTATTCATATACATTTGTTCGCCTTATCTATAAACGAATCTTCATCAGAGACATATGTAAGAAATTGATTGATCACTATGACTGATAGCCTTGGAGCTAGTTTAGAGTAAATGTGGAGCTCTCGACCGCACCCCCACCATCTTCTGCTATTCTGCCCGGCAGAAAAGAGTGAGTCAGCGGGTGAATTTTGGAGGGGTTCTCCATCGCATTTAATCCCCTCCTGCCTCAATTGAAACCGCTCACTTTTCTGCACCTTTTTTGAAGTACTTGGTCTAGCAGGTTGAACGGTCCCTTCATCATGCCAACTGTTCACCTTCTCGACTACGTTGCGGGGAACATCCGCTCCCTGGTCAACGCGATCAACCAGGTTGGATATGAAGTGGAGTGGGTTAAGACCCCGGAGGATGTGAAGAATGCGGACGTGAGTGTGATGATATACTACAATTTGCGATTTGCTCCCTAGTCCTGAACTCCCGCTGACCTTCCTCGTGGTAGAAATTGATCCTCCCCGGTGTCGGCCACTTCGGCCACTGCCTCTCCCAACTCGAAAAGGGCGGCTTCCTAGGCCCAATCAAACAGCACATCGACTCCGGTAAGCCCTTTATGGGTATCTGTGTTGGTCTCCAGGCTCTCTTCCAAGGTTCCGACGAAGATTCTGCCGTCCCGGGACTGGGCGTCATCCCCATCCATATCAAACAGTTCGACGACAAGACCAAGAGCGTGCCGCACATCGGATGGAACTCTGCGAAGAACCAGGGAGAAGGATCGAAGGATCAAAGCTTCTTTGGCTTGCGACCGGACAGCAAATACTATTACGTTCACTCCTACGCGGCGCCCTACACGCCGGGTGTCTTGGAGAAGGACGGCTGGTCTGTCGCAACGGCGACCTACGGCGAGGAGGAATTCATCGGCGCGGTCAGCCGTGGAAATATCTTTGGCACACAATTTCACCCGGAGAAGAGTGGTGTTGCAGGATTACGGGCTCTCCGCGCATTCTTGAACGGTGACCAGGTCACCCCTCTCCCGAAAGAATTAGCCGCCAGCAAGGAAGATGGCCTGACTCGCCGAGTCATCGCCTGTCTTGACGTGCGAGCCAACGACAACGGCGACCTGGTTGTCACAAAGGGCGATCAATACGATGTGCGTGAAAAGAGTGGCGTCGATGCGGGCGGCCAGGTCCGAAACTTAGGAAAGCCCGTCGATATGGTCAAGAAGTACTACGAACAAGGAGCCGACGAAGTCACGATCCTGAACATTACTTCTTTCCGCAACTGCCCGCTGGTCGATACACCCATGCTTGAGATTCTGCGCCGGGCATCGGAGACAGTTTTCGTCCCGTTGACTATTGGCGGCGGCATCAAGGACACAGTCGACACTGACGGCACTCACGTCCCAGCACTGGACGTGGCGACAATGTACTTCAAGTCCGGCGCTGACAAGGTCAGCATCGGCTCTGACGCCGTTTTCGCTGCGGAGGAATACTACGCCGCTGGCAAGAAGCTGAGCGGCACTACTGCCATCGAATCCATCTCAAACGCATACGGCAAGCAAGCTGTCGTGGTCAGCATTGATCCCAAGCGAGTCTACGTCGATAAGCCCGAAGACACCCACCACCACACCTTGAAAACCGCCCACCCCAACGAAGCCGGTCAAAGCTACTGCTGGTATCAATGTACCGTCAAGGGCGGCCGTGAGACTCGCGACATGGATGTACGCGAACTGGTGCAGGCCGTCGAGGCCATGGGTGCTGGCGAGATCTTGCTGAACTGCATCGATAAGGATGGTAGTAACAGCGGCTTTGATCTGGAATTGATTAATGATGTCAAGGCCTCTATCAAGATCCCTGTCATTGCCTCTAGTGGTGCTGGCCTGCCGGCTCACTTTGCTGAGGTCTTTAGCAAGACGACTACCGATGCTGCGTTGGGTGCTGGTATGGTAAGTAGATATACTCCGTAAGATATACTCCGCAAAGAAGACAAATTGCTAACATTTGGATAATAGTTCCACCGAGGTGAATACACCGTCAGCCAGGTCAAGGATCACCTCCAAGAGGGAGGATTCCTCGTCCGTCAATTTGAGGCGACAATTTAAATCGGTAAAATGAGAGCTGGTTTGATTGTTGGTAGAATCTTTCAACTTTATAGATATCATGAAATGAATGGAATGTGATTTACTTGAAATCAATTGATACTTGCTTGTAGTCCCGTATACCTACCTAGGTAGGTACATAGCGACGCTCTAGGCGGTGAGTCACGCGACCACTCAATGCGATCCATGGATGTCCATAACATTGTAGATATCGTATATATATGTAAATATGTAGTACTCTAAGGAGTGAGTAATTGCGACTATATTACAAAATGAATCGATTAGAACCATCCAACGGTAATTCTAGGGGCATGGAATGAAATCGAGGCATCCGGTCTCGAAGGATGACAAACCACCGGAAGCAGCTAAAATCTCGCCGAGTGGGGCATCACACGTGACTAATTCATGCAAAGTGGCGACGGCGGCACTTCTCCGACCTCCAACCTCCAACCTCCAACCTCAACCCTTCACCACCACCGCCCACCCTCCCCTCCAAACGTACTCGACATCGCACATCCAATTCCCCTTTCCTTATCACCCGGCAAGCGAATTCACATTCTACTAAGCAGCATCTTACGTCCTGGTTTCGGACCGATCTCGATTCTCTTTTGACAGGGTTCCCGACCGCGAGGGCGGATAACCGGTCTCACTTTAGGCAAAGGAGGTGGTTCTGCGAGTTATAAAGGAACTGGTTCACTCGCCGCGCCCTGTTTCAGTGTCAGCGACGGTTTCTTTCTTTCTTTTTCACTTTCGGCATTTGTATTTTCCATCTGTCTTGAATCATATGCAGTTTGAGCTCTCACCTTCCATCATCCAAGAGAGAGAGAGAGAGAGAGATATTCTCCCAACAATCTACCATCCCTGAAGAGATATCTCCAGTGATAGGCCCCAGTGACTATCCAGGAATCAACTTACTGTGCTGCTCTTAATATCTTGCTCGTGCTTCGCTCCCCCACCCCCCTCTTCCCCTCACCTCACCTTTCAATTGACCATCTTCTTTCCCTGCTTCTACCTCTTCCTTTCTTCTTTCTCGTCTGTACTCCTGTGATTGTGTTGCGCCTTTCATCTTCGGTCTCCATCTTTTTTCCAGACCCAAAGTACTTGCTGCGCACACACAGCTCAATACAATGTCATCGTCCGTTCATTTCAAATTCAAGTCCCAAAAGGAGCCTTCGCGGGTTACCTTTGACGGTACTGGTATTTCCGTTTTTGAACTCAAGCGAGAGATTATCAGCCAAAGTAGATTGGGTGACGGATCTGACTTCGAACTCTCTATCTACAACGAGGACACCGGAGAAGGTAGGCCGATGGGAATCCCCAAACCCCCGAGAACTTGACTTGTCCTCCCAGCAGCTTTCTAACATACAGTAGGGTATGACGATGATACGACAATTATTCCACGATCAACCTCGGTGATTGCCCGCCGATTGCCTGCAGCTCGGCCCGGCAAAGGTGGCGCCGCTCGATATGTCTCCGGCAAAATGCCCGTCAATGCTCGCAATGCGTCTCGCATCGAGCCGTCAATGACCCGCACTGCGCCTGGAGGTGCTCGTGCCGTCAACAATAACGTCTTAGAACTAAACAATGCACAAACGGAAGAGGAAAAGATCAATGCGCTCATGAACCTGCAGGCCAGCCAATGGAAGGAACAACAGCAAGAAATGGCCAAGTGAGTTTCCGTGTTTGCCTATCCACATTCTTTCCTTGTCAAAATTACTAACACCCCGATTCAGTGCAACCCCTGTTCCATTTGGACGCGGTCGAGGCAAACCCGTCAATGTCCCCGATCACCTTCCTCCTCCTGGCTACCTGTGCTATCGTTGCCGAGAGAAAGGTTTGTTCATCAACCTCCGGATCCCCTTCCACCCTCGATCTCAAGCTAATCTCTTTTTTTCCATTTTAGGTCATTGGATCCAGGCTTGCCCGACAAACGACGATCCCAAGTTCGACGGCAAGTACAGAGTCAAGCGATCCACCGGCATCCCGCGATCTCTCCAGCTCCTGGTAGACAAGCCAGAGTCCCTAGCACCCGATGGATCCACCGACGATTCAAGAAACACAGGAGTCATGGTAAATGCCGATGGAGACTTCGTCATCGCGAAGCCTGATAAGGCAGCCTGGGAACTTTACCAGGAAAAGGTGAAGGCATCGGCGGCGGCTGCCGCTGAGGCTGCCGCCGCGGAGGAGAGCAAGGCCTTGCAAGCTCGAGGTCTGGAGTGCCCGATTGACAAGCGGATGTTTTTAGAGCCAACAAAGACACCATGTTGTCAGAGGACCTATTGCAATGATTGTATCTCAAATGCCTTGATTGAAAGTGACTTTGTTTGCCCAGGATGCTCTACAGAGGGCGTCCTTCTTGATAACCTTATTCCTGATGAAGAGGCCGTTTCCAAAATCAAAACCTACGAGGCGGAAAAGGCTGAGGCTAAGAAAGAAAAGGAAAAGCAAGCTGCTGCTAGTCAGGACGAGGTGCCAGTTAATGAGGCGGAAACTAAGGAGTCTGCCACGGCTAGCAAAGAAAAACAATCTACTCCTAAAACTGAGACGGATGATGCATCTGCATCTACACAGTCAAAGAAAAGGCCTGCTGAAAACGATCTCACTCCAGAATCGGCAAATGCAAATGGCAACTCCGACACTGCGGCCAAGAAACCACGCAGCGAAAACCCGACCGATCAATCCAGTGCCAGCGCTGATGGCAATGCCCAGGATAACCCAGCCGGAGCTGCAATTCCCCCATTCAACGGCCAGCAGTTACCATTCGCGGCACCAGGCATGATGCCCCCATTTACAGATCCCGGCTTCGGAAACAACGCAATGGGTTTCATGAACCCGATGCCCATGGCCAACGGATTTCCTACTATGGGTCCTGGTGGCTGGAACATGCCCAATATGCCCAACATGCCCTTCAACCAACCTGGCATGTTTGGCGATCAATCGAACGGGTTTCCTAACATGTTCAATGGCGATCCGTCCATGGGCATGGGATTCCCTCCCATGGGCCAAATGCCCCCGATGCCGAATGGTGGATTCCCGGGTCCGAATATGGGCAATTTCTCTAACCAGCAACGGACTACGTTCGGTGGACCTTATTCACACCAAGAGGACTCAGCTTATTTCCGACAGCCGGTGAATCCTCAGCGTCACCAAGCGAGAAATCGCAGAGTGAGACCGAGTGATTACCGAGAACTCTGATGTGAGCTGAGCCTTAGATTGCTAGCGATCTGATACGGGTAATGGTTTGGCGTTGGTTTGGATGCACCCTGTACAGGCATCCCTTCTCATTTACTTTTCTTTTTTTCTTTTAGAGCGTTGTGATTTTTCTTCTTTCTTCTCTTTCTTCTTCATTCTATTTCTGTCCCCCTTTTTTTCCGATATCTTCATTTGATTCTCATCGTGCTTCCGCCAATCAGCGGCACGGACGTTCCCATGCATTTTTCAAACCCATATGTATTTCTAACTGAGTTGCCCAATGAAGCATGATTCACTTTACGAACATAACTTAGTTACTTCAGATACTCCCAAGACCAAAAAAATGAAACTGCTCTTTATGTTATCAGTGCCGACTTTAGTAAGGTAGTAACTATTCCATGCACTCACCTGCGACCCGATAGATCGATCTATACACCGGAAGCACGCGCTTTCCCTCATTATGCACCTATTCAAATACATACCAAACTCCGACCCTAGAATTAGTCTAAAACAGATGAATTGACACATTCAAAACCAAGACTATGCAATACTGCATCATCAAGTGTGACAAGAGCTGCCCAAGTGGCAATGGCAACCCAAATTGACCGCTGGTCCGCACGGACTCGATCAGGTGATGCGCCATTCCCCCAGAGAAAATCCCCCATCTTCCATTCCTCCACGTCTTTAATCCATATCCTTATCCACCACCTTCGAACCCCAACCCAACCTTCACAATACTCTCTCCAAGATTACTAGTCCAAATCAGCTATGGCGAATTACATGAGTAGTCATAGTAGTAGTCACTACAATCAAATGACCCGATTTCTCGACCAAGAATCCACCGCTCTCGCCAGCTGCTATTCCGTTGACTCCTCTACCTCCAAGGTCCATGGCTTCCACTACTGCACTACGCTGGGCGCCGGTACGTCTCCTACACCCTGTGCCCCTGAGCTAGCACACAATATCTCGCATCCCCCGCCTCTGCCGTCCATACTGACCCTTCCCAACAGGAGCACAGTGGTGTCCCTGAGGTCCCCTCAGGGACTAAAACCTCCATGAGAAGCCCTCTCCCCGAGCGTCCCGCCCCGAGTGCGGAACGCATCTCCTGGCCCGGCAATTACCGGGCCGAGTACAAGGGAGAGGCGATGCATACTATTCCGGAAGAGTGTGAGAGACTCTTCTGTGACACACTTTCCGCGACTTTCCTTGGTGAGGGGATTGGCGCAGAACAGGAGTCACTGGGAATGGGTGCGTTTCAGAACATTCAGCCAGAGTTCGGACATGACCGAGATCGAATCCAAAAGTGGGTGGAAGTTTGGGACTACGCCGGCGACGCCATCTATCGCGGCTTTGTGGCAGATATGAACGGCGAGCGAACGTTCTTCGTATTCTTTGAGGACGGCGCTATGGGCCACGGCCTTAAGTCTGGGTAAGCGAAGAATCTCTTGCATCCTGCAATTCCACTCATGCGTCGCATGAGTCATCGTTCTATGTGCCTTCACAGGGTCTGTTCTGATACTAATATCAATCTTACAGGTTAATTGCCCTCTTCGAACTCGCAGGAGTAGAAGCATTCGACTGCTCACAGATCGTCGCCTGCGTAAAACGTACACAACACACAAACGAAATGGAACTCGTCCGCAGCCTAGGATGGTGTGGATTCAACCTGACAACCCTCGAGCCGTGGTCTACGGCCGGCGCCTCGGGTCCATTCCTTAGCCCGAAGTGGCTTTTCCTAGCGGCAGAAGTATAGCCGTTCGCGCAGCGATGAAGGGTGGTTTCGCATTCGCTCGCTTGCCCTCGCGCGCGCCAACTGTCGCTTATTCAGAGCGCTGGCGATTAGGACGCTTTGATTGTTCATGCGTTTTAGCTTCTGGAGTTCTTTTTATGTTTTATTTTCTTTTTGTACGCTTTTCTTTCTTTTTTTCGAAATTGTTTTGAAAGCCGAGGTTATCAGCGATAATGGCTTTGACTTAGCATCGGATACTTTAATAAGCTCTTTTCTCTTCTTTATTTTTGCCGTGTTCCAGAGATACATCTTCCGCCTGACTGGCGTTTCGAACTTAGTGAAAATAGGTGGGTAATTGATGAAATAGGCCTTCGAGGACTTCAAGGAGTATTTATTCATCAACGGATTCCCGTACACTTGGTCAATATCGACCGCTAGTCCTAGACGGCCATGGTAATCACTTACCTAGGTAATACCGCAATTTTATCAATATTAGTCCAATAATAAGATTCTATTTATCGGTTCAGAGGTTTCTATGCCAGCCTGTATCTTTTGCAGCCGCTTGATATCGGGTATTTTACAGTCCGAGACCTCAAACACTCATACGGAACCTTACATACTACTAGTGACTAGTACTAGTAGAGAACTATTAAACCCAAACGTTAGTACAGTACAGTCAATAAGTAACTATAACTTACTATAGTCTATTCCACGGCATTTGTCATTTTGAATCTATGTTAGCATAAAAAAGCCTAACTTTCAGCACATTTAGTTCAAGTACTACTACCTAGCTAATCATAATTCGACGACCCAGATAGTAAATACTATACTCTTACCTAATAATTTTGAGTTGGGTACCTAGGTCGTGATATACTTATCCATAGCTTCAGAAACAAACATTTCTTTTACGGCCCTAGCTATTTGAAATGGTAAATCTCTCCAGAATCGCAAACCACACTATGTGTAAAACGTACGCATGAAATATTCTGGCGTATAGTACCAGCTTGCGTGACCGATCGGATGGTTGCCGCATTCAAGTCATAGTATTAGTACTCTTTCATGTCCCACCAGGTTGGAAAGAAGATATACGCGTTCCAATGCGGACCCAGTCATTATTAAATTTTTGGCTAAATATTAATGCGGGCAATCTTCTTCACTTGAAACAATTTTGAGATGGCAAACTATTATTGAAGTGATGAAGAAGTACGTGTTAGGTAGTTTTTTTATCTATCAGGCAATTGACAGAGTTGCGATTGGTTGTATCAACGGCTTTGGGCTCGCCTTTCTGAGGCGGGTATACTAGTAAATAATGGGCTATCCCTAGTATCTTGGACATGTTCGACTGTGTTACTTTTAAAAACAACTTGAACTTGAACTCTAGGGTTCAAGTTGCGATTTTCCATAATGCGAAAGTATACATGTATAAAACTCATCCCAGTTATTGATGGACAATCGGCAGTAGGCGCATTCCATGGGGCAAGGAAGCTCTGTCGTCACAAAGCTTTCGGGATTTATTCCTGGATGAACTCGTATGTGGCCCTTATTATACATATACGCGGCCGTGCTTCATGCCGCATCCGGCTTTTGGACAGGTGTGCTCGAACTGAGGGTAATGTTGATTTTCTATATTTCGGGTAAGAACACCTTTATTCCGAATATTGAAACGCACGCCACAATCCAAACACTTCTCGTGCATAGCTGGCACGCTGGGTGTGATGGGGCGCGGGAAGTGATATTCGGATTGGTCGTGCGCGAACATTTCTGAATAGCTTTTGTTGAGACGAGGAGGAACGGGCTCGTGGCTACTGATAGCCTCATCGACAGTCGGCGTCGTCCGTATTTCGCGAGCAGGTATGACCGATAAAATATCTTTGGCACAGGCAGCGGCCGTCGCTGCTGCATAGCCTTGCCATTTCTTGTTTTTGTGCGAGTCGGCATAATCGCTGATACCTCGAATGTTAAGGCATGGAAACTCATGCATCAATCCAGCCGCTTCCATTTCGAAACAAAGAACGCCTCCGAGCTGTGAGCTGAGTTTGTCGCGAACAACTCCGTCTCTCATTACTTGATTGCCAGATGCTATTGTTCCGAAATGGACGACAGTATCTTCAGCCCGAGAGGGCCGCATTACTAACATCCTCTTGCTACACTCACCGCAAGTCTCTCCATAGCTGTGATGATAGCTCGCCATAAACAAATCATCAGGCTCTGAGTGAGGAGGAGCGAATACTGGCAGGTTGCTGAGGCATGATAGAAATTCGGCAAGCCGACTTTCCCCAGTAAGATGGTTGGCGTGTACGACTGAAATCGTATTAAGTAGAACGGTGGGAGGACAGTTAAGAAAACCCGTTCGCTCGAACTCATTTGGTCTTGTCTTTCCAAAATCATATTGCACCACTCCGCCATGGCCCATATGCGGCTGGCTGACGACAACATCGCCGAGTCGGATATCGAAACTGGCACTAGGAACTCCACCTCCAATGCCCACCATCAAGCCAAAACGGATGGAAGGAAACGCCGACTTCATTTGAATCGCAACCGTAGCAGCTGAGGTGGTTCCTGGCAAGCCTTTAGGAAGGCATGCCATGACAATATTATGCTGACTTATACGGCCCAACGTATAAAGATTGCTATCGACATCGTTATTCCGAGGGAGATCTGGATGCCTCTCATCCAACATCTTCCGCGAAGCAGCCAACTCAATCGGGAGGGCGCATACCCATCCCACCGTGTAATCTTCGTGCCGGAAGGAAGGGTGTGTCATTGGAGATCTGGTTGTGATGCGGGGTCTGTGTCACAATGAAAGCAGGCCAAGTCACCGTTACTGCGTTTCAAGGCCTAGTAGACTGGGATCAATAAAGAAGGCGAGCAACTGTTGTGCCCATGGGGGGGTGATATTTTCAAATGAGAGGGGGGGCTTCCAGGAGTTGACCAATTGACGTGGACAGCTCGGCTCGCCTGCAGGTAGTCAGCCTCACTTAAAGAGAGTAGTTCTATTGCGGCTACCTATACACTACTTTTATTTATGCTATGTTGCGTAATATTTTTTGAATCAGAGTTGATTTGAATAGGTATCATTCCTTGATACCTAAGTACTTAATTTGTTTAAACCCGAGTCGATAATCAACATAAAACTGTACTCTACCCGGCTTCCGTACTAATAGCGCTGGCTGTGGCGGGTGACTTGCCTACTCGGATGATTATTCTACAGCATCATGATTTCTTCAAGCTGTGTAACAATGAAACCTTTCCCGAGTTCCTCATATCCTTATTCAACACAAGGTATACCCCAAACCCAAACTGGGAGATGGGACCATCCAATTTTATAGACGGGCGATAAGATAAGCGATCAGTAGATCAGCGGGGACTTTCCAAAAGGGAAGTATGACGCCCAGTCCATCCTTGGGAGACTTGACATTCACTGTCTCTTTACTTTCTCCTCATCAGCCCACGATGTCGAAAGAAGCGAGCAAAAAAAGCCTTCTATTCCCACGCTTCCTCCTCCCCTCCCAGCTTCGAAACCAGTCCCCAGCCCCCCTTCCCCCAACAAGCTCCCCAAGCTCAAGCTCCTCCCCCAACTCCCCCCCACACCGACAAATACCTAAACGGCCATGCCTCCTACCTCCGCTGCTCTGAATGCACCGTCCACATCTGCCTAACCTCCCAAATAATAAGCAAGGGCTTCACAGGCAGGCACGGACGCGCATATCTCGTTTCTGGCTCCGCATCAGGACTATCCGGTGCCGTGCCCGCCGTATCAGTTAGTGCATCGTCATCGGCCACAGCCTCGCTGCCCAACACCCTCCTCCAACGGCCCGTCCCTCGCCAACTAGTCACAGGCGCACACACAGTCAGCGACGTCTGCTGCGCCTTCTGCGGCAGTGTTCTAGGCTGGAAATACGTTGCGGCCGAGGACGAGTCGCAGCGGTATAAAGTGGGGAAATTTATTCTAGAGACAAAGAAGACTATGGCTACGTCTTGCTGGGAGTCGCCGCCAGACGGACCCGGTGATACTGCATCGCCGGAAAGACAAGGAGGGGAGGCCGTGCGTGCAGAAGTCGAGTTTGATAGCCAGGATGAAGATGAGTGTGAGGATTTGTTTGCTGGGATTTGGAGTTCTGGTCTGGCTAGTCGGAGGAGGAGCCGGAAGGTTGAGCGGAAACCTACCGTGTTTGGCATTTCGTGAGGGTGTGTTGAAGGATGCCCAGTGCTCAAGGAGCTTTCGTCTCAAGTGATGATTGATTACGATTTTTCTTTATCTTTTTTCTTTTTGTTCGTCTTTTATGTGGCCCCCGCAATATGATACCCCATGCCCCCCCCATGCCCGCCTCACTCTATCAGCGATGCGCATCCCTTGTTTCTCATTCAACATTTAATATGCAATTAATTAGGTACAACATACGATACTTGCACACTTTGGCAAAGGCTAAAGCTATACTGGAGGCTTTTGATTTGTGAAGAATCAGACTGAAATGAATATTTTATGAGCTTGATAAATAATCAAAATGTGAAAAAAAAGTAGATAAAACTTGATCCTAGAACGCTCGAGAAAACCCAAAAAACCCCCATGAGACAGGCACCGAAACTGAGCTTTATGCGTCTTCCACCTTCGCGCGCTTCGAGTCTTCTTCCGTCTCAGCATCATCAACAGCCGGGCGTTTCGATCCTTGTTGGGAGGGTTGGCTAGCAGCAGGCTTCCGGCGAACCAGGGAGGAAAGATCTGTTGCGCCCTTGCTCACAGCGTCCAGCTTCGCTTTCTGATCTGTCGCCGATTGGCCAACGATTTGGCCAAGGATGCCTTTGAGCATGGCTTCGTTCCCTTGGTCTTCTTGCTCGAGGGACACGGGGGATCGGTGGAGATCAATTAGCTGCGAGATTTGTTAGTATAAACGTATAAAAATGGATCACGAATAATCCCCAGGAGTAGGGTGGGACTCACTCTTTGCTCCATATCAGCGACAATCTCCTTGACATTCGCAATCTTCCGTTTCGCGGCAGTAACCTTATCCTCTTCCATATCCGTGGCCGCTTCCAGCTCCTGCTCTTCCCGTCTCATACGGACCTTGCAGCTCTCGATCGCACGCTCCATATGAGTCGCGGCTTCTTTGCGCATTCCCTCGTCAATGGTCTTTGGTTGCTGCTCTTCCTCCTCATCGCCCGGTTGTTGCGCAGAGGCAAACTCGAGCGCAAGAGACAGTTTATAGTGGCATTCCGCGACAGAGGGATCCTCGAAGGGGACCAAGGCATTGCGGAGTTCAAGCGCGGTGCGTAAATCCGTCACCGCATCGGAGAATCGCTCGGCCTCTAAAGAAATTTCCGCTTGGAGGTCATAGGTATCCGCAAGGCGTTCCTTGATGTGTTTTAGGTCGTCTGGCAAGTCGGTAGAGTGGCCTTTGCCTTTGCCCTTGCTAGTATCGTTCTCCTCTGCAGCTTCCAGCTTCTTGAGATAAAGAATGCGCGCAAGATCCAGGACCTCAAAGGCATTGGCGAAATCATCATCGTCTTCGTCCTCCTCTTCTCCTTGTTCTGCGTCCTCCTCCTCCTCATCCGAGTCGACAAAATTATCATCACCAGAGAATTGGAAAAGCGGCTTCGATTGTGCCGGCTCAGACTTTGTCTTCTCATCCGTTGTTTTGGCGCTGTTTGAGATCGCGTCTTTGATCAAGCCCTCGCTCTTGGGCGCTGATTTGGCCGACGAAGTATTTTTCGATTGGCCTTGAGCAGGCTCGCCAGCGGCCTTGGAACCGAGCACGTCGCTGTTGCTGACGGCAACATTGTATAGCGATTTACCGTAAGCGTAGAGGAGATCGGCATTCTCGAGCGACAATTCCCCGTTCAGCGCGGCTTGGAGCTCGGTGGCTTGTGAGTAGAGCTCTGAAGCGGCGTTGTGATCTTTGGAGGCATCTTTGGCGGCGGCGCGGGCGATGAGATCGTCCAGTTGAGCGCGCGTTGGCTCCTCGGGGGTTGGTGATCTAGTCTTTTCTGTTTCAGTCATGGCGAAGGGAGGTGTGGTGGTAAGTAAGAACTGAAATGAAAATGTAGGTCAAGGTAACAAAGGCAGGGAAGGTCAAAGTAATCGATAATCGATAAGAGCAACCTCCGTCGCGCTCGCGTGCGCGTCACGCGTCTTGGCCTTTTCCACTTCCACTTCCACTTCCACTTTGGCGACTCGACTTTGTGATCAACTTGATCAACTTTTACCTTTTACCTTTTACCTTTGGAACCATTGAGTTGATCGGACTTCTAAATAATCAATATCTCACGCCCGTCACGCCACAGCGCGTTCTTCACAATGGATCCAACCTCCACCCCACGGCATACGGATCGCTTCAAGATGGGAAATACAGATCCAATTCCCTCGTCTTCACCGGCATTTGGAACACCAGCACGCCCATTTCGCATGAACAGATCCAATGCGCCACCTACAAAGACCTCTATTCTTCCTATCCTACTTCCACCTTCCACTCTCCGACCTGTCGCTTTCCGAACCTTCACCCGCAAGCATAACCTAACCATTTCATCCTCGGCACTGCAAACATTGGCCGCATTCGTGGGTAAAAACTGTGGCTCAGGCTGGCGAGAAGAAGGCCTTGCCGAGAAAGTCCTAGACGAAGTTGCGAAAATATGGAAAAGAGCCGGAGGAGGAGTTATCGTCGAAGAAGGGAAAGGTGCCTCCCTCAAAGCTATCCTGCAGACCCTCGAAGGAAGCATGAGTGGCGGACGAGTCGTTGCTGGTAAACAAACCAACTCGACAGATAGAAATGGAAGCATTACGAGTGTGGGCGCTGATGTTGGACGCATCGATCTGAACCACAACAACGACCAAGGAGGTTCATTTGCCTCGAGATCCGCCGATAACGAGGAAGATGAGTCCGCGCTATCAATTCACCCTCGGAACTGGTTCAAGGCAATTGATGCCTTTGATCTCCCCCGCCTGACCTACAACGTCGACAAGAAGTATTTTGAGACCCTCAAGTCAAAGCCGACATTGTTCCCACCCCCATCGCACAAAACTTCTCTTTTCAGAGACAGGTATAACTTGGTCTATCAAAGATTACTTCGCAATGAGTCTTTCCAGAGTTCTTTGGGTATCGCAGGTGTTCCTTCACTACAGCGATCGTCGTCGAACCTCGCCGCCGGGCAATCATACAAGTTAACGCCGATTGCAAACTTGCTTGGCCGGAGTGGGACATCCCATCTTCTTCTGGGCCTTTTGATAACATCACCAACCGGTGATTTAGCACTGGTAGACTTGACTGGAACCGTGTCTCTCGACCTAAGCCATGCACGAATGATCCCAGAAGACGGCGCTTGGTTCGCACCGGGCATGATCGTGCTAGTCGACGGTATCTACGAAGAAGAAGAAATGATCAAGGGATCCGTCCTAGGCGGCAACACCGGCGTCGGCGGCTCCATCGGCGGTCACTTTGTCGGAGTATCGATTTGCGGCCCTCCATGTGAGAGAAGGGACATCTCCCTCGGAACCGGCAACCGCCAAGGCAGCGGAGAACTCAGTTCAAGCGGCGGATTTGGCTGGGTCGACTTCCTAGGAATTGGCAGCGAGCGTGCCCAGGGTGCTCGTATGAGGAGAATTCAAGAAAAATGCCTCCAGGGCTCACGAGAAGAATCTCAAACGGAGGTCTCAGCGCCGCCGAGACTGAAAGTCGCCGTAATGAGCGAAGTCAATCTCGACAACATGCGAACCCTCGATGCCCTGCGCAAAGTATTCAGCTCCTACAACGATCTCGCACTCCACGAGCGTCCCCAGTCTTTCGTCCTGATAGGCAACTTCGTCCAAACAGCCGTCATCAACGGAGGCGGACGAGCCGGCAGCATCGAATACAAGGAATACTTCGACTCCCTCGCCGTCGTGCTAGCCGACTTCCCAGCTCTCCTCCAACACTCAACATTCGTCTTTGTCCCCGGCGACAATGACCCCTGGGCTGCAGCTTTCTCCGGAGGCGCAGCATCAACGATCCCCCGCCATCCAATTCCCGAACTATTCACCTCCCGAATCAAACGCGCCTTCACAACCGCCAATGCAGACCTAGATCGGTCCCAGCAGAGCTCAAGCTCAAACTCCGCACCCGGCGAAGCCCTCTGGACCTCAAACCCAGCCCGACTATCATGGTTCGGACCCGTCCACGACATAGCCATCTTCCGCGACGACATCTCAGGCCGCCTTCGCCGCACAGCGATAAGCACCAAGACAGACGAAGACGAGCCCGAGCCCGACACAACCATGCACGAGGCCCTAGAAAACGACACAGTCTCCATCGAGCCCGACCAAACTGCCGACAACAAACCCGACACGTCGTCCGCAGCCGCAACGATGGCGCGCCGCTTGGTCAAAACAGTCCTTGACCAAGGCACACTTGCCCCATTCCCGCTGACATTGAGACCCGTTCTTTGGGACCATGCTTCTGCTATTCAACTGTATCCGTTGCCGACGGCTCTGATCCTGGCCGATGCCGAGGCTAGTCCTTTCTGCATGACGTATGAGGGGTGCCATGTTATGAACCCGGGACGACTGCTTCCTGAGGGTGCCGTGCCGACTGTTCGGTGGATTGAGTATGATGTTCTACGGAATCGGGGGAAGGTTAGGGAGGATCGGTACTAAGCAGCCGGGGGCCGATACTATGCATAGTTACGACGATGTCAGTTGGACTAGATATAAATATAGATAATACCATTTGGAATGGAATGAGCTACGATACACATCTCTACCTTGCTTGCGTTGAATAGTAGTACTACTAGGTAGGTACTCGGTAATTAGGTCCGGGCAGAAAAATATGCATGTAATTCGAAGTGGAACTTTCTAAGAATACAATCATGAAGATGGGGAGAACATCCCATGAACACGGCAAGTGCAAGTGCAAGTGCAAAAGCCAGTTCAAGTTGTTCTCAGGATTAAGAAATCCCAAGGTAAGAGTTGGGGGGAAAAAGCAAACAAGAAATTCCATTCCATTCCGCCATGCGGCAGTAAACGTGGAAAGAAAAGCAACGCTAGGCAGTCCACTAGTCGATCGTGATGATATCGGCATTTCCTGGAGCGCCATTATTCTGCTGCTGCGGCGGCGGCGGTGCCTGTACTTGTTGTACCTGTGCCTGTGTCTTCAAGTTGCTCAAGTTCAAGGTCATCTCAGGCTTCGTCCTCTGTTTCGGGGCGGGTGGCACAGGCGCTGGTGGTTGCTCTACCATGCCGAATTGTTGCATATTTTCTTGCTTCGCGGGTTCGGGCTTGGGCTCGGGCTCGGGCGCACAGGAACTAAGACATTCATGTAACTTTGCAAGAAGATTTCCGACCTTTTCCGTTGATGAAAGGGCACCGTCACCAAGGCCTTGCCAACCATCACCCTGGGAATTGTAAACCTGTTCCCACACCGTGGTTCGAATTTGACTCTGGCCTAGCCCTTGGCCTTGGCCTTGACTTTGACCTCGACTGGCGCCAGGCTGGAAATTTTCCAGCAACCACACAGTGCGCCCATGTCTTGGCCTCAAAGATAATCGGAACCGCGCTTTCTGGGCATAGTGGATGTGGAAGACCGTTGGGCTTCGCACAATGACTTGTATCACGGACGAGGTTGGCTGGACCGGCTTGGTGATTTGTTCCAGGCTATGCAGAAGCGGGAATGTTTCCGTTATAGAGCCGAAGGCAGCCTCGACGCCGGATTCAGAGAATCGGTCATTTAGAGCCACGGTGAGTGATTCTTGAATACGACGATGAGGGCTGGGACTTTCGAAGTCTATCCTCAAGCCTAGGCGGAAGAGCGGGTTGTGGTTTGATAGAACAGCTCTGACCTCAGCATAGGCCGATGGTGGCGGCTCTGAAACATTGATGCTGAGCCGGGCTGAATGGGTCTGATTCTGGCCGTATGAGAACGCGATCCGCGATAGCGATAACGATCGAGGCTGCATTCCTCTCTGGAGGAGAGACTGGAGTATGTAGATGACGCAGTCCAGACGTTGAAGACGTTCAAGAAGAGGAATAAGCACAGCCTGGCCAACAGGGACAAGCAAACGGATTGCGAAACCGGAGCCCTTGTCTTGTACGACGAGCGATAGATCTGTGCTAGAGATAAGAGGGAGGAGGGATTTGATACAGAATCTAAAAGAACCGTACGCAACCAAAATGGCCGAGTGGGTCTGGCGATCGATCCCCTTGAAAGAAAGGCGCACCGAGTCTCGCAAGTAGGATCCTTTCTGCAACGCCGGAGGCAAGGCGAGTCGGAACACTGCTGGAATAGCGTTGGCCTTGTAGCTGAATACGAGGTCTGGGACTTCGAGCTTCGGCCCTAATCTCAGTTGTTTCAGTGGTGGGTGGAACTGGGCCCCTGGCAAGTCAGCCAAGCACTGGGCATTGGCGTAGATTGCCAAAATCCCTGAGAGGGAATGCACGAGTTCCGAGCAAGTGGAATAGTCAAAATTTCGGGAGGGCATCAAGTTGTTGCTGATAGGATGGGCTTGTGCTGAGTCTTTCATGAAATGCGACAGTGGTAAGGGACGTGTCGGGTCTGTTTGTCGGGCAAGGATATGGACTAGCCACCATTTATCGCCATCCATACTGCTTGTCGCAGCAACAACCCAGCGGCGATCCCATGACTGATGAGCGAAAAAGGCAGAGCGCAAGGTGTTTTGCGGGAAAAGACGGCCGACGTTGACCCCTAGGCCTCTCTGGGTGATGCTTTCAAGGCCAAGTGGCTTGATGCCTAATTCAATCTGGTTCACTGCAGTGTGACATCTCAATCGAGTAACCCGTGTGAGCAATTCATCAATCGCAGACTTGTGCTGTCGCTCAAGGTCTGGTCGCTCCAGGGCGCTGGATGGACCAGACAAAGCAATTGCTCCTGACAAAGGCTCAGCAGAAACTCTGAGAGACCGTGAAGCTGTCAGCTGCATGTCCAGGTGACAGTCGCTTGGCTCTGTTTTCGATAATTGAGCACGGAGTGATAGTGTATGACTAGCGAAAAGTAGGTTCTTCTTGAGGGTGTTGAAAGCGGTAGCGAGAAGGTGTGATGTGTGTAGTGCGATGACGCTCCGTAGAACTTGTTCAAGCGAGAGCACAGTCGAGTCGAAACTGATGTTATCGCTGTTGACCTTTTGGCCGTCTCTGACCCAGCGAATACCGAGATATGGAACTTGGTTCTTGTTTCCATTGGCACGGCCTCGAACGCCTCGTTGAACACCGATCTCTATCCAGCTTTTAGGACCGGCCCTGGACGACCAATACTGGACGACCAGTATCCGATGAAGCAGCTCAATACGCAAAGAATCTGACCAAACACCTCTTGCAAGGTCTATAGCCTGTCGATGCAGGGTACTTATTTTATTAGTGAGGACCAGGCCGTGGAGGAAATCAAAGCATCCCGATAAGCCATCGCTGTGAAGGATTCCGTTGACCTTGGCATCAAGCTCGTTGAAAATTCGGCCTTTCGGAATTTTAGAAGAAGGGGAGAAAAGGAATCGGATATCCACGAAGAAAAACTGTGAAGTATTCGTCTGCTCTGCGACGGCAAGATCAAGCTCGAATTCCCCAGGAACTGTAAATGTAACCCGTCCATCGTGGATTCGGTAATTGCGCAAGGCATGAGGTACTTCGTCGTATACTGCTAATCGCACGCTGATGATGCGATTGATTTTGCGCAATTTTTTGAGTGTGGATTTCGCTGTCAATGGTTTTGGGGGCTTGTAGCCGAACTGAAATGCAGCGTATTAGGAAGTGAAAAGGGACCTTCAAGGCGTCAATATAATGGAGAGCATAACTGAACTTACATCTGGTAGAGATTCAACCCGGCCCTTCGAGAGAACCTCGAGAGCAGTCTTCAGGTCTGGGTTGGCGACTTGCGCCCGGACCAGATCTCGCTTCATATCACCCATAGCCTGGACCGCTAAGGTATATGCGTGATGCCGTGTACGTATGAAGCCTTGAATATCAATCAGTCGGCTGACTTCCGCAGCCTGCCGGCTCCACTGAGAGAGAACCAGAAGCTTGATGAACTCGGCCCTTTTAGCATAGGCGAAATCAAGGATGCGTAACTTCTTGTGCACATTTTCCGAGGACTGATTGCCGGGGGTTTTCCCATTTGTCAATGCAGAGGACGGGTCATGGGGCACTTGAATTGCAGCCAACTCAGTGATTAACTCTGAAAGTTCGTTCCAACATAGCTGCACGGCTCGATTGATCAGGGTACCAAACGGGAAGAACCCTTCCGAAATATGAGGGATTTCAAATGGTGTTGAGTCAATATCTCCAGCATTACGGATAGGCATCTTTGATTGCTGGCTCAGAGCATCGAGTCCCCTTCCTGCGCCATTTACCAGGACCGGCCCGTTCATAGCAGCAGGATTTTGGCCGGACTTCTCATGGTTTCCATATGATCCAGATACGCCATTGACAGTCTCATTGGAAGCCGGCCTTCGTACAGATCCCTCAGTGTTGACATTGTCCATGATGACGCCGGGCATGTCTAAGGGAACCTCCTCGGCAGAGCGCGTTGATCAACCGGCGCCTTCCCTTCCTGGGCCTTCTGCGCGGCGCAGAACAAGCGATCTGGTAGAGTCGCTTGCCTGAGATCGAAACAGACGACGTCGGGGGGAGGAAGGGAAGCTGGGTCTGAATACTAGGTGAGAATGACGTTTCTCAACCCAGTGCCATGCGGTATCACTAGCCACCCCGCACAATGGCCCCGGGCATAATCAAGAGAACCGGGCGCGATCTAGGATCTGGTGCTGGAGTTCGGAAATGAGGAGAAATCTGAATCGGTGAATCGGGTGTGTGGAGAAAGGGCGCCTTCGAGTAAGGCCGTTCGGGGTTGCGCCTGTGATGGCGGTTGCGTGATGCGTCTAGGACCGACGGAAGAAAGTCTGCTAGGAGGCAAAGGTTGTCGCAAGTAAAATGGCTAGACGGACAAGCCCAGGGAGGGATCGAAGGGAAGTGAAAGGAGGGAGAGTGAGTGGGATGTCAGAGATGCAACGGTAGAGACCCCAAAGGTGATTGAATTGTGAAAGCGCGCTGCGCACGTCCCTTTCGAAGATTGATGGCCTTGTTGCCTGAGTATTGCTGCCTGAGTATTTTCATAGTAACTTTTGGGCTGTCATTACACTGTAATTACAAGCAGTCCCACATGACCTCACCGTTCCTCACAATGGGGGGATCTCCACTCAAGCTCCAGCTCTCTCCTCTTGAGCTTCATCCCTCCTTCTACCCAATATACCTCCACGATGGGTCCCGATGAAGAGATAGAGGGGCCACCTCCTCGCTTTCTAGGCGATGACCCCAGACCGACCAGCAAGAAGGAGCTCGCGGGCTGGTATTGCTACGGCTGGGCTGCCGAGGTGTTCACTGTCTGTGCAATGGGTACATCCCTCCTCCCTCCCTTATATGTGAGCTTCCTCATTCCTAACCAGCCTTATATAGGGTCGTTTCTCCCGATCACGCTGGAACAGCTAGCACGAGATCAGGGTGTTCTTCTATCAGATAAAACAACTCCGTGTAGCCTAACATGGAACCCGGCCAAACATCCACTCAAAGACACCGGGTACAGCGTGCAATCCCCAGCAACCGGCCAATGCGTTGTCTATATCCTGGGTGCTGAGGTCAACACTGCTAGTTTCGCCTTGTATACATTCTCTCTAAGTGTCTTGGTCCAGGCTATTCTGATTATTTCCATGTCTGGGGCCGCTGATCATGGAAGTTATCGCAAAAAGTTGCTTGTCCTTTTTGCCTTTGTCGGCTCAATAGCTACAATGCTGTTTCTTGCTGTGATTCCCCGGGTTTACCTTCTCGGCGGGTTTCTTGCCATCGTTGCGAATACATGCTTCGGTGCGTCCTTTACATTGTTGAATTCCTTTTTACCAGTCCTCGTGCGCTACCACCCAGCCATGCTGGAAAAGGACGGCGAACGTCAAGTACTTGGTTCGCAGAGCTTGGGATCAGCACAAGAAGAACTTTCTCCGACAATCGAAAATGGTAATCACGGTGATTATTTCGATTCATCAACGCCCCTATTACAACCCACTTCTGGAGATGGCAGAAAGGCAGAGGGAGTGACCTCTTTGGAACTTAATCTTTCCACCAGAATTTCCTCCAATGGCATTGGAATAGGCTATATTGGGGCAGTGATTCTACAAATGCTCCTTATCTTCGTCGTGGCGATGACCAACCAAACGACATTATCACTACGTCTTGTGATGTTTCTCATCGGCCTGTGGTGGTTTGTATTCACCATCCCAGCAATGACCTGGCTGCGTCCCCGACCCGGTCCCCCTCTTTTAGGAACTGATGGGAAACCCCTCGACTCTTGGTCAGCGTATATCGTGCATGCGTGGAAGTCTCTCGGGAAAACTGCAATGCGCGCACGCCGTCTCAAAGACATCCTCCTCTTCCTTGCGGCCTGGTTCCTGCTCAGCGACGGTATCGCCACTGTCAGCGGGACAGCCGTACTTTTTGCGAAAACGCAGCTGGACATGAAACCGGCTGCTCTGGGGCTGATCAATGTGATCGTCATGATCGCCGGTGTCTTTGGGGCCTTTTCCTGGAGATACGTATCGAACTTTCTTGGGTTACGCGCATCGCAGACTATCATTGCCTGCATCCTCCTCTTTGAACTCATCCCCATCTACGGGATCCTCGGGTTCGTTCCATCCGTGCAGCGACTCGGCATTGGTCTCCAGCAACCTTGGGAAATGTACCCGCTGGGGGCGGTCTATGGACTGGTCATGGGAGGTCTATCCTCCTATTGTCGGAGTTTCTTTGCCGAGCTCATTCCACCTGGATATGAGGCCGCATTCTATGCACTGTATGCAATTACCGACAAGGGATCTAGTATCTTTGGTCCTGCCATCGTGGGCATGATTGCCGATCGATATGGGGAGATTCGACCAGCCTTTGTGTTCCTGGCCGTTCTAATTATCCTACCATTGCCCCTGATGTTGCTTGTAGATGCTGACCGTGGTAAACGAGATGCGCTCGAGCTTGGAGCTGAACTAGACCGGATCTCAGAAACCACGGCCACGGGTTATGGGACTATGTCGGATAGAGTGGAAGATCCATTGCGAGCCGAAAGGTGTGGCTCGGACCATGTAGATCAATTTACCTTTCTTCATTTGGACCTCTCGGGCTCTTCTCCGCTGACATCTTTCTTCCTTATCTTTGTACGGTGTGTAAGTGTGGACAGATCGCTAGATTGAATTAATAATAATTATGTATGGGGTAGGTATTTATGTTAAGACACAGTGTTCAGTATGAATGGTTGTACGACATGGTGCCAAGCCGCCCCCCGGCCCCCGTATTCATATAATAGTGTCAAGCTAGTGCTCATCATGAACAATCCTGTTGGACGGTGTGTAACAGACTAGAGTCGTGCCAAAAGCAAATCCACCACTAGGGGAGCGACAAGATGCAATGTACCTGGTAGCTGATGTGAGGGTACAACGAAATACATGAAGTACATGTAAATACATAGCAGTTCTTAGTATGACTGGAGTACCAGGAACTGCTCAGGTTGTACCAGCGGGTACATCCCCTTGCGTAGGCGCCCTGCATAGCAACTGCTGAAGAGATCCACTCTCACGTAGCCTCAAATGAACAAACTGTCCTCAACTCCGGCCCCCATATCTTTCTTCCGATAAATACATACTTGCCCTCCTCTTTCTTTTCCCCAAGCTTGACTGTCTTGGTATGTTTTCATTCCCCCCCCCCAATGGTTTATTGCTTCCTTTCCTCTATTCCTAGTTCCCTGCTTTAATTACAATAATATCCCCCCCCCCGACTAACACGCTTCCCCTCTCATAGGTGATCTGAGATACGGCATTCATTTGTTTCCGATTCAATAATCATCATCATGCGCTCGTTCACTCCTCTTGTCCTGGGCCTTCTGGGCGCTACTGCTGCGGTCTCCGCTTCTGAGCCCGCGGCCGATGCTGCCTCCGACGTTCACACCTTGACCACCGAGACCTTCAAGGACTTCGTCAAGGAGCACGACCTTGTTCTGGCCGAGTTCTACGCCCCCTGGTGCGGTCACTGCAAGGCCCTGGCCCCCAAGTACGAGGAGGCTGCCACCGAGCTCAAGGACAAGAACATTGCCCTGGTCAAGGTGGACTGCACTGAGGAGGAGGAGCTCTGCCGCGACTACGAGGTGGATGGATACCCGACCCTGAAGGTCTTCCGCGGCGTTGAGGACCCCAAGCCTTACGGTGGTGCCCGTCAAACGGAATCGTAGGTCTTCCCTTTCCCCATTGACGATGTCGCGAAGATTTCTAACATTGTTTGTTTACTAGCATCGTTTCCTACATGACCAAGCAGTCCATGCCCGCCGTTACCGACGTCACTGAGGACAACCTCGAGGAATTCAAGACCCTGGACAAGATCGTCATCATCGGCTACGTCGGTTCGGACGACAAGACCACTGACAAGAGCTTCGCCGACTTCGCCGAGACCCAACGCGACAACTACCTCTTCGGTGTCTCCCACGACGCCGCTATCGCCAAGGCCGAGGGTGCCAAGCAGCCCTCCATCGTCCTCTACAAGGACTTCGACGAGAAGAAGGCCGTCTACGATGGCAAGGTCGACGAGGAGTCCCTTCTCAAGTGGGTGAAGACCGCCAGCACCCCCCTGGTCGGCGAGCTCGGCCCCGAGACCTACTCCAAGTACATGGCCGCCGGACTCCCTCTGGCCTACATCTTCGCCGAGACCCCTGAGGAGCGCGAGGAGTTCGCTGCCGCCTTCCGCCCCATCGCCGAGAAGCACCGCGGTGAGATCAACATCGTCACCCTGGACGCCAAGGCCTTCGGCGCCCACGCCAGCAACCTGAACCTCGAGCCCGAGACCTTCCCCGCCTTCGCGATCCAGGAGACCGCCAAGAACGCCAAGTACCCCTACGACCAGACCAAGAAGATTGACGCCAAGGAGATTGGCAAGTTCATCAAGAACGTCCTGGACGGCAAGGTCGAGCCTAGCATCAAGTCTGAGCCTATCCCCGAGACCCAAGAGGAGGCCGTGGTCACCGTTGTCGGCAAGAACTACCAGGAAGTCGTCCTGGACAACGAGAAGGACGTCCTGGTCGAGTTCTACGCCCCCTGGTGCGGACACTGCAAGGCCCTGGCTCCCAAGTACGAGGAGCTGGCCGCTCTCTACGCTGACGTCGCCGAGTTCAAGGACAAGGTCGTCGTTGCCAAGATCGACGCTACTGCCAACGACGTGCCGGACTCCATCACCGGATTCCCCACCATCAAGCTCTTCCCCGCCGGCAAGAAGGACGAGCCTGTTGAGTACAACGGCTCTCGCACCGTCGAGGACCTTGTTACCTTCATCAAGGAGAACGGCAAGTACGAGATTGACGGTCTCCAGGGTGGCGCTAAGAAGCCCCAGGAGGGCGGCGATGTTACTTCCTCGGTGGCCCAGGCTGCTGAGACTCCTGCTGCAGAGGAGGAGACTCACGATGAGCTGTAAGCTAGCTTGCTTCATGGAATTGAAATAGTTTTTTGCCGTTAGTGTTACTGTATCACTAAGTTGAATGTGAATCTTTGTTTGCGTGATGCTACTGAACGGGGCCAGATCTATTGGTCCAATCTCCCAACCGTAACCTATGTACCCACCCCGTAAATATCTTCCATAGGAGTAGTCGAATACCAGTGGGTTTTCAAGCTGTGGTTTTTAAGCTCCTGACTCTGCCTGTGGCTGCATTCTGACATGTTATCTGCATACATCTTGATCTATCAGACTGCCAGTGACTCGGGGTGGAAGTGTAGAGTCATGTCGGTGAGCAGGGTGAGCAACCGAATATTAGGAAAAACAAGGTTAAGAGGCATCGAGTGGTATATCTGATTGGCAAGCCCCAGGATGGTCGAATGGTATTGGCCTGGACCCGATGGGGGGGAAGAGTGTGGAGGCTTTGAACAGACGCAATGGGACCGGTGCGTGCCTGACATCTTTTTGCCATTTTTTCTGCAGGTAAAACGGTCAATTCCAGCACACAGCATATAGCATTCTCCTTTTTCTCTTTTTTTCCTTTTTTTTCTTTCTTTTTCTTTTTCTTTTTCCCTTTGATTTCTTGTTGTACATAGTGAATCGTGCCTTCCTTAGTTTAATACTGTCAGTGTATACTCTGGGGTAGAGTACCTTAAGGTACTCTCACCGCCTTATCTAACGCAGCTCCACAACGCGTCTGATCGCGCGGCGCGTCGATCAATGCGGCTCTCTACTTCAGCTGAACACTTGCCAATTCCCCCTGGACCATTTACTCCTTGAGGGATCTTCGTCTTCATCTTCTTCTTCGTCATCTTTTTTTTTGCATGTTGTGACGTGATTGATTAATATTCCACTGCCTCGGCACATCTCATCATCATGTTTAGCCCAGCCCTCAAGCGCAAAGCAGACAACTCCGCTTCGTCACCAGCAGACACCAAGAAACCAAAAGGTGGCAGTATTACCTCGTTCTTCGGTGTCCCCAAACCAAAGCCCGCAGGCACTGGATCAGCTGCAGCCGGTGCAAACGCCAGCTCTCCCCTCGACCTACATCATTCAACAAGGACAAATGGGTGGCATCTCTGAAACCCGAGCAGAAAGAGCTACTGCAATTGGAGATCGACACCTTGGACGAAAGCTGGCTCGCCCACCTAAAAGACGAGATCGTGACAGCAGAATTCCTAAACCTGAAGCGCTTCCTAAAGAAGGAAAAGGACTCGAAAGCCAAGATCTTCCCACCCGAAGAAGATGTTTACTCTTGGTATCCCTCCCACCCTTCAGCGAACCCGCCTCCTGCTCCAAACATCAACTAACCAACATCTTCACACCCACAGGTCCCGCCACACCCCACTACACAAAGTAAAAGTAGTAATCGTCGGCCAAGACCCGTACCACAATGACAACCAAGCCCACGGCCTCGCCTTCTCCGTCCGCCCACCAACCCGCGCCCCGCCCTCCCTGGCAAACATCTACAAAGAAATCAAAAAAGAATACCCGGAATTCGCCCTGCCCCCGTCAAACGGCGGCCTCCTAACCCCCCTGGGCCGAACGCGGCGTCCTAATGCTAAACACCTGCCTAACCGTCCGCGCCCACCAAGCAAACAGCCACTCGAACAAAGGCTGGGAGCGCTTCACCCAGCGCGCAATCGATCTGGTCGCGCGCGTGCGCACGAACGGCGTCGTCTTTCTCGCGTGGGGGAATCCGGCCGGTGTGCGCGTTGCGAAGATTAATCGGGAGAAGCATTGTGTGCTTTTGTCTAAGCATCCTAGTCCGTTGAGTGCGCATGGTGGATTTGTAAGTTTCCCGCTCACTCTTTTGTCTGGGGGCGTATGGCGATGCGAAGTGAAAGCTAATCCGCTTTCCTCTAGTTCGGCAATAACCATTTCATTAAGTGTAATGAGTGGCTTGCGGGGCGGTATGGTGAGGATGAGATTATTGATTGGGCTTTGGTTCCCGGGACTTCTACGAAGGCTCCCAAGGAGAAAGAGGCTCCCAGTTCTACGTCTGATAAGGAGAATTCGTCCAGTTTGGCAAATGCGGAGCTTGAGGGGGTGAACACGAAGGTGGCGGATGCTAATGCCAAGTGCTCTCTCGACACTCTTGATAAGGTGCCGGTGAAGGGTAAGGCGGATGCTGATGATGAGTTTGATGATGAGGATGCGTTGGAGGCTTTGGTTGAGGCGGAGAGAATGTCTTCTCCTGTTGGGAAGGCTTGAGGGAATTCATATTGATGGGGTTAAATACTAAGTACTGCGTGGACAAAGCGAGAGCAATGGGACAATTGCTTTCCTTGTCTTGTCTTGTTAGTTTTTTGGACCAGAAGAGGGTCGTCTCGAGTACAGTCTAGCTGGTCGGTAAGGCGTTCAATGGTGTTCGGATTTGAGAGCGGAATTGTGTTGATTTGTATGTCACTTCATGGATGGAGGGATGGGATGGGATGTTCCTGTTATTTTCTCGGGTATCTATCTCCCTAAATGTGGGAGAAATAAATTTATTTTCCGGGGTAGGCCTTTGTACCATTTCTGGGATTCATTCAAGTTCACGCTTTACTCTTAGATGCTTTACTAGTTTACTAGTAGGAGGTATACTGGTACTAGTAGTGCCTAGGTAGGCACTCAGGCTGGTGCCAGTGGCCGTGGGTATCTAGAGGTACTAGTACTACTGGTACCAGCCTAGGTAGCCTGAGGTCACGGTATAACTATCCATGGACCCAGAAATAAATCGAATATGGTACTACTGTATAACTATCCTACTAGTAGTGGTATGAGCCACATAACTACTAGTTAGCGGCTCATCTTCGTCGCGTAACCCTAAAGCGACATGCCCTACTTAAGGCCCGGGGGTACCTAGGCCACGGTATATCATGCTAGTATGGGTCGGTAACAAATAGAAAGAAAACCCCAGAGTCACCCGGACAAAGAAAATAATCAAAGTTCCTGTCGTACAAGCTTAGTTTGTTCTTATTACTATATTTAGTTCTTTGGTAGCTCAGTTATGTCAGGGTTTGATCCTACACATATATAATGTTTCTCCCGTCTTTTGTCAGTACTACTTGTAGTACTACTGGTAAAGTCGCTCCTTCCCAACCTGAACGGGAGATCGATTGTTGACATTTCCCCCACGTCCGTTGGGGAACTTCGCTCTCGCAACTCCTTGATACCGTGACCATTTTACACGCGCCGATCAATACCAGTGCTTCTTTAAAAGATGGCGCCGGCTTCCCTATTGCGGAATCTCGTCTTGAAGGCCATGGCCCATCTATGGTCCAAGTCGCTTTTTCTCCCACGGCCTCCCGCGAGGAGCTGCTGAAGACATATTAGGTATGAACGGGTGTTCTATTAACTATCCCTCGGTATGATATACATGACCTTGGACCCTTTCTAATCTAGCGGCTTTGTATTCTAATCGAACAAACATAGGTATACGGCCATCTGACACCTACGCAGAGACTACCGGTAAAAACACAACTAGAAATGGGGAGCGCAGGGAACATTCATCGACGAAGTTCCAAGTCTCGCTTATAAAAGCAGACTCCAATGGTTGCGGTCTCATGTTTCGGCGTACGGCGATGGAGAATTGCTCTATCTCAATTTCTATTGGATGCAGGGGTCGGTCAATCCAACTTCCGATATATATATGATCTAGGGACCGGGGCAAAGCTGCAAAAATACCAGTTAGCACGCGCCAAAGTGGTATCTTGCACGGCAAGCACCGCCGACATTCGCTAAATTCGCAACAATCTCACCACACTCTCTGTCTCATATATTGCCTACACATGGTGCAACTTGAAGGATGACAGTGACGGCGATGGATCTCATTCCGATGGTAGCGAGAGCCATGAAAAACCACGTGGGGGGAAACGGCAACTCCTGAAGGTCGGGATGCGAGAAGAAGCTGGTGCCAGTCGAGGTGGTTACCGATTTTGCTTTGTCTCTTCTAAAAAGGTTCCCTCCACCTGGGCAGTTTTGCAAGGTTCTCTTCCTTTTCCCAGCCATGTTGATTTGATCTATGATCTATGATCTATGATCTACGAGTTCTCCTCGCCTGAGGCCAGAGGATTCCGGAATCCACCATCAGGACAGACTACATTTGTGACGATTGAGGGACGTGCTGGTGCTGGGGCCTATTACTAAATACTCGATATTTATTTATCAACCTACACTATCCCACCAAATCCTGGCGATCGGATCGTGCTAAAGTTCGCGTACCCCAACCAATATCAATTAGTGTAAGATTCCTCTAATTCGAAAACCACTATCCCACCAACCAAAGCATTTCGCCAAATGCCTATTACTTCTTTCGCGGGGGAATAGGCTGATCTGGGATGAATGCTTCTGTTTTCTGCTGCAAAAACCACCTATCCGTCGGCAGTACAAAACCGGCTACGAGGATACATCCCAGAGCTAGAATATTATGAGATTAACAATGAGCTGTCTCTGATCCGTCTTGAGGGCCTATAGTTACTAAAACCAGTCAACCTGCTTCTGGAATATTATGTCGAGTGGGTGATTACTTACCTAGGTATACTTCTTGGGCACCGCAAGGTATATCTCTTGTTCAGTTGTCGGAGTATGTACCCTATCACGGCTTAAGATCAGATATTACATGAGTGCTTCGAGGTCTGGAGAAAAGAGATATCCCATTGGTGCTATTCCAAAAATTACGGACAATTCTGCTGCCTGAGTACATATTCAGAACTATGTCTACACTAGAGAGCTTGAAGAAGATGATTGATAAAGCCGAGTATATTAAGACAGGACAAACCACTTTGCTTGGGAAAAATGTTGCCATGATTTCACGGAATTGTTCAAAATACACGGCATTTGAACTGGGCCAAGTCCGACCCAAGGATGGCAGTGAATTGAAGAAGCTTGGCAACATCGTCAACAAGTTGAAGTTCGGTTATGATGAAGTCTATCCGGTGCCTACTCCCTTCCTTCCGAAGGATGTACTCCTCCTGAACGCTGGTACAGTCTCTTCTGAAGACGTCCATCGTTATCAAGAGGTCGGTTTTCTCATTTGGGCAATGTACAACACTCGCGTTGACTTTACCTTCTCTGTCACCAGGGTCTATTGCTGGCTTAGACTCAGTCTAGCCCGGGGTAGGGTAGGGTTTGGCCCGTAGCCTCTCTTCTACACCTCCCCTCTTGTTCCCCTGCCAAATTGTCATAGAGAACTGGCTTTGCGTTTCTACTTTGTATTTTCTCTGTGAATGAAATTATTTCGGCGATTTGTCGCTTCCTTTTCCAAACTTGATTTCTGACAGGCTTCCTGCAAGTAATTCTAGCGCCGGTGGCTTAAGATTAATACAATCGCGGAGACAATTGAAGGGGCTGAGGTAATACACCCAATATCCTATACATGCGATAATTACTCGGGGCTTCCAAGGTCCTTCTATGTAATGAATCTCATAAGGAAAAATCAGTTTCAATATAAAGTAGTCTATGTCTGTCTATCGTAGGGCAAGAAAAAGACCGGTTTGTACACTCTGCGTCAGAGTGATTGGGTATCTTTGAACGAGAACCGGTAATGAGAAAAGAGAAAGAAAAGAAAAGAAAGTCGCTGGATGCAATGTGAGTTTTCTGAAATCGCCCGCTTGACCAAGGCTTGACTTGCAAGTTTGTCGGGGATTGTGTTGACGCCCGGCCGATTGGGTACTTCTGTTCGAATCGGGTATCCCGGTGCCATTGTATAGGCCGAAGTAAAGTGAAGTGAAGGAACGCCATGAAAACATTTCCTTCAATGACATTCAACGGCGCGAGACTGAAGCTGAGGCTGATACTCCGCCGCAAGAGACGGAATAGACGCAGGCGTTGGAGGCGGCACGGCCGGCAATGCGGTAATTATAGATCCAGAATCCCCGTCCAAGCCAGGGACCTCTTCTTCTGCACCAGGCGTTCCAGTTGGAGCTTGGATACCATTGATACCATTGATCTCCTCATCCAGCGCCATCTGCACAGACAACACGTGAATCCGAGGCGACGCGTCCGGCCGCCTCTTGAACGAGTACGTATTCAGGAATTCCGGCTCCTGCACCCAGGACATTTGTCTCTCCAGGTCTTCGGCCGAGAGGGCTGCGGCGCCCTTGCCGGAGCGCAGATTCTCGCTCGATTTGGCGCGGAAGATGGAGCTGGGCCATTCTTTTGTTCGGGAGAGTGTGTTGCCGCAGCAGTTTGCTTTGTGGGTGATGTTGTCCCAGGCCTCGACGACGCGGTCTGTCTTGAGGAATTGGGATATTTGGTCTTTCATTGTTTCGGCGCCTGTTGCTGTTGCTGTTCCATCTGGGCGTTGCAAGGAGGTCGGTGGTCGGGATCGGGTGGGTGGTTTGTTGTCGGTTGGGGCTATTCCTTGCTGTGTTCGTGGGCGTCCGTTGGCCCAGAGAGCTTTTAATTGTTCGATTGAAGCGCTGCGGGATTTGAGTGTGCGGGCTGGGGCAGTAGATGGTCTTTGTGGTGGGGGCTCTGAGACGACCTTTTCACTGGCGGAACGTTTGGGTAGGAATGGTTTGGATAGCTTTCTGCTTAGTCTGCCGGGCATGGGCATAGGAGGTGGAGTATCCTCTGTTTTGATATCAGCGTTGGCTGCTGCGACTAGTGCACTGCACGATCTGGCTCGGCTGAGGGATTTTGGCAGGATTGAACCTCTCTTCGAGGTTGGCCTTGTCTGTTCAGCGTTATCGCTGGCCTTTTCTGCGGCTGGTGTTACGGCTCGTTGAGATGATGTTGACTTTGGCTTCAGAAGTGGGTCGCGTGGTAGTGGTTTGTTTGATGCGATGCCTGGAGTGGCCGGGCTTTTTGCAAAGAGCATCTGCCTGACAGATTTATTTCGGGCAAGGCCGCCGTGGGAAGACTTTATGAATGAACGCTGCTTTGGTTAGAATAGAACTATGAGGATAGAAATCTGAGAGAACAGAGTTAGACTTACCAGGTCTTTCCGACTTGCAACTCCGACTCGTCGTTGCATCTCAGTGACAGCAAAGGCAAGTTGACCAAGTCCCTTCTGAAGCGCCGCACCACGCCGACGTAATTTGGACATAGCAATGATCCACCCCTCCATATTCTCCATCATCGCTTTATAAAAAGCCTTAAGACTCTCCGACTGAAAACAGCCCTCGTCCGAAAGTTGAAGAAGATAATGCCAAAGCGCGCCCATCGCCTCCTTTCCTTTCAGAAGATCCTTAATGGCGTCCGTGATGGCAAGCGTAAATCGATCAATAGAGTGCTCGATCTGATCATTGTAGGCCACTAGTGCCAATCTGAAATTCCGATCGGATAACATCTCATCAAACATGTCCAGATTACCGAGGGGCAGGCTGAGATACTGGATTCGAGTGCGAACGTCTAGGTGGATGATAAGGAAGTCTTCTGTACTTCGCTGTAAGAAGCCGTCTAGTTCGTCGACGTGAGTTTGAAGAATTTTCATCACTTCTTGATCTGATTTTGCCATTCCTTTTGCTAGGAGATGGACGCCGAAGACCATTTGGGAGACCAGCTTCCAGAATGGGTGGTACCTATGGTTACAAGGGTTAATGTCAATCTCAACTCAACTCAACCCGAGTATATTGTAGGATCAGTATGAGAGAAATATCAAAACTCAACACTTACTTCTCAGATTCCCTTTGTCGCCATTTTCGACCGCAGAGCCTCTCGTATTCGTCATTTTCTAATAAATCCCGACGACGTGTCTGCGCGTCGATCTTCACTACCCACTCGTTCGCTGACTTGTGGGTAGCTTCGAGAATTGATTCTTGGAACGGTCCCTGGAGCTGAGTGATCGGATGGCTTGGATACGGACTGGATTCCAGCTCCATGTTGATTGGATAATTTGACTCTGGCTGTTCTGTGTCGGTAAGAATGATAGCAGGTGGCGCCACCTTCTCCATTACTTGGGTTTGAGTCGCCATTAGATCGGTGTTCTGCGGGTTGGCAATCACTCAATGCCTCTATAAGTTGGTTTGTTGTATGTCGAGTTGCGCGACGAAGTATAGAATGACGCTGGCAGTCAATCAAACGTTGCTGCTAGGATCCACTTCTCTCAGTAAACGGTAAACCTTCAAGGTCGAATTGAGATTGAAATTAAATCAATGTTGGTGTAGCACATTCCAATTAAAGTTGATGCCAGCATCCATTGGGGGTGGTCGGGTATAAAATCAAATCACGATCGGGACCAGGAGGACTCCGTAGGCAAACTGTGGGTCATCAAAGGTGGTTGTGCACTGATTAACTGCCCAAGTGAGACTGGGATGGCTGGAGTATGAATCAACATGCAAGGCCACCTCAACAACCACAATTCAGGCGGAGGCGGGGATATTTCACTGGGAAAGCGAGGGCGACAGAGATAAGAGACATCCAGCAGAGGAGGGGGGAAAGAAGAGAGGAAGAAGCCCTCGTGGGGATCAAAGAGATTGAAGTTGAAAGAAAATGATGTGGTGGCGGGGGGGTTGAGGCGTCGTCGTGTTTCAAAAGGAACGAAACCACCAGAGAAATGGGGAAATTAACCCACGGTTCTTGTGGGTTCTTTGAGAGATTGTTGTTAAAAGATTTAAGAGTGTAGGTAGGCAGATAAACTAATTTGTCGAGTAAAATGACCTGAATATTCTTAATTCCTCCTAATTTTATTTTTCTCATTTCTGCGTGTGTAATGGTGCCCCTCCCCTTCCTTCGGCTCCACCAAAGGGGAACTTGACACCGTTCGTTCCATGGCCCACGACTCTTTTGACAAATGACAGATGGCTCTAACGAGCAAAGATGGGAAGCAGGAACTGACGATCGGAACTCGAATGCGCTGACAATAGAACAAGTGGGAACCACCCACGAGTCCGAGGCTGAACAACCGCCTTTTCCGGTTTATTGGCGGCCGATCGCCATTTGAGTATCCACCCACCAACAGGGCGAGAGTTGTCGTGTGTGGTGGAAACGAATTCATGAGAAAGAGACCAGGTTCTAGCCACTGGAGAAACAATGACGATCGACACTTTACCGAACCCGACCACTCTGGAAGCTTACCCCAATTGTCCAGTCATCCCGGCGCTAGCCTGCCCCCCCCCTTCACCCCCGGTGATGGCTGTGGCTAGCTTAGGTACCGTGCTGCTGGTCTTCCTCGGCGAAGACGGGGTCCCAGAAGTTCGTCGGGAGTGAGAGATCCAGGAACTCACCAAAGAGCATGTCAATGTCTGCAAACCCATGCGTCGGGGCTTCAGTATCAAGGTCTTGCATCGATGGGAGCGCACTAGCACTCGCACTCTCTAGCGGTGTTTTCAGCGACCCTGGGCCCTCGCACTCAGGGGCCGCAGTTGGCATTCCCGATACCATATCGATCGTCCCTGGGGCTAAGGCCAACGCAGTTGCATTCGTGTTCGTGGGGAGTGCGAGTCCGGGCGGCTCTAGCTCTGGCTCCTGCGCGGGGGCGGCACGGACTGTAGACAAGCGCGGCAACGGTGCTTCTGCAGGCTGAGGTCGGCGGTGCTCAGGGTTCAAGTCCATCTGGTGCAAGGCTTTTCGCCCCAGTCGCGCCATGGCCTCTGCAGAATACCATTGTGGGCTAATCTTTTCAAGTAGAGAGCAGCAGGACTCGAGACTAGCCTTTGCTCGATTAAAGTGGGTAATCAGTTTGCTTGAGCGAAGCTGTCGATATGAAACTCCCATAGAGAGGGAAATGGCGTATGGCACGATCGGATGAGGCGGAAGTTGATTGTCGCATTCCACGGCGACGATGGAATAGATTCGCACGGCTGCTAGGCCTTGTCGGATTGATGATATTCGGGTTCCATCGAGGCTTTCTGTCAATTTGTAGCGGCAGGATAGGATGGCGACGCAGTGATAGTATAGTTCTAATAAGCCTATTTACTTGTTAGTATATTCTCAATCGGGGGTATTTTTTTTAATATAAAAAAACAACGCGTAATAACATACCGAGAGTAGCAAAGTCTACTTCTCCATTCGTATGCTCCTCCACAATATCCTCAAACGCAGGGAATCCTTCTTCCCACCCGCTCGTAACCCCAGCAGAGGGGCGGTAAAATGATATAACCGTTGCGAGCAATTCTGAAACAGCCAGCCAGACCGCAAAAGCGCCTCGCGTCCCTGCAACTCGTGAATCAGGTTTCGTAACCCCGATATCGCGGTCGGCTAGGAGAACTGGACGACCACCGATACTCGCATGCATCTTATCCAGCGTCCACAGACACCAGAATAGTCTTGGGAGGGGGTCTGCAGATGTTCGGCCCGGCCGGTCAAGATGCAAACCTACCGTTTGAGCCTGGTGGATTGCCTGGCATAGGTGCAGAGATGCGGCTTCGGCTCCTTCGTGTCCTTCGCAGTGTAAAGACATCAAGGCCCATACGCGAATCCGCGTCAGGCGGTCCGGCTCCAGTTCTGCTTCCATTGCTGTGACGAGGCCTTTGTAGAGCTCTGAGCAGAATTGGCGGGTGGATAAAACTGGGCCATTTTCCATTAGGCGGAGGTCGGGGCTGGCTGAGGGGGGATTTGGCTGCGACGAGACAGATGGCTCGATCTAGGAATGTAGATGCGGAGCCGTTTGCTTGAGTCTCCTTCAGTTCTTCGAGATCTAGCACGGGGATGAGAAGGTGGATCTTCTCGATGAATATCGTAGTCAGATTCTCTCGCGTCGTTTTGGGAAGCTCGTGGCAAGCTTGCATTGCAGATACATATCTTTGGTGCAAGATAGAGCTGATCGTTTGGCTCTCGAGAGCTCCTGTTGGTGGTTCAGGCAAGGCCGGGAGAGAGTTTGTGCCTGTATCAGTGGGTTGGCTTTTATCAGGCTCAATCTCATTTTGCGTCGTGGAAGAATTGATCCATAAACCAACCCGATCCCGGAGAGGGCTGTCAGTGGGCGCGTCGAATCTTTCTCGAATGACAGCCTCAGGGTTTAGATCACCCACAAACCGTTCGGTACTGTGGAAGGAGTGGGACGGCAATACTGGATCTGCAGAAGCTGTTCTCCTTCGAGGACGTCGCTCGAAATCATCGCCATCGCCAACGGCATTCGATGCCTGCGCTTTGATTTTGCGCGGCGGTTGACCCGCTTCTTCCGTGGGTTCTATGCCGAGAGTAAGATGTCGACACCGTTTCTAAGAAGGATATCAGTATTCAAGTTATCTCATCCATATCATACATAGGGTCTATGCCACAGTTCTTTACCTTCCGTCGCTGGCATGCGGGACAGGCTCGCGGAGCGCGTGTCCTACTTCGCGACTGGGGAGTATTAGCCAGCCAGGTGAGCTCCATCGATCTCACATCGCACTGTGGGCTGGAGAGTGAATAAATGGAGTGAAACAATTGATTTATCGCAAAAAGAGGTTGATCTTTGATCTGCGACACTACTGTTCCACAGCAGGAGCTCTAGAGGTAAGTTCAAGTTATCGATAACTTTGCGGGGCCAACCAGAGGAGGCTAAATTCCAATCGTTCCCCGGGGCCCCCGGCCTGTGGAGCTCCTATTTACTACGAGGCTTTATCTTTAACACCTTTGAGCAGCTGGGAATCTAGGAATAGTAACTACCTAGGTAGGTATATACCTAGGTAAGGAGGAAATATCAGCCCTGCCAGTGGAGTGTGTGTATTATTTGCATACTCAGTACTAAGTACCTAGGTACAACCTACAATATATTCCAAGATCGTTCAAGTTCTACCAAAACCCCCGGATGCCAGATTCCCTGTAGCTCTCAGACTCATAGGCAGGGTAGGGGCCTAGGGTAGAAGCCTCCAGGATGGTTATCATGAAATAGGACTATGTGCATTGAACACGCGATACTAAGTCTGAAAAAGGGAAAAAGAGATATTAGTAGAAAGACAGGAAAGCAACTGAGAGATACTAGAGGCCTACACTAGCCTGATTGGGCAACGACAACGACGACAACAGCAGCACCTCTGATCGATCGTTACAATTATTGCTGCTACTACTAGTAGTAGTACATATCTCCATTTTCTTTTGAAGTAACCATGGCATTATTCATACACGTACAGAAAAAAGGAGAGAAGAAAAAAGAAAAGAATTCTAGCATTCATTTTTCAGACCCTTGTAGCTGAGCCGAATCAAATCAAAATCAAGTCGAAAATAACTGAATCCGCACACTCAAGCTCGAGCTTAAGCCCCGGCAAAAGCGCCTAAGCATTCAAACGCCCAATGGAAGTCAAAACAACATGGACCAGCACCAACCACTACACTTCATAACACATGAGCCCATTGAAGAACACAAAGCTGGGAAAGAAGGCAACAAAAAAGAAAAGAAAAAAAGAAACAACCCTAAGCAACATACAAAGAATTATTTGCACCGCTTCTCCACAATATTCGCACCATGCTCCTCATATTCCTTCTTCGAAATCCACATCTGGTGGAAAGTGCCCAGACTAGCGAGGATACTGCCGCCGATCCACGACCCGAAGCGACGCTCGGAGGTATTGCCCGGCGCAGAGACACGGACACGAGGGCCAGGGAATAAAGACATGAGCTCCTGGTTCAGTCGCTCCGTGAATCCATACACCAGACTCGAAGCACCGGTGACGACAACATTAGACAACAAATGAGGGCGAATGTCTACATCAACGCCGGCCAGCGATGCCTTAATAACCTCCGGCAATGTCTGCGCCTGTGTCGGCGCGGGAACGGGCGAGTCGGGGTCCGGAATCGCGGCCTTGACGTCGAATAAGGACTCAACGACGCGGAAACGGTCCACGCCAAAGACTTGGTTATATCCGTCTGGAAATTCAAAGGGGCGGCCTGGCGAGCTGCGGGCGAGCTCTTCGTTCGAGATTCCTGTCGGGCCGGGGCCGGAGAGCTTGTTGGGTCCGGGCCAGGCTTGCACGACGCACTCTTTGAATTCTGATAGTGTGCGTTCTTCTTGCAGAGCGCGGTAGGAAGCGTCGGGGGCGCGGTCTGCGGGGAAAGTTCGGTAAGTTGCTTGGGGTGGCTGGCCTGCTTCGACGGCGGTCTTGGAGCTGATCAGGTAGTGGGGGGTGATGGTGATGGGTTGGGGTGAGTTCTTTTTGAACAGGGCGCGGATTTGGGATGAGATGTAGTCGCCGCCCAGTGGAGAGTGCTGCACGCCTCTCTTAAGGATCATGCCATCGTGGACTGGGGTGATGGAGATGTTGGAGGCACCGATATCAATGACGAGTGCGGAGGCCTTGCCGGAAGCGAAACTATTGTCGCGTTAGCAGACTGGATGGATGGGGAGAGCTCATCCAAGCTCAGACTTTCACAATTGGAAGCCTGTAAGTGAAAAAAGCGGGGGGAGAACGTACGCAGCAAGCACACCGTTCCGCGCAAGGTAGAACGCAGGAGTCCCCCATTTCTCCATAGCAATCTCGATAGTCTTCTCGCGCGCCTTGGCAGGGTTCCAACCAGGCTCACTCATCAACAGCGGATTATCAGCCAAAGGCTTCTCATCCGTCTCAACCTCCATCTCGGCTGGAAACTCTTCACTAGGGATATCATTTAATCCATTATGAAAGGGGTTTCCCGGCTTCGTGGCAGTGAGTCGCGAGGCAAAGGAGGACTCCCAAACTTTCTCTGCCATGTCCCAATCCTCGACGATACCGTCCTTGCCGATCGGGTTGTGCACGGAAATCCCCGCGCGTGGCTGGACAAACATGCTGTCGCCGAAGAGTAGCCTCTCTTGCCCCTCATGGCTGTACTTGCCATAGTATGTTGGGATGACGGACTTGGGGGGCGTCTTCACCGGCGAAGCCAGCGCGAGTGGTTGAATAACCTGGATCGAGAACGATGGCGGAGACTTCGTCTAAATTGCATCCGGGGAACACGTTAGCTCAAGCTCATGCAATGTAGTTCGCGTTTTTCTTTTGCTAAAAGTCACAATGGACGACTTTTTGAGGGGGTGTGTCGCATCGCGCAAAGCAACGTACCTCCGCCGTATTCAGCAGCCTGGGGCGGATTGGAAGGATTCATGGCGAAGGCGCGAGTATATGTATGCAATTGAAAAGAGAGAGCAAAGAAATAGATCGATCGGATACGTCAACGTCAGGGCAAGCCGGAAGCTTGCGCGGAGGACAAGGGAGTGGTTCAAGGGAGAGCGGTTCTTTTCGGTGCGGGAGGAGCTTTGGCGGTTGGTTGGCGGAGAGAGAAAGAGAGAAGCTTGGCAGATGACCTCACCCTCTGCACCTCTTTTCTTTCTTTCTACCTGCTCTCCTCAATCCTCTCACCACATCAATTCATACAAACAAGATGGAGGACGTCGATATTGCGCCAGAATCTCTCTTTCGCCCTGCGAAGCGACGCAAGTTCATCCGACGCCGACAAGATGAAGACGAAGAGACAGAGACCAGTCGCGACACAACAACCACCACTAGTACAACAGACCAGAGACATATAGCAGATGGCCAGTCCAAGCTAGAAGACGACGAGGAATCCACACAATCTACTGGCGTCGTCCGTTTGCGACGCCCCAATCCTGCTCGAAAAGGAGGAATTGGATTCTCCGCCACATCGCGACCCGGCCAAAATGCAAACCGACAATCTTCTGCCCTGGTGCCAGGGAGGGACTCCGAAAAAGAGAGCATACGCGACATGACGGAGCGATTTACGGGCAATGCTGGCCAGACGGTGGACGTAGATAGGCACATGTACGACCCTTTCCCCTTGCAAGAGCTTGCAACAACACCGTCATGAAGCCTAGCGAGTAAACTAACAAGATAAGGATGGCCTATATAGATTCCGAAATGGCTAAACGATACCGACACAGCCCGTTACCAGAGAACGAGGAACAACAAAATCAATCAGTCTCGCAGCACTCCGAGAAACCGACAGGAGCAGGAGCAGGAGCAGGACAACCGGAGCGCGAACCCGCTTCACTGGGCAGATTACACGAAATCGACCTCGGCCAAGAGGCCAAGCTGCGCAACATTGAGCGCACCGAAGCAGCAACACGAGGCTTCGCCTCCGGTGAATCACAACCAGATCGCGATCGACCCGGTCCAGCAGAAGACTCCAAGTCCCGACGAAATCGCAAAGGACGGACCAGCGCCGATATCGAACGAGACCGGCTCGTGGAGGAGGTGTTACGTGAGAGCAAGCGTAAGTGCAATCCAGTCTTTCTTTCTTTCTTTCCATATGGGAAGCCTCGCTTGATTCTAGATCCTATTCTGACCCGGTTTTTTACTCCACAGTGGACGTCTACGACGAGCCCGAAGAGGAACTAAATCTCGACGACCAAGCCGCCGACGACCGGATCGCAGAGCAATTCCGGCGCGACTTTATGGATGCGATCCAGTCGAGGCGCCGGGCTCGCACGAATACAAAGCCAGCGACTACCAGTGGTGGCACTGGTAGTAAGGTGGAACCGCCCAAGGGACCAAAGCTTGGGGGTAGTCGGAGTGCGAGAGCTGCGATGCGCGAGATGCAGAGTAAAAAGTGAAGAAAATAAACTCAGATAGAGTGTCGCACACATATAATTCAAACTCGACGTTACAATCATGTACTACGAAACTTGAATCTTTGCGGGGATGATTCGCAGACCAGACGTATCAGATATGCCAGTGTGCGGTGTAGTATACCTAGGTACAGAAGCCTGGAGAAGGAACATGTCACACGCAAAATTATCACAGATCCTGCCAGCGGGCAACAGCTGCCCAGGTGGGTGAGACTGCATGAATGTGACTGCCACGACGTGCTACTCGTAAGAATGAACTTGAAGGATTATCCAATGGATTACGCATGATACTGTCCAGGTGCCACTGCATTCAATACACCTGAACCCTCGGGCCAATTTATACAAATTTCCATTCGCAACGGCTGGTAAGGCACGCAGGACGGGGTACTACTATAGACGACTGCCAAAAATATCGAAAGTTATATTTAAATCCTCAAAACGTCATTTATTAGTTTTCATGGTTTGGAGACCTCAAGCTTTAAGCACAGCTAATCAACCCGTGTGGTGAAATTAGAAGGGTCAACTTTAATATCGGCGGTAGGATCCAGGAACGAAGAAATGTCAGATTGCCCTACTATACTTATTCGGGAGATGAGGCCCACTGCGGTTTGGTTGCCCAGATACAAAAAAAGAATGTACTGAACGAAGTATACGATGGGATGACGATCTGCAGTTCAGTTGCAGTGTGTGATCTCACATGGCACGCCTACGCCACATACCAAGCCTGGGGCTGGAGTGTTTTCTGACAAGCGCAGGAAGGGTCTACATGCAGGCTCAGCCTTGCGGGATACCCGGAGCGCAGACTCTGTGAGACAGGGTAATTATAGACCAGTCGCAGCGGGGGGGTATTTGACTCGGTGTTGGCGCTTGGCCGTGTCTCAGGTTGATGACGCTGGGACCACTCATAAGCAGCTGAGGGTGGATTGTTGTCACAATCTCGATCATCGGGTTAGGGCAGGGCAGGGCAGGACCGCACACGACTCATTTCTCCAGTGGTCACATTCGTGGTGGGAATGGGAAGCAGAGTTTTGACTTCATGAGGTGTACATACTCCGTAATGGACGAGCGAATGTTCTCGCCAGGACCCATTTGGGCCAAGACTCTGGACTCGAATCGAGATCTGCTGGACAGGGAAAGATCCACCAGAGCGTCTAGAACAGAGACGTCCAGCGATCGACGCGTCCCTGTGTCCAGTGTGGCGAACCCTGACCTGGCACTTTCACAGTGAGGAATGTTGCGTAAGACCCGCAGTGACATCCGCGGTTGTCCAGGTTTCAGAAGGTTGAAGAGTGTACCTTGCATTTGTGGTAGGCCCCAGCTGGACGGGATAAACTATTCCTGGTGCATGGAAAAGGCATCATGGGTATTGGTTGTGGCTTGAGCGTGGCGTTGGACTTGGGCCCCTCCCCGACTAGTCAGGACTAGTTCAAGTCTTGGTTTTGGGGAGTGGGAAATCCTGCGTAGCGCCATAGAAGTTATGAAGGGCTAGTGTCTGGTAGTCTCTGGTACCATGGGCGTTGGACGGCCCGCTGGAAGTTGAGCTCCACTGTCAACATGGGGGAGGTGGGAGAATCTGACTACATTCACAGTACCTGTGAATGCGTATCCACGATAAAAATAACATGCCAATAAAATTGGGTAGACCTAGACCAGTAGTGGTAGAGGGGGAATGAATTGGAAGGTAAAAGGAAGAGGAACAGGAAGAGGAAAGGGAGGAGTCTAGACTTCTGAAACGCGGCAGGGCCAATCAATCCTTCCCTTCAGGGGCAATCACACACCACCCACTACTCCGTTCTCCGTACACCTACCACCCTCACACCCACCTCCGGTCGAGACTTTCCCTTTGGCCTCCTCCCTTACTCTCTCTGACTCTCTTTCTCTACTTCCTCCAATTCGACACCTTCGTTTTTCATCTGACCTAGCGACCTCGCTACTCGACTATACTCGTCCTTCGTTCCTCGTCCTCACCTCCTATTCCCTTCTTCAGCTTGCAGGTTGATCCTGCCGCTTTCCACGCGACTATCTTTTCGCTCACTTGCCTATGTGCTTGTAATCTTCTCGCCTTTGTCCTCTCCCTGATGAATTTTTGCCCAATCGTCATTCCCCGATACTAGCGATTAAATATATCTCCTATCTGGTACCTCGACACCAGACCATATTCGATATGCGGTCCTTCGTCTGGGCCCTGCTGGGCCTGGGTGTTGTGCCTGCTCTGGCCACTGACACCCTGAGCACCAGTGGTTTCAACCTGTGCATGACAGACTCCGCTATCAAAGTCCAAAAGCTTGATGTCACCTACACTCGCTCATCTAACGAGGTTGTCTTCGACGTGGCTGGTACCAACTCGAAGGAACAAAACGTTACTGCGACCCTGACCGTGACTGCGTACGGCAATGAACTTTACTCCAAGACGTTCAATCCTTGTGGTGATGAAATCCACGTTGAGCGTTTGTGTCCTGGTGAGTGCCATTCCCTACCATTCCCTCCCAATACCCCTCTCGAATGTGGAAACTGACTGGATGTTCGTGAATAGTCCCCTCTGGCGCCTTCTCTGCCAAGGGAAGCTATAGCATCCCCTCCAATTACGCCAGTCAAATCCCCTCGATTGCCTTCAACATACCCGACCTGGATGGCCAGGCAAAGATGGTCCTGAAGGGTGACAACGGTAATAACGTCGCCTGCGTTCAATCGGAATTGTCCAATGGAAAGTCGACCGATGTGAAGGGTGTCGCCTGGGCCTCCGCCGGTATTGCGGCGGGCGCCCTGGCTCTCAGTGGATTATCTGCCCTCGGTGCCGCAGGTCACCCGGGAGCTCCCTCCTCGAGCCCAGGTTTCGGCGACGTGATGGGCTGGTTCCACTCGATGGCCACCAATGGCATGTTGAGTGTTAGCTATCCTAAAGTCTATTCCAGCTTCTCCAAGAACTTTGCTTGGAGCACCGGTCTCATTTCATGGAACAGCATGCAGAATTCGATCGATAGCTTCCGCGAAGCCACTGGTGGAAACTTGACCAATAACAGCTACAGCTACCTTTACGACCTGTCTTCTAGCTCCTCGAGCACAAATTCGTCAACAACAAGCAAGCGTGACCTAGACATGGTCCTCCGTCTCGGTGGTGAGATGATGGCCCGTTCCGTTGAAACTTCTTCGTCCAACTCGACCAACAGCACGAGCAGCAGCGACAGCCTTTCGGACATTGATTTAACAACTACCTCGGGTCTCAAGAAACTTGGCGAGGACCTTATGGTGCCATCCGCCAATATCTTTATGACTGTTCTCTTGATCTTCGCCATTGTTATCGCCGTCGTTATCGTTGGTATCCTGTTGGTGAAGGTTATTCTGGAAGCCTGGGCCCTCTGGGGAAACTTCCCTAAGAAGCTGGCGACCTTCCGCAAAGATTACTGGGGTCTGATGGCACGTACCATCACCAATATGATCCTTGTTCTGTACAGCATCTGGGTACTCTACTGCGTCTATCAACTGAAGAATGGTGACTCGTGGGGCGCCAAGCTTTTGGCTGCGGTCACTCTGAGTCTCTTCACGGCCGTCTTGATCTTCTTTGCCTGGCGTATCATTTACATGGCTCGCAAGTACAAGAAGGCTGAAGGTGATGCGACTGCCCTATACGACAACAAGGACACCTGGCGCAAGTACAGTCTCTTCTACGATAACTACAAGAAGGACTTTTGGTGGTTGTTTATCCCAATCATCGTCTACTCGTTGGCCAAGGGATGTATCATTGCCGGAGCCCAGGGTCACGGTATGGCCCAAAGTGCCGGTCAGCTGGTTGTCGAGGCTCTGCTCTTGATTCTTCTGCTGTGGAATCGCCCCTACGCCACCAAGTCCTCCATGGGAATCAACATGACTATCCAGATCGTCCGTGTGCTGTCTGTTGCCTGTGTGCTGGTCTTCGTCGAAGAACTGGGTCTTTCCCAGACCACCAAGACAGTCACTGGTATTGTCCTCATTGTCGTCCAGTCCACTCTCACCGGTGTCCTTGCGATCCTCATCGCAGTCAACGCTATCATCATGTGCATCCGCGAGAACCCCCCACGCCAAGAGGAGAAAGGAAGCCGAGAAGGCCAACCGTGATCTCGATGACCTGACCCCCTTGGATGCACGTGAATCACTGCTGATCGAGCACCCCCCGAAGAGAGACTACAACGAAGTCAGCAAGTTCAACTTCGCAAGCCCCTACGAGCCATACAGGGATCAGCCATCACACCGTCACGACTCCGCTGGCAGCCACGAGAACCTCACCTACGCCGGCTACGGCGTCGCCCATACTCATGACCGCAGCTACAGCCAGGAGATTCACGACGGCCGGCAAAGTCCACCAATTGAGGGCCGCCATCCGACTAAACCCGGTTACGGCATGGCGTACTGATACCGATCACTGATCTCACGATGCTGCCGCTGCGTTTCTTTCCTTTAAAGTTCCTTCTTATACCCCCTACTCTCTTTCTCTTTTCCTTTTTGAGAGAGTTCCCGGGGCTGGCTCCATTTGCATTTGGACGCCTTGTCTTCTGTGTTATTGTTTAGCGTGGACGGTTTCCTTCCTTCATTTTCTTATTTGGATTTTTTGTGCCAAAATTACAACCCCTTTCTCTCTCTGGCAGACACGTACGTGTCTGTCTCACTCTACATACTCCACCTTCGTTTTTCTTATCTTGTCCAATACTCACTCCGACCTACTTCCTTGAAGAACTCTCTCTCATTTCAGCGCATTTGTCGTGTCTTCTGTTCAGCTTTGGTGAAAAATGCGTTGTCGATTTTCCTTGTACATGCTATAGATTTGACCATAAAGCAATTTAGTACAACCTTTTATACTTATTTGTCTTCTACAATGTAATAGTAAATCCAAAGTCTTTACTTCGACCCTCATGTTCAAGTTGAAAATTGGTGGAATGGCATAGCGTCACCAGCTTACTCCAATACCTACCTAGATAGGCAGACTCAGGCTCGAGCTACCCTGGAATTCCCGCAAGATTCTAAGAATAGTTCAAACTTGAAGTTTCTTGGCATTACCCACTGGAAGACATGTATTGGCAATGGTACGATACTGACTTTCCGGACACGCTAATAATACACATGGCCTCTCTCAACCCCCTACAAGAGCATTATCTGGCTAGAGAGTAGTCAAATACAGCCGGACCGTGACCGGGCTGGTGCGGTACATTGGAAATTACTAGACTCGACATTTAACTTAACGTACACTACACAGACAGCCGAATTGACTCGGACCATTCCCACTTTTGGGGGTAGGGTAGGGGCGAATATTATCAAGATAACCACACCATGCTAAGCTCTTGCTGATCCCATCTCATCCACTATCGACCATTTCCCGAGGAAATTAAAACAGGCGGAAAAAAAAAAACAGAAAGAAAAAAAGGAAATCCCCAGCCCCGTTCGAAAAAGGAACAGAAATCATGGGACCGGACGTGACCGGACGGACTAGACAGACAGACTTGCTAACCAGGACGGAAATGGATGGAATGGACAGACAGGACAGGACAACCGTAACCGTAACCGCAAGGCAAGAATCAGAGAGTAGACTTTGGACTTTGACGAGGAGGGATTTTTCACTTCAGTTGTAGAAAAACAAGACTAGAAAGGGAGAAGGAGGAAGTAAAAGTAAAAGAGGAAATGGTCAAAGGCAAAAGAAAAGAAGAAAAAAAAGGATACAGATAGAGGCACGCAGATGCCTCTAGGATGTGAGTAACCAGAACCACCGAGACGGAAGAAAGAAGAACTTTTTTTTTTTGCTTTCTCTTCGCTTCCCGTCTACCGAGAATAAGGATGGAAACCACGGTGTCCACCACGACCACCTCCACGATAATTCGCACCAGGCTTGCCGGCGTTACGGGGGCCGGTGGGAGCATTGGCTGGAGCAGCGCTTTGCTGGGGTTGAGGAGGTGTGCCTAGAAGTTGGAAAGAAGAATGAATTAGCAAAACTGATTTACGAAATAACATCCTACTCTGCGGAGCAGGCAGAGTAGGTATGGTATCCATCCAACATACCACGACCCATACTGCCGCCGCGGGCCATGCCCTGAGGCCCAGTGGGGATGTTGGGTTGAGGAACTTCATCGTACATACCCTCCCAAGAGGTCGGCCCACCGCCCTGCTGGTAAGGCGAGAACGAGCGGTTGTCCATGACACGGCGAGCCTGTTGCTGCTCATATTTCTGCTGTTCGAAAGCGATCTGTTCCTGCGCGTTGTAGCCAGGTCCTCCGGCCGCGGCGGCCGCGGCGGCCTGCTGCGCTGACTGTGACTGTTGCTGCTGACCGCGGTTGTAAGGGTTGGGGCTGGCGCCGTCGTTTCCTCCATTACCCTGCTGCATGGCGGGATTCATCATGTTCGGCAAGGGTTGAGACTGAGAGCCGGGGCTCTGCGGGTTAGGGCTCATGCTTCCTTGTTGCTGCTGGGGGTTACCGCCCATTTGCTGCCGTTGCATTTGTTGCATTTGTTGCATCTGCTGCATCATGGCTGGGTTCATTCCACCCATTGCGCCCATGCCACCAGGCATGCCGCCGGCACCGGCGCCGCCGGCCATGTTCATCTGCTGCTGCATCATGGCAAAATATTGCTGCATGCGCTGCCAGTACTGGGCCATCATTTGCGGAGTCATGCCGTTGGCCATACCCTGCTGTCCCCCACCCTGTTGCTGGGAGCCACCGTCTCCGCCGCCTTGGTTCATATTCTGATAACCGCCATCGCGGCCACCGCGACGACCACCGCGGTCCTCATCGCGCAGGTTGCCGCGAGGTTGAGCCTTCTTGACTTCGATGGGCTTGCCTAGGATTTCTAGGGGTCGGGAGAGCGCATTTTCGACGGCTGCTTCGCTGTCGAAGGTCACAAAGCCGAATCCGCGGGGACGGCCGGTGTCCTTGTCGATCATGAGAGTTGCATCGACGACTCGGCCGAATTGCATGAAGAACTGCTTGAAGTCTTGCTCGGTGGCTTCTTGGCTCACGCCGCCGACGAAGATCTTGCTTGTCTTTTCCTGTTCATCGCGGGGGATGGCACGCTTGGGATCGATCTTTGAGGTGTTAGTCTGAAGGGACGCTGAGCTTTGTGGGCCAGGTCGGATAATCTTACAATTTTGCCGTCCAAGTAATGTTCCTTGACCATCACCGTGTTAACGGTTTTAGGGTCACGGAAGGTCAGGAATCCAAAACCACGCGAGCGCTGCGTGGCGCTATCCCGCATGACTGTGCATTCTTGGACCTCGCCGAATTGAGAGAAATATTCACGAAGAGTATCTGCCACAAACCCGTTAGATTAAATTCCATATAAATTATTCCCTTCCGGTCCATGTCCTGCATGAAATACATACGATCCGTAGTTTCCCAGTTCAATCCTCCAATGAACATTTTCCTAACCAGAGTAATAAGTAATTAGCATCGACGGATATAGAATGATATCAAATCAAACGAATACAAGTGCCCCCGAGAATGCAAAATGCAACGGCAAGACTCAAGTCAAATCAATCACATGGCTGAAGAAAGTGTAAATGAATGCTCGTGCTATCGAGCTGGGTGGTGCTAAGCTGCTATTCACGAATACAGCTAATGCTGAACTGAAACTGTCTGGAGAAGGCAGGGGGCCCCCATTTCTGTGTTTGCTTGCGGCATATAGATGAGATACACGCTAAATGCGCAGAGTACGTAGAATCACGTATCGACTCCACGGCGTTATTCCAAAGTTCCCTTTCCCAAGCCCACTTGGTTTACATGAGCCTGGGGTGGGGGTACCTTGATGCCGTTTCCTCCTCTTGAGAACTTGCCACGCCATAGGCGGGCGATGTAGAAGATGTGGTCTGCGAACGGAACTCTTGAGGGCGAATAAGTGGATTGTCACTGTCTCTCTTTCTGTGCTTGCTTTTCTTTCCCAGCTAGGGAGAACCTTTGCTTGTCCAATAGAGAAGTCCCATGCTAGAATCGCATAGACACTAGCTTGATCAACTCTGACCAGACAGCGTTGCTACTTCTTGCTCTGCTCTATCAACGTATATCGACAAGAAGCTCTATAGTATCCGCTGTACTATATGTAGGGCGCTCGCAACAAAGGTTCGCGGAAGAGACCGATCTTTCAAATTTCTTCTGTTTCAGTTTCACACTTGGGTCTGAGGTGGCTGAACTTTTTTTTTGACTCCGCGGTCCTTGGCCTGGACCTTGACCGAGATATGTATGATATGATCCCCACGAGTCCCTCTTCCAAGGTTTGTTTTTGCAGTTTCATTCTGGTCTCCTGACACCGAGGTATTGAAAGTTTTGTTTCGGGTGGGTTTGACAGTAGGAGAAAATCTGGTGTAACTCTTTCTGTTTTGCAAGTTGCCGATGACCGCCGACGAAGGCTCCCCTCCACCAAACACCAGCACCATGCATTGCACGAACAGTGGATGAATTCAGTCCGAAACCTGCCATTCATTTCCAGACGGCCGAGAATAAAATGGCCCTTGCAACGACCCCACAAAGCTCATTCAATCTTCTGCAGAAAATTTTCTCGCAGCCAAGAAGTGAAGCCGAATTTCCTGTCCCTTGAGAGAGCCAGCATGCCAGCCAGCAATATATGTATTCCGTGAATAGCAATAGACACCGCCCAGATATCTCGATTGATAGCATTGATTGACCTCGAAAATCGAAGCCGAAAACAAGAGCAAAACAAAATTAAATCAAGTGGGTGGGGGAGGGGGGAGGGGGAGGGGAAATGTGGACTCACCCATCTTCCTTAATTCCTGTACCGGATCCAGAACCATGAGGTTCATGGTCTGCGTTAGGAGCTTGCGCGGATACAGCGGGGGCCTGGGAGCCATTCTGATAACCTGTATTGTAATCTTGCTGGGGCGCCTGGTATGCGGGGTATGAATCGGGGGCCGAAGATTCGTAAGAGGGGACAGCAGAAATAGCAGTAGCAGGTTCCTCAGCGGGAGTAGGAACTGCGGCCGCGACGGGTTCGGCGGACTTGGATGTCTCTACTGCGGAAGTAGTGCGGTTGGTTGATTCATCGGCATCATAACTAAGTGAGAGTAAAGCAATTAGAGATGCGATTCACAAGAAATGGAGTTGAGGGGGAAAAAAAAGAGGTGAGAAAAAAGGATAACGTACAGATCCGCGAAGAGATCCTCCTCGAGATCCTCCGGTTCAGCCATGTTGTGAAGGTGTTGAGATGGCGTGTAAGGGGACAATGCGGAAGGAATTGACAAGGATCTGAAGATAAGCAAAGTCTGGTGTGTAAAGTTAAAAATCCGACGTGAGTGGCGTGAAGTGGAAAGTGATGAAGTGGTAATCTCCTCTCTGTCTGGGCCCCCTTGGAGGAAAAGGAAAAGCGGAGGATTTGGCTTACATACGCACGGGTGCTGCAAGGCCGTCGACGTCAACAACCACCTTTGCTTCCATTACACCCTCTCGAGTTTGTCTCATCTGTGAATACAAACGCCCTACTCTCGCGCGCACGGCTACTTGGCTCTAGCAATGGATTTGGATTTCTAGAATCTTTCTTTCTTCGTTGCTATATGGCTCGGTTGGCGCATCACACTACATACCCCGATTACTGGAGCGCCCCGCACTTGAAACTCGTCAAGATCACAGTTGACAGCTATGGCTAATAAGAAAGGACAGCAGGTGAGCCTCTTTCTTCTATATTCCAACTTCATTTGACAACAAATATTGGGAGATCTGAACTGACAATTGACCCAGGAAATGGTCCAGGTTGGTTCGTATTATATCGCCTCGCGACTTCCCCATGATCTATCAAGCTAATCCAAGCTGGTCGAGCTGCAGACAATTCCGAGTATGTGATACACTATTGAATTCTCCCCATGCTTCCAATTTTCGAGTTCGGACCTCAGTGCTGACTCCTCCCCCAAGACGCGCCGATTCTCCCTTCTGGGCTGGCCGATCTGCGTCTCTTAACCAGGGACAGTCGAAGACATATGGCCAGAACACTGTTGTTGGAGCTTCATATTCCCATGCGAATATAGGACAGTTCGTACCCCTTTTTTAGTTCTCTACTTCACTCAATTGATTCATCGGGAAATCCTACTGACAAACATCCTTGTCGGTAGAGGCACCTCGACCCATGCGCGCCCACGAACCCCACCTCGAACATCATCTACAAATGCCCCATCCCCGTCATCCTACCTAGGCCATCGAACCGGAAACGTCGCGTCCCCGCCCCATAAAAGCTACACCGGTCTCATGAAAGAAGGAATGGATGGTTGGAGTGGCAATCCCACCCCGGAGGAGGACGATGACGATGACGATGAAGAAGAAGATCACATTGTATATGATGACGACGAAGACGAATTTGGACTTCCAAGTCTCGCTAGCATGAGAAAGAAAAAGCCCGCAGCCTCTAAATCAAAGAACATCGGCCCGGGTGGTAATATTGGGGGGCTATTCATCCTCCCTGGGATTCGGGCTTGCATCAAGCAGCAGACAGCGGGCAAATAGCTCGGATATTGCAGAGGAACGCGGTACACCCATGTATCCCACCTCGCGCAAGAGCGACGAGAAAATCCTCCGCCCTCAATACAAGGATATCTTGCAAGGTCAGTCAGAATACATTTCAGAATTGTCGCATAGCATGAGTGCTAACTTGTGGGCGATCTAGATCCGGCAAATGCTTTGAATCTTATCAACCATTCTGCGCCCCCCACGAATGCTTCTGTCAAAGACCGGGAGATACACTCAAGCCGCATCTCAAGGATCAACAAGTTCAAGCGCATTCTCCAGGCCAGCACCGTTTCGCTAAACGAATTACGGGATCTCGCGTGGTCTGGAGTTCCAGAGGAAGTGCGCCCAATGACCTGGCAGTTGCTTCTTGGATATCTGCCCACAAACAGTGAAAGGCGAATTTCGACACTGGAGCGGAAGCGCAAGGAGTACTTGGACGGAGTTCGACAGGCATTCGAGCGCGGCAGCGGGGCAGCTGCAAACCCGCCTTCCACCAGCACAGGTCGTGGCCGGGGGTTGGATGAGGCTGTATGGCACCAGATCAGCATCGACGTTCCTCGCACAAGCCCTCACATCCCACTATACGGCTATGAGGCTACACAACGATCATTGGAACGGATTTTGTATGTGTGGGCTATCAGACACCCGGCCAGTGGGTATGTACAAGGAATCAATGATCTGGTCACGCCATTCTGGCAAGTATTTCTTGGTGTGTATATTACGGATCTGAATGTGGGAGAGGGTATGGACCCTGGACAGCTACCCCGAAGCGTTTTGGATGCGGTCGAGGCCGATACTTTTTGGTGTCTGACCAAATTACTCGATGGGATTCAAGATAATTACATCTACGCCCAGCCGGGGATTCATCGGCAGGTGAGAGCTCTACGTGATCTAACGAGGCGGATCGACTCGGCTTTGGCCAAGCACCTGGAGCAAGAGGGCGTGGAGTTCATGCAGTTTAGTTTCCGGTGGATGAATTGTTTGCTCATGCGGGAAATGAGCATCAGGAATACCATACGCATGTGGGATACTTACATGGTATGTTGCGCCGTTAATAATTTTGCTGCAGATTTATACTAATACTCGTGGTGTTTTTAGGCCGAGGAGCAGGGCTTCTCCCGATTTCATCTTTATGTTTGTGCTGCGTTTTTGGTCAAATGGACGGATCAATTGGTCAAGATGGATTTCCAAGTAAGTATCTTATTTTTCACAGTCTGTACCGCTGTGAGACAAGTCTAATGTCTAATGATCTAATAGGAGGTTATGATGTTCCTCCAAGCATTGCCTACAAAGGACTGGACCGAGAAAGATATCGAACTTCTGCTGAGCGAAGCATTCATCTGGCAGTCTCTTTTCCAGGACTCAAGTGCACATCTTCGACCGCAAGGCGATGTGCCTCCTGAAAATGGTATCTTTTATTGAAAGTAATCATAATTCATCAATCACACACTGGACTCTATAATAGTCTGGCGCCTCAACAAGAAGACTTAACTTGAAAGTTCAAGTCCCATCCCAAGTCCCACTCAGTTAAAATGGATTCCCTTCTGGTTGAAGGCCCAAAGCAACTTCAGGAAATCATTCTCGTCGCACATACGCGCGCGCTTCTCGCCAAGACCAGTTTCATCTTCCAAAACCGAGCGCACCTTCTCACGCACCAATTCCGCAACCTTGCCCTTCTTCTTCCGCGGGTTCTGGCCCTTGAGCGCCTGCGCAAGGCGGGAATTAGTCTCCTCCTTAAAGAAGTCGGGAACATCATCGTCATCCATTTCCATGACCTCGTCCGCCTCCTCGCCCTCGGCGTTATCGCCATCTTGTTGATCGCCCATGTCCATGACATCGCCATCGGCATCTTCGGCGGGTCCGTCCTCAACGGCAATATCGTTCTGCGCACACCAGGTGCGGTAGTTCGACTCGAGGACGCCCATGATGGTAGGCGTACCGATGAAACTGGATCGTAGAGTTTTGTTCTTACGCACAAAGGCAATGCGAAGCAGACCGTCCCACTCATCATAGTCAATCTGTGGCCTGGGGACCTTGGGAACCATCCGGATGACGCTCGACTCAACCAGGGGCGGCGGCTTGAAGTTGTTCTTGCCAACTTTCATGATGTGGTCGATTTTAGCCCACATTTGCGCGTTCACTGAGAGACGACTGTAGAGCTTGTCGCCTGGTTTGGCGAAGAGGCGCAGGGCGAATTCGCGCTGGAACCTGGGTGGGAAATGTATGTTAGTTTCATAGGTCGAATGAATGGGTGTCGCGCAGTATCGCAGTGCACTACTTACATGAGAATGCAAGAACGGGGTGCCGGGTTAGTCGCCAGCAGCTTGAATGTAAGAGGGGAGGAAATCTAGACAGATATTGTTAGACTGAAATCAACCTTTGTCATTCATTTTGGGAAAGCATACCTGGTAAGGAGTATTGCTGATGCAGACATCAAAGTATGGCAACTCAGTCTTCATCACATCGCCGAGAATAACCTCGAGACGCTTCTGGGCCGGAGTGCCTTGGAAACGCTTGGTGACTTCGGCCGCCATACGAGGATCCAGTTCCACCGCAATGACCTTCTTCGCCTTGTCCAGAATCTTTGTCGTCAAGTTACCAGTACCGGGACCGATTTCGAGGACGATCTGTTGGGTAGAGTGAAGTTTTAGCGGAGTTTCTGGATGTCCCCGCAGAAAGAAATACTCACGTCACTTTGTTTCAGATCGGCTTTGAGGACAATTCTAGAGATTGGGAGATTAGTCTCAGTCTCAGTAGGTTATATAATTGCAAACTTTAACTCACTGCTCGGCAATACCGGGGTTCTTCAAAACGTGTTGACCGATATCTGTGTTCATCTTAAAGATAGCCTGGGCTTTCGCAGCCGCCCCGGCATCTGAGGCTGCGTTGTTGCGCTTCTTCTTGTTGACTTTGGGCATTTTGAATGGGCAAGCTTCACAGCTTGTATGCAAAAGGAAGATTCGTATAAAATCTGCAAAAGGGGTGCAGTTCAATTGTGTTCCAAAAGTCCAAAGTTCCAAAGTTTCCAAAGTGGGCGACTTTTTTTGCCGCAAAAAGATAAGATTGTCGGCGGCGGATCTACTTCTTTCCGGCCCTGCTTGCTTGCTATTACAACTCGTACTTGCTGCTCTTTGCGACTTACTTCAAGCTGTCGCAGCGTTACCATGGCGTCCGGTCGCAAGGATTTCCTCAGCCAACAGGCGCCTGAGAATTATGTCGCTGGTCTGGGTCGTGGTGCGACCGGTTTCACCACTCGTTCCGACCTGGGTCCCGCGCGTGAAGGCCCAACGCCAGAACAAATCCAAGCCGCATTAACGAAGCGCGCAGCGCAACTCGGAGCTGCAGCACCCACCGCATACGGAAACAACTCTCGCGAGAAGGGAGGCAAAGATGAGAAGGAAGACGAGGGTGACGATGAACGTTTCCAGGATCCCGATAATGAGGTCGGATTATTTGCCTACGGGCAGTTCGATCAGGAGGACGACGAGGCGGATCGCATCTACCAAGAGGTAGATGAGAAGATGGATAAGCGGCGCAAAGCTCGAAGGTTAGTCCTTTCTTTTCCTCTGCTCCCCCCAATCCCCCTCTGTCCCGTAAACATCTTGTTCATCGGGCCAGTCCTCTATTTGGATAGATTGCCGACTATATTCGCTCGCCATCAACAGGGAAGCTCGAGAGCAGAAAGAACAAGAGGATTATGAACAGAAGAATCCAAAGATTCAACAGCAATTCGCCGACCTTAAGCGATCACTCGCTGCCGTTTCCGAAGACGATTGGGCCAACCTCCCCGAAGTTGGTGACCTTACAGGCAAAAATCGACGAGCGAAGCAAAACCTACGTCAGCGATTCTACGCCGTACCGGATAGCGTCATCGCTGGCGCGAGAGACTCCGGCCAATTCGATACAACCATTGCGGAAGATGGAGCCCAGCCTGAAGGGGAGGCTGCCGACGGAACCATGACCAATTTCGCAGATATCGGTGCGGCGCGTGACAAGGTCCTGAAGGTCAGGCTGGATCAGGCCGCGTTCGGATCTACAGCCGCCAATGATGCCTCTGGAAGCGCCACTAGCATTGATCCCAAGGGATATCTCACCAGCTTAACACAGTCTGAGCAGAAGGCAGGAGAGGTCGAGGTGGGTGATATCAAGCGAGTTCGAGTTCTGCTGGAATCAGTCACCAAAACCAATCCCAAGCACGCACCTGGCTGGATTGCACTCGCACGTCTGGAGGAACTTGCGGGCCGTATTGTTGCGGCCAGACACACCATCGCCAAAGGATGTGAGCTTTGCCCGAAGAGTGAAGACGGCTGGCTGGAGAATATCCGACTTAACGAAGGCCATAATGCTAAAATCATCGCTGCAAACGCCATTAAAAATAACGACCGCTCAATGAAGCTTTGGCTGGAGGCTATGAAGCTGGAGACGGATCTGCGTGCGAAGAAGAATGTACTGCGACAAGCCATTCTCCATATCCCTCAATCCGTCGAAATCTGGAAAGAGGCGGTGAATCTGGAAGACGATCCAGCGGATGCGCGCCTGTTGCTGGCCAAGGCCGTTGAGATGATTCCTCTGTCAGTGGAACTTTGGCTGGCTCTTGCTCGACTGGAGACTCCCGAGAATGCGCAGAAAGTTCTCAATTCTGCCCGCAAGGCTGTTCCTACTAGTTACGAGATTTGGATTGCCGCCGCTCGTCTTCAAGAACAGATGGGTACCTTTGAAAAGGTCAATGTCATGAAACGTGCCATCCAGTCTCTCGCCAAGGAAAACGCGATGCTGAAGCGAGAGGAGTGGATTACGGAAGCTGAACGCTGCGAGGCGGAAGGTGCCATCCTTACTTGCGGCTCTATCATCCGAGAGACTCTTGGATGGGGTCTGGACGAAGATGATGACCGCAAAGATATTTGGATGGACGATGCAAAGTCTAGCATTGCCCGAGGAAATTATGAAACAGCCCGAGCCATCTATGCATACACCCTGCGAGTCTTTGTCAATCGCCGATCAATCTGGCTTGCTGCCGCCGATCTCGAACGTAACCACGGCGATCGGGAAGCCCTATGGCAGGTTCTCGAGAAAGCCGTTGAGGCATGCCCCCAGAGTGAAGAGCTCTGGTTACAACTCGCCAGGGAGAAGTGGCAGGCCGGAGAGATTGACGATGCTCGACGTGTCCTTGGACGTGCTTTCAATCAGAACCCCAACAACGAAGATATCTGGCTGGCCGCCGTCAAACTCGAGGCTGACGCCAAGCAAATCGACCAAGCACGTGAACTGCTCGCCACAGCTCGTCGTGAAGCTGGAACGGATCGTGTCTGGATTAAGAGTGTTGCTTTTGAGCGACAGTTAGGAAATGATAACGACGCGCTGGATCTCGTCACACAGGGTCTTCAATTATACCCGAAGGCTGACAAGCTCTGGATGATGAAGGGACAAATCTACGAGTCTCAAAAGAAATTCCCCCAGGCACGCGAAGCCTACGGGACAGGTACCAGAGCGTGCTCCAAATCAGTACCACTCTGGCTGCTCGCCTCCCGATTAGAAGAAAAGGCCGGCGCCGTCGTTCGGGCTCGTTCTGTGCTCGATCGAGCCCGTCTAGCCATGCCCAAGAGTGCCGAGCTTTGGACAGAAAGCGTGCGAGTCGAACGCCGCGCAAATAACATTCAACAAGCGAAGAACCTCATGTCAAGAGCCATCCAAGAGATCCCAGCGTCTGGTCTACTCTGGAGCGAAAGTATTTGGCACCTGGAGCCGCGTGCTCAGCGCAAGTCTCGCAGTTTAGAAGCTATCAAGAAGGTGGACAACGACCCGATCTTGTTCATTACCGTTGCGCGGATCTTCTGGGGTGAGCGACGACTGGACAAGGCGATGACCTGGTTTGAGAAGGCGATTGTCTCAGACAGCGACTATGGTGATGGGTGGGCTTGGTATTATAAATTCTTACTGCAACATGGAACAGAGGTTAGTTTCAATCTGAGAGTGAAAGATTCTTTAGGCACGAGAACGGGAACAATTTTCTAACGAACATTCTGCGCAGGAAAAACGAACCGATGTTGTCTCGAAGTGTGTCTCGACCGAGCCTAAGCATGGCGAGGTTTGGCAATCAATTTCCAAAGATCCGGCCAACGCGCAAAAGTCGACCGAGGAAATTTTGAAGATGGTTGCAGACACAATTAATTAAAGTAAAGCTACTAGGCTGTATCAACATGCAATGAAAAAAGGCGTTTTGGACATGGAATGGAATTGTTCTCTAGCTACTTTTTTTTACAATCCAAGTGATGAATTTCTAAACTATGGCAAATGTATAAAATGAAAGAATTTGATTCATGGGTATCGAACAAGCATGGTCTCTTCTAATACCCAGGTACAACCCTGGCAAGAGACCACCGCCATCGTATCGTATCTGTCTGTGCTTTTTGAAGTTTTCCAACAAGCTAAGCTCATCTGTGAGTGAAAAAGGGGGTATGTACTTTACATCGTTTAGGGGTATTAGCCCCATAAAAAAAGAGAAAGAGATAGAGAGACAAGGAGAAACATAGAAACAGCGCAATAGCAAAGCCCGAAGGATCTTCAAGAGAACTCCAGAACCAAATGCATGAAATGGGCGTCACAGGGCGTGACAACCGCAATAATCCCAGACGCCATGATCCTCCAACCACCCACGAAAGACCGAAAGGGAATAATAAAAGGGAAATAGAAGCCGCGTTTGGAAGGTAAAGGGGCGGGCTGGACAGGGCAAGAGAACGTAAAAGGAAACAGAAGAAGAAGCAGAAGCAGCACAGGGTATCAATCAATCTCAATCAAACCTCTCAGTCCAGTCAGTCCAGTCAAGCAGCCAGTGACAGACACTCATCAAGTAAAGAGCCCAATTGATCTCGATCAGCCACCGTCCCACCCTCCCACTCCCACTCCTCGAACGAATCATCATCATCAAGATCCATTTCATCCTCCGTTGGAGCATGCTTGATTTCCCTGCTCTCAACTTCAGCCCCAACCCCATTCTCCAGCGCCCGATCCTGTTTCTCAGTCTCAAGCTCGTCTTCCAAATACCCGCCCACAATCTGGTCAATGATCAAGGGCATATGCCCCAGCACACCACCACCCAACTCAAGCGTCAATCGCAAATCGCGAACACCGAGTGCCCTCCGCGTCCCCGCTTCCCTCGCTTCAACAGGTAACAGCCCCGTAGCCGTATCCTTAACAATCTCACCACGTGTAAAAGCAAGCTCCTCCCTTTCCAACTGCTCTCGATACTTGCGCTTCATCATACCATTAATAGTTCCCGAAGGCCCATTGGACCGTGTCCGAGAAAACACAGCCGATAATACCTCCTTAACGAACGTGTCCGTCGCGATCGCCATGAATTCCGCGCAGGGTAGACCCGCACCGCTGGGGAGGGACTCTTCGTAGCACATGGGTACCATGCGTGCGTGGATCGATTCGGCGTCGGGGAATTCTCCGGTCTCGGCGGCGAGGGGCTGTGCGTAGCGTTTTCGAATTTCTAGTTCCCAGTCTACAAGTGAGGTGATTTGTTAGATGGAAGTCCTTTTCAAGTCCTGGTCCTTGGGGGTGGGGGTCGAGGCCGAGGTCCAGATCCAAATCCAGGTTCAGGACCAGGTCCGGGGGAGGATCCCGAGCCTAGGCCTGAGCCTGAGATGCGAATGCGAATGCCAGTGTGAGTGCGAGCGCGAGCGCGCGTGTCATATCTGGGCACTGGTTGAGAAGATAAAAGTAAATGATTGTCCTTACTGGTTTTGTTTAATCCGCCTGCGCTCGCGGGAACTTGGCTTGGGAGCTTGATCTGCTTTGCTAGGTGGTATTCTTCCAGCTCGTTTGGCGCTGGATCGTTGGGGTCACGCTGGATAAAGTGTTAGTTAGCCATATCTTCACTCTTCCTGCCTTCTCCCCCTCCTGCCCGCGCAAGGCTACTACCAAGGCCATCGTCACGTTTTGGGGGAGGGTTATTTCAGCGCATACCTCTGGAATTCCCTTAATTCGTCTCCGGTCTCTGGGTGGTAATTGCATAACCTCCGTCTTCAATCTTTGTTCGGCGGCGTCGCCCGAGACCGGCTTGGAGACCATTGACGGCTTATCGTTCGCTGAAACCCATGTTGCGACGCCATGGTCGGGGAGGTCTCGTGTTAGATTGCCGACAATTGCGCAGACAAAGTTATTATGTAGGTGTTCGATTTTGGGGTCGGCGCATAGGATGGGGTCGACTCGCGACGCGTATTCATTTTGGTTATAATGTCCTGGGAGGGCGAGAGGTTAGCTTGAGCGAAGCGCAACATATTTCCATCTATTTGAAAAAGACAGAGGTTGGATTGTGAAATCCGGTATATCGGAGGTAACAGCAGCAGGGTATGTCATACCTAAAAGGAACAGAGCAGTGGCCTCCTTGTACTCGGCCCACTTGTCTCCGATGGCGGCCTTCAGGTCCGTATAAGAGTGTTCGAGATCGAGTCGCGGAACTGAGATGAGAGCCCTGGAAGATTTGACGGTCGACTGAGCGTTTGGTGTCGCACTCTTCGCCGGATTTGAGGCCGAGTCGGTGCGACTCAGGGCGGCCGGGTCGATCTGCATGGTTGGAGGACTCGCAGGAGCGCGACGAGGCGAGGCCGAAGGGTGGGACTACGCATTCATGTAGTAGGAGATTTCCGCAGCTGGTTATAGTGGGAGATGAGATGAAATGTGCGTTGAGATGATGATTGATGATGAAAAGGTAAGGAGTGATGGAAGGAGGTTGGAGAGTGAGGTTCCGCCGTGCGGTTCCCCGCCAGAAACGGATGAGTCGCCCCGAATTCAGAGCAACTGGACTACAAAACACACAGAACATAGATATTAACAGATATAGGTACCCAAGTACATGGATTTACAGCCGATGAGTATACACATATGTGTTGCACTAGGTTAAATGATATTTAGATGATTATCTCTACGCTAATTGCATTACATCCTCACTCAGTACGCCAAAGAGCTGTCCGATCTCCGCAATGATCTCCATAATCTCCTGTGACAACTGGCCAGTTACAAGAACTGCAAAAAATATAAGCATATTTCAACCAAAAAACACCACAACAACGTATATAGGTCAGGGGATTATGGCACAAGACTTACTGTAAGCATACAACAGGGCACAGTCCTCGTCGGTAGTTAATTGCGAGGCCTCATGGTCCTGACGATATCGGTAGATACGAGCCAGCAATCTGTCGCGAGCATGGTCGATGCTGGGGAGAACATCGCTCAGTGGATATTCAAGCTTCATAGACGAAGCCATCACTGTAACAAGGTTAGAAGGTCTCATTAAGACACAAACCCGTCTCCTCATTGACCCAAGACGTACCAGAAAGAAGATGGCTGATACGAGCCGACAGTTGTCGTCGTTCATTCGCAGTATACCGAAGCAGACAAATCTCGCCCGCGGTCGCCATATCAGACTTCATTAATTCGAGATTCATCGCGTGAAATGCATTCGTCATGTTTCGGGTCCGTCGGATGATAGTAGTATAAGTACTGTCCGCGAAAGCACTTCGCAGTTCAAACTCAGAGCGCGCCGCAGCCAGAAGAGATTCCATACGCGAGAGGAATCGCTCCAGCTCGAGTCTCTCTCGCGCTGTCATGTAGACAACAGACCGGCCATTCTTCTCCATACAAGATAGAGGGTCCCGTTTCCACACGAGACCCAATCGTAGCCAAAGAAGACTGAGGCCGTCCTTCAGTCGTTCTCGTGCACTGATGGGCCAAATGAGTCGAGTGATAATGACACCCCAGATACAACCGGAAAACACGGCCACAACTCGATGAAGTGCAATTTCGGAGATGATGGGCTCTTGACCACCTTCATCTTGCGACCCGCCGCCTTCTTTTTGGGAGAGTGAATAGGCATAGAGCACAGACAAATTGTATGTGAGCATGATGAACCGTCCCATAGGCCCATTGCCTCGGACGATAGTGATCCATGCAGTCCAAGCAGCCATAAGCCAGCCGAAAAAAGCCAGTCCGAAGACATTGCCGCTTGTACTGATCCAAGCCACAATTGCACAAACGGCTCCGAGACATGTTCCAAAGAAACGGGCATAACCCGTGGTATTGGAGGCTCCGATGGTCATTGAGCAAACAAGCATGTACGAGAGTAATCCCCATTCGCCTCTCCAGTGTGTGTAGAATGGACGGGTGGAAGGGAGGAAAGCCGGCATGGCATAAAGCGCAGCACCCGCTCCAACCTTGATCGCGTACTTGGTATCATCGCGGCGGAAAAACTCGAGGGACTTCCAGAGACGATAGCCAAGTCGTTCCTTGACGCTTCTCTCAGCACCGGGTCGTAGACGAGCCTGAGTGTGGGCAGCATTACGATTCTCTGCGCGTAACGGGGCCATAAAGGAAGCTTCTGTGGTGTAGTTAGTATGGTTTGCACGAATTCTGGATGTGGGTACGGCAAACCTCTTCGAACGACATGTTCCCCCTTGTATTTCCAAAATTTCAACCAGCTCCAGGATCGCCCATTGGGTCTTTCCTCCGATTCGAGCTGCAATTCATCTAATATCGCGAGTAATTCGTGAAGTTGCTCGCCGAATTCTAGTAGCGAGAAACTGAAATGACCACAACTGGCAGATACTTCCTCGAGATCTGCTTCGGCTTCTGGAGTCTTCATTTTCATGGCTTGCGTTTGCTGGTAGAGCTGTTTTAGTGTCTTCTCTCGTGATTCGCGGTAGAGCTCAAGGGCACGGTCTAAACTCATGCGGAGACGACTGTCCACCGAAACTTTGTAGGTTGGGGCTGCGCCGAAAGGAATCTCGTTGAATATCTCTTTCATTGTAAAAGCCAGTGACCGCTGTCGACTATTAGCTTTATAGGTTCTTGTCTCTTCTTCCCTTAGGGAGGGGAAATTACCATAGCCGGTCCTAGATGTGAAATAAAGATCGTGAACACATCCGCAGGAAGCAGAGCGTTTCTCTCATTTGAATCGTCTTTTTTGTTTGATGACTGGGAGTTCAATGTCCCGCTTGGCGAATAATCTTCCTCGGAACGCTCCTCAATCGCTTCCAGGATAGATCCGTCAGGAAATGACCATGATCGCTCAAGAGAAGCGAAATAGTCAGGGCGAAGGCTACCCCCAGGATAGCCGTTTTCACTCGATGGCCCAGACTCCCGTGCGATTGTCTCTCGGATCAAGCTAAATTGCAAAGAAGCCGCACTGCGCAAACCTCCCAGATTATGGGTGATATCTTGCACCCAACGGACAAGATTTTTCTCCAGTCTATACTCCTTTTCGGTACCCGCCACAAAGTGCTCGAGTTTTGCTTCGCGAACTAAATTGTCAAGCTGACTGTACGCCTTGCGGTGTTTGGCTTCGGCTTCAAGAAACTCCTCCGACTTAAGCACCTCTTCAGAGCCACTCAGAAAGCTCTCCGTGATCAAGGCTAGCATGACAGCCAATTTATCTGCCGACGTCACCAGATTCGCACGGAGCTTTTTCCGCGCAGAGATGGGGAATATCAAGAAGGACACCATCGTGGCAGCAACCACACCCATGATCACCATTTTCAGGACCTGGGAAATCTTCCTCAGAGACAAATCCCCGCTCTGAACGGCACCTTCTTTTGTCAAAACAGTGATGGTCGAGAGAGATGTGAGCGAACAAGCAACATTGACCAGAGGATCACCAAGGCGCTGCTTCGTCCACCCGACAAATCCCAACCCACCTCCACAAAAAACAATCAAGACAAGCGCATGGCCAATAGCCGGCGCCATCAAAACATCCTGAAACAAATTTTCAAAGAGCATACTCGAAACGGACAAAAAGGTCGAATAACAGAACGCCAACATTGCGCAAATCAAGGCGCGGAACATACTCCCTTGAGACCTGGCCGGATGAAAGTACACCGTGACAGTAGCCACCATGTGTTTCCCATCATTCTGGCCGAGGAAATTCGAAATCGCCGGAATGAACGTCGCGCACGAACCGAGCAGGTAAGCAAGACTGAATTTCAAAATCCCAATGCCCTGCTCCGACGCGACAAATTGTTTCGACCGGCTTGCCAGTCCTCGCGCCCGCGCAGAGACCCGCTGTATGATTCCATCGTGGTAGGTTTCGATTTCGCCCGTGAGGAGTCCGCGACGCTCGTCGTTGGCGCTATCGTCACTGGCAGCCGCTGCGCCTGCGATGCTGGGGTTGTGCAGGTTCACGAGGCCTTTGACGCGTTGGCCGGTTCGGGGAAGGACGAATGTTGCCTGGCGTAGCTGTGGGTTTGTTAGATGGATTCGCCTACGCGGATTTGAGGGTTGTCTCGACGGGGGTTTTGTGTGTGAGAGCTTGAGCTCTCTCAAGCTCAGCTCTTGCGGTGTAGGATAAGCATACCTGAGGCCGCAGCAAACGGCGTGGAATGGAGCTACTTGGAGCTCCAGTCGTCGACATTACGGGGGTTCTCAGGAAGGAGGCGGCTTCATTGCGTGCGGAGCATTGTTGATGGAAGCTCAGCAGGAGATATTCCCTGTTTCTCTCCTCTCAGCAGTCTTGCAGGACAGGGCTTGCAGGTCTCCACGTTTCGCTGCCTGACGATTGGAAGCGGAGGAACCTGATGAGGTGGTCGGTGCGGCCACGTCTAGTGGGGAATGACCACGCACTTCACTACTTTCTAGGCAATGTCTAATGTATGAACACCGAGGGTGTAAATAGTAGTAAAGGGAGGTGGGATAGACAGAATAAATAGGTATGATTTATTGGGGTAGGATAGATGCAATGGGAAATGGTGGTGTTCTAGTATATAGTAATGTACCTGGTACGCACATTACTATTGCTACTCACACACAGATCTAGTAACCACTGGTAGCATTTTTATACCACAAACCTTGGAACAGATGCAAAAGAAGTAGTAAGTCCTTCCAATCATAAAATAAAGCTTCACCTCTTCAGTCGCCTCGCGTGTAACGTCTAAATTACCCGACAAACACAGCCAAAACGAAGCTTGACCAGATTCATCGAAGTTCATTGTTTTGGTTTGAATAATACAGTACTCCAGGGCTACTGTTAAAACATTAGCGATATCTTTGCCCGCTTCCTCCTCTCTTGTAGAGCTAGATGCATCATGCTTATTTGGTAAGGTTGGCGCACATTAGGGACACATCTTGTGCGGTACTAGTTACTAGTCCTTGTAAGTTGATCTCCCGCAGTTTAATACCTATTCATGTTTCCCGTCGCGCAACTTCTATTTTCATAAAAAGGTTTCCTGAACAGTGTTTCAATACTACATGCGTAAACACATAGGTGACCACTTAGATATCGTGGTAATTTTGGGTAACTCCGCGGACCTGAGAAGGGATGTTAGTACGAGGTCAACACCAATTATCGGTCATGACGTAAGAGACTTCCAATTACTACCATTACTGGTTCATATATAAAGAAAAGTATTTTAGTAATAATTTAAAGATCTTGTTTTCCTTCATCCAAAAAATCAACCTGCCAAATAAATTCCAAGTGGCAATGTCGAGGATCCTTTCTGGATTAAAAACGCCAGCGAGAGCGTGTCGGAATCACGGATACCTCACACTAGCAGCGAAATACCACCTTCCGTCACGTCGTGTAACCACGAGTATAAATGAAAAGCGCCAGTCAGAAAAGCGCCAGAAAGAAGATCACATGTGGAGCCTGGGACTCAGGACCATCTTATTCTCGACATCCATCATAACGAGCGTCATCGTGTATGCAGAACTGCAAAATCCACTCTATATAAACTCTTCACGAGGAGAGGCATATAGTCATTCGGAATAAGCGGCGAAAAATTCAGTTACAGAGCCAGTGAAACCATCTCCATCTTTCAATATGGACAGTTCTCGCGGGAAGAAGAACTCCGACGAAGTCAACCTACTTCCCAAAGAAGAAGCTTTACTCACAACTGCACCCAATGTCCCTCCACGAATAACGAGAAGCCACTCCGTCCTGCTCCAAGTGAATCTAGTGACTGCCACAAAGATAGAAAAATTGAATAACCAATATCAGTACGAGAAATGGAACTTCAACGGCTCAGTTCCTGGACCATTTATTCGCGCGAGGAACCATCGCTGACAAACCGCGACAATTCCGGCAATCCGAATAACATCGATTGCCATACCTTTTTGGGGCCCGGAGGAGAATCAGCTCTGACCACAGCCGAAGAAGGGCAGACAAAGACCGGGAGGTTTTGTCTCCAGTGTCCCGGGCTCTACATATACCACTGTGCCACCGCACCTGTCCCTGTACACATTGCCAACGGCATGTATAGCCTTATGTATGTACAGCCAGCTGAGGGTGACCTTACCCCGGTAGACCGGGAGTACTACGTGATGCAGAGTGAGTTCTACCACGAGCCGCCAGAAATGGAGGAAGATGGAAGACCGTCACGACGCGTGGAATTTTCGTATCCGAATGCGTTACGTGAAGAGCCGAGTGTCGTTGTATTCAATAGGCATGAAAGTGCAATGACAACGGAAAATCCACTGAAAGCTAAGGTCGGAGAGACCGTTCGCATCTTTTTCCGCAATGCAGGGCCCAGCCTGACGAGTTCTTTCCATGTCATTGGAAGTAACTTCATGAGGTATATCGGGACAGTGATGTCCTGAGTCCGCCAGGTCAATATGTGCAGACTGTTAGCGTTCCACCCGGTGATACCACGATCGTGGAAATGGAAATTCTCGTTCCTTGGACATATACGCTTGTGGATCACGCAATATTTCGTTTGGAGAAGGGGGCCATTGGGCATCTAAACGTTTCGGGTGAACCAAGGCCAGATATATACGAAGGTTCCGAGCCACCGGCTCCTTGTGCTAGATGTAAGCTGCACCCTTGAATAGGCCCCTTGATACCAGTGGTCGGTTTTTAAAAGTTGAAGTATGAATGAGTGTTGGTCGCTTGGCGATCAACGTGAATTTCTTGATATGGTTTCTACTAGGAAAACGAAGAACATGACCTACTACCTGGTTGTCTTTGTAAAGTTGTACCACAGTATATCTGCATACTTTCTTGATTCTTAGCCATTACATTATACCAGATATACACCATGGGGAACACCTTTGAATGGCGTGATTAAAGTTCAAGTTGCTTCCTAAAATTATCAGAGGTGCTTAGCATGATTCGATGGAAGATTAGACATACAAGAATCCTCTGATCCTAGCTTGAATAGCCCTTCAATGATATCTCGTCGATTGTCATTTGGACTTGATTTGCCGTAGAAAAGTAGTGCATCGCGATAAATTTCAGGGGAGTCTTGTGCATATCCTCGAGCGTCTTCCATAATCATTTCGTAAACACTGGTTTCGTGTAATGCATATGGTCCATCGCCATTGTCGCGTAGATCTGTGTATATACCGTCCTTGGCTCGTCCATCTATATGGTATCGCGCGTAGATTGCATCTCCATAACGCTTATCAGAAATCGCTGTGCAGTAGCGAGATGCCCATGGTTCAATCATTCGTATTCTCGCCGTTTTATTGATGACTTCTGTAACGGGGAGATCGAGAAACAGCTGTTCAGGTAGGGAAGATTCCATGTTTGCAATATCGTTCTTTATAACGGCTGGTGGGCTTTGTGAAATGGATTATTGCTCCAAAATTTCCACATTTAGCAGACAGTGCAAGAATTGGGGGAAGGATGGGAAACCTTGAGCTACTTATTCCATGGAAGCCACGGGTGCGTGGCTTTTATAGACTTGGATAAAAGAAGTGTGGGTCAGATTCGTACTGGCATTACGTGGATTTACAAGTCTCGATGGCTGGGCACTAGATAGGTGATTTTTGTTACGGAAATCAACGGTGTTGGTGCGGAAGTTCCTGGCCTATTCAGGCTTTACAGCTCTACATAATCAGCTCCTCGCCTATTTCATAGCCAACTTTGTCACCCTAAAGCGGCGCTTACCCCTTGTATCTTCTAGTATAGAATTTTACTTTGATGAATACCTAGCACATACGACCATAGGGTGTGGAGAACAGGGCTTCCCGTCCGCTCAGCCGTACTTAAGCCACACGCCGGCAGGTTAGTAGTATGGTGGGTGACCACATGCGAATCCCTGCTGTTGTATGTTTTTATTCACCCACTTTTTTTTTCCATGGGTATATAGTCCTTGCCGCCCTACCACTTCAGCCCTTCACCTGAGCGCGTGAAGTTCCAGGGCGGGTGACGTTGCCCCTCGGCTAAACCTTCTGTTCGATATTTCTCCCCTCTGGTGCCACTCGATTCCTTTTTTGTGTGTTCTAAGGGGCCAAAGACTATAATGCAAGTAACAAATGAGAAAAGATGTGTTTTCGCGCGACCGACAAGCGGCGATCGGCTATTTCCCTATTAGGTTAGACGGAATGATTGGCAATCATTGGCATTTGATGTGCGGCTTAAGTACGGCTGAGCGGACGGGAAGCCCTGTTCTCCACACTGGTCAGATGTACTTAATTTTGAGGAAATGTTATATAAGCGTGAAAAGATAATTGGGTTTGTCGCAAGTTGACGGTGTCTTTGCTGTTACATCGGCTGCATTTCATGGGCTAATGCGGCATCCACTGTGACTTGGACCATCGACTCAATTTTGTTTCATTACCCCACACATTCATAGGTGTCTTTGGTCTCGCAGAACATCCCAGGAGCCTGGAGCTGCTGTGGGATGACGTCGTTACGTCTACCAGGGCGCTTATTCTAAGTCTAAGTTGCCCTTTCGCCGCTGATATCTCAGCGATGACCCTCTCCTGACCAGGGGTAGTAAGGCAGATTGATGCATTCACTGGCTCACTTGGTGAAACCTCGACGACCTTTGTCGATATGAATATGGTATCTATCGACCCGCGGATTTGGAATCAGCAAGGAGGTGAAAGAAGGGAAAGGCGCAGCTTTGGTGGGGCTGTGTTAGAACTCGTATAGCGCGATCATTGCACTGACCGCTTGGGCTGATTTGAAATGCGGCTGGCTACTAGCGGTAAGACTCTATTCGGAGCCGCCTACCTTTACTCCATAAATACTAGCAAGTACCCCTTGGTGGCCTCCAAATCTTTGACCTTCATCTCTCCGATGAAATCTTCTCGAAACCATTGAGCGTTACAGTTTACCTCATATGACCGATCCATTTTCTGTGGCTGGGAGCGCGGTAGGCGTTATCTCCCTTGGTCTCACAGTCTGTCAGGGCCTCCTGACTTACTATGGGCCATTCAAAGCGTATGATGAGCAAATTCAAGACGTCGCAAACCGTATAACGGATTTCGACAGTACGTTGAAGGTGTTAAAAAATGTTTTAAACAACACCCAAATCTTCTCCTCTCCGTTGACGAGCCAATCAGCAAACGTTGCACTTGACTCCGTCTTTAATTGCCAAGAAGGACTAAACAGATTACGCAAGATGCTAGATAAATGCAATAAAACAAGTACGGGTCTTTTAGGGTCCATAATTCAGCTCAATCGGATAACGTATCCTTTCAAACGCGATACACTGATGACACTTTTGGAAACTGTAAGCTGGCTACAAGCTCATCTCAATACCACACTACAAACATTGAATATGTGAGTCAAAACTAGAAGAGGTAATTTATTTCGTCGCTAATCAAAAAACTTCAAGCGCTATGTTGTTGGTATCTCAGGAGCAAACAGACATCGCCCTTGCGTTTTCAGCATCGAATGCCCTCGATACTAGTCGGATGCTACTTAATGCTGAAAGGTCTGACCAGCGCGGCATGAGTATTGAGAATAGACTGGTAATACTTGAAGATCATCTGAAGCAGATGGTATGTCTGCCCTCTTATCCAAATTCCACACAATTCCAACTTTGATCTGATACTAATAATTTTGCTAAACTTAGCGAATGGAAAATACTCGCAACAAAGCTCAGCCAGTTCTCACACCAGGCTTACTCCGATCAGCGTTGGAGCACCAACAAATACTGGATGGAGAGTCGCATAATCACGGAATCACTATCATATCCCAGCGTAATCGAGGCCGAAAAAAATGCTCATGTCGCACGACATACTTCTGGGGAGAGCGTAACGCAGGTCTGGCTTCTACAAGCGGATGTGAGCTTCATACAGAAAGCAAAAACGTTGTGGATATACTCTATCGCAGGATATTTTGCAGATGGGCTCTGAGAGTCTCTCTTGAGATATCTTACTCAAGCACATTCGGAGCAGGAGGTTTCTCGATCAGTCCTAAACTTGAATTTCGTGCTATTGTGCCAAAGGAATCTCAAATATTCATCTGTCTTCATACTGCTGAGGAGAGTTTAAAATCGCGGGATGTCTCCACTGTGATCCAAAATACATACAATGCTCTTATAGAAGCCTTTTGTGCTGGTGAAGCATCAATGACTGATACTCTTCAAAGCGGCGACGGTATCCTGCATGTGAGTATCCTGAAGCCAATTAACTATAGATACTGTAGGGTTCCACATAGAGATATTCGAGAGATCCGGGTGTTGGAAGTCCTACAGTTATTTGGATGTCTTTCATTAACCACAACTACAGATAGTCACTGCCTGGCAACGTTATAGTTCTCACTGGGACTCGCGTTCACGACTTGTCTGGCGTTTGTTTATCCAAAATCTCTTACAAGCGGGCCTCTCCCCAGACCTCGTGAATTACCGCGGGGAGACTCCTGCAGACAACATGATTGATAATTTTGGTCATGAGAGCAACGATATGGAGAAGCAGCAGATAACGATTGATATCTGCTCAGACCTACTGCAAGCTGGGGGGGTATATGACCCTGCAATCCCTTGATTGGAGGCATCGAAAAAACGTTATCAACCCTTGCTACTACATGTACAGAGGAGATAGACGAAGGAATGATGAGTTCTTCGAAGACTTGAGCTTTCGCCTTATTTGGAGAATAGCTGATGAGAAAGGGCACCAAGGTAATTAACCCTCAGAGGACAATCTGAAAACCGTGACGCTGAATTAGAAAAAAGATATCCATCTCCCAGAAGAGCTAGCGCCTCTTATTTACAAATCGAGGAAACTCATGACCGCACAACTGAGAAGGACGATTGATTTTAAGGAATGGATCAATAGCTACACTCGTTGGGGGGGATGGTTTAGCTATGATTCTTCAATCTGGTCATGCAGTCCCAGAAGGCGCCCTCAAAGCGGCATGTGAGGCGAACTGCGAGGAGAGTGTTAACATATTGGTGAACGATTACAAATGCTTCATTGGATATGGAGTGCTCAAACTCGCCAGTTTGCATCCTAATCAGACCATTTCAAATGTCATTGTTCACGGGTTGATTCATCGCAGAAGGCAATTACAGGCACTTGCAGAGGAACATTTACCAAAAAGTGTCCGAGATCAATTACGCATCGAATCCTCAAGCCTACTAAATATCCACGCTTATGAAGCATACAAACTAATTCAAACAACTTCTATGTGCCTAGAAGGTCTTCTAGAGCACTATAGATGGTCGGTCTTTGACTGCATTGGTGTCAATTTTGATTTGGCTGAGCGATTATGGAGTGCTGGCTTCCGAGACGTGGATGAAATCGATCGTGATAATCAGACGTGTCTGACAAAAGCTTGGAGAACAACACCACCATGTGACTTAGAAGTCTTCCTGCAAAAGATCAATTGGCTGATCGGCAAAGGCGCTGATCTTCATCACCAAAACTTATCTGGATCGGCCTTGCATGAAATAGGAAATAACGTGGGATCAATTCTGTACTGGATGAAAGAAGACAACTTGAAACACTCATTATGGAAAATTTATTCGCTGAGTGAACCTTCAAAGGCTTTATTGAGAACAATTCTTTCTTGCAATACTCGAGATGATTGCAAATGTGCCTGTTCTCTAAATGGATGTTCTCCAATGACGACCCTTTTGAGCGGACTTTTGCCCACGCGAACTGACCATGATACTGCGGCCAAGCTCATTCATCTGTTTGCTGAATTATTGATTGTTGTTCTCTTTCCTTCAAAACTCGAGCCCGAGCTTGATGAGGCCTTAAAGAACCATTTGAGTATTGGCATCATCCGCTTCATTACATTCAAAAGCCTGGATATCACTCATACCTGCTTGTATGAATACAGAAAATTTGAGCCAGAAGAAATAAAGGAGATCCAAGACGAAGAAAAGCTCTTGATATTCGACCTCGAGAGGCTATTGGCACGGTTCCTCGAAGAATTGAAAATGCGTCAAGTGCAACTTCCGAGCTACATAACAGGCTTGTGGCGGACTAACATGGCTTCATTTCTATCAACATCAAGACCTCATAGTGCCAAAGAAATTACCCATATTCTTGAGTTGGGAGTTATTCTTGATAGCCACGAGACACAAGACGGGGAGACTTTTTCATCCTAGCAGTGACCGAAGACTGTTTAAAGTTGATAGGGTGCGGCTCGAAGATATCAGGGCTAAATCTTATCTCTACTGTATAGTCAATTCATAAATCCTTTTATTTTTACAGAATTGAATAATACAAAAGTACTGAATCATCAAACTGAAACTAGGATTGATCTAAAGAATATCAAGTATATTTTAAGGCTCTAAAGCGTTTCGATGCCAGGTTTATTTTACAATAATTACCAAATTATTAAAAGCCCTGGGGAAAAATGTACTCGTTCATCTTAGCTGTAGATAAATATGATTTTATGAAACCATTGATATATCATCAAACAATTATCTATTTCTCTTTCTATAATATAATATTGTTTGGATCTTTTTAAAAGCAATGTACTTCCATAAAGTAAAATTAAAGCCTCGGAATTTCCTTATTCTGGCCTGAAGGTCCTGACAGAGTCCTTGCAGTATCCTTGCAGTACACTTGGCTCTGATTTAATTATGTTAATTAATAGTAAGTTACTTAAGACATTATTTACAGATTTACAGATTGAGTGAATTTTGAGACTTGGAATATGATTTGATAAAACTATTTGTTTAGCCGGAGATACAGCCTTTGGAGAACAAGATTCTTCTTCTCTGTTTGTGGTAATATCTTTCAGAATATTATCTTATTGTCAGTATTGTCTAGATCAACCAAGAGATAATTGCTTTGTGTGATCTGTAAGCCAGAGTCTACTGAAACAGCAGCGAGGCGAATATGGGCCGGTGAGAAAAAGCAAATTCTTTTTCACTTTATTGCTCAAGCGCTTGGAGTATCCTGTCTAGACTTCCTATATCAAAATTCACGAATGTGACTTTTACGTGTCCGATTCAGCTCTTCAGGTAAAGGGATGAAGTGGGCGCCCGCTAGGGCGGCAAGCTGCCGAGGACAAATTCGTGGGCGCTAGGTGGCCACCGACATACAATATCTGTTGTATGTCCGATTTTAGTCATTTCTTTTTGATTCGCTGGGCAAATGCCCTTGCCGCTTTACCCTTCAGACCACTTTGTTTTGGCGTATCAGATCCGCTATTCAGACCACTTGTTAAACTGGATAATCTCCCGGAAGCCGATCCTGTATTATCCAGGAAATTAGTCTATCACAAGTCGCTTAATGACGTGCGCAAATTACTGGAGGTGGTCTATAACCAAGAACGCGCTACAAATCTAGATAACATCCTGTATCATATTCCTACATAGAGTTTTTGGGTCTTTATCACAGAATATTCAGTTCTTAAAGAAATACCCCAGGCAATCAAAATTTGGCCTACCAGCCTATACAAGCTAAGCAGCTCACCACTTTAAGCTTAGTAAAGTCTCAGATAAAGAAGCCCTAGAAGATACTTCAGATAATCGTATCCGAGAAGAGTTCAGGTTATTACTTCGTAGGCTTTATCTTATAGATAAAGAGGAATGTCCTACCTCTATACTAGGATCGACTATAGCTTGTCTTGTCCTTAATAAGAAAGCTATTATTATCCTAGCAGCTCTTCAATTTAGTGAGGAAGATACTTTAGAAGACTATTATACCTTTAAAGAGAAAAAGACCAGAGTTATAGATATCTTCTAGATTTGTGAGCCAACTAAATAGCCGGATTCAGACTCAAATACTCGCCCATACCGGGGCGCAGACGAGTGCCCTATAGTTTTCTTGGGGTCTTTATGCCTTAGGCTTACCAACGGAAGCACTTTGGACGAACTCTTCCCCTTGCAGAAGAGCTGTTATTGAAGAGGTGTTCATTTCGATCGGAATTGATTCTAATTTTCAATCCTTCTTGACTGTATGTTTGTGTACAAATTTAGGCCCTTGACGCTGCACCCTTACTGTCCCTCCCCCGGTCGTCTTTTCATCATTGAAGCTTGAGTATATCTATCTCGGCCAGCTATTTGACCAGTTACCTAGACCAATACGCTTAATTGGAGAACTCAAAGCTATTCACACGTGTTAGTCCATCGTTGGTGTTATATTTAGACCAGAATTCAGCAACAATGATTCACAGAGAGCTTTAAGAGACATGCAAGCATCCAAAAAAAGAAAAAGAAAACCCCCCAAAAAAAACCAAAAAGAGAAAGTGGTTTCACTACCCAAAGCTTGCAGCTTTCTTGACGCTATATGAATGTCTGACGCCGCTCTCATGTTTCAGAAGATCATCAGTAAGGCCACCTCTTAAGTCTTTCAGGTATTTACCAAAAATTCCGCTTACTCGCAAAACCTTTTTCAGATGTGCAGAGCCCATCTTCTCTCCTTTGAATAGAGCCAGCTGCCGTGCGGTAGTAAGTGCGTTGCGAATTTCGCGCCCATTAATGTCATGGCTGCTCAGCTCATCCAGGTTGTCAATGACATCCTCGAATTCAATGTTGTCTTCGTCTATATCTTTCAGACGACCCATGAAGTTACGCCATATCTTACGACGTTGGCTCTTGGTGAGGTTTTCGTAGTGCAGTGCTAGCTGAATGCGAGACTTGAATGCCTCATCAAAAGTACCCACTCGATTTGATGTTAATATCAAAATCCCATTATGGTATTCCAATGCACGAAGAAAGACCGAGACAAGCGCATTGCGATTTAAGTCTCTCATATCGCGCTCTTCAAGAAAAACATCAGCTTCGTCGAGTAGAACAACTAATTCAGAAATTATCAGTCAATTATCTTCCTTTTTCCGCAGCTGTAAAGTCGAATACGTACCACAATCCCATATTTTACCCAGGTGAAACGCTGCTTGAAGCATTGTTTCCACCTCTCTTGCTTCTGTACCCACATCACCGCAAGTGACTCGAAATAGCGGCTTCTCGGCGAATTCAGCTACGCCTTCGGCAGTAAAAGTCTTTCCTGTTCCGGGGCCCCCGTGGAGGAGCAGGATCAGCCCGTTTCCTTTACCACTAATGACATCTGTTGACTTCACGCTAGTCAGCTGGTTCGTAACCAAAGCTTGAACGAGTTCTTTGATCTCTAAATCCACCACTAAATCCTTGAAAGCCTGTTTATTCCATGTAATATCTGAAATTTGGTCCACGAATAGATCAACTACTTGAAGTTAGTACACCTAGCAAAAAGCCCCTCGGGAAAGCATAGGTTGAGTCCGTACCCCATTTTTTGTGAAGCATGTTATATCCTGGGACCGTCGGAGGTAACAGTAAAAGAAACCCGTCTGGGAAAGGATCATTACCGGCCACAATAGCTGAGCCAAGGTCATCCCGGAGAAAAGCTCGAGCTAGAGATGAACTAGGGTGAAGTGCTTTGAAAGTTTCTATATCGACCATGAAACGTTCCTCGGCCTAGTAAGTAGGAGGTAAGTTGTGGGAAGTAGACTGGGGCGGTAATGCGGCTGAAAACTCACATTCGTTAAGTTTCCAGGTTCTTTCTGGCTGTAACTGACAAACTTTCGAGATCGTATTTGCCAGAAAGTGTTCCCACGGTGCTCTAAAGATTGTTCGATTGTTTTTGGGGCATATTGCAAGGGATAAAACTTTAGACTGTTGATTTCCACGATTTCGTCTCTCATAGAAACCTTCATGGTAATTTTGAGCACTTTTTCGGACCTTTGAAACACACCATCAAATTCCCAAAAGGCCACGGGAATACTCCATGAGTAACGAAGTGTTTTAATGTTTGTATCATCACGAAATGAGTATGTCTCCTTTCTTCGAATCGGATCGAATTCTTCGTAATCCTCCGGATGGCCGTCATCAGGAGGTGGATCCTCTTCAGGCCACTGCAAGGCCATGTAAGCTCGGGTATTAGGGCCATCTGGATGTGCCAAAATGTCCCCCGGCTTGATCAAATACTTCAAAAGCTCAGCTGAGACCTTGCCATCTTTGGTTTTCTCTCGTGCGCGCAGATATTGGACACCGTAGCCTTCGTTGATATGACTCCACAGCTTTTGTATCAGCCTTCGGCTTAGTCCGTCGATTTTCTCAAGTATATCATCAAGATGAGGTGCAGAATGAAACATGAATAGATATGGTGCAACAATAGGCTTCCTAACATCGAAGTGAGGAAAATACTCCGAGAAATTAGGAACCTTTCGGACAACCTTATTGACAGCATCTCTCATTGCCCCAGCTAAAAGTTGTAGGCTCTCCTCGAAAGGTTTTGGTGTTCGGAAAACTCCATCTCGGGTTTCGATCTTTGTTCGGTCAGCCGGTGCTCGGCTTTTGTAATCTTTCATGAAGAAGAATGCGATTTCAGGATGTTGCTCTAGATAGTAGCTAACGTTGCTGATTTTGCTGTTTGCCTGTAGAGTTGGCGCATACTCTCCTGTTTCCCAACGGGGTTCATCAAGAAAGCAAGCATCGTCAAGGTAATGAAATGTTTGAGACCGATAATCAGGGGCAGCTGGACCGGAACTTTTCGATTTGAGTTTTGCCCTAAGCTGAGCAATTTCATCCCTGAGAAGCTCTGCCTCTTCCGCCGGATTTTCAAAATTGGACTCAGCCGACTCTGATTTATGCAGGACAAGAGCTCGGGGCTTTTCCTCTGTAGCATCTTCTCGCCATCTTTCAGAGCCATTGGTTGTAGTATAATGAATACTTTCATCATACATACTCTCTTCATCGGATTCTTCGACTGAGATGTATTCTCGAATTTTCCCACGTCGGGGTCTGGCTTCAAAATTATCGTCTATCCGTCTTTCCCCAATCTGTCTGCGTACAGTCGACTGATGTTTCCCTTTTCTGGTCCTGTCTCTTTGGAGAATATTGGAAATTCCAGGAGATGGAGCCCGGCCGATTGTATTATCCCGTGAAATCGCGTAACTGTCGGTGAGAGGATCTAACTCTTTGTTGCCGTTGGAAGAGAATACCTGCCGACCCCCCCTTTCACTTTGGCTGACTTTGTCAGCCCTAGGGGTAGAAGGATATCTAGGCATAATGTGAGCAATTAGACGGATTCAAGGGCTCTTGTATTTTTATGATATCTTCCGGTGTAAGATTTTGAGTCACAGGGACTGGCACTCAGTAAATATGCGCCCGGAAGGAGATTTTTGAGGTGTCATGGAATATCGTGCCAAACACTGGAAAGCACCAACTTCAATTTGGTGCAATTACCCCGCTCCAGCTAGTTATTACATTAGGGTAGTTTTGATGTGGCCCCTGACGTGTCAATCACGAGATGTCAGCAGCCGATGCGGGGTCAGGATTAGGCACTCTCTGAGTCTTGAGGCTTAACTTCGCTCTGTATTTATTAAAACTACTTGACTGAGCTCCTAACCATGAGATATCCTTTTCGGTGAACGACCAATCAGAAGATCAGCATCATGCCGTTACAAACCCAGAGTAACTGGTACCAAGGGGATGAAAAAGAAGAGTGAATGATGTTCTTAGCATTATATGTCAATGCTTCGTTCAAAGTAACTGATCGTGGCTTTCTATAGGTATCTGGATGACCTTCGAGGACTATTTCAAGATGCGATCGTGATAATCCATAGTAATACCACCTTGAACGATAAAGAGCGAGACATAATTCAACAGGCGAACTGTCTCGAGGATATTCAATTTATTGTTCAGAGGGCAAAGGAACAATATGACAGAACGTCAAAAAGTACTGTCAAACATTGGCTCATAGAATTTTCGAAACGAATTTGCTATTATGGTAACATCATGGACGTACTTGTTCAACAGCATCCCGAATATGTCAGCTTGGCATGGGGCTCGCTAAAATTATTATTTGTCGTACGATCCTCAGTCATTTTTATTTTCTGGGGAAATTCAATGCATGTCACTGATCAATGGATATTTTGAAGCTCGTCGAAAACCATTCTAAATCGGTCGCCACTCTTGCTGAAGCGCTTACAAATATCGCCGAATCACTTCCCCACATCCAGCTTTCTACAATACTTTATCCGACACGGCGGATGAAGAGAGCAGTTGCAAATTTGTATGCCTGTATCATACGATTCATTCTCCGTGCATTCGATTGGTATCAAAAAGGCCGACTTGCCCGTATCTTGAAGTCTTTCACACACCCCGCAGAACTACAATATGCAGATCTCATCCGAGATATCACAGATCACAGAAAAGAAGTGGAGCGTTTGGCGACGGGAGCGGCTCAAGCTGAGCAACGGGATATGCATCTTGAAGTGCAAAAAATAAGTCAAAATCAGGAGACAATGTTATCTGCCTTTCAAGATATGTATAGAGCCATGCAAGGTACAAGAATGCACATGGTGCCATTTTGGCGATATTTGCTCCAAATACACTGACAAATGGCTATAGAGTACCAGATAATCAACTCCAACGCAGCCATCGACACCAATCATCGCTTAACAGATCTCCAACTCAATCAAATAATGGAATACATGAGCGGATTTCGAAAAGTTGACCCTCTGAAATCGCTGTCGTACGTGTCATATTTATGCAAGAACCACAGGTCAAAACGAAAGCCTTTGGCTAAGCACGACAACCAGTTCTGGCTAGACCAGAAGTTCGTCAAGTGGGAGTCGCAGAGAAAATCCTCGGTTATAATGGTCAAAGGTGATTATCAAGCGAAACACAATGTCAGATCCTTCGCAGTGAACTTGATCCATGAACTTCGGGATAAGAATTTCCCTATAATATGGGTACTCAAAACAACCGGAGCAAATTGTGAAGCGAATGGGATATCTGTTGATGATATTCTGAAGGACATGATATGCCAAGGCCTAAAGCTCAATTTGTCACAACATTCTGAGCGTGATATGGCGATGAGTTGTGTCCAGTTTCGTTCTGCGGAGTCACTTGACGAGTGGACCGAGCTATTGGCTAAAGTGCTTGGAAATATGCGAGAGATATATATGATTGTGGACATTGAAGCTGTGGATTTGGTCCATGCGACCCAGCTCAGTGGTTTTTCGTGGATCACTACATTCCAGCGTATTTTTGCTAGTCTCAGCACCCGAGGATGTAAGACACACCTCAGAGTTATTATCATGAGTTACGGCTCTGCCACTCTCCAAGAAAGCAAACTGACAGAATCATCTCATTTGGTTGTTTCTGCAAGGTCGTCAGGCCATGCAAATCGATATTCGACCGAGCGCGTACGGAGGTGATGGCTATAATATTGCAGAGAGACCAATGAGATTCAAGGTCAAGGACCCTGTGCTTCAAGTTGGTTGCTGGTCTTGAAATACTGAGCGTAGGTTTCAAGAACGTAGATCAGAACGAATTTGATTAAGACAGATGCATGATTCGATTTCAGTTGAATTTTGACAGTGTCGCATTGGGGCCGCGTACAGATCTACTAAATATAGTCGGCTTTTGCATTTCAATTTCGACACTCCAAGTCAAAGGGGGAAAGGGGCTGAAGGGGCGTCCGTTATGGCCGCGAGTTGCATACCTAGGTAGTTAGGATGACTGAAGTTACGGGAGCTCAACAAGAGAAAGGGGTGCTTAACATAGATCGGGCTAGTATAGATTACCACGAGGGTAGGTAGCTTGGGTCATATTGGAGGCAATTTCATTCTTTCCAGAAATTCTTTTGTTCGTGCCTTCACTATTTGTGTCCGGAATCTCATTTCATCTTCCGCCTATAATGTGGCCTTTCTTGCTGAAGAAGAGGAATTGGTATTCGGGACACAATTTGTAGACAGCCATCTGCAATGCAGTCGTCTTATTTGTTGGTTTAATAATTCTGGGATGCGGAACATATGCCAGTATCGCAAGCTTGGTAACTCTCAAATCCGATGTCTCTGGTATACGCATAGTAATGGCCATTTGAAGATTCACAGGTTCAGTCGCTAGGCCATTCACTTGCTATTAGGTATAAATGGCAATTCTACCTACCCTGGTTCAGCCAAACTGGTCTTTCCTTACCACTGAGTCCTTGAGCTGAGATATAATCCGTTCTCATTCCCTTGATTATAGCTGATTTCAAGATATAATAGTACGATTGATTTCAATATTGTCTGATTTTCTTTTGCTCTATGTACACTAAATAGCAGAATATAAAAAGAGATCTACTACTAGTTCAGCGGGTCAGTCAAAACTTCCAGGTATGGAGTATCGCGGTTTCTTGGGACTACTATCCCTCTCGCTTTTTGAAGGCGTGAGATGAAGGTTTGCGATCATCGAGGATAGGCCCGAGTCGTCTTGATCCGGCTCAGTATAATGAGCTCTCATGTTCTTTTGGGCCGAAGTGGGAACCTTAAGATTCGTTTTCGAGGGTGTGCTCGGAGAACTCTGGCTTCCTTCTTTATTTCTTGGAGTCGAGCCGGTAGAACGGCGGGAAGTTGGCTTGCTGCTGAGGTGGATTTTCAAAGCAGGACGAGGTAGGGCTTCCTTGGCCTCTTTTGTCAAGACACCCAGGTTGCTGTATGGGCAAGACTCCACAAATTCTACCCATTTTTCGAAACATCTCAACAGAATTTCCTGATCAACGCCAACAATCTCGCGGTGAACTTGAGTAGAGCATTTCGGGTTCTCACACTTTTTTCCCAACTGCTGGTTATAGAGCTCCTTCAATATGAGTTGCTCCACGCGAAACGCATAAGGTACCAGTTTCGTTACCAGAACTTTAAACTCGCCATGGCACCTTTTGTGATCTGGAAAACGTCGCAACTGAGGGTCTTTCTGAGTAGTGTGGCCAACTTTGAATTTTCCTGGCATTGCAAGAGGAGATATGATATATATCCATCCAGAATTTGAATTCTGGGATTCCTTTTCAATAGGCTGCTGCAAAAGCCGGGTGACGCTCTTAGCAACTTCGTCTTCTGCTCGTATAGCTGTGCGGCGAATAAATATGAGCGACGATGAGGACTGGCTAGCAACGATTGATATTTCTTCATCGTCCTCCTCCAATGTATCCCCTTCCTCGGTAACATTCAAATTTTGTTCGTCATCTTCATCATCAGATTCTTGACTTTCTCCAATAACTGTATCCTCGATTCTCAGGTTGTAGTACTTTGCCAACCTGAGTATGATAGAAGCCTGTTTGGCAGTAAATTCATTGAGCCACTGTCCTATGACGTGGGAATGATGCTTTTTGTGCTTGTTGCAAAGTTGTATAGTGGCGAGCTCCTGGAGGAATCTAAATTGTGGAATTGACTCCTTAGATGTCTCGGAAGGACCAATGAGAATGTCAAGGTATTTTTCGACGACTAATTTGGCCTGGTTGGAGGTTTCGTGCCTCATTCGGAACTTGCAGGGGCTTCCAAGCTGGACGAGGTAGGCACATTGAGAAAAAGGGGAGTCGGAATGGGTCCGGTCAACCAAATCTGCCAAAGAGCAAAATGTCAATACAGTGGACTTCATGTTGATGAGGTATTGTTCCGCCAAGTCGTCAAGTTGGATATATTCCCTTTCCTAGGCAAGTCCAAATCTATCAGAAATGTGATTGCTGCCAGAGAGGATAGTGAAATCTTTCGGGGGATTGAGATGTGAGAGAAAATTTATACTACTACCTGCCATGCTCGGTCTCTTTAAATGGAGTCCACAGCCCACGCGTACCCGACAGCTCCTATTCCAGGAAATTAAATCCCCTCACCAACGGAGTACAATGCCCCCTCATACGTGCATAATAAGGGGGCTGGGTCAAAATCCTCCGCGTGAGCAACTCCGAACCTTTAGGGTGAGAAATATCAAGCTAATGGTCAGATCCTACCACATGTGTGGCAGGTGGATGGGCAAAGCGAGAAATTTGAGATCGCGCGATCTCTGGTTCGCGGACTAAAGGAATACTAAACGATGGTTGCAGGTTGGGGGGGCTGCTAGTGGATGTCGTATGCATTAGTTATACGCCTAGACAGGGGTTCACAGCCGCTATAGCAAAGGTACGTTTCACTCAAGTTGGGGGCCAAGTCACGATGAAAGCCTGTATTTACTTACGCCTGTACTCCAGGCAGAACTCAAGATAATGGGTTAAATAAGAGTCATTCTATGTTATGCAAGATTACACTGGTTTTAGCATCAGGACGTAGTGGGTATAATAAATCAAAGTTCCTCCAAGACGGATTCATGAAATGAGGCAACCTTGGAAGCCAAGTCAGAGCTCCTGCATACTACTAGTAACTTCTTGTACGGAGAACTCCGTACTACAATTCCGATTTGAGACAGCGATCTTATGCGATGACCCAATAAGAGGCTGATACTTTCACGCTCAATTCACGGTAACAACAGTGTGCATAATTTATACACAAGTTTCTTGTACTTGCGCTGCGGCTGTCCCTGAAGAATGCCATCCGAAAACTAGTACCTGAAGATCCACAGATTCTGCCTTACGAGTCGGAGCGCCTTGGATATGATCCATTCAGGTACGCGCTAAGAGATTGCAGTTCCCTTCATTTAGACCAACTGCAACGGCATCCTGCCACTTGCAGACATAATCGAAATTTTGATCATCCAATGTTTTCACGATCGGATGATAAAGATTCGGTTGACTCGACAAAGCCTTGCTGATCTATCAAAAGTCTTCACCATTCATACTGCCAGAGTACCTTTTCTTCTGCCATAGTCAATGCCCTCCATGAAAAACGTTCAAGCAAATAAGTCGCGGCTAGCAATCACTATGAAGTAATTCTCAATTTCTTGTTCAGTGCCAGCATCAAGTTCCAAGGTCCACGGGTTGCAGAAGGCCCGACTCAAGGATTGGACAGCTTCTCGGCGGCAATATTTGCCCTGGAACTTAAGCTTACTGAACTTGAATCTGATGAGTGTATCGTGTCGGAATCACTGAACACTTGCCCGGTCTTACGTTTCAAATTCCACGATCGGTATTATGGCTGGTCGTCGCAAGTAAAATGTAGTCTGACACCAGCAGATGTATTCTGGACATTCACCATTCCCCTCAACGATCTGGTAGAGCAAAAGACTGGAATAGTCACCGTAGGCAGCATGCTAAGATGCCTTACGCCTAAGGCTGACACAACTCCCACAGTATTAGGCCGGTGGGATCAGGTGACACAAGCCAGGGCTGTGTTTAGACGTCGCACCTGGCAACACGATCTCCTTTTCTTGCCATTTCGACGAGCCTCAGACGGTGGCTGACAACAGCTCCCCAGATTACAAAAAGCCTTTTCTGGAGGCAGAGGAAAGACGTGAACGGGCCGAGGAGGAAGGGAGACGAGAGAAAGAAAGAAAGACGGGAGCAAGCTGAAGCTGAAGGGAGACGGGAAAGCCGACGGACCACTTTCGTGGAATTCGTGCGACCTTCTCATAACCTACTATCCCGACCGTTAAGATTTGAAGCACTATATCGCTCGACTACGGGGAAAATACCCCTCTCCACCGGGAAATACTGCCTGGCGCGACTAGATAGAACCGTGGGCGGATTTGTCTGCCCGACAGCAAGAGATCTATGACTCTGTGTGTAACTAACTTCAACCAGCCGAGGACTCTCCAGCACGCTTTTTTACCCCCCCCTGATTTCGCTTGAAGAATTTGCGAGATGACTCAACCTTCAGCCAATCAGTAGTGAGCAAGATCTCGAGACCTACGAGTACTTCGCCGTGGAAGGCCATGTTCATGATATAATTGCGGAACTATGTGAACTTGATGCTGCCTGACTCGAATTCGGACTTGGAGATGGAATCCGGTTCGATAATCACACAAAGCTTTTCAATCCAAGCGACGACAGCGAAGCAAATGCAGGGCAATTATCAAGCGTACGCCGTCCAAGACCTGATCAGTTCTGTATTCATCGAGTCAACGGCGACGTTAGCGCCCTTCTCACTACGGTCGAATACAAGCCACCACACAAGCTTTCTGTGGAAAACCTACGCATGGTGCTTAGGAATATGGATTTGTGGAAAGATATGGTCAAATCAAACAAAGTCCCCACGGATGATGCAGAGAAATTAAAATACAATGCTGAGCGGCTTGTCTGCTGCGCCATCGTCCAGGAGTATCATGTGATGATCCAAGAAGGACTCGAGTATTCTTATGTGACAACTGGAATTGCTCGTCTCCTCCTCTCGTGTTGCCTACGACAACCCCAGCATATTGTACTACTTTCTCTGTGACCCAAAAAGAGAAATTGATGAAAAAATTGACCAGATTTTCCAATATCCGAAGACTTCAATCGCCCGGGTACTGTGTCTGTGCTTGATGGCATTCCGTTCTTCTGTGCGGGATCAGGAATGGAGAAATGCAACGCGGGTCACAGCTTCCTCTTTGGAAAACTGGCTTCGATCTTACTAGGTCTCAGATTTCCAAGAAAGAATTGCATCAAACTCCTCCGCAGTCCGACAGTACCAACTCTAAACACATAAGTCTAGAACCCAGTTCAGACTACCAACCATCATCGCATCCACTAGAATCTCCGACAGCAGAAGGTCGCAGAGTGCCCACGAGGTCTCAAGCCGGCTGTACGCCCTCGGATGTCCGACACCGTACACACTGACCTGACTCGTCAGGCTCAGACTCGAACCAAGCAACGGGTCGTAAACGGGGCTTTAGTCAAGTTACATCTTCCCCGTCAGCCCAACGAGGCGGCTCGTCAAAGAGAGACTGAAAGTAATCAAGACAACCAGTCCCGACGCCACAATGCATATTTTGCACCCAGAAATTTTTACTAGGACTGCAGAATGGGGGAATTATAGACAGCTGTTGTCGAAACGTGAAACTCCATCGCGAGGTTCAGAATGACCTGATACATCTAATCACCTCAGAAGATTTGGTACGTTTACTCAAAGAACAATTGGACGAGAACATTGATCTCTGCACGCCCTTTGGGAGATGTAGCTCATATGATGCACCCTTCAAACTTACATGTACCATATATGGCTACACTGTCCTCGGAAAGGGAACTACAGCTGGACTGTGGAAAGAAGTCTCCCGCGAAGCACATGTACACCAAATCTTACGAAAGGCTCAAGGATCAGCTGTGCCTGTTTCCCTCGGTACTATCAACTTGGCAAAAATTTACTTTCTCCATGGGGCTGGAGAGATTCGCCACCTGCTCGTCATGGGCTGGGGAGGCGAAAGTACATCGTCCATGGAACTGAAGCCGTCGCTTTTGCAGGAGATTCGCAGGTCAAATAAGGAAGAACAAGCCTTTGGAATCATTCATGACGATTTTCGTCCTGAGAACATTCTTTGGAATGAAGAGGTTGGGCGGGCGTTGATTATCGACTTCCACCGCTCTATGTTGAAAAAAAAAGTCGGCAAACTTCAAAAAGATCACGAGCAGTAAAGATACAGTCGTGCCCAGAAACTTCAGAAGATGTAAAGCGAAAACGCGTTTTGTGAGATGATTGTTCGCGAAATTCTTCTGAGAGAAGTCTTTCTAAGTAGATCAACCAATTGCATGTACGTGATTGGTATAACTAGCCAGCCTACGTACTAAGTACACGAGCTCCTAGTTCTCGTTATATGCAAGTGCCAAGATGCCGGCTTTTCAAAGGGGAACAGCACGATAGATTCAATAGAATCCTGCCTTTGTTTAGCTGAAGAGTGGTCGCACGATTCGGCTGATTTTCAACCGGATTCTCACCCATTTCATAGCCCCCTTTTTCACCATAAAAGGGCGCTTACCCCTTGTGTGTGCTAGTATATGAATCTATTCTAAGCCATAACTTATACATACGACCATAGGGTGTGGAGAACAGGGCTTCCCGTCCGCTCAGCCGTACTTAAGCCACATACTAAACGTGGTCAATAACCAAAGAGCCCTGATCTTAGATTAGCGTCAGTTTCTGTGTTAGGCTGAGTGCGGGTGATATAGGTGAGAATTCTGGAGACTGGGGTGAGAGAGGTGAGAACGGGGTGAGAGCGGGTGAGAACAGGATGAGAGGGGTAAGAATACCTAATGCGAAATGCTACGTTCTCCTAATCTGCAATGGTAGAAATAAAAGCCTGAGGGCGTAAGTTCAGTCTGCCATCCCCAAATTCTTTTTCACCCAGCTACTCGACCAAAAATGCTTCCAGAAGAAATACAAAAGAAGTTAGACGTGAGGCAGGTGTCGGAATGGAATATGCGGAGTGTATAGCAGAACGCTAGCGTATCTGCCAGAACTAGTTAGCGTGCTCAGAGGAATATTGTACACAAAACCTCAGGCAGATTTTCAGAATAATACTCACACCACACGCGCATGCTCTATATTAGGTCTCACCGCTTCTGACAGCAGGCACATGCCACGTCACGTAGTTTCACCTACGAGTCTCAGAACACGCGAGAACAAACGGTTAATACCATCTGCCACAAGCAGCTCGCTCTAGCTACGCTCCGTAACTATGAGAATATGGTATTAAACTGGACACTATAGGTATTTAATATACTGTTTTTGACCACTGAGGCTTATTAATATATAATATATAATATATAGAGACTTTCTCGTAACGAAGCGACTAATGCTAATTTTGTAAGGGTACTAAGGGGCTGGCTAGTGACCAGTTGACTAGGCAAGTGATAGAGTATGAAAGCTGTGATTCGTAGGTAACAATGAAACTGATTCTTGAAGATCCCTCGAGGAATCGGGGACTTATCGACTGGTTGATATATCAAAGAGTCCGGAATGCAATCCCAGTCGAATCGATATCGTCAGGACCTCGTCTCATCCAGGGCTGCCGACGGAATTGAACCCCGTCGAAGCTATATTGTCATCTTATCAGATATCTGATAGGTACATGCCGGATACCCCTCGGCCCCGATTAGGCCAGGGATCGCTGTCGAGTTGATATCCCGTGATAAATGGGCCTTACTTTAATTGTAAGAGTCATCCCCTGAAAGGAATACTATAGTCGGAGATCAGTTTTACAGCCAGGAGATTATATCTGGGTAACTACAATCAAGTCAATAAGCGCTTCAGGATAGGTACTTCCACCAATAATTATCTTTAAAGACAAATTCTATAAAGAATTATAGTTTGATAATCTTCTATCTGACTAGCGCTTTATAGTTAGCGCAAATAGCTGGATAACTAATGAAATAGGTCTTCGATGGCTTCAGGAAGTTTTGATTCTATCAAGATAGAGCACAGGAGAAACACATATCCAGTTAGATTTTAATTAATAAAAATTGGCATTATGGTTGATAAAATGCACAAAATAGTAGCAAGTAGTGGCGTGGGTGGCTCACTCGGCGGTGTGGCTCGCTCGGTGGTGAATTACATTAGGGTTATTAGTTATTCGATATATTCAGATTTGTCAAGCTGTTTTCTTAGACCCTCCTACCAAAGCAAGTGTTCCGCTAATGCTTTGAATCATCACATATTTTCCAAATTCGTCCCAGAGAAAAAAGGCCATCTCATCTTAGTATAGAGTCGGCCTCTCCAACAGATATTCACTAAGAGCTTCAAGCATAGATAGCGTGATACTGTTAGGGCGTCCATCGCCATTTCGGAAGGCTCTCACGTCTCCAAACACTTACAGGTTAAAGCAAATATAGAGTATAGATTGCTTACTGCAATCAGCGGCATAGGCCATCTGAGACGTCGTTAGTGAGTTACTCTAGATCATATGATAGATAAGCTCAAGTTGTGGCTGCTTCAAGTTAGGTGCCATCTTCCTTGGTGTAACGTGAAGTGTCTTAGTGCTACGTGGACTCTCGGCGCGAGATCGGCAGCCCCTAACGGACCGACAATAACCCGAGCAAAATGACATCTTGTCAAAGCATTCGGCGGGCGTTTGGCATGACCAATTAGGGAAGGGACCTCAGAGGAGAGGTATCAAAAGTCTGTATTTTTGAATATGATTTACCATATAATTTATAGGGGTTCGTGCACAATTTAGTGCAATACGTCCATCCTGGTAACCTTATCATTCTGCCACTCCCTTCCGCGGTGGGCCATTCCAAGCAAATATTGCCGATATTGCTGACACATTTTTTTCGATGCTTCGAATGGCGCGCAAGTTTGCATAGTTTGGGCCGGCTCGGGCCGACACCGCTTCCGATGGCGGAGCTAGAAGCCACGTATCTGTGGATGGAGTTCCACAGAATCCCTGTAGACATATAATGTGCGCATAGGGCGACGTTCAAAGTATTCATTGCGTTCCTTGAATTGATGTATACTGAAAGTAACTTCTGTACTATTGGAAAGGAAATGTGGTTCTATCAATTACAACAATGCGATAGAAATTGATGTCACATGATGGCGGGGCTAGGCTGACACGCAAACACGCTTACAGACTGCCACCTAAGGAAAAGTAACCCCGCATGTTACTCCTGGCCAACAGATCGTTAACTTCATGATCCATGGACTCAACGATCTCATTTGTTGGTCCCAATTATGGATCAGAAATAGGCATCAACCATGGTTTTATCAAGAACGAGTTTCATCTTCCTCAGGGTAACTTAAAAGAGTACTTGTTAAGTGTCGATCGTACTAACCTTTGTGCAGACCTTAATCAATTATTACCTATCGTGCCCGGGGCTGCATTCAACTCATATGCAGACCAACATAAAGATAAATGTCTCCCAGGCACACGAACCGAAATTATCGATCAAATCAGAGAATGGGCATCGTCACCACACGGGAAATGCATGTTCTGGTTGAATGGTCTAGCTGGGACAGGCAAATCAACTATCTCTCGAACCATGGCGGAATCCTTCAGCCATTCTAAGTCCCTAGGAGCAAGCTTCTTCTTTGAGAGAGGTGAAGGAGACCGAGGGAATGCCAAAAAGCTTTTTCCAACAATCGCAAGACAACTAGCGATTAGCATTCACCAGTTGAAGCCATTCCTCCAAAAAACCGTCTATGGTGACCCGGACATCGCAGAAAAGGCAATAAGAGAGCAATTTGAAAAACTTATTATTCAGCCACTACAAAGCCTTGAGCGATCCGATGTCCCTATCCAAATCATGGTGATAGTGATCGACGCACTGGACGAATGTGAGGGAGATAATGATATTCGGCTTATAATTCGACTTCTCCCACAGCTACAAAATATCACTGCTATACGCCTACGAGTGCTTTTAACTAGCCGGCCTGATCTACCGATCCGTCTCGGATTTTTAAAGATTGCAAGCAATGACCATAAGGACCTTGTGCTCCATGACATCCCTATGGAGGCGATCAAGCATGATATATCATTGTTCTTTGATTATCGACTCGCCGAAATTAGAACAGAACGCTCCCTACCTGCAGACTGGCCTGGTGACAAAGATCTTCAGAGGCTAGTGGCATTATCCGTTCCCTTGTTCATTTTCGCTGCTACTATCTGTCGTATATTCGAGGATCCGAATTGGGACCCAACTGAAAGTCTTACGGAGATCCTTTCACGATCAAAAGATCAATCGCAGTTAGATAGGACTTATATTCCGGTTCTTGGCCGTCTTCTTAGCGGACAGCATGAACGACAAAAAGAGAGACTGGTCTCAGAGTTCCAACAAGTGATCGGTGCCATCGTGATACTAGAAAGCCCACTCTCAGTGATCTCACTATCAAAGCTTTTAGATATTCCTGAAAGGCTGATACATCTTCGTCTAAACCAGCTGCACTCAGTGCTTCAAGTGCCAGATAGCGACGCAGTTCCTATACGTCTCTTTCACCTGTCATTTCGTGACTTTCTTCTCAATCCGGAGACCCGCAGCAAAACACCTTTGGGGGTGAATGAGACAGAGATACACTACAGGCTTGCCAGGCAATGTTTGCTGATGTGTCAAAAACTTCGGAAAAATATATGTAGACTACCAAGTGATGGAACCCTTCGTGCTGAAATTGATCGTCGGACTGTTGATACCTACATTCCCTCTGAGTTGCAGTACGCCTGTCGATACTGGGCATATCATCTGGATAAATGCAGGGACTCGAGTAATATGGTTTATAATGCTCTGTTATTTCTCCAGAGGCAATTTCTACGGAAGCATTTTCTACACTGGGTGGAAGCAATGAGCCTACTTGGTCTCACGTTAGATATGTTAGGTATTCTTGATCGCCTTCAAATAGCCTTATCGGTAAGTTTGAAGACCGTCAAACACAAGGTACACACTGACAGGTTTAGGACAAAAACTTTTCCCCAGTTTCAGCCTTTTTTCAAGACGCAAAGCGCTTTTTTTTGAAATATCGCCAGATAGTTGATCGAGCGCCTCTTCAGGTTTACTGTGCCGGACTTATATTTGCACCCCAAACGGCAATAATTCGTAGAGAGTTCAGGCGAGAGCTCCCAACTTGGATATGCCAGTTTCCACAAGTTGAAGACAATTGGGGTGCAGAAATACAGACACTTGAAGCTCATTCGGGTTCGGTCCAGTCGGTGGCCTTCTCGTGTGACTGCCGACTACTGGTGTCTGGCTCTGGTGATATGACAGTACGGGTCTGGGACCCAGCGACCGGCACACTCATCCAGACACTTGAAGCCTATTCAGGTTCTGTGTATTCGGTTGTATTCTCACCTGACGCCCAGCTTCTCGCATCTGGCTCTTACGACAATAAACTGCGGCTCTGGGACCTAGCAACAGGTGAGATCACCCAGACGCTTGAAGGTCATTCGGGTTCGATCCAGTCAGTAAGCTTCTCGCCTGACGGCCAGTTGCTGGTATCTGGATCTAATGATCAGACAGTACGACTCTGGGATCTAGCAATAGGCGCTCTCACCCAGACGCTTAACGGCCATTTGGGTTCAGTTCAGTCAGTGGCCTTCTCGCCTAACGGCCGGCTTCTTGCTTCTGGCTCTAATGATCAGACAGTACGACTCTGGGACCTAGTCAGAGGTGCGCCTATCCAGACACTTAAAGGCCACTCTAATAGGGTTCGTTCAGTTGCCTTCTCGCCCGATGGCCGGCTACTAGCGTCTGGTTCTAGTGATATGACAGTGCGGGTCTGGGACCCGGTGACCGGTGCACTCATCCAGACACTTAAAGCCTATTCAGGTTCTGTGCATTCGGTTGCATTCTCACCCGATACCCGGCTTCTCGTATCTGGTTCTTATGACCATAAACTACGGCTCTGGGACCTAGCGACAGGCAAGATCACCCAGACACTTAAAGGTCATTCAGGTTCAATCCAGTCAGTAAGCTTCTCGCCCAATGGCTGCCTTCTGGTATCTGGCTCTGAAGACCAGACAGTACGGCTTTGGGATCCGGCGACACACACGCTCACCCAGACATCCGAAGAATATTCAAATTCAGTTCAGTCAGTGGCCTTCTCGCCTGATGGCCGGCTTCTCGCGTCTGGCTCTAAGGATCAGACAGTGCGGCTTTGGGACCCGGCAACAGGAGCGCCTATCCAGACACTTGAAGGCCACTCTAGTTGGGTTCGTTCGGTTGTCTTCTCTCCCGACGGTCAGCTACTGGTTTCTGGCTCTGGTGATATGACAGTACGGTTTTGGGATCTAGCGACACGCACGCTTACCAAGACACTCGAAGGCCATTCAGGTTCAGTTCAGTCAGTAGCCTTCTCGCCCGATGGCTATCTGCTAGCCTCTAGCTCTGAAGACCAGACAGTGCGGCTCTGGGATATAGAGACAGGTTCACTTACCCAGACACTCAAAGGTCATTCAGATATGGTTGAGCCGATTGCCTTCTCGCCCGACGGCCGTCGTTTAGCGTCTGGCTCCTACGATCAGACTGTACGACTCTGGGACACAGCGACAGGCGCGCTTATCCAGACACTTGAAGGCCACTCTAGTTGGATCGATTCGGTTGCTTTCTCGCCCGATGGCCGTCTTCTAGCATCAAGCTCTGCTGATTGTACAGCGCGGCTCTGGGACCTAGCGACGGGCGCCCTCATGCAAACTTGGAATATCGAAAATTCCTTTACTACGCTAGAATTTTCCTACGACGGTATTCATATCTATACCACTTTCGGCGCTCTTGAAATAAAATCCAAGTTTGAAAATTCAATGTCCCATCCACCTCGTGCAAATCTGGGTATCTCTATTGAGCATGGACAATGGATAAAATTAAAGGGTGAGAAGGCTCTCTGGCTACCTGTAGAGTATCGACCCAGGTGTCTTAAGACGAAGGGTAATACACTGGCCATGGGGCACACGTCAGGGCGGATTTCCTTTTTCAAATTTCGTATGTAGATGTGATAAGTGATGTTTGCTTTCGCTCTTTCTTCTTAATTTCGAGTCTCTATATGAAATAAGGACCTACGAAAAAAAATGAGAATTTACTCAGCTCTATCCTGCTTATTGAATATTCCAAAATTGCAGTGATAACGCCTAGAATAGCCAGTGAATGTGACTATAGGTGGAGCCTCTCCGCATGATTCGCAGAGACCCACTATCAATTTCCATGGAACTCTATTGAGTTCTCTACATAACGTGTAAATTTTCGTACAGTAGCAAGATACGGTACTATACAAAGGCGCATTTTCCGTTGCCTCTCAATTTAACCTGGCCTGCTCAATGGATGATCTGTGCTTGTCTTTTGGCGGTGGGGCCAGAAAAGAGTGATTCAGTGTGTGTGTTGGTCAAGCCGATTTCGAGAATCACTGTAGTATACACTGTGTGTGTGTGTGTGTGTGTGTGTGTGTGAAATCATTTACCCTGACCCCTCACTGTGAAGCGATATGCAGGCTACAACTACTGCTAACATACATGCTTTCATGTTTTAAGGAGATTGTTCCAAACTTCCTGAGCGGTGAACTTTGAGCCTCACCTGATAAGGCCTGTCGTGGCCGTTTTGCCGTTCCTGCTGTTAGGCTGCCCTTGTGGCGCGGCTATAATTAGTTCCCCGATAAGGCAGCCAACAAATATCCGCGACTGGTTGCATTTCTGTAAGAAATCTAGAGAACACTGGCAGTACTGAATGTTAGAACTTCGACAACGATTATGCTGCAGATGTGGTTTTAGGACGTTTCTTGGATTTCTTTTCAAGCTTGAATAGAGACGGTTTGTTATGGAAACAGCGATGAAGATCTTCAATGTTGAGACTAGGTTTGAGTTATACGGGTTGGTGAGATCTGGGAGTCGGTTCTGGTAGAGATATAGTGGAATGCTGGAGAACAGAAGCGTAGGATTTTTGTTGGCGTAGAGGGAAGGAGGTAATCACTGGGGTTGGTTAGACAGCTTGTAGAGGATAGGTGGCTAGTCGTGATACTAGCGTTTCCGATTCAAGCCTAGTGGGTGGCAACTCGACAGGAGTCTTGAGATCAATTCCCGCCTGGTTCACGGGTGTAGGAGCTATGGGTGCTGAGCGAGGTTCGGGTCGTGCATTAGATTCAGGGGCAGAGATCTGTGTAGATAGGTCTACATAAGAGGGCGCATGGGATGGAGCTGGCAGAAACAGTTCGAGGTCATGGCAAATAACCTGCCACAAGCAGTCTTCTCTGTGTATTCTTGGTAGATCTCCGTCTCACAGGCGAAGCAGCAAGCCGGCGCGAGTTTGGTAATATAACCCATTCTGGGCAAGCTAATGGGGCGTGATACCGTTGGGGAGTTGGCGCTGGAATAAGGTAGCTCTCGCTGCGAGGTTGAGTAGGTGGTCGAGATGCGGAAGGGGGTTTCACATTGCGGTGTGGGCGGTTCGGTTCAACGGTAAGGTGGATTCTGTGGGTTTTGAGGTTGCGAACGGGCTGGGGATGATCTTGAAGGATTTCTGGTTCCCATCAGGGCCTGGTAGTTGAGGCTTCATTTTCTCCCATCAGATACAGTCTGTAGTATCCTGTAGTATACACTGAGGTTCGAAATTGGCTTCCATGTTTTACACAGAGAAACTATCTCGAACCCTAACGCTAAGGCGATGGTGAAACTGCCTAGTTCAGATATATTTTACAGATCAGCTGTGCGCGTAATGTGTAAACATTAAAGTATCTGACATAGTTGATATGTCATAGGACTTTTAATAAAGTGTTTCATTACTGTCGAGTTTTCGGATACATGTATTATTTAAGTATCAAGAGATGGCTGATTAATGTATAAGATAGATTAATGAGTGTTTGTCTGGATCTTTTGAGGTGAACTGTGGCTATAAACTGTGTGTTATATAACAGTTCTCCTGAGAATAGTCTTATTTATCCTATAATAATTATAGTAATAACTGTTAATGCTGAATAACTAAAAGCAGTATTTTATCTCTCTTAGTGACGATATCTCTCAGTGTTAACAGATAACTACCTAACTCTTAGCAGCAAATAAGGCACACGGGTCTCTCTCACGCGAGACGTACTTCCTTTTTTATATCCAATACAGCCTTGAATAATTCTAGAGCTGTCAAGCGCGATCCTAGATATAGCCTAGTAATTAGCAAACACTATATAAAGTTTCCTAACGTACTTTTAACCGAGCTTCTATAAATAAGATAGCTAAGGATCTGTTTATCTGTATACAGGTCTGGCCGGTCAGGTCCCGATATATGGCCCAGGCCTGGCCTGGGCGATGTGATCTATCAGTTCCCCTGGATTTTTACTCGCTGCGGGTCGCACCTTTTTTCTTACACTATTTTACATAAACAGCATGCAGGCACCGCTCAATTGATTCAATTCGGCTGTAGCCCTTCACAGCTTGAATCTATTACTATTTCCATCCAAAACAATAGTATAGAGAAAGCAAATTTTTTTTAATATTTTATGTTCTCCTGAATAAGCACTAGGCCAAAAAATTTAAACAATAGAGCATAAGAATGTGGATAGAAACATCTTTTCACGATTTGCTTTTTGTACAATGTCTTTTTTCTAAGACGGTAGTGTGAGTGACGGTAGAAAGAACGCTTGTTCGTGCGCCTCCTCCTGAGTGTTCTCAGCCCGTAGTCCTGGGGCGGCCTTGGGTACCTGTTCCCTTTCACGTGACTTTCGGAGCTAATGCCCCTTCGGTTTGGTTGGCTCTCGGTGGCCCATCAGTAAGTTGCGGCCTCTCATGTCGCAGGATCCGTAACACATCATTCCCAGAATCTCGAAGTGTCTTCCTGAGATGTAAAGGAATTGCTTGTATTACACGATCGATCTGTATTTGGTCAATAATGCTAGCTATAAAATTCTTTGAGGGCCTTACTTCTATCATAATGGCTGAAGGCAAGTTGGTGTAAAGAATACGTTATACGTTACTGCGCTAGTGAAATACGGTACCCAGGTGTTCTCATACATTCTTTGGATCGCGCACGGCCAATGCGCTAATGCAACAGGGATAGGATTTGTGTGCCTGGTCACACAAGAGACAGTGTGGACACAACCTGCAGCTGAGGCTATGCTATTAGGTCTAACAATAGACGGCTGAATAGTGTACCGCCCCCCACCTTTCTCATGACTCCAATGCGCAGACAATTAATACGTTGTGCAAAATGCCCCAAAGCCACTACTGCAAGGCCATGACGCTGTCACATGAACTCCAGCGATACCTCCAAGCAATGAAATGATCGAATTTCAGAAAGCGGGGCCACAAAGACAATCAGGCCAGAATCGTTCTCAGGTTCAAGCATTTTCATGGCAGTGGTTGGAATCTGCCTAAATGTAGGACGATATCGTCAGTTACGAAAGCACGATATCCTCCCTTCTTCGTTTTGACCCTCTTCAACTGAGCACTCATCTTGAAAACACGAATCCCGTATCGAAACCCAGCCAGCATATTACAAAGTTATTTTAAAGACCAAAGCCAGTGGAATATTGCGTCTTCTTCTCTGTGTCTGTCATTCCGATTAAGTATGTCATATTACCTTCTTTGGGGTCAACAATTTATTGATATTCTTTAGGTAAAATGTGTCAGGAAATCTATAGTGTCACCAAATTTTTGTGCAGCCACGAGGAGGATGGCCCTACGCAGATCACACCCCTTAATAAATGCGGCGGTTGTGGTATCGTGAAAACCACTAGTCCAGTACGAGCCGGTGATACAACCAAGCGATATCCTTGCGATGACTGTATTGCTAGTCAAGCTTGGGTGAAGGTTCATAATGTCTGGGTTAAAAATACAGCAGGAAATTCTTAAAACACTTATCAGAAGCGCTATATTATGAATATTATGAATCGCATGTGTAATATGTCAGGCGGGTTCATCTTTCGCGGCTTTGCCCCTCTTAATCTACTCCTCCACGAGCTACGCACGCCCCTATATTTATAGCTGTCAGTTGGTCTCTCTTTTCTTCTCCGAGCTCAACAAGAAAATTGGTGAGCATTGTTTTGTTGAATTTAAGCTCGGCTATCGCCCTTTCAAGCATCTATTGCGGAAACCTTGTATTCAACTTCATAACTCCAATACTGGTGACTTTATTCGCCAATTGAGTGTGTCCTTGTCACCGCGTTATCTTCTACATCCTACAAGCTGTTTATAGTTACAAGGTTTCGCTATTAATAAGCCACAGCGCCATCCTCTAATTGTTTGTAAAAGTAAACAGCCATGAGCCAGCTTCATTTTCACTTAATTCGTCCAATGGTATTGGATAAATAGGACATCAAAAGCCAAAGGTCCACCCCTGCCTTAGGAGAACGAATGAACAAATGATCTTAATTGTGGTTCGTGTAACGATCGAGATTCGACCCTGTTTCCTTTTTAGGCTTAGCGCGACTCTACGGCCTATCTGAGAGCCTCACCTTCCATAGTTTCTCTCTTCTTCACGCTTAGTATCGAGTGTTCAATGCACTTGATTCTTCTCAATTAGGCTTCTGTTACAACAATGATCAAAAAGTCAGTATAATCTGTTATTCGGTTTTTTAAAGGTCTGTTTAGTGCTAGATGTAAGAACTCAGATCGAAATGACGAATATCGTGTAGTATTGTACGAAAGTATCAAAGCTAGAGAAAGAGGAGAAGGAGAGATGGTCTCTCTCAATGGCTACCCAGTACATGGGATACCTCGATCAGGTGATATCAGATGACACCCGTCGAAAGATGCTTTAGATCGTTACACTAGAAATGATTTTTCATCAAGTGATTGACAGATATAGATTGTATGTGATTCAAATGAGACTAATGCAATATTGTAATCAGAGTATTTTTGAAGAAGCTCAGTTGTGAGAGGGGTTATAGCCATCAAAAAGAAGATGTTTCTCTTCAGGTTCTGCATGCCTGATTGTCTGGGCATTGAAATTATCTAGCTATTGAAGAACAAGTTTATTATCAATCTAATCAGTCTTAGAACAGACTGTTATTGTATAGAAAGAAAGACTATTATATTTTTTAAATCACATCTTCATAAGATTTTGATCTTCAAAAATGAATATTAGGTTAAGAAAAATACCAATAGCAGTAATATATTCAATTACTGTGGTAAGCTTATCTTGTTTAATATGACCAATTTTTACTATCTCAGCCTGTGAAATGATCTTCTTATGTTTATCCTGGCCTGGAGTAAATCCACATTCATTCATATTATAAATTAAATGAGCTGGGGTATCTCTAATAAAACTCTTCCGTTTGGAATACCAGAATGCAAGAGTTGCAGGATTCTCGGTCTTACAGTGTGTTGCTTCTTTTGTATAACCCAGCATGTCAGAGTATAGGCCTGGTACGGTTTGAGGACTTGATTCGGAGGCAATTGAGAAGCTGGTTTAAAACCACGTTGAATACGGTGATATAGCAGTCTGTAGGTATTACCGAATTTGCGTGCAAGCTTTGCAATCTGTGGCTTCTTCGTGTGGCGGCGGCCTTCCTTATAGGCCTTTTCTTTCGCAATTTAGGCCTTGCAGGCCTTGGCTAGGCGTCCTTTGTTGGTGTAGGTCGATTTCACTGGTGGATGTAAAATGGACATGCAAATCGGGATGGCAAAACATTGACATGTACCCGGGCGCACCGACCGGCTTCGCCGGTCGGGCGCCGAGGCACCAATATTTGTAAACTGATAGAGACTATATACATCTGCCAAGAGACCGGACGTTTCAGAAAGAGATTTATAGTCCAATGGTACTCAATACCAGCTCAGCTGAAAGGGGCCAAATATAGATCCCCCATACTCACCCGTACTCACCCAATTCTCACCCCATTCCCACCCTGTCTATTGCGCACTCACCCTAATCACTCGAGTCACACAACGCTAAATCGGCGCTCGCCCTTTTCTCATCCAGGCGGCACCCACCCGACTACTAACTGTAGTTTAGCCACACGCCGGCAGGTTAGTAGTATGGTGGGTGACCACATGCGAATCCCTGCTGTTGTATGTTTTGTTTTTCCTGCAATTTGTTCCGCAATCATGTTTTTCTTTCTTTCATTCGTCAGGATGATAACAGCACTGTTTCTTGGTTTTCTTATTATTTTTACTTCAAGCTTTTAAATGGCGATGTGACAAATCGGCTAGACCATGGTTCTCCTATTTGCAACACTCTTCCAACCCCCACGTTTGCTATCGTCCTACATCTTTAGATAAGCTGGCTTGCTGAAGCTGCATATCGTTGCAATCACAATCATCTGGTCTACTATTAGTCACTTTCAAGTTCTCTCCTGTGGAACAACGAATGTTACTGCCCAAGTGCATTGGCAACGAATATCACCAGGGTATTTTTAGTTCAAAATTGAAGAAAAACATAGTATTGTGAAAAAAAAAATATGTTGGAAATGAGGAATTGCAGAGTACGATATATGTGACAACCTGGGCATCAGCTTGGTAAGAAACAGGTTTCCAAAGTTGCTGATCATCAGCTGCACTCATGTCCGAATAGCTTGAGGGCCAGCCCTTGAGTTTCTGGACACACTCGGATACGGTAGAAAGGAACCAATCCTCATCATGCACACCAGAACCATTTGAGAACAAGTCTCATGAGCTGATCCGTTTGCAATTATCATAGTGGACAACCGGCATATTTACATACATGCTTCCGGCGGGGCTGTCACTGGAATCTTGAATGACAGACAAGAAATCAGAGGCATCTGTCGGCACCTGCAGGTAAGAGCCGTACTTGTCCTGGTACCACTCAGTGGCCTCGCCAAACTCGAAAGCGTCGACACCATATTTCTCGGTCTTATCCACGCCCTTGGCATTTTTCCACTGTTTCCAGCCTCCATTGTTGGCAATTGACTGAGCTTTAACATAGAAGTAGCAGGTATCACCCTTGCAGACACGAGTGGACTTTTCGAGATCATGAAGCTTCATGGTCGCGGGGTTGACACCGTGAGTGCCCTTCTTGTTGCTAGTTGGGGATTTTGGCTCATGTGTTAGCTCTTATGAAGGAGATTGACAACTACTGGTATACGCAAGTATGGGTAGAGCGTGTCATGAGTGAATATGCAAAAGTCCCAGTGAATTTTACAAGCCATGGGCTCGATGGCCTAAACAACCTTGGAAGTGGCCAGACGGTCATAGCAAAGAAGTTGGAGAACGGGAGACAGTACATAATAGTGATGGACCACTCATATCATTCATACTCGTCCTAGGCAAAGAAAACTCCCTTGGAACGGTTTGCCAGTCACTTCTTTGCGCTCATGATATCCTGTCGCTCTAGCACTGTGCGGGCCATTTTGTTGCCGATGTCATTATTCAAGTTCTTAAAAACTGCGATGACACCTTCGCAGTCTTTCTCGAGGGACTCCTAGCTCATTTTGAATTTTCCACCCAAGCTTGTCATCTCGATCTGAACACCGATGATACTCTTCTGCAATAATGCAATGTATCTGTCGAGGGCATCTGAAATCTTCCACGGATCTGGCTTGTCGTCCCCATTATAACCCATCACAAATGTCTTCGCATGGTGGGAGAGATCATTGATCTGCCGAGACAAATATTCAGTCGATTCCGACCCCAGTTCAAAAAAGACAGTTCCTTTTCCATATGCCTGTACGGCAGAATAGTCCCAAGTTGGCATAACTTTGCCTGTGGAGGGCTTGATCTCTGTATAGAAATTCGGTGTCAATCAAGGCCTTTGCTTGGGGATTCGCTCTAGCCATGTGTCCTTGCAGCACACCCAGGACCCAGGAAGATCCCGAAGCGCCATTGGGCGTATCGATGATCAAAAGGATGTGGCTCACTTGGAGGAACGGAAAGCCTGGCGAATAAATTGCAGTCGTGAGAGCCCCAAGAGGGTTGTTTCTAATAAATGCCTGGGGGTTACGGATGTTCTGTTCCGCATGGATGGCACGTGTTTACATTGCGAATTGATTGTTGTGAACACTAACTTTTCGATAATGATGTGTGTCGCTTATGTGAAATCAAATTCAGGGAGTATGTGAAGCTTATGGGAGCAATAATGAGCAAGTGTCATGCAGGCGTTGGAGGAGTGACATATGAACTCACCCTTGAATACTACTAGTTAGTAGGCGAAGCTTGGCAATGAATCAGTCTAGCCCCATGGCCCCCAACTTGCAAACCCATCAGAGAGAATACTCCCGTTGACGAAGATGAGGAAAGCATCCTGATCACGTGGGCTGACACGTTAGATAAAACTGAGAGCTCACCACAAGCAGGTACAGTAAACCAACCCAAGAGAGGCGTCCACAATGGCTAAAGAAATCTCCATACGCCGATATACTTGCGATATCCAAATAATAATGTGGCCAAAGATTCGAAATCCTATCTCGTCTCTAGTATTGCGGGTATCAGTCATCCCATGGCCTCTTTTTCATTGGACATTTGGGATTCAGTCGCATCTGCACTTCGTTCAAAACTTCTTGACGCTGATTTACGCTTCCAATTCCTATTTCCTCGACTTTCGTTTCAGGGCCGATGCGTGCGACGCGCGCGTCTTCCAGTTCCGTAATGGAATATAACTTAAGACACTGGAGTAGCCATATCTGGATTAGCTGATTGTAAATAGGGCTTGAAAGAGTAAGCTCTTTGTCTCCCATATGGAAAACGTAGTCGAGCGCCACTATATTATGGCGACTTGAACTAGGGTAAATGAAATCATCATCATCATCATCACTGTATTTTAACGGTGCTGGTCGAGGAACCGAACAACCCCGGAGCGATGGCGGACCCACTCGCGGGAGGACCCGAACCCCCTCCCACAAACACCGAGGAAAGCATCACCAGTTTCTCAGTTAAGGATTTCCAGTCTCGCATCTAGACCGATGCAGTCCAGATCATAGGGAAAAGAACGACAAATGGCGAAACATACACATTCGCTGAAGGCACAGGTCGCCACTAGAGAAGTGTGGAAGCTCATCGACAATCTGAAGGATATCATCCACCATCAACCACACTCATCGACTTCTATACACTTCATTGGAGTATGGTGTTGGGCGCGTGTCGGGAACCGGTCGACTGCGTGGGCCGTCGCTGATGTAAGGTTCTCTACAACCCGGTCAAGTGTTGGTTGGGTCTTGATCTCCTTCCATGGGCTCATCTGTCGGGCTACTTTCTCTCTGGTTCTGGCCCAGTCCGTGCGCTCGTACACCTTTTGAGCGGGACGCTGGTGCTGTAATTGAAATCGTACTTTCTTTCCCAACAGAAAAAGTGGCTATTCGGTAGCCTGTCTTACATTTGATGCCACTTTAAGCGACAGGGTTCCCCGCCATAACTCCCCTCTTTTAAACGTACGGACCCCATCACTCCTTCAACACGTTCAGGTTACTTCAGAAAGTGAATATTACTCAAAATCTTTGAAAAAAAAGTGGAAACAAGTGCAGCAATATCAACTCTTTCTCGCCAATCTATCATGGCGCGCCTCCCAGAACGTATAATGACGTACGTGTGCTCTTCTAAAGGCTACCGAATTAAGAAGAACCCAGCAAACCTAATCTCTCATCAAATATATAGCAAAGATCAGTTCACTTCTAAGGTCGAAGAGTCCACGGAACCTGTCTTTATATTCATTCTACCAACCTTCTACAGCGATTTCTCTCCAGAGATCCAGCGTTTTGCCGAGACTTACCCCCAGTCTAAAATATACGGCATTGTCTCCTCGGAGTCTCCAGAGGTTCTAGAACACCTTACTGGGAAGTTTAAGGTGTCAACTGTAACGGAATTTATCCTTTGGAGAGACAAAACCAAGGTCATTGAGTATTCTCGTGGACAGCTCTCTGATCTAATGACCGTTCTAAAAGCAATCAAGATATTAGTCGAGTAAAACTCGGGCCACTTCTTCTCAGTTTTGTGCAATTTTCCTAGATTGGGACCTTTATGAGATGATCTTTGAGGTCTGATGTAAACCACCATGCATTTGAACTTACCTTGGTGAGTTGAAATACCTAGGATATGTATGGTAGACGTTAATCAACTGGCTTTTTCTTTTAAAGTAAGGGAGCTCAAGTGGGATATACCAAAGGCACTCACGTAGAGATTGTTATGTATGCTGTTTTGCCAGTCTCTTGAAGTCTGGTCTCAGTCTTTATCTGTGAATAAGATAGTTCAGCGATGAAATCTCTTACGTTATCACCTATGTCAGCGAATGGACGACAAAATGGCTACAGAGGCAAGCAACTTACTCTCGTGAGACAGTTGTAGGGGAGAAGATTACCCTACTGCCTATTAATGGGATCCTCATACCCTAGAGAATCATTTAAACCTTGGAAGATGATTGCAGACCGTGATGCAATTCCAATACTGAAGACTTTTGTGTACTGACTAAAATTATCACTAAATAGGTTCGAGGCCGACGAACAGCAGAAAGTCGGAACATTCATTTTTTCTCTTAGAAAAATAGCCTATGTCGAAACTAAGGATAATGTATCGTGTTTTTTGCTGCAGATATACTTTGAGATATTATATATTCTAGAGAATAAAATGAGCTAATAGGGTGACCTTTCTTCCTGCAGTTTATAAAAGTTGAGTCTATCGACAAAGGAACGGTTGATGACTAGCAAAAAATACGCAACACTCACATCAACATCAGTGGAGTAGAGCAACAATCAACAAATCACTATTGAAAAGAAATAGAAAAACCCTTGCAAGATTCACTTTTGAATAACACAGACCGGATGGACTATCGTGTGTCTCATCATAGAGTCGTCTTATTACTTCAACAGTTTAAACAGTGATAAATACATACTGTTCGAACTCAAATATTGCTATACTATACCGACAACCAAAATCCCATACATGGCCTCTCTTTCATGCCTACTGTCTCCTACCAGTAAAGGAGAGAAGTCACCATATCCCATACGGAAGTACAGCTTCAAACCCCCAGTCATGGCAGTCCATATCCGATTTTCCAAACAATCACAGCAACTACAGTCGCGAGCGTACACGCAAGTATCATGACCGCGGGCATGAGTATGCCAATCATCGCCATACTAGTCAATGTCGCAAAGATACCGCTTGCTGGAGTGAATCCACCGTACATATAGGATTGGAAAGCGGCCGCTAGAGAACCTATCTAATATGTCAGTTTGAAAAGGCCCTTGGTATGCTCTTAATGAGCGAGACGCGAATATGATGAACCTGCAACAACCCCTCCAGGCCCAAACCCAAGACATAGTATAATTGTAATAACAACGGTGAAGGTGATCCACCAAGCGGTGATGATTGCGTAAACATCTTTGAGAGTACGTTATTATTCATTTTAGTTCTAAACCGACACTTGTATTTCCTTACTGGGACGTGAAAGCCACTCTGAGGCTTTTATCAACCATGAATCCTCTGACCAGGTCTCAGAGAGGATTTCCGCGCCAGACAAGACAAGAGAGCGGTCTGCCACAAACCGATAGAATCCAGCCCCGACAGTCTCAGGCTGCATTAAATTCAAGCCTGCTATAAGGAAGCTGAGAGGCGCCATTTGTAATGCAATGGGTAATAAATTGGAAGAGTTCAAAAGCGAATACAGCACGGGGGGAGTGATGCTTGAAGTTTTGCCCAAGGCTCGAAGGGTTAGAATGGGTGGACACCCGGAAAGGAGGACTCACTAATACTATCTCAATTAAGATGACCACTCAGCGAAATTATTTGGCCAAATGTAGTCACGTAATCAGATACGATCCGGCAGTACCAAAGGAATGGGGAGTGGGCAGATTACGCCTTGCGTAATACGTGGTTCGCCCCCTCACCCCGGCCGGTAGGCCCCTGCGGCCAATCTATTACCCTGTCTTAGCGCCGTGGAAGTCACTAGATAACTAGTCAGCCTAAGAATATGCCCCGTCTTTACCTGGGAGACAGAAAATGTCTTGGCCACAGCCTCATGTTTCGCCATCTAAGCCCCGTCGTGTCGGCAATCGACTGGGGCTCGCTTTCCGCCCAGGAAACCTGTTCAAGGACAAGCACCGGCAGGCCCACAACAACGCTGGGCGATGTAAGAGGCAGCCTTTTCGCTTTTGGCTACTCCCAATCATATTTTCCAGCCAGCAAGAGGGGTTTGCATATAAGCGCTCATGGCCCACAGCCTCCAACTCGAGTTTGTTATTGGCGAGAGCTCGGTGTTGTGTGGCCTAACCCCGATCTTGTGCTTTTCTAGTTTGCTTCCCTAATCCACAGCTAGATACTCCTATATGATAATTGAAACGGTTGCGTCATTTTGACTGACGGTGATGAACAACATTCTATAGTTATGTGTTTTCTTTATCGGGCCTTATCTAGTAGCCTCGCATACACCCCTCTGTACTGTATTGTGGAGCGCCGTAAATAAGAAGGCTTCAAGTCAAAAACCGACTCAAGGACAAAAAAGATAGGTTATTCTGCCAAGCTCAAAAAAAGATCTCGATATGGAAGAACTCATGAAGGAATTCAGGCATTTCGACGGATGTTGATTGTGTGGCCATCCTAGTTAGCGGATTGCGAAGCAGCTCATAGTGTCCAGAATGAGAATACAATTTCCGATCATTCCAAAGTTCCGTTTTGTAGCCAGTTCATGACGGGTTGGAGCATCTTAATGTTCGCTCTCGGTATGTAACACCGCCCTATGAACGATTCGGGCACTGACAGGGTTAGTAGGTACAATGTTTTAATATACGATATCGAATGAAGATAAGAATAAGTATAATACACTCAGTTCATCAGACTTATTGTAAATCGAAAGAGTAAAATACAGAAATCACTTCATGAGGATTGCATTAATAGTACGTAAAGCCAAGCGGAAGCCGGTTACATCAAAACATGCTTCATCGTACAACGAGGCAAAGCGAAATTCAATACAGCCAAACATAACTATCTAGTTAAAAATACAAAAAGGCCAACACGAGACAGATTCTTCTTTCAACTCACGGAATGTCTCCACACAATCTTCGAATACAGGTTCATCTTCTTCCCCTTCTTCATCCACACTGCCGGAGTAATCGGAATCCGGGAGAGCGTAAGTCCTGCTGATGCTTACTAGCAAAGCATTCTGGATGCCAACAGCGGCAATAATTGACGCTGTGCTGCAGAGAGAAGAGTAGTGACCTTCCTCGATGGTTATATTGTCTGCTGATGGGATGTGCACGTCGTCAGGGGAAATGTTCGCTCCTCCATGAGTGTATTGGGAAGATCAGAGCCGGAAATTCTTGAAAACCTTGGAATGCAGAACCTTGGAAAGCATACAGCGGCGCATATAGGGGCCGGGGGCTGGCCTGAACTTGAATTGCTTGATGCTTTCCACATTGGACGCCCGGGCGTAAGCATCAAGTTCACCCCCGTCTTCTTCCACAGAACATATGTCATCACGAATCGCAGATAGACTCGGAGGTATCTCTTGGCTGATCTGGCGTCGTTGAGAGATCTAACTCTCGCCCGTCGATATTCTAGAGATAATGTTAGACTTCCCATTGACTTGAAGAAGACTTTATGATCTTAGAACGTACCACCCAACGCATTAAAAGACTTCCGCGTTGATAGAAGACATCCTTCCGCTTTTCCTCGTTGATAAGAATGCACTTCCATCGCGATGGGAGGGTTGGAACTGGGAGACTTGACGAGAAAGTAGAATGATCTATGAGGCCAAGAACTTGGAAAGTGTAGTCAAGCTGGGAAGTCACGTTTAATCCTCTGCATTGGGTTATGGTGGTCCCTTCCTCCGTATTGACGGCTGGTGCCTATGGTACTGGCCTCGGGCATCCAGGCGTTCCTTCCATGTTTAGATAGCTTCGTCTCTCTCTCTCTCTCTCTCTCTCTCTCTCTCTCTCTCTCTCTCTCTCTCTCTCTCTCTCTCTCTCTCTCTCTCTCCCCCTCTTCTCTTCATCTGGTCACCAGCTTCGTGCCATCTGCTTCCTCCTCAGTAGCACCCTCCGACACTCCGTGGCTGCCAAAACGCGGCCGGGTACCTACCTAAGTAGGGAATTGGAAAAGCCGAGATCAGCACACACTTGAATTTTAATGGATACGTTTATATGAGACAGTCCATGGTTTGCCCAGGTGGGGCGTACCCGTTTCTACTTGAAGCTTGGACAACCTTGGAATATGACTTTGGCCGTGTATTGTTCAGACTTATTCAAGCTGATGTAACGACTCAGGACTACCAACCTAGGCACTGGTAGGTGGATGTTAGACTCCCTAGATCGGAGAGGCAATATCGATGCTGTATTTCTCCGAGTCTCAATTAAAACACGAGCCGTAACGAAATTGCAGGACAATATACTAGTAATTGGTAGGGTTTTCAGCATCGTTTTCATGAGCATGATATGTAGAAAGCTCGTGGTAGACACAGGGCCTTGGTCACTGGAATTTTCTACTACTGTTGAAATTTTTGTACGTGATGAAAGCATGTTGTATTCGTTACAGGTGCGGGTTGCAGCGCAGAGTCTATCAGAAGGTGAAATTTTCGAATGCAAGGTCAGCACGCCAGAATCGGTCAACCTTGTGACAGGTACCATCGAAATTCCATCCCAAATATATTCAGATAGAGCCTGGTGAGACATTTAACGCTATAAAATGTCAAATCTCGTAGGCTTTCAATGTAAAAAAGGTTCAACTGTACACTTTAGTTGCCCTGCAAAACCAGGAGAGGCTTCCATGATTTCCAGACTCGGGTGGGCGAGGAGAGGATAGCAGAGAGCATGCCCGACATTTTCTCTTCATCGCATTCTTCATGGGCCCCCAGATCTTCAACATCTTCATAGTCACTGTCACCTTCCAGCATTTCCTCGAGCTCGATGGTTGCGTATTGGGACAATTCCACCTTGACCAAGGACGCTTCACTAGGCGTGCCCTCGGCATCAAAAGCGAAAAGCATATACCATCCAGGAAGCAGGATACCGGCGTCATCTGGGAGGTTCGCAGTGAACGTGTGGTCTTCATGGGCGTTCAGCTCAAGTGGGACACGACGCTGGTCAGTGTTGACAGTGTGGGTAGTGGTTCCCTGGCGAACGAGAGATGCCGATCCAATGTGCTTATCAGCGGAGAATTTCAAGTCACCACCCACGATGACCCGCTCAGAAGCGCTCACGATCTTGGGGCGCTCGCGTCGCTCACCAGTGGCAGTCAGCAGGTAGGGAGGAGTGAAGATCTGAGCATCGTAGTGGTTCGCAGAGCAGTTTCCGCAGAGACCGCCACCGCCGTTCAGGACAGTCGCGTCAGGGAGCAACATGGAGATACTGTGGTAGACACGAATGATGTTTTGACCGTTCATGAGCTCGAAAGTATCCGTCTCGGGGTTGTAAATCTCTGGGTAAAACTGGACGGTTTTCTCGTTGAAGGGCTGTCCCCAGGCTTGGCCGCCGGCAACAAAAACCTTGCCATCGGGAAGAACAACAGAGGTGTGGTAGACACGGGGGAAGTTCATGCCGTTGCCAGAACCTTTACCGGCAATCTGGACGAGAGGTTCTTCGCCTGGAGTAGCCAGTGTAATAATATGCGCGTTCTTAGTCGCATAAGAACCATCGTAAGAGGGCTGGCCTCCGAAAGTGAGGATCTTGCCGTGAACAGCGTCAAACATGACAGCGTTGCCCGACATGGAGTCTCCATCATCCATTCGTCTCCCAGCGGGAGTGGTGCTGCCACTCTTCTCAACGGTATACCAGTTCATCTTAACACTGGGACCAGCCTGGAAGGCACTTCCATCCTTCCATCCAAACAGCCAGGCGTGGTTATCGGCACGCCAACGACCCAGTCGGTCATTAGTCAACATGTTGTTAACCTTTGTTCCAGAGCGGGTATACCACTTCCTCTTGATGGGGTTGTAGACTTCGCCATTCTTCTCCTCCTTGTTGCCGCCGCTCCAAGAGCCACCGATCGCGAAAATTCGACCGTCGGACAGAGTTGTCGTTGCGTGGTATCCTCGAGGCTGGCGCATGTCAGGACCGTACTCCCAGGTCTTCCCGTTGAAAATACTTGTTCGACCAGCGTCACCGCCGCCGCTGACGACGATACTTCCGTTGAAGTCCATGGACATGCCCGGGCAGAACATATCATGGTGGGTCTCGGCGACGACAGTTTGCTCGATTGTCTCGGTCTTGGGGTTCCATGTGGTGGTGAGAGTCTTGCCACCAGGGGAAGCAAAGAACTGGTCATCGGCCCAAGCAGACCAGAGAATGATCTGGCCATTCTGTTCCTGAGCCGCACCAACTGGGATGACAGGCAAGTCGAGAGTTGGTCCCCACGCACCCTTGCCAGGCTCGACGGGGAGGGTATAATCGGCAGCGTAGATACCAAGGTTGACGATCGAAGCAGGCTCATGCCAGCCAGGTGCGTCAGGAATAGGAGGAGTGTCACCAACGAGCTTGACATAGCGGGCGGGTGTAGGGTTGAAAGCAGCAAGTTTCATTCCTTTGTTCTTGCCCCATGTTCCGTAGGCAACTGGCTCGCCCCAGTTTCGCTCATCCTTGCTCAAGTAGACACGGTGGTTGGCAATCTGACCCTCAGTAAGACTGTCATCCAACCGAGGTAGCATGGTCAAGCCACTGATGTTATGGACTGTTTTGAGATCAATTGAGATCCACGGTGGCCCATGACCAAGATTGTCACTCTCCCAGTATGTGTCACTTTTGCCGTCAGTTGCCTTTTCACAGTAATGGCCCCATTTGGAACCAGTGCAAGTGACACGGAATGGCTTGATGTTCAACAGAGTTGAGTTGACAGGTGGAGACTGCCATTGAATTTCGCCAGTGACTTGGCCGTTGATTTCAGGGCGGTTCTCCTCACTTGACTCGTAGGAGTAGTCGGCGGATTTGTGGGCGCCGACGGAGACAGCTCCTAGAAGGAGACTGGCTGCGTATGGGACTTTCATTGTGAAGGGTGAAACAAATGGTTCACTGCATTGTAGGCCGAGTTCCTCGTCAGGGAACTTATAATGGAAAGGAAGAATCTAAGTACCAAACTCAAAACGAGAAGAGGAAACTCAGGCGAGGTCGATCAGAACGGTGGGGCTAAATCTGAGCAGCTAATGACCGCCACGCCAACATTGCGCAGGCGATGTGGGCTTCTGTATGGATGTGATCGTCATAGAATCCACGATTTCACTTATCGCGAGCTGGTGTTTTGTTATTCACATGCCATAATTATTTAGGTGTGAATGATCCTAGCTCTATGACGCCTGCGGAGGCACAAACCTGCTAGAAGATTTTTTCTCCACTAAATATATGGTGTAGCAGTATTACTGATCCATGCTTTAATCTCCCTATCAAGAACCTTGGAACTAATTCACACACTTATCTTTTCTCCAAAAAAGATAGGCTTGCTGTTGATTAAGCTCAGCTGCCACCTGGGCAGTCTTGATCAATCGAAGACAGAACCTCGGACGCCACACGAGACTAGTATATTGTTCATCAAAAGTTCGGACCCACGGTTTTGTTCGACGAACCTTCAAGTTAGAAGTCCGACTCGGAGTCAGCTGAATTTGGACTCGGAACAGAACCAAAAGTTTTGTGCGGAATGTATTTTGGTGCATGGCCCTCAAAGTCTATCGTATCTCTCGGATCCATAGCACAAATCCGCAGCCAATAACTAAACAGTGATTGCATGATGACACACGACTGAGAACCGGGATCAAGATGAGACACCGACTGCCAGGCAAGCCTTCACCTACATATTTTCCTGATTTTCGTTCAGCTCGTAGGTCCACAGGGGGGGCCCGGGGAAGACCCTAGCGTAAATAGTTGTTGGGTCAGCAGCTCGTCCAGAGAGAACCGCACCCCCACCCACCAGTTCGCGCTTGTGAACGCCAACGCGTCATTACGGGGCGAATCAGAAGACATCTTTTGGCAGTTGGGAACTTTTGATTTGCTGTATTTTCGCCGATCGCAAGGTACGCTAGTTAAAAGGCCCCGCGATCGACGATCAAGCTGAATTCTTTTGGATCAAGATCGAGCGGAGGAAAAAGCGGTGCAGTAGTATAGGCCCACAGCGACCCACAAGAGGGCCGGGCCACGGCCCACGCCGGCGGTCCGTAACCTTCTTGGTTTACTTTTAAGTTTCGTCAGAGTTTGACATGTTCGATGTTTCCGTCTATTCGAAGCACGCCACTGCACGAAGTGTGGGTTTCTTCCGAATCTACTCCATATATGGTGGCGTTCTGAAAGATTTTGACATCATGAATGAAAAAGTACGATTTAGCCCATCCGGAGGGGGCAAGTCCACCGAATCTCTTTTTCGAAAGGCAATCACATCGGCGCGAGCTGTGTTCATCATTCAATTTAGCACCCCGCTGATAAACCAGAGCTAGCTGACTGGAGCGGGGCAAGGTCCAGCTAGAGCCAGCAAGAAGCCCAGTTTGGTAGTGTTGGCAGTTCGCCCACAGGCAGCCAAGGTAGAAGGAAAGTGAAGCGAGTCGAAATGGATATCATTGATTAGCCGTGGACCAGTATTGAAATTGAACCAATGTTATTGGATACGATGTAGTTAACTCATTTAAGTGCAAAAGGATTTCACGCATGTGGGAGGTTGGGCATAAGAACTCCAATTCCTCCTCACTTCCGAAAGTTTTCCTAATTCTGTTATTTCAATACATTTGAGAGTAAAAAGAATGAGTCATCCAGTGGCTAAGAGCAACATCCAGGGCGGCATCTGGCCGCGCATGCCCAAGGAGTTTGAGTCCTACCTCTTTTACAAGATCACGAACGTGAACAGATTCCGCAATGACCTCAAGGAGTTCATCAGTGAAATCACCACTGGAGAGCAGTGTGAAGAGCGACTAGCAAATATCAAATCGGCAGCGGAGAGTGGAAGATCTACGAAAATTCCCATTTCGGGCATAAATGTGTCATTTACTCAGAAGGGCCTGCAAAAGGTACGTCTCATTGAGTGTCGCGTTGACCAAACTTTGAATGAAATCACATTTCCTTTTTGGTTTTTATTTTTATTTTTGGTTTTTAAAAAAAACATCATTAACATAATTGCAATAGTTGAACCTAGCGCAAATCAACGATGGCCTTTTTGAAAAGGGTATGTACAGCGATCTCATCTTTGAAGGCGCCGACGCTCCAGATAGATTGCTTCCCGAGTTCAAGCCTCCCCCTGGACACCCCCAAGACGATGACAGCTGGCGCATCGACCTGGTATTTATCGTGGCTGCGTCTGGCGAGAAAACCCTGAATGAGGGAATTGCCAAGATTGAGACCAATTTTCATCTGAGAGACTTGAACAAGTCCAGTATGGAGTCGGTAGTCGTGAAGCATGGACAGCGTCGACCCGGAGATCTTCGTGGTAGAGAGCAGTAAGTCTCTTTCTATCAATGAATTTCAGTGGGAATATTCTAACTTCATTTGCAGCTTCGGCTTCGAGGACCATATCTCGCAGCCTCAGATTAAGGGCCTGGATCCCGAGCCAGGTGCACGTGAGCCACTGTCGTGTCTTCCGGGGTAATTTACTATCCAACTCTAACATACATAGCAACCTAAGCTAACTGGACTAGATACATTTTTGTCGGTCATGAGGGAGATCCACGAAAAGACACTACTCCCCCTTGGTCCGTGGAAGGTAGTTTCCTTGTGTTCCGTCAACTGGACGAGAAGGTCCCCGAATTCAATAAGTATGCGTCGTCGGGCTTTCAAGATGGAAGCCATGCTAACAATACCCAGATTTGTTGAGAATGCCGCAAAGAAGATTCCAAACTACGCTGTTGAAAACGGTGCCGAAAAGCTGGCGGCTCATATGATGGGCCGTTGGAAGAGTGGTAATGTGACCTGCTCCTCCTTGCCATACCCGCCGTACTGATATACCATACCTAGGCGCGCCCGTCGCTTTAACTCCCGACAAGGACAACAAGAGTCTCGCGTTCAGAAACGACTTCGATTTCAGGCCCAAGCAGAGCATTTTGGGTTGTCCTTTTGCCGCGCACGTCCGGAAAATGCGTCCCAGAGCCGACCACAAGCGCGACCTGGGCAAAGACGAGGACTTTGTAAAGGGCCAATTCACCAATCCGTTGCAAACCGACACCAGCGACCCCCCAGGTTTGGAGGTTGACAGTGACGAGGAGCCCGATCAGGGACCTGACAAGGAAGACGCGAGTGTTATTCTGCGCCGTGGTATCACGTTTGGACCCGAGCTTGGACCCGACGAGACGGAGAAGACTACCAAAAGCCGTGGTATTTACTTCACCTGCTACCAGAGTGATATCCGGGATGGATTTAACCTCCTCATGACCCGTAAGTCCCCCTTGCCCCATTGTTCTTAGGGCTTGCTGACACCTATGAAGGCTGGGCAAGCAACAGTGTTTTCCCGACATCAAAGAAGAGAGCTCACAAGGATGGCCCTGGAATGGATCCATTCATCAACCAGAGACAGCGGAAAGATCACCCTGAAGGCCATATCAGTCTATATGACGGCGTGGACTCGGAGAGGACCCACAAACTTGAGCTTGGAATTAGTCCCTGGGTGGATCAGCGAGGCGGGGAGTATTTCTTTACTCCATCTATTCGTGGCCTGCACTGGTTTTGCAATGCGCCACAGCCTCATTAGGATAATATCTTCGTTTGTTTGAATGTTATTTCAGATATCTGCTCATTCTACTATTTGACTGTCAATGTTTGACGATGGTTAGCTGCAGTGAAGTTCCGAATGCTCTCTAATAAACTGGCCAAAATTGGGGGCTGGGATACATTCAAACAAGCAATCATTGCCATGAAAGCTCTGAAAGAATACGACTGAAGCCTTTTTGTAGCTACGCGTATTCCTTTCACGTCAAATAATAGCCTCAACTTGAAAGGAATTGCAGAACATGAAGATTGAATTTGTAGAGGAATGATCTTCCTCTCAACCCAGCTTTCGCCTTAATTATTTCTACTCCGGCTGCCTCTCTCCGCCATGCTGGGAAGCTATGATACTTCTAGGCAGCGTACCCTAGGGACCATTTACACAACGCTGCTTCTGCATAAAATAGCGTATCTGAAGCTACGGGGACTATAGGAAGATACGGCCTACTACGTTGAAGGAGTGGATAACAAAAAAGAGAAGAATGTGCATCAGAACATGCGCTATGGAGATGAAAAGTCGCTCAATAAAGACAAGGGAAAAAAGGTAATCGACCACGAACGCTATGAAAATCATTCACAAAGTTGCGCTGCGAGAAACTCAGGAAACCATTGGTATACTAAAGCAAACAAGGAAGATAAGGATAAATGTCGCTTCCGCCATGGAAAATATCGGTTGAGAGCAAGAAATTATTGACTTTTTTTTTCTTTTTGAAAAATGGAGAATTCCAGTTCGAGAAAGTGTGGGTTTGAAGAAACGGAATATTTTAAATAATGCGAGACGATAGAGCTCGTGCCATATCGGCTATCGTGTGCCCGGTTGGGATGAGTCTAATGATGGACACGACAGTCACGGCTATCAGGACAGTTACGAGAGTCACCAGCTGCCATAGTAGCCACGATATTCACAGCGGCCACGGCTGTCACGACGGTCCCCAGCTTGACGCCCGGCATAGTGATCATGGCGTTCTTGCATAGAAATGGGAGATCTGGAGCGATTCTGAGGCTACCGGTGGCTGTTGTTGTTGTTGTTGTTGTTGTTTTAAAAACGGACGTGGTTGATTTGTCGAGTAGCTGGCCGACCAGCTGGCCAAGCATTAAGCATGGCAGTATAGGCTCCCCCAAAGCGATATACGCCTGCATGGACCAGGACTAGATTGACCCAAGGGGCCTGCTCAAGTCTGTTCTCTGGCGGGACATCTCCGACTGTGACGGCTGGTAGGAGGCCAGGGATAGCGTTTGACGTTTGGTAGCATGGCAGGTGTGTCATTGTTGTCGATATGGCAATTCGCAAATTCTAGAAATTCGAGACTATTGACAAAATTGCACTCGTTGAAATGACCTTTCCGATTGATACAGTTGAAGCACGCAGACGGGGCCGGGAAGCCCGAAACCTTCCGCGTCGCTTCAATGTTCTGGGCCTTTCCGCCAAAGAAAAAAGAGCCTGTATTGCTCCGTAGGCGTAACGTGCCCTAAGAACGGGGTCCCTTATTACGGGAGGGGTAGAGAGCTGTATGAGAAAATCTGTCTTAAGATTAATATTCTTCTTAGCCGCTGGGAAGTCGAGTGCGATGAAACTTTGCGACCATCCGTTGGGATCAACAGGGGGAGAAAGCAGCTCATCTGAGTGAAGTGGTGCTTGGAGGACAACATCGGGACCAGAGCCCCTCCCCCCCCCCCGAGCTCTCGGATACCCTCACTATCGAGGTAATGGGTCAGTGTATCTTGGATGAAGAGATAAACGAAGGGGTAGGAGGTATTTATCCTGCCATCGGATGAATGATTCTTTCGGATTGCGGGAGCTGAATTCACTTCTCAATTTTCTCTGCTGCAGATATCTTCCACGAAATAGAGATGAGTCATTGAGCAACAGAAGAGGAAGATATATATCACACTAACCTTTCAATCAGTAAAGATGTTTTGGTTTCTTGGATGAGACTGGAGACCGTCAAATCGAGGGAGAGGGGAGATAGGGGGAGAAGGATTGAAAATGGACTGACGAAGAAAAAAAAGAAAAAAGAAATCATTCCTAGGTAGGCCCAGTAATAGGCACAGCGGGAAGAAGGAGAAATGATCAGGTTTCATCCTCTGCGGATTGGCATTAGTAGTCGTATGGCCTATTCAATCCCAAGATCGTGCCTGCCAGAATAGGAACCCATCGTCCACGTGCCTGCCACCACCAACAACAATTATATAATCATAGAAACATAAACATAAACAACTTGAGTGTGACTGCCTTGCTATACCCTTCTACTAGCACATCTTTCTTCCAACTCCCCTCCACCCTCCTGGACATCTCTATGTCTATATTCAACTCGCTATCCTTCCATCTTTCCTACCTTATATTTGATGGCCTGCGAACGGCAATATCAGCATACGAGAAGGAGATGCGACCGCGTGTACTGGCAACAATTCAGAAAGGTCACCGGATGGCCCGTCATATGCTTCTAGCCAGAGTCCCAGAAGAGATGCTGGAGGCAATGGGCATTTAGTATAACGAGGAGTGAGAAATCTGGTTGGGAATGTGCTTTGTTGAGAGCTCAATAATTCCAAACCTTGGAACAAAAGCCCTGTTCGTATATCAATCTCAGATACAGAGGTTTTTCTAATTTCCTCGCCCTGAAGTGTTTTTGTCTGACGGATGCCATATTCAGAGGTCCCAATATTCAGGAACTCCAAGGGTAAGAGAGATGTGCTGTATTGTACTAACGCCCGGGCGAGATTGATACGCATGCCTTCTCGGGGTAGATCTCGCACTTTAGAACAAACATTGGAACACAAATGGTCTTGGAAGAAGATTCGTAATTTCAGAAGTACCGATAGTAAGTCTTGCTTATATTGAGATGCCGACGGATAGAGATCGGAAAGAGAAAGGACAAAAAGCTCGGGGACAAAGTAAATTAGAGCATATAAAAGTGCAAAAAAGAAAAGAAAAGTCAAAGTTTATCAAGTGCCCGATTCAACTGAGTCCTTGAACGATTTCAAAAGTCTAGCCGCAGCGTAATGGCCTCGGCCCTCCGCAAGCGCGACTGATTCGTAATAGTAACTTTCATATTCACCCACAACCTGTGCTCCTTCGTCCAGAAGCATTTGTAACATATCAATACGGCCATGTTCTGCGGCGCCCATCAAAGCTGTACGCCCATTTTTCCAGGCTGGGTCTTGATTGACATCGGAACCAAGATCTAGCAGCTTTCGCGCAATTCCGATGTAACCTTGAATGGCCGCAATCTGTAAAGCAGTCGCCCCTCCATCTTCAGCAGCGGGAGCATTGATATCGGCACCATGCTCTATAAGAAGATTGAAAATCTCCATATTTCCAAGCTGAACAGCATGCTGCAATGGTGTCCTTCCGAAAATACCGTCTTCGAAGTAGTTAACATCAGCTCCTTTCGAAACTATCAAATCACGCACGACCGATACTTGCTGTGTCCTTACAGCGGCTTGAAGAGGAGTATAGGATGTTGTAGATTCCCGAAATGCTTCCTCGACAAACGAGGATGGGGAATAAGAATCATTGGTGAGCGCGCAGTTCAAGTCCGATTCAAGCCGCATTAGTTCAATTATATGAAATTGCTTCTGCTTAAATATTGCAATTGTCAAAGCATGGGATACCGACTTTGGACTCCAGTCGATCTGTGCTGAAGACGCCCATTCAAGAAGATATTTGAATATATCATCATCAGCTTTCCAAGCTGATATCTCAAGTACCGACTCAGGCTTGAGACGATGATTATGTAGGCAGTAGGTGATCTTGATCTGCTTCCATTGATGATAGGACATTTGAGGAGTTCCTCCTAGCTCGACATTTGCTTCTCGAAGTAATCTGAGATCACTCATTGAGGCTTTGGACACAGCAACCAAAACGGCTGTCGGTGCACATCCCGTGAACTTCAAAAGCAACGTTGGTAGAAGGTCACTATTTCCCATGATAGCTTCCCTCAGAGCATTATCTGTTACTTTGGCACCACGCTCAAGGAGAGTCAGAACAAGTTCTACTTCATTTCATTGAAGAGCGGCCAGTAGAGGCGTTCTATCAAGTGACTCTGCCTCGCTAGAAATCCTATCAGCATTGTTCTGGAGCAAGAACCATGCCAGATCGAGATGATGATCTAAAATGGCGGATGCAAGAAGCTTAGGACCAGATTGGTCTAAGACTCTCGAAAGAATTCCATCGTTTTGCAAAAACAAAGCAGTTTGCAAATTGCCAATTTTCCTGATTCTGAACCCTATCAGTCTTGCTCCGGCATTTATCAGCTTTTCAATCATCACCTCATCTCCAGTTTCGATGGCAGCTGCAAGGATAGTTCCTGGGTCCACGTCCAGAACATCATTCAATCGAGCATTGGAGCTGATCAAAAGATCAATAATACTCATGAGCTTTTTTTCAACAGCAAGCATGAGTGCCGAGGGATATTGTGGGCTTTCGAGCATCTTTCTGTCAACTTGAGCACCGTAAGAAATTAACACCTGGCAAAGAGCAAGATTGCTCTGCGGAACAGCACGCTCAAGTAACGTTTTTTCACCATCGTCAGCAGCTCGGCTGTCAGCGCCCGAGTCTAGGAGGACTTTAACGATATCAACATAGCCTCTTTCAACTGCTAAGGCTAGTGGGGAGATGTAATTCGGCGGAAGGAGGAATGGATATTCGTCGAGAGAAATATGAAGCAAAAGTCGTACGAGAGTGAGATTTCCGGTGCTGGCCGCAATACCTAGCACAGTAGTCTGACCAAATGGGCTGTATGAAGTCAACAGCTCATTCAAATTGGCCCCCTTGGCAAGAAAAAGTTCAACAATAGGCACGTTTGCATCCCGCAGGGCAAGTTCAAGCGTCTTTGTATCATCCCATTGCCTCCCCACATCTTGATCGAAATAGATGTCTAGTATGTTTTCACCGAAATGCTCGGAAAAGAAATGTGAGACACGAGTAGCTGCACGAGCACATTCCCATGTCACTGTCGCACCGTGAGCCAAAAGTAGACGAATTGCAGTCTCATTTTCTGCGACAATGGCATAATAGAGTGCAGTTCTTTTGTGAAACTCGTCAGAGTAGTTCACGTTGGCACCGTGAGAAATCAAAATATTGATAGAATGACCACTTCTGTCTGTTGCCGATACAAATTGCAAAGGAGTAAAGAAGGTCTTATTACCCAGCATTAAAAAGTTTTCAATCAATCCATCGGGGTTCATTCCTGCCTGGAGCATTTTTTGCAGGATATCAAATTTTCCCCGTCTTATTGCAGCAGCAAACAGTGTTTCGGTGATAGACTCGGCAGTTGGCTCGCGAGTCGAAAGTAGAATCTGAAGATGCTCTAAATCATCCCAACCGGTATCTTGGAGGATTCTCAAGACTGGTTCATCATTTTTGATCGGGCTCTTGAGCCACCTAGTATCTCCAGGATCCAGTAAAGTCAGGCTATTAGAGATAAGGTAGAGTAGCACATTCATATGCTGCTGAATGCCTGTTTTCGAAACACTCAGGTCCGCTGATAAGATGTCATGCTGACCAGGCTCACTTTCTGGCATGAGAATACTTAGAGCAGCCGATGTACGGGAGGCACTGTGTACATTGAGAGGATGTTGTAGTTTATTCCATGGTATAATCTTGCTCAAATGTTGCATCAGATCGAAATTCATACCCTTGGCAACTGCGGAGCCATTATGCGACGAGTATAAGACGAGCGAGGAGGCAGAGGGAGAGAGAGGGGTGGCATCTGGAAGGATGTCAAAAGTTTTAGTGAGGTACATGAAACATTCGACTACTGAGGCTCACCTTCATTCTGTGAGGGTTGAAATAGACGCATGAATCGCATCCACGGAAGAGAATCAGTCCAGGAAATCCGTATGCCAGGTGATACGGGCGTGGCCACAAGATAGCCTTCGGGGGTGCTTGGAGAAGGTTCTAAAAGGTTATTCACCTTCACTTCCAAAAACGGGGGAAAGATGAGCCTTACCACGTCGTGAATACTCGGTCAAAAAGCCCTTTCTGTAGCTCGATCTTGCTATCTTTGCGGGGTGGATCTGAACCCCATTGACGAAGACCTCGCTTTTCTTGTCATTCTCCCGCTTTCTTTTTTCCACTCTCCTGGCAATCCATTGGTCTTCCCTTTTGTTTGAATGTTTTCTTATCCCCCATTCTTTGAATTTCTTAGAGTACTGTGCACCACTATATCGTCGTAAGCGGAGAAGCCAACCCACAATCCAAAACAAACCTACCTTTTTTTCCAAGAGTATTTTGTTGCCATGAAGCTCATAACTTCCTCGCGTGTTTTGTTCTCGTAAATGTATAACCTTTCGATCTCGGCCTTGTAGAAATCCCATCCTGGGCCGGCCATTGTGACTGCGCAAAGATTTGGTGGTTATGAGATGGATTGGGATACAAATTCCACGGGCGGGTGACGCTTTTTAAGGTAAAATACTCGACTGATCATATTTTCTTATTTGGATGGCGGTCTGCCTCGTCTCGGTCTTGGATGGCGTGTGGCTAACTCATCTCGCATATTGACAAGGCAACTGCAGAGCTGATTGGTGTATTTGGCTTTGGCACTGAGCCACTCTAGGGTCGTTTGCTACCCCGGCTTATAAGTGCCCTGTTATGTGGAGCAGCGGTGATTGGTTGAATGCCAAGTTCTCAGGCCCAGGTACACTGCCCTCATTGGTCCAATTCCAAGTTCTCGTTTCCATCTTTGTCGCCCCATCGGCTTATTGGCTCAATCCCAAATTATCCTGCCAAGCGTATCCACCACGGCTATGTACATACTCGGTGAAATGGCCAGGTGTGCGCACATGTCGAGGTTCAGCGGCTCTGCAGAGGACTCGGGCCTGGAGTCAGTCAATCCAAGCACCCTGGGTGGCGCCTTCCAATCAGAGACTCTAACCTAAAACCAAAAAGGCTCTGATTCGTCCGTTCCCAAATTCTACTGGGTCTATTATGATCCAGCATCCTTGGACCCTCACATCTCCTGGATACGTCAAGATCTACGATATTTGGAGGGCTTTTCTCTCCTACTCGTACAAGCTCGGAATGGATCTCAACTATTTAATTGAGACTTCACCCAAGATGAACATGTTATCCAGCCCAAGCCTCCAGAGTCCTCTGACCACAGTCCATCGCTCCTCTGAATCCGCCTCACGTCTACTGAAAATCCCTTACCTTGCTTGCCATCTCTTTTGACTATGGATTGGTCCACAAGGTCCACAATTGAGATGAACTGGGAGGATAATCAGCGCAATCACTATGGCTACCATATGATGGACCTCTCTCAAGCTCAGCCTCATCTATTCCCGCTCGTCTCCTCCGACCATGATTGGAGGCGGAATGGGGATGCAAGATCAGTGGCGACATCGAACTCGAATGCTATTTCGTCTTCCCAAGTCAAGCCAGCTTCCAGTGAGGGTTTTGACTGGGATACCTTATCTTCTTCGACAGACGCTGTCAATTTGACGTCAACTAACTTCGGTCACCCTTCTCCAAATCCCGGTCTGAGTTGTTCTCCCGGGACTGAATCGGCTTTCTTCTCGCATACCGATCGCATCTCGCCCGGGTGCCGGTCTCTGGTCTTCTCAGGTCAACAAAGTTGCGAGGGGAATGCCAGCAACAATAAAGTCCACCATCGGCCCCTCGAAATTCGGTCTCACGCTCATCTTCGACCTACAAACAAGGGGACCAAAAGACTTCAGCCGTACGTCTAATCCAATTCAAGTTCCCTTGCAATACTTTGTGATTAAACACAATGTATACTTAAACAACAGTGATTACTTACATTTTTGTCTATAGTTCGCAGGATCCGCCATTGGCCGAACCCATACGGTGTAAATGGGATGGTTGTCGATATTCCGGTTCATTCAAACGGGAATCTTTATTGATTCGTCATCTCAAAAAAATTCACCTTTCTCCCGGTGCTCACCCATGTCCCATTGAAGAATGTGGTATGGTGTGCAATCGTGCTGATAACCTTATGCAGCACATGAGGAACAAACATCCAGGGAGGGATGATTTATCTAGCACCCCGAGAGTTTAAGGAAACACAAGTACTTTTGATTCATTCGAAGGCAGTTCAAGTTCCAATGTCATTGGTGGCTTCTGAGATTGCCCAGGTCTCATCTTTTCTCTTTATTCTTACAGCGCCTTCTCAACGACACACTTTTTCTCTCTTCTTGATTTCTGTCCTCCATCCATGGATCATGACCACGCATTAACTATTTTCAAATCCAACAAATATGCCCTCCTAGATTAGAGACTCTTTCCCTCACTACAATACAAGTAACATTATGCTTGGTCTTGAAGTAATATTGGTATTGAGTAATGGAGATCAGTCTAAGGAGATTAGTAGCGACCGTATCATTTTCCTAGTCGTAGACGAACGCTCCTTCCGTGAGTACTTCATGAGTTGCGAACACAACCTTCTTTCGAAATTCGAAAGGACAGAATACGATCTTTACCATTCAGTCATTCCTTTCGAAACTTGCATGAAATCCAGAACATACGCGGAGCTTCGATGTCTATTCACTCGTCTGATAGGTGTACATCCAGGGATGTGGAGTAGTGCCTACCTGGGCAGGTATCCTTATACCCACTTCAACAGCTACTGTGAGGAGTGCAACACGCACTAAGCAATCGGATTGTGCTTGCCAACCGGCGAATCTGCCAGATGGACGGAAACCGACCTGGCCATTAATTATTGTGGAAGTTGTATAGCCTGAGACTAGGGCAAGACTAGAAAAAGGTATGCTTCCTTCCCTAGAATAATCATACTGACACTTGAGCTGAAATGAGTGGACAGTGACATGCAATTATGGCTACTCGAGTCTCGAGGCGACGTGAAAGTTACTATCATTCGGACCATAATTGCAAACTCGGAGATAATTATCGAGAAGTGGGGATTGAGACGAACTGGACAAGCAAAGCTAGGTGTACAGGTTACAGTGAGGTCTCCGCTTTCCTAGCCTTCTTCTAGGATGATAATACCGAAGCTAAGAAAGATGTCAACAGGAGTCCCCACCCCACTCCCTGTTGAAAGGATGGAAATATCACCACGAGAAGGAGGCTCGCCAAGAACAATTGGGTGTGCCAAGATTACATTTCAAGATGTTTTTCTCCGACAGCAGCGCCAAGGCGAGAAACATCTTCGAGTCGCACCTGGGCATTTGAAGAGCCATAATTCGAGAAAATGGCTAGGCGTATTTGGGCTGCCAAAGCGCGGGAGGGGAGTTTACACTGACAATCGAGGATGGTGGTATTGAGATTGCCAAGCTTGCTATTTTCAAGGTTCATGTGCCAAGTTCTTGTGTTGCCATATTCCGTGGGGCTTTATTCTTTATGGCGGTTTGGCTCTACCTAGGTATACTCGAGTTTACAGCATTGGATTATTTATGCTGCTCAAGGACACCTACTAGTACAAGATTAGAGATTCCTTTGATAGCTACTAAGCAATTATCTTTGCCGACGGATAATCCCAGTTAGACAAAATCAGACAGTAGTATAATTTTTGCTCTACGTGCGGGAGGTCCTACGCTCTTCAATAAACCTTGAAGTCTTGTTGTTTTTCTTTTACTGTACTTAATTGGAACTTAGGTTGGCATGTATTTGGTACTGCACCATTCATTGTTTATCAAGAGCCCGGATGGTCTAGTGGTATGATTCGCGCTTTGGGAAACTAAAATGTGCGAGGTCTCCGGTTCAATCCCGGATTCGGGCCTTAATTTTTATATTTTTTGTTGCCTATAACTAAAATGTTTTTGTCTCGAAGAAGACTAAGGGCCCTGTGGAGGTCATACATAGTGTGATAGCAATTAAATACGGTTTACTACTGCCAATGGTAAAAGATAGCTACTATAGTACCCATCCACCACAGAGGTCATGAACGAAGTATTAATAGCACAGTCAATCTCAAAAATCCCCTTGGCGAATACACTCTCCATAACTCTTTTCTAGCCCCACCGCCAAGCAAGGCCTTAGCGCAGATTCATCCAAGTTATTGAGGGGCTTGGTTCCCTCCTCGACTACGAGTAGTGTATTAAAGTTGTTTATGCGTAAGAGGACAGCGCAGGATATCAATTTCAACTTGAACATGCTATTCTAAAGATACAAGCTTTGGGAACTTGAAGTTGAATACATCCATGGTATTACAGTATAAGAATCTGGGCCACAAAAAGACGTGCATAGTATCTTGAATATGATTGGAACGATCATCATGACTTCTAATCCATCTCCAAAGACTTATCCCTAGCATTATGACGTTTCGACGCCGTGACCGAAGACCGCCGTGGTCTATTTGCATTTGGGAAGTTTTTCTAACATCATCAGTCTTGTCCGAATACCAGCATGAGAGAGGTCACATACTACTCGAGCAATTACTATCCGTAAAGTACCCATTGACGTAACACGTCGTCTTTAAATATGTAATTTGATCCCAGGAGCTACTCCGATTAGCATGCTGCCTGTTATAGCCCAGTATATGACCTACCAAACCCCATTGACGCAATCGCCATGCTTCCAGCACGCAAAGGTGAGTTTTTCTCCCTTGGGAAACCCAAAAATTTCACCTGCATCTAACGACGCATCGTATCGGCAGTTGACATAGTGGTCGACATTAACGATTTTGCAAGTCTGCGCCGATGCGCGCTTTTCAAGGTCCAGCTCTCCCTCTGCTTCTGCTTCGGGGTCTGCGATGGGGACAGCGGCAGCCAGGAGGGGGAGCAAGGCAACAGCGAGACCGAGAAACTTCATCTTGTTTTTTTTGTTAACTGATCTTGCTCTATCGTGAGACACTTGCAGGAATAGGTGCATTTATACACTGAGATTTTTATAGTATTCTCGTATTCTCCAGGCCGCTTCCTCGTGTTCTCGCCCGATGCTGCTATCTATAGGAAAATAGCGCGATTTATCCGATGTTGCATTCTCGTATCCAGCCGTTTTTAGTATAACCATTTTTAGGATCTTTGAAATCCGGGGATTAACATCAATAACAACCTAAAGCAGTTGTTGCCCAATGGCAGCTGCAGAATTTACTGTATCATACACGCCTCCGAGTCATTTTAATAAACCCCAGTTTCTCGGTATATACTGGTCAAGGCGATTTGGAGAATGAATGTACTGCAAGCTGCAGCAAATAACTTTGTACCACAGCCAAGTAAATACTTTATCTAGACTAACATGATTGATCGATTCGGAATGAAGGTCAACCAATCTATTACAGGCCCTCCACCTTCCACACCTTAACCGCAGCATCAGCACCCGCAGAAACAATCTTAGAGCCAGCATCAACCCAAGCCACACCGTTGACACCCTCCTTGTGAGCATTCTTGACCTCCAACTTGGTACCCGGCTTGGCTAAGCTCCAGATAAAGATATTGGTATCCAACGATCCGCTAACGACATGGGAGCCGGCCTTGTTCCAAGCAAGGGAAGTGACGCGCGCGGTGTGTGCCGTCCAGCGATCAGTGACAAGGCTTCCATCTGCGACCTTGTAGACGACGATACGTCCTCGTCCATTTCCGATAGCTAGGTTGGCACCATCGGGCGAGAAAGCAAGCTGAGAGATCTGATCACGCGAAGCCGCGATCTCGGACTGAACGGACAGGCCCGAGCTGGAGATATTGCAGATCTGAACGGATCCATCCTCGCCACCAACAGCCGCAACAGCGCCATTGGCAGCCACAGTCGTAACGCCGACCTTGCTCTTGAATTCCCCGGTCTTCTTGCCATCCTGGAAAATCTCAACAGACTCAGCCGCGCCAACAAGAACGGTCTTGTCACCCGCAGCAACGCCCTTGGGCTGACCGCTGAGCTTGGCAGCAGTACCGGTGAAAGTCTTCGCGCTGGCATCAATTGAGCGGATGGTGTCGTCCCAGCCGACACTGTAAATCCTGCCCGTGCCCTCGGATGTCGGTGCCAGACCGGCAATGTAACCGGGGTGTCCCTCACCCTCGATATCGCCAGCGATACCCGTAGCAGTGTCCCAACTACAGACACGGCCGTCGAAGCTACCGGTCCACAGCGTCTCCTTACCGTCCACGGCAGATTGGCTCAGCGAGGTGATATTCTTCTGGTGACCCTGAACGATCTGCCTGGGCTCGGGAGTCCCCTCAACCAGATAATTCAAATCACCGCTCAAAGACAAACTGATGAGAAGGTTATCGCTTCTAGCCGGCGGCCAGACAACGCCAACCTGCTGGTCCCGAACAGCCAAGGCACCCTCCTCACCCAGAGTCCAGCTCTGAGTAGCCTTACCAGCCTCGACATCCCAAATCTTAACAGTCCGGTCCGCACTCGCTGTAACAAACTTCCGTGAATCCTTCGACCAAGACAAGCCCAGGATACTACCCTTGTGCTCGCCCTCGCCGATCTGGCCCCGCGCTTCGCCGGTCTTGCCATCATACAGCCAGATCTTGCGATCAGCACCCACACTGGCCAAAGTCGAGCCATCGGGACTGAATTCCACGCCGTAGATATAGTTCGTGTGCTTTTCGCCAATGCCGGTGTTGAATTTAAACGGCGCGCCGTGGTAGAAGACTAGCCTCTTGTCGTCGCCGGCGGCCGCGGCGCGCAGTGGTCGCTGCTGTCTGATGGAGACGGAATTGATTTGCTGCGTGTGGCCGTAGATTTCTCCGACGGTGTTGCCGCTGTCCCAGCTGATGCAGTGGCCGTATCGTTGCTTGCCGTCACCGACGGCGATGATGCGCTGCGAGTCGCCGTCCCAGGCTAGGTCGTTGATGCGGCCGTTGACGATGCTGTATTCGCCCTTGGTGATGCCGTCGCCGACGCAGTCCCATACTCGTACGATACCGGCGGCGTCACCGCTGGCTACGTAGAAGCCTGAAGGGGAGAAGCGGGCGACGGTTGTGGCGGCCTTGTGCTCGGTGTATTGTCTGGCGACTGCGGGGTCGTCGATCGAGCGTAGGAAAATGGATTTGTTCGACTGTGATTCACGACGTTAGGAAACAGGTCTATAGAGCACTCGTGTAGCATTGGAGGAGAGGAGTGCCGTACAGCATATGCAAGTCGCTCGCCTTTAGAGTCGGATGACAGCTGGGTGGGCTGGCCACGAGTGGTGGTGGGGCTCGCGGCCCAGATAGATTCTGCGGAAAGGTCAGCCTGGTATATTCAGTATCAACGGTCAGTTTATGCATACCGTTTGTGATTGACATTGGGGGTAGGGTGGAGGTGGGGAGAAGGTGAGAGTGGAAATGGAGGGGAGAAGTTGTTGCCCACGTTGTTTACTGACGTCGGGGGCGGGTCAGGGCCACATCAGAACTTGAAACCAGGCAGCTCTTTTGGGGAAACAATTTCACCTCCAATCGCGTGACTGCAATTCTTCGACTATAATCCATTGTTATCTATTTTACGAGTGAGGTATTCCAAAGTCAGTTACTAAGGATTTGGTAGATTCAATCCACGTGGAGTAGTAATACATGTGCGCCCCCTTCTAATGCTTTAGTGGGTGGCTGATTTATACAAGAACGCCATACATAGCCCCTCGAGGAATACCCCCGAGTGCAGAAACCAAGAATAATGCATGTCCCTTAGCGGTGACGGTTCTCCATCCGCGCCTTGAGTTCTCCAGCCAGGATTTCGGGGTGTCGGTGGACGGAGGGCATGAGGCCGAGGCCCATGGCTCGGCGGATGGCCTTTGCGATCTTGCGCTGGTTGACGGGTCGCAGACCGGTCTGGTCTCGGTGCTTAATACGGCCTAGGGGTGAGACGTATTCGGACATGACGGCGAAGTTCTATTCAATGGGGAAGCATTGTTAGCGGTGAGCTTCATTTTGCGATGTGATACTTTGTCAAGAATCATATGAAGAGCCGATCCGGCGGAGAGCCAGATTGAGGCTTTCCACGTTTTGACAATCCAAGGTAGGGATAGGAGAGAGTGTGCGCACCTTGTAGAGATTCATTGGGTTCAGGTTCAACGCATCAAAAGCATCCCGAGAGGGACTCTTGCGCTTTCCCCATTTCTTCATCTCAGCTGGGCTAAGATCGTGCGGGGAGTAAATATCACCAGCCTTCCACTCGCGAGTCTGGAATTTCTCCAAAGAACGGCTCTCGCCCTGCGCCTTTTGATCTTCCATAAGGCGCATGCGGTTCGGTAAACGGCGTCGGGAGACTCGGGGGGCTGTCAATTGAGGGGGAAATCGTCAGCAATTGAGGAAATGACACCTGAGATCAAGGTAAAGATAATAGAATAGTTAATTTCATTGCGACATACTCTGCTGTTGACCTGTGCTTCGCTGGGAGGTGAAGGCACTCATGGCGGCGGTCGAGCTCCAGCGACACGCCGAGGGGACGGCATTGGCGACACTGCGCAGCAGCGAAGACTGAGAGAAGATATTGAGAGACATGGTGTGTGTGAGCGAACCCTCCCAATGATCACTGTGGTGGTTGAGTTGAGGGGGGATGATAGATTGGATGATATCGAAGACGGAGAGAAGTCAGGCGGATCTTTTTTCGCTGCCAAGACCGCCTTCTCTCCGCGTCGCGAACTTTTGCATCCGCAGCTTTCCCCGACATTCAACTTCAACCCATTCAACCCCCCCCCCCCCCCCTTTTCGACCACTTGCTTTGGCTTGCATCATTGTGAGGTCAAGCCTGCAATATACCGAAAATGCAGTCTCATCTCTCGAGGCGCGTCTTTCGGGCCATTATCGACAATGAGCCCCTACGCTTTTCCCGATGCCGCCGAAACCACCTATTGCATACCATTTCCCCCGCACGAGTACGAACCAGCCTTCCCAATTTGAACAATGTGTCGCGACGGACAATGTTCGCATTCAACATTAGTTCCATGGAAGGGGGTGGCTCTAATGTCTTGCCGTCGGAAAAGGGCCTAAAGCCAATGGTTGACTTGAAGCGATCTCTCGAAGATAGAAGCCGAGCGCCTCCAAATTTCACGCTCGCGAGAGCTTTCCAGCTCTTCTTTTCTACCCGTGTCGAAACGCCAGGTTCAATTAATTTGTTCCAAGCTCGATTGCTCTCCATCACATGGAAGCATATGAAGGCCCAGCAGAATGAACTGGATGAAAAGGAATGGGACAAGGTTTTCTCGATTGAGAGCTTGGAAAGGATGCTGTTTGTGCTGTCTGAATCGGAGTGTCTTCCCGAGGCGCGTGATACAATGCTCAAGATTGCTCGTTTTGCCTATCTCGAATTATGTGCCGACCATGGCTTTGGTCCCAATACAATTAGTCGACCTGCCCTTCTCCTTTATATCAACCTTCTCTCAGTGAATGGCAAACCCGAGGAAGCCCGACAGGTCATCATCAATTTCGGAGGACAATTTCGCGGTGCTAAGCCGTCACCTTGGTTGACTGTCTTGAAGGGATTTGCCATGAAGGATGATAGGCCTCAACTGCGTAAGGTTACGCAAGAACTCGACCAATATGGGGTGAAGTTTGATCAAGATTCCCAGGAGGAATTGATCAATCTTCTTGCCGCTCAGGGACTGTTCAGTGCGGCCCAGACTGTCTTTGAATGTCCTCTCGCCGGCAATGGCGAGCCATCTGTCGTCGCTAAGATCGCTGTCGTCAAATCTGCGATTATACACTCGGAACTTGAGTGGGCTAGGCCCATATTCCAGTCTCTTCCCCAAGGCCCGACTCCCGAGACTGCTGGTATTACTCTTCTGTGGGAAGCCGCTCACGGCAGCAATGCAACTGCGCTCGCCAAAAAGATCAGCTCTTGGACATCGAAAAATCCTCAAATCAAAGAAGCTATCACAACTTCGGACTTGAATGCGCTTATCGAGTATGCGAATGCTGTGCAAAATCCTCAGCTGGTCATCGACCTTGAAGAGCAAGCTGAGAAGTGGGGTATTATGCCCAATGAGCAGACCTGCCTACTCCAGCTTGAATCCGCAATCAATTCCAACAATGTCCAACGGACACTCAACATTCTAGAGTCTACTGTTGACCCTAGTACTCTGGCTAGTGATAATCTTCCTCTCGCCAACCGACTCATCATCATGCTTTGTGCCTCAAAGCAAAGCGGTGCTCTTTTTGAACGGATCTCAGCTCTCCTCGACCCTCTTTTCCAAGACGATGTCCGCCTTGACCCACAAACTGTCACTGCGCTTACGCGCATGCTTCTCCACCGTCGCGACTTCGGCGCAGTCTCCGAACTGCTTCGGCCGCGACTGGGTACTTTTGATAGTGAAGGCAAGAGTTTGGTTCGCAATGCATTGATCGACTATATCATGGATCGCAACCAAAAAGACGACAATGCATGGACAATCTACGAACTTTTTAAGGTGGCTTTCCCGGAGACAGGCGTCAGCACCCGGACAGAACTTATGGGCTCGTTCTTCGACCGCAATCGCAGTGACCTTGCAGCTTTGGTATTCGGACACATGCGCCAAGCAGAGGATCTGTCACGCAGACCCAAGCCCGATACATATGCCAGATGTCTCCAGGGAATTGCGCGTGCGGCTGATCACAAAAATTTGGAACTGGTGCATAACATGCTCAAGCTTGACGTTGAGGTTGAACTTAACACACGCATTCTAAACGGCTTGATGCTGGCGTACGCAGCGTGCGAGATACCGGAGAAGAGTATGGAAATTTTCAGACAAATCCTTCAGTCGGATGAGGGGCCTTCCCACAAAACCCTCGCGATCTTTTTCAAGGCTTGCGAGTCTCATGCCGATGGCACCCACGAGGCAATGAAGATGCTGAAGAAGATTAAGAAGCTCGACATTGAGATTGATCGTCGTCTGTATAGCTCTTATATCGAGGCGCTTGCTGCTCAGTGTGATTTCGACCTGGCCACTGAGGCTATTGATAATATGGAAGCTGAGATTGGACTGGCCCCGACAAGCACGACGTGAGTACTAAACACATCTTCCTCTCAAGTCTGACATGTGAATATCTCCGAACTAACTATCTTTTAGAATTGGTCTTTTCTACAATGCTTCTCCCTCCCAATTTGCGAAAGACAAGATCGAGAAATGGGCTGGTGAAAAATATCCTGATCTGTGGGCGCATCTATCTAAGATCAACCGCACGAACGGTGACGAGGGTCTTGAATTTGATGGTATCACGAATGAGACATGGGTCTAATCTTTACATGTATAACAATATTTAGAAAAAAGGATCGTCACCTGTATATAATAAATGTACATACTACATAAGGGGAATGGACCGAAGAATGAGCACAATTACTACGATCAACCCCGGGGCCTTGGAAGCAACTTGCCCAGTGTATACAAGACCATGTCTTAATATTCAATCACCAATCAACAACGCCGACTTCTCACCTGGGCATATTCTTACTTTGCCCCGACCAAGTTCCAAGGTTGTTGTTGCACATCGTGCTATTCTCCAACAGACATTGAGATTGTTCCGGAGCATATAACAAAGGCGCCAGCCACATCCTTTTATTCATTTCGGCCCCTGGAACTATTGTCTTGCTTTCCTCTTTTCCCTTGTTCGTGCTCATTGGCTTAGCTACTCTCTTTGTTTATCCATTCATCCCCTTCGCCGCAATTGTTTCATGATAATACAATTATTCTCCGTCTTTGTCGGCCCTCGACATCAAGATATTTAAAATCCCACGCCCTTGACACACTATAACTCCAAGCAAACACCATCTCCAGCTCACACCGTGACTCGCCCAGGTATCCCACCATGGCATTTCGTTCAGTCGAGCATGTCGAGTACGAGACATACGAGGAGCGACGCCTCGCCGGAGCAGAGCGTCAGAAATGGCTCAGTGACCCCTCCATCCCCTGTCCCATCCCCAAGTCAACACTAACATTCAAAGACATCATGTCAGAAGCAGGATGGCGCACCGACCAACTAGGCGGCCCGCACGTTATTCCCGAGTTATACCAGTTGCAAGCCGTCGCCCTAGGCCTGCCGCTCGACGCGAACTACCGAACAAAGTACATCTCACGACTAGAAGAAGACGAAGAGATCGACATCGACGTCGGCTTCGAGAATTGGGGCGGTATCACAGGCCCGGGCGTAATAATCTTACAAAACATTTTCAAAACGTTCTCTCTTCCTCCCATTCTTCCCTCAGGCAAGCCTTCCAGCACTATCTTCCCCTACATGTCGCGCGTTACGCAGGCAGTCTACGAAGCAGACTTTGCCCTGCATGATCTGAAACATGTATTTGTGTCGGACGTGTTGAATGTTGATACTAGGCAGTTTGTTAGTCACCATATTCATCATGAGTCGAAACAGCTTGCGGAGGAACATAAGCAGTTGCTGACGTGGGAGTATGGAACTGATGATTATCAGACACTACTCGCTACGCGGATTGGTAAATTGGTGGTTTATTTGATTCTGGGTGCTTTTGAGCGTGGCACGAGGCGGATTGCCCGTGTTGCTACTTGGTTTCATACTAATGAGCTGGCCGAGACTAGAAATTTGCAGATGAGGTTTGATATTGAGGAGGATGTTTGATTTAGAGTTCTGGGATAAGATATAAAGGTTCTCGGTTGGAGTTTTGCAGTCCGGTAATAAAATTCATTCTTTTTCTTTTCTTATTCAATTTGAAAGCCTTGACCATATCCATGGATGGTAGTCAGGCAGGCAAACTGTCTAGAAGTATAGGCAGCATTCTAGGCCCCAGTAACTTTATTCACGTTTAGAAGACGGGCGAGTGCCTAACTGTATCCATAGTTCATGAGAAGTTTAATGATTCATTCCCCCAGTTCGGGGTTCCGAAACCCTATAACCTTCCGCGGTATGTGCTTTTCAAGGAACCGCGGGTTTCGGGTCGGGATTGGGCAATCCGGAGAAGGTAAATAACCAATAAACAATAAATTGAGTTGAATATCTTACATATTTTCTTTCCCTCATAATAGAGAACGGGTGTCACCATGGAAGATTCGAAAGAGCCCACCTTCCGCTCCTACAACCAAAAGCAAGGAGCAGCCTATTCTCAAAATCGACCAACATATCACCCAAACCTATACAAAACAATTATAGACTACCATGTGTCCACTGGAGGCGAGCTGTCCACAGTCCTGGACGTCGGCTGTGGTCCCGGAAATGCCGTTCGTGACCTCTCATCACATTTCACCCAAGCCATCGGCATCGACCCCTCCGACGGAATGATTCAAGCCGCCCGCGATCTTGGTGGGAATTCCTCCGACGGCAGTCCTATCCGGTTCGAAATCTCCACTGCTGAGGAACTTGGCTCTGGGTTGTCTTTGCCTCTACCCGATTCCAGCGTCGACCTCATAGTTGCTGCTACGGCGGCACATTGGTTCGACATGTCTCTCTTTTGGCCACGGGCTGCAAAGCTTCTCAGGCCTGGGGGTAGTGTTGCGCTGTGGGCTGCGAGAGGAGGCTATATCCATTCCTCCACGCCAAACCATGACGCTATTCAAGACTATATTACAGATATCCAAGACCGATTTCTCAAACCGCATGCAAAAAAGGGAACAGAGATTGCGTTTAATTTATACACAGACCTTTTACTCCCGTGGTGCTTGGAGTCGACAGAAGGCGAGTTTGACAAAAAGGCCTTTTTCCATAAAGAATGGAATAAGGATGTTATGTGCTTGGGTGGCGATGAATTCTTTGCTAGTCAGCAGGTCCCGCAATTCATGAGTTTTGATCTTGACAAGCTTGAGAGAATGCTCGGTACCAAAGGGACTGTTACAAGGTGGAGAGAGGCCAATGCGGATAAAATTGGAACGGAGAAGGATATTGTGAAACTGATGAGGGGACATATTGAAGGGATTTTATATGAAGCGGGGGTTCAAAAAGGCAAAGAGGAACTTAATATGGGAGTAGAGGGGGTGTTGATGATAGTGAAGAAGCACATGTAATGGCAACCACATATTCGCTGGGATCTCCACTTTCAGGCTCATCGTTACAAAGTACCGCAATCTATAGCTTGCTAAGTAGACTGTGAGATGGCTGTTGCGAATTGTCGAGGATTCTTAGAGGACAGCCGGAGGCGTGGGGTCATTTTGGCTCCAAACAACCCTGGAGCTGCTTACAGATGCACGAGACTGGTCGTTCTGCTCTGTAAGTCCAGCATTTTGTAGGGTAAGTAAGTCGTGCGTAAATAAAATTTTCATCCCACCATTATTGTATCTACGCATGTCTTCACTCATACAGTGAGTTAGTCAAGTAGAGTGGGCGTGGGTAACTAAAGAGAAGAATAAGAGGTGCACAGAAGGCCAATCAACTGGCCGAATCTTTGTCAACCAGTCTGTTTATTGTGTTTGCAAGTGAGTGACAGGGCATAGACCATACAGCCATGATACAAAAGCTATTTTTATGCGATTATCTATACCCTTACCGCCGAGCAGTGAGGCCCGCTGCTCTAGGTCCCCTGGGTTAGAACATTCAGCACTCTGAAAAGAGAAAGAATAGAGCTAATCTTGGAAGTTTGATTAAGTTTTCAATTAATGGCCGCCCGGTAAAATGCCCTTCACATATCTTATCCCACCGGCATCCCGCTAGTAGCGGTAGGGGTTGAGGCTTCCTCCCGGTGCGTGCGCTTACGGAATGATGAAACACGGGCGATGTACGCTAAAGAATGGGCCAAGCATTGGTGGGGAGCTATGATTACGAGCTAGTATATTACCGATTAATTACGCCGCTAACAGGGCAACTCAGATCGAGGTTGACAGTCCATCTTTTGGCCTTAAAATGGCTCTCTACCCGAGTGTCTGATGGGTTTCAGGGTCGCCAAATCACTCCCCCGCTTTCACTCATTTACCAACACATAATGTCGAACTCCTATCAACTCAATAACCTCCCACCGGAGCTCTGGTATACCATAATATCATTTCTACCTAATCGCGACATAAAAAGTCTCCGCCTTGTCTCGAAACAATTGTGTGATTCAGTGGAGCTCAGACTGCAGAGAGTGTTTTTGTCAGCGAACCCGTTGAACATCAAGGTCTTTCGCGCAATCGCAGATCATGAAAAGCTTCGACATCAGATTTCAGAAATTATTTGGGACGACGCGCGATTTGCTAGAGGCCCCTCTACTTCAGACGTTATCGACCCCGAAGAAGGATTATACTTGCCAGTCACTGATGCAAGCGATGAAGAGACGGAGGAGGCGTTTAGACTGAGACAGCATGATGATTCTGAAGCCGAAGGGCCACCGAACTGGGAGGTTTACGAAAGTGACATCGACTACGGGGACCCAGATGACGAGTTTGCAGATCCTGCCCTTCAACTGAGAGCAAGTACAAATTTCAAGGGGCAAAATTGTCCACTTTGGTTCAAAGCTGCATGTGTGAATAACATTGAGAATCTTTTCATGCGACGAGAGAAGCTCAATAGCACCGAGGCCTGGCATCAAAAATTCAAAAATGAGAAGAAGCTGGGCAAGGCCGCACTCTCGATGAGCGAGTCGTGGGAAATCTATCGCGCCTTACTCCGCAAACAGGCCGACGTTCTAGCTGGAAACTATGACGGAGAGACGTTTCTTTACGGGCTTGAACGCTTTCCGTCGCTCAAAAAAGTCACAGTCACTCCCGCCGCTCATGGAGTCCCGTTTGCCCCGTTATACTATAGTCCTATGATTCGATCATTTCCAGAAGGATTTAACTATCCTATCCCTCGTGGATGGCCAACCTCAACTACCGAAGAACCAGAGGATGAGATAGCATTCCCTGGCAAAGAGTTGATGAAAGGCACAAAGAGAAGTGGCGCGCATTCCGTATTGTAACACGCGCCCTTGCACATCAGAGAAGCAATGTGGTAGAATTGATTCTAGAAGCTCGACAGCTTTACACAGGAATCAACTGCACGATATTTGATGAACCTTGCGAGGAGCACGAAAATCTTCTGACAATTTTGACAAAACCGGGATTTCGTCGCTTAGACCTTTCTTTGATGTTTGGTGGAAGAGGATCAGACGCCGAGAACTGGAAGACATTCCGCGATGGAAGGCTTCGCGAAACACTCAGCGTAATAGAAGACCTAGAGGAATTCAACTTCTACACTTCGGGACTCGATCGCTGTTATGAGTATGGAGACCCTCCGATTGGAATTAACCCCGTGTCGCTAGAGCGGATATTTCCTATCGAAAAGTGGTCCAAGCTTCGTCATTTTGCATTATCGCGTTTTATAGTCAGGCAGACTGATCTCGTCACATTTCTTTCGAAATTACCAGAGACAGTCCAGTCAGTGGAATTGAGCTTTCTTGTATTCATTGACCACGGATCATCTTGGCATTATTTCCTTGAAGAGATGCGCTCAAAGATTCGGGAAAAAACTCTCTGGCCTGGTCGTCGACCTAGTGTTGTTATCGGCAATGAGCGATATTATCTTCTCCTTGGAGGAGCTACCTGGATCGAAAAGGCAGTGAACACGTTTCTGTACGAGGACGGGGAAAATCCATTCCATGAGCCTCCGCGAGAGAGAGTCAAAAAAGAGCTTGGCAGAGTCAAGGATGCGTTTGATCCTTATTTTTGATATTTCTGCCATGCCAAATTACGCATCATCTGGGCACAGAAGTGAAGGAAATAGTTTCGAGAAGAGAAGAAATATAAAAATACTATCCCCTTCCGCCACTGAGGTGGAATCCATGTCACATTGTTATGTTAATCATACCGGAACTGGCTTCGCCACACAGCCTCGCTGGGCCATTTATCTTCTGCCCCAGGCGGCGCTTCAAGGGGAGCTTTCACTTTCCTCTTCCATTGGGGAGGCATAAAATTGGGATCGCGGCGTCTTGTATCGAGATTGTTTCGACGCCGACGATTGAGCGCTTGGAGTTTTGTCTCGCCTTTGTCTTGACGCTGACTAGGGGCAGAGTCGTCGTAACTAACACCAACCATCTCAGAATCGTCATACGCCTTGCTTTTATGGACGTCACTTGAATCGAAATGTAAGAATAGATGTTGGAGAGTCGAGGGTTGACAAAGAGAGTGCGTGCAGATGGGAATGCACAGAGTATTTATGTCAAGCCTACAACAAAGAAGATAGCAAACACGACTTTATTAAGCTAAAGGCCAGGCAAGCAAGGCACAGGGCAAATGAAAGGCTCTTTGGACACTGTGCATTGGCTGAATTTTCGCCTTGGGAATTGCTATTCAGCATCATCCTAGACTCGAAATCTTTGACAGAGAATAGACCATTTTCTATTGAGTGAAAATTAATTGACCATCCAGGGCTTGAACTCGGAGTTAATATTCGCCTACAGTCGTGAAAAAATCCGCTACTGTTAGATACTAAATAGTAGAAAGGTGGTGGATCAATGCACTTGAATATCACGATTGTTAGCACTACTACTACTTACAATGCCCAGGCTACTGGTAATATTCCGAGTCATCGACTCGAATTTTAGAAAAAGGCTAGGTCGATGAATTCCATGGCATAATGCAAAGAAGCTGATAAATATTCTGACAAAAATTCTCATTGACCATTAATCTAGCCACGAAATTCCCTTGTCCACGATTTTCCTTAATTTGTCCACGGTTTTCCCAGCCACGACGTTCCCCGCACCGACATCCTTTGTCCTATAAGTACTAACTAACTATGCTTACCACTCGTCTGAAGAACATCAAAAAGAAACGTCAGGAATCTCAGAAAGTGGTTCCATTTTCTAGGTTGGAAAATTCTAAAGTTCCTGATTCTACAATCTCATGTGAACAGCGACCCTTTCTTTGAAACCCGCTACCACGGTAAAGATCCATCCTTCACTGATTTACCCAACTTTATCACCATCGACCTTTCTTCTTTCACAGAGACTCTCTCTCTCTCTCACTGACGCGGGATTTTGAACCCCGTTAAACACATGTCTTACTCCTCTCTCTGGTACCAAGCTCTGAAGAACGACAAGGCAAGAAGAGTATCCACGGGCATGCCACCATCACGAAAGCGTAAACGTGAAATTAATTATTCCAATCCTGAAAGAAGAAGCAAAATAATACGCAAAGAGCCGCCAATCTTTATCAAACCGACAAAGAAAACAGTCATATATGACACAATGACAGGCGGTGCTGCCCTTCCCCATTTTTTCAAGCAACTTGGCACCGGGCACCAACCTCAATACGGGCCCAGACAGCATCAAAGCAAAATCTATGCTGGAATCTACAAAGACGCCTCTACTCAAACACTGCTGAGCGGCCCGGTTTCCTCTTCAGCCCCGGAAACTGACTCTCCTGCTTCCGACCTCGACGCTGAAGGGTATCAACCCCAACCCCAGCCCCAAAACGAAATATGCCTTCCATTTTACAACGACCCAAACTCCCAGCAACTACTGGATGGGCAAAATCTCCTTGATGGGGTGAAATCTTCCTCGAGCAAAAAAAAGAAGCACAAAAAAAGATCGGACAAAAAGCAACAACCCGTTCGACCAAAGCGGAAACATTCACCTAAAACATTCAAGAGAGACCCCAACGACCCAGAAACACCCTACAACAGTCTTTGGGAAAGCAAAGAAAATTACAAGCGCGTCGACATACAGGAATATCTGAAGAAATGCCAATCCGTCGGTCCCCACCCGCGTTCCTCCTACGCCGGATTTGTGCAGAGGTCAGTAAACCACATTCTCCGCTAAGGTCTGTTAATATTTTAACTAACTGACTCACTAGCGAGCGATTTGATCGTCGATTCGAACTGGGCGAAGGGGATTCACTAGCGTATCCTAGTGGAACGCCCACAGGTCAAATTGCAAGACGGGCGCAGAAGCTCAAGGCAAGCATGGCCATGGCAAAACTTAGCCGGTCATTGAGCAGGACTCGGAAGAAATAATGATTGGTTCTGGGGTTTCTCGCTTTAGTTGCCAGTGGAATGGTGCGTTTCCAAGTTAGAGAATGCTGAGGCTGAGATGTCCCAGGGGTTCAAGATCGTCTTCTCGTTGTCGCCTCGCTCTCAATAGATCTCTACCTAATATCAACGCTATCATGGTTCCGAGCTTCTGCAGTGTCAATGGACCCTACTATTAAATTGCCACTACAAGGTGGATAGGAGCACATAAATATAGATATTCATATTGAATGTCTCCCTTGGTAGGCACTAGCTGCACCATCCATTGTGAAAATGATTGAAGAAAGACAACTTTGAATCAGTATGTGCAAAGTCTACCTAGTGAAAAACGCCATACAAGGCTCCGAGTCTCGCTATATATGATCAAATCAGACACACATCATCTCCTATGTCCGTATGCAGATATACATTAAAAAAAACACGCAATGGATGCAGACGCAATATGATAAAATCGCAAGAAACCGCACCAGTTAAAACCCAAGGCTAAAACAAACTTGCTGGGGGGGGGGGAAAGAAACAAAGACTAAAGGCTAAAAATGCCACTTCTCTTCTTCCCATGCGGATAAACAATAAGCGCCGAAACAAACAACCCAACCGAAATCCCAATAGCAGTCTGAATCATCCCATAGCCCAACGACGTCAACGAAGAATTACTCGTCGCGCCACTAGTCGAACTGGCAGTGTGATTCTTAACAGCCTCCGCATACTGCAGTCCGGAGATAATGGACCCACTCGACGCCAGCCCGGACGGCACGAGCGTGAAAATGCCTGGGATAATCGCCGCAGCCGCGTGTCCGTGCCAAATGCGACTGTACAGGTTCGCGATGAGGCCGATCGTGAATGCGCCGACTGTGTTCGCGACCTGGTTTGAGCCGAGGACTTTCGTGCTGAAGTAGTTCGTTACGTAGCCGCACATTCCCATGATGACTGTGACGGGGAGTTGTTTGAATTTGGCCTGGTTGATTAGCGCGGCGAAGAGGCAGAATAGCGCGACGAAGGGAAAGTGTTGGATGTACTCGTTGCCCCAGATGTCGAGGCTTGCTGTGGGGCAGGTGGATTCTGTGGTTGCGTTGCCGTCCATTAGGCCGTAGATTGTTGTGCCGACTGTTACGCCGTAGCCCAGGAAGAGGGAGTAGATGATTGTGAAGACCATTCTGATTGAGCCGGCGTTCATTTGGTGGGATTGGAGTTCGAGAGGAGGAACTTAGGACCGCGAAGCCCGGGAGAATCATTGCGATGGATGACTGCGCGATGGCTGCGAAGCAGAAGACGTGGCTGCCGTTGTGCTGGATACTTCCGAATGCGCGGGCCAGGAAGGAGGTTAGGACTGCGGCGGAGACTTCGAGGACGTTCGAGTATGTTGCTGAGGCCGGGGCGAGGACGTTTTGCATGAAGCCGACTATGCAGCCGAGGACGAAGATGATGGGCAAGTCGATGGGTCGGGCGCTGAAGGCGTATGGGCCGACGGCGACACTGGCTAGGCCGGTGAGTACGACCAAGGTCCAGCGATTGTAGCGGGGTTTGCGCTGCATGATTTCGTCGAGGTCTTGGGTTGCTGTTTCGACGCCGACGATATCGTGCACGACGTTCTTGTAGACGTTGTGCGTTTCCGCGAGCCTGGAGAGATCGAGGCCCTGGACCACGCGGATGATTTTCACCTCGGCGGTGCGGGTTAACGCGTCGTCAAAGGACATGAACATACACCCGGGGATGTACAAGAACTGGGCCTTGACTTCTAACACATTGGATGTCATCATCATGTACTCTTCCAGTCGGTGGGTGGGAGCACCGTATTTCATCAACGCACGGCACAGCTGCATGATATACTGCTGGCGTGCGAGAATTGCCGCGATGTGCACCTTTAGCTTGACGTCCTTCTGGCTCTGACGCTTTTGCTTCTTGCGCTCCCGGTAGCCCATCGGTGTCGAGCCTTGCGCACCTGGTACACCTACTCTGCCCATATCCATGGATGCGGCCACGAGGGAGGAAGTATAGTGATGACCGCGCTCCTTTTTCTTTGGCGTTTCGGTCCCCGTGGACGGTTTTTCCATTTTCTTCAACTTATCCAGCGCGTTTGGCTTGCTGTTGTTCGAATTGGCGTACCACTTCATCTTATCCTTCTTTCCACCCGGGGTAGCAGTGCCCGTGGCGGTGCGTGTTGCAGGGGCTGTCCCCCCGGTGCCATTTTCGAATGCCGTACTTGGGATGCCCGGGGTGCCCGGGGCTGTCGGCGGAATACTCTCAGTCGGAGGGTCGCTGTCCACGGCCGTAGTGGCCAAGCTCATGCGACTAGCCGCCGGTAAGTTGTTGGCATAAACGCGAAGCAAATGGGACAGAAGACCACCATTGAGCGGAGTCGACTCTCCGAAATCTCCTGGGGTGGTCGCACCGGATGGTGGAAACGAGTCATGATTTCGATATGTCGGTAAGCCGAGGTTATTAATGAGATGCTCAGCCTGAGCATCATGGTCATGGCCATTCATTCTTTGCTCTTCATCATTCGCCACGCGAGCCTGGTAACTGTGGAGATCATCGGTTGCGCCATAATATTCAGGCGAAAAGCTGGCATCCAGGCCATCTGCCCCGGCTTCATGCGGTCGACCTAATGCTTCAGCAATTGTGCCTGCGCGATCTTTGACTCGCTTGCTGAGAGTTCTCCATCGTTCTGAGTAATTTGATGTGCTGGGCTTCTCGCTAGCCTCGTCGTGGCAAAATGTCTCGGGCTCAAGATCATCCCTTCCTCCTACAGTGGGTTCGACATTATTTGAATGGTGATTGGTCTCATCTTCATGCACTGATGTATTGTCGGAAGGATAATTTGGGGGAGAAGGGGTGGCCTTCTCTCTCTCGAACGCGTCGGACATCGAAGACTACAGGAGTCAAGTGACGGAACCAATCGGATGTGTCGGAATAGGCGGACTTTATCCCACAGCGAAGGATTGATCAGGTATTGATCAATATTAAGGTTTCCGGGGAAGAAAAAAGTCGGGTGAAGGTCAGGGCCAGGGGATGCAAAAGAGTGAGCTGAAGGACAAAGAGCAAGAGTCCTGGCAAGACGCACCCCACAAACGACAACAATTCATATTTCTGGGGCGGGTGGACTTTTCGGGGGGGTTCTCCTGGGTTTTATGATTTTATGAATACTAGTCCTGACCCACGTCGCTAATGTGGGTTGAAGTCATATGGCCGGCTAAAACTGGCCTGAATCAGGAGAAAAACGCGTCCGGCTCCACATGGGGGATTGTCCGAGTGCTGCGGTCGAATTGCCAAGTGGACGGGGATGGTTCGATGTTCCTGGGATCGACAGAACAGAACAAAAGAAGAAAGAGAACCCCTGCTGCCGTGACGTCTCGATGGTGGCTGTCTACCTGCATCCGGGGGCACCGGGCAGAGGACATCATTCGATTCCTGGGCAAACAAGCTTCGGGGAGAAGCACTAAGGCACGCTAGGCCTGGACCAAAGCCGTTGCCAGCAAGACAGAAAATTGAAGAGGCGGAGAGAAGAGTGGGGGCAAGTCCGAAGTTGTGGAAGTTGTGGAAGTGGTCTGGATGGCCAACAGGAGAGTATCCACTTACGGGCCAGACCAGCCTGGGGCAGCCTCTGGGAGACGGATGTGATTAGAGTGGTAAAGTCTAGTACAGTAGAGTATAAGAGATATTGAAAGTGAAATATAGTGAGAGTATAACGGTATAACCCAGTAAAGTCAATAGATAGTATACGAAGTATAAGATACTATCCATACTGTATGTATACTGTATAAGTAATGTAAGTTATGCATGTTTGTGGCACTGTACAGAGTATGTAAAGTACACTTGTACTACCTCGGCAAGAATTGCTCCGATACAAAGCTAGGTAACAGCCAAGCAGCTAGTCTCGTACCTGGTGGCGGTGCTAAATATACTCAGTGCGGAGTAGTAGTATAGTAGTATAGTAGCTAGGTAACATATTGATTATAGCACTCTAGGGCTATATTGTATCTACTAGTATCATACTCTGGTCCATTCCACTGTCATATAGATCTAAAAGATCTACTGATACCTAGGTATACTATACATCATGATCAAGTTTACCTACTCCACTATACTAGTATACTCTATACATCTATTGTACTTCTATCCCCTGCATACTACACGACACTACACTAATACTAGTTAACCCACTGCGCCATTATCTTACCCAGTTGCATGACTGCCAAGCCCACCCCGCGCCTGTGCACCTTTTACTGCTTGATTCAATAGGTATTACTTGCCCAGGTGAATCAATCGCTGCCTGCACTGCCCCTCATTCACCAGAGCAGAACATTGGCATTCCACCAGCCACACCTACACTTCTCTCACTTCCTCCTTCCTCTCTCTCTTCCCCTCATTTCCCTCACTTCAACTTCTACTTCTTCAACTTCTCCAAATTCTCACCACGCCATGCCGCCATGCCATCAACACCCCTCCAGCCACCAGACCACCCCATCGCCCTCCGCCACTCCCACCTCCTAGCTCCAGCCCCAGACCGCCTAACAAACACCCCCACAACTCTCACCGTCACGCGAGAAAACACCCAATCAAGTCGATTAGCCTTCACAATCGCCCAACTCCGCAAAGACGAACCCCTCGACTCCCTCCGCCGCAGCACCCTCCTCTACACCGTCTCCGGCCGCGCCTGGAGCAACTCCCAACACCGCGAAATAAGAGATGTCGCCGGCCGGCCCCTCCTCGAACTCCGCCGCATCTGGTGGCGCGGCCAGTGGATCGTCAAACGAGCCGGCGGCGTCGGCGAAGAACTCCTCTGCGCCGAAATGCGCTGGGCAATCGGCATGAAAATCGGCGCTAGATTCTGCAACGCTCTCGTTGCTGGCCGCGAGGGGATGGCGCTTTCACGCGGGGCTAGAGGGAGAGGTCCGAGTCCGGGTCCCGGAACCGTGCTAAGAGCGACAGCGGGCTCAGCCGCGAGATCATTGTCGAGATCACGGCCTCGAACGGCGGTTCCGGCGTCAGGGCCAGGGTCAACGTCTGCCTCCGCTGCGGCTGCTGCTGCCGCTGCGGCCTCTGCTGAACGGACGGCGACGGCGACTGCAACGACGACAGCAGGGCCAGGACCAGGACCAGGACCTGGACCCGCTTCCATATACAACCGACCAACGCCAACGCGCCGCCGAACAATAAGCAACTACCCACACGCACCGCCCATAGCCCGGGACGCCCCACCCCCATACAGCGCGGAAGTAGCAGCAGGCCACGCCACGCACGAAAACGAAAACAACGAAGCCGAAGGTGAAAATGACCCCGAAATCGAAGTCGACGACAGCACTGCCTCCAATACCCCCAGCGCTGCGTCAAGTAGTACGTCGCTCTCAAGCGCAGACAGCGACAACAAATCGCGCAGCACGGTACTGCCTTCCTATGAAAGTGTTCGGCGGATGCGCAGGGACTCGCATCATAGTTTGCGCGACCTTCTTGATGCGATTGAGCCGCCAAGGGAGCCGGCGCCTGCGTCTGCCGCGCCGTATCCGACGCAGAGGCGGTGGAGTGAGAGTTGTATTGATCCGCGCGTGGAGCTTAGGGTTGTGCAGGCTAGTTCGACGGTTGCGGAGGTTATGATGGGGGAGAGGAAGATTGTTCATGTGAAGCGGGGCCGGGTGTTGGATGTTGTGGGGAGTGGGCGGAGGACGAGGTGGGAGGTTGAGATTGCTGAGGGGGTGGATTTGTTGTTGGTGAGTTTTTTCCCCTGCGCTTCGACTTCAATGGTTGGACTGGACTGGACTGGACTGGACTAATGATGTTTTAGGCTGTTTGTATCGTTCTCATTATTGCGGAGTCGCAGTCGGTTCGACATGAGAATCGATGAGAGTGAGGGGCTGGTTATGGGTGACTTTTCTTTATGACTGATTCTTTTTCTTTCTTTTCGCGTGCATTTAGCATCGGTATTGCTGCATCGCATTTATTTCCGGTCCCCGTTATCATTATCGGGTCGATTTCTACGACGTCAATTTACTTTCCGGTCGATTTCTACTTCCCATTCGTGGACTATCCCTACTTCAAGTTGTTTTGCGGGCAAAAGCCAAGCCATAAAGAATGATACCATAGTAGCAATACGCAATACAAGGGAACATGAGAGAATAACTTGAATCTTAAGAAGTTTAGAAAACTTTCAAAAGCCGGAGGGATTCTCGCCCAGCCGGCATGCATTGCATTTTTGCATTGACAAGTCGAACCAGGACAGGACAGGACAGGACAAGACATTGGCACTTTTCTTTAACCATACATTCATCAGGGGACGCAGAGACGTCCCATATTAGTTTAATAACCCATTGCGCGGCTGTAACGCAGTGCAGCGTGCGATGTGGGGATCGGAGTCGGAATCGGAAACACGCAAATAAAGACAGAAGATCATCTATCTACTCTACTGGATCTTGGCCAGACGCTTGCTCATGCTGGAGTGAGTTAGTTATATGTTCAGGTTGGGAGAGGATGGAGTGGACATACAAGTCAAAGAAAGAGAACTGGCTGGGCTGGTTGCCGTATTCGTAGACGAAGCGGCTGGCCAGGTGACTACCGAAGATAGCGCGGATGTAGTTCTCAGGGACCTAGTAACGGAGTTAGTAAGAAGTAATCGAATGAAAGGCTAGAAAGGGGAAACGTACCCGCTCCAAGATAGTGTCGAGACCAATCTTGTCCAGGAGAAGACGGGGGAGGGCGTCGCCCAGGACGGATCGGCGGAGAGCAATGTTATCCCACAGCTCGGTCTGCTGAAGCTCCTCGTCCAGCTTGGTGATGGCCACACTGAGACGGTCACTCAGGACACTGCGCAGGACACCAGTCTGCTCGTGCTCGCGCCAGATAGCCTCAAACTCGAGAGTGGCGTTCTCCTTGATGACTTCCTGGACCTGGCGGACGTAGTCTTGGTAGAACTGGGGCACGGTGCCGTCCTCACCAACACACATGTTGGCAACGAAGTCCTCGTCGTTGAAGGAGAGGGAGGCTAGGACCTCGAGAGAGGAGGAGGTGACACCACCCTTGTTGGCAGAGGCATCCTTGAACAGAATGCAGCCGGCCTTCTCGAGGCGCAACTTACTGTCCTGGGTGATGAACAGGTTGGCACCCTCGACGATGTAAGGGACGACGGACTTGTTGTCGACGATGAGCTTGCCGACAGTGGACAAGTCGATGGACTCGGGGCGACCACCACAGGGGACGAAGACGTCGAACTTCTCGGTGTGGCGCAGGTGGAAGGTGTTGCGGAAGATCATGCCGTTGGCGACAACCTCGCCGCTGGGCAGCTTGACGTTCTTCTCGTCAACGAGGATACGGTATCCCTCAGGCGAGAGCTTGGACATGTCGAACTCGGAAATCATGGCGCGCTTCTTCGCGAGGCGAATCAGCTCGTCGTGGTTCAGACCTTGAGGGTCGACGATGACACCGGAGCCATCGACGATACCGGCGTACTTCTCGTTGGAGAGGAGAATCTCGTTGGATCCCAGGTCACCGTCGGGTCCACCGGTTTGCAGCTTGGACATGGTGGAGGGGTCGATGCCGAGCTTGCGGTAGATACCAAGCACGTACTGGCGGACCGAGAGAGTGGTCATACCGTAGGTGTCGTGGGGGATACCACCAAGCTTGGGGCTCTTTCCGGTGAAGAAAGACTTCCACCAGGGGGCGCCACGGCTGCGGGCGTGCTCGGTGGCCCAGTCGACCAGCTCGGCGGTGTTCTCGTCGGGACCCATGAAGAGGATCTCGTCCTTGCCGTGCAGATCGACAATGGGATCCTTGATACCAGGGCTGACGGGAGGCAGCAGCAGATCCATGATACTGTCGATGTACTTCTCAAAGGCGACCCGCGCCTTGTCTTGGTGGTCGACGTCCAGGAGGATGACACCCTTGGCACCACCCTCGGGGATATCCTTGTTCTTGCGTTGCTGGGTATTGGCAAGGTTGTAGTTCTCATCGAAGAGCGAGCGAGAGTTGATGCTGTAGGCCTCCTTGTTACGACTCTTGACGATACGGATACCACCACGGGCGATATCACGGAAACGCAGGTGGAAACCGCGGAACTCCGAGGCGATCACCAGGAACATGCCGTAGAGGGGCTGCGGGTACTCGTGCTCCGGCAAGAAGTCCGGCTTCAGGCGGAAGCTCAGGGCCACCTTGGTGGGTGTGAAGAAGTTGGTCTTGAGGATGGAGGCGTTGAACACACGGAAGGAGGTCATGACCATCTCGTCGTGCTCGTTGGCAGCCGAACTGCGAATCAAGTGCTTCAGCTTGTTGCTGTCAAGGACCTCATCCACCTGAAGACGGAGGTAGGAGAGAGTAGGCAGGAAGTCATCGCTGGTGGGACCCTGTGTCTGTACATAGTGGGTGTTGGCGAAGTCCAAGTAGAGCTTGTGAATCAGATCGGGGTAGCGGTTGATGATCTCAAAGATGTAGTCGGCAGTGAAAGTTTCAGTGCGGAGACGCTTCTTGATCTTGGAGAGAAGCTCGGCGTGGACACTGTTGTTGGGATCCAGCAGAGCGGACAGGGAGGTATATTCAGAGCCCAGACGGTTCAGGAATTGTTGCACAAAGACCCACGCAGAGTGAGCGTAGATAGTCTCCTGAAGACTTAAGCGGCCAGTAGCAAAGTGGTTCTGGAAACGGTTCTGGGGGATACAGTAAAGGAGAGAAATCTCCTTCATGATCTGGTGGATAGCTGCCTCAATGGGAGGGTAGCGAGCGGCAACCTCAGGGGAGTCGGAGGGGCGCAGGTACAGAGAAATAACAGTGATACCGTTAGAGAAGTGCTCGAGGTACTTGCGCGAGCTGGTCAGGCGGTAGTAGTGGTACAGGTCGGACAGAGCGCTGAACAGGCCCATGGCAGAGCCCTGGCGATAGGCAATGACAACGCGCTTCTCGCGACTGCCCTCGATCTCGAACATCTCAATGACGGGACCGGTGCGGCTGACGGCAGTAGAGATGATCTCCTGGTAGACAGCCTTGGTGTTGGGGGTGGCCTTCTGGAGGAAGCGCTTCTCACCGATGATGTCGATGTTGGTCTCGTTGGGGTCGGGGTTGGGGTTGACGAACTGGCACTTGTACACGAAGTAGCAGCGCAGCTGCTGGCCATTGTCACCGGGAAGAGCAGTCGGCGAGCGGAAAGTCTCCACACGGTAGCTGTTGGCACCCTTGGAGGGGTTGATGTACTTCTCATCGATGCGCTGCTCGTAGCGAGGGCCATCCATGGAGGCAACACCAGGCTTACTGGTGTCGATGTAGACGGCGTGGTCCTCGGCCTCCTTATCCAAACGGATCTCCAGCTTCTTGTCATCGCGAGCGTAGGCGGCGACCTTGGCAGCGTAGAGAGAGAGGATGTGGGTGACAATGTTATCCACGGACTCGGTCTGGAAGTAGGTATCATCGATACCCAGCATGTTATAGAACCAGGTGGTCTCGGAGGTGACGAAATCGGCGGGGAAGAAGCCCTTCTCCTCCAATTGATCCATCACTGAGGTCTGTATTAGCAAAGAGTTGCAATTGTAGGGTAGTTCTCGTTGAGGTTGTAGTGCTCACCTTGCTCCATCTGCTTCTGCTTGCCCTCGAAAGTGGCAGCGATATATCCCGGGTCCTCCTCGGAGAGGATGCGGTGGGGAGTGCCGGGGATACCCAGGTGAGTGGGCTGCGGCGACGGATGCCGCGAGGTGGGACCAACAGCATGGTCGAGGTGCTTGTTGTGAGGAAAGCGCTGGAATCCGATGGGAGTTCCAGTGCCGGAGGAGCTTCCGTCCTGGCTGTTGAACATCTTGGGGAGAGGACGGGAAGGCAGGGAAGCGCCATTGGAGACCTCCGACTGGGGAGTAGAGGGGGCGGGAGACGACATGATTTGTCTAGATGGGAATTGTATGAGAGAGAGAAAAACACTGGGAGGGGTTAGCCAAAGTATTCTAACCAGCGGTCTTTTTTGAGTGCCGTGATTAAATGTTCCCGATGTTTCAAGAGGATCTCCGAGCTACCCCAAGGAAGGCAGGCACGTGGACAGATAAGCTGGCAGCTGAGAGCTGAGAATGAAATGCAAAGCACAGTAAAGCACAGCAAGACAATTGCTTATCGGCAGTTCCGCCAGGGTTGACTTGTTTCCAAAGCATCTGGAATTCAAGAACGGTGACGGTGACTGGTGGGGGAAGGTGGGAAAGATGATATCATGCAGAGATAGCCGGCAAGGAGGAAGAGTGGGGAATTGGAGGCAAACTGAACTCACCAGCGCCATGGACTATTCCACAGATCTATGCAGAAAATGGAAGGGAAAAGGTATGAGGGGAAGGAAATCTAGAAAATCCGGGGAATGGACAGGGTTTAAATACATAAACCTTGGAAAGTATCCAAAAGCATCGTGACAACGGAAGGACAACCGACGGTAGGCGCAGAGTTCAATGTCTCCATAATTGGGACCCGCGGTCTCGACTATCCGCAGCAACGCTCATTCCTTTTTGTGACTAAGAACCGGCGATGGCGGGGATTGTAATTGGTTCAAATCGCCCCTCTCCCCGAGGGCAAGACCGAGAGGGAAAATCCCGCGTCATGCGGGCCGAATAATGCCTCAACTATACACTTCGTAGTGTATACTCTGGCGATAGTATCTATTATTACCTACAGGTATACTATTACTATACCACCTATATCTCGAGTTATATCTAGGCATTCATCATCCTACTAGGTACCAGATAACTAGTATCATTACCAATATTAGAACCCCTATTTATCACCGCAGTGGCAACTGATTCAGTCTTTTTTTTAGACCCCCGTGACCTAACAATCGCAGGGGCAACCAAGTCACCTGCCCAAACAACACCCACTTCAGACACTTCAGAGAATGAAAGAATCCATTAGATGTGTCAGAGTTTGCTTCACCAACACCTCCGCTCATCCCCAGTAAATGCCTCAACCCCAGCCCTACCAAGAAAAATCGTCATGTCCGGGGGATTATCGCCATTGGGGAACTTTTGGGAACCATGAGGACCATCTCACAGCCAAACAGAAGCCAAGCAGGAGTTATCGAGGGGTAATAGCCAAGGCTATTACGCCTGAAAACCCTGGCCCTACTCTAGCCGGCCCGGTCAACCTCTCCAACTCTTGCGTGGTACCTGGATCGTCACTGGTTGCGGGGTAGCCGCCACCAGTGGACGGTGGTCATGGTGAAATCTCTGCAGCGCCGCCCCGCGAGGATCGTGAATCGCTGGAATGGTGAAAGTCTGGATCGGGGGCTTGTCTGGAGGCCGGCGGGGCCTTACGTGATGGCGCCGCACGAAGCCGCCTCATCATTGGAAGTTGTCTCCGACCGGCGATTATTTTGAGGTAATACCTTCCAAGAACGTTCAGCGGAAGAGATTGCGTGAGATAGGACGGAGTCGTGGATGGCGGCATGGGCCATACAGCTTTGTCACGTCAGACTCGTGCTCGTTAGGGTGTATGTATCATCTTATCCCATCCCCTTAGGGAATGATGGTCATCAAGGCCATGGCCGTGATGGGAAAGAAAAATGTTGGCATGCATTTGAAGAGGTCCAAGCAGAGTCGAGGCCAGAATCTGGCCGGCTATCTCTCCGTTGAGAAAACGTCCAATCTGTCCTGCCTCGTGTCCAACCGCACTCAGCTTATCGGAGGCGTAAGGAGAGGGAGAGGCAGAGGCAGACCACCAACTAACGACCTTATCTCTTGTAGAACCCTGCACTTCAAGGATTCCTAGTTGGCATGTTCCTCAAGATACGTGTTCCTAACGGAGACTACATACTACGTTCCCTAGTACTCCACGCGTACCTGGATAACTGAGACAGCGGCAGATCTCTCAATCTCAACCCTCAACATTCTTCAGTCCAAATGTCAAGAACCTCCTACGAACTCCTGCCCAAACAAGGCGCGAGTAGGGCGATTATCCCCTGCGTGTCTGTACTCATCCATGATAACCACATATCCCCCTGTCGAGACCCAAGCTCCATGCCCAAAACAAGGCCGAGTTTTCTGGAATGCAAGATAAGTATTGTCAGACCAAAGCAAACTCTCCTGGTACACCTATGAACTTGAACCTGGGGTAGAACCTCCCTTATCTTGAGGCCCGAGTGCCTACCCTCCCTTAGATCTTGTCGACGTGGCCATACTGCAAAGTCTCTGGGTACATGTCCACCGCGTCGGCGCAAGTACTCGCTACTCAATCTACGATTGGACGTCTGCGTGCCGTGGTACCTGATCGGATCTGCCTGCAGAACAACTCATCTGCAGAACGGCTCTGGCGTCTGGCGGTGAGGCGGATTAGTTGTACAGGATGATGCCGTAGGGTATATCTGTTCATAACAGAGTATTGTTTGGTTTGAGTACCTAGTACAGATGTAGATAATACCAATACTACTACATACTATCCATGTATACCTTCAAGTTAGTATATGCATATTCAGGGCCCATGTTAATGATAGGCCAAGTTCTAGGTTACCTCACCACTGGCCTCCAGGGCTGAGTGTCAGCGAAGAGGTCCAACCCCAGACCACACACCCCTTCACCCTTAACCCTTTCTTCACAGGGGGTCTAGAACACCCAAATAGTCCCGAATAAAAATAACCCTCGAGGAATCTCGGGGATTGAAAATCCTGGAACTACTAGTACACTATTGCGGGCAGCGGAGTCCTGTAAATAAACTGGAGCCCCGGAGATCCAAGAACCAGGAAATCCGGAGTGGCTGGAATGTGCCCCCTTCCCCGGATCGTGAACGATCTGATCCGGCAGGGAAAAATAATTAGAAATAATTGCCTGGAATAATTGTCTTTCATACATAATATTCATAATATTCACTAGTCAAAACCGGGCGATTAGTGCTACGTGCTACGTGCTATGTATGTATGGAGTCTCTCTCCCGCCTCGCCTCGCTCGTCTCGATCCGATTCGACCCCGTGAGACGATCGAGTCCGAAACCAAATTATTAGCCATTATCCACCTGGGCACCGAGGGGAGAATTGAATGGAATCGATAGTGTCGGTTTCCACGGCGGAACAAAGAAACGGTCGAATCCTGGGAAAGCGAATATCCATACGACTTACAGAGTACTACCTAGGTACATATACGGATACCAACTGTACAGAAAAGAATCCATTGAGTGAGTGATCGTCCGGAAGTTGACCCGCGCAAATGGACTCGGTATTCAATTGTCAAATCATCAAAAAGTGTCGGCCACCGCCACTCCGCAAATCTAATCCAATCCAATCCAAAGAATCAGACGATGCCCCTGGCGTGGGGTGTGTGGAGTACAGTGTGTGGTGTGGTGTGGTGTGGTGATGATCAGATCCACTGGGGGTAGGATAGCTTCGACTCCTTTGTACGGAGTAGAGCATACTGAACGGTGAACTGGAATGAAATGAAATCAAGTCTCCTGTTACAATTTCCCCATCTATTTCCCCGGAGCTAGCCCGTGAATAGGGGAGAATTGCCCGACAGAGTGGTTGTTGGGTAGGACGGGATGGGATCAGCGCTTCTCCGGGTTTTCTCCGGCAGAGAAGGAAGCTAGGTACTCCGTAACAGCAGGGTATCCGTAACTTCTAGAAGGAATGAGGGCCCCTTGAAACACAAGCAAAGCCTTGAGTCACAAAATTGGGAGAGTGGGCACTAGCAGTTCCCCAGTGAATGATCCCTTTTAACCATTTCCCCACACTACGCGTCAGGCCGGAAAGCCTCCCGCCCTTCCGGAATGTCTTTATCCAATTATCCCCAGAGTGAGAATGAGGCGATGGGGGGTTGGCGAGGCCGATCCTTCGGAGGAGGTGGAGGTGGAGTGAAGAGTATTTCCGTGTGGGTTCCAGGTGGTACCTGGTAATGTACGGAGTAGTAGTACTGGTAGTACTGGGTACCTGTTGATTCCCTGCCTGGCATGTACCCGGAGAGATTACTTCCAAGGTTGCTAGGCCATTTCCACTAAAGTTGGGGGGATTTGGGATTTTCCGATTAGGAGTTGATCGAGTATAATTACCTTTCCCTTTCCCTTGCCCAGGGGTCAGCTTGATCTTACTTCTAGTCCTTCCATCCACTCTGTTTACCCATTCATTACTAGCCTCTACCTATCAAGCTACTAGGCATTCAACATTCACAGACATCCTAGGATATACTGTATACCACTTCTCTACCTCCTCTCCTCAATCCCATCCAATCCATTAGCAATCCACTGCCCACTGCAAATCGGAAAGACTCGCAACATCCTATCCTCAGTAAGTTCCGAAAGCACCCACCCTCCGTTACATCATATCAAGCACTCCGATCCGCCGAGCTGAGCTCCTCGGGCGCTTTCGGAAGACTCGATCCAACAGCTCGGACAAAAGCTCATGCATCGACAGACACAGACATAAGCCCTGAGGACCCAAAGACATCCATACTATCCGATCCATCAGCCGCGACATTTGATCTAAGCGCCGTACCGAGGTCAAGCTCCTGCCACTTTTATCTACCCGATCAATACAAAAGAGCTCCATCCAGCCAGCTCCAGTCCTTGATAAACACCACGCCATTTCCAACTCTCCAACTGTCCAACACGCCTCAAGCACTTCAAGTTGCACAAACTCCACCTCTCTTCAAAATGGCAACCATCTCCGTCCAAAAGACCCTCTCCCCACCCACAACCGCCAAAGACGCCTTCTCCCAAGACATCTCCCGCGCAATCATGAGCTCGGCATCAAAAGCCAAGCTCCATGATACCCTCCCACCCGCACCACCACCGTCCCCAGTCTCCATGGCCATCGACAGCACAGGCAAAGCAACCAAGTCCAAGCACGAGAAGATCCCTAGCTTGAGTCTTGAGTAAGCCCGCAATTATCTTTCTTCTACGGTCGAGTCGAGTCGAGTCTGTCTTGGTTACTTTCGTCAACATCTCTCACCTCACACGCTGAGCCGAAATGAAAGGAAATGCCAACAGGCGACGCCTTGCCCCTCGACCCCATTTATCTTGCGATGCGACATTTGCGACATTCTTCGGTTCGATTCGGTTAGCGACATGGCGTGATTGTGTTTGTCTGCTTTACTCTGATTTCAATGTTTCGTTTGCTCCCTTGGCCCCTGGTCTTGCGGGCTCTTCGGCTTAATATCTTTGCTTTACATTTGCGATTTGTTCTTTAATCTTGTGGGTTATGGAATGGGATACTGAGGCGTGGGTGGGTGGATGGATGGATGGATGGATTAATTGCCCCGGTTGGGCTGGATACATAAAAGTCATGGCATAGGTGTTCAATGGTGTTCTTAGGATTTGAAATTTAATTTCATTTTATTACTACTTTATGCTTTCTCTCTTTTGACGCTGAGGTTTATTGGGTTCGGGTTCAACTTGATGTTTCGGCGGGTTTTCCGCATATAGGACTAGTGCAGTGCATACGCCGGGCTGGCCTAGCTAACTTAAGCTATAGTGTATTGACATTGGATTGTGTTTACAGTGGTCGGTGTCAGAAGTACATCATGATAGAGACCTGTCCCATCTCACATGTAATGCGGAGTACGAAAAGGAGGTGTGCAAAGGTACATAATTAGATTTGCTTGATTGTATGATGTAAAGAGCGAAAGCGAGATGCTTGGTTTGACTAGTCTAACTTGCTTCCCTATCGGTCTAGACTAAGCACGATGCGATGCGATGCGATACATCAACCCACTCATATTTGCAAAGCTATCGCCACCGCCAGGGTCCCAACGACAGACGGGTCGAATACCCATCCTATTCGATCCGACGAATATGGCTCGGTCGCACGGGGCTGGCTGCTTCGCTTCACCCGAGGCAGATGGGATGGCCGGGGTTGAACTTGATCGACGACCAAGGGCTGGATGACGTTACCCATCACATTGAGGATGATCGCCGGGTTGGGTCTGGAAAATGGACATTTGCATGTGCTTGTGATCGATCCGATTATATTGCCGCGAAGCCGAGTGGGGCCCGTGATTCGGACGGGATCGATCCCCAGTCAAACGGAGAGACCGGGGCAGAACTTGGACAGACAAGAACAATATGGAAGAATTCGAAGGAGATACCTATCCCAGCTTCAGCCGAGTTCTCATCTCGTTCGGACGCGCGACTGGAACCAGCTTTCCTCACAAAAGAGAATGGTCTAGTAAAGCATCATATATGCGACGGCGATCAGGGTCCAGCGATCTAGCCCATAAGCTTATCCCCACCAAATGAGTAAGTAAGTGGGACGAAAAGAAAGCCCGGAAGGACAAACCAGACCAATCCGATTCAGGACGGGTACTGATACTCCGAATCTTCCTCATAGTAAGCACGGAAAAGCATCTCCAACTGCTCCAGAGCATCCATATCGCCGTTCGCAGCCTTCTCGCGCAATTTCTGCACGTCGGCGAGTTGGGCCTCCGTCTTTGCCCACGCAGCAAGACGCTCTGCAACGTCGACATTCCGACGGACCTTATAGACCGTCCTTACGGCATCTGTCTCGCCCTTGCTCTCCTTCAACGCCTGCAGCTTCGCAATAAACTGCGCCTGGTGCGATTGCCCCGCTGGTCGACCGGGCACTGTGGACGGGCCGCCATTGCTTTGACTGCTGGTGGTGAGGTTTGCTTTGCGGCCGACGATCTTGACGCTGTTGGCGGCGAGGAGCTCGAATGCGGGACCGGTGCGGAGGGGCGTGGTGCGGGCGGGATCCATGTCTGGATCTGTGTCTGGGTGGGCGAAGAGGAGCTCTGTGCCTATCTGGTCGGCCCAGGAGCAGCTGAAGATTTGGTTTTGGTATGCGATGATTGGGTTGCACGTGTGGAGGGCTAAGATTTGGATTCGCTCGCGGGTGAGGGAGTCTTCGGCGCTGTCGAGTGGGGTGAAGGCGTCGATGGGTTGGTTTGGATCGTCGTCGTCTTGTGATGGGTCTTTGGATTTGTCGGGTTGACGTTGGCGTGGGGGACGGATTGGACCATGGTGAGCTGTTAGGTCAAGGTTGAGATAGAAGGTCTGGTCACAATGGTTCTCATGTTAGTTGGAGCTGGGGATGGAGTGGAAGGGGAAGAGAATAGTACTTCGGTCTCAGTCGGGTCATACTCATATTCATAGTCGGAGTCGGATTCAGGGTCCAGGTGAGAGTCGATCTCCATACTGGCAATAGAGGGAGTATGGGATTGGTTGTGTGATATCGTATGCCAATGATATTCTGCAGAGTTAAGGTAGGGTACCTTAAACACAGTTAAACACGGAGATGCGACCGAAGCGGAGATAAGGATGAGTCAGCTTTCTAAAATGTTGGCGGTGAGTTTATCAGGTGGCAAGGCTTATATAAGATGGCAGATGACTCCGTTCTACTTTTGAGATCTGTAATACTTGAAAATAGTTATACAATAATATAGATATATTATAGTAAACATATCCTATAGTATAGATAGAAGTGATAATTGGCTTATTTCATACTCTGTACCCTACTCTATACCATACCCCATCATCCTATTCTACCGAGTATGTTATAGGAAGTTATACTTAACCCCGCTTACGTCCACCACTGTCCACTTCACTTCCCCTCATCGGACTACTTCCACTCAGCCTTATACTAGTTTCTTGTTCTCCCGACTCTTCCGCCATTCATTTGATCTTCCCTGATCATCCCTGCACCAATCCCAATCCCTTCTCCCGTTCGCATCGGCCGCTAGTCTAGCCCATTGCATCCGGCTTCTCCATCGCCCTGCATTGCCCATTTCCGCACACTCCCGGTCGCCCATTCTGACTCGTTCGAGGCTTTTTTGCCTTTCGGGTTCGCTTTGGTCTGCTCTTTTTTTTCTGCTCACGAGGAACGCTTGCGCAAGTCGGTACCGCCCATGCCGTTCATCCCGTTCATCCCGCCCACCGTGCCCATCCTATCAATTTGGTCGATTCTGGCCATTCCATCTTTATAGGCCACCCACCCTGCCTAAACCCACTCGCATTCTGCTTTGCTTTGTTATCAACCCATGCCCAGTCTTACTCTGCTGTCGTGATCCCTGGATTTTGTCTCTCTTTTCTCCATTCTTTCTCTTTCCTCCCCTCCTCCCCCTCTCCCTCTCCCTCTCCCTCGCTCTGTCTCAGTCTCTTCATTCCATGATCATCAACTAGACCCTGCGTCAACTCTGGCAGTCCCTGCCGCTTCGTTCAGCAGATGACTCGAACGGCAAAGGTCGCCATTGTTGTCTTGCTGACACTCATCGCTTATGTCTCCATCAACAGTATAGTCCGCGCTACCAATCCTCGCGCTTTCGTCTGGTATGAGGAAGACAAGGATGAGCGCTCGTGGATCGCCAGTTCTCGCTCCTGGTTCGACCGCAAAGCCTGCCGCTGGCTCGGCATCTGCGGTGCGGCGCATTTACAAACGGTTCACGGCCCTTTCGGTCGGCGAAATCCCGCAGAATGGGAAGACCCCGGAGATAGCAACGACGATAATGGTGACGGCGACGGCGACGGCGACAGTACCGACCCTACGAAACCCTGGCAGTCTTACTGGTTTAGCGGCGGGTCCAATCACTCCGACTGGGATGCCAATGAGCGGGAACTCCGGGAGATCCCCGACTATGTCTTCGACTACGCCCCACTCGTCCATCTTTATTCCAAGGAACAATTCTGGCCTGGCGATATCGCTGAGCACCTCTATCACACTACTCCTCATCTCAATTACGACCCCATTCAGTCCGAATCGAAGCATTCAACCCTAAAGGACCTCGATCAACTTAATCAATATCAATGGGGCCGTCCGGTCTTTTTGACCAGCAATGATGATCCCGCGTCCCGTCCGCCGTGGTTGGAGGGCGAGCAAAATATTCCCGAAATCGATGAGAACTTAGTCCAAGAAGAGGCATGGGCCGACTGGGATGGCCGAGTCGATGGTAAAATCCCTGGTGAATCCGCAAAGGATCGTAGTATATGGGACGACCTGCGACATCTCAGCGAAAAAGGCAATGATCAATGGCTCCTTTGGGGCTCGCGGGCAAACCGTATCCTTCATCAGGAGTTGCGCAAGCGCTTTGGCGGTCATCCAATCCAAGAGTCTCTGCTGAAGACTCCGTCTGACAACTCTGGGACCGACAGCCCTGGAGGCCGCAGCGATGCTCCAGCCATTCTGGTCGTCATGGACAAAGGTAATGGCGTCGTTGACGCCTTCTGGTTCTTTTTCTACAGTTTCAATCTGGGAAACACGGTCGTCAATGTGCGCTTCGGTAACCATGTCGGTGACTGGGAGCACTGCCTAATGCGATTTCACAACGGCAAACCGAAAGCCATGTTCTTCAGCGCCCACAATGGCGGCGAAGCCTACCGCTACGAGGCTATAGAAAAGATCGGGCAACGAGTGAGTCACCGTCATCAGCGCAGTAACGAAATGAGACCAGAGTCGCACAATTCTAACACAAATCATTCCAGCCCGTCATATACTCCGCCGAAGGAAGTCATGCCATGTACGCCACAGCCGGGGTGCACGAATATATTCTCCCATGGGGACTACTGCATGACGTGACAGATCGGGGCCCACTGTGGGATCCCTTGCAGAATAAGCAAGCATATACCTACGCCAACAATACTCTCCGCGCATCCACCGTGAATCCAAAGTCACCAACAGAGTGGTTTTTCTTCCGCGGCCACTGGGGCGACAAATTCTACCCGCTCGGCGATCGTCGCCAGTACAGATTCGCCGGCCAATATCACTTCGTGAACGGACCGCTTGGACCTCGATTTAAAAATCTCAACCGCCGCAAGCTCTGTCAGGGTCCGGATCGGGCCGCCTGCGTGATTAAAGACTTCATTGGAGATGATGTGCGGACTCCGCGATGGACTTCGTCTGGTACTGGGGAGTGATTGTGCCCAGCCATTCGCAAACTATCCTTCCTCCGATCCTCTTTTGCCAAGCCCTTCCCTCGGCATACCACCACACCACATTTCATCCCACCCTGCACGTACCTCACCCATCTACTCTCACGAATTATTACATGACTCAACACTCGCCGGTTTACAAGATCCTGATATACCACTTTGTTTTCGATTTATACCCCTGATATCCCTGCATTTTTCCAAGACCAGACAGGATAGACCTGATCATGTCTCGACGGAAGCGTTTCAAATTCCCATTTCCTATTCTTACTATTTGCTCTACTTTACGATTGACAGTTATCTACGAAACCACTCTTATCTTACTTGCTTCCCTGATTGCTCTTCTCGGGAGATCGTGATGAGAAAAACCCAACTACGATTTATTTGAAATTTTGTCTCTCTTTTATATCCCTGGTACTTTTCTTGGTGACCATTTTGCTTTGATCTCAGGCTGATACGAGAGAAGAACGTATAGTAGATGGATTGCTTCTTTGGGTCCTTGCGGAGTTCAAGTTCATTATATTATATTTATCTGGACTGGTCATTAAATTATTTTTTTTTGCTGCTGCTGCTGCCGTTCCGCTGTCGTGTCATTGGGACGGGAGCGTGCGAGGCGAGTTTGCTTCTTTTGGTCAAGGGTTTCTATCTTTCCTTTGCCTATCTCTCTACCTCTCCTAGAAGACAAACTGGAAAAAAAAGTAGTATACAATACACTGATTAGAGATTTACGACAATTGCCATGAGGAAGGAATCTTACAGGCTCGGAACCTCCGAGTCGGGACTAGTATATAGGGCTAGTAGCCCTGGAACTTTGGCAGTACTAGTCTCCCGACCCTATGTATTGGAACCTTTCTGCAATCCCAGTTCATGCGTAAATACTTTTATTTGAATGTTGATTCTAATATGAAGTGAATCATACATCCATGCAGAGCGAGCGCTACCATCCAACTCTAATATGCCGATATACGCCGAATATACAAACAAATCCAATCGATACATGAGAATGGGCAATACATGACCGGTCCACAGCCTCGGACGTGGCAAGATATCAAATCAAATCAAATCCTCCACCTGCGAGGCAGAAAGGAACTTCTTTGAAAATCCGCCTTCAATCCCGCACGTCTATCCACGGATCTCCCAAAGTCGCACACGGCCTTGCTCATTAGCGACGGCCAATTGCTCCGAGTTAGGCGAGATAGCCACGGATGAAATTCGGCCGAGGGGTGTGTTGGATGTAGGCCAGTTCCTGTAGACGGTGCAGGAGGGGAGATGGACTGAAAAAGAAGTCGTTAGTAAACGGAAGGAACCTATTACCCAAGGGAAAGGAAAGGAAGGAAAGAAACATACCAAGTCGCAAAGCATCACGCTTCCACCGACTAGCCATAGCAAGCATCTGTCCATCCGGCGCGAAAACCAAATGACTGATCGGGGTAGTAAGTTGATCCAAAGCACGCGCAGGAACGGGGTTTCTAGGAACGCCGTTCTGAACATCCTTCTCGGCAGCATTAGCGTACGCAGCCGCCCAATCCCTCCGATCATAAATATTGACCACGCCGCTCGAACTACCGATCGCAACCCACCGATCCCCACCGAGCTGGGTGCGACCCGATCTCCCGCCGAGACTGAGAACCGTCGTACCGACAGCACCGGCGTCCACCCACCGCGCCACAACACGGCGCAACTTCCCATCCCACTCCGAAACCTCACCGTTCTTACTGGCAACGGTTAGTCCCTCGCCATCGGACCACCAGGCGAAATCGGCCACGCCGCCCCGGCCGTCGACGCGGACTTGCGCAATCCATTGCGCGGTGCCGCTGTCCAGGACGTTGATTAGGCCGCCGCCTTTGCGGCTGCTGCCGATTACACCGACGTAGCGGCCGCATGGGGAGACCTTGAAGCGTTCCATGGACTTTTGCTCGTTGCGGTCTGAGGCGCTATTGACCTTGTCCACTTTGCCGGTGTCTAGGTCCCAGATGTGGAAGTAGCGGCGGCGGCCGGAGGCGAAGATTCGGTTGCCGCTGGGTGCGGCGAAGGTCGAGGTGTGGAGTGGTGTGCGGCGGATGTGCAGGGATGTTAGGAGGGGGTTTGGAGATGGGGATGAGGGGGAGATGTGGTGGAGGAAGAGGGTTGATGCTGGGCCTGACGAGAGCAGGAGGGGATAGTGTGGGTGGAAAGTGAGGGAGTCGACGGATGACTAGAAGGGGTTGTTATGTTAGCAATATATTCTTCTTCTTTGATATAGCTTTCGTTCGTTCGTTCTCTTACCGGCTGTGTCTTGCCAACGTCCTTCAGACGCTGAATATCCAGAACTTCCTGGCGCAATTTGCGCTTCCCGGCTGTGCGGTTATCCTCGACCCGAGTGAGATCTGAGGCGTTTTGGAGCAGTTTGGCGAGAGGCTGCATGGATAGTTGCTCCTCCTCGTCGGAGTCCATCTCTTCGGCGCTATCCGCGTCCGAGTCGTCCGAGTCCACCTTGCGACGCTTGGCCGCGAGCTCGGGGTTGGCCCAGTCGGGCGTGGGGTGAAGGCGCTGGAATTGTTTGCGCAGTCGTCGAACGTAATCTTTGCCATTGATAACATCTTCGTCTTCGGTGGTGCGCAACTTGCGCAGCTTAGCCTGGCCAGCTAGCGAGACTGCGATGCGCTCGTCGTCACTATCGGCCCAGACGGCCGGGGCAGCCTCCTCGTCCGAGTCCTCCTCATCCGATGGTGTCTCCGGGGAAGGAATCATGTCCGTATCAGCGGGTGCACTGCCCGAGTCGAGGAAGAAGAGCTGGAAAGTAACACAATCTCGTTAGTTATGCGCAATATCACAATGCGCTGGGAAACAGTAACACCAGCGGGGAAAGAAATCACATACATCCGCATCAGCCATATCAGCCAAATCCCCCTGCTCCTCCCCATCACTCTCATGACCAGCACCCTCACTATCCTCATCACTGAGCAGGGTAAGCTGCATCGCATCCGCACGCTCCTGCTGATTCTTCAACGCCCCCATGAACCCCTCGTCGTCGCCGAAGAGCATCTGCTCAAGCTTCCTCTCCGCGGCATCCTTTTCGGGAGCATCGTCCTCGTCACTGGAGGTGTCGTCGTCCATGTTAATGTCGTTGTCTGCGGGACCGGGGTGCATCGGCGCATTGTCGAGCGGAGACCGGGGAGTCGTCCGCTTGGTTTTTTGCTTGAGGGCTGTTTTAGGCATTTTATCGGGACACTTTCTACCCTGAGAATAGAAATTGGCTCGAAATTTATTCGCTCCGCAGGTTCGGCGTGGGAGCTTGGCTGTTTCGTTGCAGAAAAAAAATTGGGATTGGGCGGCAGAAAGGCGGCTACGGGTGGAGGGCGGTGTGATGTGAAGGCATCTGTGCTGTAGTAAACTTCAAACGTTTTATTTGAGGGTATTTCAAGTTTTAAGCAAAATTGAATGTGAGATCAATTGCTTCAAATGCATTCAAGCCCTCGAGCTGGAGTACTAGTACTAGTAGCAGCATGACTTGGAGCCTCACAAAGCAACTTGAACCTTGGAAGTCAAGTTGGGGTTAGAAATATATAATTACTACGCCCGGGCGAGTACCTAGGTAGGTACTAGTACTAGTATGCGGCAGTAGAACAATAAACATAGGCTCTAATCGATAAAATACTCAATACTAATAATCGTGTACACATATATTCATAATTCCCCATACGCCAGCGATGATCAATTCCCAAACTCCGAGGCTCTTTGAGCCACCATCAGTGCTTCATGGCGCAGTAGGATCCGAACCTTACCTACGGCCATTCTGACCACCGCTCCCACTCGAATTGGGTGGTTCAGATTGATAGGGCGGGGCAGGAGTATGATCTTCCGAGTAGCGCCCTTCAGACTCTTGAAGCGAAGTTGCCGTGACCGTAGCCGTGGCCGTGGTCTGGGTGAGTGACTTGGCGATAGATGACTTCCGCGGCGCCTCATCTTCAATATCCGAATCAGATGAGTATGCCTCATCGATACCTGCGAGCAAACCCTCGCGCCCCACGCTATCATTCGCTGATTCGTCGGTCGTGATGTCAGAATTATAACCGTCCTGGGACATCGACTTCTTGATGAAGATGTCGATGATGTAATATTGAATGGCATTCATCGTTACAGGGAAGAGGAGCATGACGAAGATGATTTGCAGGGCTGTGTTCCCTTCTGTCCATTGTAGAGCCCAGTCGCCGATTTTGACGATGAAGGGGAATAGCTGGATCAGGAAGAAGACACAGACTTTCATGCCGAGTAGTCCGATGAAGTAAATGATAGACTGCTTGAACCACCAAGATGCCTTTGGGGGCTGGCCGTAGTTACCGGACTCGATTGATTCGGGCGGATTGGCTAGTGGCGTGTAGGAGGCGAGAATGTTTAAGACGCGGAGAATGAGAATCAGGATCGGGATGCCGAGAGTTGTCTGGGATGTTTTTTTTTTTGTTAGCATGGCTGTTTATGCAGATGTTTGTGTTTGTGGCATATTGGTCGCTGGGAGATGAGATACTCACGTCGATTCCTAGGTTTAGCAAATAGAACGAACAGGGATTCGGTCTATACGACGGCCTGATCTCTATCTGACCGGCCGAGAACATGGACATGGTGAGGTTAAGAAGGTGAAGCATTGCCGAGCCAAAGACCTGCTTCGAGCCGTCAAATGCCCACACCTTCAGTGGTCGTTGCGGCCGTTCTCTCCACCGCTTGAAGACTAAGGAAAGTAACGCCAGTCCTCCAAGCGCCAACTGAACTAGAAGAGAGAATGATCCTAATAAGTGGCATTCTCCCTGATCCTCTCCACCAGAACCGCCAGATTCAGAGGCGGATGCGCCGTGGTAGAATAGCTTATGGCCATCAGACGGTGATGGCGTCGGGTCAGAATATGAGGTTTGGGAAGCGGCGATGAGACTTGATGTCGCTCTTGCGGCTACCATCATGGGGGCAGCGAAATCCATTGTGAACAGAGACTGTGTAATGTATTTTGTAGGCCGATAGATCAAGAGGTTGGAAGTAGTGCCTGGAGAGTGCAGGATGATTCACAGAGGTTGCGATGGGGTTGGGGCCAAGATGCTAGGCGGCTGGTGTAACCCGGGGGCGCTCTGGATGCCACTAGGCTGATTGATGGCGAAGTTTCAGTTTGTCATGAACTGGGTGAGTTTATGTAAATGGGGAACGAGAGAACAAATGAAGAGATAAGTTCTCTCGACAAGGCTCCAAAACCGGGCAGTGTTGCAGTCGCAGAGCTCTGGAGGCGGTCACGGTCTCTCCCCGCACCGGGATCGACGCGGCTAACCCGGGGCTAGACGTTGCTTGTTGGACGAGGGTGAACTCTGCTGTTGAGACTATGTACCTTATTAGAGGCAATGAACTTCCTGTTTTTTTCACCGTGACTCTTCAATTTGAGAGGGAATTCCCCTGGTTTCCGTTTCTCAAGGGGGTTTCCAAAGTGAGGACAGGGAGCGAGTTATAGTCCCTTAATTGGACCCTGCCGGAGGGTGGAGTCGAGTGCGGCTGTGACGCAGTGTCTGACTTACCCTGTCTGATGTATGATTAGATCTTGGCTACTTAGATTGGAAAGTGGAAAAGCCATGATAAACGGGGAGTAGAGATTTAAGATAATAGACGATATGGGGCACGGAAACTGGCCCCAGCTGAGAGTCGTCGAGCAAAGGGTTTCCATATTTGATTACGTGAATCTGGAATAGGAGGATAATAGCATGGACAAAGAGAAGTGAAGAAGAAAAGAAACCACCCTCGCGAAGTGTGTCCTTCAAGCGAGAGCCTCCTGGTTGAGAAATGATAACCGAGGAGTCAAAACCCGTCGAGCCTCCGTCTCCCACCTGAAACGAAACGAAAGGAAATAAAACAACCAGAGGGAATAAACAAAACGCCGAAGAACCCCTCAACCATCCCGGAATCGATAGAGCAGGAAAGCCGTTGCAATAACATGCACTGCGAGCCGCACGCAGAGGGCATCATGAGAGTCGTCACATCATTCTATCCCGTGCTGCTGTTTAAGTCTTTCGAGATTTTCTTGTCTTTCCGCCAAATCCTCCTTTGAACGGGCCATCTTCTCGGGCTGATGGTATAATACTAAAGGAGAAACATCCGTTAGCCATTTGTGCGTCGCCTTTGCTTCCACCACTGCCACGACGTATCTCGATGTACCGATGTACGTACCGACCAAGTATCTGTTCTGGAAGTTGAATCCATTGAGCTTATCGCATGCCTGCTTGGCGTCGTGTACGTCCTCGTAAACCACAAACGCCGTGCCCTTTGAATTGTTGGCGATACCCTGGCGAATTTGCCTAGTAGAAAAAAAAAGGTATCAGTGGCGTGTCCATGCACGTGGTCGAGCAAGAGAAAGAAGTAACACGAGCAATGCCATACCGAATAGGTCCAAACTTGCCGAAGAGGTCAAAAAGTTGCTCCGCGGTTACGTTGTAGCTGGTGAGGAAAAAAGAGATATCGTCAGTGATCAAGTTTCGATTGTAGATGACATTCCGCAAGTATCACGCAAGCATCACGCGAGTATGAAAGTAGACTTTGAGGACGGAGAATGGCGGATCGCGTTGGGACATACTTGAGGTTCTTGACGAAGAGAATCCTATAAGACGGAGAAAAGCCGAGTTAGTATATATGAGCAACAAATGGTGGTCTCGGGGGTGCGGATGGGCTTCCGGGTTTTTTGCGGGATGGCTAAGGCCGAGTTGAGAGGGGCAAAAGATCCAGGCACGTACCGATTTGCTTCGGGGGCGAGCTTCCGGCTCATCCTCAGGGCGAAAATAAATGAGAATGGGGGGAATAAATGTAAAATGAAGAGCTAGATACCCGGGGTATCGAGGTGGGCGGGTGGTTTCTTGGAGGGAGAGGAGAGCGCAAGACGAACAGACAGCAGAGCGAAGCATGAATTCAAGTCTTGGCATCGACTAATCCGGTTTAGTTTATGCCTGAGGCAGGATGTGTGAGGTAAGCTGTGACAATACGTGACGAGAATACTGCACGTGCACGATTTACGAAGCATGGTAAGGGTACTTACCCTAAAGTACCCCTCCCTACTAGTTTACTAGTAATAACTGACATCAACCAAGGTACCCCCGCTCGGAGATCCTTCAATACCGCGCGTACCAAACGGTATATACACTGAGAAGCTCGGCGACGAGAGCAGTCGCAAGTTGAAGCTCGGGGACATTCAACTAGAATTCCCTTCCTTTTCTCTCAACCAGTCACTCAATCGATCGCGGGACGCTTCACTCTCAGCATTCACCAGGAATTGATTTCGGTGTAAAGGGAGATCCGCCGACACCAAACCATTTCGGAGGTTGACAAGCTGTCCCGCGTTCCCTTCCAATACCTTGCGCTTTCTGCGACCTGCCAACTCGACCTACTACCAACTCACTCCTCTCCCTCCTACACGCCTTGCGATCCATCCTCCCCTCCTCCCCTCCGACATCATCAACTTCGGCCGCGCTTGTTATTGAACTCGCAGGAATTCACTCCTGCTCACTGGATTGTCTTCATTTCGTTTCCTTCTTTGCCCGCGGGCTGCGCGCCGCGACCCTCGGCGCCTTTGGCCCTCCGCCGTCCAAACGAAACCCCCCTCAACTGCGACTCCGTCCACTCCGAACATAACTCCCCTCCTCCTCCCCGCTGCGCCGTCGATAATCTTGTCGACCAGCGCGCTTCGGTATACTTTGCGGTTTCGACTGCGAATGTCCGTTTGCCAGGAATGACTTTCCATTCCTCTGCGACGGCCACTCGCTAGTCCGTGTGGTCCATGATCCCCGCTTTGCACCCACCAGCCGGAAGCGCATTTATTCGCAACCCCGATCCTCCTACTCGTCCATTTCTACGCCCAATATTCTCAGACTTGGTCCAGGTCAAGATGATGAGCGCGGCCTCCTTCCTGACTCCTCTGGGGGAGCGTCCGCCTCAGTACCGAACTCCGTCCCCCCCGCGACGCGCCGTCGAGCCCATCACACCGTCCACCGCAGAATTTCGTTCATCATGGGCCGATCGCGGCATCACTCGAGCTACAAGCCTGGATGGTGATCAGCGAACATCTAATAATACTCGGAGTACTGCGGTGGATGGCTCTTCACACAACCGGTCGGGTCACGGCCGGTCAAACTCGACCATCGACACTCTCGCGACCATCGCCCTCGCAACCAGCCCGACATTCACACCACTGCCCGATCGCCCACCCTCCTCCCCCTCTCGATCGACCGTGCCCTTGTTTCCTCCGGAATCGAACACCTCCGAACGCCCCGCTAAGAGAGCTCGCTCCGAGAGAGACCCCTCACCGTACCATGCCCGCGGCCAACCAAGTCACTCTCATTCCCATTCCCTTTCCGATACCCTTTCTTACTCTCATCCACACTCGCAAGCGCCCTCAAACATACAATCCTCGATTCCAGATAGCATGACAACGGATGCCGAACTTCTTCTAAACCTCGCCCGCCCGACCAATTTTCACCCCAGCAGCCACACAAAACGAGTCAGTATCGATGAGTCTCACAACCACTACGGAGGTGACGAGTTAAGGCACAATCGAGTTGGATTCGCAAATGATGGATACCATGACGTGAAACATGCATTCTTCTCAGAGGAAAGTCATCCGCCTTCACGCATGAGATCTCGTTCCGATGGCTCGGCATTTGCACCACGTCCTGTGATTCGGGGTGCACGCCCTACCACCAGCGCGGGGGTACTGCCTCCAATTGTGTGGGAAGACGAGAATGAAGATAGCCCATCGGGAGACGCGTCTCGATATGCTGGGTATGGGGAACACCGGCCCACCGGTATCTCTGAACTTTGTGCTTTGCAAAAGCCATTAAACCCGATGCCTAAAGCCGAGGAAGATGATAGCGAACCAAGCCAGGCAAGCTGTGCTGCGTGTCATATGGTTCGAATACCGGTGCAGACAGAAGAGCAAGAGGAAGATACCTGGATTGGCTGTGATGGATGCAAGCGATGGTTTCATATCGTCTGTGCTGGCTTCAAAAGCGACCGAGAAGTGCGCACCATTGACAAGTACATATGTCGGTCATGTCGACCAGCCTACGGCCAGACCACTTTCGTCCGCAAGTCCTCACGTGCTCGTACCGCAATTGACTACGCGGGTCTCAACCAAGGCCTTGTCAAGGCGGCTTCCGATTCTGTGGAACACCACTACCTAGAGCCCATCCGACAAGGAAAAATCCGTTTCCAGCCGGAGGACTTTCCCCGCATGAAGCCGGAATTGGTCACTGCTGAATACTTCGAACGTGGCAATGGCTGGAACGAACCTATTGTGATACCCGCCTGTTGGAACACCCGAGATCCTATCCCTGAAGTGAACCCAGTGTTTGAATCACTGATCCGAGATGCCTCAACCCAGGAGATGTTTGATGATCTTCTTGACCATCTTCCCGAGCAGGAGGCTGAGGTTGAAGAGACCATGGACTGTGGCCAGGATCAATTGGACATGGTGATCCCAGAAGGCCTTACGGTACGGGCGGTGGCCGAGCTCTACGGACCTGAAGAGAGAGTCGAGGTCATTGATGTAAAATCACAACAGGGCGAGGATAAGAGGTGGAATATGCAGAAATGGGCGGATTACTACGAGAGTAACGAACCCAACAAACCCGTCCGGAACGTCATCAGCTTGGAGGTCTCCCAGAGCAGGCTCGGTAGACTCATCAAGCGACCCAAGGTCGTTCGGGACCTCGATTTGCAAGATGCTGTCTGGCCCAAGGAGCTGCAAGATATTGGTGACTTTCCCAAAGTGCAATTCTATTGCCTCATGTCCGTTGCCGACTGCTATACCGACTTTCATATCGACTTTGGTGGTTCTTCGGTGTACTATCACATTCTCAAGGGCAAGAAGACCTTCTTCTTCATCCCACCCAAAGACAGGCACCTGAAGAAGTATGAAGAGTGGTGCAACTCCCCTGCGCAAGATTCAATCTTCCTTGGAGCCCAGACAAAGGAGTGCTATCGTGTCGATCTTTCAGAGGGAGACACCATGTTGATTCCATCAGGCTGGATCCATGCCGTATGGACCCCGGAGAACAGTCTGGTAATCGGCGGCAACTTCCTCACCAGACTCAACTACGGCATGCAAATCAAGGTGCTGAATATTGAGAAGGAGACAAAGGTCCCTAGGAAGTTTCGATACCCATTTTTCCAGAAAATCCAGTGGTACACAGCCCTACGATACATGGAAGATGATCCTGTTCCTCAGGATGTATTGAATTACTTTGTGCAGGATGAAAACGCTCGATTTCACCGAGAGTACCCCGTCTACTACGAGTTTGGAGATCTTGCCAACCAAGAGGCTCCGGAAACGCCTTACTACAACGCCCGATTCTATTCCCAAGCGGAGCTGGAGGGCCTACCAGAGTTGATTAAGTATCTTCTTCGGACAGCACTCATTGCCAGTGGCTATCTTGTTGAAGGCGTCACGACAGAAGCTCGCAACGCCATCCGCCGTTCCATCCCGAAAACAATCACAGATCCCGTTGACATGATTCGGAGGTTCGGTATCTGGGTTGCCTGGAAACGTGGAAATGAGACGGCACCGCGATGGACTCGACCGGGTGTTATCGAAAGCAACCCCAAGGTCTCCCTCAATGAAAAGAAGCCTGCCGGACGGCCGAGTCGCCGATCGGACCGCAACATCGACAACCAGCGTACCTATGCGGAGAGGCAGCCACTCCAGCGCTTGGAGGACATTATGCCATCCCCCGCACCCCCGGTCGACAATGGACCCGATTTAATTGACAACACAACATCCATGCCGGCTAGCTATGCCCCCGATTACGTGGCCCAGGACACCATGACAACTCCCAAATCGCGATCTTCCGCACCACGAGGCTCCGGTTTAGGGCCAAAGCGGGTAGCTTGTGATGCTTGCCGTAGACGGCGCATCCGTTGTCGCCACAAGGATGAGCCGGCTGATATGATTATGGGAAAGCAAATGACAATCAATGGATTCGGATCCGCGTCAGGTGTCAGCACTCCAAATTCACTTGCCCTAGATGCGGTTACGGCATTGAACTCATTAGCGGCAATCGCCTCCCAAGCCGGATTTCCGAACAATGGCGTCATTGGTCTTGATGGATTTGAGGCCGGTGGAAAATTCCAATCCGCAGTCATGGGAACATCTACTGCAGCAGCTAACAGGCTTCATGACTTGAGCCCTGATGGCGCTAGCGGTGGGAAGAAGGGTCGTAGTAAGGCATGTGACGATTGCCGGAAGAGCAAAGTAAGTTCGACCCAACATCTACTTTCGAATGTGTCAAGCTAATGGAACCAGCGTCGTTGTATCCATGACGAATACGGGCGCATAGATCCTATCAAGGCCCAAGAACGATCTAAACCCCGAAACACTACTTCGGCAAAGCGCCCTCGAACAAACGATGATGACACGGTCCCCGCCCCAAAGAAGACGAAGCAAGAGAGCACATCGCCAATCGTGAATCAGGGACACTTTGACCTCGGTCAGGCTGATAGCAAGGAAGAGGTTTTGCAGGCTGTTCCGGTAACATACGAAAACGAAGCTCTCGATCCCCATGACCATTCCTCGGCTTATCAATTCCCTTCAGCACACATGGATGAAGATGTGCCTGTGAATCAAACATTATACGCATCTCCGCCTGTCTTTCGCGCAGAATCTGTCGAGATGAAAGATGCCAACTCCGTCTCTGTCTCTTCAAAGCCAACGGCCTCCCTCGTTTCACCACCCACGTCATTAGCAGATGAAATGGATGTGGTCCAAGATGGCGAACCCATGACCTCTGTTGAAGGCGAGGCACCGACGCTACACACGCCCAATTCCAGCTCTCGCCATTCATCTCGCCAACCCCGGCACAATGAGCGCTTCGCTCTAGAGGCCGCAACATCAGCGACAGCTAATTCAACTACTGCTGCCCGGCCACACAAGCCAACAGTACGAACCACTCTTCCGCCCCGGAGAACCACGCCTGGTCCACACCCAGCCAAGAAACCCTCCTCGCGCCCCTCCTCTTCTCATGCCAAAAAGAGCTCTCCAATGGTTGAGAAGCGATTTGACCGTCATGCAACGACTTCCATGTCTCCCCACCAATCAAAGCATATAAACCACCACTTGGTGGAGGAGGAAGGTCCCGATGCAGAGAGCCTGCGTCTTATTCGGGAACTTCAAGCGGAGGACTATGGGTTGCGAAGACGTCGCGGCTAGGCTAGTCGATTCGCTGGAATGATCCGCTCGCGGGGAAGTACACTGGTTTTCGAAGACCGGCTGAACCCCGCGAGTGATGTGTTGCTTGCTCATGACCGAAACGTTGGAGATTTCGTCTCTTTCCTCTATTTTTCTACCCTTTCCCACCTTTCTCTTTCCTTTTTCACGCTCATTCTTTCCCATCAAACATGCAATGGCAATGGTTTCATTCGGGAGATATCATCTCAGGAGCGGGGTCTGGAGACTCGGAGTTTGTTTTATCTTGTTCATTTTCTTCTTCTCTGATTCTCTCTGTTCTAAATGGCGTTTGTGTTTTATTAACCCAGATCTGGCGGGTTGTGCGGAGTTAGTGTTACTTTACTTACTTTACCCCCTTGGTTTCTATCTTGTTTGCATGAGGTGTCAATGTCATTCATTGTGGCTCTTTTTCTGTTCATTTCAAGTCTTTAAACCTTGTCTTGTCTGGTTCTGCCTTGCTGGTCTCTCCGTGATATTGATTTTCTTTTGTCTCTTATAATTACATTTTCCAATTTTTGTGGACGGATTTTCCCACTTTATTCTTTTCCAACCTCAACCTCAACCAACCTCTCTCCGTCTACATTTCCCCCTCATTTCTTACCAAGATTCTTTCTTTCTTTGTTTGTTTTCCCTCTCTCTCTCGTCGGATGTTCTTCTGCTTACCATGACTGGCCGTCGTTGCTGATTTCAAGATCGAACTTTTTTCGGTATTGCGCTGGGCGCAAGGCGTTTTCCTGACTTTTTTTTGGGCTTTTCTCTGTTCTGTTTGCGCGCACGCAAGATGTATCGTGTACTATCTTCTTTGTCCTATTTCACCAATGGCAAGATCTTTTATGTCGAAGCTTTTAGTTGGAAAAGCAATGGTTCCAAGGCTGTGTAGTCTCAGCCTTGCTGCCTTGCCGGCCATCTTTGGAAGTAGTTCTCCGGGGGTATACTGATTATGTAGTATATCTAGATGTACTCTATGGAGCCGTTCGGACGGCAATGACCCCTGAATAAACTTGAATATTGATCGGGAAGATCCATGGATTACAGACCTATCGCACGACACGTCGAGAATCTATATGCAGCTTCCATAACTTAGAGTAGAACGCACTGGCCTGCTCTTTGGTAACTTCATCACTCTTGAGACAACGTTGAACGAATTCATCCTCTGGAAGTCGAAGTAATTGGGTGCCAGTTTCATGTGGTGCGAGGTCTAGAGGGTAGATAGACGGATTTCCAGACTAATGAGCAGCATTGTTAGCCTCAACCTTGGAACCTGTACTACTAGTACCTATACAATACCCGAGAAAAGGCTCGGCATGGTACCTAGGTACTGGTAGATTCAGCCTACCTTCATTCTGATATACGTCCGCAAATCCTTGTTACTCCACGTACTCGGTACTGCAGGGTTATAAGCAGCAGCCTTTTGTGTTAGCTGCGTGGACTGAAGCATCTCTGCATATCGAAGCGTATTCTTGGTGGCTCCCGTATCCAAGAAACTGGGATTGACACAGGCAAGTACCGAAGTCCGACAGCCACGATTTCCATCTGGATCAAAGAGATGCTTCAGAACTTTAGTCAACATGCTTTGCCGAAATGGTATATACGGTTTCTTCAAAGGCCTCCCAGCTGCAGTTGCGGTATCAAAGTCGGCCATACCACGGATACAATCTTTCAAGATGGATAGACTGATGTTGATCTCGCGAGTCTCTTTCATGCGGTCCGTGGTGTGGTTTAAAATGTCACGAGCGACTTCCGAGCCTGCAAGGTCGATTAAGTATAGGATGCCATCTTCCACGGCTTCGGGTGCGGGATTCTCGATTCTGATACGACATATTGCGTGTGACCGTGATGATCCGTCGTTCTTTTCCGTAGAAGCGGTTTGTCGGAACGAGTTTGCGTTTTCAACTATATCTAGCAGCTCGGTTGTGCTTTGGACATGGCGCTCTTGAATACCAACTAGCTGGGTGCTACCAAAGGAGTCCTCTAGAATCATGAATGGAGCTCGAGAGTTTAGGAGATCTATGTGTATCCCATTTAGTTAGCTTGTGTGAGTATTGAGGGGTTCTGGTCTTACCCAATGCCGAATTGCCTGCTAATTCGAAAATACAGACATGGACTTTTCTTTCACCCGCTAAGGATTCATTGAACAGGCTTTTGGCGATAAGTCGCTCGATCCCGCTGACCGTGAAAGTTTTTCCAGATCCGGTTTGACCATACGCGAAGAGGGTGCCGATATTGCCTTCCCAAACATAGGGTAGAAGTGGTTGAACAGTCTCTTCGTAAATCGTGTCGGTAGCTTGGTCTGCGCCGAAGACTTTACCCACTTTGAAAGCCGAGGACTGTTTGGACAATAGAGTTAGAACAGGGAATATTAATGACTACTAGTTCCTTTTTTTTTTTCAATTGCGATTGCGCTTTCATTATAGGGGCATGCTTGTTTATTAAGAAGTGTAGAAAACTGACGTTCATAGTCGGTAGCCCCCTAACCACCCGCCGTAGTTCATGGAGATCCACAAAGCCACTCCCATCCCCACGAGGGAATGTAGCGACTACCTGTCCCAATGAAACCTCTTCTTGTAAGAGTGGGCGAATGCGTGTATTCACAATAATGCTCGAGTTGGTTGGGGGCTTTTTAGAGCTGGTTGTCTTTTTGGGGGGGAGGTTTGAATCTTTGGAGCAAGGTTTGATAGCGAGCAACGTTGTCTAAAAGGTATTGATCCATTTTTCTCCAAGTACCTGGTGGGCAGTAGAACTTTCCCAGGCGAAGGATTGAACAGATACACGGACAGACTGGAGATTGTAGCTTATTTCAAGGGGTTGGAGGGTGTTTGGTTGGATCAGGCTTCAATGAGACACCGCCCGGGTGTGACTGTAAACATAAACAAAACAGCCCTATGCCCTAATAATGACCCAAGTTGGGTAAATTCTATGCAGGAGTCCAGAGGCTTACCTATATACTGCTAGTACTAGTATAATTCGAGGCTCTCCGAGGCCGCGACTATCTTAATCACCGGTAACATCGTCGGCTTGTCAAGGTGCCGAGGTTGCTCTAAATCTTCTCCAATTCCTCTATAACTCGATCATAGGTACCCAATTTTCCCACACTAGTATAAGCCCCATAACAAGACGCGATAGCCTGGGTCCTCTTGCTACTGAGGCAAGCCGAAAGCAGACCACTCGGCCCGTCTCGAAGCTCAGCTGCTTTTATCATTTCAACATACTCTTCTCGTTCGCGCCAGGTTTGCTGTAATTTCTCATCCAACGGCTACTCATCTTGATTGTAATTCTGAGGCAGATCAAATGAAAAGGGCATGGCTCTAAATCGGGGAATGCGATCAGCTCCCAAGGAACTGTACATGCTCCTTCCCAGTCAATGATTCCAGTGACATCAAAGCTATTCTCATATACCATGATATTGCTGTGAAGAAAATCATCATGGTCCAAAGGAAAGGCCCTTTGTCGTGCAAGGATAGCCGGCTCGCCATCGCTTTAATTTGCACCGGGAAGTTGTCGATACAAGCAATCGTCTTTTCTGCTGGGATCGGAGCTCCCCGCATCATGTTTGTGATTGCCTCTTCATCCAACTTGAATTTGACACTGTTAGCCCACGCCTCGAAGAAACTTTGTCGATGCTCTTTAGGTATTGTACCAAGGTGGGTCTTGGAGCCGCCGAGTGCATCCACAGCAACAGTGCCAGGAAGGAGCTCCATGAATATATACGCAGCGCCCACTGTATTTTTCCTCATCAACTTCATACGCAAAAACCTGGGGCACTGGTAGATCACTATACTCCTTGATGGATTGCATTGTTGCAATTTCAGTTTCAAGCTTAGTACTGTTGACAAGAGGAGGTTTACCCCTTCTTATATGAACCCGAGCTGCCCAGCGAGTCTTGTCGGGAAATTCAAGGGGCCGGACGATATTATTGAGTCCCTTTGCAATTTCGTCTAAGGCTTTGCACTCTAATCCAGCTAGACCTGAGGCAATCCGAGACAACTCGTCCCATTTAGTTCGATGGAAACAATCAGTGGTCTGGCTGTCACTCTTGCAGAAAATCCTGGACGGTAGTCCTAGAGGCTGACTTGGTAGACAATCAACTCAATGCATGAAATTAGCAAGATGGGTACTATAGTAGTATACCTGACCCTAAATGCAGTAAGAATGGAAAATAGCTGGATATGGCTTTTTTGAATGAGAGAGAGGGCAATGAGATGATGAAGACGAATAAAAAGGAAAGAAAATAGCGGTGTGGTTGTTGGGGTATTAACACGCGTGCACATTACTAGTAGGACTAGGGAATGAGGGGCAGTGAGAAAGTGACAGGTAGCGAAAGATCAGGTCGGTCAAGATTCAGCCCCTGGTCAAGTTGCAAGACGGGGCCCTCCAATCTCCTGGTCTTCATCCAGGGATGAATTTTGGACACCTCCTGTCTGTTTGGTATTTGCCTAACTATCGAGTGGCTTTCTAATTGCTACGCTAGTGTGCGAAGTAACCTTAAAGAAAATAGTGTCGCAGGCCCAAAACAGTGTCACATGAACGGACCAATGATATGTCACTATTAAGCTGACGAAAGAAGCTGTTGTGCACTGCTGCCAGTTTATCAATTGACAAGATGCACCACTGCCATGGACCTAACGAAACAATGTTAGGTGTCGAGCTGCATAGTCGAGGCGAGTACGCGAAGAGCCAAATCGCAGGCGATGAGGCCGCGTGGACTGCGCTATCCCAAGGTCGTGACCAATTCTATGTAAGAAATGGAAACCACCTGGGAAAAGGATCGGAATGTGGTAGAGAGATTTCACATCGAGTGCTTGGCGTATTCCGGGAGCTCGTGAGTCTATGATATCAGTGTGAGATTTTGGAGTACCTAGGTAATGAGGTTAGTGCCGAGAGCTTCGCGCCAAGCAAAGAGAATCCCGAGAAGAAGATTCGGGTCTGATTTTCAAGCCGAATGTTCAAAGTGAAAAGAAAATCTAGGTATGATATACCGCGCTGGATTTTCTTGGCATCTTCTCCCGATATGAAAATCAGCGGAGAACAAAAGCTTGGGCTGGCATGATGGGAACCTTGTAACGGGTCAGTATGACTTACTATTTCAAATGGCAGATTATGCATATCTAGGTATAGAGATAATTCACAAATCGAAGCTCTACTAGTAGCTAAATCAGAACCACATACTACTAGTATCATTGAATGGGAAACATACTTCCGAAGCAGTAACTGGGGTAGCCGAAACCCCGTGCGGAGTCGTGCGGAGAAACAGATAATGTAGACCATGGCGTGTCTGCGCTCTCGGTTTATCCTAATTTCTCCATGGGGTGATCGACCGTATCACTCGGCTCCTAATGAAAAGAAATATGAGATGATCTTTCCATTTTCGTGGGGTTGTTCCATCTTTCGGATTTCAATAGCCGAGCGCATTCAATAGCCGCCCGCGTGGGACAGAGGCCGCGAAACTGCAATAACCGTATAGTCTCAGCTAGGCCGTCTTTAAATATTGATCGCATAATTTGGCAAACGAAGCCGTTTGTTTATCTTCTTACCCATTGAGTGAACCCATTTTTGCCGCTGTCGCCTATTCCTTCCATAGCGCTCATTATCAAGTCAACCTTAGACATTTACCACACGAAGAAAACCACGTAAAACACAACACAATGGGCAAGCCAGTCGTCCTCCAGCTCGGTGACGACATTCGTTGGAACCATGAATTGCACGCCAAGTTTCAAGAGCACTTCGAGATTCGCCGGTCATACAGCATGTCGCGGCCAGAGTTTATCCAAGCTTTGAAGGATAAGAAGTTCGGCGATTTCTTTGCTATCTATCGACCATTCTGGAATACGGGTGGTGAAATGGGCAACTGGAATGATGAATTAATTTCATTGCTGCCAGATTCCTGCAAAGTATATGCCAGTGCGGGCGCTGGCTTCGACTGGGTCGATACTACTGCCCTGGCTAAGAAAGGTAAGATTTTACGAGCTTCCTGATTTTAACAAAACGGTACTAACACGATGACCTTCCCTTTAGGCGTCGTTTATTGCAACGCTGCTGCCGCTTGCACGGAGTCTGTTGCCGATGCTGCTCTCTGGCTGATCATCTCGACCTTCCGCCTCTTTTCGTGGTCTTCGATGGCAGCTCGTTCACTTGATCCTAACCAATTTGTTGAAGCAAACCGCAACCTTGCTCCTGTTTCCTTGAACCCCAAAGGCCACACTCTCGGTATTATTGGATTTGGCCAAATTGGTCGCCGCACGGCAGAAAAGGCATATTTGGCTCTTAACATGAAGGTTTTGTACCATGATATTGTCCAGATGCCCCGCCAGCTTGAGGAGGTTTCCCAGGCGACCTACCACAAGAGCATGGATACTCTACTGGCCGAGTCGGACTGTGTGTTGGTGGCCACTCCATTTAGTGGAGAGACACTTCTCAACGCATCCCTAATGTCGAAGATGAAGAAAGGCTCCAGGCTTGTGAACATCGCTCGCGGAAAGCTGCTGGATGAGGCTTCTTTGCTGGACGCTTTGAAGAGGGGCCAATTGTCTTCGGCCGGACTGGATGTGCACTACGACGAACCCAATGTCAACAAGGAGCTTGGAAAGATGAGAAACGTCGAAATTCTTTCGCACAATGCTGGTGCTTCCCTGGATTCTCATATCGGATTCGAGCGGCTGGGAATGGAGAACATCATCTCGTTTCTCCAAAATGGGAAGGCAATCACCCCTGTCAACCAGCACCTTGTGGCCAAAGTATCTTCATCGAAGCTGTAGATGGAGAGAGAGCAGGGCCAACCACGAAAGATTACAAATTGTATATAATTATGAGTGACGACACCAAAATTGTCAAATTGTTCGTTCTACCAAGATTATTATTGGATTATCCGCGTGGTAAAAGTTGAGAGAAACAATTTGAACAGACTTGCGAGGCGAGATATTCGTAAAGCATTAAACATCATTCGCGAAAATTTCCCCCAACTTCACCAAATTTGACCATCTTTCATCTTTTTCAACCTCGATCTTGCAGTCCGGCGTTGCAACCCTCATCTCATCGATTGAGGCCGTGCCGTAATCGTATCCTTGGTCATCATTCACAAATGCGACGAAAGCTTCAATCCAATCTTCCAAAAGCTTTCTTTCTTGTGGAGTGGGGCCGTGCATGATCGAGAAGCTAATAAAGAGTTAGCCTAGAAAGAAAATCTAGTTATACGGGAAACACACTTCCAAAATGGTTTATCCGTGGCGTGTGCCACACCAAATGACAAAGGTGTAACCTTATCTGTAATGAACGAAAGTCGGTACGCAATGCGATACCGCCAGATGTCGCGTAGAGGCACACCATGATTGCTAAGACAATTCACCAGCCATCGCGAGGGAGCTCGAACTTGACCGTCTGCAATTATATTTCCGAAAAGTGTGTTCCATTCGTTTCGATCCTCTGTGGTTGGAAGCTTGTATGACTTTATAACACGATCTGTTGTCTCCGGTGCGTAATAGTTCGAAACTTGCAGTCGCAAAGATTCGAGATTGGGCTCGGGGTTGTTGTATGTTGCGTAGAGAGTCTCTTCGTTGAGAACTTCTCCAATGAATATCCGTAGATTCCGCTTCTTGAATTCCTCAGCAAATGCACCACTGTGATTGTAGTCGGTGAATCCGTTGAAGATAAAAAGCTCATCTGTCACCGGGCGGAAGGTATGGTTTTTGAGATTCTTCAGCGCGGCGACAAGATCTTGATGGCTCACTTCGCGCAGTTGGTCCAATCTTTCTGGACCAGAAAGGGCGGCCGGGACGTCAAAGTACTCACACAGTTCGTCGAATTGAGGATTGACGTCAGAAAGAGCCTTGGGTTGTGCTGGAATCGCATTCGAAATCATGTAGAAACGATGGAATAGCTTCGTTTCACGTCGGAAGTCATAGAGGACTTGTGCCTGCACGCCGTAGGATCCAGCACTGCGACCGCCCAGTGTGATATTATTGATGTCACCATTGAAAGCCCCGATATTTTCGTAGACCCATTCCATGGCCAAACGCTGGTCCCAGAGACCGAAATTGCCAGCGCTATCGCCATCACTTTCTTCAAGCAGAGCCTGACCAGCAAGGAATCCAAAGACGTTGAGCCTGTAGCCGATACCGACCACGATGGCGTTGAGCTTTCCAGTGGAGATCATCTCGGTGGGGTTCATTCCAACTTCTTGAAGAGGATCGCCTAGCTGGAACCAACCACCGTGAAGCCAAAGGACGACCGGCCATTTCTTCTTTGGGTTCTCTGGGTCCTCGACAGGCGTCCAGATATTCAGCAGCAAGCAGTCCTCGCTATAAGTTTCCGGGCCGACGCCCTTCTCGGCTCCGGAGTCAAATACCGCCTGAGGGCAAACAGGCCGGAAGAACGAGGCGTCAAAAGGACTTCCCGATTCACTGTAGCTGTATCCAACGGGTAAAGGGCGAGGCTTTTTCCAGCGGTGGGCACCCACTGGTGGCAGGGCGTAGGGTACACCTGCATACCGGCGAGCTTTGTTGTCATATTGAATTCCTCTAAGCCTGCCTTTGGGGCCCAGATCAACTTCATGTGGAGTTTCGAGGTAGGAAATTTGATTGCCCATGGCGCGTGTCGATTTTGTGCGGGAAGATGGAAGTGCCCAGGTGGGGATAGGAGAAAATGGTGTCACCTCAATACGTTTATACATCTTAGAGGGGCCACTTTTATCTAGCTTTACCCCTCGGCGCTCGCCCCGCTACTCCGAAAATCTGAGATAACGGAGACTAAATGTAGTTCCGGACTGGACCCATGGGGCAAGATAAATCTGCTACTAGTAGGCACCTGGGCAGTAATTTCTCGCCCAGGGCTTGAAATTTCTCTCAAAGCCTTTTGATGAACTATCCGCTTTTGTCTCAGCCAGGAGGCCCCTCGATATAAGTAGGAAAGTCTTCATATGGCGGCGAAAGGGTCATGAGAAGAATTAGCAATCACCCGACCGCGATTTATTTAATCTTCAGCCTAAGTAAGGTCAATCTGGAAGAAGTATACCCATGGTTTATACAAGGTGTCATCTATTATCATAGCTTGAAAATGGGGTTCTAATAAAAAGCAATAGCAATTGTGCTCTTCTCTCGGATTTTTAAAGCACTCGGGGCAATTTCATTGACGCCTATCGTATGTTTTAGAAGATTGATCCTCCTTTTTGATATCTTGCTCAATGCAGCTTTTGTGATGGCATTGGTGGCTCTACACACCTTTCATTGCATTTTAATTGAGTTGAATTATCAAAAAAGGTTTGTTCACTTCTCAATACACTTAAAACAAAGGGAGGCGGCGAGAGCTCTGGTTTTATTTTTAAAAAAAACCACAGAAGGAAGCTCAAATTCCCATGCGATACTGAACGAACGACGCGTCTGCCATCGTATCATAGAGGCGACGGGCAGTAAGATTATCATGTTTCGTGAGCCATTGAAGTCGAAGGCATCCCATTTCTTTCGAGATGTCTGCCACAGCCTGGATCACCTTGCGACCCAGGCCTTTTCCTCTAATTGCTGGGTCTACGAAGAGATCTGGCCGTCGGAGATATTGGAATTAGTAAATTATAGACGGAAACCTTTTCCGAGAAAATGAGTTTCAAAACCTTGGAACATACCGTTCAATAGCATAATATTTTTCTCACTCCACGGGGTTTGTTGAGGGAAGAAGTGTGCAATCGCAATCATTTTTCCATCGCTGGATCCGTCTTGCTGCCGTCTCATTGCCAACCCGTAGAGGTCAGACTTGGTATCAATTATTCGTTCAAAGGTCTTGCGGTATTGCTCCTCGGGAATTGTGGTTTCGTAGAAATCGATATAAGCTCGAAAGAGAGCAGCCCACTCGTTGAAGTCATTGCTATTGAGTTTGGTGATTTTGTATTCCTCTGATGAAGCCATTGTAGAAGTCCCAAACAAATTGGCGAATGAAGTATTTGATGAGATTTAAACAGGTTGACTCTGTTTCTAGAGTGAGATAGAATGTAGCAATGTGTCATGCAAGTCGTAGCTGCTTATATGATGGAAGCAAGTGGCTGTGACTAATCCTCGGGGCGGCGTTCGGAGGTAGTGACGAATGACAGAGAAGAGCGGATTTATCATGGAAGCATCCCGCGAATTGGGTTTTTAATAAACAAATATACATGTTTCAGTCTCAGATTCAAAAGGGACTATAACGAAGTCAAAGATTTGTTTGACTCATCGCGCACACCTGGGCACTTTCCTTCCAAGAGTAGCGGCTCCGCGCATTATAATTTAGAGATTGGGATGTCGATTAAATGCACCTGTAGTAAAAGATCCAGAACATTTTATGAATCGAAATGAATAAGAGACTGAATTTTGTGCAGAATATCTATCCAAACCAATACATCCCTTTTTCTACTACGAATTGGGTAATATTGGGAGAATCTACTGGATATTACAAGATTGGCCGTGCTTCTCACCTACACAAGTATGCCCACCGCAACCATTTATGACCTGGATCCATGGATGCAAGTGTATGGGAGACATGCATGCTTGACGGAAAGATATTCATTTGCAAGTAGATCTACCTATCTACCCCTCAGCAAATTTGACTATCTATGAAAAGCTTCGTATCAAATGTTATTCCCCGCCGGTTCGACCATGGCAAAAGTAATCTGTGACTAGAGCGTGTACTTGAATAGTGGACTTCTTTCAGCCATGTTTTGGAGCTCTGTTGCAGTATACCTTTGATGGATTTCCTCCTCGGTGAGATCTGTGTTCATTTTGTTGGATCTCCAGAGAAATCCTTCTAAGACAAGACAGGCGACGATTCCTGCCGCCGCAAATGCCAAGGATGTGCCGTAACCCGTTGGATATCGAGGCTTCTCATCTGCGCGATAAATAAAGCTGCCAATAACCCCACCTACATTTCCCATACATATCAGGTATCCGATAGCGACGGCTCGTTTGTGCGGGTCGGGATTGTTGGAAACATTCCAAGTATTGACACCTGGGAGAATCGGGTACATTCCAAAGCAAGCGACACATACCCCAAAGTAGCAGAGTGCTATGTTGTTCTCGATTTCAGCGGCTTTGGAAAATAAAATCGCAAATGCGACGACGATAGATAGCTGGGGAACAAGGATAAATGGCATTCTCCATTTATAGCGGTCGGCAAGTACCGAAAAGCCATAAGAAGAAAAGGCGCCAACGGCGTAGGGTGGGATTGTCAGTAGCTGAGCCTTGGCAGAAGTGTAACCCATCGAGGTGATGATTTCAGGCATGGTGAATTTGAGAGCATAGTTCGGAACAGAATTTGACCAGGCGGCGAAGATCAGAAGATAGATCTTCCAGTCCGTAACAACGCTAATCAAAGCTCCCATGTCGAAAGATTTATGGTTCTGACCCGGGTTCAGATTCGCAATTTGACGAAGTTCTAAAAAGCGAATCTCATCCGGGCTAAGCCACTTGGGTGATAGGGCTGGAGAGTCGATGAGCAGGGTATAACAAAGAACTGCCATGGAAACGGTTATGAGCCCTTCAATAATAAAGATCTAGATTTTCAAAGTTAGTGAGTATGACCTAAACTGTGTTGGGGAGAGCTACCCAACGCCAGCCTTCGTAGCCGCCAATGCCATCCATCTTGGCAATTCCGAAAGCAAGAAGACCAGAGAATGCACCACCCGAGGCAGCAGAGGTATAGAGGATAGCAATTCGAGTTTGTGTCTCATCTGGGAGATACCACTTGGATATCACGAGGACAGCGCCAGGAAGAAACCCGGCCCTAGAGAGGGTGTTGGGTTAGAGTCTTGCATTACCATATCGTCCAATGGCAAAGCTTACTCGAAAAGTCCCTGAAGAAATCGAACCGCAACAAGATCGGCAAAGTTCTTGATAAATCCAGTGCATGTCATTATGATCCCCCAAAGAAATATAAGCGCCCCTAAATAGCGCGATGGCTTGCGTAGCCGATTCAATATCATGTTGCTTGGAACCTCTTGGAAACTATTAGCCTTGTTATTCAAGGTTGGATTCTCAGTAACTTACCGGCTAGAACATATGGGATAAAGAAGATCGAGAGTGCAATGTTGTATTGATTTCCGTTCATTCGTAGGCTGGGAAGAAGACCCTCAATTTTGGCATTCCCTAGACCCCATTAGTTCAAGCAGGAGATCAAGATCAAGACCCAGACCTACCAATATTTGTTTTATCAATATAAGCCATCAAGTAGAGAAGAACAAAAATAGGAATAAGTCGAAGCTAATGAGATTGTTAGTTAAAGAAAGCAGAATACTATTAGTTTCGTATCGAAAAGTTGAGTCACGCACATCAATCTGAAAGAAAGAAAATCAGTGATTTCGTTCTATCGCAGTCAATTAATGATCATCATTTGTGTAACTTACCTTCTTCAACACTTTGAGTTTTGCCTCCTCCGTGAAGTTATTCAGAAATTCTCGGTCCTCGGAAGAGAATTCAGAATGTGGTTGGTCCTCAAGATGCATCACGGCAGCGTCTTTCTCGCACATGGCTTCAGATGCTCGACGAGTGCTAAGCTGTCGGAGAGAAACCATGATGCCAGAAAGTGAAAGTATGTCTCAATTGAAGATAGGATTTTAGATGGTATGCAGGAAGGAGAGAAGAGGCGCGGCATTAAAGTAGCTCATGGAGATGAGCACGGGGCTTGGCTTCCCCGGATTTCGGATTCCCCCCGAGCGTTTCCGCGAAATCCGAAATCGAATTGCGGGGAGCTAAACATCATATTTATTCGCGCAAATTCTAACCAAAAAGCTAAAACTATTGAGGCAAAGTAGAAAGCCATGGTGGAGACACAGAATTCGGGTCAGACACTGGAAAAAAGGCCTTGAGCAAAGTTAGCCAATGATGAGGTTCTAAAAATATTGATTGTAGACCTTACCGATGAGTCAAGCGTTAGCCAGTCAGAAAATTGAAAGGCCCCTTCGAATCCGAATGCCGCAGAAGTCGATCCATTGTAAGAAATTCCTAGAAAATTGGGGTCACAAGAGTGGGGATCGTTGAAAAATGGGTCATGGAGACCGGCGTTATCCTCACCCTCGATACTCTGGAACTCTTCACGATCGAGTTCAGCTATTCCACGTTTATTATTGTGGGAGTTGCGAGCTTCTTTTCTCAATTCCTCAAGGATTATGTCGTACCGACGGTTAGGCGAAAGACCGGCTGTCGCTTGCCTTAGATGAACCCGACATCTCTCAGCCAAATCGAACAACTTGGCATAAAATTCATCATCGGTCTGACGTGCTGGTCGCCTGCCCAACTGAATTCCCCAGACATAGACCACCGCTAAAGCACAAAAAGTGACATAATGTGTCCACCAAAAGGAGTGAAACAAAGTGCTGTCGCCTGCCATCTTGTCGACTAACTCCAGGCTTGCCTTAGCGGCAGAAATACACTCCATTGAGACTTCAGCATTTTCATCGCCTAGCAGGAATGGTCTTGTTGCATGCATTATTGCGTGTGAGTAAGCTAGCTGAAGTGCGACAGATTGACGTCGGAAACTTGGTACTAGGGTTGATGGTTTCACAGATCCTAAATGAGCAGGAAGAGAGGTGCGCCATTCGTGTAACTCATGGAGAAGCAATTGGGCTGAGACTAATCGATCATGTTTTGATATTTCTCCGACACAGTAGACTAAACGCGATATGCTGCCGATTATCCGAGCAATTCTTTTTTTTTATCAGCGCAGGACTCACAAATCATATAACAGGGACATACCGAGCATGCAATATAAGTGAATCAATGTGGCAATCCCCCGAGTCTTCAGATAACGAAGGCCCTTGAGGTGTCATGTCTTCATCATTAACACTTTCTGGAAAGTCTTGATCAATATCCTCATCTTGATATAGCCTCGGCCGTCCAAAAACCACACTCAAGTACTTGTCAATTGTGTATGCTACCCAAAAGGTGCGTTTGTAGCATTGCAGTGAAATATAACCCAGGCGACGGCTCGCAAATGAAACATCTCGCTGGCAATCTCGTCTTCTGTGCATACCCAAGGAAAGGGTAATATTGCATGTATTTCCGAAAGTATACCAACCCTTGTTCATTCGCGATGTCTGGAGTAGATATAACACTTGGAGAAGCCTCGCTTGTACCGACTCTAATCGTGGGAACCCGGTCTCGGTCTCAGTTATACTTGTAGACATGCAGAAAAGCCGGTCGCTTTCGCCAAGCGCATCTGCTTCACTTTGAGATGTCATATCTCCGTGGACCTTTTCGTAACGCAAAGTAGCGATAGCCATGATAGCTAGTAAAATGGACGATTTTGCATGGCCGAGTGAGTGTCCAATCGGCTTGCCTTCTGTTCTATCCTTGACTAAAGCGTCGATCCAAGCCTCGATTGTTGGTCGATGCAGCATGCGATATGTTACGACGCAAGTTTCGAAGTAAAATTCAAGCAATTTCCGCATTTTCGACTCTTGGGGCACGCAAACAAACTCCGAAGTATCAAAAACATTGCTGTCGGCATTGAAAGGACGATCCCCAGCTGAAGCTAAAAGCTGCCGCTTATCTGTTTCATGAAAGTCGTATGAAGCCCCATCTCCCTTCTGAGTTGAAAGTTTTCGCCAGGCTCGATGTAAGAAATTCAGGCCAGATGTTGGATCAAAGTACTGATCCTCGATCTCTGCTTCTTGCAAAGACTGGGAGGTTGACTCGTTCCGTGGATTCTGCGGAGCTTCCCTGGCCAGCGAAGCCGATGACGCCGATTCTAAGTCTCTCTGATCGGTCGTATTTGAGTCTATTGGCGGTCTTGGAAATATTGTTTCCTGGGCTCGTGACGGTGTAGAGAAAGGTGGAGTCGGCGGTCGGCCACGGCCATATTTGGCGTCAAAGGCACAAGCAATTTTTCGTTTTGCACAGCTCTCGCAAGGCAGTGTACCGTTGCACCGGATTTTCTTTCGTTTGCAAGTATCACAGGCTCGACTGACCTTTGGATCCTTCCGGCGATTTTCGGCGTCTGTCGTGCTATCCTCGGCTGTCAGAGGCCTTTTAGACGAGACGCGACCCAAATCCGGTGAGCGCACGGCTTCAACCCCCGGGGATACCGAAGAACGCATGGCAGGGGTAACTTTGGAGCTTGGGTCCTGCATGGGATGGCACTGGGAGGAATGCAGATGCGTAGATCGAAATCGGAAAACGCGGATTAAGATAGGCAGCACGCGTCAAGAATGCGGGGGCGCCGCGGAGTGTGATTCCGGGGTAAATCCATAACCGGGGGCAGCTGCCCACGGGGAATTTTTGCTGGACTTGCTTTTTTTATATTTTTTTTTCATCCATTTTATTTGTCTATTGAAACAATTTTTTATATTCATAGAATTTCAGAGCTGTGACTACAAGGTACTGGAAGGCCAGTTCATCAACTTCAAGTGAGAAAGTGTTTTTTTGGGATAGTAGTAGGAAGTATGCTAACTCGTTCAATTCTGTGTACATATCTATCAAGTATGATATCTAAACTGTTTGGGCTATTTGACAGAAAAAAGATCCTGGCCTAGAGGCTAGATGACCTTTTTGAGGGAAGCAGACTGGATCGCCGCATGGATCTCGTCTTCGGCCCCATTTTCCAATGGAAGAAGAGGAGACCGGACAGTAGCATGGGTCAAAATGCCTCTGGCGACAAGTGCATGTTTCAGAGCAACCGTTCCCTCCATGTGCGATCCTCGGTGATAGACACTTTTGGTGACCGGAAGGAGTCGATCATGGATCTCTCGAGCTTTCTTGTAGTCCTTCGCCTTGCCAGCCTTGATCAGCTCGATCAAAGGCTCCGGTGCAATGTTTCCGTAACCAACCAAAAAGCCATCAACATCAAAAGAGGTATGCAACAGATACTCATCGTGACAGGAAAGAATTTGGAGGTCGGGGCGTTGAGCACGAATATTAGGAATTTCGGTGTCCCAGCGGCGCATGTTTCGCACGCCGTTCTTCATTGCGAAAACTCCAGGCTGGGCGGAAATTTCGAGCATTGTTTGCAGGCTATAGGTTGCCTTTGTGTTATCTGGGTATTGGAACAGGATCAGAGGAAGGCCGGACACTTCATAGACGCGTCGGTAACGATCCTGAGGCGCTCCAGGTTGGTATCCAAAGCGCAACCAGCCATGAGATGGATAGAGCAGTCCAGCAGCTGCCCCAGATTCTTTGGCTCGCTTTGCTTCCAATGCGGCGACCTCTGTTCCTTCGCCCGTGATTCCCGCGATGATCGGAATTTTGTTATCAACCGACTTGACAAAAGCCTTGATGACGGAGACTTGCTCATCTGTCGTGAGAAAGGTACCTTCACCGGCGTGACCCAAAACAACAAGGCCTTTGACACCATCAATGCTTCCGAGCCAGGAGCCAAGGCGCTGGATGGCTTCATAGTCGACAGCGCCATCTGGGGTGAATGGAGTCACCGGTGCCGGAGTCAATCCACGCATGTCAAAGCCGACCATTTTGAGAATTTATAAGAGGAAGTGATGATATAGAATGTTGATAGTTTGTCGAGAGATGTAGATACAAAATCCGACATCCGAAGCCATTATTTATGTCTTTCAAGAAAGTATGCGATTTGAGGGGTTCGGAGTTGGTGATAGACCACAAAGAACGGATTCCCGGATTTGCGGACTGAAAGCCCCACAGATTGGCGGACTCGCGGATTCACGGATTTGCTCCACGCATTCTTGCCGAACATGAAAAATCTCGCGTATTAGCGAAATACATTCTGAATGGATCGGGTAGGAGGGGGATATGGACACGTAAAGAAATGTATTTGTGAATGGATATGAATATTGCTGTCTATGGGCTAGAGTCGATGACCTTGACGCCTTCAACTGGACCAGTGGCAATTCTAACATCCCTAAAAATATCTAGCTTCTGTAGCTCTACCATCAAAGACTTCGCATGGGTCTGATCCTTTGCCAAAAAGGCACAAGTTGATCCAGAGCCACTCATTAGGCTCCGGATAGCACCCGCGGTCTTACCCGCTTGTAGAGCAATGGTTATATCAGGGAGAAGCTCAGAAGACGGCCGTTCAAGGTCGTTGACCAGCTCCGATAAGAGCTTTTCAGGGTCAGTTGTTCCCCATGGAGTTTCAATGCAATCTTTGCGTCGCAAAAGATATTTTTCTTCTGGATTGTCTGACTGTGCCAATATTTCGTCGTATTGGGCAAAAACAGCCCTCGTCGACAGGCCGCGATGGGGAACACCTAGTACCCAATTCCAGGTATATCCTATCGTCTCTAGAGCTACCAGAGGCTGTTTATGTCCCATTCCTAACGCCATCATGCCATTGACAAAGAAAGGCACATCTTCACCAAGCTGCGCACCAATATGCATCAGGTCTTTTGCGCTAATGTTCAAGTTCCATAGGATGTTGCACCCTACGAGAGCGGCTGCAGCATCTGCACTGCCGCCTCCAAGACCTGCTTCCGAGGGAATTGATTTGTTGAGCTCGAAATGTACTAATGGCTCGATCCTGGCTTCAGCTGCAACCATGTTGGCTGCTTTGATCACCAGGTTTTGGCCATTGCTTGGAACTCGCTCGCTATCCATGCCGGTGACCCGTATGGTAGGGCCATTGGGTGACGGGGAAATTGTCAGAATGTCGTAGATCGAAATAGCCTGGTAAGCCAGTGTTATATCATGATAGCCATCCTGTCGAAGCGGACCGACGCGAATCTGAGGATTGACCTTGGCAGGAACTTGCAAGGTAATCTGAGATTTGGATGTGATGGCCATTTTTCGGGCAAGAAAGATGGGCAAATATGATAGGCTAAAAGAAGCGCGAAAGTGTGATTAAGGAAAATGGTAAATTCAGATATGATTGGAGATGGAAGGAGGACACGCGACCTGACGTATTCAAAATTAATGAGATTGAGTGTGCCGATCCCGACGAACCTGCAGATCCAGTTCAAGGAGAGGGGCAGCGCTTATCTGTTTGTATCTGTGCCCACACACATCTTGCCACAATAAAGCATCTTCCCCATATGACGATTTCCACCTCGCAACAAATGCCGACTGTCGGAATTGTCATTCCTGCCGCAGGCAGAGGCACACGCGCAGGAATCGGTTGTCAAAAAGCATACCGCCGCATCGCAGGGGACACTGTGATAAATCGCGTCATCAAACTTTTCCGGTCATGGAGCTTCAATTGTCCTATTGTGATTGTTCACCACGCTGATGACACTGCTCTGCTGGACGCTTGCATCGATCGCGATGAAAATATCTACACTACAGTTGGTGGTAATGAGCGGCAGGCATCGGTGCTGGAGGGCCTCCGTTTTCTTTCCACACTTGCCGAGCGTCCTTCGCATGTTTTCATACACGATGCCGCCCGCCCCTTTGCTTCACATGAAGTACTAAACAGAGTCCTTGAATCCATCACGAAGGAACCTGCTGTGGGTGTTATTCCAGCCATAGCGGTGTCTGATACACTCAAAAAGACCGATTCAAACGGCTTGATTACAGCGACAATCCCGCGAGACGGTCTTTTTCGCGCGCAAACGCCGCAGGCATTTGAACTACAGTCTATACTCGCAGTTCACGAACGTGCTGCCAAATCTACAACTGAATACACAGACGATGCGTCCCTTTTCGAAGAAGCCGGGTTACCAGTTCGAATTATAACAGGAGATGCTCAGAACATAAAGTTGACTTACCCAGAGGACTTCGAAGAAGCTGATCGATTTGTGCGATTCAACAGCACGAATGCAAACATTCTACCGGATATTCGGGTCGGCCATGGCTATGACACACATCGACTGGTACCGGGAGAGGAGATTATCCTTTGTGGAGTAAAAATTCCACACAAGTCGTCGCTCCTGGGCCATTCGGATGCCGACGTCGGTCTACATGCACTTACAAACGCTTTCCTCGGCACCATCGCAGCCGATGACATTGGCAGTCATTTCTCTCCCTCCGACCCTCAGTGGAAAGGGGCATCTTCGGATATGTTTCTACGACATGCAGCCAAGCTCGTTGTTGAGGCTGGCGGAACAATCACACATTGCGATGTGAGTTTTATCTGCGAGAAGCCGCGGATCAGCATCCACCGTGACGCAATGCGCGACTCCGTCGCTCAGATAGTTGGATTGGACAGATCTCGGGTTTCTGTGAAAGCAGGGACCAACGAGAAAAATGGATTTGTGGGGCGTGAAGAGGGGATGGTGGCCTTTGCGACAGCCACGGCTGTTTTTGCCAATAAGATTTGAAGCTGGGAATAAACTGGCAGGTTTCGTTTCTCTTAACTTGCCGATATCGTGAAATAATTGTGGCATGATTTCAACTGCCCCCATGAATTACTTAGCAGTCGCGAGCTTATTGTTTGTTTCCCCCTTGTAGCAACTCAATTCGTGGGGCGCGTAAAATCGCGATCCAATTTCATCATATCGGCAGAAGAGTATCCACTGCACTCGAGTTATTGGTTGATATTACTGAAGGGCGGTGTAAATAAATTGAAAGATCCATCGAATATGAGCTGAATGGTTCGAACTATCTGAAAGTGGGTCGATTTCTTCAGCTGATCGGTGCAGAGTTGGTGTTTACTGCTGAGGGGTTCAGCTGAGATCTAGTGGAGCTTTTTAGGCGAACACGCGACAACTTTATCGTGCTTCATCAATTTCAAAACGAGCCAGACTCGGAACCCCGGAATATCTCGAGACACGACTCTTACACAATGAGAATTTGCGTTTTTCAATCTTGTTTTGAGGAGCTACAAGCTTCGGTTGGCGAGTCGCAGAAGTTATGTATGAATCCGGGCGTATTCATCACTCAGCACACTGTCGCGCACAAAACCATTCATAAAACGACAGCCAAGGAACAAATCGATGAGGCTGTGCAAGAAGGATATGACTTCTATTTGAACTTTATGTGGGGTACGCATGATGATTCGCTCGCAGGAATTGATGCGATTCGATATTTCGAGTCACTCAACCTCCCATCTGCTGGTGTTCAAAGCTCCGAAAGAGAGGAGTCGAAATGGGACTTCTTCGCCGCAGCAAAACTGGAGGGTAGTCCTCTAGTTCCTGGAACCGAAAATTTCCCACTATTTGTTAAGCCTGCATCCAGCTATGGAAGCATGTTCATCGATGAATATTCTTTATGTCGCGATGAGGCCGAGCTCATTCGTTGTATCGAGCGACTGAACAGATTGATGCGTCCTGTACGCATACAAAGAGCGATAGCCTTGGACCATTCGAATCCAGATCAATACGCAGATGCTCATGAATCCGCGGGGCGTGACAGCACAGACGTCGTCGTTCAGGAATTCATTGATGGAGAAGAATTCTCTGTGGTGGTGATAGCAATGGGGCAAACCCCGGTTCCACTCATTCCGCAACGTGCCAAATACAAACAAGTCTCAGGGGACGGTCGTTTCCTGACGTTAGATCTGAAGTTTGACTCGGAATCTGGCTACGAGCTCCTTGAAGAGGCCGAAGACCCCGACCTCTATCGGCTTTTGCAGAAGATGGCAATGGAGGCGTTTACCACCAAGAAGATGTACACAAATTATATGGGTTGCGACGTTGACATGCGTATTGGCCGCGACGGAAGACCCTACGTCATTGAGGTTGATCCTCTTCCTGTTTTCTTTTATCCAACTGGATCCCAACTCGAAGATACAGACGTCAAATATGGATACCCGGGATCTTATCGAGCCGTTGTCAACACTTACATCACCAATTTCTTTCTCGAGAACCCTGGCAGTCGTGGATTGCATTTTGCAGAACTGGCCACTCTTTTTGATTCTCACGGAGAAACTGCGCAGTCTGAGGCTCAAGTTGAAGTCACGATGCCTTTGTCTGGAACGGCGATTGATCTTGGCTGTGGTAGCGGAGCAGTCGGCCATGCTTTACATGCGAACTCCGATAACAAGATCACGAATCTGATTGGAGTCGACATTTCCGAGAAAATGCTCGATATTTCTCGCCGTGGTGGTCAATACAGCGAACTAGTACATGACAGGATGGAGTCATTCCTTTCTCGCCAAATAGAAATGGTAGATCACATCTTCTGCGTTTCTGGGCTAGAATTCCTTCCCATGGAAGAGCTTGACTTTGTTCTTGTGAGATGCTTCCAGCTTAGCAGGCATTCGATCACACTAGTATTGGATGATTGGAAGAATGGATCAGTCGCCGATATCAGGTCCTCTGGCCGCTTCAGAAAGTACTATGTGGACCATCTTGAAAGTATCAAATCATTCCAAGTCCCAAAAGTCTGGACGATGGAAATTTCAAAGACATCGGATCGATGCCAGGAGAGCCATCGCTTAACCATTCATTTCACAAAATGATTAATAGCAACAGAATCCATATACCCATTCATTACTACAGATTTTTTGGCCCGCTGTAGTAAATGGATATTGCTTTTGCAAAAATCCTGATTCTATATCAGCATCAGAGCATCTGAGCGGCCTTCTGGCTCATTGGCTGCTTTTTAATCTAGCATACACATTCACTTCCTACGTGAAGACGATATTGATATAATATTGTTGAAGAATGTTTTGTGTGTCTGGGGTTCCAGGTTGCTTAGTCAGCCCGCATCAAAGTCATGTAGAGAGTTCCAGGCCTAGATAGCTTCATCTGATCATCATCTCTTGCAATATCATCCGATCTCCCTCCTTGTATGGTAGTATCCCATACCCTCCAGTAGAAAATAAATCCACTAGCCAATATTTGCTTCCGTCGCAGATTTACCGCCAATTTCAGATCGACTTGCAACTTTAGTGCATATTTCAATATCATTTTGAACGTGAACCATGTTGGCTGGGAATTGTGCCATCTCATCATCCTCATTTGGGGATTCTGCGTATGCTACAGAGTGTGAAAATTTTGGACTAAAACCAGGCTTTGAGCCCCTGAGCATTGGATCAGTTGTATCATGATAGGCTGCTCTCCCCGAAGAGGTTTGATTTTGGGATGTAACTATAAGTTGACGGAGTGAAGCCACACAAGAGGCAATTATGGCTGTGAAATTAGATCAGCTGAAATATGGGAGTGACCTAGAAAGACACATCTTCTCACCTGTATTAACTTCAACAAAACTCCAGAGGCATAGCCAGGCAATATTGATCTCTTTATCATAGGTATTATCAACGGCGACTCGTATGATAGCCACTATCATGATAATTATTGTTGCTGAAAATATGCTGAGTAACATTATCTTCTTGCGGCGCGGAATATGAGTATTCCACAGGATAATTATAGGTATAGAGAGAACTGAAAGCATGACTTATTAGGTCGGATTTCTTTTAGTACGGGCTTCTCTCGCAATGAACTCACTCATCAAGTCGGTAATGACATCGCCAGCACAATTCGCCCAAAAGCTGCGATTTTCGTAATGGATATGCTCCAGCTTGATACATTCCTCTATCGAGCTTTAGTCTCCTCTCAAGTTGCCTTGGACGACCCTTCTGGCGTTTCTGATACTTACGTATGATGTATTCAATACCCTCAAAGCTGCACTTGTATTCTATATCACCGACAGACGCGATATAGACCGCTGCAGTGCAAAAGCAAACGACAAACCACCAAATACGAAAAGCTTTGATCTTCGAACTCAGTCGATAGAAGAAAACTAAAAATGAGAATTTGATACACCACAGGCTGGAATAAAATAATATCTGTAGTGGAGCGAGAAGTCGCATAAACTGATTATACCGAGGCAAAAAGTCTAGGTTGAATGGCTCTGTTCCTGCGGTGATTGCATAAAGCTCGTAGAGGGCTTTATTTTCAATCTGCCAGATAATTGCTGTAGAAAGAATGATAATCCAAGCAAGAATAACGAGAAAATCATCAATGAACAGACGACGAAACGATGAAATTTGGACGTAGAGTCGAAAGAGAACGAAGAGAAAAGATGTACCAGTGAGAGCCCAGACTACTCCCTGTTATATGGCATATTAGGTAAAAGATATCTCCCGGTTGATACAATGCTTACCAGAAAGACCGAGTGGGAAACTCTGCTAGTACGCTCATCAACAAGTTCTGTGGCCATGATGACTCACTCTTTGGAGAAGAATTCTGGATTGAAACATTGGGAGTTTCGATTGGGAGTTTCGGAGATGAGCATATATGCCTTCGGGGAGATATTCGATGGCGTTTAGCATCTTTGTTGTTTTCAACATCGCCCCATTTCGCTTAAAATCCGATCGGGATGATTCCATAGGTCAACTGCGCTGTTGGTACAATAGCCGAGTTCTTTGAGAGTTCTATAGAATTAGCCATATTCTGAGCCACTGGAAACATGATTTCTGTGGCGGAAATCACATCAAAGAAATGGGATACGCGGATCGGTCAACCCCACTATTGGCCTCGCGATGGGCCAGTCGGGGTTGATTTGAAGCTACTAGTAATAGCTCGGGGATTTATCCAAATATGCAAATACCTGCAGATACTTCAAGGTTCGTTCCTTAGTATGTACTATCGCTCGTGGATATTGACCTGCAGATATCGATTGTATTTCTTTGAAGGTTCTCGGGGTCATCAACCTCCCAGAACGACCGAGTGCACCTAGGCAAGCCTTCTACCATAGTCGAGGATATTGCTGACAAAGGGCCTCGGGATTTGGATTCGGGTCACAAGATTTGACTTTTCCCTACAGTTTGCTGCTGTTAGGATAATATCATATCAACGTGTCCAAGAATTTAACTTAGCTTAGTTGTAATGAGTGGGCCTCTGATTCTATCCTGAACAGACTCAGTATTCAAATTTTGAGTAATTTGAGTTTATTCACGGTATGATGCCCCCCCCGTGTGCGCAACGAAGCATTTTGTCAGACTGTGTAGCGATTAGACTTACCTGGCTTCGAAGCATAGTCGCCGTCTGGGTGGACTACATTGACATACGTGTGAATTTGACGTCGGAAGGTGGACTCAAAGTGCAACTTGATGGTCTTTTAGTACTACCAAAATAAATATCATAGAACGTTGAGAGCTTGTTAGTTTCTTTGGATTGTGATCTCAAGGTTCAAAGCAGACGGGATTGAATTAATGAAATTCATAGCGAAGTAATTTGACTTCACCTTGACGTTGAAGTAGTACAAAATAAGCTAAGCAAGCATTTTATTCTTGAACCAGGGAGTAATACGACTTCGATTGGGAGTTATAAGTATACCTATTACTGGTAGACTCATCCTACCTACTGATCGGTTTATTCTTAACTACTACGTACTGTATTTTTCCTAACTTGAACATTCGCAGAGTCTTCGACAATGATTTTCATTGGGATTTTCTTAAGATTTACTACGTAGAGCGCATCACTGTTGCAAACAAACCACAGAGTCTCTTGGAAGAAAGCCACTACCTGGTCTGAGCATTCACAGTTTGTGCATGGGGCTCGACATCAATAATGAACATTGGGAGCCCTGTGCAGATGATCATTTAGGGGCCAGTATAGGTGCAGTTAGAAAGGTCAAGGGAGGCAAGATCGATGGTATATGGTGGTCCAGTAGTGCCTATATTGAATACTAGTATCAGCAACCTTCAAAGGGGGAGATTCGGGTAATATAAAAATGTTAGGCTAGTTCCAAGGCTGTGAGATACATACTCAGGGACAGGGTGTAAGCAACAGTGCAAGAAATGTTCTGGTCAACATCGAGGGCGCCATGCACGTTGTGAACAGCCAAAACGCTCAACAGGCTTTGAAGTTGATTACCGCTGAACTTTGCGACTTGACCGGACGCCTCGCGGAATGGAGCAGCAGAGGCTGCGACGAGGAGGGTGAAAAGAGTGCCGAATGTAGCCTTCATTTTTCTTGATCAGCTGAGGCTTCTCAGATTTGATAAATATTATCGATGGTGTTTAGTTGCTTCGTTGTTGGTTGCCTGGAGCAATGCATGGGATCTTCGAGAGATTTTGGTGTTTATATACACTTCCCCTCTGTAGTTTCACATGAGTTCGGCCTATTAGTGGTTTTGGCTTGGCTGTCTTGATTTTAGCCAAAGGCCACACTGTATGACCCGAGATTATATAGTGTATACAACTTTCCAAGAATTAACCCCCATAACCGAAAGTAGGTTGTTACAAACAGGTCTCGGCTATATTATGACAAGGCTACTATACTAGCCGATCTATATCTACCCTCAAGAAAGGGGAAATAGATACTAGTATCACGTTTGCCTAGGTCTATTCATGATCCGAGAAATTATATTTAGAAGGTTTATCTTCAACTTGAAGATTATCAGTCAACTCAAGTAAAATAAGTCTTCAATTTGAATTTTCATCCTCCTTCAGATGCTCTGAGCTTCCAATTTGGACGTTGAGTTCCACGTTACATGCATTAGTCACAGTTCGCCAAACACAAGATCCCTCGACTTTCGTTCACTCCGAGTCCCCGGGAGTGTCAATTAAGTGCCAGTGGTTGACAATTACTGAACTACCCATCGCATCAAATCTTTTTTTTAGATATGTTCAAGTTTGGAGTCTAGTATTAATACTAGTAGTTCGGAGTCAATTAGAACCTTCAGAACAAATGTAGAATGTGATTGGTGCTATTATGCACCTGGAACCATGAATAAATAAGGACAAATTCAAGCGAAATGTTAATAAAAATATACCAAAACAAAACATACAACAGCAGGGATTCGCATGTGGTCACCCACCATACTACTAACCTGCCGGCGTGTGGCTTAAGTACGGCTGAGCGGACGGGAAGCCCTGTTCTCCACACCCTATGGTCGTATGTACTAGAAGTCATTTTGGTTCAATTTAGAAACTATTATGATTGAAATTAGATAGAAAAATGAGCGTGAATTGATATGGTGCGAAAACAATGTATGAGTATCTCGCAAGATGCACAGATCGTAGGAATTTCAAAAGGAATGGATAATACGACGGTCTGAATTATTCCATAACTCAGGACTCTTAATCGAGCTTAACAACACTCATCCGCGACAGCTAATCAGGCTCCAGAATAGCCATATTGGAGCCAGGACTACCAAGAGACACGGTCGAGGCTGTAAGTTGAAGCTACCACACTAGTATTGCTGCCAAATAAAACTTTCCTAAGGGCAGACAAAATGGAACTCATCGGGGGCCAATTGACAACTAGTTCCACCTGGATAAACTCGTTCTTATCAGGAGCTGGTCTAATTTGCATGGCTCAGGAGGATCTTACTGCATACTTGTCCTAAATGAAAGGAGCTTAGGGTACATATGACGGTGATTTCAGTCTGACATCCTCCTGGCTTCTTGGTACAATCTGCCAGTCTCCGAAGTGCCGCCCCACTAAAACTTCCTGCCCCTATTCTGATCGTACCATCGCCCGCTGTCTGAAGGGGGGCAGCAAAAGAAGGTAGCAGAAGACCTGCAAATGAGAGAATCTGGGATACTATGTGGAGCTTCATTATTTGATCTGTGGTATTTTGGGTAGTATTTCCGGTTTAATAGGCATTGGTGAAGAATTTGCCCGACGGGTGGAGAGTGAGCACTTTAAAGTGAATGTCTCGCGACATGCACCGCTCAAGCACAAAGCTACTAAACGCGGTTGTATTTGCTAGTCATTATAACTAGCCTGAGACTACGACCGTTGAAGACGTGCATACCGTGGTAATATGCTCAATTCTTGGATTCGGAAGAAACGAGTGTGGCATGTGGAATATTTCCAAAGGTTCAAGAAACCGTAAAGCTCAACTTGAAAGATGTGACACAAAAGCAGCTTGAACCTGATATATCACCCGGGCATTACTACTTGGCAAAACACTATAGTAAATCAAAAGCCTTTCTACCCGTCGAGTGGGGTCCTCCAGGGCTATTTAGAGAGCATTTAGTCACATCCTTGATAATTTGTGAGAATGTTGAGTTCTATCATAGGCTAGCTCATAAAATACGTGCAACTGTAACCTCCTAGGTCGGACCAATGAGTGTTTCACAAAGAAGATTCACATTGTGAAAGCCTGAAGTAAAAAGTCACAAGTTGTACTAGCGCAAAGTGGGAATTTCAAACAAATTCGATAAGTTGCTATAATCCACCTGGGCACCTGGGGATGATCTGCTCATTGCATACTATTGTCCGAGACTTTTTAGTGGCCTAGTATACTATGAGGGTACTTACCTACTAGTTAGTAGGTACTAGGTAAACTTAGTACTGAACATGATACTAGTGTAGGGTTTGCCAGGTTACTAAGAGAGTAACGAAGTGAATTCCAACTTGAATTTGAACTTGAAGGTTGATTCCACTTTGTACCTCGTGGCTAGTAGTATACTAGTAGGAGTATGTTTCAGACTAATTTAAACGACCTAAAATGAACTTCCTTCCAAGGCTTTGGTTTAATCCATGTGATTTTGTTTTCCCCAGACGCGTTCATCTCCAGGGCTCGGAATAGTTTGTCCTCATACTACAGAAATATCATCCAGCTCTCTGTATATGGCAACCTTTTCGTCGTCACTAGCCCAAGACATATCAACCGCATTTCTCGCAAGTTTTACCATCTCCGCCTTGTCAAATCCACAGTAAGTGTAAACCTTTTGCATATTTCCTTCGATCCAAACGTCATGCATTAACGTTGGATCATCACTATTTATGCAAATTTTCACTCCCCTCTCCAAGAGTCTCCGAATTTTGGGAAACAGGACTTCAGTAGGTGTTCTCCGGTGATAGGCGTGAGGGCATAGAGTCAACCCAATCTGTCTTTCAAGCAAGCCACGCCAAAGTTCTTCGCGGTCTTCTGCATCTAGTCCATGATCGATACGCTCCGACCCTTTCCCTTCGCACACTTGAAATATAGCCTCGTTCATGTGGGCATGGGTGTCTTTTTGTCCGAAGTCGCAGTGCATGGTGATATGAAGACCATCTGCTCTAGCCAGATTGAAACCTTCTTCGAATAGCATTGGAGGTCTCTCATATGCATTGCTTGCCAGCCCCACGGCATGAAATAGCCCTTTCCCACCTTTTACAGTCCCGGCCGCCCAGGGCCTTGCCTCATGATATGCTGCTAGACCGTCTTGCACCGGCTCGTCACGTAAAAAGCACATGATCCATCGAGATTTCATATTGAATTGTGCTACTGCGTCTCGTTGGGCACGCAAGTAGCCGGTGCGGCAGCGGGAACCCCACGACGCGTATGTGCCTGGATATCGAAGAACGGCTCCGCGTATCGAACATTCATTGTAGCACAGCGACTAAGATAGGCCATCGCAAGATCGTAAAAGTCATCCTCGGTACGCAATACCTCACAGCCGGCGAAATAGGCTTCTAGAAATGTTGGAATTCCTGGCTGGTGACCATTGAGCTCGGGACGATGGTTGAGAGTCACGGCGTATGAGGCTTTGAGTTCGTCAAAATTCTCGTATGGCAGAGCAATTTTGTTACGCCGAGCTAATTCCCAGCGCAAAGCAGGTGTCAAAGTGCCTTCGATATGAACATGAAGTTCAACCTTCGGCAGGTTTGCGATGAAAGGGGAAATAGTAAGTCCGTTCATGATCACCGGCAGCGTAAATTAAAGAAGAAGGTTTGGCCAATTATTCAACTGATCTCAGATGAGAAGCAAGGGTACGTAGGGATACAGGTGGGTAATAGGAACAGCTCGAATCTACTAGTAGTACTATTCAGTCTAGGGCTTCGATGACTAAAAGAGGGGTTCCTGTGATACTAGTGCTAGTGGTGCTATATAGGTATCTAGGTCGGCATGTTCCGCAATGTTAGTAGGAAGGTCGTTGCGAATACTAGTATGTATTACCAATTAGCCCTTTGCCCGGGGCCACTAGAAAATTTCGGGCTTTCCCTAAGTAAGATGGCACTCGCTAGCCCTTAAAGCTCTCGCTAGAGTCTCCTTGTTGCAGGATCATCCAATGATCGGCCTTGGAAAGATAGCAAACAGGAGTGGGGCTAGAGCCAATAGAGATGCGGGGAAGATAAGAGCGCCATGCCGGGCAGTTCAAAATAAGAGGCGGCCGGTGGCTGGAAGATATGCTGCTTCCCCTTCATTAACCCTTCCTTCTCAACTTGAACTGAGAAGTCAACCCATCCAACAATATGGCCGAGTCTAGTATGGCTGCCGCCGAAGCTGCCGTGGAGCGTGCGACAGACCACGCATTTGCAAAAAGGGTCCTGCGAAAGATTGATCAACGGCTTATCCCTTTGCTTTTTCTCACGTATATGCTGAATTTCATGGATAAGACTATTTTGTCGAGCGCGTCTGTTTTCGGGCTATCCGAGGATACGGTGGGAGACCATAGCAGTAAAATAAACTTGTCAGTTACTGATTCCGATTATGCATAGGGTCTGGTGGGACAACAATATAGCTGGGTGTCGTCGATTTTCTATTTCGGCTACCTGGCGTGGGCATACCCAACAACGATTTTGATCGCTCGTCTGCCACCAGCAAAATATTTGACAGGAAATACACTCCTCTGGGGCACTGTAGTTGCTCTTACTGCTGCTTGCACCAACTTTGGAGGTCTGATGACAGTCCGCTTTTTGCTCGGAGTCGCGGAAGCGACTATTACACCCGCGTTCATGTTTATCACGTCGACCTGGTATACTCGGGATGAGATTCCCACCCGAACGGGGTTATGGTTTTCCGGAAATGTGAGCATTATTCAATCGCATCTGGATTCCAAAGTCGAGGCTAATTCATGACCTCCAGAGCGTTGGTGGCATCGTTTCCAGCTTACTCGCCTATGGCCTCGGGCATGTCAACGACCATGTTGGACCATGGAGGTGGATGTTCATTGTACTCGGCCTTTGGACTTTCCTCTGGGGCTTCGCTCTCTGGACCCTACTTCCCGATTCAATTTCAACTGCGAAATTTCTTCAAGAGGACGAGCGCCGATTTGCAAGTAGCCGGGCCATTATTGCGGGAACTGGAGTGACAGAGAAGACTGATTGGAAGTGGGATCAAGTTCGCGAGTGCTTGATAGACCCTAAAACTTGGTTGATTTTTGGCCTGGCGCTTTTGACTCAAATTCCCAACGGCGGAACGCAGAACTTTGCAAACCTTGTGCTTGTATCATTCGGGTTTACGAATCTGCAGTCGACCCTGTTGACAATCCCCTACTCGCTCATCACCGTCGCGGCAATTACTGGCACAGGATGGCTTGCTGGCCGCTTCCGCCACTTGAATTGCTTGCTCATCGTGGCCGTTGTGCTTCCTTGTATTGTGGGAAGCGCAATCATCTATTCACGAGCTCACATAGTACTTGGGGTACAATTGTTTGGATATTTTCTCTTATCGACGGGACCGGCCGCGATGCCACTCGCGATGTCTTTGGTTCAGTCCAATTATCGTGGAGTCACCAAGAAGATGACGGTTACTGCAATGGTCTTTCTCGGATACTGCGCTGGGAACATCTCCGGTCCTCAATTCTTTTTGAGTAGCGAGGCACCCACGTATAATACAGCATTTCGCACTATCATGATCTGCTATGCGTTAGTAGTCTTGTTCGCTTCAAGCCTGAGATTTTACCTGCAATTCACAAATAAACGTCGGGCGCAGGAAGAAGGGTTTGAGGGGAGTGCTGGGAATGCAGGCGCAGTCGGAGGAGGAAAGGTTGTGGATAACGATCGTAACTCGAAGGATGTTGTGGTTATGATAAACCAGGTTCAATTGGTGTCCAACGACTTTGAGGATACTACAGACTGGAAAACTCCTGGATTTAGGTACCGTTATTGAAAATTGAAGGAGTTTTGGATAGTATCGAGGGGGGCGATGTCAATTCAACGTGCGGGCTTTGCCGGGATCTGCTGGATCTGCTGAATCGCCCGAGCAGCGATGATAGGTCGTGTCACCTGTAACGGTAAATCTTATGCATGGCATGATTTCCTGCAGGCTCAAATCCCGAGTACAAATTTGATCACCAAGATGTACAACGTTTAATAGACTTCTCTCAATCAATCCCGTAAATGAAGTGTCTCGTCCCAAGATTTCGGATGGGGACGGGTGTTGGTCGGGGTTTGGGCGACTGATTGTCCCTGGCGACTGAGATAAAGGCCGTCCCGCGTGGTCTGATTATAGCTCCCAGCGGAGCACGTAAATAGATCGTTTCGGGATCTTGCAGACCCCGCGGAATCACTCCACTACGGCTGATCCCCTGCAGCACGTCACCGTGGAGCTTTCTTTCTATATGACACCTTTCTGCAACGAGAGCAAATCCCGATTCTGACTCCTCAAAGCTATACTGCAGCTAGTCGTACTATGTTAATCAGGAATCTAGAGCTCTGGTGATTATTCACCTGAATGTGAAAAGCAATCCCCGTTTACGTCGGACGACACGGATGAATCGGTATGCATAATCAGTAGACTGCAACTCGAAAAGAGACGCGAAGACCACGTTGAGAATAATATAAAAGCTGCTCAATCGTCCTGGAAAAAGAAGTATTCATTCAACTCTCATCTATTCATTCTTCCTCATATTACACCTATTTCAACTTGAAGGTCTACCGTTCAAAATGACTCCCGTTCTCAAGAAATACAAGGCCGCAGCAGTCAACGCTGAGCCGGGCTGGTTTGATCTGGAAGAATCCGTTCGACGAACAATTCACTGGATCGATGAAGCTGGAAAGGCTGGCTGCAAGCTCATCGCCTTCCCGGAGCTTTGTAAGTGGCGCAAAACAGAAAATGACGGGCCATTTACTGATAAAATTATGTAGGGATTCCCGGTTATCCGTACTGGGCTTGGAAGGTTAACTACCAGGAGAGTCTTCCACTGCTCAAGAAGTACCGGGAGAACAGTCTCCCTTCCAACTCCGATGAGATGCGCCGTATTCGCGAAGCTGCGCGCGCCAACAAGATCTACGTCTCTCTTGGCTACTCCGAGGTCGATCTCGCCAGTCTGTATACCACCCAGGTTATGATCAACCCAGCTGGAGAGGTCATCAACCATCGTCGCAAAATCCGCGCTACTCATGTAGAGCGCCTTGTGTTTGGCGATGGAACTGGCGACACCACAGAGTCGGTTATGGACACTGAAATCGGCCGCGTGGGACATTTGAACTGCTGGGAGAACATGAACCCATTCATGAAGGCATATGCTGCATCTCTTGGAGAGCAGGTCCACATCGCGGCTTGGCCCTTGTACCCAGGAAAAGAGACCCTCAAGTATCCCGACCCGTACACCAACGTTGCGGAGGCAAATGCAGATGTAAGAGCCCCAAATAGGCTGACCAACATGAGCTTCTGATCTGATGACTGACAAAAGACGGCCCAGCTCGTTACGCCCGCATATGCGATCGAGACCGGTTCCTTCACTCTCGCTCCCTGGCAGACTATCACTGCCGAAGGTATCAAGGTCAACACCCCTCCCGGTAAAGAGCTGGAAGATCCCAACATCTACAACGGAAATGGGCGTATTTTCGGCCCCGACGGACAGAACCTCGTACCGCATCCATCGAAGGACTTCCAGGGTCTTCTCTATGTCGATGTCAGTCCCAGAAATTCCGAATACCATGTGCACCCGAAAGCTAACATTGTCTTCTTAGATCGATCTCGATGAGATTCATCTGACGAAGTCTCTTGCCGATTTTGTAAGTTCTCAAGAGATGTTCCAGATAAGGCCAACAGCTGACAATTTCGGGGATAGGGCGGTCATTACATGCGACCTGATCTGGTTCGCCTTCTTGTTGACACAAAGCGCAAGGATCTGATTGTCCAGGAAGACCGAGAGAACGGAGGTGTCGTTTACACTCAGACGATTGATCGTGTCGGGCTTTCTACTCCTTTGGAAGCGAGCAGCAATGAGTCTAGCAGCGCTTGAACTGGACAATGAACCGATCAGCCCATCTAGCTAATGCTTGATTTGTACCAAGTACGCGAATATCACCACTCTTTACCTACTACTAGTAGTACCATTTGAGTCGTAGACTCGGAGAGAATTTTTCGATTCCCCAATAGTAGACAGCAGTAGGAGGTAGGTAGGATACATTTTCATCTTTTAGTATTTGTCGGTCGGATTTCGGTGATTCTAATGCCTTCAAATTGCAAGCACCTGGGTAGCAAACGGTCTCATCGGCTATTTTGGTACATAGAAACGGCGGATCTTGGACTGATTAATGGGTGAAGCAGTCTCAAACACGCCAGCCCCACCAATGAACTGATTGGAAATAGCTTAGGACTGAGGAACAAGCCTCGGCTCATAAAACCGGGAGACCTAATCATTAGACCATCCACCTTCATCAAACCGTTGAACCGAGAAAGGCACGGAGATTTGAGAAATCGCTCGAAAAAAGGATTTGGCTACATTTTGGATGCCAGGTACAAACGGACAGAGCCCCCCCCTTATACTAGAGGCCGATTTTGTACCTATAAGGTCCGGGGACCTTATGGTTGGTCCGCTGTAGTCATAAAAGTGGGCCATACCATGCATGATTCTTTTGTGTTTGCTTGCCCCAAAATTGAGAGATGCATTTCGAGACTGCCAGGTTATTGATTATGGTCCTTCGGCAAAGGAGAACCCTAGCATTATGACGGAAGCAAGTTGGAACGCAATGATCGTTAGCTCTTAAAGAGTCGGATAGCCCAGATTGAACGATCAGTCGTTCTTTTCAAGCTCCATTCTCAAGGTTCATTTAGCCGTGTAGTACACGGTCCCGTCCCTTTTTTTCCTTGGTACGACCCGGCGATCGATTGGTCCAATCTACTCACTAATATAAACTATGCTAACTAGGTGATTCTGATGGAATAGATCGTTCGACACTCGTTTTATTGCATAGCCATCGGTAAGATGCTATTCTATCCACTCCTTATTTCTCTCGCGCTCCAGGTGAGCAGCGTGAATGCCAACCCGGTTGAGCGACGATCCTCCCAGTTGAGCCCTCTTACGAATCGTGAATTTGATTACGTGGTTGTTGGTGGAGGTACAGGCGGAAATGTAATCGCAACGCGACTGGCACAAAAGTCGTTTAAGGTCGCACTGGTGGAAGCTGGAGGTCATTACGAGGTGCAGTCTCTAGCAGCAGTTCCTGCAGCTGATGTGCTTCCTGTCGGATCGGATCCAGATACTTCTTCTGCTGTGGATTGGGGATTTGTTACCAAGGATCAGCCGGGTGCCAATGGGCGCTCTATTCACTATGCACGAGGCAAGTGCCTTGGTGGATCGTGAGTACCAGAAACTGGAGTTCGATTGAATTCAAAGCTGACAATTTCTAGGTCTGCCCTAAATTTTATGATCTATCAACGGTACGTTCCCTTGCAGATTGGCCTCGTTCTATCCAATTCTAACCGCAGTATCATGTAGGCCGACGATCGAATCTATGCAGCTATGGGCCGATGCGGTCAACGATACCAGCTATACCTTCGACGAAACTCTTCCATACTATAAGAGGAGTGTTCATTTCACCCCGCCGAAGGCTAATCTACGAGCTTCCAATGCCACTGCAAAGTACGACCCTGATGCATTTGACAAGAATGGTGGGCCATTAGAGGTGTCATATGCCAACTATGCTCAGCCCTTCTCATCTTGGATGAACTTGGGTATGCAAGCCATTGGGATCAAAGAGGTCGATGACTTCAACCAAGGCTCATTGATGGGAGGACAATATTGCTCTTCGACAATCGATCCTGCGAACGAAATTCGCAGCAGCTCAGAGGAATCTTTCCTCTCAAAGATCACACCGGCTAGTCTAACGACATATACAAATACCCTCGCGAAGAAGGTCATTTTCAATCAGAACAAAAAGGCAACTGGCGTTCAGGTCAGGGGATTACTGGGAAATACTGTCACTCTTTCTGCGTCAAAGGAGGTCATCCTTTCAGCGGGCGCTTTCCAGTCACCTCAATTATTGATGGTCTCTGGCGTTGGTCCGGCGGATACCTTGAATGAGCACGGGATTGACATCGTCGCTGAACTACCCGGAGTTGGTCAGAATATGTGGGATCACCCATTCTTCGCCCCTTCGTATCGAGTCCAGGTATCCACCCTGACCGAGTTTGCGAACAACCTCATATATGCAGCGGGCAGAGTTATGAGTGGTATCTTGATGAAGACAGGCCCAATCACCAATCCAGTTTCCGACTACCTGGCATGGGAAAAGATCCCTCAATCATTACGCTCGACGTTTTCCAAGGCAACGCGGAGTGCCTTATCCAGATTCTCCAACGACTGGCCGGAGGCTGAGGTAAGAGATCAAACATGAAAGACAAAGTGAACGAATTACTCAATAACGCTTGTATAGTACATTTCCGGGGCCGGATACATGGGTAACATTTCCAACCTTTTGGAAGATCAACCGAAGGATGGATACCAGTACGCATCGATACTTGGAGTACTAGTCGCACCGCTTTCCAGAGGAAATGTGACATTGAAATCAAGCGATACGTCGGATTTGCCCATAATTAATCCAAACTGGCTTGGTGATACCGCAGATCAGGAAGTCGCAATTGCTATGTTTAAGCGAATCCGAGCAGCTTTCAAGAGCGATGCCATGGCCCCGGTCGTGATTGGGAAGGAATATTACCCAGGACAAAACGTTCAGTCAGATGGGGAAATCCTCGAGTTCATCAAGGACAATGTGATGACCCTGTGGCACGCTGGTTGCACTTGTAAAATGGGAACGTATGATGACAAAATGGCTGTGGTCGACTCGCAGGCTCGTGTGTTTGGAGTTGAGGGCCTGCGAGTCGTGGATGCTAGCGCTTTTCCATTCCTACCCCCGGTCATCCCCAGTCCACAGTTTGTAAGTTTTTCCTCCTCCCCCCTGGATGTGGCGGTAACCTTAACCATCGCCAGATATGCTTGCCGAGAAAATTTCTCAAGTTATTGTTGAAAGCTCATAAATCCGATATCTTGGGTGAGTGGACTTGGTCATCAGAGCTAGATCTTTGTTCTTTTTCTCTTTTTTTCTTTTTTTGAAAACTTGCTTGGTCTCAATCTTTTTGTAGTTTGGTCCTTGATCGGACACATAGGGGATTGGAAATGAGGTGACTTTTCGATAATCCACAGATAGTACAATAATTTGGATAAAGAAGTGATGTACATTGAAGAAAAGATGAATGAATTCAGATTCTTTTAATGCCTACTATGAGCATGGGGAACACTATGTAATCTCGAAATTGTCACACTGAAGGGCTTGAAGGGGTTGTTTCCAAATTTACAACACGTATCGAAATCCTTTGTTATCAATCTCTGTTTGATCCTATATTGAAAATCAGTCAGCAAAGCTTGGAAGGTCATTTTGATCGATTTGCCGAACAGAAAACTCACCAGCATTCCATTCTCAACAGCATCTGCATCGGATTCGAGATTATCAACCGCCTCGCGATCCCGTTTCTTATTCTCCAGGTACATGTACAAGTACAGCGCAAGAATCGCAGTCAGTTTGACAATGTAACCGACAAGCATACTGCAAAATTATAAGCGAAAATTTTCAACCCCGAAAGAATGATTCACTCACGCAATGTAGGCACTATGATACCCGGGGGCCTCGCTGTCCTTGAATGTTTGCGGTCCGATAATATTACCAACACAGTATCCAGTGAAAAGCAAAGCTCCGGTAACCTGCTTCTTGGTATAGCCAGCAATATTAGAGCTAATAATCGTCAAGCTCATACTGAAGCCCAGGCCCTGAAAATAGCACAACCAGAGCGCAACCAGACGGCCCCATTTGTTTGTGTCAGGTAAACCGACCAACAATCCCGCGCCCAGAATACAGGTCAAATTGGCAACGATCATACAAGCGTTTCGGGAGTGGAATTTGCCATTGAATTTGGTCGCAATATAACCTCCGAAAAGCAAGGTGAGAAACTGGACAGCACCACCTGGAATCTGGAGATATTGAGTGCCCAATGTATCGAAGCCGAACGAGCCGACGATGATGGATGTAAACTGTAATTTGTATTAGGGGTTTTGCTCTCAAATCTCCAGAGGATATATTAGACATACGCTTGTCAAAGCCGAGTTTGGAACTTGTGCTCCGATGGCCATAATAAATAAGAGCCAGGTTTTGGGGTCCCTTGCTGCTTGCCAAACCTGATACCATTTGAACTGTTGGTTCTTTACTCCCTGCCTATTGATCGCCACGCGTTCGACGGCAATAGCTCTCTCTTTCTCGGTAAGAAATTTGGCTGTGGACGGAAGATCCGGGAGAAGCCATAGCGCAAAGACACCGGTGACAAGCGAGAAGGCGCCGAAGATGAGAAAGACGTACATCCACTTCGGAAGACCGGTGGTAATGTGACCAACAGCGTAACCAATCAATCTGCCCTTATTAGTATAGATATCCTGTCTGCCCGAACCAAAAAAAGAGAAACTCACCCTCCAAACATGGTCGCGATACCATTGGTGCAATAATAAGCCTCCAACCGGAGAGGCTGCTCCTCTGCAGTATACCACATACTCATCAACAGAACGAAGCCCGGGTTAACAACAGCCTCGACGAAGCCTAGCAAGAATCGATTCACAGCGATTCCGGCGAAATTATGACAGGCAGGTGTTGTCATGAGGAGGCCACCCCATACTAAGAGACAGAAGATATAGTAAATTAGCATATGGTAGATGTGATAGAACATGAGCTTTCGATTATGTAGTACCCAGTGTTGTGTACGCGAGAAATTTCCCGACAGGAAGCTTTTGTAAGGCCAGACCGGCAGGCCATTGGGCGATGAGATAGCCGAAGTAGAAAATAGAACCTGATCAGTGAGCAATTAGCGTAAGGTCCCAAAGAGATGCTGAGGAGAACTGGTAGAAAACGACGTACTTAACCATGAATAGTCTTGCCCCGTCAGACCAGTTCCTTGTTTCAACCCATAAACAGAAGCAAAGTTGATACTGTTTTTATCCAGATACTGGAAGAATTTACATTAGTACATCGAGCCTAGCCGAGTAGAAGTGTACTGCACCAAGGCATCATACGGCACAGAACTCACCTGAATCATATAAATCACAAACAAAAGCGGAATCAACTGCAAATCAATTTTCCTAAGAGTCCTCTTCTCCTCTTCAGGCGTATACTCAAGACCGCGATTCTGGCGATAAAAGGCATAGTTCTCATCGCGATCCTCGGAGGCTATTGAGGATATAGGCGGAGATGTGGTAGCCGCCTCGGCCTTCTTTTCCAATTCAGCCATTGAGACGGACCGTGATTTTGTCCTCGAATCGTCAACCTTTTGGAAGAAAAAGTAGGGGAGAATTGGGACTGGACCGCTGATTCTTCTGACAGTGGCCGGTGGTCAAAAACTCTGCTGAGACACGACACTGACCCGACAGGATGAGCGAAAGTCCTTATAAACATCAGCCATGTGGCCCAATCCACATCCCTTCCCACTTTTCTATCCATTTAAGAAAAGTCCATGTGGAGAAGACAAGCCGCAGCAATGCACGTAATGGACCCCACACGAGGCGCCAGGGGACAGAAAGCTTGCAGTGGAGAAGGGTGAGTCTATTTGATCTGTGGTCAGTATTATCTTGCGGGGACTGGGCGAATACTACCGCTCGGGGATTGTCGTTGACAGATACTAATTGGGACAGAACACGTTATGGTAAAATTGGAACAGAGTTTCTGCAGCGATTTTAGCCTATAAGAGGGAGCTTTTCGGAATTATTCGAGTGGTCAATTTGTTGATAATGAAGGTGTTTGGTGGACCGAGGATCACGACATCGATGCGCCGATTGCGTGTTGTGCTCGAGTCCAGTAAATTTCAAGTTAGTCCTTTCTGCCATCCGGACATTTGCCGAGTTAGAGCTGTTTCTGAAGTTGTCTTGGAGTTCACTTTACGTCAGGGTGTCATATTTGAGGCTTTGAAATTTTTTTTCCACTCCGTATGCTACAGATGGAGTATAGACTGAACAAATCCAGGGTTTGGCGCCTTGGTGCCTTGGTGCCTTAGCGCCTAACGGGATCTTCCACAACCCTTCCATGGCTCTTCCATGGAATGTATCTTTGCCGAAACGCCTTCGATAGTCGAGCTACAACATTACCAGACAGATATTTGATAAAACCACGAGCATCACACTGGATCGATCCACCATGTCATGCCTTGCCGCTAGCAATACTTCAATAGTCGTTTGGTTTCTGGCCCCCACAACACCATGACGTTTTACTCCGCACCCGAACTGAGGCCCTTTTCACTTGACTCACATCGCAAGGAAGATTCTGCTTCTTGAGCTGAATCTGAGATCATCGACATCAAATATCGCTGAAAATTCCTATCTGCCGTCGGCCATACCGCACGACATGGATGTCAGCGACGGATTGGACGACTACGTTGTCGTACCCGTGCCGCCTGGTAAAGAAGCCTGCCCACCACTTGATAGCATGAGAAAGAGCCGAGAACGGATTGCTGATGGAAGAAACCGATCAAGATACCAAAACTGCTACGCGCAAGCAGATCCAGGAGCTTAAGCAATGGCTAGAGTCAACGGATTCGGACTCTCCAGCAAGTGAATATCGAAAGCATCTCCACTCTCATGCAAATGGCACTGGCGAATGGATCCTCGAGACTCATCAATATCGGCAATGGAGCGAGTCAGACTCCGTTGGAAGTCTCTGGATTAGAGGTATTCCTGGATGTGGAAAATCAGTTGTTGCAGCGAATTTGATCAGTCGCCTCCAGCAAAAGGACGACGGGATTGTCCTCTTCTTCTTTTTCCGAGAAATTATCCAAGCAAACAGGTCACCACGGTCGCTTGTCCAGGATTTTTGCCACCGCTTAGTGGATCATTCTCCAATGCTTACTTCTGATCTATTGACCCTCAAGGAAACTTATCCAACCGTTGGAGCTATTCCATTGGACGCGATTTGGAAATGCTTGAAGTCTGGTTTGACCTCAATGAAGCGCAAGATACACTGCGTTGCCGACGCACTGGATGAAATGGAGAGAGGAAATGACCGGTTCCTGGAGAATCTCCTTGATTTGGGTCGAGATAACCCCCAGTCAGTCAATATCATCGTTACCAGTCGTCAGGTTCCTCATTTGGAACGGTTTATGAAAGGAAGTTACTTGGTTGACTTGCGACTTGATCGACAAAATGTTGACCGTGACATTTCCACATACCTCGCCCAGCGTTTGGAAGCATGCGAACTTGACATAGAAGAGGATACGGCAGCAGCAATAAAAAAAGCAATATGCGACCGAGGGAATGTTTTGTTTCTCTATGCGCGACTCATGTTCGACCAATTGCTGCTCTGCCCCGAAGACATTCTCTCAAAAATCGACGATCTTCCGGAGGGGCTGGGAGATATGTATATCGACATTCTTCATGAACACGCCGCGCGATCTGGAACCAGCCCATATTTTCAGAGGCTCGTTCTAGAATGGATCACTCATTCCGCTCGTCCAATGCGTCTACTCGAGCTTTCTGTCATGATCGACTCCCTGCCAGATCGCGGTGGGCTGAACCCAGAATCTAATACAAAAGTCGCTATCAAGACAACCTGCGGTCCGCTTCTGGAAGTCTACGAGGATGGTGTCATTCAAATAATTCATCATTCCCTTACAGAGTTCGCTCTCAATCGAGATGTTAGTCACACAAGAACGACAAAAGACAAGCCGGGATTTGCAGCAATGGACTCACCAACCATTCACGCAAATATTGCTCGGATCTGTTTGAATTACTTCGCAGGCGGTCCCTTGAAAGATTGGGATATTAGTCCACGTTATGTCGGATATTCTTCGTCATTCCACGCAGAGAAGCAACAACGATTCTTGCAATTCTATTTTCTTCAATATGCTCTCTCTGAGTGGTCCTTCCATGCATCTCGGGCTTCTGAACTGGATAGAGAGTTTCACAGCCAAATTATCGATTTCTTCGAAACGAGATCTGACGCATATAAAGCATGGAAACTCATTGGAGGGCCTTTTGAATTTAGATGGTCTACTGGAGATGTTCTACCGCTTCTTATAGCCGCCTGTATTGGTCTTATCCCACTGGCAAAGCACCTGCTATGTAGCGGAGCGGAGGTTAATGTTGTCACAGGAGATCACGGGCCTCCTCTGATATATGCCGTGCAATACGGAAATCACCGGATGGTTGATCTCTTACTGAAGCATGGAGCTTGTCACGACATTGGAAGTCATGATTTAATGCTACCTGTGCACTATGCTGCAATATTCAATCGTGCCAAGTGCATGAGAATACTTGTTGCGCATGGAGCAGACATAAAAAGGAGAGGAGGCACACACAGATATGACATTATGACCCCAGAAACCCCGCTGGCCATTGCGTGCAAACTAGGCCACCGAGAAATTGTGCAATCTTTGATAGAAAGCATGGACCAGGCTGACCTGTGCAATAGCCTGCATCTTGCTGCTGCCAATGGAGAGTTCGAGATAGTGGCTTCCCTGTTGCAAAATCATGAAGTCAAGCTTAATATCAATAGCCGAAATATCGATGGCGAGACAGCTCTCCATGTGGCAGCTCGTGTGCGTTGTCCAAATACAGTGAGGATTTTACTTGAAAATGGCGCAGCGATTGATGCCAGGGCTCCCTATAGGCCGAAACAAGGATCCTTACCAGACTTCCGAGGTCCGATTATGTCTTCGAGCTATATACCTATCTTTTCATGGGCGACTGGCGCATCTTTCCTTTCGATGGAGAAATTGAGACAGAACGACATGTTCGGTGCGCTAGATGTGCTTCTTGAGGCTGGTAGCGATATCAATGCACGCGACCATCTTGGTCGAACACCACTCTTTTCTTGGGAACAAAATACAACAACCGAGCAGGATGAAAGTTCCAAGCTTGAATTCATAAAGTCGCTCCTCAAACGTGGTGCTGATGCTACGATTTTGGATTACCAAGGTTCTTCGGCTCTCCACATGAGCAACGGGAAAATAACTCTGAAAATCCTGAAAGTTTTCGTCGACGCAGGTTTGGACTTGAATTATGCTCGCAGAACTGATGGAATGACCCCACTAATGATAGCGGCAAAATTCAATCCCATCGATCCTGTAGAGTGGCATGATCTGAAAGCTGACTTCGACAAGCAGGACTGGTCCGGAAATACGGCTTTTCATCACCACGTGGGGAGATCGGAGTCTCGGGTTCCAAAATGGCTAGATTTATGGATCTCATGCTCAAACTTGCATATTCAAAATCATCTCGGAATGACACCATTTCATGCCGTGCTGTATGATGACGGAAGGACTTCCCACCCAGAATTTTGCAATAAAGCCTCAATAGCCATGCTCCACGGTGGATCAAATGTCAAGCTTCGAGATAATACCGGCCGGACACCTCTCCATTTTGCTTTGTGGCACAAATATGGCAACGAAATTCCGTTGAAGCTCATCGATGAGATTTTGAAAAAAGGTGCAGACATCGATGCTCGAGACATCAAAGGACGATCAGGTACTTTTTCTACGAGATTCCCCAAATTCAGCTATCGCTTACTTTTTCAGTCCTTCATTATGCTTTTGATTATCGGAGTGTAGACGCATGGTTTACGCAACGTCGTGTTCAAGCAATTGATATTCTCATACGTGCTGGCGCCAATATCAATGCAACAGATTATGCTGGTCGATCAGTTTTTAGTGATATCATCGCAACTCCTGGCGAATGGTCAAGTATCGAGAAAGTGGCCGCTAAGATCATTGAGCTTGGAGGTCAAACTGATGTTTCTGATCACCAAGGACGGACAGTCCTTCATTTGGCGGCAGTAATAGATGGTATGGGGTATCGCTTGGAACATCTTCTCCGGCCACCTTTCTCCCTCGATGTTAATGCAAGGGATCATTGCGAAGCTACCCCATTACACCATGCTTCCGGTAACTCAGAATTCAACGTCTGGACTTTGATCAAAGCAGGGGCACTGATCAGCGCCAAGGATCTCAGGCTATGCAATCCACTCCACCAGGCTGCCAAATGTGGTCAGAGTAATATTGTTGGGTTGTTGACCGAGGCTTTCCGAAATCAATCAATTTCAATTAATGAAGTAGATCTAGATGGCAGATCCGCCCTTCATCATGCCTCTCAGTCTGGAAATCCCGAGTCAGTCCGTCTTTTGATCGAAGCAGGAGCCGACGTGGCCCTACAAGATGAGCGCGGCAGAACGCCTCTACATGCAGCGGCAGAATTTGATGGACTATCAGAAAGGGAGAATTTATATCACCTAAAATCCCCATTGGTATCTGCCAATGGTAAATGCTATGCTAGACGTGTTATTCAACTTCTCATTGCTGCCGGTGCCGATCCGATGATAGTTGACGCGAAAGGTCATCGACCTTCTGACTTGGAAGCTCGCTCCGGCTGCGGGACGGTCCTAGATGAGCTAAGGCATATTGTGAGAAGCCTTCATATCGAGCCGCTCAACTCTCTAAGTGCAGCTCTTACGACAATGGGGGATACAGAATTGCAAACACTGGTCGACAAACTGAAAGTTCCTAATAACGACGTCGGACTTTTCGAGGCCATCATTGCTACCGGCAACGAACGCCTAGCTGAGAAGTTTGCCAGGGAAAAGAAGCTCGAAATTTTTCACGAAAATGGCAATTCGGCTCTGCATTATGTCGCTAGTCACGGATTGACTTCAATGATGGAATGTTTACTGCCTTTAGTCGAGGACATGACCATTGCACTCCCGTCCATCCTTAAATGTGCCTCAAAACGAGATCTGTGTAACATAGAGATGGTGGAACTTCTTTCTAGGAAGGTTGCCAAAGTGCAAAGAATATCCTCTCTGACTCCAAGCTTGGCTTCATTGGCATCCGGGAAGCACTGGTGGCATCCTCATGCTCTTTCAATCCTTCTTAAAGCAGGTGTTCCCACGGAAACGAATGAGCTTGACGAAACCCCACCGCTTCATACAGCAGTAGGATCAATGCATTCGAACTATTGTCGCGATCAAACACTTGAAATTCTGCTCAGGCACGGTGCAGACCCTAATGGGGTTTGCACTAATCGTTGGCAAAGAGACCGGGACGACCGACCACTCAATTATGCCATCGCATCTCATCGAGACATCAGTGTTCTTCAGCTACTTATCGATCATGGTGCTTCTATCTGCGACGGCTATGAGCCCCCCGGTCTACACTGCACTCAGGCGAAACCATATACCAGCGCTCGAAATGCTTCTCAAAGCGGGTGCAGATCCCAATGGGACTAACGACAATTGCCCACTCATCCAAGCCGCTGAAACCGAATCATGCTCAAGTACCGCAGTGATTGAGCTGCTTCTGAGATACGGGGCTGACCCCTCAAAGCCTATCGACGATGGATCTTCAACAGTATTGCATGAAATTGCTGCAACAAACGGGAATATGCGGCCTATCGTGGCCTTTGGATGTGACCTCAACACCCGGGATGAAAATGGTCGCACCCCTCTAATGAGAGCCTGCATGTACCACATTGAAGATGAATCGGATGACAAATTTGTGATTTCAAAGGTGTCTCACTTACTGGCAGGCGGAGCGGATGCTACATTAGTTGATCAGGATGAATCAACCGCCTTACATCATGCGATTCTTAACTACAACCTTGATTCTGTCCGCCAACTTCTGGCACACTCACCTCTGGTATCTACCGTCAACTCCGAAGGCCACACACCTCTTCAATGTGCATTAAAGGGTTATGCAGATTATATCGGCCTAATGCCCACTGGGTATGAATACGACGATGTTCTCTCAAACATCTTTTTCCAAATCATCCATGAGCTTTTGGATGCGGGTGCCGATCCACTAGATATCATGCCCGATGGAAGAACGGCCCTACATTGTATAGCTTCTAGAATCATGGACTATAGCAATGTGGACCGAGAAGCGCAGATTGAATTGGATGATGGCCGCGATAACTTTGGTGAAGCTTGCGATCTCTATAGATTGTTCCTCAATGCCGGTTGTGATCCCGAGGCACGGGATAGAAGCGGGGAAACGCCAATTTTCCATTTTGTCAAAGGCACAAAAACATATCATGGGGACCCGGAGCTAGATGATGATGTTCCTCGTCCCACGGCTCGAGAGGATGTTGAATGGTTGGCTAGAAAGCACAGTATCCATAGCGTCAACGACCGGGGCGATAGTTTGCTACATGCAATTGCTCGGAGAGACCCGCAGGATCTACACATTGGCGTTCTAGATGGCGACGATGCTGGATTGTTTCAAATATTCATTGGTCTTGGGCTGAGCCCATGGCAGGAAAACGGGCAAGGACAGACTCCATTGGATATCGCATCCACTTGTCAGAAGCGATCGATACTGGCTTTATTTTCTCGGGATGATTGACGGAGAGTGCATACGAGCGTGTTTCTTGACGGTGTGACAACGATAGAAAGGAAAATATTCAATGTTACTCTTATAGTTATCCTGAGCCTCTTGAGAAAATCGGTTGGACCGAAGAAATAACTTCAATCATCATTTTTTTGACTTTCTCTGAAATTAGAGAGTCAAATAGAAGTATTCGATTGGATGGCTCAGCCTATAAAGGCATCTGACATGCATATACGGTCAATGATGCCTACTGATTGGCGCACCTCGTCAGCCAGTGCAGAGACACGTGAAGCGTAAGCTGGCCGGCGAAGCATGCATGAACTTGTGCCGCATTGGAACCGGACCCTGGTCTGTACTAGTACTAACTAGTCTTGGAGCCCCAGCGAGCGAATCGTCGTTTATATTTGCGTACCCGCTTAGGTCATTTTATGACCCACTCGTCTTTTTCTGGGGCCTGTTCGCTTTCAACGTGGGGCTGACACCAAGTTGACCTCTTCTATGATCTGCTGCCGGGCCATCGTGCACGATGCCTGTGCCAGGAAAACGCATCATCCTCTGTCTGGATGGGACTTGGGTGAATAGTGATAAAGGCTACGACCGGCCCACCCTTGACCAGCCAAACGCGACGCTCCAGGTCCCATCGAACGTGACTCGTGTTTACCGTTCACTCAGAAACCGCGACCGAGATGGAACGTGTCAAATCCGCTATTATCAACCTGGGGTTGGTAGTACTGGTGGAATCGTTGATACTATAGCCGGAGGTTTGTTAGGAGCTGGGGTTTCTGAAGTTGGTCCTGTCAACTCCTTTTCCATGGTTGAACATTATCTAACCAAATCCCGCAGAACATGCGAGAGGCTTACAGCTTTGTCGCTGCAAATTATGAGCCTGGAGATGAGATCATTTTGATGGGATTCTCTCGCGGTGCTTTCACAGCGCGTGCCGTAGCAGTAAGTAGATCCATTCAACAAGAACGGAATTTCGGTCTAACATGACACTAGAGCATGATAGCCCAGATTGGTCTTCTCAACTCCAAAGGAATGGAGGTGTTTTATCCGATCTTCAAGGACGTTCAGAATATGCGAAATACCCATTATAAGGACAAGTTTCCCACATTACCCTTCCCTAACAAGCCAACATCGGCGGATCGAGGGAACGAGTATCGACAACGCCTTGAAGAGGTATTTACGCTCAACCTTTTAAACCGACTTTCTCATACTAATCGTCTATAAAAGGGCGGCTTCACTCGACTTTATGATCCAGATGGATATCGCATCAAGATCCGCTGCGTTGCGGTCTGGGATACAGTCGGAAGTCTAGGTATGTTCGCTTTGTCCATCTATCTGAATCATCTTCTCACTGGAACTTAGGCATCCCTGAAATAAGCCTCACCACAAAGCTCGATATACCCCATTCAACAAAAGAATAAGTACCCTGTCATTCTCAGCAAGCGCAAATAACACTGACAATCCCTTACATGCAAATTCTACGACACATCACTCTCCAACGACATTGAATATGCCTTCCAGGCGCTCGCCCTTGATGAGGATCGCGCCTCGTTCTCTCCAGCAGTTTGGGAAAGACCGCCCAAATCCCGCACCGACCTACGACAAGTCTGGTTCCCTGGAGCGCATTCCAATGTCGGGGGAGGTCTTCCAGATCAAGAAATCGCAAATATCACAATGGCATGGATGATGGATCAGCTCGCATCCATCGGTGTTGCCTTTGAGTCGAATACAATCGATCGGATATTTGACGAGAGTGTTCGTTTCTATTACAACTGTGGCCAACAGTCGAAGCCTCGTCCGGATTCCCCAGAACGAAAGAGGTTGACACAGTGGGCATCCGCATCAATTTACGACGAACACAGACCAGTTCGCCCCTGGGCATTGGGCGAGATCGTTCAGCCGGAAACGGGATTATACCGTCTGGCAGGGAAAACGACCCGCACACCTGGGATGTATCATGTCGTGACTCGTGATACGGGACAAGCTACTCCGTACTTCCTCAGGGATACAAATGAGAAAATCCATCGAAGCGTTCGTATCCGCCTCTCCCTAGAGGGATTGGGATATGATGACCTTGGGCCATACAAATGTCGCGCACTTCTTAAAAAGGGACCGTGGTCGCTTCGCAGGATTCGCTACGTTGTTCGATCAACCCGGCAAACTGTCAACTCCTATGGCGAAGTCGATGAAGTAGCGGAGGAAAAAGAAGAGTCGGGCTGGGGGTGGATGTATGACGGGCCGAAAGAAGATGCCCCTCCAGACACGCTTTTGATGGAGGAGGAACTGGGCCCATATGAGAACGAGTTGCTTCGTCTTAACAAAGGTCAGAGATTTGGACTCAGATTATCTTTGCGGAACTTATTATTAACTTCTATTAGGACGCCCGTTCTACCGCGAGATACTCGCAAATTGTGGGCGATGATGAGCATCGGGAACTCGAGTCAAACAGTCAAGGTCAAACTGGCCTTTTCCAAATGAGAACTTAGAAATCTACCTGCAGGTCTAGCTACTAAGTGCTGCATTTGGCACAGCATACATTTATGAGATACAGCTTCAAGTTGAGATCCCGGAATAAGAGAACCTTGGAAGGCAAATCGGGATTAGATTGACATGGAATCGATCGGAAAAAGGTATATAGATCTAGGTAATGTAGCAGAAATGATCAAATAGGCTCATCGCGGGGCTCAACCAACATCTCGTTGACAGAGACATATTCCGGCTGGCACAGGGCATGAATGATCGAGTTGGCAATATCAGATGGTTCCAGGATCTTCGCACCAGACGGCTCACCGAATTTCTTCACGGCCTCGGCATCGGTAGACATGTTCAGCAACGGGGTGGAAGTGTTGCCGGGTTGAACACTAGTGACACGAAGGCCTTGGCCAGCAGTCTCCAGACGAAGAGCTTGAAGAGTAGCCTCGACGAAGAACTTACTGGCGGAGTAAACTCCCAGACCTGGGAAGACCTTACGTCCGGCATCGGAGGAGATGGCAACGACGTGACCGCGACCGCGCGACAACATTCCTGGAACGGTAGAAGCAATGGAATTGAGAAGACCCTTGCAGTTGACGTCGACGGTTCGCTCCCACTCATCCATCTGGGTGTTTGCCATCATGGTGAAGTACATAACACCAGCACATGCGACAAGAATATCGACCTCGCCGAGCTCTTCAGTAGCCGCTTGGACAAGAGCTTCAGTCTGCGACTTGTTGGTAACATCGGTCGATCTGGCGATACATTTGACACCGTGTGCTTCAACCTTGGTCTTCACGGACTCCAGCGCATCGAGACGGCGAGCACCAATAGCAACTGCTGCACCCTGTTTGGCCAGCGCCGATGCAACTGCTGCCCCGATGCCCGAAGAAGCTCCGGTCACAACAGCCACCTTACCACTCAGGGGGCCCTTGACAGAGACCTGCACCGAGCGACCGAGGGCATTTTGACGAGAAGGAGGCCGAGGAAGCCAGCCACGAGCAAACCAGTGACGAGCATACGTTTCCAGAAGGATACTATCCACTTTGGGACGCTCAACAACCTCACGGAAAGGTCTGGTCAAGGCGTTGTCAAGCACAACAATGCCACGCAGAAACTCGACAGTCGGCATGCCACTGCGAAGAATGTCGACAGTGAAAGAACCATCACCGCCCTTGGTTGATCCGCGCTTCTCGAACCAAAGAGCCACCCATTCGTCCCAGGGAAGCGACTCGGTGGGATATCCAAGCTCCTTTAAGTTCTCGAAGACGGAGCCGGTGTTTACTGGACGGGGGTCGCCAAGATGGAAGACCGTTTGATCCACCACAGAGTCGGTCTGGGTCGCAAGGTGAATGATAGACTTGCTGACGAAATCAACAGGGGTCATCTCGGCGCGCCACCCCTCAACATTAGGGGCGAATCCCAGTCGGATAGACTCGACGAGGAGAGCAGTCAAAAGATCCCAGGCATTGGCAGAACCAGTCAAACTGTGGCCACTGATAGTACCACATCGGTGAATCTTCACAGGGAGTCCCCGCTGACCAGCCTTCAGGACCAACTGTTCAGCAACCCACTTGGTTTGACCGTATCCATCGAGCAGCTTGGTGGGAACTTCCGCAACATCCAGCATAGTGCTCTCGGCCCACCCCTTCTCTCCGGACGGAGGCAGAACACCGTTTGTCGAAACATACTGCACGGTCGCGCCAGCTTTAGAAGCCAGACGAAGAACCTCTCGAGTTCCGCCGACGTTGGCAGCCCGAAGTGCAGCGTAGGGGTAGACGAGGTTGACAGTGGCGGCCGCGTGCACAATGACTTGGATTCGGCCAACAACATCATCATATGCCTCTGGCGAGAGACCAAATTGGGGTCGAGAAAGATTTCCGGGAAGAACCTCGACACGCTCCATAATGGTATCTTTCCAAAGACCCAAATCAAGCAGGTTGCGACGGATTCGAGCAACACCGCCAGCTTGGTCGTCATCTTCGGGGTCATTGAATCGCACAAGACAAATAATCTTAGCAGATGTGTTCTCCAACAGATCATGCAAGAGGAACGCTCCCAAGAATCCAGTAACACCGGTCAGCAGAACTGTATCGGCGGATGCAATAGATGTGATCTTTGTGTTTTCAATAGGCTTGATGTCGTCGTCCAGGGTGGAATCGGCGAGTAGGACAGCCGGGAGATCCGCTTGAACTGCTGCAGTATGACCATCTCTGACAGCACGCACAGTCTCTAGGTGAGCTGCGAGGGTGGTATCCTCGGCGAGACGAGGGATGGGCACGCGGAAGCCAAAGTGTCTAGTAAGTCGAGACGACAGGTCGGCCAGCGACAAAGAGTGACCACCAAGATCAAAGAAGTTGTCTTCCGGCTTAAGAAGAGACTTCGAGGTCTTCAGAACATTCGCCCAGATGGCCGCAATGTCACCAATGCTGATGGGGTCCTTGTCCAGCGTCTTCTCGCTGCCGCTAGGGCTAGCACTACGGGGAGGCGGGAGGCTCTTCAGATCGACCTTTCCAGAGACATCGTTGGTTGGAAGGTCCTTCAGCTCGACCCACAGGGCGGGTATCATATAATGAGCGAGATAAGGCTCGAGGATGCGACGAGCAGCTGGGCTGTGGCCAGACTCGTTGATTTCGACTGTTGGGCGATCTTCGGAAGCTTCATCAGGAACAATGTATGCAACCAATTGCTTCTCGAGACCCTCTCCATGCGCAGTAACTGCACAGTGGCTGACAGCCATGTATTGGCAAATATCGCTCTCGACCTTGGCCGGGACGACGGAATATCCGCGAAGTTTGATCATAGCACCAACGCGACCGGTGATTTCCAGGAGACCGGAAGGTAACATGCGTGCTAGATCGCCCGTTCTATACATGCGGGCGCCGGGCGTGGGATCGAATTTGTTGGGGGTGAAGGCTTTCGCTGTTGTCTCGGGAAGATTGAGATATTCCCGAGCCAGCAGGTCGCCTCCGACGAAGAGTTCACCTGAAGTTCCCACACCAACGTCTTCGCCGTTTTCGTCGACAATATATGTATGAGCAGGATCCAGCGGAGGGCCAACAGGGCAATAAATGGACTCAGGATCGATGATATCGCGGATATCTCCACAGGCAATTTCGTGTGTTTCGCAGGCGCTATAGCAATTGAGCAAGCGGGTATTAGGGAGAGCTTTGATGGATCGGCGAGCGAGATCGGTTGAAACAACTTCGCCGTTCAGCCAGAGTGTTCGTAAATCGGGGAGACGGGTGGCGATGTGAGGATAACGCGAGAGAACAGTCGCCAAAAGGGTCGGAGTCATGAGAGTTTCGGTAATCTTCTTCGATGCGAGCAAGTCGACCAGCGCAGCTGGGTCATAACTGACATCGTCGGGCACAGCAACAACTGTGGCACCTCGCAGTAGCGGGCGAAGCATCTCCCAAATGAAGAAAACATTACAGGCAACTCGGTCACCGGGCTGTAGGTCTTGCACAGCAAATCTCAAATTATAAGAGAGAACAGGAGCACGCTGGGGGGTTTGCAATTCCCTTGGGCTTGCCGGTAGTTCCAGAAGAGTAAGAAACGAAAGCCAGTCGGTCAAGATCGTTCTCAGCTGGTAAAGGAGCAGCTTCTTTGGCATGTCCGTTCAGCTCAGACGTTGGTTCATCGAGAGCAATCAGTGGGCATTGGGCCTTGATTTTGGGAGCATTGGCCAGGTCAGTGATGACCACAGCGGGCTTTGCGTCGTCAATCACATCAGCCAGAAGACCGGGTGGATATGCGAGCTCGAGGACCAGGAATGCACCTCCAGCACGAAGGGCAGCCAGACAGGCGATCACATAATTGGCACTTCGTGGTAGCAAGACGCCTACCAGCGTGTCTCGGCTCACTCCGTACTGCCGGAGACGATTTGCCAGCGACTCAACCTCGTTGCTGAGCTCGCCATATGTATATTTTGTGGTGTCATCCTCTAGCGCAATCGCGTCTGGAGTCGCGTGCGCCTGCTGCTGGAACAGAGTTGGGAGGTCCTTGTCGATGTCGATGATGGTCATCTTTGTAATTCAGCTCGGATGAAGCGAGGGGCAATCGGAGTGCGGGGGTGATCAAGATCGTGTAGTTTGAATATCGAATGTGGTGATACTGAAGTGTTTTTTGTTCCTTCAGAGTTGGTTATAGGGCTCAGTGATGTCCAAGACGCAAAAATATAAACGCAGGAAAAATCGGCCGCAGGAACGAGACTACCGCTTCATCCGCCATTGCATCGTAATTCTGTTGAGAGCAAATAGCAAAAAGCAAGCAAGAATGGAGACTAAAATTCCCACTAAACTCGAAGCTGTCTAGCGAGAAACAATTCAGTGGCACCTCTGGGGTCTAAGGGACTGTCTAGAGTTAATCGTCCTATCCGAACCAATGTAAGCACCCGAACACTTTCATCTAGCCAAGCGGCATGAGATAAATTCAGGCCATCCCGCAGCGATCACAACGCCTCATGCATGGCTAGAACCAGGCTCGTGCGCACTCTGTGGCTGCCTATATGTCATGGTGATGACTATACCTTGGCTGCCTCCTCCAGAACAGGAATGCCAGTCCCATCTTCTTGACAGCTTTCTCCATTATGTTCCACGATGCTCCATAATTCGCTTGCTCCATAATTTATTCCCCGTGGAACCTGCCCCACTTTCAGAGAGGGGAATTTTGCATGTGAAAGTCTGTCAATTTCCCAACAATAATCCGTTCCCGTATTATTAATGCCTTATGATAAGGGCAGGTTGTGCGGCGCCGATATAGGCGACTCTAAAAGGACAACTAAGTCTCAAATGACTCTACCGGCAATACTTTCTCTCGATCGGAATTTTATAGCATTTGTACATATTGGAATCGGAAAGAAAAGTGGAGAATTTGAACATTGTAAAATATCTACTACATATCGCAAAAGTAGAACGAAATGACTTGAATGAGAGACTCTGACTAAATTCAAGGGAATCCAGTCATCAACTTGCGCAACCTACTAGTACTAGCACCCTCCTCCGCCCAAAATATTCTACGGTAATCCATAAACACTTCCAAACATTTCCACTGGGCGTTTAGTTCAAGTCCGAGTCGAAAAGTGGATCGTTGGGATCATGAGGATCCAGAGGAAGATCCGGCATAAACGCCTGGGAGACATCTGCGTCTGGAATCAAATCTATCAATTCCTGCCGGTCGTTGGCAACGAAGAGTCGATCTCTATTATCCGGGGCGGTAGCAGTGAATGCCATACGCCGCAGAACCGGGCCCATAAGCCGCTCGGAACATCCTGAAAGCTTTTTGCCTTCGAAGAGCATCACCTGTATGGGCGTCCAAGGTATTACAACCTGCCCATCATGAGGTAAGCAGATTTCAACCTTCATTATTGGTTGGTTTATTGATCCATTAGAGGTCGACAAGGGTAATCTTCCAATTATCGCATTTAGAGGAATATTAGTAGGCCGGGGAAACCACAGATTCTTGACATCATCTTCATAAAGTGTGCAAACCGAAGCACCACTATCTTCCATCATGTTGATAGTGGTAGTTATATTGTTTCCAGGTAGTCGAAACGTGAGTTTTTTCTAGAAGTGATATGATGGTTTAGCAGGAGTTTTTGGCTTCGGTGGAAATCACAACACTTACATAGTGCATATGCACCCTGTCCGGGGGCAACGACATCTTAACTGCCATAGACACTGGGCCCGGTTCGTTTCCCTAAATAACCAATATTAGATTAAAAATACCTTCTGTCCTTCAGAGTTGATTCAACTTGCCCCTTCAATCCAAAAGCTCTCTTCCTTTGCATTGTTTTCCTTCACCTGGTCCATCTCATCCCAACTGAATGGACGCGGCTGGCAAAGCTGACGATCTTTGACCCAGTAGGTTACCAAGCCGTGATTCCATTCAAGATCATGATGTCGGTATGCCTTCATGACAGCTCGCACAGTTTCCAGCTGTTTGTAAGGATCGTTCTTCCTCAGGTCCTCTTCCATTTGCTTCAGACAATTCAGGCGTTGGATTACGGGCCAGCTAAGCCCGTAAGGCTCCGAGTCAATAAAAAACCTAGCTATGAATCAGTTCCCGGCTAATAAAATATCATATGGATAGAACCTACTCCCTCTGAGCTTTGTCCGCCCTCAAATCTTCCAGCCTTATTTCAAACCGTGATACCATGATATTATCCTTGATTCTTTCTTGACAGCGCTCAATCTGAGCATCGAAATCGCTATATCTGTTAGCATGCTTGTTGAAGATAGAATATCTCAGGGTACCACATACTCATCGCTTAGATCAGGCTCGCTGTCAGTCCAATCATCAGGAAGCTGTGTAGGGTCCTCTAGAGACTGCTTTCCCTTGTGCTTCCATCTACGGTGGCGTGGTGGCTTTGGGGCTTTTTTCGGCAATCGGACCCTTCCGACATAAGACGTGTCCAGATCAAGAACCTTATGTCTATTATTCGCACTAGAGACAGACTGGGCGGATGGACTAGTCTTGAATGCTGTCAATCCACCTTTAATGCTCTGTCCTGAGGCCTGAACTTCGTGCTCTATAACGCTTTTATTCTTTTTCTGAGTCTTTGACTGCTGCGACTTCTCAACTCTCCCACTGATGGGAGTAGCAGGCTGCTTGACCCTTTTTGATGTGCGAGGTGGCATATCGGAAATGTATTGCCTGTGGAACTCTACCTCAAAGGGGAATTTGACCACTGACAGTGAACGTAAAAAGAGGTACTGGTAAACTTCAAATTCCTACTTTAAACTTGAAGTTTAAGAGCAGACTTGGGATGATTTGTTGATAGACGAAATAAATATATTCACAACCTTCCAAGGTTGGAGCCCTTGAGTATAGGAGTAGATGGGCAATGTGCCCTCCAGGGCTCGCGATTTATACTACAGCGTCCAGACAAAGAACTCGAAAATTTAACCGTGACGAAGCGTCCCAGCTCTAAGAGATACCCTCCACTGTAAATTCATGTCAAAGAACTTGAATGAATTCCTTTTCAAAGAATGAAAGAGGGATACTACTAGAAGCCGACCTTAGAAAGTATCAACCTTTGAGCTCCCACTTACAGTCATTCTCAAAATCGCCTTGGCCAGTAAACACTTGATCTCTCTTTTCTGGTCTCACCGCCAAGATCTTAGTGCTGATTGAATATTGATAGGGTCACGATGAAGAGAGAGATATTTGTTTAATACATAACCCCCCCCCCCGCTCTTGACAAGGCGCAACACTGCTGGTACTGGAAACTCGATGATTCTACGTATACACGAGATAAATCAGCTATCATTAAGAGGTAAATTTCAGAAAATGGGGCCATGAAAAGGATTCGACAAGAATTCGAGAATTCCAGTATAAAGGAGTTTTGACTGCACAGCGCTGATTGCGGTCAAGTCAGTCACGAGGCTCAAGGCTGAGGGCCGCCCGCGTTTTTCTGCGCTCTTCCTTCTTACCCCTCCCAACTCCGTTCTTTAAATCCAACCCCCCATGTTGCTACTCTCATTATAGCGAAGATGTCATTCGATGGTACAAACTACGGGTTCCAAGTGGGGGTGAACTATGGATCCATCATAGCGGGATGCCATCCTCCTTTGGGTAAGTTTTTTCCGTGGTCCACCCTCCATGGCATGTCTGTTAGACTTACACAATTACATATCCAGAGCCAAGCTTTTTCTTTACCTCATACTACGAAGCACACAAGAATATCAATCCTCCACGTGTTATGAAAACATGTAGATGGTTCCTAAATCACCGGACATTTCAAGCGTGGAAAAACAGCGACCATGCAGATCTCCTATGGCTGTCAGCAGACCCTGGTTGTGGAAAATCTGTACTGTCAAGGGCCTTGATTGATGATGTACTGGCTCTGAACACGTCAGTCATCATTTGCTATTTCTTCTTCAAAGACAACAAGGAACAAAATACCACGGCAACTGCATTATGTGCTCTCCTCCATCAACTGTTTTGTGAGAGAACGGATCTTTTCCAAAAGCACGCCGAGAATGTGATCAAGCTACAGGGAGAGAAACTGAAGTTTAATTTTGAGTCTCTTTGGAAGCTATGGATGTCTGCAACCTCCGACTCTTCTAGTGGGAATATAATTTGTGTTCTGGATGGCCTTGATGAATGCAACAAGCCCGACCGCGAAAGACTTATACAAGAATTGAAACGATTCTATACAACATGCCAGGGAAAGAAAGCCAGTGACCAAATGCTAAAATTTCTTGTCACAAGTCGTCCGTATGGAGACATTGAGAGGGGATTTGGTACGCTCACCTATCAATTTCCACATGTTCGCCTCGCTGGCGAGGAAGAATGGAAGGACATCAGCAACGAAGTCAGCATGGTGATGGATGCCAAGATAGACGATATTGTGACTGAAAGGGGTCTTTCTGATGAGATCCGGGACGCTCTGAAGCACCGGCTTTCTGAAATTGAGAACAGGACCTATCTATGGCTGCACTTGATGCTGGATGTCCTTCGAGACTTCCACGGTACCACAAAGTCTAAGCTGCTCCAAGAGATCGATCAACTCCCGGAGAGTATTGACGAGGCGTACGAAGAAATCCTAGGACGATGCAACAGAAGTGTTAAGCAAGATGGCAGGCGGCTTCTAGAGATAATTGTGGCAGCGCAGCGCCCTTTGACGCTTTCTGAGGTTGATGTTGCAATGGAGATACACCCAAGCTCTAAGGCTTGGAAGGATTTAGATCTTGCAGGTTCTTCAAGAAAGCAGTGGGTGCGAGATGTGTGCGGCTTGTTTGTCAGCATTATTGACTCTCGTATCTATCTTATCCACCAGACGGCTCGAGAATTTCTAATACGGCAGGGGAACCTAACAGCCACGTCAGACAAATGGGGACACTCAATTGATCTGCAGAAAGCACATTTTGGCCTTGCCAAGTTGTGCATCGGTTATCTCCACTTTAGCGACTTCTGGAGACAACATCAACAGCCTGTCCATCGTTCAGCGCCACAGGACGCCTTTTTACAGTATTCTGCAGCCCATTGGATGTATCATGTTCAACAGGGTGGTGATATGGAAAGCGAATGGATCTGTGCTGCAGCCAAGTTATGTGAAGTAGGGGAGTCCTTATTCTATATTCAATCTCACGGAGATACCATGATGTGGACAGGCTTAACCAAATCGCAAACGAATCCTTTATATTGGGCGATACGTTGGGAATTGATCTTGATTGTAGAGTTCCTCGCCAAAGACTCTGAAATCAAGATTACTGAGGAAGTCGTCCGGGCTGCCGCGGGGAGCCAGTTTAGCGGAGCAAAGATCATGGAACTTCTATTTGACCAACGAGAAGCCGAAGTCAAGATAACCGATGAAGTCGTCCGGGCTGCCGCAGAGAATCAATCTAGTGGAGTGAAGATCATAGAACTTCTACTTGACCGGCGAGGAGCTAAGGTCAAGGTTACGGATGAAGTTGTTCGGGCTGCTATGGAGAATCAGTCTAGTGGAACACAGATTATGGAACTTCTACTTGATCAAAGAGGGGCCGAGATCAAGATTACCGATGAACTCATTTTTACTGCCGCGGGGTATCAGTCTAGTGGACCAAAGATCTTGGAACTTCTACTCCAGGAACGAGGGACTAAAGTCAGGATCACGAGTGAAGTGATATCTTGTGTTTTTACAATGTTTGGACACAAGGTAAAAGAGCTTCTACTTGACCGACAGGAGGCTAAAATCAATATCGCCAATGAAGTTGTTCAGACTGTCGGGGGGAATTGGTATGACGGATTTAAAATCATGGAACCTCTAATCAACGGACGGGGGTCTAAGCTAAAGATCACCGAAGAAGTTGCTCATGCCATCGCTGGGAATATATATTACGGAGCAAAGATTATGGAAATCCTATTGGACCAACAAGGAGCTGAGATCGATATCACAGATAAAGTTGTCAGGGCTGCCGCAGGAAATTTATCAAGCGGTGCAAAGATTATGGAACTTCTTCTAAGCCGACGAGGAGCCGAGATAAACATTACTGATGAAGTTGTCTGTGCTGCCGCAGGGAATCAGTCTAGTGGAGCGAAGATCATGGAATTTCTCCTTAACCGGCGAGGAGCTGAGATCAAGATCACCAATAAAGTTGTTCAGACCGCAGTAGGGAATAAATATCGCGGGGTAAAGATCATGGAGCTTCTACTTGATCGACGACGGGCTGAGATCAAGATCACTGATGAAGTTGTCCGGGCTGCCGCAGGGAATCAGTCTAGCGGAGCAAAAATCATGGAACTTCTACGTGACCAGGAATGAGAAGCTACTAGAACTAGTGATTTTACAGTACTAAAGCATAGAGTACTCAATGCCTTGGCAATCATTTCGGTCCGTCTTAGGCATTAATTAAGCAGACTGAGAAGTCAAAAATAGAAACAAAAAATTACTAGTGAAGGACAGCCAGCTATGGCATAGGACGAACGGGTAATATACTGTATTGCATTTTATGATGCACCGTTCCATATGCCAAATGGTCTCTTTGTCGAATGTCGTACTGTAACCATTATAGCCACGGTAACAAGAGGACAAGGCCTCATCTTCATGAACTAACTGTAGCGATAGACTTATCGTTGGTAATTATCATCCCTGCCTACGTTAATTATTGGCTGCCGAAATGACTGTTATTCGCCCGCAAATATCATAGTCTGTCCGAGACAGTATTCTGCCGATAATTTTAGTCGTTCGGATGGTCCGTAAGCCCAAAAGACACCTCTCCGGAGTGACAACTGGCAAGGAGGATATATGCCGTGTATCCTGAGAGGAGAATCGAGGCTACCTGGCAAGTGGGAGATCATCAAAGAACCAAGCACCCAGCGGTGCACTCTTTGTCTAACGATGAGATCCACCGTGGGGTTCCATGGAATTCTACAGGTCTCATGCGAGTACTTCGTATGCGAGGTTTGTATTATTATGCTCCTAGATACCGTATCATACGGTATAAATTTTCTGATATCCTTGATTTAAAGAGCCCCCTCAATGATTTATTTGCGCTAAGGCCTTGGCGGTGGGACCAGGAAAGGGTTTATCAGTGTATTTTGGCCAAGGCAATTTCGAAAATGACTGTAGCTTTCTTTCTTCCCGAGGTGACATTTCATTTCCCTAAGCCCGTTGCATATTCATCGTCGAGGTATTTTCGTTCTGACTTGATTTTGGGACTTAAATTTCGCGAGAAGAGGTGTATTCAGATTTCAGACCTCTTCTGCTTTCTGTGCGGCGAGGCGACCGTTGAGCTGTTGAATTTATTAAAACAGGCTTAAGAAATCGTCACTTCCCACTCTTTTCTTTTCGGGCTGATATGTACTAATTTGACAACGAGAGAACCCCGTGGACTGGAATTGGTGGTTCTTTCAAACTTTAGCTGCCCGTGATTCTTACGAAGGCTACCTAGGTAGATATAACAAGTGTTTCTTCTTACTTCTCATTTTTTGGGCTGTTCTTGCAGATGAAATCTGACTGGGATTATTATATTTGCTCACATTATAATGTATGGCTCCAGTTCGATTAACTAGCAATTTAGTGTAAGTATAGATGTGTAATCCTAACGGAGGACCCAGGTGGAGAGCGAAGAGGTGCCGGGTCATCTCCAAATGACAAGTCACTCAAGCTGTGTACATGATGTGGCTCAGCTAGGACATTCAGCCCCCACCCTGCATGGGGCAGCTTACGGCAGCCTTGTTCCTTCTTTCTCATCTTTTTTCCTTGCAAAATATTCACCCTAGGGGAAAATACCCAGTACTTCCCAAAGACTCGATCAGAAATGCCAAGTCAAGTGGTCAAGCCACGTCGAAGTACCCCGAAGGTTCGGACGGGATGTAGCGTCTGCAAGTGAGTTCTGGGCATGATAGAATGAAAGGTGGAATTTGAAGCGACTAGTCATCTGACCAGTCTACATAGGATGCGCCGAGTCAAATGCGACGAGCAACGACCAAACTGTAAGCGCTGCGTCTCAGCAGGCTGGAAATGTACAGGATTTGCCGCTGCAATTCGTCCAAAGCCTGAAAGCACGATCCAAATATACAACATTCCCTTCAAAATTCCTGGTAGTCGAACCGATCGCGAGCTCCTCCACTTCTATTGCTGCGAAGCAGCGCAGTGTTTGTCGCGTTTTTCCGACTCAACGCTTTGGACCGAGCTTATTCTGCAACGAAGTCAGCACCAGCCTGTGATTCGAAATTCCCTCGTCGCACTAAGCTCGCTGTATCGCGAATATCTCAAAGTCGGATCAAATCAGCTGGGGAATTCTTTGCAAAGCCTTCAGCTTATGGCTAAGTCGCATAAGCAACTTTCGACATATCTTCTTACTCCGAGCGCTTCACCTGAGGCTGCGCTTGTCTGCAGTTTGATATTTTACGTGTTCGAATGTCTCGTCGGCAACACGGAACAAGCGATATGGCACCTGGATCGTGGCTTGGATCTTTTAAAAAACTATTGGGTTGATGATCCAGACTTACTTGCGAAGATGGATCCTATCTATCCTCAGCTAAAGATGATATTCTGCCATCTCGATGTCCATGCGAGTGTTTTTTTATGGGATCGAATGCCTGTTCTCGAACTTGCCTCGCAGGATCATGTTTGTGGCCTGTACGATGTGGTCCCAGAGCGGTTCTCCGGTATCGCTGATGTAGAAAAGGCACAGGTCATCTTGCAAAATTGGAACACAAATCATCTTATGTCGACAAAAGCTCACAAAGGCGCCCAGTTGCAAGAGTTACCAATTGAGATGGCCCAAGAGAGGCTACAGCTTGAAAGACAATTTCAACTATTCGAGGCCGCCATTGAACGGTTCCGCATCCAGAATGATGGGCAAACGATGAATAGTCAAGATCGCCAACGAATCATCTTATTGCACTGCCAGGCGCTCATTTTCCATGGCGTTCTGCTTGAGAATATAATCCTGAACGAGGAAGATACAAAAACACCGATGGAAGCTTATTGCAAATTTGAGTTTGCTTTGGAGCAGATAGAGGTTCTCATTTCCGACTTCGAATCATCAAATGGCTCCAAGTCCGAGCGTCGAGAGTTCACAGTCTCAACAAACGTAGTAGCTATGCTTTACTTTGTTTGCTTCAAAACGAGAGACATGAGGCTGTTAGGAAGGGCCTTGTCCATGATGAATAGTTCTCTCTATTCCGCTCGAGACGGACTCTGGGACTCGAGGAAAGCATTGTTGGTAGTTCAATCTGTTCTCTCAGAAAATGATTCTCTCCATAGCGAGGAACAGATGACCATGCGATTAGAAGACGTTGGATCTGACGTTATTAATGCTAACAGTACGCTAGATGAGGTTTTCAGCGCTCTTCGCATTGAGGATGAAGTTGATTCAAAGGCTATAGAATGATGCATTAAAACAAATTGACTTTCTAAAATCCAGCGTATCCCACCATTATTCCGGAATTATCTCACAAACACAATCACCAACGATCAAAAGATAAATGACAAACCTGCGCCTGCAGCCATTGCAACTTGCACCCAAGAAACTCGCTCCACAGACTTCGAGCCAAGAGAAGAGGCAGGAGTTCCGCTTCCAGCCGCAGCAGTCCCCGAAGTGGTAGAGTTAGAATCCAACAATTTCGCAAACCTCATTTCATTCTTTCCGAAGTCATGCACAGCAACAACGTTTTTGAGGAAGGGAACTCCAATAACATTAAGTGTTATCCCGCCCGCCAGGGAAACAGCCTCTGACGAGGCGATGTTGGTGATGCAAAAGCCCTCGCCGGTCTGATAGATTAAATCTTCACCATTGTGGAAAAATGTCTGATTGCCCAGTGTAAATCCGAACTGCGGGGCTTTCGCAGAGCAATCAACGACATAAGCCCCGTAATCCGCGTTGTACTTTGCGGGGGGGTCAAATAGAGCGTTGATGGGCTCCACAACTCCGGACGGTAAATACTGGATATAGTTGCCGGAATCGATGAATACTTGGAAAGAAGTCGAGTTTGTGGTCAAGCTTTCGGAGGAAGAACCATATTTGACTTCTCTGATTGTAGTTGCCCAGTATGATCTAGCGCGTTTCCCAGATGTGAAGCTTGTGGGGATATCTTTCAGAATCTCCACGGGGACGGTGGTGAATTCGGAGCTGTGGTTGACAGGTGGGAGGCCGCCAATAGTCAGGTATCCGCCAAAGGCAGTAGAGGAATTCTGAGGAGTGTGCGCCAATGCAAGGCTGAAATAGGGATCGATCAGGCCCTTTTCGTACATTGTGTACACAAGTGGGTTATATGGCAGCCTGTCGAACCAATAGGTTTCATTGGAAGAATGGTTTGCCGGGTGCGCTGAAGTAATTGAGGGATATGCCAGACCAAGCAGGCCACTGTTCACGCCGTCGCCCATCGGGTTGGAGATATTGGCAATGCCAATTTTCTGTCCCTTGACGGTGATGCCGCTGAGAGTCACGTCCTCGTATGCCATTTCTCCACTTGCAAGTCCAGCACCGTACTGGATGCCAAACATCTGACCAGGAATGTGGCGATGGGTGCGAGAATTGTGGTAGGTTTTGTTTTTGTAGAGACAATCTGCCTCGGGGATGACCAGGTTACTCGTTGCATTAATGCAATCAAAACCATTCCTCATAACATAGGTGTCGCTGCTACCAGTATCAACAAGCATCTGGAAAGTCTGATTCCCAATCACCATAGATGTGTCAAATACTGTTCCGAATTGAGTGGCTATCAACGATGATGTTGAGCCGGACGTGTGTTCAGATGAGCGGGGAATGCTGGTGGCATCGACAGAGGCCAACAGGCCAGCAGTGCCGATAAAGAGATAGTAAGGAAGGCGCATGGTAATTGAAGGTGATGATCTGTTTGTGAGAATACCACTGACTGTGCGAAGATCAAGTCTTTATACTACTCCTTGAAGTAGACTTGTCCGTTTCTCATCACCCTATCTCCTCTAAGCCTCCAAATTCCGTGTGTATATCCACTGCATGCCCGAAATGCATACTCGTATAGTTTAGCGCGATCTACTAGTGGAATCCTTCTTTTGCTGTAAATTGATGTTGCCTACCTAATCCCACATTGTAGGGGCGGAAAGGCGCAGCCTTGTAGGGCTCGTACATTTTAGCGTCCTTTTAGCGTATCTGTGGCATTGGACTATTGGCTTCGTTCGATGCCTGCTGTGGGGCTTCCAAGGTTATAAATGAATGAGACTCGCACCTTGTACTATTATGGAAAGAGCGTGTCTATATATTATTCTTTTGGCTAGATGGGAGTGTTGTCGGGAGCAAGCCCTGCCAGTGGAGCGCAGGCACCAACCACTAGCATTGACGCCGCACAACACTTCGAGTTGGAAAGCGCCTTGCAACTCCGAATCTGTTTCAAACCTTCCAAGGTTGGAAGCTAAGCCCTGGGTTTAACCTGTTTCATGCTCCACTGGCATTAATTAGAAATTCCAAGCCAATTAGAAGAGCCCCGGGAATATTTAGTACAATAAAGGCGATACCGAGACAAAGAGGGATCAGGAGGCCCCGGGGTAGAATACATTTATACTTCATCTTTCGGACTAGTCGGAACATAAATACCAAAAACAAATCCTGAACACCATGTTGCAACGAAAGGCTGCTTCCACATTGAATCCGATCCTTTCCACCATGCACAGATATTGTTAGATAACAAGAAAGCCTGCGATTTGGATCGCAGTACGGCGACAAAAAAAGAACATAACTCCAGACACCTTGCATTGCATATGTGATAAAAGAAAAAGCAGTGAAGCGGAGAGCAGTGATGTGACAGGTCACTCCTCGAATTTCCGCTTCACGCCATTACCATTTACGGCGGGGGGGCCCGCTGCGGCCTTGGGCCGAGGAGCCACCCGCTTGGCGCTTCTTCCATGCAGTCTTGATAGTCGGGGCAATACGAATAAGATCATCCTCCGTAATGCGGTCCTCTATACTTTCAAGGACCTTCTCCACAGTCGAGACGTGATTGGCATCCATTTTATCGTCCCGAAGACGATGGAATCGCCAGCGAGAATTAGAATCCTTGAAGCACTCAACAATTGAGTCATCCAGGGGGACACCCATGGCTTTCAGATCCTCCCATTCGGTTGGTGTGACGAACAGTTCGCCAAAGTGTCGATACTCGCCGGCGTTCAGCATGACGAAGAGATGGCAGATGGGCATCGCGTCGTAGTCTGGGTATGCTTCGGAGATGCCGTCCGCTTCGTCATCCGTGTCAGGTTCGAGGATGGGAAATTCGAGGCGCATGCGAAAATCGACTGTGTTCTCAGACGGCGGCTTCCACTTAAGAATGTGTTCGTCTGTGCCAATACGATAAGGTGTGCTGCGGCAGGTGAAGATGAGACCATCATTGCCGTGAATCTGCCTTACTTTAGGCAGAATATCCCGAAACATCATCTCAATGCCGTAACTGAACTGGGTTTCTTTGTCCTCCACGACGAATGGCCGATGCTGCTTTTCTTCGGGGAACGTTTCGAACATCTTGTTATATGGCTTGAGGACCCTTTCCTTGAAATATGCCAGGCGTTTATCCAAGGTGCGGTGCATGAGACTTTGTCCATCAAGCACCAGGCAGTCGAAGACCAGAAATTTGAGTTGTTGGGTTCCATCCTCGTAGGTATCCTTGACCAGCTCACCGTCGACGAGGGTGTCGACATGGAAAGACTGGAAGGTATCATCGCCCGGCATGGGAAAGTGTAGGCCATCGACGAAGCGGTATTCGTTCTTGCGATCAATCAAATAATGAATCTCGGGCTTGGCATCTGGGTCTCCGCGCGCAAAGTACATCAAGCATCGGATACCGTCCGTCTTCTCGCAGACATAGTAATCTTCTTTTTGAAGTTCGTCCAGGTGTTTGGCTGAGAAGCTGACAGGTTGCGCGCCGGGGAAATTAAGATTATTGCGTCCGAGAAGTTGGGCGACTTCACGACGAAAGGAGTCCGCTAGGTCCGGTTCGGCTTTCATGCCAATTTCGTCGAGGTTGGGGACGGAATGACTCATTTTGACAGTAGATAAGGTTGAGAATGGTGAATTTTCGGACAGAAGACGCTTTCGAATCGTAAGTCGCGTAGGGTTGTTCGAGGACTGGCTGAAGGTGCTGAAATAATTCGGTTTCGGGTTGGCGGGGAGATCTGAAGAGCTTCAGGGAGAACGTGGGGGCGGGGGATAAAGGTCTTCGCGAGATGGATCGTATGGTCAAGGATTTCGGTGCGAGTTAATGTGAAAGTCAGCTCGAGCTGAGCATTAAAAGCTCGCAATCATAGTGGAATAGTCGAAGGATCGAGGGATCGCGGTAGACAAAGACGGCCGAGCTGCCCGAGCTCGAACTCCACTGATTACGTAACTCACCAGTTGGCGCGGCGGTCAAACGGGCGATTTTCAACCCTCTGTGACTTTCTTTCTTCCCAAGTCTTGTCAATTCCCACATCTTCGCCAAAGCTCAGTGGTACAGAATGGTGGAAGCTCACAATGGTTCAAAGGCAGCCGCTGAAGGCCTAATCGCCAAATTTCAAGTCGAGAAACTGCTCAAACAAGGTACCCCGCGCATTGTCCACTCCCCCGCGTTCAGATAATCAGCTAAAACCCAAAGTGCAGACCAGCAAGGCCGACGAATCACTCTTTTAGGATCAATCGACAGTCAACAGGGTATCCTTATAGCCGAGCGCGCCGCCTTCGCTACAGAATCCCTCGAAGTCCTCCAGGCATTCCACGCAGCCATCACTCGAGTCAAAAACCTAGGCGACAATGATATCTACCGATGGTACCTCGCCTCCTCGAATGGCAAGAGCCAGGCATCAGAGGAGACACAACAAGATCTGAAAGTCAACCTGATCTGGCCCTGCACAGCACAACACATCAAAAAATACTCGGACCAACAAGTTCGCATGGTTACCGAGACGCCGGAGATCTACAAGCAGCACGTCCGGCCCTTCATGCAAGCCAAGCGCGAGGAGGGGCGCCTAAACTGGGTGTTCAATATCTTGGAAGGTCGAACTGAGCAGGAAGATGTCATCATGCGAGACCCCGGACACGGGCCAGAGGATTCGTTCCTCATGCTGCCAGATCTCAATTGGGATCGGAAAACCCTGAGCTCGCTTCATCTCCTCGCGTTGGTGGACCGACGGGATATCTGGAGCTTGCGGGATCTCAAAAAGAGGCATATTCCTTGGCTGCGGTATCTGCGACAACGAGTTCTAGAGGCGACGGTGTCGATCTACCCAGGTTTGGAGCAAGATCAGCTTAAGCTCTATGTGCATTGTAAGTGGAATCTCCCTTATTCTCTCTAAATTGACAAAAGCTAATCATCCGTTGCAGATCAACCTACCTATTACCACTTCCATATCCATGTTGTCAATGTAATGCTCGAAGCCGGCGCCACACAGTCCACGGGGAAGGCCTTTGGCTTGGAGAACCTCATCTCCCAGCTTGAGACGATGTCCGGTGATGATGGTACAAGTATGGCTGATGTCGACTTGACCTATTATTTAGGCGAAGCGAGTGAGCTGTGGACAGACGTTTTTGCCCCATTGAAGCAGGGCACGCAGCCATCCAAGACGCAATAGAGAGCCGTAACTAAAATAATATCTTGATGATACCACGATATAAGCTTCTTACCATATGAATGAGATGTCCCAGACAGTGATACGCTTTAACAGATTCATATCCATGTTTATCCATGCATTTATCTAACTTGATTGTTCTATCACATTCAAGTTGTTACCATAAGGTACCTACCCCAAAGGGTAACGTGTTTCACCACCGAACCGCCACCACCACCGAGCCGCCACCCCACCTACATTACAACGATATATATTGAATATTACACAACCACCATATAATATATTGCAAAAACTAAGCACTATTCACAACCGGGCACCTATTCCGCTTGTGCCCTGGCTCTCTGCAATTAGTACAGCGCTGTACAGGCCTCCTAATCGTCGTCTCTGTAGCTGCCGGAGCACGCCGTGGCACCGGGGGTATTGCCATTTGGTGCTCATGCTCAATTTGTAGACGTAATTGCATCTCTTCGGCAGTCATTCCACCTTCGTATACCAATTGCTTATTAGGTAAGGCCTTTTTTCGCTGCTTTCGTCCATTCTCTGCCATTACACGCTCATATGTAGTCGTCAGCATTACAAGCTGATTAGCAAGTAATTGTGCACCTTTGGTAGTCTGCTCCAATTGCTGATATATATCGCTATTGGGTGAAATATCTCGATATTCTAGTAATCGCTTGATTGATGCTGCCTGGCGTCGGAAATTGATAGCTTTTGATGGTGTATGAGGTATAAATTCATGACTACTAGCACTACCACGTGATGGTGGTAGTGTAGGTGATGGGGATGAACCTCAAGTTTTGAAAGTACTACCTCAGGCGCATATGGAATGATACCTGATGCCATAAAACTGCTAGCAATTGTAGAGGTTGTGTATGTTGCTGCACGTGTTGTAGGGTACAGATGAAGGAAATCGAGCTTTTTAATATCTGTAGAGCCTATGCGGGCAAGATCTTGCACAGCCTGACCATAGAAGTGCTTCAATACACCAAAACAACCTACATCAAGAGGTTGTAATAGATGCGATGAATGAGATGGCATGCAGATTGGCACAATATTGTTTTCCATGCATAGAGTATCAAATTGAGGGGTAAGATGACTCCCATGGCCATCCATGACTAGGAGAGACCAGGCACCATGTTGACGCTTCTTAACGTATGGGATGAAAGAATTTTCGAGCCATGAAATACCAATTTGATCAGTAGTCCATCCATTATTACTGACCTCGAAGCGCCAGTTGTCTGGGACAATACTGCACCAAGCAGATATAAAAACCTTAGCTTTAAAAATGATCGTTGGAGGTAGAACACCATCCAAATGGATACACTCAATTGCAGTAACCCACTCCCGGTTACCAGGCTGCACGACTTTTCTTTTTCCCTGCCACTCCCGACTAGTGATCACTTTTGAAGTACTAGTGATCCCCATTGCGAAGCCAGTTTCATCAAAGTTATAGATGTCGTTGTCAAGGATGCCATATTCAGCAATGATGTTGCGATACTGATCGAACCACTCGCGAATAAGCTCCGGATCTTCACATAATGCACGCTGAGCGGCGTAACGACGTGAAAACCGGGTTTTTAGCTTCTCACGGCGTGCAACAAACCGAGATATCCAGTTTTTGCCGAGTGGTAAGGGAGGGGTATTGACAGAGCGCTGAGCAAGTAGAATATTGGCCATCTCTTTTGCCATAGCTAAGGTAGGGGCCTTGCCACGCATATCTAGATCCAATATCCATCGCTCAAGCGAATCCTCTTCGATTTTATCCAATTTTGAGCAATTTGCGCGAGTGGTGTTACGATAACCGATCCCCTTGACGCGGTCGCGTAATGTTGTACGAGGTACCTCATAAACACGCGCAGCTTCAGTAATAGAAGCTATTTTCTTGTTTCTTAGCGCCTGTATAGCAAGTTCGATCCTGCCTTCTTGCTCAATGAGTTTGCGCGTTCGTCCGGTACGAATTGGTGGCATAGTGGTGGTTTAAAGATGGGGGTGCTACACGCGACGCGATTTTTTTGAGGTGGTGGCGGCTCGGTGGTGGTGGCGGTTCGGTGGTGAAACACGTTAACCCTAAGCCGTGTGGAGAAACGCGATAAGATGATAACCCCGCAGCCTCATGAAAGCTCCCCGAGGGTCCAACTTAACCTCTTCAACTCTTTCATCCTCCACCTTCCACTCACCACCTCTCATATCTCGAAATAAAATTCTTCAAGATGGCCGATAACCCAGATGTCCCAAATACCCAAAAGGCCTTTGTGCCCCTCGGTACACACCCACCTCTCCTCTCCCCATCGGACCCCTCACAACACCGAAACTGACCCCATCTCAGAAAACAACCCAGAAGTGATGTCCCACCTAGTCCACCAACTAGGCCTCCCCCAAACAATCGGCTTCACAGACGTCTTCTCCATCGACGAGCCAGACCTCCTAGCCTTCGTCCCCCGCCCCTCCAACGCCCTCCTTCTCGTCTTCCCCGTCTCAGCCACTTACGAGCGTTCCCGCACAACAGAAGACAGCTCCCTCCCCGAATACACGGGTTCCGGTCCCGCAGAGCCAGTAACATGGTTCAAACAAACAATTCGTAACGCCTGCGGCCTGATCGGCCTCTTACACGCCGTCTCTAACGGGGAGAGCAAGAAACACATCACGCCTGGCTCAGACCTGGACCAGCTCCTCCGTGACGCGCAGAACCTGGCGCCAGCCCAGCGTGCGGATCTTCTATACGAGAGTAAGGCACTGGAGAGCGCCCACGCGGATGCGGCTAGGTTGGGCGATACTGCGGCGCCGGAGGCGGAAGATAGTGTTGACTTGCACTTTGTTGCGTTTGTTAGGGGGGATGATGGGACTTTGTGGGAGCTTGATGGGCGGCGGAAGGGTCCGCTTGCGAGGGGGAAATTGGCGGATGATGAGGATGCGTTGAGTGAGGCTGCGCTGGCGTTGGGAGTGCGTCGATTCTTAAGCACTGAGGCTGAGGGGGGGCAATCCTGATTTGCGGTTCAGTCTTGTCAGTCTTGGGCCGTTGTTTGACTAGATGGGTGGTTTTCTTGGTGTGGGCCTTCTCGTCTGGTCTTGAATAAATGAACTCGAGATGTTCCACTCTTATATCACGGGCTACGGTACTTCCAGAAATTGTTGTCATCTCCTAAACACCGTGACTGTCACGGTCTTTCTTGATACCAAATATACACTAGCCCATTTCCAAACAACCCCAGCCATGGCCCCTCTTATGCGCCTAAAATGTTTCATCCAAGGTTTGCAGTATCCCACGCTTGGCAACAGACCTTGGAATTTCACCTGGTGAGAGTGACCGCTGAGTACCTAGGTATCAGGGTAAGGTGATAGAATGGGTGAGGTGGTCTAGGAGATCCGTTAGAACTAGAGCTATCATCTTAAAAATCGATGCTGAGATGCTGAGCAAGCTTCCATGGGTATTTGGCACACTTGGGCAGAAGCTATCTTCAAAAGGTTTTTTGACGGATGATCGCGCCAGCTTTGAGGATCATTTACACCCATAGGATACTTAGGTATCCTCCAAGAGTATCCCACCTGTGCATCTGGGCATTTATATGCAGCTATGTACTAGGTAGGTGTCTGCCGGCCTGGGGTGGTTTCAACCTCCCCTAACACACATTCAACAATATACACTCTCTGAAGACACCAGCTGCCGCCTGCTTTTGAATATTGGGTTGATTTGCCAAGGATATTAATATCCTGAAGCCTCCTGGGGCTGTGAGCCTGTAAGTCAACTACTAGACGTTTCAGAAGATGTGTGCTGTTCATCAAGAAGTGGACTGGTGGGCAGCGATGGGGTCATAGGAGTCATGGTGAACCTAGGACATCCGATGATCAAGTTGCGGAGTTCTGGAATGGAGATTCTCTTTTCCGGCTCGCGCTCGAAAATTAGATTTAAAATGTAGAGCATCTCGATAGACAGAGGTAGAACGTGCCCCAGAAAAAAAAGGGTCATTCAGGTAGGCACGGAAATTGGCGTCCTCAGTCGAAGCACTGTTCCAAGGATTGCGGCCGCAAGTCAGGTTGATTAAAATAACACCAAGGCTCCAGACGTCACAGGCAGGTGCTATATAGTATGAATCTGGGGGAGGATTTGACTGTAGAGATTCTTTGCAGAAAAGTAAAATGGTGAGCGCTCAGGCGTTATCAGCCCTGGGGGGGGGGGGGGGACTCGGAGGCAACCTACCGGGAGGCATGTAAAATGTGGAACCACAGCCAAAATCTGAGGTGTAGTATTCCGTCGTAGCGAGGCCGAACCCGCTGAGCTTCAAGTTTAGATTTAGATCATCATCAGTAGCAGTCAGTAAGAATTTTTCGGGCTTCAGGTCCCGGTGGTATATTCCTAGGGAGTGACACCATTGGACAGTATCCAAGATTTGGAGGAAAGTATCCTTGACCAAGGGATCGTTACCCACTGGAAACTTTCTCAATTTGCCCTTGTCGGTAATACTGGAGAATAAGTCGCCCTCGGTGCAGAACTCCATCACCATGAACATGCAGTCGGTAGAGTCCATGATGCGCACGAGGGAAACCACGTTGGGGTGTTGGCTGGCCAGGTGATGGAGGCGAATCTCCCGCTGCTGGTATTTGAGCTGTCGAGAATCCAGTCCGGATTTGTTGAAGGCCTTGACAGCATAGAATACATTGGTGTGTATGTCAAGGGCCAGATAGACGGCATTGTTACCTCCACCTAGAATACGGGTGAGCTCCAGCCTGTTGGCTAGAACCATACCCAGACGATCTTCAGGTTTAGACGGTTGATTGGAGACCGCGAAGGCAGCAGAGCTCGGCGCATCAGGTGAGATCAAGTCGATCTGCAGGAACAGTTAGGAAATTTTCCTCACACACACATTAGAAAAACTTCACCTCTCCCTTCTCATTAGCAGATTTCTGTTCGGATTCCTGAATGTTATCTATATCAATTCCATCTGCATTTGCCGCCGACTCGCGGATATCTCGAAAGGTTTCAGACAAATCCCCCCCACGAAACGATCCCCATAGATGATCTCTCGGAATTTTGAGAAACAATCTCAGCTTGCTCAGACTGGCCGCTATCAAATGCGGAGCCATCTCTATCGTAAGCAGATCTAGGTAAGGAAAAACAAGATATACGTCGAAGGTGACACGCTATATGAACCATACCAGCGTTTGGACATAAGCAGAAGGGACAGTCACGAGAGTATCCTTCATTACCAATTCGAAGATCGGTCACGGTAGTAACAGCATGCCTTGAAATCTCATGCGAGACCCAGTCGCTGAGTGTGTCATATTGTTGATCTGGATCTTTGCAGTCCTCGAAGGTGCAAATGTAAGGGCGCAGGTCTCGGAATACATGCGTTCTGCGCAAAGGTCAGTCTGCGCGTCTACTAGAGATTTAAAGGGGAAACACCAACTCCCAATCCCCCTTGTGAGCAGTTTTGCGTGGGCATATCGTGAAGCAGAACGGGCATTCAAACTCTTTGGCATCTAATTCAAGTAAAGGAGGTGGAGGGATTGAAACGAGATCACCACCTTTCTCATCTGCGAAAATGAGGAAGGTTTTTGTCGATATCATAGAAGCGATATCATCTTCTAATTTCACTTGCGCTTGATTCAACCATGTAGCCGTGGATGGTTGCGATGGAGCAGATTGAGGTCCGTCGGCGATTGGAAGCTCGCCTCTGTGGGGAATATGGACAGTCTGTGAATAACTTGTGACTGTCTTTTCAACAGATTTAGAATATTCCTTGTATTTGACGTTTCGTTTTCTCCAGTACCCGAATTGCTGCCTTCGTCGGGTATTTGCTCTTCCTAGACGCTGAACGAGATAGTGACTGTCAAGGTTCTCGGGCTTCTGATGACCAAAGGATCGGAATATCTCTGCGAGATGCTTCTGATCGAATGATGAATATACCTCGACGAGGTCGACTCCGGTGTCTGGATCCACTTTGGTGTACATCATCGCCTTAGAAAGTCCAAGTCTCATTGCAGGATTTCTAATCTTGAACGAAAGACTGTACAATCGGTCAACCGTCGTGGTGATGTTATTTAGACGTGCTTTAGTGAGCGATTCCTCCTGATACGACGAGAAATCCTCTTCCTCTTCGGAGTCGTCATCATCACTCTCTAACTCGCTTACATTCGGAGAAGACGCGGTGCAATCACCTAAAGCCTCTCTAACTATGGGGTTGATCAACCAGTAAGTACTTTGTTTCTCCGAGGAAGAGATGAGGAATACACACATTGCGATAGCTCAGCCTCCAGGTCCCGCAACAGCTTATAGGCGTACTTGAAAAGTGGCGGGGAGTCCCGGAATCGATAATCGAGAGAACTATGGCCGCCATGGTAAAGGCCAAGATTTACTGCCCACAACTGGAAGCGTTGTAGTTCGTTTGTTAGACGGTTTTTATCGTCATTGTTAACATCACTCAGTCCGTCTAGCGCCGTAAACAAGTTGTTGACTTTCTTCCCGGTTGTGACCAGAGAATCAATAGGCTCTGTATCCTCAACACTCATCTCTTGATTCTTTGGCCTGTCCGATCCATCAAAGGATCGACCACTCATACCTTGTAGGGTGCATATTATATGCTAAAGGGACAGGAGATAACTCAGGAATCCTCGCCTACCCCTCACTGTTGACGAGAAAGGAAAGGTGCAAGGACCAATTGCGCCTAGCCACGTGTGATGCAGCAGGCTGACTGTGAACCTCAAGTGTCAAACACTCATTCGATTTTAAGCCCCGCCTCATCATCTCCAGAACTTCCATCCTATACTGTGTTCCCTTCTCGTAATGAGCGGCTTTGAGGTTGTTGGCGTCGTTTTAGGTGCGATACCATTACTCATCTCTGCGATCGAGAAGTACAAAGCAACAAGCCAGCGTCTCAAATACTTCAAATACAAGGAGCCCTATATCGCGCAGCTAATACAGTCGTTGGAAGACCAAAAGTTCTTCCTTGAGTCAGACCTTTATATCCCACTGAACTCAACGCATCTGGAAGAAGACCAAATCAATCACCTATTATGTCAACCAAACCCGGATCTCTTCCAGGACGCCGAGATTTCTCAAGCTCTCAGAGAATATCTTGGTGATGGATATGCGCCATATCAGCGGGCGATGACTCGATGTCATCATATTCTGGTGCAGATAGCATGTAATATCAGTGGGCTAACATCCACGGCGCAAGTACGAGGTCACATATGAAGTTTATTTCACAGACTCGCTGATACGATAGTTAGGGAGATCTCTCAATGCTTATTCAGGCACATCCCATGAAAAACGGGAAATATGAACTCACCAAAAAGATAAAATTCAGTTTGCAGAAAGAAGACCTGGAAAAAAGAATCAAAGATCTTAACGACTCCACCGCAATGCTGCGCAGAATTCGAGAGACAAGTGCATTGAAGACGGACGTAACACTTCAATCTACCTCGCGAACGATCACAAAGTTTAACTCAGCCCTGAACACTGTTCAGAATTACGCACATAGATTATACTCGGCTATCTCAGATGGGTATGTAATCGATTGTCATCCAGAACATGAGACAAGGCTGTTTCTCCAGAGTCGATCGGCCCTCATGGAAAAGAAGAAGAAACGGCCAAGTCTCAAGAACGCGACTGTTTCATTCACAATGGCGTTTTCTCCAAACAATATCCCCAAGGGTCGGAATCATTCTACAAAACAGAAATAAAAGTACTGGAAGAAGAGGAAAATATTAATTGTGGTATTGCGGAGTATGTATTCCGAATACAAAATGCTAGTTGGGTGATGTACTAACACTATTTGATGGCTATCAGTACCAAAGCTAAAAACCGTACTGTGGTGACCATCAATTTACCCACGGTGCTGCCTAATCCACCTCCAATACAATTGGACAACCTGTGTCATTCTATACAACAAGCAACAGATGGCACACACTTCCTCGATCTCTATCTTTCGCAGGATAGTTGTCTATCCTACTATCACAAACCTCTCAATGCTGGAATCCATGAAGATATCACAAGAAGCCCAAATGATATCATATCCCTAGAACAAATTCTACAGAAGAAGTCGCAACAAAATGAGTATTCGCCCTTCCAGTGGTCCCTCAATCAGCGGATGGCTCTTTCATTTAACGTCGCATCTTCAGTCATGCAGCTTCATTCCACGCCGTGGCTCTGCTTTCCACTCACAAGTCAGACCTTGTGTTTCCCGCAAGATCCCGAATCCCCTACAGTCAAAGGAACAACGCAGTTTAGAGACATTCCTCAACCATTCATTCGTCAAAATTTCCTTAATGGTGTGGATGATCCAGCAACGAAATGCGCCTGTAATCCAAGACGCTCGATGCTTGAACTAGGCATTGTTCTATTGGAATTGTGGCATGCCAAATCATTCAGGACATATGCCACGGAGCAAGGTCTGGATTTAAATGATAACTTTGGCTGTCGGTATGATGTGGTAAAAAGCTGGCTTGACTTCAGTATATACCATATTCTACCGTTTTATCTAGAGGTTGTTACAAGGTGCGTCGAGTGCACTTTCGCAACCGATTGTGGAGCGTTTGATTGGAATGATATTGTGTTTAGAAAATCCGTGTGTGAGTATGTTTTGAAGCCACTTTGGGAGAATTGTACCGCGGAGTTCCGATGAGGTAGAGAAAAAGGCCTCAATTGTGTTTGGTAGCAAAAGAAACCGTTTAAGAATAGTCTTTGCCTTTAAGGAGGCCCAGATATGCTTAGAAACATGGTAGCATCAGGTGGTTACTAGTAATGCAAAACCTCTTACCAAGTGAACTTGTAGCTTTTTACTGAAATACCTGAGCAAGCAAATGACGCAAATGTGGCAGAGCCTCACAGGAACCAAATTCTCGCACTTATTTCCAGGGAAAGAGGTACGGAAGATCTCTACCTTTCCAAGCCGTCGATGAAACGTGGGGGCGAGAATGGCCGTGCTACTAGTGCTCGAGGGCTCCTTCATGCAGAATACAGGCCTGTAGATCTCCCTTCGTTGCCTCCACTTTCATTTTAGCCGTAAATACGAAACCGAAGGATTAGACCATTTAGGAAGGGATCCATCAAATTCTAAAGGGGAAATACTAGAAATACTAGCCCATACAATACATCAAGACCTAGTTAAGGAGGTTAGGCGGGATCATCATGAAGTGCGATAAGTCTCTGCTGTTGTCAGGAATGGCCACACGACGGCCCCAGGGCGGCCCCAGGACGGGGCCATTTCTCTCAACCAGAGAGCTCAATCTTGATCCACTCAGGGTCTTCACTTTTCACATCTCTTGTTCTTTCTTCAATCCTGCGGAGCGCGTTCGTTGTTGCGATCGCAAGCGACGCCAAGACCGCTTTCACCATGAGCACAACAATTGTCTCCACAAGTATAACCGAGACGGGCATTATTCCCTTGACAACGGCCTTCACGCCTCCGGATTCATGTGTCAGTAACCTGTGGCTCGCGAGTACCAGCGACAAGACATGGATGAACCTGGGACCCTTAAGCGACCATACTGAGTGCCTTCCATCCGGCTGGGCGAAAACGAGCTATTATTCCCCAGGGATATGCCCCTCAGGTTATGGGATTGCAGCCAGCGGTCTCGTGGATCATGGATCTGTTACCGAAACCCAGGCGACATGCTGCCCAACGTAAGTCCAAGTCCTCGCCAACTTGAAAAGCTCTATGCGGCATCATGATTGAAGCTAACACCTCCGGAATATTCAGACTAGATGGCCACACGTATGTAACCCGACCGGGAAAGTCATCGACAGTATCTGAGTCGATAGACTGTATATGGAGCCCTGGTCCGGATGTCACCACCGAATTCACATATACATGGACCGAAAACGATACTACGTCGAGCTCGACCACTGCGCTGAGCCTCAGTGAACATGTCAACGCGTATGGCGTCTATATCCGATGGCAGTCAACCGATAGCAGCACGCCTGCAACCAATACTGCGACTACTACCAGCGCGGCTACAATTGGAACAACCACCGGTTCAACCAGCGCAGCTGCTGCATCCTCGACCTCCACAGAATCGTCCGGCTCGTCAGGACTCTCGACGGGAGCCAAAGCCGGTGTTGGTGTCGGTGTAGCTGCCGGAGCAATTCTATTGATAGCACTTCTAGCGCTCTTCTTGATCCGACGACGACGGTCGAAGAACCAAGTCCCCCCACCAATCGAGATGCCGACAGAACATTCACAGCCTGCACCGCAGCATTTCGTGGAGCTACCTGCAAATAACGATACGCCAGAGTTGGACTCGGACAACCTGAGAAAATATGAGAATCATTCATTCTAGTATTCTTTCGGGATTAAATTTTACTTACATACCATACTCATACCTTAGCGTGTATGCTTTTTTTTTTCGTTCTCAATGACCTAGCAGCCTAGAGAGGCTACTGAATTCCACGGTACTATTAATGCCAATTTATACATTTTTTCTGTTCAAGTTTATATGGTTCAAGAAAAATGGGTTCGGCCAGAGACCGGTCGTAGTATTAAGCTCCGGGAACCTCATATCCATTTCCGGGCAGTATCTATGTACGACTGGAGTTGGTTCTAGCACAATGGCTAGCCGCCTCATTATCTAGAAGTGCTGTATATCTATCTAGGCGCTGATACTAAGATGACTAGTCCGAGTCTCAGACTCCACGACAAATATAGACTGCGCCACATTACATTGTGATTTGCAGCAGATTAGCCGCCTGGCTACATGTCACCTCTGGATTCGCCCACGTAAACATCTGCCAAAGACAGAGCTTGCTGATTTGCTGAAAGATGTCACAAATACATAGCTCTTCCATTGCATGCGGAAATTATTCGCGCTGACCCCGCCCCAGGGTTAATTCTTCTACTGCGAATTGATTTCACGCACCCCTTATATCTGACACCTCGCTGTGGTCCGGCCCTGAACGTTAAAAATTCCAGTTCACAACTTATCTTTATATGAATATTCTGCTTTATCGAGCCTCTAGAAACTAAAACTGGGCCCCAAAATATTTGCCGTTTGACCCTCGATCCAATTTTATCAAATTTCTATTCAGTCAAGTAACCAATCCATTTGATCAACGAAGCTTTCTAGACTTCAATATGTCAGTCCTCACCAAGCAGTACCATCACTTTATCCCTCAATTTATTCTCAAACAATTTGCATATACCGAGTCGCCAACCAAAAGGTTTGACCATAAATCATTCCGGGAAGCTTGTGACTTCTTTCTGCTCACAAAACTCTAGTTCCGGAAACGGAGATGGCCTTTTGAACCTGTTTGACCTTAAAACCGGACAATTTATCATCGAAGAGGTCAAAAGGTCATGCGGAATGTACAACTTGTATTACATGGAGGATGACCCGAAACATATGAGAATCGAGGATCTTTTCAGCGTCATAGAGGGACACACGAGCGAGATATTTTTCAAGATCAGAAATGCCGCAAAGGAAAAACTAGACCATGTCAATATCCTCGAGAAGGATATTCACATTTTATTCAAGTTTATGATTCTCTCCTTCCGACGCTCCAAGCAGTACCGAGACGTGATGCAAGATCAATACCGTGAAAATGACTTTATGTTTCAGCGCCTCTTCGAGGCATCGCGAAAGGAGGGTCGATCCAGCGATCCGGGACAAGTATGGCTTGAGCAAATACTCTATATTTTGAAAGCGAGCCACGAGGACCTTCTTGCAGATGCAGAGCATCCTAGTGATAGCATTTCTAAAGCTAGTGCGCGGACCTACAAGCACTTTGTCGAGAATTACGCCCTTCAGATCTGGCACGCGGCGGATGGCTACGAGTTCTTTCTCAACGAGAGTCTCTGTGGCTTTGAGGGCGATACGCAATCGTTCCTGGGAGCAGAAGTAACCGACCACGGGCCTCAGCTCATGTGGATGACCACAGATGACATGATACACGTCATTCTCCCTATAAGCCCGGCACTTGCTGTCGTGTTCTGTGAAGAATCAAGATGCTGGGAGTCGCCATTCGCTGATGCCATAATTCGACACGACAAGACCTACCCGCAGAATAGTTTACTTGCAAATGCACCACACAAGGATATTGTCACTGGCCAGGTACCAGCCAAGAGGAAAGGAAGGAAGCGATGGCCTGCGACAGTAGACTGGAAAGTCAGTATCGGCAAACTTTCGCAACAGCACCATCAAGTCATCACGTCCTACTCTCTCAGTCAGGCTCGCTCAATCGTCATCTTCAACAGTCGAGCGCGATTTGTAAAGGCTCGAAAGCAACTAGAAGTATTTGCCAAGCAAAGAGAAGAAGTTTGGAAGAGGCAGGGAATTCGATATTCTCCACATAATGGGCAGCAACCTGCTCATGAAATGACGGAGCTTAGTCCAGAGCGGTTGGACAGGATGGTTGATAACCATTTATCTGCCTTGGACGAGGTTCTAAATATCACAAGAGTCACTCAGGAAACCCCACCGCGAAGCAAGGAAAATACTTTGAAATTCTGGTTCGCTTTCAATGCCATTCTATCATTTGTGACTGCAAACACAGGGTCCCCTGAGGCGGTTCCCATCATGAACCCCAGTTTGCTAGCAGGATTTGAATCCCTTTATCCTCCAAAAATACCAGAACACAAGGATCTTATTATCATGGACTTTGCCGACTTTCTTGACTACGGCATTAGCGAAGCAACATTTACCCAACTTACTTCCAAAATCGAACAAACGATCTCGGAATGGATCACAAAGTTTTCCTTCCTGGCTCCAGAGCTCGAGAAGTATGAGGAATTGTTTGGACTTGTTCTGGGATCCATGATCCCGAAAGTTGATGGATCAGAGCAGTCCTACCCTCCAGCAGATGATCTCCACAGGCGCCCTTGCTTCAAAGCAATCTTCGGGGCAGCTCAGACATTCGATATATTGAGATGGATGTTCGAAGAGCGACAAGATATTCTAGCAACCTTTGTTCAGCGGTGTGCTGTACCTTTGAAAGATTCACGGCCCAACCTCATTCGCATGCGTGCTAGGAGATAATTATATCGTTACACCTGTTATCTTCGATCTACTATGCTGAGTATTATCGGAGAGGGTGGCACTTTGACTACGAACAGATTTAGCTCCTTATTGGATAGTTATCTGGAGAATGTCTATTGCTTCTTGGTTTGCTCATTTATTCCTTTGTGTTTCTTATTCGCTGAGTTAGTGACTGGTCCTATACATTGGATATTGTTGCCTGGGTGGTCTGCAAAAGGTACTACATGGGTGTTGTCCTGTCTTTTTGTCTATTTGTCTATTCACAACCTCAAATTCGCGGAACGGCTCTCTATCTTATCACGTACGAAAACAGGCTTTTCAAAAGAGAGTCTTATAACCATATCACCTTGAAGTGGGGATACTAAACTTGAAAGATATAGTAGAGTTTTTGAGTAACGAGGAAAGGGAGGTGGGCCCTCGAGGTAACTACAGTGGTGTTGATAAAGCCTCCGGCCCCTAGATTAACCGCCAGCAGCACCGCCTTTCTATTATATCCTACCATATCCCTTAGTCGCGTACAGCGTAGTTCGTGTATGAAGCTGTATACATTATTTCCGAGGCAATCAATAGAGCTAATGGCTGTTATACTAAGCTTTTGTTACTGAATGAATTTGATCATGATTTTTAGGGGTTTAGTACTGCAGATTCAATAGCAGAAACTTTCTGCTATTTAGTGACAGCCCTCTCAAAGGGCTGTCTATTTGGGGTTCATAGACTTTAGTACCTAGGTAGCGCATGTGTGTGGCAGTTTCACTGATTTCGAGACACTGTAACTCTATTGCTAAATTATCTTTATTTTAATTATTATCCCATTCCAAGGTTGTCACTGCGGGGAAGCTCGTTGTATCGCGTGGGCATCAGACCAACCCAATTTGGCAAACGCGTCATGGCGCGGGAAGAAAAACAAAGGGATACATCTCAAACCTCCTCCACCGCTTTCGATCTCTTCAAGTTATCGAGCACCTGGGCGAGCGAAATATCGAATTGAATCGACTTGAACTGGCCACTCAAATTTTCCACTAGCGACATACTCTCTACTTGGATATTTCAAGACCATGCCCACAATGGCAGACCCCGTTATCGATGGCTCGGAGCGTTTACAAGATGCAATCGACCGCTTATCAACTAGAAGGCTGGCACGCCTGTGTCAAAATCTTTGCGCCAAAAATCCATCCGCGAGAACATTTTTCGAGGCCCATCTTTTCGTGGAAGAAGACAAAGTTCCTGGTCCAAAGCTTCCCGAGCCAGAGAATCTACGGCCATTTGGTCACAAACCCGGCCCTGAAGATGAAAACGATGACGATGACGAAGAGAGTTACGAGGACGACGGAAATGATGGAGATGACAAGGAGAACGAGAAATCAGTCGCAAGTGAACCTGCCCGCAAACCAAAGAGCCTGAAAAGAATCAGACCGCGCTTTGCTGTCTGCACAAACTGCAAAGAAGAATTCGACGTCGCGGAAAATACGCAGGAAAGCTGTAACTATCATTCCGGTATGACCCTCAACATCCCCTGGAAGGCTTCAGCCATGATGCTAATCTTAAATTACAGGCAAATCTTATCCGGATCAAGATTTCTTTGCCGATCACGACGAAGATTGTCACGGAATCATCGATACGGACGAAATGCGGGAAGAGTACCCAGATGGCTTTACCTACGCATGCTGTGACCGCAATGGCGAGGAAGTGCCCTGTATGCAGGACTGGCATATTCCAACGGACCCCGAGGCCGCAAAACGGCGTCTCATTCAGCGTGGGGGGCCTTATAGACTTTCACGAGTTGTATCCTCGCGGCAAGCCTTGTTACTTAAACACTCACAGCCAGTTAAATCCTGACACAGATATCAACAGGAGCTAGATGGTAAGTTAAAAATTTAGACCATTGAACCGAATCCAATGAGTGTACTCCATACTAGTAACCACTCGTTGTTACCGTGGGAGAGAAGATCCACCAGTAATTGCAATGAGATCCTTCATCTGTGTGCCAGTGTGTACATACAGTACTGCCAACGCGTCGCGTCGCGCGAAGAAAAATTGATAGCTCTCAAAATCCATCAGTTCAATATGTAATCCGAATCGTCAAAACAAGTCAACTACACTCATAGCTTCCGCGTCAATATTTTTTGCGTTTCTTCAAATATATCAATCTCTGCATTAGCAATGGCAGATACCGTCGACGCGACCCAACTCAGCCATGCAATCGGCCGCTTATCATGGGCAAAGCTAGTACAAATGACTAGATTACTCTGCGAGAAAAATGATGCCGTCAGAGATTTCTACAAGGAAAGGCTTTTCGTGAATGAACAGGACGTGCCCCAGCCGAGTACACCTCGCTCGCCCGACCGGTCGCCTAGTCCCAGTGAAACAAGCGATGATGAAAATGAGGCTACGCCTCCCCCTGCCCCAGCCCCGAAACCCCAAACTACAGGGCCTAAAAGGTCTCGGCCACGCTTTGCTATTTGTATAAACTGCAAGACTGAGTTTGATGTTATGACGAATGCTCCGAAAAGTTGTCAATATCATTGGGGTGCGTATTCATCAATGACTACAAACATCTCGCTTCGGCTATTTGATCCCCTTATAGCTATGAATTTTCTTAAATAACTCTATGAATAGGCGAAGCCGAAGTGGATGAGGAGGCGTTTGCTGACCATGATGAGTTTACCCACGGACCTATGGATACGGAGGATAACCGAGAGGCCTATCCCGATAAATTCGTCTACAATTGCTGTGACCGCACGAGCGACGAGGAAGGCTGTACTACGGATTGGCATAGGGAGACAGACGACCTGATGAACAAGAGGTTCAAGATGATGACAGGGGGTCTTTAAGGACTCAGCCTTGATATTTCTCTCATATGGAAACCAAATCAAAATTGAATAAATGCTGTACTGAATTCAAACGCTTTTATGCATTGTATCGTGTATGTTATTAGTTGAAGGATTCACCCCTTTCCAATCTCCTTCGGCGAAGCCGGAGATATCGTAGAATCCTCGATTACCGAGGGATTCACACTAGCACTCTTTTCACTGTAATCACTCCCATCCCTTGTCCCCTGTTGATCCTGATCATCGGGACCATCTCCACCCTGAGTACCGATAGTTAGAAAAGGGACCATAAAAAGCGAGACACCGGCTGCCGCCGCAGAAAACCAGAACGCCGATAGATAAGGGCGAATAGCCGGTGTAGATGCGGTCATTTGATGGGCGACAGCACTATTCACCGAAGTCGCTATGCCAAGACCCAAATTATTGCACAGCTTACTGACGGTGTTGAAGATACCGCCAGCGATGGATTGTTGGGATGGCGGTAGTGATGACATGACGTACATCTATTAAACATTAGCAACCGGGGAAAGAAAGACAATCGCGGACCCAGGGGTCCGATTCGCCTTGGAGAGTACTCACGTTCGTGACGTTGAATTGGATATCGGCGCCCACAACTACAAGTACCAATGCCGGGAAGATATATGCCCAGTAGATGGCGTCTTCTTTCATGAAGCTCAAGATCAGGAAGGAGGCTGTATATGCCAATGCGCCGATACCTGTTAAGAGCTTGTTGCTGACACGGTGCAGGATCAAGCCGCAGACCACGTTGACCAAGACACCGCTGACTACCATGGGAAGTAGGCGTACGGTGATATCAAGCGCGGTGAGGTGTTTGATTTCTTGAAGGTAGAGTGATAGGTAGAAAGTGACGGCTGAGAAGCCCATGAAGCCGAGACAGAAAGTTGCCATAAGCTGCCAGAATGTAAGTTATGTCTCTTATTAAAAAGAGAGTAGGAAGAGCGACACATACAAGGGAAAAATTGCGATCTTTCCACACCCATAGAGGCATCAATGGGTCCTTTGCGACTGATTGCCAGTAGATGAATGCGACGAGAAGAACGATACCGACGATAAAAAGGGCGAGCACATAGCCCGTTCGCCAGCCATCGGGAGCATCACCAGCCAATCTGATAATAAGTTAGCAGATGATCCAATATTAAAGAGAATGAGGGGGCAAAGCAACGTACGAAAGCGAGCTGGAAAAGAAAGCAAACCCAACAATAATCAGCGCCGTGCCCAGCAAATCGAACCGCTGAAGCTCCTTCATGCTCAGAGGCGTCCGAGCAAAGCCATCCGGCGGCACAGTCCAAATCGTCAACGCAGTAAAGATAGCATAAACGACCGCGAGAGCCCAAAACGATGCACGCCAATTATACTCGTGCGATGCGACGCCAGATATAATCATGCCGCCAACGAAGCCGAGCGGGTTGCCCGCGGAGAAGCAGGCAAATGCGAGATTCTTTCGTTTGGAGGGTTTTTCATAGACAGCGCCCAACGCCCCGACGGCTGGTGGAACAACAGCTGCGGCGAAGAGGCCTAGGACTCCGGAGAAAACGTCCATGTAGATTGCGTTCGTGGCGAAGCCTGCGACTAACAAGGCCAGGGTAAATCCCGCCATACCGATAATGAAGAGTGCTTTGCGCCCGAACATATCGGCTAGTTTGCCGAATGTGAGTAAGAAGGCGCCGCTGGAGAGACTTTATCGGGGTGATCTGGTCAGTAATTAAGTTTCTTTTTTAGATAGTTTTAACGTGCAACATATAGATCGCAGTACTCACGATGCACCAGCATTAATCCAAGTAATTTCCGCCGAGTTCATGTTCAAATCCGAACCGATCGACGCTGTCACGCCGACGATACACCCTTGGAAGAAAGACTGTTGGCCAATAGCCATTGTCGCCGTTAAAACGAAAAGGCATTCTTGGAGGGTCGAGTTGAAGCATGCCGGGCGCATAGCAGCGGGTTTCTCTGCGATAGCCACTTGCGGGCCTTTCTCTTGGTCGGATTGATCCATTGGCGCGGCCGACGCCATGGCTAAGGATGAGGCAGGAAACGACTCAGACTGAGGTCGCAACTAGTCACAGAAAAAGAAAGAAAAGAAGAAGAAGAGAAGGAAAGGAAAGCAAACAAACAGGGGCTCCGAACAGCCACGCAAGCCCAAAAAAAGACCGACCACGGAAAAGCCGATTATCAAGCTGAAAACAGCCGATCCGACTTGCGATGGGCCGAGATTTAGCCGCCCTTGTAAATAATGGTGATTAAATTCAGATTTGACTTGATGGGACCAGCATTGGATTATATTCCAAGGTGATAAATTGATTTTGACATCTCGTTACGATCTCTCTGCGTGATGCGAAGTTCTGTCACCGCAATTGCTGAACAATCGGCCGTGAGTCAGCTGCGGCCAGTTTCCGCGCCTTTGACGTGCTTCAAATCTTGGATCGGGCCCCATTGAAATCCGCCTAATGTCCAATGGCTGTTATTCTGATAGATAAGATCTACTTTAGTCTGCGGGGAACTCCCTGGTTGCACGAGCTCCAAAATATTTGACCGATCATGATCGGAGGGTTGGCTTCCCCCCTTGCTTCGGGGGTCGATTGACGTGGCATTGTCGTCCAAGCGAAATAGTAAAATACATTATGTATTCAAATTTATTCATCAACCCAACATTTCGTGTCATTAAACTTGAGCACCTCATTCCCACAAGCCCACCATCCCGCCGTCAAATTACGCGCAAACACCTCTAGCGCAGTGTACGGCCAAACACGGGCCGAGTCCTGACCCTGAGAAGACGGGGAAGAAACCATTCCCTGGAAGAAAATTCGCTCAAAAAGTTCTCGCAGGTTCGGTTTACGCGAATGAATGTCCGGCACGGCTGCAATTACCCGTCTTGTAATATTTTTGCCAGTCGGAGACAAGGTCTGGAAATCGGGTTCCGAGTTCGTTCCGAAGGATGCCCCTCCGTCCGCGAATATATTATTTGATGCAGGGGAGGGGTGGGAGGAGGAAATGGAAGATTGGTTCGTCACATTATTATCTCTGCGTCCAATGACAAGGATCTCATATGGCTTTCGCCAAAGTGCATCGACTGGGCAGATTGGTTCCCCTCTAGCTGTCACTTTAATCCATATCCATTCTTCAGAGACATGGAAGCCGGAGGTAGAAAGGATGCTGTAAGCTACGCGTCTTGCCTTTTCGGAATTTGTGATCCATATTGCGGCGATCGAGTCTCGATTTTGGAGTTGGGTCGGACTGGGTTCTTGTGTTATGGTTGGAGGCGATATCGCTTGATATGCATGGGCGTGGAGAATATCCGCCAGTCTTTGCGTAAGAATATCCATCTCCGCGTAAGGATGCGTTTGGTAATGTCGGCTTCGTCGAACAGATTTGTTTGGCCAGGGCGGGTCAAAGAGTAATAGATTGAATTTTTGATCTTCCGGCATGCCGGGAATGACTCCCAGCGGTTGTACACACTCTATCGGCGTCGATAAGGGAAGATTGCCAATGATAAAATTCGACTTTGGTGGAATGATGTATTCGGTCGAGGCTGAGACTCCTGTCTCATCCCTTGGCGAGATTGATAAAGTCGCAGGCTCACATGATGGATTTTTCACGATGGTGTCTAATTCCAACATCGAGGAAAAGAGATTGGGAGAAGTAGATGATAGGATCAATGGGGCTCCTAGTCCTGATACACACTCATCCAATGACGAGGTATCGCAAAGCTTGTTCCAATGCGCAAGGTCATATTGGTGCACCGAGTCCGCCCGCGGCCTTTTCTTCGAAGTTGAGGCAGAAGTCGAATCACACGTCCCAGAGTCTGCATTCACAGAGACACTAGGAGTATCCTCTTCGACGTGTCGGGGAAGACACCAGTGCTTTTCGGCCCGTAGGGGTACAAGCTGTTCCCTAATGATCCCCAAAGCATGTTGCACAATAGGCGAAATAGCTGCGTGGAAGACACGCTCGCTCTCCGGGATCCGAGCTAGAACCTTCGCACGAGCAGAATCTGATTTTGGCTCTGTTTTCGATGGATATGGGGCCCCGAGTGGCGTTTTTGAAAGAAGAAACCTTTTTTGTGCATGCTTGTTATCTTCTCCTGCTGCGGGCTCTGGCGGCCCGCTCGATGGTGCGCAAGATTGTAGTTGATAGGAGCTCAGAGTTTGCGCCTGGGCGATTGAATGAGGGGTGTCGAGAACAAAGATTGTTTGAGATTGATTTGAGAAGAGGGTTGCGGACTCTTCTTGTATGGGCATGGTCATGTTATGGCTGCATTGTTAGTGATGGGCTGGGCTTTGCAGGGTTGAAGTTGAAGTTGATTGGGGCGGGAAGCTTTGGAAGCGGGTGGAAATACCACATGCAGTCATTGGAGTACACAATCATCAATCGGCGCCATTTACAATAGAACAAATCGGAGGCTGGCTTTAGCATATGAGCTATATTAAGTATGGATAAATCAGCTATATCTCGACTGGATTTTTAGGTGTCATTTTGGCTGCCACACAATGTTGATATCACTGGCTAGCAAGCATTCTATTGCCTTATTATTCAGGCGAAACTGCCTATTTAGGACTAGCCGAAGTGGCTCTATCAAAGCAGAGAGACTCGCCCTTCGATCTCAATCTTTGATATACCCCACCGGAATGGGATAACGGTATACCATCGGTCTATTACCAGTTTCATGTCTGTTTTGAGAAATGATGAGTTTCTTTCCGAACCCCCCCACTCATCACTCCCAGGTCCTGTAACCAAATTATTTGTCGAAGACGAATCCGGATCTACCTCCAACTCGCTCCTCTCGCTTGGGCGTGCTTTCCTCCCAAGCGATGACAAGTGAACAGAGCTTGTGTGATCCGTCCCTTTTAACGAACCGCTGACGTGCTTGAGCCAAACTGCCTTGAGGGACGGCACGTTTGAGGCCATGATAGCAACATTCAACTCAACCGCCGAAATAATGACCATTTCGCCGAGGATATAAGTGAAGTCGGGATCGACTGCAAATCGGTGGAGGATAATGACGCGCAAGCAGGAGACCACGACCGCGATGCCACCGACGGTGATGGTGGCTATGATACCCAATCGACGCATCACGGTTGCTTGGATATTCCAGAGGGGCCGGATGGGGAGGGTGAGGACAATGAAGTCCATTAGAATACACTAAGTCAACAGATTAATTATACTCTTTTTTTCCTTCTCCTCAAAGTTGAATATCCCGCGAGCTGAGACTCACCAGCGCGACAGGCACATAGTATGTTACTGATGTTGGCAGGCACTTTGCGTCTGGGTATGCTGCCGCGTTCCAGAAGGCTGCCAAGGGCATGCATTGAAGACAATAAAGCAGCCACAGGGCGATGGTGATCAGAACGTTCAGTCCCATTGTCGCGTATACTCCGTAAATGAAGGATGTCATGTTTGTCAGCCGGAGATAGAAGAGCAAGAATCCTGTCTTGATGGCGAATTGCATCCAGATGTATACAATTTCTTCTGCAAAGAGAAGCTACACGTAACCAGGCAGAGTTAGATTCAATTGAGATTTTCTGAATGGAATATCAGAACAGGATTGTTCGAACATACCTTTGCAAGAATCAATAAACTTGTGGGGTCAGTCGTAGAGGAGAGGTGACTATCGAATTGGATTAGAAACCATGTCAGGCCTAACTGACTCCAGTGCACTGGGATCATACATTCCACCCCCGTAGTGAAGAAACGCCGAGAATAACCCTTGCTGTGCGGTGTTGCAGACCTACAAAACGATCGTATCAGATTATTGAATGCTTCACCTCATCAAATTCACGACAGCCCACTAACCAGCACCATAACCATCCACCAGTCATCTTTTCCAAAAGCCTGTATAATCCATCCTCGCGAGTAGATCCGGAAGCAGGTCGTCAACGTCGAGAGCGCCCAGAAAATGAAAGAAACAGCATATGCAGCCGGCTGCAGAGTCTCAAACATCTTTTACGGGCATAAAACCATCACGAGGGGAAAAAAAATAAGCAATAGAACCAAGGTTAGAGTACGGATAACCTATGTCTTAATCTAAATTAAAGCAGAATCCAGTACGGAGTACCCAGCCCAGTTGAAAGACTAGACAAGAATAGCAAGCACATTCTGCAGCGCCTTCACGTTCCTGAAATCCTTTAGATCCTTCTGAGCCTTCGCCAACCGTTAGATCAGACACATAGCTCATTGATGGCAGATCAAATTCCCAAGTAAGCCAAACAGCCCCCTTTTCCCCAAACATGACAGCTTAACGGACAGATCCTATTCGGCATCTCGAGAGGCAATCCGCCCCGCCCCGCCTCGTTTCGAGGGTATAGACCCGGTAGTCGACCGAGAGCGCGGCACATAGTGCCTGGTAGCTCCAAACTAATGCAGCCTAGATCCATCGTGGCACCAAAGGATCGGTCCGCCTTCCCCCGCGGAAACGACAGCTCGCAGGAACCAATGGCCTTTCACCCTTTACTTTTCACCGGTGTTTGATCATCGCTCCATGAAGAGGGGACGAAAAAGGAAAAATCGGTTTAAAACTGCGAGGATCACCTCAGCCTTAGTCGACAGACTAGCCCTGGTCGAAAATGAATGTGTAACATAAACCCCCCCTGAGTAAATGACAATGGCCGTGGCAACGACCCTCTCATCCCTGCTGAATCCAGCTCCCAATCCCTTGGGTATCGCACCCACCTTCCTGGTCCTCGGAATAGCATTTCACCAATGCATCCGCACCACGGAAATTGACAATCGAATCAAGTCGCTCCTAGCCTTATACTCCGTCGTCTGGCTCGTCCTATGCGCCAGCTACATCTATATCTACTCCGTGGGAGTCCTGTACGCGATTGGATCTGCACTATTCGCAGCATGCAGCTTCAATATTGGCCTCACGATCAGTATCCTGGTCTACCGGGCTTTCTTCCATCGCCTGGGACATTTTCCGGGGCCTTGGGATGCTAAATTGAGTCGGTTAGCTCTGGTGAAACGGGCAATTAATCGGACTCAGTACCATCTGGATCTGCAGGAAATGCATCAGAAGTATGGCGACTTTGTCCGCACCGGACCGCGTGAGATCTCGATCAATCGGCCATCCGCTGTTATGGCAATTAACGGGCCCCAATCGTCTTGTTTGAAAGCTCCTTGGTATAGCCATGTCTCCGACGATGTCACTCAGATATCTTTGAATTCTACTCGTGATCCACAGGTGCACCGTCGCAGGCGGAAGGCTTGGGATCGTGGTATGAAGGGTATGTATAGTTTCCAACCAAGGCGAGCAGAACGAGCGGCCCTCCATTTCCTTTCCTTCCAGTTGCTCCCATTCCCGACTTGGTACTTCACTTCTTAGCTAACACTATATCGAATCCGAATAGCACTGCCATCATATGAACCAAGAGTCCAGCACAAAGTCAACGCCCTAGCAACGCAGATCCGCTCACGGCTGAACAAACCCCTCGACATTTCGCAATGGACGATGTACCTCGCATTCGACGTGATGGGACTAGTTGGATTTTCCGAAGATTTCCGCCAACTAGAAGACGGCACCGAACAGGCCGCTATCAAAGAACTGCATCAGCAAATGCTATTCCTGGGCATTTTGAAATCCGCGCCTTGGATTCTGACTATCCTCGGTTTTATCCAGGGTTTAGTTGGTGAATACGGTCAATTCATGACTTACTGCGCGGACAGAGTCGGGGAAAAGAAAGAGGTAAGCCTGAATCCAGCAAAGTAAATTCTCTTTTGCATCAGTGGTGATTTAACAAACACGCTATAGCAATGGAAGGCAAAAATGGCCGACAAAGGCGACGACAACACGCCGAAAGATGTCATTTCCTGGCTCGTCAAAGCCCTCTACGAAGAAGATCAAAGTGCCCCGCCAGGCCACCAAGCACTAAACGAAGACGGCCGTCTAATGATCATAGCCGGAAGGTCCGTCTATATCCAATCCGATCCTCAATCCTACCTCTTTCAATCTCTCCGCAAGAAAACCCCCCTAACAACCTTCCTTCACCTCTCCAGTGACACGACAGGCACAACCCTAGCCCACGCCATATACTACCTAACCAAAAACCCACACGCCCTCCAAGCCCTACAAAAAGAACTAGACACCTTGTCCACAACCGAACCATTCACAAACGACAAACTCCAATCCCTCCCCTACCTCGACGCAGTCATAAAAGAAACCCTCCGCCTCAAACCCGCCGTGCCCAGCGGCCAACCAAGACTAACCCCATCAACCGGCCTGCAAATCGACGAAGTCTGGATTCCGGGCAACACAATCGTCGTGATACCGCCGTACGTCCTGCAGCGCGATGAGCGGTGTTTCCCGTCTGGCGAGGAGTTTATTCCCGAGCGCTGGATTGACTCGGAGAAGCGGAATTTGGTGAAGCATGATGAGGCGTTTTTTCCGTTTCAGGTTGGGAGGTATGCGTGTGTGGGTAAACAGCTTGCGCTTATGCAGCTGCGTGCTGTGATTGCGCGGGTTGCGGTCGAGTTTGATATGGGGTTTGCGGAGGGGGAGGATGGGGTTGGGTTTGATCGCGGGTCGATGGATACGTTTACTTTTACGTTGGGCGAGTTGGGGGTGGTTTTTAGGGAGAGGGAGAGGGGGAGGTAGGGGAGGTATAAAGGGACTCTGGACTTGAGGCCAACTGGAGGTTCAGAATTGCCACGGAAAGACTCAGAAAACTTCAAGTTGATAGTTGGAAGCCGACTCGGATACCAGAATTACTACAGGAACTTGATATGTATTAATAACTAATTATCTAACGGTTTGTAGTCTACTAGCTAGTGCTAGGCAATCTTCAACAATTTCGGAAGTAAAAAAACATACTGGTTCTTCATAACACTAATTCCCGAAAGTACTCTACAACTTCGGGATATTCAAGTTCAATTAACCATCTGCCGCGATCAACACATTACTTCTTACTAGACACCTACATTAAAACCCGGCCCGAGTCCACGCTGGAAAAAGTATCCATTTCATTCCACTCCTTTCTCCACAGCCACCGATGTAAATTCTCTCAGATAGCCAGATCAGAAAGCCCGATGTTTAAAAAGTCCCATTCCATACACAGGAGGGGCAGCAACGGCAGAATTCGCTTCGCAATAAAAAAAAAGGAAATTGAAGATGGGGGCTTTGATAGATAGATAGATAGGTAGTATGTGTCTTGCCATCTGCCTTCCCCGTCATCAGGACACTTGGAACTTTTTCTCCTCCCAGATTTCGATTTCCTCCATTTCCAACCAAGATCCTCCCCGTTCACCTCCCGGGCTCTTCCCCAACGTCGAGTTGGCGATCCAGCGTCCAAACAAGAGAGGCAGGGAGCAAAGGAGATGAGGGAATTGGGGAAGGGAAGGGAGCCTTGGTTGTCCACGTCACATAGCTAAAAACCCGCTGAATCTCATGATAGGAAAAAGAACAGAGAATAAAATGGCCACAAATAAAGCGAAGAGAAGAGAAAGAAGGAAAAAAGAAAAAGAGAAATGTCGAAAACGAACAAAATGAATTTATACATGTAGATGGAAGCAGGTTGAGAAGAAAAAAAGAAGAAAATTCAATTAAAATCATACGCGAAGATCAGCGCTAGAGTCGTTGGTTAGTGAGAATGTTCTTTCAAAGCCAAGCTGGGTTTCTGGGGTAGGGGGTAACTCACCCGACCACGTCGGCCTCCACCAGACTGCCCCTGCACTGGCTGTGCCTGGGCGTAGTACTGCGGAGGATATTGGTACATCTGGGCAGGGTTGACAACTGGGCTGAACTGCTGCGGGGCATAATTTGACTGGCCGAGAATAGGACCGCCGGGGCTCATCTGGCCCGGAGCTGCGGATAGAGGGGCCTGCTGAGTCTGCAGTGAACGCAGGTTCTCGACAGAAGGTGATCCGCCTGGGTAACCGTAATTGGCACCAGGCATACCCTGGTACATTCCACCGGGAGACACGCCACGACTCTGTGCAGCAATGTAGCTTTGGTACTGAAGTTGTTGTTGCTGCTGGGAGAGAGACATGTTGGGATCCTGGGGGAAGCCGCCGTTGACGCCACCGAGGCCGTTCAGAGAGCTTCCAAACCCATTGATGCCGTTGCTGGCATACGGATCAAGTGGTGGACCGTTGTTTTGGTCGGAGGACATTGGACGTGAGCCATCTTGGCCAATCATGCCAGTAGAGAACTGCCCGCTGTACTGTCGCTCCAGAGTCGGCTGGGTGGGGAAGTTTTGGCTGCCGTGGCGGGAAGACTGGCGGTGTTGCGACTTCTCGGGGGTGGAGGAGTGGCTGGCACCGTGATCACGGCTATGGTGTTCACGTCCGCTGCCACGAGAGGAGAGACCCACCTCGTCCATAAGGCGCTTGTATCCCTGGCTTGGGGAAGCCTTCAATTTGGTCAAAACCTTAGAGACGTTCTTAACCACCTCCGCGCGCATGGACTCGTCGAAGAATGGAGTAGTCAAAACCTTGAAGATCAAAGTCGCACCAGAGGTCTGGTCGCTCAGGATCTGTTCCAACACTTCATCACCTGGGCTGAAGAAAAGGGCCTTGAGGACGATATCCCGGGCCTCGGGCTCGTTCCGCTGGTTGATAACCTTGAGAACAGTGAGGTAAGCAACCTTGTGAGTACACAGGTGTACCAGGTGAGGAACAAGTCTTGGCGCAAGAACAGTACGACGACGGGGGAAGGTACATGTGTCGAGGAACCAGGTGAGGAGTAGAGCGCCATTGGCGTTGGTAGCCAACTGGACGCTGTGGAGGGCAATAGCGGCGGCAAGTGTTCGTTGTTGATCCTTTGATGCATGATGGCTTTCCAGACAGGCCCGCATCGCGCGGGCGCCAAAGCGACCTTGAGAAACCTCCCACATGCGGCTCAGCATGGCCTCAAAGATGAAATCGTTGAACGGGGTGCCAAATCGCAGACAGCATTGCAGCACGTAGTTTCCGTACTGATCCAAGAAAAGCGGGACACAATAGGGACGGAGAGCATCCACAATCATATTCATCTGAGCCGGGCTCTTTGCGACATCGATGATCTTTTGCGCGGCCCAAGTTCCGTTCTTGTGGACACCAATTTCAGCAAGGTGACGGGAGATCTGTTCCAGCATCTGCTCCTTGGTAGCCTCAGAGCAGAACTCGAACAACTTCTGAACGACAGTGTTGCCGAGGTAATCAGAGGCTAACTCGGCAATTTCTGGCAGCATGGCGCCGGCAGTTTCTTCGATCTCTTGGATCGAGCAAGCGCCGTTGTCAATGCGCTTGCGAATATCACGTAGACGGGGTGCATCAAACATGCGAGTCTGGCTGGGCTCTGGGATCGGTGGGATTTCATCCTCAAAGGCCTGGAATGCAATGGACTTCTGGATACTGTTGGTGATTTTCAGGGTGTCATCATCACTAGCTCCAAATTCCTTGACCATCTCCACCATCTCAGGCAAAAGCTCAGAAAGATCAGCGATATGTGGCACGGTGCCGATATTATTCGCCTGGTCGACGTTGTCGGAACCAAGCTTGGATTTGAAGGTTGGGTCGGGAGTGGGCGAAGACTGGATGCCGTTGGCACCAGGGGTTCCAGCAGCAGAAGCACCGGGGACCTTGGCATAGCCAATTCGAACAGGGCCAGCACCTGGGAAGATTTCCTTGCCATTGAGAAGCGACTTGGCCTGAACAGCACTCTCGATACGCTCGAAGTTGACAAAACCGCAGTTCTTGTGAGTGAGCACGCGCGTGGACTCGATTTTTCCGTACATGCCAAAAATGGCCTCGAGAGAGGTCACCGTCGTTGAAACAGGAATACTTCCAATCCACAGGCACGAGTCGGGCCGTCCTGGTTGTTCTCATCGACCATCTCGCCTGGCCGAATACCCACACCGGGGCCACCAGCTCCGAGGCGCATCATTTGAACCGCATCGGACAACTCATCGTATTCGCCATTCTCCGAAATAGGGAGATCGGCAGCACTGAAGGGATTATCACCGAGGCGGGATGGGGTAGCAAGGTAGTTTCGGATAGATGCTCGTTGAGGGGGAGCCTCCAAAATGCCAGCAGTGCGCGCACGAGGTCGGCTAATGCTCGCATGGCTAGTAAAGGCCTGCACAGCCAAGTTGTGTTGGTGGATTTGCGCCTGAGTGGCAGCAAGTTGGGCAGCCGTCGCAGCGGCAGAGGGGGTGAGTGTGCCCGAAGGAAGTTGAGAGTAACGGCTCTCATACTCCAGGTCCTCGTCATCGGCGTATTTTTCCTTCGCGTTCACTGAGTATGATCGGAATCGATTATTATTCTTCATCATCGCCAGCTCAGCCAGGAGCGGCGGCAGAGCAGATGCCTGCTGCTGTTGCTGTTGCTGTTGCATAAGAGCCTCCATTGATGGCCGCGCAAGAGTCGCCCTCGCCTGCTGGGGAGTCTCCGCGAGACCCAAGTAATCTAGGGTCTTCACATCCGAGTCGGTCAGGCCGTCCCTCGAGAAGGATGACTGGCTTGGCGAAGTCGGGCCTTCGGAGGACCGAATGCTGGTCAAGGTGGTGGCTCGTTCGCGGCCAGTTGACCAGTTGGTAGAGAACAAGGACGGACCAAAAGGACCGCCTCCACCCAACAGACTGCTCCGTTGAGGCATCGAGCCAGCTCGAAGACGTGAAATCATGGCCGGGTTGGGCGCACCGGCAGAGGTCGTGACTTGAACACCAGTATCAATACCGGATACACCTGGGGGTCTGAACGGGCTGGTGGAGGGGGTGGGTCGGGAGGTCTGCGATATGTACGGCTGTTGAAGCTCCATCTCGTTGAGTGTGGTCATGGGAGGGAAACGGGAAGGGACAGTGCCTGCTCGTGCTCGGCGTCCAGAGCCAGACATTTGGCCACTGGTAGTCGGGATCAAGTCCGGGAAGCTATCCTGGCTGGGCGACTCAGGGATGTTTTCGCGAAGTGGGGTTGAGTGACCACTGGTGGGAGGACCCCAAATGCTGGGAGAAACACCTTCTTGGGCTTGAATCTCGCGGGCACTGTTGAGCGATCAATCGTCAGTCTGCGCCCACATTCCACATCACTCATTCTGGCAAGATGGTACTTACCGCTTCGGGTATAGACGAGTTCCCAGTTCGTGGGAAGGGGATCCAGCCCCAAGCCTCGCAGAACCGATCGAGCCGGACGGTCCGAAAGGTGATTTGGAGGCGCCAGACCCAGGCATGTCGCTGGGAGAACTCCGCCCTGTCGAGGAACCCGACAAGGGTTGGGAGGTGGGGATGTAGTTATAATTCATCTGGCTATCGGGGCGCGAAACCGGTAACATGGCGGGATTGTGTTGTCTGTGAGCCTTGCGGACTGGTCAACTCTCAATCAGTCTTTTCGCTGTATCGCCCCCTTCTCCTGAATATCCGAATGAAATCTGAATCGATCAGTTGAGAGTAGGTGTCCTGTTTAGACGCGGCGGTTCGTCGTGACCATGTGGTTGGTTCGATCCGGCAGCTGTGGCGTAGGATGAAACGAATGGCCTTCGGATGGTGATAGGCAATCAGAGCAGGCCTGTGAGGATGAAAAGAAAGACAAAGTTTAGAGTGTGATTGATTCAGGCAAGGTGGCTGTTTGGATTCATGCAAGAGAGGGTTGGTTTGAGGTGGTGCGGATACGGGGGTAGGAGGGGTTCAACCAGGCGCTTCCAAGGATCAGATCCAGGGAATTGTGGCGAGGAAATTCAGCAGCGCGTTGATATGAAGAGATACTCACAGGTAAGATGAGAGTGATCGTCGTAGGAGGTGACGCTGAGGGTAGGATGATGTCCGATTCAAGTGCCGAACCGAACGGATTCGAGCCGTCAGGAATCCCCGGTTGTTTTGCTGCTAACTCACACACACGCTCGCTTTTACTAGTCGTCAAAAGGGTGCTGAGAAAAGGAGATGCATAAGAATGAAAAGAAGAGCCAGCAACAAGGAGTGTTGAGGATTCAAAATCAACGGGACCGAAGGGATCGAGGTGGCTGGAAGAGAGGAAAGAGAGAGAGAGGGTTAGTTTGCGCGGCTCCGGGAAAAGGCGAGGAACCAAAGAAACCACGCGGGGCTCCAGGAGAAGGAGAAAAACATTCACTAACCAGGATAGACTCACACCGGAACTAATGCAGGTCGAAAAGGAAAAGAAAAGAAAAGAAATAAAGAAAGAAGTGAGGATGGAAAGTAATTCAAGGGGAGGGTGGAAGGAGAAGAAGAGAGAGAGACTGGAGATGTTGGGGAGCTGGCCGGATGTCAGGGAGTTTGCTGTGGTTGGTGGAGTGCCCTCTTCAGCTTCAAAAATTCCACCTGAGTTTTTATCAACTGATGTAGAATGAGAGTCTACAGGCATTGATCATAGGCATTGATGATTCTATTTCTATGCTTTGTTGACATCTCTTTCCCTCTCTTCCTCTATAGTTTCTAGTTTGTTTCTACATTATCCGCAAGGTTCGTTCGGGAATCGGCAGTGCTACCGGTGGATAAACACAGCCCCATCGATGTCATAGACCCAACGAGTCCTCTGCTTGGAACCCTAGCGACAGAGAGGAGAGATATTGAGGTAGAGACAAGAGATATATATAGGGAAAAGATGCCCTGCTGGAGAGGACCCTCGGCATTCCGACCAACACGCAGCACCCGGTGGACACTCGGAGGAAAGCCCTATCTGTCATGGAGAGACAAGCGCGTCCAATTTTGAGCATTCAGTCTTTGACGTGGAAACAAAGCAAAGGCCCCGCATTCCCAGTGCGTCATGCCTCATGATGTCTGAAGTCAAGGAAAATTGCAGTGCAATCCCATGATATGTACGGAGTACGGAGTGTGTCTGGGAGGAGCGTGATGCAATTGCTCATGCAAGGGACCTGACTGGTCGACCTGATCCGAAACCGCGGAGGATACTGTTTTTGAGGAGTAGCGCGCAAGGGATGGGTCAGGTACGTGTCCTTGCCCTAGTGTTTACTGGGACGTGGAAAATGGGTGTCAACCGGAAACCGGAGTTGGATTGTCCGGAGCAACAAGCTATTGTCATGGCAGTGGTTAACGCCGGCCTCCAGGTCTGTCGAGACAGAGAAGATGTGATCAACCTGAATTGGCTTTGGGGGAGCTTGGGCTGTCTCAACTCTCGGAGAGAGTCCGGCGGATACGGAAGGGCCGGGGCTGAATGCCACTCACATGGAGAACCCGGGTACTCGAGGATAGTAGGCTGTGGGGTAAGTAAATGATGTCTGTTATGAATGTGAGTGTAGAAAGTATACGGAGTAGAGTTGAGAGTAGGAAGCTGGAAGCAGGAGTCATCACAGTTAGAGCACAAGGTAGATGAAGTCGGCCTGAGGCATAAGATGTGGCTGGAGTGTGGCTGGAGTGTGGCTGACCAGATCGCGCCTGCCGCGAATGCTCAACTCCGCAGATCATCGCGTACCTTCCTCTACTTACACACTCCCTCGCTCTTTCCGACAAAAATCGTTTTTTTTTGGTGACGACCTCTGACTTTTCGAACGGGGTCAACTCCCAATGCCCGTCAAATTCTGACCCCATCCTCACCTACACCAACTCAGTCAACCACTCAAACCATGACGGACATACTAGAGGAAGACCCCTCGTCGGGTCTTCTGTCCTCTTCCGAGGAAGATGAGGAGATCGAAGAACAGCATGAACAAATTGTCGAGTCTCCAGTCTCGGGCCGTGCGAAACGAAGTACTGCTGGCCAGCACATGTCCGCCCTGATCGATGCCGCCGCCGATGACGACCTCACCCTGCTATTCGAGGAAGTGGAGGATGACAACGAATTCGCAATGGATGCGGACGCCGCAGAGGAAGATGATATGGGTCTGGAATCCGACGACGATGACGAGGATGACCAAGGGCCCAATGCCAACAACGACTACGAAGGTGAAAAGCAACTACAGAAGGACGAGCGCAAGAAGCGTCGAGCGCAGAATGACCTCCGATTTCAAACCCTGCGCAAACGAGTCAAGATCGATCCTATGGCTGTTTCAACACCATCTGCCCTACCCCCGCCTCGCCCTAAGAAGAAATCAGAACGAATCTCCTGGATCCCGACCGTCGAAGATGGCCCCGTACGATCCTCCTCTCGCCGACAAACTATGGTCAACAAAGAGATGACACATGCGCGCTTGAAGGATAGCCAGGAAAAGCGTATCCGGATCATCGCGACAATGAAAGAGGCTGAGAAACGGAAGGCACATTTGAAACCGAAAGAAATGACACAGGAAGACCACCTCGCGGAGGCCGCAAGGATAGAGCGATTGAATAGCAAGAGTGTCAGTCGCTGGGAGAAAACCGAGCGGAGAAAGGCAGAGGAACGGCGGGCACGGATCGAGGCCTTGCAAAATCGCCGCCTCGAGGGGCCTGTTATGTCCTACTGGAGTGGTCTAGCTACCTGGGTAGATGGCCGGCTGACACGAGTGGGCAAGGTCGATGTCAAGGCCAAGCCAGAGAAGGAGGAGAAGAAGAAGACAAAGAAGGAGAAGGAAGACAAACCTCCTGTTGAACCGCAAGCTGCCCAGGGTGCAGCTACGCAACCAGCGCCCACAACCACACAGCCTGAAGGCGTTTCTACCACAGCGCCATCTACATCATCAATACAGCCTACACAACCAGCTGCAGACTCGACCACACAATCTGGAAACACCTCTGCTCTGGCGCAACTCCCAGCGGAAGTGCCAGCGCAAGCTGCGGATGCGATTATACCACCCGAAAAAACACCTGCCCCGGCAACTGCGGCAGAGCCCATATCTATCATACCTACTCAGGAACCGCCCAAAGAAGGCCAAAGCCCAGAGAGGAGCCCAAATGTCGAAGAATCAAAGCCAGATCAACCAGTAGCAGACACCTTCGATAAGGTGATCAAGCCTACCGAATCAGAAAGCACAGGAGCACCGAAATTGCCTGAGAAGCAGCCAGTATCAATCGTCGAAAACCCTGCATCGCGTGACTCTACTTCCCCAGGCAAAGCGTCGCCGACGGCACCTCCCGCGGAGTCATTAAATGAGGTCCAAGCCATGGACATCGACCAACCCGCGACACCAGCCGATGGCCCCAAGGCTGAAGCGCCGTCACAAGGGCAAGCAAACGTACCTGCGGCAGGCAGTGATACCCAAGTGGCTCCAGGGGATGTGCCTCAGGTCAGCACCGAAACAACCGCTATGAAACTCCCCTCCGACCACGTTACAGATTCTGCATCTGCGAACCCTTCATTGGACTCTAAGGCCCCTTTGGCGTCCTCCCCCGATGCGGCCCCGCTGCATACCACGCCACCCGTTGTGCCCGCAATGCAGGTCGATCCCAACCATCAATCACAAGGCGAATCGCCCACTGTGATAGAGGGGCCTGCGCAGCCAGAGCACCCGCCACCCCCGCCAGTTATCGAATACACGGGCCGTAATCTGACCATTCTGGAGAATTTCGACGATCGCACGGCGCACAGCAAGAAGTTTAGCATGTACTTCAATGCCAAGAAGCCTCCGCGCTTGACCAGTAAGTTGCCTTGCCCTCCCCCTTGCCCATTGCTTGTGTAGCCTGTGTAAATCACTCGCATTCGTGATCTAGCTAACTGACATCGCAACTTAACTAGAAATCTCATCATCGCTATGTGTCATCACCTCATTGCCATCACGATATCGTGATCCAGAAACATCCCTCCCTTATGCGAATTCCTACGCCTATGGGCAAATCCGCAAGATGCTGTCGCAAGGGTACATCTGGAGCTCGATGCTGGGATGCTTTGTCGGAGCTGCCGAGACAGCCGCCCGGGGCGTGCCTGAGCGATTTGTCGGCAAACCAATCAGTGGTGTGACTGTCAAGCAGGAGGAAGTCAAGGAGAAAGAGAAGGAGAAAGATACGGACCTCGAATCAAAAGAGGAGGCCAAATCGAAGCCCGATAGTGCCAACCCTGCAGGTGCCAGTGCTGCCGAACCGATGGCAGTGGATGCATAGACGGACCGGGCTGGATGGGAAACCAATGTACAACACCATAATGTGATAAGTAATAGATCTCGAAATATACCCCCCAACACATCACATCACAACACAACAACATGCCTAAATGGCTCAAGTCCAAACATCATCGACCTGAAGATAAACCCACATGATGTCAGCCGGCCGAAGCCCACCCGCGGTTTGCAGGCGGAAGCGGGCGGGAGTCTATTGACAACCCTAACAATGGACGTTGTGAAAAGTTTGATTTGTTTTCTTTGCGCTTGAGGTAATCACTCGTCTGACGTGAGGCTATTCTCATTGACAGAGTTTTCTCCTACTCCGCAGGAAGATCATTGTTGGCTACTGTACAGTGCTGTGGTGATGCTCGCATTCCTTTCCCGCCTGCTCCACACGATCTACGCTGGCAGCTTGGCGGATCGTCAGGGAGTGTGATGGAGTTGCGGAGCTTCCTACAGTACAAGTCGAAAATAAAAATTGAAAATTGAAAAAAAAAAAAAATTCATCAATTCTTCGCCATCGGCCAATGATCCACATAATTCACCTGACGTACTCCGTGACGGAGTGTAGTGTACCCCATCGACCCGAAACGGATCAACCGTAGATCATGGACAGGTGCCTAGACAGCTGGAGATTCTAGACCAGGTGAAAAATAGAACAGAACTAGATTCGATCATGATCAAAACAATAAATAGTAATATAACAATTGTTTGAGAATTTCTATTCTATCAATCGGAATCAAGGATCAAGTCAAGACTACGTCAGTTGCCAGGTACATCATACGCAGACCAGCCTATTACATAGTTAGTACTACTTACAGACTTAACTCGTGGCCTCCGGGGCCGGACACTAGTCTATGCACTAAGTACTGTAGATTTCACCAAGAATCATTGCCGATTCTACTACTAGTAGTCTCCTCGCCAGCCCTGCAAGGAAGTAGAGTAAAGGTAAAGAAACTTGAAAACTAGCGCGCTAGCCCAGGTCCCCACCATCCCACCTTGCCATTGTTCAGCACAGGCCTAGCCTCTAGAGGGGCACGCCATGTTGGTTAAGGGCCCAGGCATTGTCTTCCGCACGGTCGTCACCCCGTCGACGTATGATGGAACTCGACGTGTCAAGGAGGTGTCACGGCGGTGGAGAGAGGGGCCCCACCGAAGTCGTGCTGAGGGGGTTCGAGAACGAACGACTCCGGCTTGGCTTGGCTGGTCTGGTCAGGTCTTTGTCCTGGCGTCATTTTTAAAAATATTCGGTGGGGGTACGGAGTAAGTATGGACTACGTATGGAGTACAGATGGGTAGATACTAGTCAGTACTAGGAGTATGCTTATGTGGTAAGTACGGGATAGTACGGAGTACTGTAGATAGCACGGAGTAACTAATAACCACTACTAGGAGTAATTAACTCACGTTAGTAATACCTGTACACATCCCAGCTAGCACGCAAGATCGACCGAGATAAAGTTCGGAATCGAAGCACGTAAAGAGTGCAGAATTGAATCTGAGCGCGTCGGGCGGGCACGGGGGTCCTCGGGCCCTAATTCGGGTGCTGATAGGTAATGGAGTACACTTTAGTACTTTAGTATCGGAGTAGGAGTACCTCGATACTTACTAGCCAGATGGAATGAATGTGAATGTGAATGTAAATAGTGACAATGGATGAGATTTTTACTCTCCTCTCCTCAAGAGGCAAATAGTTACCCTTTGGGGAAGACCTAATTATGGAAATAGGTCCAGAGTGTAACTGTGTGAGTCAGGGTTGCGCGTCCGGATAAAAAGAGTGGGAAGAGTGGGAAGAAAAGTGGGCAAGTGGAGAGGAGTGACTGGAGAGTCTAGACTCCAAGATCCGCGTTAGGACATGGGAACGTGTGTTGCTTCCCCCCCAAGGTTCCTTTTGTTCGGATTCTTATTTATTCTCTTCATCCCCATTCCCCTTCCAACTATATCTCAAACAATCTCTACCACCTTGACTATCCCACGCTAGAGCATCTTTATCTGAGTTTCTTTCCCCAAGCTTCTCCCTAGATCACTGGTATGTTCCACCTGTTCCACCCTACCCTGCCTTAAGGTAGTTCCTAGTGGCTGCAAGCCATCCTTATCTCTAAAGATAGGGTACTTGCCAGGGTCCTAGCCCGATTCCAATCATGACACATGCTGACCGGTCCCAATCCCAGGCTTATCTGCTCTCTCCTGCACGACTGACGACCTCGGGGTACATATCATATCCCTTCGTTCAGGAATTATTTCAATTTCCTGCTTGGATTTTCTTTTGTTCAAAATCAAGCACGTCAAGCATACCATCCACGGATTCCAGCATTCGTCATTAAATCCCTCGTGCTCGTGCTAGTCTTGTGCTCCACTTGCAGCAAATCACCCCATCCGGCCCATCGGGGAACCACTTTCAAAGGACCACATCGATCACCTAAGATAAGATAGTCAACGAGGCATTTATTCGATTCTTGAGCTGAGCTCCTTTTTTCGGCTTCACCGCCATCATGACTCAACCTCATCGTCGCTCTCCTTCTTCCACCCATCCTTCTAAATCCAAGTCTTCTCGTCCTGTCCTACATCGTCGAGGTACCTCCGCTATCAACCTCTCCATCTCCAAGCTTGGCTCGGGCTCTACGAACTCACACTCTCGCTCCAACTCTCGGGGTAAAGACGAGGAGACCGAATTCGATATGGCCAGCTTTCTGAACTTCTGGTAAGACATTGGTTTTTTTTTCTTTTTTTCCTGTTTTTCTTTATCTGAATTTGCCTCATTCCTTCCACCTCCCACATTTCCTTATCTCTGCTCTGCAGGGACCACCCTTACATGCCACCATCCGGGAGGCTGTGTCTACCCTATCTTAACCTAGTCTATATTTATCTTCCTGGCTTTACCGCTATATCGACATGGATCTCATCTCATCTATAAAGAACCCTGCTAACACCCTTTTCCAGTGCCATGTGCGAAAGACAAATCACAGTTCCCAACAACACCCTCCTATACTGCAGTGAAGGGTATGTACACCACCCTATACTTCTAGTACTCGTTACTACTAGTTATATCCCCACCTATACATACATATATACTAATATCACACAGCTGCCGCCGCAAAGACTCCTGCAAACCCCTCTCGGCCTCAATGCCCTCAATGCCCATGGCAACAACCCCATCAACCCCACCCGCCTCACCACCACTCTGCCCCCGAACAATCGTCGCCCCAATGACTCCAACCCGAGTCCAAGACATCCCCTTCTCAAGGATACCAACCCAAACTCCTACAACAACCAGCTCAGATCTCGACCCCACAGAATGGAAGCCCGTAATAAACGCCCCATTCACTTCAACCTCAACCCCAACCCCAACAACCTCAACCGCCTGGTCCTACCTCTCCTCATTCCATGGCCCCGACCACCCCGCCCCATCCCGCCGCTCTATGACCCCCCCGCAACCGTGACAGCGTCACAAGTCTGCCTGGCCTCGGCCTCGCCAGCAGCGCCGCACCATCCCTCTCCTCTTCAGTCTCCAGCTCCGCCTCAGATTATCTGGGCAGCTACGAGCACCGACCCCTTCCACCACGCCACAACCCCTCCTTCTCGGGCACATGCCCCAAGGGCGTGCAACTCGTTGTTCCGCACGTGAGCTCTGCCCCCGACGTCAGAGTCGAACTGGTCGATGGTGACAGCGACAGCGGCTCCATCTTTCCGGCCAGTAGCTCTGTTTGGGAAGACGAGGTTAAGAAGGGACGGTCCGGGGCTATTTCTATCGCGCGCGGGTCTGCTGCGCGGACCTGAGATGACTTGATTGTTATGTTTCAAGCGAGGTTGCGGGCGCGGTTTTGTTTGCAAAATCCATTGTTTTTCTTTTTTTCTACTTTTCTTTTCACCTCCGAGCGGTGGGGTATGATGATGATTGCCAGACTAGTTTTAGTTTGGATGGATGGAATTGGAATTGGTATTCCTTTTCTTTTCGGAAAATCTGGCTAGATAGACCTTTTAATGAGAATGCATGTGTGCTGGGTCACTCAATTACTTCCAATGATTACTTTCCCAAGGGTTCTTTCTTTATAATACCGTTTTCCATTAGGGTGTATATTTTATCGTTAATTCTGTTATATAATGCTGTCGAAGTTGATACATCACAATGAGCATTTCATTCCTTCAACTTTCTTCATCCAGCCATTATATGAACTAGAGGTACACGGGCATATCTTATGGTATCGTTCCCGCCTCTGCGGCAGCCTTCACCCAGGTCTCTCTCTCTTGTAATTCCCTAAACCAGTTGTCCACGTTCGGATACTTTTCAAACACCTCCTTCCATTTACCAGCCTTCAAAGCCGCTCCATTAGGCAAGTGAAAGAGGTCAGCCAAAGTCAATTCGTCTCCAGCAAGATATTTCTGTTTGCCCAAAATACTTTCATAAATAGCGAGGACTGTATCAAGGTCCTTTTCGGCTTGTACGATCCTTGCTTCGTCAGGGAGACCTAGTCCTTTCTTTCTGTAGTCAATGATTAGTTTATGCATCAAGGGAACAGCAAACAAAGAATATTTACGGTCTGATAACAAGTTCAGTCCCTATAGTCTCGGCAGCGGCAGCGAAATAGCTTTGTTCAATAGAGCAAGCTTGTTCAAAGCGTCCATAGGCCTCATCATCCCCCTCCGGAATGAGTTTCTTCCCAGAAGCGTATTTTCTATCCAGATATCCAGTCAGCGTTTGTCCTGTCTTTATTTACCGGTGGCCTTGGACTTGCCTGGCAAGATACTTGCAAATAGCCCTGCTTTCAAATATCAAAAAACCATCATCTTCAAGCACAGGCACCTTGCCAAATGGCTGTAGCTTCAGGTAGCTTTCGCTCTTCTGGTCACCCTTTGCTATGTCGATGAAGATGAGTTCGTATGGTAATTCCTTCTCTAGAATTGTGACCAAGACACGCGAAGTGGACATGGCAGATCCATAGAGTTTGAGGACCATCTTGCGGATGGAGTGGTTATCGAGGGAAGTATTATTCTAGAAATCTAACGGGATGTGACATGTAAAGGATCACATTCTGCTACCTTAAGGTAGTTATAAGGCAAGGCTCAGCGTACAACGTAAGCTACCCCGCTTTCTACTCCATTCATCTACATGCTTTAATTCAAGAAGAAATTTCATCAAAATAAGCTCTTGCATAATAATAAAGACAGCCTGAGCATTTCTGTACAACGCTCCCTAACAGCACACACTGTCAAATTTTCGGCTTATACGCCGACCCCTCAACCTGCTTGATACCATTTGCTCGACACAACCACGACACGCGATCCTTCGTATACTGCTCAACCCTAGGCTTCAATCTAGTCTCATGTAAATTAAAATCATCCACAGTACCCAAACGCAAAATCATACTTCCCGGGTACGCCTCTCCAACGCGATACATCAGCGAGCCACACACCGAGCAAAAGAAATTCGCCATAGCTTTACCAGAGTCGATGGTCTTTGACTGGCTGAATTCAGTCAGGAGGTCGCGACCTCGTACGTGCTCAAGATGAGCGTCCGAGATGATAAAATTTGATGCGAACATTGATGCTGTGATTTTGCGGCAGTCTGTGCAGTGGCAGACGAATGTATCGATTAGTCCGGGGCCTTGGGTTGGCTGGTAGACGTTAGTATACCGATACAGAAGTGGGAATAGGATCGCGCGGGATTCCGAGGAAATCTTTGGCTTGAAGTCTGCAAATTACTCACGAAAGCTAGTTGTACGGCTCCACAGTAGCATGTAGCTGTAGCCTTGTCGCTGTTTGACCAGCCATCGTCTGCGCCGCCTGATAATGGGATATAAGACTTGGTTTTATCTGCAGGTGGGGCCATGCCGTGTGGTTCGAATTCAGTCGATATGCGGGTGATACTTGGACTTGGAGGAACACTCCTTGGTTGTCAGACGCTGGGAACTTGAATATGGGTGGTCACGGTAGCTTGAGATATAACTACTATATACCATGAATCGGAATCATGAGTTCCCCGCGTATTACCAAGCAGAAGACCTCGGGGACATTATACCCTCGGTACGGATAGATAGAGAGGAGGCTACCCGCTAGGTACATTCGTTGACCAATTAAGAGAGACGAGAATAACCTTAATTCAAAAGAGATAAATTGAAGCCAACGCCAAAAAGAAACAAGCATTTTTGAGAGACGAAGTTAACTCCCGAGATCCTATATATATATTAATCAACTGGCAGGATGCCTAGGTACCTAGGTAAGCATCAGCCCTGGGGGTTTACGTCTCCAAGTCCCCGCTACAGGCGCCTACTATATCCCCGCGTCCTTACATGATTATCTTATTTGTTCCAAGTCAAGTCTGTATTACATAAATTTTCGGAAAAAGGATATAAATCTTATAATAAAGCACAAAAAGTCCACACCCAAGAAATAACAAGTAGAAAGCAAAGGATATGAAGCCCAACACCAAAAGCCCATTGTCCCGAAAGAAGATAAAATCAAGCCTAAAACCAAATAGCTTAGATAACCAAGACTGCTGGAGTCACCTTTAAGCTAACAGAATAGCCTAGAAGTCCTCATTGGGAGAGAAGCAGCAAGAATAGCAGCCCTCAGACTGGAGAACGGCGTCACTCTGATGAGAGGAAACAATTAGCAAGCCATTTCGTTTTCGAACAGAAACAACGTCAGGGGGGAATATACTCACATAAGGTGGTTGACACTGCGCTTCCTCGGGGCTGGCAAAGCATTGACCAAGACAGAACGAATTACCCTTATCAGCGCCAAACTTATCATGCACCTGCACGGGAGCAACATTGGTACCCGGGGCCATTGGGTCGATGGGGGCAATGTCACTCTGTCTGCCAGCATTGGCCATATCATCGTCCGACTCCGGGGCCGCATTCAAAGGCTCCGGGGCCTCGGCGGAGGGAGGAACGCCCATACCACCGGCTGGAACACCGATGTGTTGATCCGGAGCAACGGCGGGCCCGTGGCCAGCTGGGTTGGGACTAGCAGAGGGGGTAGGAGCCTGGTGCAGGTGCAGACCGTGGCTGGGGCGGTGGGTTGGTGTTGCGCTGGCCATGAGGTAGTGAGAGTTGGAAGAGGGGGGTCGCATGGTGGTGGTGGACATGAGCGTAGCCGTGGCTCTGGCTAGGGGCTGCAGAGTCAGAGGCAAACATGCCCGAGGCCCAGGGGAAGCTTGAAGCCATGGGCTTGATAGACTGTTTGACCATTGATATCATAGTTGATGGAGTTGCCGTAGGCCGGGGGTTGCTTGGTGTTGGTTGAGGTTGTTGTTGTCGATTTGGTGCCATTGGCCTGGCTCTTCGAGGCCGTAGGCGTGTGCGACTTCTGGCACGAAGGACTGCACGAATGATGCGCTTGCTCCAGCTGCTAGCAGGGTGAGGACGGTGAAGTGCATTTTGGTGGTTTGGCGTTAAGTCCTGGGCGTCGTGGTCGTTGGCGTGGGTGGCGTTGGGTTGTCGTGGAAGGAGAAAGAAAAGGCGTGCTGGCTTGTTTAACATCGCAATACCTCTCTTTCTTTCTCAAGGGGTGATTCCTTGTTTTGGTGGTGTGGTTGCATTTTTGGGCCGCGCTGGAATGTGCACTTCACCAGTATACTTGCCCTCAAATTTTGTATGTCGATTAGCAACTTCATAAATCTTCGGATGTCGTATGTAACGAATGGCTGTTTGATTCAAATCAGATGGGACCCATCGGTATCTATAGACTTCAGTCAAATTTTGGCTTGGAAATCAAGGTGGATGTCACGATTGCTGGTTAGGGCTCAGGCATGCTCACAATAAAGCGACGCGGCGAATTCCCCCTACATACCACGCAGGACTGACAAGCTCAGCCCGAAGCTAGTCTAATCGAATCAACAAAATAGAAAGTGCATCAGATCCATACATCGTTCAGACCATATCTATAGAATAAAATCAAATTACAAGAAAAATAGAATCCCGATTCCAAGCTCATACTCATCACCAACTCTTCCTCGTCTTACTCCACATCTTAACAAAATCAACCTTCTCCTTAACTCCCAGGCCCACGCGTTTAACCCTCCCAAGTCGAGCCAAAGACTCACCGACCTGATCCAGCAACGCGTTATCCGCATAACTAATCTCACCATCAACCTGATCTAGTGTATCGAGGTAATTAGTTTCAAAGGTCGATTTGCGGGTCGATCGTGCAGGGGGCAGATCCATAGCACTGGCTCCACGCTGCACCGCTTCCGCAATACGAACACGAATACAGTGCGTCGGCTTGCTCAGCAATGTCCAAATGAAACTGACATAGCTTCCAGGAAGCGGAGTCACGACATCGACGGGTGTGTAGCGCAGGCTGACGGGGAAGATCTTTGTTTTCGACGGTACGCCGAGGAGAGACTGGCTCAGAGGCAAAATGCCGCGGCTGTTGGTGGTTGTACACTCTGGGAAAATTACAATGGGCCGGTTGGGGTATTTCGATACGAGGGATGAGACCTCAACGAGAGTTGTTCCGGTAGCCGGGCGGATGGAGGGTTGTGCGAAGGCACGGAGGATAGCTTGTAAGAGGGAGATATGCTCTACTTGCTTGGTGTTTGGGTAGGAGGCTGTGAAGATTGGGTCGAAGATTGCGGCAAGGTAGACTGCGTCAATGGGGGATGTAAAGGATGAGGCGATTACTGAGCCGGGTTGTGGGAGGCGAGCTTGTTGGTGTTTGGAGAGGGAGCTGAAAGTAGAAAAAAAGATCGAGTTTAGCTGGGTCCAAATTTTGCACACATTAAACACAAGATAAGAATAGGATAAACGAACCCTTTTCGCACTCCATCTACTTGTAGGTCAATCCACCATATACTCGGCACACCGAGGATGCACCACAGTGCGGCCTTTTTGCCCAGTGACCCGATGGGCAGCCATTGTAGAATTAGGAAGTAGGCGACGGTGACAAAGATGAACAGCGGTAGCCTGAAGCAAAAGAGGAAGATGCGGAGTGGGGCCTGCAGACCAAGAGGCTCTGAGGGGATGGGGAGAAAAGGCGCAATGCCGGAGCCTGTGCTTTTGTTAGAGGGGGTGGCCTCGAGAGATGAGATGCATAAGAACAGGGACTAACCTCGATCTCGAAACTGCGAGAACTTCTCCATCGTGTTTGTAACCTTCCAAGGTTTGAAACAAACAGAAACAGTGGGGGTGAGCACTGCCGGTGGTCAATCAAGCTGACAGAAGATAAATGGTGAGGTCGAGGAACTTCCCCGGCCTTCACATGCGAATATCACGTGAGTCTTATCATGATGTAGAAATAGCCTAAATAAGATAGCTGACTAATACAGTAATCAGCTTAGGGCGAACCAAACGGGGACGATCCATGGATCAGTCAGCATGCTAATGCATACCTAGGTATGTAAAATCGATGAAATACAATGGACGTAATACCTACTGATTAGTGCCCTGCCAGCCCTTGAGTGGAACTTCTGGACTGAGAACTTCTTGGAATGCAATTTGAATATATTTAGACCCGAAACTCCCTTAGTGCAGGTCTATGCCAGACATATGAATATATAGTATACTGTACAAGTCGATGAGAGCATCCATCACGATCGTGATCTATATCTACCCCCCACCTACTCCTCATCTTCAAAATCGCCAACAACAAAGTCCTCCCTCGGCGCCGGAGGAAGACGAAAGACCCAGATAGCCGCCGCAACCATGCAAAACAACGAACTAGTTACCATCCATGCGAGTCCGATCCAGAACCCACCAAGCCTTAACCCAAGCTGGAAGACCGCCGTAATAGTCAAGCTAGCTACCACATTACCAACCGACTGCAGGATCTCAATCACCGTGTACAGTCTGGCAGTCTGGTCCCGATCAACTAGCGTGGTGATGATTGATCGCGTGAGGAAGACGAAGCCAGACCCCGAGGCTTGGAGCATCATGCTCGGGATCAAAGTGCCGATGGCGGGAGAGAGTCCGATGCCCAGTGTTCCCAGCGTGAAGCAGAGGATACTAGCCCGGGCTAGGGAGAGGTCCTTCTGTGTGGACGAGTGGCGGGCGTTGAGGTAGTGCTTCTTCAGATAAGGGAGGCCCCAGAGGAAGACTGGGATGGTGACTGTTGGTCGGAATGCGACGAGGAGGTTCGACTCCGCTATTGACCAATGATAGCGGGTGGAGATATATTGGGTGAGGAACCAGGAGGAGCCGCGACTGAGGCGGTAGATTAGAAACACCGATAGGAGCAGGAGGACCGGTTTATGGTCGAGGATGAAGAGATACGGCCGGACGTAGAAGCGGATGTTTGTCCGGCATCTGTCCCACCAGGATCGGACCCGTGAGCTTGTTTTCGGGTAGCTCCATGACATGTGCGCGTCCATTGAGGGACGGGTGTTCATTTCGCTATCCGTGTCGTTGGGGTCGGTGTACTGACGTTTCGGTTCGGCCTCGTCGTCAAACTCAGAGAGCTCCACGTGGACGGGGTCGTCCTTGACGAAGGCATGTTTCGTCTCTGGGAGGAGAAACGTCATCAATAATCCGAGGAAGATGATGATAAAGCCGATGAATAGCGGGATCCAGGGATTCAGCGCCATAAGCCACGAACTAGCAGCCGTGGAAACAAAGTCCGCGCCCATCGAAACAATGCCGAATTGGAAGAACATGGCGGCTCTGTTGTAGTGTTACTATTATTAGCATAGTGTTTATTATACCCCCCTCCGGCTCCGGGTATATCTATCGCGAACAATTCATACCTCTCCGACTCCGTGGTAACATCCGCCATCATAGTCCAAATGATGGCAAATGCCACAACGGGACCACCACCAATCAACCACGCCAAGGAAGACAGCCAGATCGCCCGCAAGGGGAAGATATCCGAGAACCACATCACCGCCACAGTAATGATGGAATTAATCGCGAAGCCCGGAAGACCCAGGGCCAGGGTAGATTTGCGCCCGCGCCGGTCCGCCAGCAGACCGTAAGGAAAGGCCATGGCCGCGCCTGAAGATCAACGCTCACGTCAGATGGATCCAGACAAGGGATGGAGATAAGCACGGGGGAACATAAACATACTCAACAGGCCATCGAAAAACATATGGTAGCCCTTCACAGCGGCCAATTCCGACTGAACTTCGGGCAATTTGCACTGGTCCTCGGGGATATAGCCATTGGCGCCAATCTTGGAGGGATCGACAACGGCGAAATATTGTCGACAGGCGATAGATTCCAGAATGCGGACCATAGGGCCCTCTAGGAATGCGAAGCCGATATCTACGGCGAGGATCATCAGGAAGAGGGTCAGCTTCAGCCGGAAGCCGATCTTTTTCGCAGCGGCGGCGGAGTCGGCATTGTTCTGGTGGAGGGACTTTGACTCGGTAGGAGTGTTGGTATCGTCGGAGGTGTTTTCGGGGAGGAATGGGGCATCTTCGCGGGAGGAGCGGGAGTATTCAGGGGCGGAGGCCATGGTGGCCGGTCATGCCGTGGTGATATATATAAGGTCTATAATTATAAGGAGGACGATAGTGAGTGTTCCAAGGGTCCAAGGGTTCAAGTAAAATTAGGAGAAAGGAAAAGAAATCATGGCGTAAGGGAGTAAAGGTCAAGTTGTCCAGTTGCACGCCAATCGTCGCAAGCGGAATCGTCACGCAGTCTTGGCGGATCGCCCCACTGTAGGGCCTACTTTACTACTAGTAGTAGTATTCCAATAAGTGAATATTAGTGATTATTAGTGCAGATAGACATATAGGTTCTAATAGACTAGTATAGTACCATCCTGATACTGATATCCCGATTATTCCTAGTTCCTGTTGACACATGCCTCAGGCTCTAAGATCGGCCTATATCGACCTTCATATAGATCATCTTCATCATCCACATCTCCCTATAAATATTACTACAATTAATAGTACTTTTAGTAGCGTAGTGTACTAACATAGTGTACTACTAGTAGTGCTGGTACTAGTACTGGAATACTCCGAAACAGTGCTACCCAGTACCAGAGGGTCTATTGGTGGGCTTGAGTGAGGAAGGTGCGGGTTGATGCCGGGTAGCTCTTTCCTCTTAAGTATTAAGGTTATCCCAAACTCTAACTTCACCTTCGCCTTCCATGGCTCTTCCGCGATGTATGCCCATGTGTACGGGATTCCTTTTCTGTAAAGTAACTTGGAACTAGTACCTTTCTATTTCCCTCTGCCCACTGGCAAAGACATGCAACTATACACAGTAGATACATCGAGTAACTATACACAGAAAATACACTATTGGTATCCCGCTTCCTCAAATAGACTTCCCCGCGCCTGTACAACCGCCGAAAGCTCCAGCAGAAACTCGTACAGAATGACCACGTTAGTCAGAACGTGGCCCAAGGTCGCACTCGGCGATTCCGTCTCTATTTCCTCCGCGCTGGCCGTCGCCGCATCGCCATCCTCACTAGGTCTGGCTCCGGCGAGTTCCGCGTCTGCAGGGGTTGACCCTGTTGTTACGGGGGGAAACGGCGTGGCAAGGCGTCGACGTAGGGCCTCGGCTGCTACTGCCCGGGACGTTGATGACCCGCGAGATTCATCTGGACGGGCAATGGACTCTCCCTGTATCGCCATAGCGCTGGGATTCATAGCAGGTGAACCAATATTGTTCGGGGAACGACCCCGAGAGCCGGGCAAGGACGACTCCGGGGATCCGGGAACGACGGGCGCGAGCGATCTGCCAATACCGATCCCGGGCCTGGCGGTTCGGAGGTCTCGCGTGAACGAGCCGGGGGCGTCTGGGGCCGGTCACCTTGGTGGAGAAGTTCCCTTCTGGCAGCGACAAGGACATCGAAATCGGGCAGATCTTTCTGCCACTGTCGTACTTGTTCGACGAGCTTTTGCAGGGCGAGAGTCAACGTAGGCGCGGCGTTCTCCGGCCATGTTGGGACCTGGTATGCTTGGCGCACTTGGTCGATTGTGGAGGTGGACTCTGAAGTGGATTTGTTGTAACAGGCTGGGTCAACTAGTACCCAGCCATCCAAAGAGAATAAATGTGAAGATGCCAAACTCATAAATACTCCTGTCAAGGCAAGATTGACAATCACGCTGTTTGTGAAAAATGTATCCAGGCATGTGAGTAGACCTTGCACGATGGGGTCATCCTGTTGGAGCTGTTGCGGGAGGGGAACTACTTTCTCGGCTTCCTCATCAGATACAGGGAGACAGAGCCGCGATTCAAGAACCCACGTCGCATCCGCCACGTAGTTATCGTAGGACTCGTCCAGGGATGATTCTGTGAAAATTGATGTAGCGAGACCGAGAAGCTGCTCCAACTCTGCGTTAAAAGCACCGATCGACCGCTGCCGTGCTGGTTGACTGGGGATGGTATGGATGAGAGATCGTGCGAAGGGGTGGTGGCGTTGGAGGACAACATTTAACAGGCGGAGAGTGGCGAGTACAGTCTGACGATTAGCAGATTGTAACCCAAGCAAGGCCAAATCACGCAAGTTGAATAGAGACGGGGAAGGCTGAGCCGCCTCGGACGACAATGCGGCCAGCACATTGAGCGATTTCCGACGACTGGCTGACATATCCATCTGTTGTTCAGGTGGCGGGGAGGAAGCTAGCAAGAAATGCAAGATTCTGTGAACCAGCTCGCCCTGGTCGACTGAATCAAGAATCCGACAGAGATAAGTCAGAACCGCAGCTGTCGAGCCGCCAGCTACATCGGATGACTCTAGTAACGAAGGGTATCTGAGGTTGTTAGCAACGGTCAACATGGCTTCAATCGGGAGAAATTTACAATAATTGTTCAAGGAATAGGACCTGGAAGTGATCCAAGAGGGTGTCATTGACTTCAGCTGACTTGCAATGGTCAATGGTGTCCTGCCAGAATAGCAGATAGGACATGAATGTGTCCATTGCTTCATTGAGTGTGGGTTGGAGGGCAGTCTCCTCCTTCGCATGGTCGGATAGAGCAACTACGCGAGGCACATCGTCGTCGGTTGGGATGTATTCAAGGCTGGAGGATATTAGTTCCGGCTGTGGTTTTCAATGTTTTGATTCATTGAATGTTTGTACTCACCTTCCCAACTGGCTATACAGCGCACCCAAGCCAATAGCCATCAAGGTCGCCAAATCACTTTCAATCAACCATCTCTCAAGACTCTTGGAGCGAGAGGCAGTCTCAATGAGATATAAGAGTCCCGTCCGCGCGAAGTCACCGGCGCTCTTGTCGCTGTGGACGTAGTCGACAAGCATGTAGAAGAGAGGGAACTCATCCTTACGCGTTGCGCCCGCAAACTCCGCACCACTTGGTCCCGTTGACTCCGTATCTGAGCGGACCGGGGTGACGCGTGGTCGGAACCATGTTGATAAGGTCTCGGGCTGGAGACGAATGTTGTTGGCGATGCCGAAGAGGAGCTCGACCAAAAGTGTCTCAGTTTTGTCAGATCTCTTATCGGCCTGACGAACAAGGTCGACCAATGCGCGAGAAAATGCGGTCGAGATGCTCTCCTTTGGTCTTCCCCTTCCCCTTTCACTCTCCTCTTCCGTCTTCAGCACCCCGGCGTGGATTATGTGGTTGAAGAAGATCGCGGCGGATCGGACGAGGTCATCGTCATGGTAGGCGAGCGCGATGAGGGCGACTGTCACGAAGATGCGCGAGGTAGCGGCGGTCTCGACGCAGTTGTGTGGTGACGGACCGCGCGACTCGTCGGTCAGGAGGAAGTTGAGGCGTTCGAGATAGGTGCGCGCGAAAGCGATCGACTCTTCAACGGAGCGGGAGGAATTGGAGTTCCAGAAATGCTACACACGTATTATGTGAGTCAGGGCCGACGCAAGGACACGCGCAGAACATACCTGAAGGGCATTGCAGTCGTGGATAAAGACGGAGTGTCGTTCAAGCTCCGATGGAGGCCAAGGCTTCTTGCCGGCGATGAGCCGAGCCCATTTGGATGAGAACCACTAGAGGAGTGAGTATTAGCGGGTCTTAAGGTGGCATAGATCAGGAATACTCACACTGGACATATTTCTCCGGCATGATCCAACGAGGGGAATCTAGAACTTTGGAGATGAAGAGGGGAGAGGTCGATGGGGGAAGGCTGAGTGGAGCCGCGGTGGACACTCGGGGATCGTGGCTGCGCTACGATAACAGTTTACAAACGCACCACTGAGGGCCACAGTAACTACGGGAATTGTTGGAACTTGAGGTAGTAGATATCATGTGTCCAATGGACAAGTCTTTGCAGGACTCTTGCCTGCCATGAAAATATATTATTCACAGGGAAATACGCTATTCAAAATGAGACCCCAGAACAATCCGAATCCACCCAACGCCGGTTCACAAGATAAAGAAGAAGTTAAATATGCGCCTGTTCCCCACCCATCTAGCATCGTCAATCATTTCCATTGCCACTCCTAATCACTCTCCTCCTTTGGTTTGCGCGGGCCACGCTTCCGGCGACCTTCATTTTGATCGCTGCCTTCGCCATCTTCATGTTTGCGTCCAGCGGGCTGGTCTGGTACTTTGGCAATGATATCTGCCAGGAAATCGAGGACCTCATCCTTAGCAACAGCGTGCTTGAGATGAGATGCGGTGACGCGCTTGGAATTGCGGTCCTTGGCTTCTTGGGCGGCCTTGGTGACCAAAGAGATCATGAAGAGCTCGAGTGCCTTGGCTATAGGAAGAGAAAGGAAATCAAAGTTAGTTTGTGATATTTTTAGAAAGGGATGGTCTTGTGTGTGACTCAACAGAACCGGGCTGCAAGGTTGAGAGGGGTACGTACAAACTGCGATGGGGGTGACCTGCGCGACTTTGCCAACATCCTCATCGGCCTGCATGATGCGCTTGATGCGGGCTACAGGGAACTTGGTCTTGACTTCGATGGGGGCAGCTGGAGGTGCGGGCATAGGCTCCTCCATCTCCATTGGTGGCGCGACAGCCATCACTGGGGGAGCTTCGGTGTAGAGCTGAGGTTCGAGAAGAGGCGCAGGCGCGTCGTCGTGTTGGAGAAGGCGAGAGGACCGACGGGCCATATCGTCAAAGCCGGGTTGAAAGGGCGGCACGTACTGTTGGGGTACGCGACTAGGACCAGAGCCTGAACCTGGACGCTGATAGGCGTTGAAGAAAGGCGAGTCGTCGTAGGAGGCGCGGTGAGTGAGGGGGGAACTAGACGCGTGCGGAGGAGGAATCGGGTTCGGATTAGGATTCGAGGGGAAAGGAGAAGAAAGGTCGGGGGATATAGGTCGATAATTATCCTCTGTCATGCTGGGGCAAAAAAATTAAGCCAAGGTGAAGTGCATAGTAAAGATAGACATGGGGATAACTTGAGGGAAGTTATAGGAAGGTAATTCGCAGATTGGGGGCGATAGGCGGGCGGTCGCGGCTTTTTAAATTCGAAGCACCCGCAAAGGTGGAGCTCCCTTTTTTTTTTTCTTTTTAATTTGATCAAATCAGCTTTTTTTTTGGTTTGGCTTTCATTTTTGACTTTTATCACTCCTCCGTCATTCCTGACTTTTACTTTGTCCTTCTACCTTACACTTACACTTACTCCCCTACACTCCATACTTACATCTACTTCACCCTTTTCCAACACTGTACAATCTAATTGTCTCTTCTTTTTCTCTTTCTTTTTCTTCTTCTTCCATATCCACTCTTTCCCCGTAAATCAGTCGATGACGAGAACTTAGCTCCGGAGGCAGCCAGAAGACACCACGTAGATGGTATCGCTGTAACTGCTGTTGATGGCCAAAATTACTTGATCTAATCCGAGACTACCTAGTATTTACGTTGTTGCCTTGCTACTATGTTATTCTATAATTTTATTAATTTTTTATCCTATTCATTCTACAGTATCATACTTGTCATCTCATCTATTCCATCTATTTACCCCCTTCCACTGTGACTTGACTTCACTCCGACCACTCGTAGATCGGCCGAACTTTTCTCCGGCCAATTTCCATCAGCAGCTCCGACCATCCAACTTTCTCCAACTTTGCACCACTTCACTATCTTCCCGGTTACTCGGTTGCCGTTGTGCGCTCTATCTTTCCCTCACCAGCAATGGCTGCGGCGGACCCGCCGGCTGGTCTCTTGGACATCGCTAGGTTCGTGCGACACTCCCCCGCGCATCTACATGCACATGCGCATCCGTATCCGCATTGGCAACTACAACGAGAACATCTCCGTCTAATCTATCTCCACAGCACTCTTTCCCAGGATGACATTCCTTTCAAGCTGCGATGCGCCATCTGCAACAAGCTGGCGGTGAACGCGTTTCGCCTGCCATGTTGTGACCAGTCTATATGCGAGGCTTGTACGCTGACCCTCCCAAGTCCTGCCAACCCACCGTCATGCATGATAGCTGACTGTACTTTTTTCTAATTGCACAGGTCAAACATCACTCTCGGACACTTGCCCCGTATGCGCTCATAACCCCGTCTCTCCCGATCTCTGCAAGCCTAATAAGGCTCTACGAACCACCTTGAAAGTCTTTTTGCGTACCGAGGAGAAAAAGCGCGAGAAGGAACGCCAGTCAGCCGCTGCTACTCCCACTCCAGCCACCCCAGTAGTAGAGACTCTTGCATCATGCGAGCAGCCCTCCATTGAAGTTCCCGTCGAGCAGAATCGGGCTGCAGATATTGTGGCCCAGGTGCCAAATGCACCTAAAGTCGAGGGCGAAGTCGAGGCAACAGCCGCAGGGTCAGATCGCGCTCCGACCGAAGATGCCCTGGCAGAAAGCAAAGAATCAGACCCTGTGCAAAATGGTGGCACTGAAACAGTCCCGCTGGTCTCTGAGGTATGGTTCCATCATTCGTACTCTACTCTCAGTCACCAACTAACTCTGCATCCAGTCTGAGGCTATTGACCAGTCCACTGGAATTACCACGGCCACCGACGAAGCCAAACAGCTCGCCAACCAAGAAGAAATGGCCCAGTCTGAATCTGTCCAACCCTCCGAGGACCTACCTCTGCAGCCGAACGGTAACATGATGAATATGGGTCAAGGAGGCTTCCAAGGCATGGGCTGGAACGGGATGAACCCCTTCCTGTCCAACATGCTCAACTATCAAAACCAAATGGGTACATTTTTCTATCTACTCTTTCCCTCGGACCAAAGTACTAACATTTTTCAGGCATGAACCTGTCAATGGATCAAATGGCCGCAAATCAGGAAATGTTCGGAGACTACGGAACGAACATGGCTGGAATGGGCATGGGCATGGGCACGGGCATGGGAATGAATTATAACGGACAGGGCATGTATGGATCGTCAGGATGGGATGGCTCATGGCAGAATGCTCAAGATAATTACAATCCAAATGCTTTTGCAAATGGCGGTGGCCCTCATGGAGCATTTGGTGGGCCTAATATGCCCTACCCTTCTAACCCAGAATACCAGTCTGGCTACTCCGGCCAAGGATATGGTTATGGAGGATATCGAGGTGGACGCGGAGGCTTCCAGGGCTCTGGCCGGGGAGGCTTTACTTCTGGCCACGCAATTTACAACACAAATTCGGAATCAGACACTGTGGTGACATCTAATGGAGCTGATAACGCCGATGGAGCTGTTCTCAATGGAGACGGACCTCATGCCAACGGGAATAGCGGTCCTGATTCAGTATCCCAAGAAACTACACATGAAGGCAGATCAGAGCCCGTGTCGGATGAACATGGAGCAGTAGGCCAGCAACTACAAGGTATCCCCACTATTGAAACTCTGGATCAATCCATGTCGAATAGCAATCACGGCTGGCAAGGCCCCGGGTATGGCCGTGGTGGGTTCCAAGGCCCTGCTGGTCGCGGCCGTGGCTACTGGGGTGGCCAGATGCCCATGAACGGCGGTTACCAAGCTCCCATGCCACCCAAGGCACCAGTTGTCGAAGGTGCCCCGGCTGCCCCAAGAGGGATGCGTCAAGGCCTGCCTAATACTAGCATGCTTCGGCAGCGGGCTTTCCAGCAGGGTCGAGGAACAGGGGGCAATAAGATCCCGGTACTGTCGCAAGGGTAAGTCTAGCGAAACAATCTCTGCGTTTACTTCCATACTAACATCCATCCTAGTGGGGATTCTGAAACCCCCCCAAGACAACACACAAGCGGGATCTCCTACCCAGCCAGATCCTCAAACACAGCAGCCAGCTCTAAGGTCTCGATCCCCATCTCAAGGCCAATCCTCCCGCGCACGCTCGGCCACAGCAAACCTGGTCATCGATGACAAAATGAACTCCCGACAGCGTGATTCGAACCGCTCTGACGATGTCCAAAAAGGCCGTACTAACGGCCATCGTTCATCAGGTGGCGCAGATCGCCACAATGGCAGAGGCCGCCGAGATGAATATCGCCCAGCACGGTCTCACGGTCACCGCAGTCGCGCCAATAGCCGCACCCGTAGTCGAAGTCGGAGTCGAAGTCGGAGTCGCAGTCGCAGTCACAGTCCAGGAAAGAATGGTGGCTCGCGTCATTCCAGTCGACTCCCACCCGCTATCGACGACAAGCGGCTCAACAAGCTCAAGGAATCTTCAGACACAGGCGGATCTCGTGACTTAGCCAGTCGAGTGAGCAGCCGCCATTCGAGTAAGGATAGATCCTCACGTCGTGATGATGAGCGCGAGCGAGAGAGAAACAGAGATGGCGACAGAGTTCGTTCTAGTCGCCGCCGCGACCATGACCGCAACCGTGACCATGACCATGATCGTGATCGCCGAGACCGAGACCGAGCCCGAGATTCCGATAGAGATCACCGACGAGACCGAGACCGAGAGTCCGGCAGAGATCGCAACCGCGAACGAGACCACAATAACGAGCGTGGCCATGATCGCAACGGACGAGAGCGCGAACGAGACCGCAAAAGATCTCGCCGAGATCGATCCGAGTCCGCCAATGTCAGCGACCATTCCTCACGCCCCCAACCCCGACGACCCAGGCGCGAACCAAACAACGACCGCTCTCGAGGCCGTACCTCCAGACCAGAAAGCTCAAAGGCAAGCTCCAAGGAAACACCCAAGGAAGCTGAGAAAGATCCCTACACACTTGCTCGCGAAGCCGCCAATCGTGAACGCGTCCTTAGGGAACAACAGAATCGTGGGGCTAAGTCTGCGCCGAAGAGTAGTCGTCGGGATAGTCGACAGGAACGTGTTGTTGGTGGTCGTCGACTGAACTACAAATATGAGGATGAGCTTTGATGTCGGTGATTGACATCTGGGTTTTCCCCATCCTCATTCTCATTTTCTTTCTTCTTAACACTTTCATGCATCAAAAAGGCTTTCATCGTGGGATGGCATGGGATGGATGGCGTCGGCATCTGATTTTTTCTTTGCATCGCTGGCTGCTGGTCTGGGTTGATCGATCTGTTTTCTTCTTTTTCTTCTTGCCTGGGGAGTATCCAGCTAGGTGAGAGTGAGAGCGAGGGCCAAAAGGCGAGGGCCACCAAGGGTTACTGGGATGATGTAGATCGTTGCTCCAAGTTGAGGGAGGCATGGGCCTCAGTACATACATCCAAAATTCAAATCACCTTACGTCCATTTGAAGTAGTTCGAATCAACATCGTCTCCAGTCCACTTCATTCCAGTATTTCTCTACGGCCAAAGCATCTCCTTCTTCCAATCTCCCTCTCCCTCCCCACCAACTCTAACATATCTAACCCGTTTATGCAACCGACTAGCTTCCCCCTGCCAAAACTCCACAACTTCCGGATCAACAGCATAAACCCTCCACCCCTCCACCCCAACAGAAGAATCACCCTTGAAAGCACCCCTCATCTCCGCCAACCTCCCCTCCAACTCCGCCCCATTCCCCAAAACCTCACTCTGCCTCGAAGCAGCAGCACTGACCCTCGACTCAACCGGCCTCTCAAGATAATCCCTCGCACACTCCCCACCAGACAAACAAACCGCACTCCCACGCAGCCGAATCTGCCGAGCCATATCAGCCCAGTAAAAGGTCAACGCCGCACGCGGATTGTGCGCTAATTGTCTTCCCTTTGGACTGTCGGCTTTGATGGCGAAGTGCCAGCCGCGCGCGTCGAGGTCCTTTAGTATTAGGACTCGGGCGTCTGGGAAGCCTTCTTCGTCGACGGTGGAGACCGTCATGGCGTGTGGTTCACGGACGCCGGTAGCTAGGGCTTCGGCGTACCATTTTTTGAAGGCGGCGTGGGGGGGTGTTGGGGAGGGAGGTGATTGTGAGTGGGTTGAAGGGTCCTTGGAGGACTTTTGTGGTGCGGAGGGTTGTTCGGAAGTCTGGTTGGTCTGCCATTTTGCTTCCAGTTGAAACTCAAAGGTGGGTTGAGGTTCGAGTGTGGGTGAGAACAGTATGAGTATGAGTAGTATGAGTATAAATAACAGTTGCATTGGATTATTGATCTCCTTGAGTCATACTTGGATCCCGGGATCGGAAGCCGTCTTTACATAATAACTACTACATAGCAAGTACTAGGTGGAGCTATTGGTTAGCTCAGTGACTACCCACTCTTATAATATTAAACACAATTTACATCATTATCTACTATGTATTTACCTGAAATCTTGCCCTGGGGGTTTCGGCATAATAGGCAACAGAGAAACTAGTAGAGTGAGGCTAATGGCGTATCCGCAGATCGGAGATTGGATAATATCTCCGTCTCCATGGAATCCATGGTCCTTATGCACCCCTCTTCCAACCTTAAGACTATGTTTAATTGTTTGCTCAAGACAACGATCGTTAGCCTTTTCGGGGGATCAAGGCAAGTAACTTCAACCTTGGAGGTTGAGCGAGGTGTAAGAAAGTTTCATCCTTGGAAGTTGAACAAAGACATGCAGGGCCATGAAGCCACTAGTAGTAGAGGATCTAAAGCCGGGAATACCACCTAGGTATATACTTCTTCAAATCCGACATGGATTTATTCAATATGGCCATCCGTAGATGGAGGATATACCATAGTGAGCCACATTTCGCTGGTACAGTAATTAGCACATGAGCCGGCGAGATATCCAAGCTTCGACAATTGCTGCAACTTTCCTGCTGGGGGTATTAGCCCTTCCGAGTCATGAGTGACCTCTTTAGTCCCGGAAGAGCCCCGGAGAAGAACAAACAAAGTCAAAGAATAGCACCGGAGCATATGTGTTCTTTTAGCTCTCCTGTTGGATTCGAGGATGAGCTGAGATCTAGTAGTAGACTATAACAATGACGGTATACCTTTCAGACTCCTCAGTGCTTACTACTAGTAGTAGGTAGTGACGCTGTTGCACTGACCATCCATGGATATCCATTGTCATCATATTTCCAAGGTCGAAAAGGTTTCCGACTTTGAGTCTTGAGCTTAATGTTTCCGAGTCCAACCCATGGAATCGAGTGCGGTCCTAGAGCTGTAACTTTCAAAAATCCAATTTATGTGGAACTTGGACCCATTTCTTCGTGTCATAGTATCTATATCTTCAAGATCTCTTTTGATATATCTTCATTTTAAGGCCTCCTACCGCTGTAGTAGTATACCCAAGGCATACAGCAGTTTCATTGGTCCTTCTAATTCCCTCAAAGAAGATTGCCCTCTTTAAGTCTGGAAAGGGGATGACTTGATCGGATGAAAGACATGCCGGAGACACATCCATTCAGGCAGCCTATAAAGAGAGAAGACCTGGTCACCAAACACACACTGCCTCTTGAAAATATTTTCACAGCACAACTTGTTTGATCAAGTCTAATCATGTCTGACCCGAATGAGGTTCGCGGCACCGCAGGTGACATCGCACGGGCTCTCGACGATGCGGGAATTCCAAATATACTTTGGGGATACGCTGCGTTAGGTCTAGTCGGACAAGTCAAGGTGTCTAATGTAAGTTCAAACTAAGTGGCCATGTGATAAATGTCCGAAAGCTAACCATTTGTAACAGGACATTGATTTCGTCGTTCCAGACGAGCTGGTTCAGAAAGCCACAGACATTCTCATAGTTAAAGGCTATGAGCTTTGCACCTCCAGAAAGTGTCCCTGGGGAGACGAGAGAAAACGAGCACGAGCACTAGCCGCTGCCCACTTCGATATCGTCCCCGACAAGAAGAATCTCGGCCCAGTGCAGATATTCCCAAAATCGCATATTCTCTGGTGGTTGAAGGAAATTCCGGCTGGTGACCCATCGCCAGACGATGAAGATTTACTACTAACGAATGACCCCCGTTTACCCCCCAAGCTGAAGACTCGGTCAGCTTCATCACCCATAGAACGCGATCTTTACGGAAATTATACGGAAGAGGTTGGGCCTTCCGGGCCATGGGAGAAGATTTACCCAATGAAGATTCTCAAGCCGGAATCCTTCACCGAGGCTTTGATTCTCCTCTACTGTCGAGACTACCATAACCCGAATATTGGAGATGGTCTCCAGCTCGGCTACGCTAAATACTGGAAGAGGTTGTTGTTGCCTATGGGTGAAGTCAAGGTTGATCCCAAGGCCATTGTTCCGAAGACGCTGCGCCCGGAGTTTCGTGAGGCCTGGGCGAATTTCAATTTAGTTGAGCAGCCTTATTTTTGGGAGTTCTTTCATGATGATCTTTGTGCCAAATTGAAGAAGCAAAATAAGCTTCCTTCGTTCCCTGGGATCTTTAGGCTTTATCAGTGAGATCGGATTTTGTATACTAGTACTAGTAGTTGCTGGGGTAATTTGATGTGCTTCTTGTAAGCTATAACCAAGTGACATGGGAAAGTTTATCGACGAAAACTAGTATACTCCAGGGCTAGTACTACCTATTCATCTTTAAAAATCAATGTAGCAGGTAATGTGGTAGAATCAATATCCTGCTAATTTGGATACTAAGTATTTTAAACGCTCGTCAAATGATTCATGCCAACTGGATGGCTATCATATGCCGCGAGGGTTTGGTTTGGAAGACCTTGTACGTGTTGTGTATGAAGTAAGCGTATCCACGAGCAGTCACCACCGCAAGAGTAGTAAGTGCAATACGGGGCCTCAATTCTTGAGTCTGCTTTTCTCTTGGCAAAATACACCTGGGCACCAGCTCTATATATACATGAAGATATGAAGCAATATTCATTGAAACTAGGCTACAATTGGCCAATTGGAAGCAGTATACACCTGGGCAGCACCCACTAGTAGTCTCATGTGGCATCTTTTGGGGTTTAGCGAATTTTTATCCTCGTGGCACCCGTGCCGCTTACGAGCATCTCAATCCGGCGAGCATATAGATCCATGAAGTGCATTAGTGGATCGCCAAACACCACACCGCGCAGTTCCAGATCCGTCGTGCCACATGCCTCTACCTGCTCGCGTGGTGGTAGTGGCGGAGGAGCATCAGGACCAGCTGATGGATTCCTCACTGGACGACCATATACTAGGCCATGAGAACGAAGCAGGACAATTCGACCCGCATTGGAGAGCGTCGACTGGGGAACCTGCCAGTATTTCGACGAATTTCGTTTCCCCCTTGGATCGAAGAGTGACCAGACAGATCCAGGAGCTGGCGACGCATATAAATCCAGCAGGGAAAAGAAATATCCTTTATCTGCGCGTGTCACTGGGTCTCCTTCGTTCACAAATGAGAAGAACATTGATTTGGATGGATTGGCAGTTGGCGGTCTCTGTAATGGCCACAGCGAGATGGGGGGTGCACCAAAGGTGACGCAATGAATTTGCTTGAAGCAACCACGGAGGTGTGTGAGTTCAGACTTGACATCTGGTGATTCGGAAAGTAAATGGAGGTAAAGGAGACTGGCGACAGCCCCGCCTGCTGAGTGACCGGTGAGGAGAAGCGTATATGACATTCGACTAGGATCTTCCTCGATTAAAGTACGCAGTCGCGCAGCGACAGCTTGAACCATCTTCCTGGCGACGGATAGGAATCCAGCATGGCATTTATTCGTTGGGTCATCAAGAAATCCGGCAGGTGAAACAGGTGCCGCATGGACATTTACAGCCCAGTCACTGAAGCTTTGTGTCCCGCGAATAGCGAATACCATAGTGTTCATCTTATCGATCGGAAGCGACTTGATGACCATTGCCTTTGTACCGTGGCGCCAGTCCGAATTCACGTAGGATTGTCGCTCAGGGCCATTCGGCTTTTCGTATACTTGCTGTGAATAGCGGGCAGCGAGCCTTAGCAATGGATAGGTTGCAGGATAGCTAGTCGCTCGATTAGCGGAAGAGGCTCAAGCATAGGACGAATAGTATTGGCGTACAATTTAATCTGAGGAAGCCGCGGTGGCATTCGAGAATTTCCATAGAGATACACCTTCGAGAAATAGTCGACCGGCGACGAAGGTTTCTTTTTCTCAGGCGCGTGTGTCCAACGATCTCTTTTGCGCGCTTCCTGTTTGGTTGGGAGTGCACATGCAGCCACTTTTTCTGGTTAGTATCAGTTTCTTGGCTGAATGGGCTTTAGTCACGTACTAAGCTCATTTTCCTTCCCGCAAAAAGATCCGATATCGATCAATGTAACAACTTGATCCAAAAGCCGCGACGTGCTCTCTCGCACATTTGCGCCGCCACTCACACTCTGGAGGACAAGATTCTCCAGATCCAAGATGGTGGCATTTGTTTTTCCTGCTGTGTGCGCGACAATGTTCGAGACCGACTGACTGAGATTTGTACAGGATGTCCATTTCGCAAGATCAGACATGGGCTTCGGGGCTTGGTACCCCGTTGAGTGCCAGGCCGGAGGCGGGCTTCCCACCGTGCCGGGTCCATAAGGGACAGGTACTTGACCCTGGATCGGTCGTGGAGGTAGGTGAACTAGCGAGGTGACACCCGTATGGGGCTTGTAGAAAGATGGAGGTGTTGGATTTCCACTTTGAATGGCCTGAACGGTATATGCGCCCGAGGGATTCATATAGACCGGTTGCTTCGGTGCTTCATTGACCGCTGTGTGTCCCCCCTTCCCCTTGTGACGCCGCCGATGCTTGCGGGTTTCAGGCATAGTGTGTGTTTAGGTTGACTTGATAATGACACCGAAGCTCCGGTGCAGCAGGACTCAGCCTGGGGCTGCCATGACGCACCCAGGGATATGGTGGGGATCAACTGCAACCGAGGCAGGGACAAGGACAAGCTTATAAAATGCAGGGAAATGCAGGGAAATGCAGGTCCTCGTAAAATGTCGCCTTTGTCCGAGGATCTGCGCCACAGTCGAGCTGAGCAGGCGGCGCGGCGCGAATTGATAGGTTGAAATGTGCATGCGCACAGCCCCAATGCGGGGACACAAGCCCACTATCGAAGCAATCACCAGGTTGTGACGCCAAGTGGAGTTTGTCATTCAAATGAAAGGGAGTCAGGCTGTCGATAGATATAGATAGAAAAAAGAGGAAGATTTTGCTAAGTTAGAAATTTAACATAATAGACTTTTAAATCCGCCGGGCACAAGCAATAAAGCCATCTAGTCCGCAAGGTAGGATTTTAAATCCGATGCTGCACGACTTGCCTTGAAACCAGGGTCCTTGCCAGTGCTGATCAACTGAAATCACTATTCCAATCCGGAATACCCGAATCTAATAGTTAAAATGATCTTCCGTTCCACGCAGGTTCAAGTTCATTGCTCGATGATTTCGTGGACAACGGCCAGGCGGCGGGAGAAGGTAAAAAGTAGAAGTTCAAACTAGTACTACTATTAGTATTAGTAGTCATGTTGAAAGCCTGTTACTATTAAGTGATAACTATATACTAGTACTACTAGTAACTGTATACTGGGTAAACTATTACGATTGTCCACTGGCACTTGGGGCAGGAGATTTAAAGAATTTAAGTTAAATTAAATATTTCACAATGCTGGAATGGAGTGGGTTACTACTACTAGTACTACTGTAGTAGACATGGTTATTCAAATCCAGGTCAAACCTTCAAGTTGGATCCTTCGAGTTAGAACCATAGTATCCCGAAAATTCCCCAAGTGCAAACAACTTGAGTATATTGCTCGCGCACCTGGGCAAGCCAGGCGACCCCGTTAAACGCACAACATCAGCAACGTTTCGTGCTGTTCGATGCAGTATACATCTATAGTAGTTTTAATACCTATGTATCCCTGGTATTCTCCATTCTCTTACCATAATACGTGATCGTTCGTCGCTGTGGAGTTAACGGACAAGAGAGTACACGACGGAGTTAAAAATGCAATCTCCGAGGGAGTCGATCATGGGCGACTGCTGATTGGTCGACTTCTTCCTCTTGGGTCTATATGAGGTGATACACAGAAAGAGCAGCCCCAAACACACCCAACGCTCTCACTTCATTTTTTACCCGTCTATCTCTGGATAACTTTGGAAATTAATTATGTCGGCCCAAGATTCATCCCTGACGAACTGGCCTGCTGTGGCGGGCTATGTCTCAACGCGCAAGGACAGTTACCCGTTCATCGATCCTACCCAAGCTGACCTGACAGGCAAGTCGGTCTTAATCACGGGAGCCTCCAAGGGAATCGGCAAGGCGACCGCAATCAGCTTCGCCACCGCGGGCTGCTCGAAGATACTGCTGCTTGCTCGTTCAGACCTGACCGAAGTCGAGACAGCTGTCCACACCGCCGCCGTGAAAGCAAACCGGCCCAGGCCAATCATACATTCCCTGAAGGTGGATGTGACCTCGGAGGAGTCTATGCGAGCGGCTGCTGAAACCGCAGCGGATGTTCTCGGCGGCAGCCTCGACGTCCTTGTGAACAATGCAGGCTACCTGGATGAATGGAAGCCCATCGCCGAGTCGAAGCCGAGCGAGTGGTGGCGGACTTGGGAGGTCAACATCAAAGGGACCTATCTCGCTGTCCACTTCTTCGTACCGCTGTTGCTCAAATCGGAGACCAAGACAGTCATCAATATTAGCAGCGGTGGTGCCCATGTAATATTTCCCGGTGCGTCGGCCTACCAGACGACCAAGTTCGCCCTCTGCCGCCTCACCGAATTCATGGACCAGGAATACCACCAGGAAGGGTTGATAGCCATCTCGGTCCATCCAGGTGGTGTCAAGACCGATCTAGCAATGAACATGCCTCCAGAGAGGCAATCTGTCCTGACTGATACGCCGGAGCTGGCTGCCGACACGCTGGTCTGGCTCACTCATGAGCGACGCGACTGGCTTGCCGGCCGATTCGCCTCAGTAAGCTGGGACATGGAGGAACTTGAGCAGAAGAAACAGGACATCCTCCAAAGAGACTTGTTCAAGTTCCGGGTGATTGTTTGAGTCAGGTGGCGTACCTTTAAAGGCCCTTGCGATGCTGTTTCCAACTTGAAGCGTTTTGGTAGACTACTAGTAGTAAATACCAACGTTCAATGCTAGTACTAGTACACACCTTTATACACCTGGGCACCAGTATCAAGGTCGCCTGTTTTATCTGGTACGAGCGTATCAAGCCCTGGAGCCTCAGTCTGAGAATTTGACCCGAACTTGAAAAAGAACTATTTGCCTAGGTGATGTTAATCAGCTACCTATGTATGTTTCTATGTAGGTCACGATGCGCTGAAAACCGGGGATTGAAGAACCGAGTTTAGGATCATTTTGTTCTGCTGATATTCTGTTCTAGCTCAAACTCTATCATTCACCATCTGGCCTTCCAAATCATCTACTGCGAACCCAAAAACTCGGCACTAAATGGATAATCCGCATACCCGTTTTCCTGCATAGGGCTATAGAAGGAATCACGATTGTACCGATTCAGAGTAATCCGATGACGAAGTCGAAACGGCAAATCCGGATTCGCAATAAAGTGACGACCAAAAACAACAGCGACATCATTATTGGCGTACTCCTGGACAGCATCTTCAAAGTTCTCCGCGTTATATCCCCCCCGCCACAAGCACCGGCGCCGTCCGTCCCCAAATATCGAGCAGAGACCTAATACTCTCCCCTTTCTCACAGTCCACATTATTGATCACCCGTGACTCAATAACATGAAGGTAAGCAAGCCCAAATTCCTTCAATTTCTCAACCAAGTACGCGAATTGAGGACCTGGCTCCGCCATCTTCATTCCCTGCCACGTATTCCACGGACTGATCCGAAATCCGACCCGTTCAGAACCAACGGCATCAACGAGTGCCTTTGTGACCTCGACCGCGAAGCGGGCGCGATTCGGGATACTTCCGCCCCAAATATCATTGCGTTGATTACTGACGTCTTGCAAAAATTGATCAACCAAATACCCGTTCGCACCGTGAACTTCAACCCCGTCAAAACCGGCGCGAATCGCGTTCTTCGTCGCGACACCGAATTGTCGGATGATGTCTTCGATTTGATCTGAGTTGAGTTCTCCGGGGATGATCATCCCTGGCTCCATTGGTATGGCACTCGGAGCGAGCAGGTCGTATCCACCCTCCGACCGAAGTGTAGCAGGATCAGCCGCCCGACCCAGAGCAATCAATTGGCAAAATATGAAGCTTCCTTTGGCGTGGACGGCAGCGGTTATTTCTTTCCATTGGGTGATTTGGTCTTCGCTCCATATTCCGGGGCCGTGGGGGATGCCGCCTGCTGAGGGAGATATCTGGGTTGCTTCGGCGATTAGAAGTGTTCCCGGGACGGAGGCGCGTTGTTCGTAGTATTTTGTTGAGATAGGGAGGGGGGTGTGAGAGGTGTCAGATCGTAGGCGGGTGAGTGGTGCCATTATCACTCGGTGATTGAGGGTTATGGTGCCCAGTTGGAGGGGTTGGAAGATTTGGGATGCCATTGTAGTTGGTTGGTCGGTATTCTATGGCCGAAGTGCAGGGTTTCTTGCGTTCTGCTCAAAGGAAGCCAGCAGGTGGAGTGGAGCGAGGTTTGATCTATTTCCCATGGGATTTATAGGATTTATAAAGGCTATTCATTTCTATTCGCTTTATTGAAAAATCTGTCCGGTTGTGGATCTCACGATGTAGTTTGATGGGGGGTTCTCCAAATCGCCACGAGTACCTCCAACGATCACCTCCACATCTCGAATCTCGGAGACTTACCTGTCGGATGAATTATAAGTGTGGTCTCTGTCATTGGAGAGAGATTTTTCCTCGTTTTAGGACGCTCTTTTAGAAATACATAAATGTTTCGGCCCGAGTTGTTGTTGAACGAGAGAAACCAAGGTTGCTCACTAGGAAGAAAACGGTCACCAGTACCAGTGGACGCTAGCTTCAAGTAAGTCGATCTCCCTACGAGTAAGAATGCTGGCATGCCGTTCAAATGAAAATATACATCATACTGATATTTGAACGACAGATATGAACACCCAATGGCTACGCGATAGCTTTTTCGGCCAGTGCATCCGTCACATTTGCAAGCCTGCATGGTCCGAATACCCCGAGGAAGAGCCGGGATGGATAGAAGCAGCCGATTTTGACAACAATCCAAGCCAAAATGAGAAGATAATCCGTGTAGAATGGTACTCGGATACAGATGAAGAAAATCCTCGCAACTGGACCCAGGCCAAAAAAGCATTTGTGACGGGGGTGATCGGTGCTTACAGTTTTGTTGTCTACATGTCTGCCCCGATTTATACCCCGGGTGAGAATTCGTTTATTGAAGAGTTCCATGTGAGCAATGCGGAGGCTGCTCTTGGGCTTGCGATCTATGTGTAAGTGGAATCTTTAGCTTCTTGAACTTCAAGTTTCTCATCCTTGACGTCCTGGTACTAACTTTGCGTTCATTAACTAGACTTGGATATGGCACAGGCCCATTATTCTTCAGTCCCTTGAGCGAGATCCCCCGCATCGGGCGAAACATTCCCTACGTTATATCCTTTGCATTGTTTTGCATTATCAGCATACCTACTGCAATTGCGCCCACCGCAATTGGCTTCTACTTCCTGCGTTTCCTACAAGGCTTTTTTGGAAGTCCCTGTCTCGCAACAGGTGGCGCCTCAATTGCGGACATGTATTCTTCTGATATCCTACCACACGCCATGTCGACATGGGGATTCTGCGTCTTTTGCGCCCCCGCGATCGGTACCTTGGTTTCCGGATTTGCAATCCCGGTTCTGGGCTGGAGATTTTCAATGTGGGAGATTTTAATGGCCGCCGTCCCTGTCCTTATTTGCCTGTTTTTGCTGCCGGAAACGAGCGAAGCCAACATTCTGCACCGACGTGCTCGACGTCTTGAAAAGATCGATAAAACAAACACGATGACTCGGACCTACCAGACCGCTGCGGATGTTATTCAAGGAGAAATATCATTCCACGAGGTTCTTCGAGAGTCGCTGCTAATTCCCTCGAAAATCACCTTCCTTGACCCGGCAATGATGTTTCTGAATTGCTACACGTCTCTCGTTTACGGCATTTACTATTCCTTCTTCGAGGCTTTTCCGATTGTCTACCAAGGGATATACGGCTTCAACCTCGGGGAAATGGGCCTGGCATTTCTCGCTATCGTCGTGGGAACGATTCTATCATTCGTGGTATACAACATCTACATCTACCGTGTTTTCGCGCCAAAGACAAGAAACGGCGGCCTTGAGAAGCCGGAAGATGTTCTTGTCCCGGCACTGTTTGCCTGCTTTGGTCCCTCGATTGGTTTATTTCTCTTTGGTTGGGCTGCGAGACCGGAAATTCACTGGATCGTACCAACTATTGGAATCGTCATTTATCCCGCGTGTGTTTTCGTTCTGATGCAATGCATCTTCCTCTATATTCCGGCTTGCTATCCGCAATATGCTGCGAGTGTTTTTGCCGCCACTGATTTCACCCGCAGTGCGTTCGCATGTGGTGCCGTTATCTTCTCGCGCCCTCTTTATGTTAATCTGGGAATTGGTCCGGGGTGCAGTTTACTTGCTGGGCTGACCATTGGGTGTGTGGTTGGAATTTACGTGCTGTATCATTACGGCGAAGCATTGCGGCTGAGATCGAAGTTCGTTTCAAAATGGTGATTAGGGAAGGTTAGATAGCTAGAATAGACATCATTATACTATTGACATGACTATCTATCAATTGGTACTTGTATTCAAGTTGGACTGGACTAGACGCTGTTCGCAGGTATTCGCATAGATATCAAGCCCATCTCCAATGGCCTTCAATATGGCCCACTGTTCATTTCCTCTGATAAGGCGGGCCCAAAGCTTAACAACTGCAAATCCTAGATATTCGCAGGAAGATGGATCACCGGCTTGGACCCATAGGTCGTCATCACCAGATGTCCGGCCTTCTTCGACGATATCGCTAATCCAGCCGACTAGGCGGGATTCGTGCTCTGCAAAATATTGTTAGTGATTCTTTCTATATTTGTCGTAATTGCTTCGGAATAGTAAGACATATAAGTAGGAGTGGTACACTTACCATCCAGAGGACGGCTCTTCTGGCAATTAGACAGGCAGAACAGCCATTTACTTAGGAATATCGCAAATTCCAAGCCACAGAGGGAATGCTGGATACTCCACACAAAGGCATGACTGCGAGCTACAAAGTTGATTCCCAGTCTTACTGGGATACTGAGCGCGTGAGTCGCGTGCAAAATTGCCGGGAGGAGATGTGGGCCTGCTGGGAGTTTTGGCATCTCCAAAAGTCGATTCGCAATATCGGTTGGGTCTCTAGATCGAAGTATCTTGTGTGCCCCCAGGTCAAGGCCCAGTCGAACATAGGCAAGTCCAAGCAATGCGGTGGAAGTGAACGTAACGGGTCCGTTCGGGTTACGGGGGTCTAGACTTGATTCAGGGGCTCGTTGCCATTGGGATGTCCAGGCATGAAGCATATTCCTACTCGACGGTTTTCAGTTTAGCAAGGGGGGTTTCTTTCTGTTAGATACTTTGAAGAATATGCTTGCTTACCGCATGGCTTCTTTTTGTTTGTTGATGAATACACTTTCCTCGTCATCATATAGTCGAAAAGCCTGATAGGCGACCAGAATCTTTTGGATGAGAGCATGTAATAGGACGTAGTTTGCTAGCGGCGATGGGATAACTTGTGCATTTTGAGGTGGCTGCTCTCGGTGGGGCTTCATTAATTGCGAAAGGGCTTCCTGAAACATCATCTGCTCTTGGTAGACTGATTTGCGGACAGCAGACCATTTATGTTGGTTTGGGGCAATCCATTCCAAGCAAGTACACGGGAGGCGTAGATGTATCTCATCACTCAATATAACCGGCGGGGTTCCAAATGCAATGGAATGCAGGTTCAGAAGAGTAAAGGAGAACAGCTTGAGGCGTCTGTCGGATTCCTTTCTTACCCACGACCGCCAGTCTAGTGTACTATTTGGCTGATCTGTTTGTTCTTCTAGATGGGTATCTCGGACACATCTCGCCAGGTAACTCTGCAAGTTGAATGCCTCATTTATAATGTTTTCCTCGCCCTGCCATGTGGCAAAAGCGATTAGAAACAAAGCGCAGCACACGTCGAGTGAGGTATTTCTGTCATTATGGCGCTCATCTCGATTTTGTAAATTAGAGCCTGAGGATGAATTCCTCTGGGTTCCGGTTCGAGTCTTTTCGTCCGTGCTTTGTTGTAGTATCCTCCGTGATGCATGAAACAGGGAGACTGCTTTGCGATGCTCATGTCTATATTGAGCCCCCAAGGCAGACATAGCGAGAAATATTCCTGGGTCGCAGTCATCAATGTTGAAGGTCGGAATATGGATCACCGGCACATGGGGATAGAATCCATCAAAGAATCCATTCATGAATCGAGTGAGTGAATGGTGGGACGGTAGAAGATCTTCGTCGGGTGCGGCATGAGAATCATTTGACAATGCCATAAGAAGCCGAGTTCGATGTTGAGGCGTGACTGTAAGGATTGGCAATGTCAAAACTCCAAACTCGGCTGCGTATTCAAATTAGCTGCAATCTAAACTAAATTTCTGTCGCGATCAGAGTCTTACCGACGGCTTGCCTCTCGATGGGGAGTTTGCTGAGAGATTGATTTGATTGAGCATCTTCATGTTGAACTGGATATGGAGAAGAAGGAGTTGGAAGTGAAGTGGTTGAAGGCTCCCCAGCGAAGATTTGAGTGATGCTAGGTTCAGTCGGTAAGTACCAGTCCGTATTCAGACCGAAGTTCTGGCTGAAAGATTCAATATCTTCTAACGCCAGCAGATCCTGTTGGTTGAAGAGAGATTGATCTAGAGATTCGAACTTTAGTGGATGAACTTGATAGAAGTTACAGGTGCGTCGTCTCTAATTTTTACCTTCGTAAATTGGACCAGTGACTTGCGTCCCTGGTTCGGGTCCTGTTGAGGTATGATGATGCAGGTCGGGGATTTCCCATAAAAAGCCCCTTCTACCCTGATCCACAGGCAAAGGATTGTCTTGCCATTGGGTATTGTCACCAGCTGGACCAGTCGCTGGTGATGACTGCTGCGGCGAAGGGGTAATAAGCTCACATTGCCCGAGTTTTTGATGGCGCTTAAGGAGGTCACGACGACCGAATGATGAACCACAGGAGCATTTATATGGCTTTTCATTAGTGTCTAGGGAAAATCAGCCCCATGTATCACAGTTCTTGCCAACAAATGTGCATACGAATACGAAGATGTCGTTGGAGGTGTTCGTGTCGCCGAAATTCCCGGTTGCAATATTGACACCTTCGAGGTTTTTTTCGACTTGCTGGAGAGTCAGTGGGTATTTCTTCCGTTGCTGCCTCATTCATTGTCACGGCGGTGGATATTGTGCGGATTGTAATGTGAGGATTGGAGGGATTTTGGGGGTGCAGTGGAGGTGCAACGATGGATGATTATCTGAGATTATTTGATCTCCAACTCCATCTCCAATGACGTTATCACTCCTGTGTGGAGACCCTCTCCACAACCACCTCCAACAACTTGAGCGTCGAGGCCACAGCCTCTCACGTATTCGCGTATAGGTAGCTTCATGTCCAAGTCCTAGTAAATCTACTAGTAAAAGTTGGAAAATGAAATAGAACAGATTGATTGAAATCGTATTATATAGCACAAGCCCCAAAATACATCGCTTTTATACTCGGGAAGGGATATCCGTATCCGACTCAACGGAAAAAGAAACCAAGACAACGGAACAAATATTTACTCTACAGCATCAGTGACACAGCCCTGGCTAGCGTCCTTGACGTTGCGGGCATACTTGCCCAGGGTACCACGCATGGTGAGACCGGTCTCGGGCAGCAGGCCAGCAGCCTTGCGAGCCTCCCAGTCCTCGCGACGCACAGCGAGGTCGGACTCGGAGACATCGATGTCCAGAAGGCGGTTGTCGGCGTCAATGGTGATGACGTCGCCGTCGTTGACGAGACCGATGGGTCCGCCGACGGCGGCCTCGGGGACGATGTGGCCGATCAGGAAACCGTGGGAACCGCCAGAGAAACGGCCGTCGGTGATCAGGGCGCAGGAGGAGCCGAGACCGTAGCCCATCAGGGCGGCGGAGGGCTTCAGCATTTCTAGATGAAGCGGGTATGTTAGTTTCTATTGGGGAAGGTATTGGGAAGAATGATTCATAACGTACCAGGCATACCGGGGCCACCCTTGGGGCCGCAGTAGCGGATGACAACAACGGTCTTCTCGTCCTTCTTGATCTCGTTGCGTTCCAGCGCTTCGATGAAGAGGTCCTCGGTGTCGAACACGCGGGCCTTACCGGTGAAGACGGTACCCTCCTTACCGGTGATCTTACCAACACTGCCACCAGGAGCCAGGGAGCCGCGCAGGATCTGAATGTGACCAGTGGACTTAATGGGGTTGGAGAAAGGACGGATGATCTTCTGGTCTTCGGGGAAGTCGGGGGCCTTCTCCAAGTTCTTGGCGAGGGTCTCGCCAGTGACAGTCATACCGGATCCATCGATCAGTCCCTCCTTGAGCAGCAGCTTCAGCAGAGCGGGGGTACCACCAATGGCGAACATGTCGGCCATGACGTACTTGCCGGAGGGCTTCAGATCAGCCAGGAAGGGAATGCGGTCGGAGACAGCCTGGAAGTCGTCAATGGTGAGCTTCACGCCGACGGAGTCGGCGATGGCGATCAAGTGCAGAACAGCGTTGGTAGATCCACCGGTGATGTTGACAACGACCATGGCGTTCTCGAAGGCCTGGCGGGTCAGGATATCGCGGGGGCGGATGTCCTCGGCGAGCAACTTCTTGATGGCACCACCAGCAGCCAGACACTCGAGGTACTTGGCCTGGGAGTTGGCGGGGTTGGAGGAAGAACCGGGCAGGGTCATACCCATGGTCTCGATGGCGGTGGCCATGGTGTTGGCAGTGTACATACCACCACAGGCACCCTCACCAGGGCAGGCGTGACGAATGACGTCGAAGCGCTGGGGCTCGGTGATCTCCTTGGCGATGAATTGGCCGTAAGCCTGGAAAGCGGAGACAATGTCGATATCGGCATTATCCTGGGTGACGGCGCAACCGGGCTTGATGGTACCACCGTAGACCATGAGACTGGGGCGGTTGAAGCGGCCCATGGCCATCAGGACACCGGGCATGTTCTTGTCGCAACCGGGAATGGAGATGTTGGCATCGTACCATTGGCCACCCATGACGGTCTCAACGGAGTCGGCAATCAGATCACGACTCTGGAGGGAGTAGCGCATACCAGTGGTACCCATACTGATGGCATCACTGACACCGACGGTGTTGAACTGGAAGCCAACCATGTTCTGGTCCTGCACACCCTGGCGCACCTTGTTGTTGAGGTCGAGCAAGTGCATGTTGCAGGGGTTACCGTTGAACCAAACAGATGAGATACCGACCTGGGGCTTGTTCATATCCTCCTCAGTGAGACCGACGGCGTAAAGCATGGCCTGGGAGGCACCCTGGGAGATGGGCTGGGTGATGTTGCGAGACACCTTGTTAAGGGCGGTATCCTTCTCATAGCGGGGGAGGGTAGTAGAGAGGGCACGACTGGAAGATCAATTGGCAATTGTCAGTACAGAGCAACGACAGCATGATTGAGAAGAAGCAAGCTCGAATTGGGTCAATTGAAGCTCGAGCAGTCCAGCTGGGGAGACTCACGCGGAGGTGGACCGGGCCAGGCGGAGGGCCGCGGGCACACGGGCCCTGTATTGAGAGAGCATTGTGATAGAGAGGCTTGGGGGAGAGCTTCAATCACGATACACACAAGAATATAAGAGAGGAGATGAGAGATGGGTGGTGGGGGAACCGGTTCTGGTTCTGGGGTCGAGTCAGAGGAAAATCGCCAGGACGGGCCGGGCGGAGTTGTGCTGTTCCTCCCCGGTGACTTCCCCACTTCATATTCCAGCCAATCGGACTGCGTCAATTGTCATCGGCGGAGTACGGAGTATACAGTGGTACGGCCTTAACTATGGAGTTTGGAGAACGGAGTACATAGACAAGCTTCGGTGAATATTTATGCTATGCATTGAAGACTGCACTAGTCACGTCTTGCATCTAGGCTTAATGTTTAATGTATCGCCCAATTGACCGATTGATCCTCGGCAAGATGTCCGTTACCCACTATAAGTTGAATCTGGTACTTAGGTAAATATAGCGAATAGTAGCAGTAAAACATAAATATTTATGAATTTTATACTCAGCGCTGGAGGTCTTTGATTTTCAAGGTCACTGCAGCTCTAGTAAATATTGATGAGCGTGGACTAGTGCCGTGACTCTGGAGCTCTACTTCGCCCCCAAAAGGGAATATCCTAACTCGGAGTTTGGAACCTGAAGCCTCCTTCCTCTTGATCGTTGCCTCTGCCAGTGGGGCTAATCATGCTTCCATGCCACACTAGTTATTGAATTGAAGTAGGAGAAGAACGAGAATTGAACTGGTTCAAAAAACATTGTTTTTGTAGTGTTTGTTCAGCCTGCTATCACAGGCAGATTGTAAAATGGGTATAACAAATGGTCTAGCCAGAAAGAAAGAGAGAAATCCCGAATCCAAACAACCTCAGCGGGCCAACATATCGCGTGAGTAAATAAGGTCGTGTATGGATGAATCGAGAACATGAGTGGTAAAATGGTGGGGAAATATGTATAGTTCGAACAGCTGTATGGTGAGAAAAAATGTTGAAAGAGAAGAAGGCGAATGAGAAAGGAGAAACGAGAGAAGTGTGAAAACATGTCAAAACATCAAAGAATGCGGCGAGGCCTGCTCTACGGCACTTCCTTGTCACCTCGCTTGATCCCGTTGGGTACGTCAATTGCGTCGCGCACCCAGGGCATAGCAGCGATATCATCGAGATGCTTGCGCTTAGTGTTGCGCTTCAGAAGGCCCTCGACGCAGTCCCGACCACCCTCGAGGTCGCGGCCCTTCTCAGCATCCCACTCCTCATCTTCATCGGCGTAGCGGTACCAACTCCATTCGCAGCGGGCGATACGGTGCGGGGTACGGGCTCGAAGTTTAGCCGGGTCGCCACGAGTGCCGGGTAGGACGTCAAAGGGTAGTCTGTTTTCCATAATGGCGTATAGCAGCACACCGAGAGCCCAGGCATCGGTTGCTCGGCCGTCATAAGGCTGACCCATGAGGATCTCGGGAGCAGCGTAATCTTCACTGCCGCATCGGGTTTGGAGGAGAGGGCTTTCCGGTGGCTCCGGTATACGTCGAGACAATCCGAGGTCACTGAGAGTAACCACGGCGCGGTCGTATGTGCGCCAGTCAGTCACATCCTCCATAGCGTGGAGAGGCATGGTGAGTAATACGTCTAGAGGAGTTGGTCAGTGCGAGTGGATCGCGCTATGGTACTAGCGAAACATACTTTCTAACTTGATATCGCGGTGGACGATATAATGCGAATGCAGGTAGCGCACGGCATTTACCAATTCGGCAAAAATGCGTCGAATGAGACCTGGTGAGGTGGACCGGGGTCCGGTGGTCGCAAATTCGAACAGATCCCCACCAGGGCAATAGTCCAAAACGAGAAGAGCGCGCTTCTCATCACTTCCGAATGCCTTCAATTGCACCAGAGATGGATGGTTGACAGCTTTGAGGATGTCAACCTCTCGCTTGAGAGAGACCTCCAATCGCTCCTCGTCAGCACCTCCAGCAGGGCCATGCTCAATGATCTTGACTGCCACCAGCTTCTGACCCACGGTGGGATGGACGATAACATCGCCAGGTGTGTCCGTGACAGGCGAGAGAGGAGTTTGCACAACCTCTTCCACGCGTGCCGCAAGGCAAACTTGACTGAATGTACCCTGGCCTAGGACGCGTATTTTCCTGTACATCCGAGACTGCTGGGTGCGCACTGATCGGACGGAATAAATTTCCTCCAGTTTAGACAAGGGGGCAGGGTGTCGAATGACGGGCTCTGAGTCACTGTCCCCATAGCCACTTCCACTGCTGCGAGGGGGGCTAGGGGGGACGAACTGTTGGCAGGGCAATGCCGCGATGGACAGCCAGGTATTGTTCGCGGTGAAGACCCGTCGATTTGGAATCAGTACTGGAAGAGGGAGCAATACTAGGACCAGCACCAGAAACTGCAACGGGCCGAGGGATGGCCATGCGACCCGGTGGCGCATAGTCACTCAGACTGCGGTTACGGACATGTTTGGTTGGCGAGTCACGGCGGACTCGACTGGCAACTGGAGATTCCTCCCCGAGGTCATTCAGACCAGTGTATGATTTTCCATGAGATCGTGAGGGTGGGCCTAGCATCTGCGACGAATCGCTCAATCGCAAACTCGAGCCACTTCGCGACGCGGTGGAAGAGGTACGCGATAGCGAGGGCAGAGCACCGCCGCGCCAGGGAGAAGCGCCACCAATCGGGGAGGGTAGCGGAGTGATGTCGGCCATCGCATTCAGTTGGGGCGAGGAGATAATCGAGGCCGGGGAAAGAGATCCGGCGCTACTGATGGGGGCAATCAAGGCGCGCAAACTTGGGGTTCGCTGCGGGATACTGCCGGAGGAGACGCTCAGACAGGCGAAATGATCGGAATCGCGCGAAGTGGACGGGCGACGGACGGTATTGGGAAAATCGGTGCGAATCTGGAGGGAGGGCACGGAAGCGGGACTAAGTATGGTTGGGGCGTCTATATGGCCCCGGGGTGATCGTGGTCATCGCCATGGCTGGGGACGGCAGCATGTTGAAGTTCATCGCAAGCGATGGCAAGACCAGACCTCTCGGTCGACGTAGAGTCGGGGGCGACCATGGAATTCCGACGAAGTATCTCGAGGAATGCAGAGGGAACCGAAAACGGGAAACCCGCGAGAGGAAAGGAAACGGTAGGATTGGATCCTGCGAATGGCGATTAGAGATTAGAGACGAGATAAGGTCATGTCTCAGCCTCACCCAAACGGCCTTAGCGTGGGAGGGGAGACCCGTTGAGGGTCAACGGGTTAAGAGCGAGTCACGGGCATGCAGAAGAGGTGAGATGTGAGTGTGTAGAATATGATAGCGGATTAGAGGGGAGGGAAAGTAGGAAAGAAAAAGGTCGAGAGTCGTCGCAAGCAGGCAAAGCAAGGCAGCAAAAGCAAAGCAAAAGCAAAGCAAAGCAGGCTAAGCGGAACGCCCTCGAAAAAAAAACGGGGAGGGGTCAGCTGACGCCTCCCCCGCATTCGTCAATTAACATCGTAGCTATATTTAGATACAGTATACAGAGTATACTGTAGACTATATACTGCTGGTATTGTTGATATGTTGGTAAAATTGGATATTGTATATTGTTGATTGTTGATTGTTGGGATGACTTCCAACGGCTGGTCCAGATCGTACTTCTGGAAGCAAACAAGCCCCCAGTCCGGTCGGCAATACTCTAGGCTATACTACCGAGTATAGAACACTCCCACTCTGTACCACCTGGTCTTTGCCGTGTTCCCCGTCAATAGTAAGCCGCAGAATCTGCAGAATCTGCGTAATCATGCCTTGCTCAATGATTCTGTGAAAATTAGCCAAACAAGAAACGATTGACACTACGAAAGCCGACCGGCCAAAGAGAACCGGCCCAGTGGGTTCCACTGCCGCCCATGCAGGGGCCATCTGCATCCGCGTGCGCCACTGACGATGCGTCGTGAAGATTTGCGGATCTCACCATTGCTTTTGTTTTGATTTTGCCGGTTTTTGCTCCCCTAGTCCTTCGGTAAAATTAAGCATATCGGAATAGATATGATTATCCACGAACTATAATTCCCGATGAACTATCTCCCAGATTACCTCCCGTGAGAACTATACAACCGTGCACCAAATACCCCAAAGCTTGAAAAATGGAGACCAAAAGCTGCCCAGCCCCCCCACCATCATAGCTTTTCAGGGTCGTCACGAGAACCGGTTCGCCTTTGGGGGCCATGCGAATAGTACATACTATGGCTCCCCATGCCCATTAATACGGATCTAGTATCCAGTACTAGTATAAGCACACCCCTTGATTGACGTCACTGCCAATATTTGAGTCAACTTGTGGGAATACGGGCACTCTCCAGAGTACTAATACCGTTTACCGCTACGGAGTAGTAAATGTCCATTAACTAGTACTGGTAGTACATTCAATTGAACATACACAGTAGTAATCTTCAAGTTCAACTGACGATTTCAAATTTACTAGCCTGAACCCACTAGAATTGTACACGGAGTATTTCAAACCCGAGGCCAACAGTTACCCAGGTAGTAATATCATAAGGCGAGGAGATCCGTAGTCCCGATATCCCAAATTACCACTGCGCAGCCCTAAAACCGATTCTCAGGATGCATCAATCGCCCAGCCACCTCCCCATAAGCCCCCTCAACCTCACTAATAGTCTCCCCCTGAACCCAATACCCCTTACCATTAGCCTTCTCCGCCGTCGCAGCCGCAAGAATCCCCCACGCCACATCCTCTGGTGAACTCTTCAACGTGTCCGGGTTCGTAGTAGCCTGAAGACCCTCAACCATCGAAGTCAGCGTTAACCACGGCGCGATCCACGAAATCGAAACTCCCGACTCCGCAACCTCGCTCATATGAGCCGTACTCCGGCAAAGTCCCAGCACGGCGTGCTTGCTAGCTGCGTAGAGGGGCTGCGATGGGATAGGAACGTAGGACCCTGCCGATGCTGTTACGACAATTTGGCCTCCACCGTGCTGTTTCATGTGGTGGATTCCTAGTTTCAGGCCGAAAAGTACCGAGTTGATGTTGATATCGAAGAGTTGGGTTGGAGGGCGGATCAAAGACTCGGAGGCCTCGTCATGTTCGTCGGCGAGGTAATTGTAGCGTACTTGCGAGTTCATTTTTGCATGCTGCTCCCGGTCGGATACTTGGAGCAGGGTGATCTCCGGGTTGATGGCTGCGTTGCAGACAAGCAAGTTGATGGGGCCGATCTTTTTCGTCACAGTTTCGAAGAGAGTCACCTGTTGTTCCCAATTGCTCACATCGCACACCTGGTATGACGATTGTTGCCCGATTTCGGCACACGATCTTTTCAGGGCTTCTTCGCTTAGGTCGACCAGAACCACCCGAGCGCCATGTTGGGCGAGGAGCGAAGCGGTTGCGAAACCGATACCACGGGCTGCGCCGGTGACAATGGCGACTTTGCCTTCCACTTTACTGCGGACGATGTCTGGGGTAGGTCGACTGGTAGCGGCCATGATGACGGGTTTCAAACGGAGAGATGTAAGGATGTAGTAAAGCTATCAATTAGCATCGCGAATAGTGGAAGGATGTCATTTTATCTTTATACATCAATTAACTGCGTTCCCACGTGGGCCCGGGAGTTTTGCTTCCGTGACAGCAACTGACAGCGAGGGGGATGTTGACTTCAAACCTCGGCATTCGACCCCCACCACAATCAGCTAACATCAGCCACTAACGTCTTAGTACTTAAGGAATAAGTAAAAGGCCAAGACTTAACTGAGAAAGTCCGAACCAATCAACTACTTTAAAAGCATGTTCTCATTTCTCATGTTCTTAAAAACTAGTCATGGCCCTAAATCGATTCTCATAAGCCCTCTTCGTCGCACTAGTTCCCGAAGAAAACGCCTCAAATCCATGAGGCAATCCAGGATAAACATGAAGATCGACCGGGATATTAGCGGTCACGAATTGGCGCGCATACTCCAGATCTTCATGCACAAACATGTCTAACTGCGCACTATCTAAATAAAGTGGCGGAAGACCATCTACACTTTCAACTCGTGCCGGAGCAGCATATGCCTTAATCTTGTCCGTGCCCCGATCGGCTCCTAGATACGCCGTCCACCCTGTGATATTATCCGCTTCATTCCACATCGCTAGTTCACCCGCGTGGTTGGTGGTGGTTCGGTCGTCCAGCATGGGGTAAACCAGGATCTGCTTCGCGAGAGGAGGCGAGAGATTTGTATCCCTTGCCTTGAGAGTCATAGCAGCTGCCAGTCCACCCCGGCACTCTCGCCCATAACCGCGATCCGAGCAGTGTCGATATTGAGTTCGTTTGCGTTTGCGTATACCCACTGCAATGCCGCCCAGCAGTCGTTGAATGGGACGGGGTACGGGTTTTCGGGGGCTAGTCGGTAGTCGATGCTGAGGATTTGGACTCCAGTTTGCGACACTGCCTGAACGATTGGAGGGAGACATGTTTCCGCGCTGAGGAGGAAGTATCCTCCGCCGTGGAAGTGGACGATGGCAGGCTCGCCGTTTGGATTGACTTGTTTCCCTTTCACGCGGATGTGATGGATGGGAACTTGGCGGCCGTCCGGAGCTGAAGCTTGACGGGTGATCTTTTCGACATTTTCCGGAAGGGGAGGAAGTTCTCTGGTGAAACTTGCGAAGTATGCTCTTCGACTGTCAACGTCGTGAACTGGGAATTTACTGGCACCGCCGAGGATGTGGAGGGCAGGGCCAGCCTCTTTGATGAATTCGGGGTCGTATTGGAGAGGCATTGATGAGAGGATTTGTTTTCGAATAAAATGTTGAGAAAGGAAGAGAATAGTGTTGTGAAAAATTCCACTGCCCTGGAAACAAATAAAGGAGTCCGTTATAGCAAGCAAAGAAACAGCCTGTCAAGCAAACATTTAGGCAAACCGACAATCGCCGACTCTCGTCTCGGCTCAAGAGTCGTGAAATCGTCAACCATCAACTCGTTTTCGCTCACATCTTCCAATCAAAAGAACAAATCCAATCTTTACCCCATGAAATGCCGATTCTCAAATGCCCACTCTTCACGGAATGACCCTGACCCGCATCCGAGAGGCAAGTTTGGTCGTTTGAATAGATGCAGTCCCCACAAAAGTGGACCCAAACCCTTCGGGCAGGAGATGGCGAGCGTCGTGGATTGATCCACCCTCCCTAATTCGCTTTAGCGGCTTGACTAGCTTCGCACCTCACTACCTGATACGAACTACACCTTCTTGGCCGGATATTCGGTATCATACTCTCCCGACCAACAAGCTGCTAGAATCAATACAATACGGAAGTGATTCTATGGTTCCGCCGACGTAGGCTTGCACTAACAACAGCAACAAAAACATCTACGAAGCTAAAGAGCGCCACAATATGGGGTTGGATCTGCCGAGTTTCGATGAATTACCCCCCGTCGAGGGAATGCCTCAGGGCTGTGCGTGGGGGGGTTTTTGATCGCGATGGTGAGAAGGATATCTTTGGCACTCTGAATATCTTGACTCCTGATGTGGTTAAGGCTGCGGCGCAGGAGGTTCAGGATGGTATTTCGGTTTCGCTGAAGTCAGTTTTGTCTCATTTTCACTGTCTTGCCCGCGGGTGTAGAAGGTTTTAACTGATCTAACTCTAGTTGGCCAATTGGGAGCATCAAGATCCCTGGTTTCTTCAGAAAAAGTCTTACGCACAAGGTGATGAAACTGGAAGATCCATCGGCTGATTTGCATTATGGATTCGATGATGAGGTATAGTTTGCTCGAGTGACAATATTGACGTACTATACTGATAAGAATAGGTCGAGTTCAACACCCAGGCAAGCAGCCAGTGGGACAGTCTCTGTCAGTAAAATACGTACTGGAACTCTTAATCATCTCTAACTTTTACATAGGTCACTTCATGCATCTGCCCTCTGGAAAGGCATACAATGGGGTTACTCCAACCATCGCCGAGATGGAAGATCCCGCCAACGCGACTCAGAAGCTACCCACTCTTGACAGTACGTCAACCCCATATCCCGCATGACTGTCTCTAACTCAATCCAGGTTGGCACAAACGCGGCTGTATTGCTGGAAGAGGCGTCCTAATCGACTTCAAATCCTACGCCGACAAACACGGCATCTCATACTCTCCCTTCACAGGCTTCCGAATCAGTCCATCGGACATCGAAGCAGTAGCCGTCGACCAGGGCGTATCTTTCAAGCAAGGAGACATCTTAATCATCCGATTCGGTGTCACAGAAGCGCTAGGAAAGATGACGGGCGCAGAACAAGCAGCGGCCATGGGAAGTGTCAGCGTTTGCGGAGTCGAGGGAACTGTCGAGATGACACGCTGGCTCTGGAATCACCATTTTGCCGCTATTGCCAGTGACAACCTCGCTGTTGAGGCTATGCCGCCGATGGAGAATGGGGATGTTCTACCTCTCACCAACCTCGTGCTGCATCAGTGGTGCCTGGGGCTGTTTGGTATGCCGTTGGGTGAATTGTGGGATTTGAAGGCGCTGGCGGAGGTGTGCAAGGAGAAGATGAGATATTCGTTCCTCCTTACGTCCGCTCCGCTGAATGTGCCCGGTGCTGTTGGAAGTCCCCCAAACGCGATTGCAATTCTGTGAGATTCTCGGATGAAATTGGGATAGTTTCTATAAAATTTCTTTAGGAGCAGGAATAAATATTTTTTGCCTTGCGCTAGAGTGCAAAGTTTTAACCCAAATTTCATTGACATTATTGCGTATGATAGGTTATGAAAGTGGATTTCTTCGCTAGCAAAGGGGTAACCTTCGTCCTGTTGTTTCTTGGGTTCATCAATACTCAGACTCGCGGAAGACCCCTTAGATAGAACACGCTTGCTTAGGGTTTTTGTATGAATTACCTCATAGGTCATGATGTTCCAAGAAATCTTGGTGACTTTCTATACATGATGACCTATGCGCCGAATAGATCGAAATCTCCCCATTAAGAAGACGTACTGAATCCCTGCCAGCTCTCCAATCCAGCCTTGCAACTCTTCCACCAACGTTGCATACCACCAAGATAGACAAGTGGCTCACGTCTCTTGCCAGGAATATTAGAGCCCATATACCACGAATCAGCCTTAGGATAGAGAGTATACTGGCTAACAGCATGGACCTCGTCGCGCCAAGCTTCCGCAGCGGCCTGAGTAGATTCAATGGAGCTGAGTCCTTCCTTTTGCATCTTTTCAATCACTTGATAGATCCAATCAACCTCCATTTCAATGAAAGGCGGGCCATTAGCTAGCGAAGTAGGCGCTTGAGGACCATAAACAATGAATAGATTGGGCGTATCTGGAACCATCATGCCAAGGTGTGTGAGGACGCCATTCTTCCACTTCTCGCTCAATGGAACTTGATTCTTATCCGAAATTGCCAGGTCTAGCAAGCTTCCAGTGACAGCATCGTAGCCCGTGGCAAAGATGACCACATCTAGATCGTGGTGCTGCGTTGTTTTGCCGTCGCTTGTCACCATTCCTGTAGCGTCGAACTCTAGGATAGGAAACTTCTTCAGGTTGTGGAGGGTCACGTTGGATCGGTCGATCATTTCATAGTAATCCTGCTCCAGACTGGGTCTCTTGGTTCCAATCAGCATCTGTTGCTTCAAGGGCGCTACGAGATCCATTTTCTCAGGATTCGTCATGCGAGCGCGGACTTTCTGGATCCAGTAATTGTAGAAGATCGAATTGGCACCTTCGTCCAGAAGGAAATCGTAGTAGTTCGATACCAGGAAACTGTAACCACCTCGTTCCCACAGTTCATCGAACAATTCCTTTCTCTCTTCGGGTGTGGCTTGGTGAGCAGATTTGAAGATGGTGTTGTGTGGAAAGCCAGCCGTGGATTTGTAGTTGCGCTCAAAGATCCCGTCATAGTAGCCCTTCATCATCTCTGCTTCTTCGGGAGAAATCTGACGCTGTTTCATTGGAATGGCGAAGCATGGCGTGCGAATAAAGACTTTGAGATCACAATCTTCCTTGGCGACATTCTGCACGATTTGAAGACCAGAGGCACCATTTCCAACCACGCCGACACGCTTTCCCTTAAGATCCAAAGATTCGGGGTAATCGGCCGCATGAACAAACTTTCCACGAAAATTGTCTAGCCCGTTGAAGGCCGGATAGTGCTTTTTATGCGAGGATCCGGTGGCAGCGATGAGGTACTTGCAAGTTGCCGATAGTCCAGATTCAGTCTGAACGTTCCACCGAGCTGTGGCGGTGTCATATCGAACATTGTTGACGATTGTGTTGAAAAAGGTATCCCTGCTCAAGTCGAGGACGTTGTCGACATGTTGGAAGTATGCTCGTAGTTCTTCGTCGCCTGGGAAGCGCTCAGACCAGTTCCAACCCTTGTACACAGCAGGAATGTTGAACTGGTAAGATGGCATCTCCGTATCGACGCGGGCGCCGGGGTAACGATTCCAATGCCACACCCCGCCAAATCCACTACCGGCTTCGATCAGCTTCACTGACAGGCCGAGGCGTCGGAGCTTGTAGAGTGAATTGCATCCACCGAAGCCGCCACCAATCACGACGGCGTCGACATCAACATGGGGACCGGTCCGGGTCATTTTGACGAATTCAAGTTGCACAGACAATGAGTAGAAGACAAGAAAACCCCGGAAGTTGAAAACTTGGGCAAAAAATCAATTGGCGGGGGTGGTTGCTACTTTTACATCAGGGCATTTGCTAGATTTGGTAGAAATTGCGAAGTAATGGTATTCTGCGTTGCCGGCTGGAGCTCGGGTGACAGGCATACCGAGCCCGTTCAGGGCCACTTTTCTGCATCCGAAGTTGCTTGGGACTGGGGTATAGATTGATGATTCTCAAACAGGGAATCCATGGCGAGAAGGTTTCCACTCGCCCCACCATGCGGGACATTAAAGTCGATACGCGACGCCACAGCCGACAATGCATTGTTCTATGTTTCGTAGGAATCCAAATTAAGGAGGCCCTTGCGCGAGTAATACTGTAAGTATTAACAGTTCGGAGTCTGTCAGCTCCGCATCCGACACAGATCCGGGAGAGGGAGTGGATTTGAGAGCCTGGCCAGCGGGGTATTGACTTGCCGTGGCCGTTTCCACGGCAAGTGCTTGAGCTTTTGAGAATTACCTAGGTAGATACCTGCGGTGTCTGGTACATAACTACATGACACTATGGCCTCAGGCACCTGAGTCGTCGTGCCGTCCTTCTGTCTATAGAAAGCTTCACTCTTTTCTCTCAATACAACGAATACGAACACCTCGGCCTGCTCGTCACTTCCCCATTTGTCACCCTCTCACAAATCTACGTACTTCTGAAGATCGAGATCGTTGAATACAATCATTGAATTCTTTTAGTACCAGTCACAATGGCATGCAACGTGAAGGGAACGGCATTCATCACCGGTGGTGGATCAGGTACGTTGTCATTTTTGACAAAGGCATCAGACCGAAACTAACAAATCAGGAATCGGCAAAAGCACTGCAGTCACATTCGCACAGAATGGAATCAGCGCCGTGACTCTGGTAGACATGAATGTTCCTCTCCTCGAGCAAACCCGAGACGAGCTTCGCGCACAATTCCCAACCCTCGAAGTCGAGATCCTGGAAGTGAATGTCGCAAACGAAGAATCTGTCGAATCTGCAGTTCGGAAGACAGTCGATCGTTTTGGTCGTGTTGATATCGGCATCAACTGTGCTGGTATTAGTGGCAACCCGACCCCTACCGCCGAGATGTCGCTGGCGGAGTGGCAGAAGGTTATCGACGTGAACCAGACAGGCGTGTGGTTGTGCCAAAGAGCTTTGATTCGGCAGATGCTGAAGCAAGAGTGAGTTTCATACTACATGGACAGGATGAATGCTAATTCCTATAGTTCCCACGGAACTCGAGAAGGTCGCGGTGTGATTGTCAACGTCTCCTCTATGTTCGGCGTCAGTGGGCCACCTGGACCATTCAGCATTCCACACTACACAGCAGCAAAGCACGGTGTGTTAAGATAATTTCTGTTTCAAATTGAAATTTACTGACCAGATCATCTAGCTGTTGTTGGCCTCACAAAAATGGTTCGCTGTCTCTTTACCCGTGCTGCGAAATCATTGCTAACAACATTGGAATGATCTAGGACGCCAAGGCATATTCTCGTCAAGGAATTCGTATCAATGCGATCTGCCCTGGGTATGAACCTCCATTTACTTCCAAGAACTTCAGTATGACTTTGAACTGATAGTTATTTGATCCCAGATTCGTCGATACACCTATCATCAAGCAACAGATCGAATCAGGCTCAATGAACCCTGCATTTGAGATGACCCCTGTCGGACGGCCCGCACAAGTCGAGGAGATTTCGGATGCCCTTCTGTTCCTGTCATCCTCCATGAGCAGCTACATGTGCGGTGCAGCCCTAGTCGTGGATGGAGGATACACTGTTTAGGAGAGGAATGCGAGATGTAGTTAAAATGGTACATTGCCGCTATTGGCTCAATATTAACTGGACAAGTCAAAATTATCTTCTAACTCTGAATAAAGTACTCATACAAGCATGATATCAAAATCTGTCTCCTTGGCAATTTCCTGCCAGTGAATATCCACACCACTTCCAGCCTGTGCCCTTCTGTCCCAGAGGGTCTTGACAATTTCAAGCAATATCATTGCGTTTTCAATCCCGTTCTTTGCCTTCTTATCAAAAGAGGCCAACATGCGAGATTGAAGATCCGGGCGCTGACACTCGGCTGCAACAACAAAGCTAGCCCAATTATAGGCACAACCACCCTTGTCGTTTTTCAAGAAATCAACCGCCTCCAATTCCTGAACAGCTTTCTCCACAAGCTCCTGTACATCACCGAGAGGCGCATGGCGAAGAGTACGCTTGAAGTAGATGATCGTTGCATAGTAGAAGGAGTTGAGCGCATGTTGGATAGTAGTCGACCCTGGGGCATCCGGGTCAGACAAGGATGGAAAATTGAGTAAAAGTTGCAACTCCAATTCGGCCAGGTCGCTTGTTGATATTTCCGCTTTCGAAGTATTCATGGTCGTCATTTGCGCCAATAGCTGAACCAGCGGAGCCGTTATACCGTGCGATCTTTCGAGATAGTGGCGCAGTTCTGATGGACCGTTGAGTAAAGACATCATCTGAGTTGACATGGGTAGATTGCAGAGGGAGGATAAAGAGAGATAGCTCTGCAGCAAGCGAGAAGCAGTCGGCCCCCGAACCCAACCTCCATTCAATTCGTTCTCAAGGAGGCCCAGGCCACCAGCAACGTGTGCTCTCCAACGCCCTCTCCGCCCGGACATAGCTTCTGCCGTGATACAAGAAAGGACCGCCGCTAAGGTCGGCTCATCCAAGCGCCGTGCCTTTTGCAGATTGTATCTTAGATGCCGTAATGCAAGTTGGTCATGATGCATTGCTAACGATTGGTAGCGTGAGTCGCGACGGAGGTGAAACAAGCTAAACGAAGATGAGGCGCATATAGCATGGAAGATTGATAGGTGGATGTTCGATTCTGTTGAGGGCGTATCAAGTCCCTTCAGCGCCATTGGCATGAAGATTGTCCGACATGGGTTGTCCGGAGTGTCGATCAGCATCATGCTTCCACTTAGGAAGACAACCCAATGATGGACTAGTTCTGTTTCGGGTCTAGGGAGCTGGATCGGATTTATTGCCATCATGAAAGACAGGTCTGTTGGTGGAGAGCTGCCGGGTAGTAGAGGCTTTCTTCGGCGGTCGTATTTGGACGCATGCTGCTTGTTGATAGAGCCGGTCACATTATCCTTCGCATAATTGGCTTGAGTGAGAGACCCAGATGATACCGATGGCGATTCTATACTTTGAGTCCTACTCAGAGGACCGGTCGACCTCACAGGTAGGACAGGATCATCGATGCCAGAAGTCGTTTCGCCACCGATCTCCAACGCATTTTCGAAAGATCGCGCTTTCCGGCTATCGAATTCCTCCTCTGCAACCTGGCATAATGGTGATGGTTCATTATGAAGACTCAATCCCTCGTCCACGTCCTCATTGTCCGACCCCGAACTTGCAGCGGAGAACACCGAGAAAGGCCCGCGTTGCTGGGCTCTGCCCTCGGCCGAGCACCCGTCAAGTTCGGCCAACAGAGCCGTCACAGCGGCCGAGGACAAGTCCAATGTCGATTGTGGAGTCTCCGACCAGATCTGCCTGCGATGGGAACGAGTCCCGGGCGATTGTGACCATCCTAGACGCAATCCATACCCCTGACAAACCCACCCACTCCGCAGACAACGTCTGCAGGCCGGGCGCTCGTCATCGCACTTGACCCGGCGGCCCCGGCACGTCCAGCAGCCCGTAAATGTCTTGGTGCGTATTTTGGGGGCTTTCACATTATCAGATTTGGTCCTATTCGTCATTCCCACGAAGAATGCTGGGAGGTGGTGGAGGTTGAGATTTCAGAACGGACAACCAAAATTATTCATCTTTGCCCCCGCCGCTCGGCACCTGCCGCCCCCGTCTGGCTATAACTTCCGTATTGAGCAGAACATGGTTACATTTTGGTTTCCTATCTAGAAGAAATGCCGAGGTCGTTATGTTCACTCTTCCGTACGACGATAATTAATCGATCTATGCATTGCGGCCATTATTCGCGTCTCCCGTTCGAACTGCATGATCCACTCGCCCCATGGGGAAGACAAATGATCTAGACTCATCAAAAAGTCGAGATGCGATCCTTATGTATGAGTTCGACTGACAATGCTGCTCTGCGTTTTCCTTAATCTTCTCAAATATGCATCTTATATGCGTCGCCCTCAAGCCCGAACTAGAAAAAGTTTTGACTCCCGATACATCGAAATTTTCTCCTAAGATCCTGAGATAGTCACCGCGCCGAGGGATGGAGATTCAGCAAAAGCAACTTTGGAATTTAGTATTTCCATTCTCAACATCATCCAGAACTACCACTCTAGGGCTGGTAAGGCATCACATGAAAATAGTACGAGCAATAGTACTAGTAGTACGAGTAGTAGATTACTACTACTCCAGGGCTCCGAGTCACTGCCCAACTGGGCAGGTGGTAGATGATTCCAGGCTTTATTTCCAACTTAGTAAGGCAAGTTGGACTCACCTTCCAACTTGAACTTCCCTGGAAAGTTGGAAGCCCTGGAGGTTCTACGGCTATAGTATTACCTACCTAGGTGGTTGTAGTGGTTGTATGCCATCCTGCTATATATTATTCCGAACAGTCCCCACTTAAATTTCGCAGAGGAGGCATCGGAATTATGGGATAACATTGGAACGAATGTCCCGGTCTGTTACTAGTAATACTATTAGCGAAGGATGAATTCCAAGGTTTCGGGGCTCAAGGTGCAACAGAGCTCTCTCAAAGTTCCCGGATTCCGAACCGGCATGCCGAAAGAGACCTCTTTGGTGATAACTTGGAAATCCAGCATGAGATCTACGGAACATCAAACGCCTGAACACGCCACAGACTCGGAGGTCCCACAACAAGGGTGATTGATCCCCACAACCCACACTCATCCCTTGGCAGTTTATCTCCGGCTCGGGACTCGGAGACTGGCTCGGCCATAAATCCGGGTAAATATTGATTCCAGCCGGCATTTAGGGATAAGACAGACACTAGAAAAGACTACATTATGGGATCTATTATTAGATGGTATGCAAGTTGTGCTGCATTGAACGCTCGCATGAAAGTCATTGACAGGTGTTCACCCATACATCCTCCAGAGTATACTAGTAACAGGAGAAAATGATTTTATTTCCATAGTTATGAATTCAAGAAGTAGCTGTGAATTCTCATACATTTCAACGTTGTATAGCGCCGCGACTAAATTGGGCCAGTCATTAGATACATCGCGACTGTTTGCAAAAGGCATTCAAGACTATATGTAGCTTTTATGAGCCCCTTTGAACGACGTAAAAGAGGGGAATGTTGCGTCGTGAACCTTGAATCTGAGGGTCTTCCAACTATCTCAAGGCTAGTAGTCTCGTACATGTGTGGGTCCATGGAGGTCTTATAGATTTATCCATTATGGTGCTATGCATGCCCTAGCCCACAACTCTAGCCAATCCAGCCCAAGAAAGCAGTATTGGAAGCTTCGAAGGACCGATAGTTATTCAAGGTGGGCCAATTGTTCTTCCTACGACGCGTCACGTTGCCCTGGATGTCTCAGAAAGTGGACATCAAGGACCCTCAACTCGCTTCCAATAGCATTGCTCAAGGAAGACGCAGATTGATGATGAGATTGTATGTGTAGGGCGGTTCCATTCAGACTGAATAGCCCGGTATTTGATCACATTTGTCAGTATAAACTAAGTGTAGCGAGGTCGGCATGTCGAATCCTTCAAAACATGCACCTGGGAGCATCAGATGTGGAGCTCTTGATCTACAGAAAGGAAAGTTGGAATAAAAGCTGAGCGCCCAGGGCCTGAGATTATCAGCCTCGATGGGGCTGAGAGTGATCCATTTTTAGGTGGAAACAACCAAGAGGTGATCAGAGCTAGAAGTATTCTATTCTTGAACCATGATCCAACTATAAAGAAGACCCGGTACCACGTCTATGATCCCAATTCTATCCCCACCCAAGCAACTTCGTTCAGCTTGATCTTGTATTCATTCAGCCGTCTCGACAGCTCATTCCGTTCGTTTACCCATCTCATAATGTCGACCACAACAACCACCACCGCGGCAACCACAACGTCGAGCTGTCACGCAAAGCTCTATGACATCCCAACCCACGATGCCGCCTGCGCACTGCCAATTGCTAAGAGCAACGCTTCCTCCGTCATGAGTGACTGCTGCTCCTCCGCATCGGTCGTTGAGTATGACGGCTGTGACTACTATTGCCTGGCTCAGGGCCAGACCGTTGGAACCCTTGCCGAATGTCTTATCAAGGCCGTCGGTGCAGGCGAGTTTTGGTGTAACACGAATGCCAACGCTACCGCAACAGCTACGGCCACTGCTACTGGCACTGGCGTAGTCACTCTCGGCGCGACAACGACTGGCGCAGACTCCACTGCTTCGGGGACATCGAGTGGATCGACTGCAACTTCGACATCGACATCGGGAGCTGGCGTTAGCCGGCCTCGCCCCGTATCCAAGTCTGCCCTTGGGATGGTTGGGGTTTTGCTTATCGGTTCAATGATTGGACTTTCTGTCTGAGCGAGTGGCGAATATTGTTGGAATATGTGGGCATTAGTCATTTCTCTTCTGTGCGATGCGGGATAGATCAAGTCTTCGTGTCAATTTTTGTCAATTATTTAGCGCCAAATGTACAATACATAGTATACACGGCCAACCAATATGCACATGTAGTGTGGGCGTAATAATTCTCTATTGGAAGTCACTGACAGCATTAAGGATACAAGACGAGACACAAATTATATGTCATAGCCAATAAGCCTCAGATATGCAAAGAGACTTTTCTATGTACAGAAGGAAAGGAAAAAGCGAATAAAAAGTACAAACCCAATTGCACACCCGTTCCCAACCCGCGCAGAAATGCGAAACATGGATGCTTTAAGCGCCAGAGTGAAGAGATCCGCAGGGAAAAAAGAGTAAGAAGCTGTTGTAATACATCGCGGGTGAAAGTGAGAATGGTTGAGGTGAGCGGGCTACCACCAGGCGGTCATGGAAGATGGCGGAGCGGGTATGGAGGTGTGGTTGGTTCACCGAAAGGATGATGGGAGGTTTTAACTGATTGGCTCAGTTTTATTTAGAAAAAGGCGCGTCGTGTGACCTAGAATGAAGTGGTTAGCAGGGTCGCGCAAATCGATCAAATATGAGGGCGGCTACTTACGGCCCAAGCACCGGCAATGGAAGCCACGATGCCCCCAGAGATCATCATGGGCTTAAGACCGCGCGTGCTCTTGAAAAGCATTCCACTCAAAGCACCAGCAGCGACACTGTTGGCAGAATCGTGCTTGCCACGCGCAACACCGATGGCAGAGTTGAATCCGTTGTAAACCATCGCGACAACACCGGCGGAGTTACCGAGGAAAGGACCGCGACGAGTAATCGAGTTGAGAGCACCGTTGAGGCGAATCTTAGGGGGAGCATTGGCGGGTGTCTTGCTGAGACCTTCGGCGAGACCCCATACGCCTCCGAGGGTCAGCGCGGCGAGATATGTGGTGCCGGCACCGTAGCAGAGATCGTCGGACCAGCCGCGGGAAGGCAGGAAAGAGCGGGAGCCGGGTGTTTCATCGAGTGCGGTGTCTTCAAGGGAGAGGTAATCGAGAGTATCCTGGTTCAGGCCGGCCAGGGGATGGAGTCTGGTGGCATCGGAAACGGCGATCTCGGAGAGGAAGCCAGTGGCATCTTGAGTGGTAGAAGGGTCGAATGCTTGGACGGCGTTGTCCTCCTTGCGCCCGCCGAGGGAGTCCCAGATAGCCATGATGAAGATAAAATGGGGAGAGGGGGAGGAGGATGGAAAGATAAGATTGACTGGAGAAGAGACTGGAAAGACGAGGACGAGGCCCTTCAATCACCAGCTCCACTGCGAATGTCGGCGCCAGCAAAAAACTTCGGTCCCGTGACATTCAGTCCCGTGACGCGGAACCAAGGATAATGGTTATGCCGATGCTAGTCCCCAGCTGGCTTAGCGCGCATCATCCCACTTCCGTTGCTGCCTCAGGCCAATAAAAATTGCGGGCAAATTTCATGCTTTGCGTGGATTCGTGCCACTCGCGAGATATCCAATTGCTCGATCTGGTGGATCTTGTATTTGCCATGGATAGTAATTCACCACACAGTACTGGACGTGCACCTCCTGCAAATATGGAGGACATCGCACAAAAGGTCGAAATGCTGCCCGAAAAGACCTTGAATGCAATTGCGAAGGGTCCGTTGGTCAAATTGACATTGAACAGTACCGATACTGAGTGAGTAATGATTGAAGGAAGGTCATGGACCAAGTCATCTAACTAGACTTTTCAGACAAATCAAACGGGTGTGGCAGTCCTTGATTTTGACATTATCCACCCCGTCTCTATCCAGCGGACATACCATGGCAGTTTGCAATGCTACATCTGCTTTTCTCGATGCCGCGGCCAATGCCAAACATGAAGAAACCAAGCAATTGGCACTCAGCACTGAGACCTGGATGACGGTCTTCAATATATTCCTAGGCCGATACGAGGACGCGAAACCAAAGGCGCTCAAGCTACTTCTCGGCTCGCTGGCTACCATCTTAGCCAAGCACCTCAAAGGAGAAGAAAGAGCTCTTATTCAACGTAATATTGTCACAGCTACATTTCCTAGTGTTGTGCTTGGCGAGCCCCGGTCTCGTTTGAAGGGTTCCCTTGTATGCCTAGAGTGGGTGATTCGCAAGGGTGCTATTCTTCCGTTCGAATTGATCCACTTAATACAACAATGGCTGCTCGAGAATCGTGCCGAATGGGTACCTGCTTTTGAGAAGGACTGCAATACATTTTTTGCCAGTGGCGTGCAGGCAACTCCCGACTTAATGTCTACCGACCTATCCGAGGAATTCGCCGCTAATATCTTCTTCCTCGGTCTTCTGACTCAGACCAATAACCGTGAATTTTCTGGCACGGGCGGTGGATTGTTATCGACATTCTTGCAAAAGCTCAAAGCAGAATCTCCGACAAGGAAGCTGTCCAACATCTGGGTGGCTCCTGTCAAGCTTATAGTGTTGCGCAGCATGGACCACCTTGAAGCTCTCTCCAGCCAAGTCCTTGAGCCTCTATTCGCAATTGATCCGGCTGGCTTCCGGTCGTTTGTGGATTCTCTGCCCTTTGAAAATTTCTTGGCTGGCGATATGAGTAACGCTCGGGAATCGGAATTCATCTTGCTTTTCTCGGCCCTCCAGATGGGCAAAAAGTCCAATCTTGTCCTCGATGACTGTAAGATCTATATCTCATCTCTTACGGGTATTTCTTGCTAATCTTCTCCAGTCGACTCCTCGAAGCCAGACGATAAGAAGGATAATGCCCCTCCGAAGTTGGTGCTAAAGAGCGAAGTTATCGGTCGGTTCCTATTTCATAATGAACCGAAGATCCGAGTTGCGGCCTTGTCCTTGTTGATCACAGGGCTTTCGACAGTCAAACCATTCACGGCATCTGCTATAAATGCAATTCTGCGAGGTCTTCCGTCCATGCATGCGGACTCTGATGCCTACAGCAGAGGAGAGATCATGAGTCTCACCCGCAAATTTATTTTACGCCTGAAGGGAGGTGTCGTTAAAGACGAAGATGCAGCACAGAGTTCCGACTCTTCTGGAAAACAACCAGTTGGTTTAAGCCGAAGCGATAGTGAGACCCAAAAATGTCTCGAGACGTATCTCGATTTCCTACAAAAGGATTTGTGTGTCACGGCGTCCTACGCGCGCCACATCAGCGCTCTGAAAGCGCTCAATCTCCTGCTAGTATCTGGTCTGGATCCAAGGGCAGGTATCCCACCGGTGAAATCAGAGATTCAAACACATTGGAAGTCGCATGTCGAGGTTTTCAATGCCCGCTTGCTTCGGTTGTTGGTTGACCTATTACTTGACCCATTCGAAGAAGTCCGACATACTGCACTTTCAATTATAAACACTTTCCCGCGAGATGTTCTTTTCAGTGCATCATCAGAGGGAGTTAGTGAGCAAGCTGCTGCTGGGATGTGCCTGACCGATGCTCTGACCCGTGCTGAAAACATGGCCAGCAGAACCAGCCGAGCTGACCACGCTGACACTGTGGCTCGACTATATCATGTCCTCTTCTGCGCTGCTTTGCCCCCAACTTCCTCCAAAGAAGTCAATGACTGGTGGACAACGAAATATTCAGTTGTGGACAAAATAATTACCAACCTGGAAGAACGTCTTTCTTCCCCGAAGGGATTGTTCAATTCCAGTTTGCGTGAGGTTCCGCTCCACGGTTACATATCTGGTTTGAGATATATCATTCTCATGCCGGAATTTTATACCCTAGTGTCATCAGATGATAATTCGGTAGCCTGGAGATCCATCCATGGCCGGATTGTCAACATCTGTGATCGTGTCTGGCAAGAAGTCAAGCCTGTCTTGTGCATTGACTCCCCCGAAGGCCATACAGACGAACCCATTGAGGACCTCTCAGTAGGCCCTAAGGACATATTGTCATACTCGTGGAGAGCTCTTCGCGAATCCAGCTTGCTTCTCCATGCCACGATGGTCAATACTACCTACGGCCCAGACAGTGTAGATGGTCTCAGCCGCAAAGACTTCGAACAGGTCGGACAGAGCAGTTTCACTCAGCTAGCGGAACTACGCCACAGAGGTGCATTTTCCACGGTCTCAAGTACATTCGCGACATGCTGCCAGCGTTGCAGTCATTCGAAGGATGCATCTATCCAGGAACTTCCCCGATCATGGTACCAGCGTGCGAAAAAGACGATCTTTGAATCGGCCTCTAAACTCACCCGCCGATCTGCTGGCATTCCAGCACTGATCACAGGAGTCCTGTGCGCGGTGCCTGGTACGCCTTTCTTCAAGGAAGTACTCAACGAGTTGCATGAAATCTCCCGATTGGAAGTTCAGTACAATAAGGAGAAGCAGTATCTGGAGCTTCCCCAAGTGCACGCCATGAACTGCTTGAAGGACATATTCGTCAACAACAAGCTCGGCCCACACACCGAGCCTTTCATCATGTCGGCTCTCACTCTTTCTGCCGAGCGACTTGCGTCGCCTATTTGGGCTCTGCGGAATTCTGGACTGATGCTCTTCCGAGCCCTCCTCACTCGAATGTGTCGCGCGATGCCCAATACTGGAGGAGGCTTCGGCGGCGATTCCGGTTCAGAGCCAGGATCTCAAATCTCCTTCCAAAAATACCCCGGTCTCCTGGAGTTACTGGCTAACCTTCTGGCCACCTCTGAAGGAGCCACGGCTGAGGGAACAGATATTATCACTGAGCGCATTTTCCCAGCACTGGAGCTCATCGGAGAGAAGATCCCAACCCCCGAAGACAACAATGACGCCATGCTTTGCGGTTTGGTTTCCGAACATTTCAAGAGCCCCGTGTGGGGAATTAGAGAGCACGCTGCGCGTGTATATGCCTCTCTCCTTACTCGGGCGAATATTCTTAATGACGTTCACAACCTCACCAATGGCCTATCGGGACAGGTCACGGAGAACTTCGTCCATGGAACTATTTTGTGTGTCAGGTTTGCTCTGCGCCGGTTTGCGGCCACCACTGATAATTTTTGGAACTGTGAGTTAATAGCACATCACTAACTTCAAACCTGGCTAATCTGAATAGCTCACCTTGACCAAACCCTCTCAACTCTTCGTCGCGTTCTGGCAACTTCATTTCCCGTGGCCAGATCTCCGTATGTTGCGAGCGCCCTTGTCGAAATCTTGAACGATATACTAGAGCGGAGTTTCAAGGCCAATACCGAAAGTAAGAAAAGCAGCGAAAAAGTTATATAGCTTTCAAACTAACTATTTGTTTTCAGATCGAGCTACGTCTCTCATCCAAGCCCTCTGTGAAGAACACGACCTGGGTGGCATTATGGCGCATGTTTTCGATAATAGTGAACCAAACTGGAAGCTAACGAGCACCACTCGGTCATGCTCTCTTCTCAGGAGGTCTCTTGCTTGGTGCAAGATTCTCACATCTCTTGCAAGCAAGTCATGGGAAGGGCTGCCTGTGTTCTTTAACGAAGTTAGCTTGTTTGACCCGGATTCCGCGACATGGATCTGTGAACAGCTTGAGGAGACACTTGGAACAGCAGTGGAGTACACAAAGCCAGTTGCGAGTCTGTATGCATCTGTAATGTTGGGTCAGAGCCAAACGGCTGTCAGGATACTGGCCGCTTCAAATCTGGCATCGATCCTCGAAGAAACGCTTTCGGCGCAACCAGCGAGGATTTCTCAACTTGATTTGCCTTTTGGAGATCTGGCACAAAGCTTCCAGCCGCAGAAAGAGTTTGAAAGCTGGAACAGACAGGCTACAGATGCAGGACTTCGTCTTCAAGGATGCTTCCTCGCAGTCCACTCCACCGGAGAGAAAGTGGACTTTGCGTCGCTTCATCACGATATTCACGACTGGATCATCAAGCTGCGATCTGCGCTCAGCGAAGAAACGGTAAGTTTCATGAAAAGTCATGAAGTATTGCATGGATACTAACACCTCGCCAGGAATTCACAACACGATACGCTGCAGTGTCGTCACTTCGAAGCTTTTCTCTAGGATTCCGGCCCGAGGGCAATGTGCCTCGAGTTGATTCTGTACTTTTGGACATCTACCTCATTCTTTACGACCTCTTGAATGATGACGATGAGGAGATCCGGGAAGTTGCTGCGTCTACAGCATCCTGGGTCCTTTCCTACTCCTCTGTCTCCCCAAGCACTGCTGTTGTACTGGGTCCCCTAAACGCAAGCTCACTACTTGCCGCCTTCATCACCGAACACTACTCAGACTCTGCGCAATTCGCTCGGCGAACGATACGCTACCTAACCGGACAAGAACCTCGAATCAGTGGCTCGGATAACCAGACCCATCTTGTCGCGGTGTCCGATCTAATTGCTCAGTCCCGCCAGGAGCGCACAGTGCTATTTATGGAGGAGAAACAGAACCTCTTCATTGATTACGTGCGGGAAGTCGATGTCTGGTCCCAGGCGCTGGTCAACCTGAAGAAGAACGCTTGTCCTGAGACCTTGGTGCGCCAGCTCTCGAGCTGGATTTTTGAAGGGTTGCAATATCTCTCAAACCTTGTTTCGCAGGATGCTGGACAGGATGGGCTTTTGGGGTGGCTTTCAAATCCGGAGTCTTTTGCACTCGGAGTGCGAGTCATCAGCATCTCAATTGCATTGGCATCTGAAAGGTTTGCAGTGCCAGAGTATCTGGAGGCTGAGCAGCAAGCTATTCGCAGAGAGTTGCAATCGTTGCTAGAGTATGGTCAATTGGCCTCGATCAATGACCAATGGCTCCGGAGAATCCAGGTTGGTTTGGATAATGGACTATAAATAGGTATAGAAAAAAGTCAATTGATTTATATCACAATAAACGAATGCTCATTCCAAATAAAAAACCATCAAAGATTAGATGTCATGGTGGGTGTGTCTAAGGAGGCTCTGCACCCCTGCGCTTGCCTGGAACATTCACCTTCCACGCCCGCCAATCCGATCTTTACACTCATCACTGACTTCTTCTCCCGCAGCCCCGTTTATCTCTAACACTTTCTAAACTCTGTTACTTCCAGCACTCACTTGATCTCAAGGTACCTGCAGAGGCAGTGTGCAAGGTAGAATACAAGTTCGCTCGTGAAGCGTTTTGCTCGGTTCGGTAACCCCATTGACCAGCAAATTTGTTCATTTCTGACCCGCTGTACGAAGAATATCCTAGGAAATGAGGACTGCTCCAAGCATCGCGGCCTATTTCCCTCTGATTCTTGTCCTCACGCACGGCCTATTACCAGGCCTGGGTGCAGGTATCACCAACCGTCATGAAAGCAACCGCCGCCATCGCAATCATCCTCTGCATGATTCCCGCCGTCTGCATCATTGTGTGGATCGGTATTCAATTTGCGAAGCGACATATCAAAAACAAATCCGCGATGAGCAAAGCTTACTACGGCCGAGCCCGCGAGGGAGTTTCCAACAACACTGATGTCGAGCTCGGACCCCTCAATGCCAAAAAATACACAGTCAAATTGGCACCATATCGATATGGAAATAGGAACAAGCAGAGTACTTTCATTCGACCGACCCGAGATCAGCGAGCTCGTCGCATCAAGATGAATATCCAAGGCACGAAATACCACGTCGTTGAGAATAGACCGTCTAGCCGGAAGGCCGTTTCGGTTGAACCGAATCACCGAAGTGACCACGAATCGAATCGAGCCCAGCAAGATGCGAAACTGAGCAAGAAGGAGAAGAAGAAACGGAAGCAGCTGCAGAAACAAAAGGAGCGACAACAGGAGAAGGAGAAAGAGAAGGGAAAGTGGAAGCACAAGGAGAAGGAGAAGGAGGAAAAGCATGACGAGGACAATCAATGGCATAGTCGCTCACAGAATGACAAGCAAAGCCATCATGATTCATGGAAACCTCAGTCCAATCGGGGTAGCAAGGCCGATGGGCAATCCCTTCCACAAAGCCAGCATAGCCAACATGATGCTGGGTTCGAAGAGCTCGGCATGTGGGCCAATTACGAAACAGAAGAGCAGAATAAAGAGGGAGGTAATCAGAACGTGGATGACTGGAACGAGGGTGTTCAGGAGGGTCTTCCGGCCAGTCACCATGGGTCTGGAAATGCGGGATGGAGCAACCATGATAATCAAAGTGCTCACGATCAGAAGTGGTGAGGTATTGAGAGTGTAGGGGATATGTGGAAATTACCTGCGATGTATCCTATGAATTTAAGCTACGTGACATTGTCATCCGATTGAATTGACTCGGAGAAGATCGGAGTATTTAGTCAAAATATCCAAAGTTTCGCAACTTGTGAACCTTGGAAGAAAAGCCATGGATGTAGACTATCATGGCTTAATAGGCTGGAACTTGTAATGGTAATGCGAAGGACGATTGTTACCTCGAATTCAAGTTAGTAACACAAATTAAAAATGTCAAACCTCAGATCTGATTTCGAATTGCTTGATGAAATGGTCCAGCATCTACTACTACTAGTTTGATATATCCTCCTTACCCTACCTAGGTAATAATATGTAAAGTACCTTGTATGGATACCTAATTAGGGCACGACACAGTTGGTCTCTGCAGCTCACCGTAGAAAGGCCGGTGACGTTGAGTTGATTTCCCCCCCCGCAGATCCCCCGGCGAACGCCAACTTGAACTTGAGTCCAGCCACCAGCTCCCTTCAACTTCTACAAGTTCCACGCGCAACCTTGGATCATGTGGAACGATGAAGATAACAACCCCTATGGGGCTTTCGACCAACATGAGGCCCACCTGTCGGACTCGTTACATTCCACCGCCCTCTCCGCTCGTGAGCTCCCACACCTCCAGCCAAGCACTTTAGTAGTATTGTGATGCCTGGCCATCTGACCATGATCTGACACTCGACAGCACATTACGAACATGATTCCACCCCGCCATCTAGCCGCGACTCTAATATAGATCCCCCTGACTTCATCTCCCAAGCCGATGATCTCAGCGATCCCGAGGAAGCCGACTATGGCGCCGCGAGTCAACAATACCCTCGAAAGAGTGCTTACGACAGCCGCATCGAGCAGATCCTCTATGAGAACCATGACATGCCTATTATGATCACAGATGCGGGAAAAAACCACGAAGGTGGTGGGAGCTTCATTGTTTACACTATTCGGACCGCGGTAGGCCTCGACTGCACGACAAGGAAGCTCTGCGCGCGGTGAGACTGACGAGTCTTCTAGGATATCGAAGTACGACGCAGATATTCCGAGTTCGCATCTCTACGACAGACCCTGGTCAACCTTCATCCAACACTCATTGTTCCTCCGATCCCCGAAAAGCACAGTATGGCGGACTACGCCGCCAAACCCACCAAGGCGAAAGAGGACACCGCCATTATCGAGCTGCGCAAGCGCATGCTCGCAGTATTTCTAAACCGATGTCGCCGGATGAAAGAGATTCGCGAAGATGGAGTCTGGTGGCGGTTCCTGGACCCTAACGTGAGCTGGGTAAGTAGTGTCGTTATCTTTCACCAGGCAGAAGCGTTGGAAAGCTGATTGGTGCACAGAACGAGGTCCTCAATTCTCATCCCGCCTCCTCAGTGCCAAAAAATAATCTCAAGGCCCCTCCCCTCGACCCCGCAAACCCGACACAAGCTCATGGCTGGTTACCCGTCCCCTCTTCTTCCGCTAAGCTGAAGCACGGCGGCGGCGGCGGGGTGCCCCCATCCCCTGGCGGAGGCGCAGGATCGCCCCCATCGCCGAACGAACAGACCGATGGTCCTCCAATCCCCAACCCGGGGCAGGAGATCCTCGGTAGATTTCCCCCGGAATCCCGCAAACTTAGCGAACAGGAATTGGACCCGTATTTTGTGAACTTTGAGGCGTCGACGCGAGAGCTGGAATTGCTCCTGCAAGGCAACATCGAGAAAGTGAATCGTCGTACTCTGTCACACCTATCATCCCTCTCATCTGATCTCATGGAGCTGGGAGCTCGCTACAATGGGTTTTCGCTGTCTGAACAATCACCCACCGTTGCAGCGGCCATCGAGCGTATTGGACAAGCAGCCGATACTTCTTACATAGAGACCGAGGAGTTGTCCAATGCACTGAGTGCCCATTTCGCCGAGCCTATGCGCGAGAGCGCCCAGTTTGCCAGCGTCGTCCGCGGTGTATTACGGTATCGTGTACTCAAGCGGGTGCAGGAAGATATGACTCGAGATGAATTGGCCAAAAAGAAAACATTATTGGATTCCCTCGAGCGGAGCGAGCTTGAGGCACAGAGAATCGAGCAGTACTTGAACCGCACCACGCCCCAATCTTCTGGCAACACGCCCCGCCGCTCCCTGTCCACTTCATCTGCTGGCAGCAGCGAAGGCGGAGGTGCTATGGAAGCGTCAACTGATTCAGAATTCCCTCCCACTCATGGCGAATCTATCACTTCTCCCACTGGGTCGCCGAGCCCCGGACAGCGGCGACCGGACCTATCGCAAACACCACCTGCTCACAGAAAATCCTCCAGCGGAAGCTTCATGTCGAACAAGCTGTTTGGTCGCATCAGTCATGCGATTCACGGATTCGCGGATGTGGACCCCGAACGGACGCGTCGCGATCAGATCGGAAAGACCAAAGAAAGTCTCATCCAGGTATGTGGACCCTATCTATACTCGGTAAAGTTTCCTCCCTATTAACGCAGAGACGCAGCTCGAGCAAGCACTAGAGGTGTCAGACAAGGATGTCAAGGACGCTAGCGCGGGAGTGCTGCAAGATCTGCGACGCTTCCAGAAGGACAAGGAAGTCGATCTGCAGCGGTATATGGTATGCAGGACGCGCCCCGAGAGCTCTCCTTCTCCACTTTTGCTTTTTCCAGGTTACTAACTATGGCTCAATGCAGGTTGCATATGCGCGCTGTCATCTAGATTGGGCGCGGAAGAATCTCGAGACCTGGACAGAAGCCAAGGACGAGGTTGATAAGATTGTTGCGCGGTAGAGTGCAGCGATCGAGATCTGTGCTCACAAGCGAGACGGTGTTCTATGGAGTTGTAGGTATCTTTCGGTGGTATTGATTCTTCCCATCCCTTTACTTGTGGCCATCAATGTAGCTGGATGGCCACGCCTGGCTTCTGCCGCTGCATATCAAATGAAGACGCTTATATTCTGTACGATGTGCCAGTAACTAAGTAAGCCATTGCAATTATTGAAGTAGAAAAATACTGGTAATTGATGGTAGAGTGGGCGTTGGCACACTCTCAAGATAATAACAGTAGTAATATATTCGAATTTGGAAGGGAGTTGCCTGACTTCCCCCCTTTGCACTTTGTTCCCTGTTCAACTCCCGTACAACCAACCCTTCCAACAAACTTCATCTCTAGCGGGGCAACCACTTGGGCAGGCACCTATCCTATGGCTATGGCTATGCCTATATTGAGGGAGTCTGCGACCATGTCTCTGTTTTGTCAATAAAGGAACCGAAACCAAGAGCCAAGACGTGGGGTGCGCCCTTTGATGGGAATGGACAAGGGCACATTCCAGGGCGACGGAGCTCTGCTTCACAGGAGAGACAGGAACAGGAACAGGAAACGATCGATTCTGGTTGGTCAGTGGGGCTCCTTGACGAGGACGGATGATCGACAGGAACCACCGCAACCGATCGTGCAACAACTTGACTCGCATTGACTCCCCAACCTTGATGTCTGTGATCGCCCTTGTTTCGTGTCAATTGCCCATGGGGGTAGCACTGTGTCTTTGAGATTGTGCCTTCGGAGCCTCGGAATATTGGAAGCTGCACAATTCAGACTCGCCATCGTCGACAAGGCTGCAATCAAATTACATTCTGGCTGTCTGAAACGTGCCACGAATGAGGGTCCCAACTCCCGAGAGCTGCCGCATTCATCACACGTAGCAAGCAATCCACGCAGAAATCTTCCGCAGAACTTCCATCCATCTATCCTTCTGTACATACATTCCACGCCTTGCAGACATACCCATCGGTGGACCCAGCTGCAGACGATTCCCACTGGACCGCGTTGCATCCCTCACGGCGAACCCCTCGGCCAGGATTGTCCCGCATCGACAACGCACCCTGCCAAGGTGCGGCCCGCCGTGCGTCGTGACTGAAAACGATGAGTACCTGGATCCATGGCGGGCAGGATGATCGTCAGGAGCGGGCACTTATCACGGCCGGGGATGCCACCTTTGGGCCATGTAGACGACTTTCGACAGGGGTGGATAATTCGGTCACTTTGGCATCTTTTGGTTTCTCGACGACGCTGGTTCAAGATGTTGTGTTTCTTAGCTTTGGTCGGCTTTCTTTCTCTCGGTTTGAGTGCGAGTTTAAATTCGCATCGCCGAGATGTTGATAATATCGATAATTCCGCCTTCGACCAGCAATTGCAGCAAGATGATGCTATCGTTAGCTTTCCCCCTCCTCGCCAGACAAATCAACATACCCATGACCCGACCATTCTCCGCGTGGGTGACACCTTCTACCTATATAATGTCGGCGAGCACATCTTCATCCATACAGCCCCAAGTATGGCCGGTCCATGGAAGCATGTCGGCAGCGTCCTGGATGGAAATAGCGTGATTGGAAAGGGTGATCGTGCTGCTCCTTGGGCACCTACTGTTATTGCCGTTGACGGTATATACTATTGTTACTATAGTGTCAGCCGAGCTGGATGTCGTGATAGTGCTGTTGGAGTTGCAACCTCCAACTCACCCGGCCCGGGCAATTGGCACGATCATGGTATCATCGTCCAGACAGGAACAGGCAACGGCTCCGAAGTGGCACCATATACAGACTCTAACGCCATTGACCCCGCCACCATGGTCACCCCGGATGGAAAAGCCTACCTCACCTTCGGTAGCTACTGGAAGGGAATTTATCAGATCCCACTTGCTAAGGACCTCATCTCTCCCATGAGTACGACTGAACCCGATGCTCGCCATCTCGCCTACGAGCCCAATGTTATCAGCACTCCGAACCGGAAAGCAACCAGCATCTGCGGCGACCCCACCGGGCCCCATGCTATCGAAGGTGCTTACATGTCATACCATGACGGCTACTACTATCTATGGTTCAGTCACGGGAACTGCTGCAATCTGGATATCAAAAATCTGCCGCCAGCTGGAAAAGAGTGAGATGCTCGAAGTACCGCATACTACCCACCAGTCTGTTAACAACCACCCAGATACAGCATTCGCGTCGGTCGGTCCAAGTCAGTCCGCGGTCCCTTCATCGACAAAACCGGCAAGGACCTCGTCAACGGCGGTGGCAGCGTTATCTACGGCTCTAATGGCGAAACCTATGCCCCCGGCGGCCAAGGTGTGATCCGCGTCGGCGAGACCGACATGCTCTACTATCATTATCGTGAGTCCTGCCCGAATCGCAAACATACCACTCGTCATAAACGCAGCTTTTTTTTCTAACTCCACCGCAGAAAACAAAACAGTCGGAGTCGCATTCGCAGTAAGTAGCCCATAGCAGGCTTGTGGATCGGGATCGGTGGATCAGGACTGAATCGCCACACCCTTGCCGATCCTCCTTCATTGCGCCTACCCCTTCCACAACGTCATCTCGATTTGATGTATACGGACTAACACTCCCCTCTCCAGGATGCCTTCCTCGGGTTTAATCCACTGAAGTACGTCAACGGATGGCCCGTTGCTCAAGCTTAATTGTTACACCTCGCGTCACGCCACTGTTTCACGATGATCGTCAGATCGTTCAAAAGTCAATAATTTCGATTAATCTCCCCAAAAGCCGACATGCGCAATTCGCCTTTATTGAACTACTAATCCTCGCCATTCTTTCTGTCATCTTTGACTCGACTCTTTGTCTACACTTCTCTTTCGTCTTGTCGCTCTTACCTATAAAAGCGCCCACATAATCGAACGCGCGGGCCCGGATCGGATCAACCAACTCGACCTCGATCCCTCTCAAAATACTTATCCATTATTTGCATTATGGGGGCGTTTAGAGGGTCATTTTTTTTTCGCCTTGTTCCTGCCGGGTCTAATACGTCGCTGACCCGGCTCTTGTTTATTCTTCTCGCGGCGCTACTGGGTATAGAAGGTTGTTTTGTTTTGTACATATGGTTACATACTGCCATATATAGAGCGGAGTGAGCTTGGTGCCATACATAGGAATCGGAATAGGCCTTTGCCTTTGAGCTCACAATTCATCATACCAGCAGCGAACTAGCAAGTTGCTATCCAAGAACCCAGTTGAGAACTTGAAGCCACTCGTATCTGCCGTGAGTTAAGTCCAGGTTGTTAGCGTATATGTTGAACGCTGAGATCGGCCATAGACAGGGCTCGGAAATCTGGTTAGCTTTGTCGATGACGATATGGCTAGATTTGATCAGTTGATGCAAGAAACCCTAATCCCCTGAAAGACATTGATACAACCCTTCCTCCGTACGAGGGCGACGGTGTTGCTTTTGCTTGGTAAGATGACCGCGGATCACGACTTTGGGGGGATTCAAGGGCTCCTCAATTAACTGATCCAACCTAGCCATATCATCATCGACGAAGCTAGTCAGATTTTTCCGAGCCCTGTCTATGGCCGATTCTATCGGCCGGGATCACGACTTTCGGGGAGTCATTCGGACGACCACGCTTGGTGGATGGGTTTAGCTGTAAAGGGATATCAGCATACGTGCGCGAACAAGACAACCACATGAGGCTCTGAAAGGCAACTTACTCATGATCGGAAAGGGCTAGGTGATTCGAAACAAGATGCAAACGGCCCCGATAGGGCCCAGGGTAGGGATACAGGCCCGGGGAAGAAAGAGGAAGAATTTAAGTGCGAAGATGGATCTTGATCGACCCTGAGTTTCTCCAGGAGAGCTATAAGAGCTTTTTCTTTCCCCCATAACCCCATAACCCCATAGGTTCCAGCCATTCTGTGCCTCACAGAGAACGTCCTGCGCCACCATACCGACCCGAAAGCTTCCAAGATTGGGTATGCTAACCGGGGATCAAGAGACCAAACGTGTGATACCAGTAACCTAGATTGCAGGATGACTGTCTTGCGCGGATGGGGAGATCTGGTAACGATATCGAAGCACGTCGAAATTTTCACAGAAAGACTGGAAGATTCATCCTGTAGGAGTGTGTTTGTTGCTTTGTTGGTGTTTAGGTGAAGATCAAACTGGGCCTTCTTTCCTAGCAGACAGTGCAAACAACAAGTTCCGCTCGAACCTCCTCTTCACTGCGGGCCTGAAATTGGCAGGATTGTTAACACATTAGCAAAGTCATGACTGTTTCAAATATATTCTTTATTGCGGATACAAACCCACGCTTATGCCGCGAGAACATACTAGTAGTGCAGCCGAAAGGGTGTCAGGTTCAGATATGTGACCCAGAGCCAAGGGGAAATTGCATCCATTTAGAACAAAGAAATCAAAATTTAATACTGCATGAAAACAAGGAATAAGCCATGGCTGATGATTTGAGGTTGAAGTTGAGATTTTGGAGAGAGGAGCAAGGAGAAGGAAATCGAGGTGAAGACGCGGGGGGGGGGGAGGTTCTTTCAAGTTATTTACTGCAGTGTCTTCCTCTTTTTCATGGTTGGGACCTAGGTTAAGCTTCTTCTTTTAGGCTAGAATCAACTTCCTGTAAGCCTGTCATCAATATTTAGTAGCATCTCGCATTTCTTTCTCTCGATAGTATATATCTCAAAGAGATGATGAAGATAAGAGCAATTCCTCTTCTCAATGTGGCCACGACCCAAAGGTTTCAATGGAATAAACTAGCTACTCAATTCGAGACCCCATCCTTCCCCCCCCCCCCCCAAATCCAGATTTCCTCCTCTCTCACTATACCTCATAATCCCTAGAATCAAACGAAATAACCGAACTAAGCTCCGACAAAGCCGGACTAGACTCAGTCTGCGTCTGCCCAGCATACCTCGCCAACTCCACCGCCTGATACTGCGCAAAGTCCGGATCGACGCCCTGAAACGGCGCCATGGAATTATGAATATCAGGACGGGTGGCGAGAATCGAAGGTTCGCGCGAGTAGACCGGGCTCGAGGAGCGGAGTGCGAAGAGCGTGTCTTCGAAGAATGTCGTTGTCGGTTCCGTCCGGCGGGAGGTGGATTCGTTAGTATTCCTTTGGCCCTCGAATCCGTAGCCGTAGGCGACGTTGTACAGGTCGTCGGCGAGAGGATGTCTTGAGCGGATGCTGGATTGTTCGCTGCTGCTTCGTTGGGAATGGGGTCGATGTTGCTCGCTGGCTTGGTAGGAGGAGGGTTCGCTTCTGTAGGAGGTTGGTTGTTGTTGGCTGGTTCTATGTTCCACCCCCGTTGTTTCCTCCGGAGCGTCGTAGACGACTTCTCGAAGCTCGGCAGGTATGGTGTCTCTCAACGGGTCTAGGATCGCGGTTGCGCCGGCTGTTTCGATCATTTCGTTGTGGCGGCGGGCTCGATTCGCTAGTAGATGCGAGTGGCCATTTTGATAAGTTGTACTGTCTGAAGTGACTACTTCTGATTGCAGGTCTTCGGCGCGAAGTGGTTGGGGTCGAGGGGGTATGTCGATATGCAGGCCTGGCGAGGGTCGATTTCGGGGTCGAGTGTTTCCTTCATGTCCACGGCGAGTGCCGCCGAGGACGCGAGGACGCGATGATTCGGCTTGGGAGTGTGATGGGCTTGCTTGTGAGGCTTCAGATGAAAGGCTGAGGTCGAGGTGGCTGATTTCGCTATCGCTTGTTACTCCACGACTGTGAGTGTGGGTCTGGGTCGAGTGTCGTGATGGCATTACAGGATGGGAGCCGAAGAGAGGCGGGTAGTTGACTGGTTCATCGGTGAATTCTTCTGTTAGAAGACCGAGAGGATCGTTTGGGTCGAGAGGTGATGAGGGTTGGGAGGTGGATTGGTCAACTTGATGAGTAGTTGAAGCCATGAGTGAGGGTGAACGTTCTGAACATGGTGGGAAAGAACTCGCACTTGAATGACTTCAGAAGAGGACTAGAATAGAACCAGGTAAATTCAAACCGGAAAGAAGGAAGGAAATGGGAAATGCGAGTGAATCAAGCAGAAGGTGGGATATAGGGGTGGTCGAACGGAAGAGGAAACTGGCAGTGAAGGCAAGACACCTTCAGGTGATTCTAGGGCACATTACTAGTAGACAACTCTAGTAATTCCGTGAGGAATGGCATGACATACTCAGGCAAGCAGAGGTAGTGTAATTCTAGCAGCTCTCGCCAATCTATGCAAATCTCGCTTCTCTCCATATGCAATGCGGATTCTCCGCGGTGACCGTCGATGCAAAAAAATGAGATGGAAGAGGATGAGAAACCCGGCCATGCAAAGGGAGAGGGCATAAGGTAGTACATAGAGAGAAAGAAAGACACAAGGAAAAAGAGTCATCACGCATATCAAGGAATCCGCAATTGCCATCTGACATCTTACAGAAAGATGGGGAACAGGATGTGAGTAAAGACAGAACCCTAGGGCAAGGCAAGGCAAGGTAAGAAAAATTACAACAACCTCAAAATGATCAGGTGAGAAAGAAGTCAAACACCCACACGAGGGGAGGCTTTTCCATAATGTATGGTGTGTTTCGTTCGTCACCAGCCCCCTTTTTTGTATTTCCATTAATAACGCCAAATGCGCCGGGTAAATCAAAAACTGATTTTTTTCATGTGCATGTGAAGAAAGGTGTGATGGATGAGATGAGGTATTCATCTAAGACTAGGCAAGAAGGGTGGAGGTACAGATCGATGGGACGACTGTAAGGTTGTTCAGATATCCATCTTATCGATCTCATCGACGTGGAGCTCCTTGACAGGCAGCTCATCCTCCGATCCATCATCCTGCAGAGGGGGAACATCCTCGAAGGAAATGTCGTGATCAGAAGTGACACCAGAGCGAAGGTCCTCCATACGGTCTCCAGCCTCTGAGTTACCGTCTCCAACAGCAACATTGCTATCGTCATCTTCAAACAGGTCATCGTCGCCATTGTTGGCCTTTTCATTATTTTCATCATCAAAGCGGCGAGAGGGGACATCCATAGCGCCAAAGGACCAGGAAGGACCTTCGTTAAGAAGACTCATATGGCTTGTCTCTTGGTCGCTTTCGTCCGAGCTCGACATGTGGACGTCCCTGGAGAGGCCATTTTGGATGGGAGAGCCAAGGCGCTGACCCTCGTCGGCCGCGTGATTGGACTCATTTTCGCTCTCGGGTGGGGGATTCTTGTAGTTCTGCACGATTTCTCGAATAACAGGGCCACCGAGGGGCTCTGAAGAGCGGCGACGGTAGAAGAGGAGGTATGCGCGAGAAGACACGACTCGAGCCTTGTTGTTATCTATGTCGTAAACAGAGGAATCTGGGGAAAGTTGTTTTAGTAAGTGGGACGAAAACCAAACGCAGGTACTGGGGTATACATACCGTTGAAGTCGTACCAACGACCATCCTCGAAGTTTTTACAGTAGGCAGTGTAGTGACCGCCATTCATGCTGCCAGAGTGGTTGTCGACACCAATGAGGTCATACTTCATAGCCTTGCCATCATCGGGACCAGTAATATACCGTGACAGATCCAATTCCTCGAGAGGGAAATCGACAAGGGTATCCAGCTTCATGCGACGGAAACGGTTGATGATACAGAAACGCTTGAGGTGAATAACCAACACATCGGGGGTTGACCAAAGATCGAACTTCTTCTTGGCCCGCGTATGCGTCTTGCAGCGAGGGCAGAACCATGACTCCTGCTCTTCCAGAATCTCTTCCTTGCCAAACTCATCCAGACACTCGTCAAGGGAGACGCCCTTGGTTCGCCGGGTATCCCACTCCGACTTGCGCTTCAAGATCTCGGGGTCGCTGAGAAGTTCCGGCTTCTGGTAGGTCGCCTTACCTCGCACGTCCTCCTCGTCATAATCCTTTCCACCGAAAAGGGCATCCTTCGCGTCATCATTCCAGTCCAGTAGCAGAGCATCCGATGACTGGATGAGGAACCAGTCATCTGCAACTTCACTGGCTGGGCTCTGGGGCGCTTCGGCTTCGCCGCTAGCATCACTGTTGCCATCGGTTGAGCCTTCAGAGTTGTTCTCGGCTTCCTTTTCTGGGGTCGGTGCAGGGAGGCGGGAAGTGAGCAGGAAATAATCACGGCTGTTGTCCAGGTTACGACCTAAAGGAAGCGACCTGCCGTAGGCCTGGCCTTCGAGGACCTTCATATCAAAGAGACGCAACAGACTTTGAGAGATCTTACCAGCCAACGGGTGCGAGGCGGCTTCATCGTCATTATCATCGCTGGCATCCTGTGCGGCCTTTTCCGTCTCAGGCTGCTTCTCATTCAAGATATCACGAGTTGTCAGCGCGGCAACCTGCTTCAGGACCTTATTGTAGATAGCTTCGGCGTCACGTGTTTCTTCCTGGGTGAGAGAGATCATGAATGGCAACGCGAATGGCCTGAAACTGGGTTTGCCAGTGTTGTTGTTGGTACCGGAGCGGTAACGGTTGAAGACTGGAATCAAGATGCGATCTTGAACGGCGCCATCCACTTCCATAAAGAGGACGTCATCCTCAGCCTTAAGGTTGACCTCGCGGAACGTCCGGCTGGCCTCGTTGAGATATTGGTAGAAAGTGCCGTTGTAAACCTCGCCGCCAATGAGTCGGTTGTGGCTGATTCCAGAGCGCTTGGCGACTTCTTTCTTGAAAGCAAGCAGGGACTGAGACGCGTCGACTTCAACGATAACCTTTACAGGGGCCTGTCCGATCTTCTGCACAATGACCTCCCGGTAGATGACTTGTCGATTGGGAATCGGCAAAGTGAGGTTGATGAATGGGTCGAAGCTGATGCTGACCTTCTCACAGTTGGGACAATGCAAGGTTGACTTGTACATGCCGGCAAACAGGTCCGTCATGACGGAATCGTTGCGAACTTTATACAACTCCCAAGATGTAGCAGCAAACTTCTCCAACGCCTCACGGTTGGTTACCATTTCATCTGTGGAATCGGGCTTCTCAACAGCAGGTTTCTTAACAATGCGGTTGAGGTCCTCTGCCACACCATCCATCAGAGCCATCAAATACTCTTGGCTGTCCTGTTGCTCATAGCTGTCCATGAACGGATGGGTCCGCTTAATCACATTGCGAAACTTCCTAGGGTCCACAAATGGGGGCGGGGGCTGGCGATGGATTTGACCCAGCAAAGCTCCGTAAGCACTGGCAAGCGCTCCACGGAAACCCAGAGGGTTATCAAAGTTCAACTCAGACTTGTGCTTGCCGCCTTGAAGCGTCATTAGCATTCATGTATTGGGCTACAGGGTCAAAGGATGGAACATACTCAGGAAGTAGTAGGTCAGTTCCTCGACATTTCGAAGACACTGCGTAGCTGCATTCATGTAGCAGGTGTTACCGAGGTTGTCAAGACCCGTTTTTCCCATAGGGGGTCCTCGGGGACGACCGCGCTCAGGTTTTGTCTCTTGGGCTGGGGTAGACCTGCCACTGCTCAAGGGTGATTTGGCAATGAGTGCGCTCAGCTCTTTCTTGGGTTTCTCCACGCTCAATCCATTGGCCTTGAGCTTCTTCTCCAGCACCTCGGATGCCCATTTCCCATTTTTACCAACCTGCTCCTCGAGAATAATGACATCCGTGCCAACGAGACCAGCCATGCGTAAGTTCATGGTGCCATTGTACTTGGGGTTGTCAGTCTGATCCTTGATCTGCTCATCGAGAAGCTCGCGCTCGGTTCCTTCAGCTAAGGCGAGAAAGGCGCTAGGGTCGACGTTAAGGTGTTTGCTGGTGGCGAGTAGACCCGACGGGGGCGCGGGGGAGACGGTGCGGGACACGGCGGGGGTCGTCACGGCGGATGCGCTGGCACTGGGAATGCTGCCGGCAATTTTCCATACGCGGACCTTGGTTGATTTGTCAATTCCAGTCTCCTTCTTAGCCTCCTTCAGCCATTTCTGGAAGTTTTTATTGGCGTGCGCCAAGACCTTGCTGGGCTTGCGGGACTTTTCTTTCAGGATTTTTGTAGTAATGTTGGAGGAAACGGCAAGCTTGTAGATGGTGTAGATCTGGGGGTTGAGTTCGTATTCGATCTTCTCATCCTCATGACGCTGGTTGACGTTGTGTGCGTAGCGTACGATGACCGGCGACTGGTCGGCGAGGCCATACCAGCTCTTGATCTTATCCCATCCTTCCTGCGGAACGACCTCGAAGTCTTCGCCTTGTTTCAATCCCGGGCGCAAAGGTGTGAATGGTTCGCTTTTCTCGTCCCTAAACTTCTCATTTGCCGGACCAACGTCGAGCACGAGGTCGGAGTTGTCAACAGGACCGAGTTCGTTGTCTTGCGATTCGCTGCCGGCTTGTTCGGGGTGGGAGGAGCTTCGCGCGAGAATGGTCTTCAGCCAGTTCATCGATACCACATAACCCTTTTGACGGTCCTTCAGCGGGGACATCATAGTCGCCTGGACCTCGGCAATCTGCTCATCGACTGAAGGCCGGCCATCTCTATTGGTACCCATGGTGCTCACCCCTCCTTCGGGATCGGGATCGGAGTCGGCAACTTCAGAGGCAGGGCGCTTGACACCAGGGGAAGAAGATCGAGCGTCAGTGTCAGTGTCGCCGGTTCGCATGTCGGAGGGATCAGATTCACGTTCGCGTTCACTGGTTAAAGTGAGGCCAGCGGTGGCGGTCGCGGGGGTGGGTGAACGGGCGCCGTTGTGGGATCGAGTGCCGGGGACGTGTGACTGCAGGTGGGCGGGCACGTAGCGAGGCGGTTGTGGTTCGGGTGAGGAGGTCGCACTATTAGATGAGGGAGTGCGCCGAGGAGGCAATGAGGGGACTGAAGGCGCCGTAGAATCAGAGGGAGCTTGAGCTTCGGCGTGACGTTGTGTCTCTCCTGGACTGCTCGGGGAGACCTTGCGACGCTTTGTCGGAGACGTCGTGGCGAGGAGCTGCGCACGTCGGCGGCAGCTCGGGGCACTGAGGGAAAGAATGAATGACTTTCAATATTCTCACGGCCGGGCTTCCGCGAGAATGTTAGAACGGGGGGAGGAGTGGGTTGAAGGTTTGAAGTTGAAGTTTGAAGTTGAGGTTGCAAGACAACTTTTGGTGATTTTTTTTTGGCAGAAAATGCCTCCCGATTCGGCTTTTTTTTTCTCGTTTTCTTTTTTTCTTTTTGTTTCTGGCGATCGCCCGTTTTAAGCCCTGTTCATTCTTCTTGCAGATATGAACACCCAGAGATTGTATGCACACGTGAGAATGATTCGGAGGTAGCAAATGGAATGATTGGTTCAGAACTGAGATTGAGTGTGGTGAGATCAGTCAACTGTCTGGTTTTGCTGGGGGAGTTAGTGAAGTGCCATTGCGTGGGGAAAGCATACCTCAAACCAAGAAATCACCAATGGAGGTGGATTGGCATGGATCGGGATGAATAGTGAGATACTATGTTCACCAAGCAAACATAACTTAGCATTTCCTGGTCAAATTGAGGGGAAATGGTCCCAATATCTCAATAGACCTGGATTCATGGTACCGAAGTATGAAAATTGGGTGGGTGCCATATAACAGTCTGGTGATCAATTCGAACACCACGAAAAGCATTGGCAAACATCAAAAACGCCCAAAAGGGAACAATTCTCTGGATTTTCTTTCATCTCTGTCTCATTCGTTCAATCTTCTCTTCTTTTGGTTTGTTGTTACTAAGAGGCTGTCCTTCCAGAGTATCTTGAGGGGGTATCGATCAAGCGTAGAATAACAACGGCAGTCAGGCGACTGCTAAGTCGCAGCTGGGGGAGGAAAATCGGGCACGACTTCTTTAGATTGTTGAGTTTCGGGGAAACAGCTCAAAGTACTGAAAGAGAGTTCAGTGCTCACTGTATTCTCTTCGACCTCAGATGGACTGGGCATATTGAACCCCGTTAGGCTGAGGACAAGCTGTCGCACAATGTCCTCACCTGGATCAATACAAGTAAATTTTGCTTTATAACTCGCAATTGGGGTATTCGCGTCAATCTCCTCATGCTCATTGACCCCAGAGATGACCCCAGAGATGACACTGGATTGAGGGGTCTTTGTTCGCTTCTTGCGTGACTGGCTGTGTTTGCCACTGCTTTTGCGCTTGCGAGGCCGTCGAGGGGATGGATCATAGTCTCCATCGTTGTCGTGATCAATACAGATAGCTTCAAGTCTCAGAGGTGTCATCTTTCTGCGGCTTCTCAGTATGTATGGGCCGATGGAGTGGCCAGGGTCATCCATGCGAAGTGCTGTATTCCTCTTGCGGCGTAAAAAGGTTTTCTTAGCTGACTCGAATCTTTCTCTGCTGTAAGGCTGTGCTGTTGGGCGTTTCGGTCCCATTGTGAGTGTGGGATCAGTGTTTCGGTGATAAGAGCTGGAAAATACTAGTCCTCATCGTCGAGTTGGAGTATAGATGGGAGGACGCACCAAAGTGTAGAGGTTGAAGAAGATAAGAATGGTAGGAAGGAGGACAAGACCAGGTCACAGACTTTCGTCTTCTTCTTCAGGGTGCTTCCAATTTCGGTGCGATTGTAGATGAAATGAACCGATGTCCGGATGATGTCGAGGAGAAATTTGGTTTGTGATGTAGAGCAAAGGATAAGATCAGGCCATAGATGATTGCCCTTTTATTCGAAATATTCTTAAATTCAGCGTGATTATAGGTGGTTTGAGCCAATTTCTGGAGTGATTTTGGGGAAGAGAAGTTTTGATTCGTGAGTGGAAGGATGTGGAAGCGCGTGCGCGGGCTCAGATTTTATGAGACTTGACCCTTGCGGCTTAATGCCATTTATCTCACCGGAAATTGATCTAATTGACAGTGGCCACATTGGTGATTTACTGTGAAAAGCTCTAATCTGTTGAACGATATGAAGGTTCCTTCTTGTTTTGTTTACTGTTCGGTGTATATCACATATATCATTACGTCAGTCATCTTTTATGCTCCGACCAAGTTGACCAGCATGTAGAGAGGCTAAGGCCAATGAATTTTTGAATTTGATAAAATATCATTCAAGCAGAGACAAGTCTCTTCATAAACAGAGCTAGAATACTGGAATATCTCCACCCTAAGCTAATATTCAGCTCTTTATCACAAAGCATTTCACCAGGCCCGTGACCATTTACCACTCTAGTAGTACCTAGGTATCAGAGAGAGAGCAAAGGCAGGAGAAAGCCAAATACCATAGTAACTAGGTACTATATAATAAAGCAACGCTGGGAAAAATAGCTTAAACTTCTTTCACCACACTCAAGCATCTTCTAACGACGGAATGGCTTGGTCACAGTCTTCAATCTATTCCCGGCAGACAAGGACAGAGACGAGAAGGACCCTTTTCTCGAATCACCAGGGCTGCCCGATTCTTGACCCGATCCCTCTGATCCCTCAACCGGAGTTTCCGGCTCCTCTTCCGAAGTCTCTAGCTCCTCAGCCGATCCCATCGGCTGCTTCCCCTTATCGACACGCTTCCGATTAAACGGCCGCAGGAGCTTTCGTCTCCAGCTCGCCACTACCAATAGTCAGTACATCCTTCGCAAGGGTAATGTGAAAGGCAAAAAGCTCACAAACTTCTGGGAGACGAATGGGGTTCCGCTCCGCAATGAGAAGAGGCCCCAGGTGGCTAATGTCAATAGTCCGAATCCCATCGGTAGGGTCAGGCGGGATTGCTGCTACTTGTTAGTTTTGGTGTGGAGCTTCAGCAAGGGTATCTGATAGCATGCTGGGTACATACGGGACATTGGAATGTAGTCCTCATCTTCGTAGATTTCACCCATCCTGCCTGGGTGGGGGCTCGAGTGATCGAATACAAAGCCCATTTTGATAGATACTGTTATGGAGAGATAGTTTCTATAGAACCACTTGGAGCGCGATATAAGTCGAGAGTGATGGAAGAGGGGAATTCAGGTGGGAAAAAGGCTACTACTTATAGATTCATATGACGAGTGCATGTCAGTGTCGGCTCCTGCCTTGGAATAAATCCATCCAATTTAGAGAAAGGACGTCCGATCTAGAGTGGACTAATCGGGCTTAGTCGCTGAAGCGCTGTGGCTGGTTTGGGCTCGGCGGGAGATCGCGCCTTCCAAAGTTGTGGCTAAACCTTTTCTTGAGCAGCCTCGGCATGGGAACCGACATACTATTAATCATCCGGATTCTCGTGTCTTTTGTGCCTAGGTATCTTCACTCTCTCTCTTCTTCGTCCATCACGTTTTCATCCATCCGCATCTCCAGTCTAGGCGCCTATTTTTGCTCATTTTCAAAAAGCCACTGACTTTCTAAATTCATCAAGAACTACCGAAACAACCAAAAGTCGACAGTCTATTAATTTCTCAAGACCAGTTTGGACCACAGCTTACACGATGACAAGCAAAATCGACAACACAGGCCTGATATGGCTCGAGGCATCTGGGCAGAGCATACCGTAGCAGAAATGAAAACCCAAGCCACGAACCTTCCAAATGATACATTAGAGCTTCCAAATATGGAAAGGAGTCGGATACTGACTATCAAGACATTTGACGTGTGGCAATCACATATTGAGGCGATTCTGGAGGAAAGGGGGATCCTGTCTATTATCAGTTACAACATACCGCGCCCTATTCCAACCGACGAAGGCGCAGCAAGATGGAGGCTTATCAGCATGAAAGTGGCAAACTGGCTCATGATCAACGTGTCTGAAAGTCTGTACCACAGCATGAAGAATAGCAAAAAGCGGTATACCTTTGCCGATGAAACTTACAAAGCAATATCCGAGGAGTGTGTTGATTTCGAGGTGCAGTATAGGATGCTAAGGGCCAGTCATGATGTTGTTGTGGCCAACGATATTATACCAGATAACTACTATACTGAAGGCTTCTATATTGATGACTACGATACTGACTCGGATGACTCGGATGAAAACTACGACACTGACGACTATGACACCGACTACCTCGACGGCGGCTACTATTACACCGAAAGTGACTGCCCTGGCGGTTACTAAAGTGAGAAAAATGCGAAAAGAATTCATGATGTGAGAAGCACTAGTACTAGTAGCTTCGAGTTCATCACCTGGGCATATATAGGTCTTGGAGACAAGGACACGTGGGTAGAGAGGACATATATTCCGGTGCAAATGGGACACCTCCGCCCTTCCAAGGCTCATCACTACTAATCATGCATCATCTGTAATTGTTGAGTTATATCCACTGGCACTTGGTCATGTGCTTCAAATTCATACTATTCCAGCTTTACCAGTTCGGGGATACTAAGGCGGTTGATGAAAGCTGGGCTTTGAGACCCAAAAACTACTACTTAGAATTTAGCTCGAGGGCGCAAAAAGGTTTGCTCTTCTACCGCAGATCTATAAGTTATCATCATATTTCAACATCCGAAATTTCAACGCGGTCATGTAATTCGTTCTCGACACAGTCGACGAAGAAAACTTTCACGAGTTCACTTTTAGATACCTTATCCGTTGGCGTCTTTGGTACCCGCTCATTCTCAGCCATCAAGCAGAACGCATTAGGCAGCATGTAGCTACCGACTTGCGATTCAAGGTCGGCACGTAGGCTTTTCAGAGTAACCGATTTCCCCTTTGATTTCAGAAGAACACCCACTCTGCTGCCAATCTTATGGTCCTTCACGGGAACCACGTATGCTTCCGCGACATAATCCAATCCTCGAATCACTTGCTCAAGCTCAATGACTGGAACCTTTTCGCCTGCATTTTTGATGACTATGAAAAGTTAGTAAGTGATCTTGAGACTGGGACAAGGATGAAAGGTACAGTCAATAGAGGCACGCCCGTCAAAAATATAACAATCATCCTGTCGATGGGCAATATCTCCGGTTCGAAAATATCCATCTTCGTCTAATAGACCCTCTGTTGAGGGCTCGCCGTTCATGTACCTTTCATCGTCAGCATCATCCATTATCTATATCATATTGTGCTTCAAATCTCACCCCAGAAAAGTCCTCGTGCCACCAACAAGAAGTTCGCCCTTGTCACCATCCGAAAGTTTTACGGGCATATCGAGCCAAAGTGGTCTCCCAAGGCATCTCTGTGAAAGTTCTGATGAGTTCACAGAAGATTCCAGAGTCCGTATATGTCTTTTGGACTTACATCACTTCGTTTCAATTCATGCAAAGGAACACCTAGAAGTATTCTCCCAACCTCCGTCGTCCCATAAGTCATCTGTAGCCGCAGCTTGAACTCCCCGGAGAGGAACTGCAAAAGCGACGGCACAGCTACGCTAGACCCAGTAAATGCCGAGCGCACACCACGCATACCAGCAAGGTATTCTTCCTTCTGTGGATGACTTTGAAGCTCAGCCTTGTAGAATCTCACCATTTGTTCCCACCACCCACAACCCGAATTGATGTATGTGATGCCATCTCTTCGAATTCGCTCCCACGTGTACCGCAGACTAGCCCCAGGATCTACGATTTCCGCACGAGACGCGGTCATGATTGCCGTGAATAGGAATAGACAGCCGCCCAGCCAGCTGGGAGGGCGATGTACCAGAACTGCTTCATCGGCTAGAGCTTGGGGTAGTCTGGGGAACCAGGCTCGGCTGTGGATAACGCCTTTCGGGGCGCCGGTTGAACCAGATGTGAACATTGTGATACCGGGGCGTGATTCGGAAATCGAGAATTCTGTGTGTATTCTAGAGTCGAGTATAGTCCAAATATTTGCGGGTATGTCGTGAAGTCTCTCGATTGGAAGCACTGTGATGGCGGGGAGGGACTCGGTGCTCGCAGAGTGTTGAATCTTTGTCGCTTCGAGAACGTACCGCTGGCTGGCCAGGAGTAGTTTTATGGGAGCTTGGCGTAGAGTATTCGTAACAAATGCAGCGCTTGAATCCATTGCTTATCCGAACTATTAGACATGTCCTATGATGTGAAGCGGATGGCAGAAATGATACTCACGAAGTGGCACAACTAGTCCCCCCCAATGCCAGGATCCCCATAGCCGCAATCGAGAATTCATAATTGGCTGTGGAATGGACACATATAGGGAATGCCTCTTTCAAAATCCCGTTTTCGTCCAGGTGAGGTAGAAAATGCTTTCGCAAGTAGTGTCGCTGGTGGATGATGTCTGTCATGAATTGATCGAAGGAAGCGCTGACACCGTTATCGGGTTCGTGAAATGCAATGCGAGAGCCGGCATTATTACAACGCGACAGAAAAGTTGAAAAGATACGATCATTTGGAAACCCCCCCATCCTCGGCCAAAATACTCGTCAGTTGTGTTTCTGTGTTGCTGACCTCGCCGATTGGCCCCATGTTGGACGGGTAGGTTTGTTGGCCAGAAATGGTCATACGCCAGCCAGATAGAATTAGAGGTTTGAATGAATTGAGAATCTGTATATCACTCAACTGCTTGAATAATGTTGCGAGGACATTCCCGACGACCGTAATGACTATCGGGGTCACTGCACCAGCTAGCCAGCCTCCCTTCCCTGCCCATTCCCCCTTGCGCACGCAAGATCTTGACTTGGAATCCCACTTTCAAAGTTCTATGACGACATGGGTATATTATAAGATATGGATATAGTCTCTAGTTGTAGATACAGATTTATAGTCGCCATATACACTATCCTGACTTTGTCCGCACAAGCTCAAGGGGTTAAACCATAATTGACGACAATGCCTAGCACTAACCACTAGAGAGAAGAATGAGTCGACCACTTGGGGTTTCTAAATGAAACAAGCAATGGCAGGTCAATCAAAAAACCGACTGAGGCCTTTTCGTTTTCGCATTTTTCAGCAATTCAGACGTGTAGGGCTAGTTGCTGGCCTTCGTGGCTGACGATGGGGACTGACGGTTCAAGTTGAAGGAAGACTAGATCACCACGAAGATACTGAGATTGCAAGAGGGATTTTACATACAAAACTGAATAGTAAATGAATCAAGGATGTACCTATTTGATCACGCATTCACTTTCTTCAATCACCTTCTAGAAAATTGGGGGCGGGCTATGTCAGGAAGAGGAGGGAAAAGAAAAGAGGTATTGTGTGTGGCCAGTCACATCTTTGCGCGGGTTGACTGGCTCAATTCAATATTTTAGATCGAGAGGGCACAGCAGCCAGTCTCAAAGAGAATTTTAGTTGAGAGGGCACAGCGGCCAGTCTCAGAAATTTTGATATTGTTGGTCCCGAGCCAGGAACTGTCATCCCGTTGGTTTTGTTTTCATAGAATCTCTCAACATGATCAACTCTTTTGGTTTGTATTGCGTAGACCGGGGCTGGATTCGAGCCAACAGCCATTGTCATTCAGTTTAGGCTTCCATGGGGAGTCTCCCAAACCCACCCGGGATATGGATTTTAGACCTATCCGATCCGGGCCAAATGTAGGTGGCAGCGGACTGCCATTTGGAAACCTGCTATGGATTCTACTGTCGGTATCGGCGGCCCCAAGGGTGATGATGCAGCGACATTGTAAGTTGAAATATGACCAACGTCTGATATTGTATTGCTTGCCAGACAAAAAGGAAAATTAATCTAATGATCTTGCAGGCATAGCATTAGGGTGAACGTGAACATCAAGCGCTAGATCGCGACATCAAAAGAGACATGAGCACAAATAAAGTAGGAAGCCTAAATCAAATCAAGGAGTTACCGAAGACTCTTCAAGCCGGAACTAGACAGGACTGTCTTGCTTCGGCGTCTTTGAGTCGGAAGTATCTTTCCAAACAAACCAGGACAAGGTAATGGCTCCTTTAAGCCCAACCGCCAACCACAAGCTACTTGCCATAGAAGTAGTTTTCGAGAGACCGCCGGAGGTCATGGCACCGATGAAGAGAGCTAGGAACGCCGCGATCCTTCGATTTCTTTTCGGGTTAGCCGACCAAGGGCGTGTATACAGCTTTGTGTCGACGAGCAGGTCACACAGAAGGGTGGTGAGGACCACTGTAGGAATCTCATCGAAAGCCAGCAGTCGGGATGAGACTATCTGACCAGCGGCTTGGAAGGCAAGCAGGGTGATTGGAAGGATTTGCATCCATTGGATCGGGGCGCGGGGGTCTTCTGGTTTGGGGCTGACGATGCCGGCCTGGACAACGGCGGCGGCAACGATGAGACAAGAAGTCTGCAGGCCGAAAGACAGGATGAGTGTTGATCGTCGAAGCGGAGTCAGGGCACGAGAAATATGGATGAAGAAAAGGTTGCCGAGTAGAAAAACAGTCAGGGCGATGAGGGACTTTGCCCACAGATACGCTGGGTATGCTGGTTGCCCCGAGGCACCTAGGGCGATGAACACAGTATTGCCTGTTTCAGGTCAGAGAAAAGAATAGTGAGAATTTCATGTTTAGAGTATAGTTAGATTGCAATAGAACATACCTGTCTGCATACTTGAGAAACTCCCCCATGCGTTAAATGACAGGCCATCGACTAGGCCACCGACGAACCCGCAGATTATCAAGATGATATCGGCACGTCTTGGATTCAGTTCCGTGAAAAGGTATTGAGATAGCTTAGACGGGGAACTTGAAGAGTTATAGTCATTCCCTGGATCAGAGACCGCGGTTCCGAGATATGGTACATCGATGCCATTTTCAACAGAGACAGTCTGACCCCTTTGCACGTCATCTCCATGAGTATTTTTGGTATAATTGCCCTCTTCGGTAGTGGCAGAAGAGAGAGATCGCGAGGAGGAATTCATTTGTGGCAAGGCGATTATAGAAAGTGTACCTGGCACGAATGCAAGCGCGAGACCAAGGAAGATGATGGGCTGGGCCTGAGACGACGTCGTCCCTCTTTTAGAATCGATCTCCGGATATGGTCCGCGAGGGGCAAATGGTGAGCGATGACGCCTAGCAGGGATCCATGAGCGGACAGTTTTCGTCGGAGTCTTGGTATCTCGGGCATTCTCCACCGGCTTTCCTTGGTATCAACGCTGATGCCATATTCATGTTTTGGCTTGGACGTCTCGGAAGGACGCAGGGGGCGCCACGCGGCAGGAAGGCATAAAATCGGGTAATATCAAAGCGCAATTCAAGCATGGATCTTTCTGATGCCGATATGATTCCGACATAAAGACAAAAATTCGACTTGCTCTATTGGCTGTGGCAGATCGTTGGGCTAACGCCCATGTGGTTGTCATGTAAGTCTCCGGACTGGCGAGACAAATCTATGCTGCAGTTGCATCAAGAAATACGGCATCATCATTGCTGATTCCGGCCCAATGAGTGCTGATTGCCTTGGTTCGTGCAATATTGAACTTGGCAACCTTGGCGAACATCCGCAATCGGCGGTTGACTTATCGTCGGATGCTGAGAGGTCAAGGGAGGAGGCTGACGGCATCACGCTGGTGCAGATCATCGGGGGTGCCAAGCAAAACGCCTCTCTGAACACTGGGCCCAATTTTCATTCGACACAACCGCCGTATATTTGGGCTAGCAGCCATTCCTCATGGGTTCTAGCCAAGAATTCAGCTAGGATGATCGACGCGGAGGTGACAAGAAGCTGGGTAAGGTTTCGGCGGGTCTTGGGCGCCAAGCGGCCTCCGCCGTGGATCTGGCCTTTCGACGTGGCTGTGTCTTGCTCCGGGGGAAACCCGAGTCTTGGCGATTAGGGGGGGATATCTGAATGAATGATGAAGATGAATGATGAATGATTAAAACATAACATCGATGTCCCATAAATCGTGGTTCTTGATCTGGGTTAATCGTGGGGAATAATGGTGGAGATTGGTAACCCATAGATCCCGATCTAGATGCTCCGCCCAACAACGGCCCGCGGGAGCCGTCCATTGGGACAATCATTTTGGCGAATGTAGTGTCAAACACGTCTGCCTAGACCACCCCGTTGGTTGCAGTGCCGATCACCTATCCCATGTAATCCCCAGGAGTCGGAAAAGGCTATAACTAGCGCACGGTTATGTTTCATCCTGCGATGATCAGCGCACCGAGAAGATGATAGCGGAGGGCGGAGATATCGGTAGTAATATCGATTGCAAATCCAGTTCGCATGGCAACATCACAGTATCTTGAAGTTTTACGGTTCGGAAAATGATTTTGAAGTCTTCATCAACCATTCCATGAATACGAAACCACATCTTGCTACATACTACGCCTTACATTCATTCCAACCAGATGGTAGCTGAAACGCCTGGGCTGAAATGCCAAACCCACTCTGATTCTTTTATTTCGAAAAACACTAAGCCATAAGCAAGCAGACGCTGTGCTACCCTATACACGTGCGGTAAACCTTGGAAGGTTGCTCGACGTGTCCGAACGGGTACAACATGTCTCCGACTCATACATACATCCCTGTCGCGGTGTGTATATTCGGAGTATTCCGGGCTGCTCCAACATGAGATATCACATAGGTCACATTTGGCGTCCATTTACTTTTTCTCGGAGTTTGCAAGAAATATCGGGATCATATTCATCGTCTCCGTTCTTCGAGTCGAAGCACAGGGTCGACAGCCCCTGTTCTCCTCTCGATTTCTCAATGAGTCATTACTTTCATTCAAGTTGTCCCCTCCTTCCGTATCTTATAATCGCAAGTAAGATTCTCGCTTCAATAATTAACTACACATAGGTGGATTATCGCCTATTTCTCTATTGTGCCCATTCGATCAACACCGTCCCGGTACCCTGCCTATCTTTCAACCCTAAAACCACCCCAAGAATCAATCTCACCCGGGCGGGCAGCTCCAGGGCTTAAGAAGGCCGATGTGCCCCAGATACATATTCCGGTTGAATAGACTGTATACCCGGTAACCCAGCGCCAGGTAGCTCAGCGTGTTGACTCGGATAAACCTTCCCAGGCTGCTGGCTAGAGACATCCAGCTCGGGCTTATTATATTGTGTTTCAACCTCATGCCGCAAGGGCTGTTGTGTCTGAGGATTTTGCGGGGCTCCTTCTTTCGCTGTATAAAGCGGAGCCATGGGCTGGCTTTGCGGATACTGGTATTGTGAGTGATAGGTTTGAGAACCAGGGGGGAATCCAGGCGGCGGTTGTTGAGGCTGTCCCTGTCCCTGACCCAGTCCCAATCCCGCTCTCCTTTCCCTTCTTCGACGAATCACGGCAAAATAGACAATGAGTCCTACAATCAAACTAATAAATACCAGACCCCCGATAACACCTCCAACAATAGGGCCAATGGGTGCGGAGCTCCCACGATGCTGGGATGGATTTGATTTAGACGGCGTCCCCGAGCTGACTGCCGTGATGTAGGAGACTGAGTTGGATTCCGTATTGGTACTAGAGCTCGAACCAGAGTCCAACAATGGTGTTGAGTATCCAGCCGGATATTGCGTCCCTGTTGAGATGCCCTTTGCGCCAGTGTAAACGGGAAATGCAATCGGGCTGGTAAATCCGCTCCAGTATGGCTCCATTTGATAATCGATACCCTCCTCTTCCGAACATACGAATGACAGGTAGTCTAGCCCGTAGGAGAAGGTCATGCAATATGGTTTGGTACCGGTGCTGGATAATACAGAGGTGATGTTAGAATTGTCATTATGGAGGACCGGCGATGTGCGCGCGCCAATATACCATTTCGCGACACTCGTAGAGCAGCCGGAGCCGCTGCATGACCAGGTACTCAACTCCGCGCTCCCTATACAAGCTGTCTGCGGCTGAGTCGGATCACCCACGAATTTGGCGTCGCTGTTCCAGAAACATGTTACCGAGGGATCGTCATACGTCCATCTGTTGTCTGGAAGGTTATGCGAATATTAGTCTCGCATCGAGAAGCGCTTGAATCTGGGGCCGCAATATGAACTTGGAGACGTACATACCATATCCTGATCCTGAAAACCAGCCGCAGAAATTTGGCGGAATATGATCGGCTCTTTTCGAAAGGTTGAATGTCGTCGGCTTGGGACTTAAATCGGAATCGGCCGTTGTAGGCGGGGAGACGGTGCGTGGCACAATTTCCTCTTGCGATGATAAATTGGCCCTCGCGACTATTAGAAAGATGGAAAGAAAGATGCTCGACATCTTGCAGTGTTATCAGCTCGTGTCTGTCTTTCTGGGTTTTGAGTGCTCGTTGTATCGCAAGAACGCTCCAGCACCGAGGGCCCGCCTGGGAATATGGTCACCATTTGAACCCCTGGCTCCCCCTCCCTCGCTGCAATCCTTTGAATGCAAAAATCCAAGATTAACCTTCGAGTTTGACTGACAGTTGAGCCAGGCAACGAATAGAATATGATTTTGAGGCGAAGCTCGCATCTTAGCACCAGGCAATACGAGAATGGTGGACCAAAGAGGAAATAATCTACAAACTGGCGGCTTAAACTCTATCTTCGGATTATAAAGAATTCCAGGGCTCCGTGGAAAGGTAAGAGGATCTTAACAAGCAGGCTATATATTCAAGTTATAATTGCTATGACGTGAGTGGTGATCTTCAAGTTGATCATTAAGCTGTTCAAACTTGAAGGCTCCGGCCCCGGCCCCGTTTCAATCGTGATGATCAATTTGAAATCTTAGTTCTATGCCAGTTTGAAGTTAGATTGGATCTCCAGGCGAACCCCGATGGGCAATTCTAATACTAAAACAATGAAATCAAAAAAAGGCCAAGTTGTTCAGACTAGTTATTTCATCACGAGTGAGTGGAACAGCACACAGGAACACGCGAGGACAGATCTTCAAGACTCCAGCCGCCCTGTTCATATTGCACATTTACATACACATCCTTCACAATGATATATTCGAACCTTGGAAGGAAGGTTGGAAGATAGCTAAATCATTTCCGAGGTGTGACAGGCTTCGTCTGATGATCATCAGCTTGCCTATCACCCAAGAATAAATCAAGCCCCAAATTCCTTCCAAAAGAAATACCATTCTTCGTCAATTATTAGACGCCGACTTGAGCAAGGGCGTGGATCCAACTTTTGTGAGCCGCAAAATAATTCAATAAGAGTCCTGTCCATACCTCGCGGCAACTCGCCCAGGAACGCATAAAGCGCACTCTCAGGCATTTACTTCATATTCATAGATGTTACTCGAGGCGTTGATCTCTCCCTCGCCTGCGACAGTTCTGGAAGATCCGGAGCACTTTCCTTGCTGGGTGTACACAGAGAATACCGTGAGAACTTGACTGCCTTTTGTTCCAGTCCAGTCGATTTTGGCCCCTCGGGGAATGTAAAGTGTTTTATAGGCCTGAGTGCCGGTCCCATGGATGTCTATTCCTGTGTTTGTTTTAAGATGCCAAGCTGCCAGAGGGGATGTGCTCACTGGAACAGCTACTAGTAGGAGGTAAACTGAGTTGAAAGAAAACTCCATTGTTGGTTCTATCATCAGTTAGTTTGGTTCGGCTGTTGATCATCAGATTGTTATTAGAGTCATACATCATGGTTTTATGAAATTGGTAGAGGTCAAGGTCTGCCTTCTTCAAGTTGCATATTGAATTGATATTGAGACGAAACTCAACGAATCTGGCGCCGAGAGCCGTGCTAAATATTATTCATTTGAACTCATGTCACTTCTTTTTGCCTTTCGTGAGTATTAAGAAACAATACTTATAATACGGGGTAAAGCAAAGTACTATCTTGTATTTAAATCAGTATCATGCCTTTGCCATGGGAGATAGCTAAATAGTTCCTATTTCGAGGTCACGAGCGGTGGGTACTCGTGGTTTATGCAGTGGTCGAACCGAAATATGCCGCTCTAGCCCCAAATAGGCCTGCAAGCTGTCATTAGTGATGTTGCCACCTACCGGTCATTCCTGTGCCGTTTAATTAGTACGAGAAAGGCTACGGTCGGCACGTCGCGAGGGCGTCCTTGGGAGGATTGATGAGTAAACAAAAAAGAGGCGAAAAGAAGTGCAACAACTGTGAATCGAATGTAGACTTGAACTCTTGCAAGCCTACATTCTAACCAAACAAGGCTACGGTTCGCAAGGAAGAGAGGAAGAAGAAAACAGGGTAAGAAGAAATCATTTGATTAAATATCATAATTTCCAAGCCCAAAGAAGTGAAAAAAGTATCGGTGATGAGGAAGTAATCTCGCGCCTTAAATGCAACAATAATCCAACAGGAAAAAAAAAAAGCCCCGAACCTCCATGTTTGAAATTGTACAGCGAAATCGATTCGAAGAGAGCGCCCAGGGTATCCGACCATCAGTGATCATAATGTGCCAAAGTATGGAAATTTTTCAAATAGAAATGCAAGCTGCCCCGGATGGCGGAAGGACAGAGAGGAATGTAGTAAGCGGAAGGGTAGGAATATTGCGCGATAGGGTGTAGTGGGAATTATGCGCGGAAGTCATGGATGCGGACGTGGTAATCGTCGCCGCCGGTGATGAAGCGACTGTCACTCAGGCCAATGCAGTTGACCGCTGCGGAGTGGCCTTCGTAGGTCTCTTGGCAGGTGGGAATGCGCGGGTCCCAGATCTTCACCATGCGGTCCATGCCGCCGGAGGCGATGCGCAAGGTATCGGCAGACAAGGCCCATATGCCTTCCAGGTGACCGAAGAATGTGCGTAGACATCTACCGGTGTTGGTTTCCCAAAGGCGGATCGTTGCGTCGACACCGCTCGTGATGATGTAGCGGGGTGGCTCCTTGCGGTCTTCATCTTGGTCGAAGGATGAACCGAATGAAGAAGGTTGGCCGTGAAGGGACCTAGCTTCTAGGATAGGCGAGAGAATGTTCACAGGAGCGTCACCGTTGTTGGAAGCCGTGCTGACATGGTCGTTTTCACAGTCTCCGAGGTGCTCCAGTTCAATCTCGCGTGGTAGAGGGATGACTTGCTGCACTGCACCGATATGGTTGTTAAAAACACGAATGCAGGTCTTGGTGTCAAGATCCCACAGGCGAGCGGCACCATCATCACAGGCAGTCAAGACAGTCCGGGAAGAGGTGTCAATCTTGACAGCGTTGACGCCCTCAGGGTGAGGAAGGATGAAGGTCGATTTGTCTTTGAAGTTCCAGATCTTCACGGTTCTATCGACCGAGGCAGAGGCAAGAAGGGTGGAATCGAAGTGCAAAGCGATGACTGCCTCAGCGTGTCCATTGTACTTGGAGAGACATTCTCCAGTGCGCCAATTCCAAACTCGGATGCTTCGATCGAGACTGCCAGTGATCAACTTGGTATCGTCGAATTGGAGACAGCGCACTCCAGCGGTGTGGCCTCTGAGTGTGCGTAGCTCTTGGCCAGTCTCCATATCCCAGATCTTAACCGTCGCATCGTAGGAGCCGGTCATGAGAATATTATCCTCGAATTGGAGGCACATGACACTATCAGTGTGACCGCGGAGGACCTTCACCGAACAACGTCGATGCTTCCAGTTCAGACCAACCTCGAAGCGATCACGATAAACATCCTTCCATGGGCGATAGCGAGTCTTGTAGTAGTCATCATCGGCAACGGGCTTGTAGGCAGGTGACACACAGTGCCTCTTGATCTGATGACAGCTGTGTTCATCTTCAATCTTGCGTTTATTGTCCTTCGGCAATGTGACCACTGAACAAGTTCCGTTCGGGGCACCGTCCGCGGGTGGATTCAATCCTTGATTCTGAGTTTCATTTCCCCAGTTGGTCGCTCGAAGTTCGATCTCGCGCTTGGATTCACGCAGGCGCTTCCGGTCCAAAAGAGGCAAGCCCCATCCACACTTGTTGCACTTCCGTCGGATATGCTGTTCGCACATGCGATGCCAGACAACGTCATCGTCAGCCAATGCTCTCCATCGGGGAGATACTTGGGCAGCGCGGCAGAGAGAGGCGGTGTCGAGATAACGCAGAATTTTGAAGGAAAGCTCAGCGGGGAGAGCTGTCAAGTAATCGATTCGGATCAATTCGCGGACGCTGGCAGAGATGAAGGATAATTGAGGGAAGCAGCACTGTGCCAAGACGCCCTGGAGCATCAGTTTGCGCTGCTTTGCCGGGGCCGCAGAAAACAGCGACCAGACATGGGCGATTCCCTGTTGATCATCCTGAGGGAGGGTCTCCAGTTCCTGGCTGTATTAGCAAGTGGGTTTATATCAAAAGGAGCGGGTGAACATACCTGCTGAAGCTGACGCATGGATTTCTCATCTGCCTGGCGACTGCATTTTGAATCTGGCTGGTGACGATAGCAGTAGCCAGCGTTCACAGCACGGGGAATGGAAGGAGTGCCGTCCTCAGATCGAAAAGGGGCATATTGGCGTGGGTGATATTTTGCGAGAAAGGGAGCGACGTTTTGCTTTGCTAGCTGTGTAAGAGTTTCCGAAGTGGTGGTGGTCTCCTTGGTATCGTGAGGGGTGGTGCGGTTTGCCTCGGCGTTGGTGACAGGAGTCCCCACTTCAGTAGTCGCTTCAACGAAATCCTTTGGGGGATGTGAAGCTTGGTTTTTTTGTTCCATGGCAAGTGTCGATTTGGCTTTGTGCCGACCAGGCGTGTTCTTGACCCGAAGGTATTGCCAAGCGGCAGTTTCAGCTGGCCACGGAAGGTTGAGACAAAGACGGTGATAAGACTTTGGGGAACTGGATGTAGGTCGCGGAGATTACAATGGGTTATAGATCGAGGAGAAGTCGGATATCAAGATCGGAAATAGGAGTTTCGGTGGCGTTCAAAAGCGATTGCCAGCGTCCACAAGGTAGTCAATTGTCGAGGAGGGAGGAGTGTAGTGAAGCGGGAGAAGTAGATTGACGAGTACCCTGGCAGATATGAAAGTAGTCGGAGATGTTGGTGTAGATGTGTAGTGATGGGATAAGTGTCAGGAAAAGAGAGGCGATAGACGGATTTAAAGAATCAAGAAGGGCGGCTCAGCGAGATTGCGACATCGAGGTGGAAGTGACAGATGCGACATGGAAGAGTGCAGACTGCAATCACACCATTTGCGCCGCAGCAGCAGAACGGGGGGAACGGGGGAGGCGAATGGGTGAAAAGGGAAGGCGGTAGAGAATTACCTAATGGCAATCAGATCTTTCACTGGCCGAAAAGGGTAGTCTAGCAATTTGCCCCACGTGATGGCGCAATTTCCCCAGTGCCTGCCGTCAGTCAAGGGAGCGACGACCCGGTGCCGACGTGCCTTCCTCAGATTCACCGTTCATCCCTCCCTCCGTGCTGGGAAAGTACAAAAAGTGGGAATTTGCAGGAAGGATCGACCGGGGGCATTCTAGACCGCCTTTTCCCCAGGGTACCTTCTTACATAGTTAGGTACTTTCTTCACCACCTTAGCTCTTTCCGATAGCTCTATTGTCTTATCTACTGTTTATGCCACTATCCACCGCCCACGGCGCACATCATCTCTCATATCCTCGCTTTCTCTCTCGGCCGATGAGGTGATCTACAAAGCTCTAGGTAAGCTTTTTCCTCTCCCTCCGTTTCGTACGGAGTACTGCATGCAGCACTACCTTTTCCGATCCACGGTATTTACCCTTTTGCCTTGCATTTGAAGTGGACTGGCCATCAGATACCCGTCCTGTAACTACTGGCTTGTCACTGGTGGAGAGCTATCACTCAGCTGGAAACCCTACGAAAGCCTGAGCGCTCAACCCTTCTGATCTATCAACACACCCGTGAGACCTTCAGCTAAACAACCCGTCTCAATAGGGGTGATCTAGACCCCAGGCTCGGCCAGTTTCGATTGTAAATCACTCCGGAGCCCCGGCGGCTACCTTCAACCCGGAAACTTTTGAAACCATCTCGTCATCGCACACCATTCTTCATCCTTGCTCGACATCGCCAGTAAACTGGTTCAACTGGTGCCACGCCCCTCACCGTCGGAATGTCATCCCAGTCTTCCTCCGCCTCCATCGCTCAGGGTGATACCGAACACAGCGATCCGGACGCGTTGCCCAACCTGGAGACTCTCGTGTCTTATCTCATTGTAGCCAAGCGTGGCCTGTCCTCGTATCATTATGTCTGGCGGGCCAACGAGATCGTCACCGAGGCCCGGATGGCCCTGGAAGATAGCGTGGCCGTGTCGTCCCGAACCACGTTTTTGCGCCGTGGCTTGAACAGCCAGCTCCGGCTACTCTACAATGTCCGATCAGAGGTCGCGGATATATCAAAACGAGGCCGAAGTGAATTCGCAGACGCGTTGAAGAACCTAGATGCCGCCGATGCGCAGCTACGGGATACACTGGACCTCCTCCGGGAGACAATCGTCCATGCCTCCTTCCGGCCAAAGAACGAGGAGTCCAGGACTCTGCACGACTTTGTAGACGAGCGAGGAGTGGAGGAGCTGCACACCGCCATGAAGGACTCCATTGACCGCACGAATTCCGCCCGCGGAGAATTAGATACCTCCAATCGCGAATTCGATGACGAGCTCGAGTCTATCCGGCAGGCACTTCATCGGTATCGCTCAGCCACCAAATTAGCTTCATCCCGTGCCTCGGTGTCTTCGTCATCACCGTCTGCATCCGAATCGGACCTCCAGGCCGTCTCATCCATGCCGGGCATGCTTCAGTCATTAGAGGAACATGCGCGGAAAATGGCCAGGAATCTTGAATCTCTTGCTAACCATTTTGATCTCTGCGTGAAAGTACTAAAACATACAGAAGGTGGTGGTGCTGCTGCGCGGTCCATCACTGGAGATATGCCCACGGATGTCAGCGACGAGGGGGTCCTTAGAATCGAGGAGACTCTCGACGCACCCCAAGCACCCATCTCGCAGAAAGAATATCGAGATATGCTGCGGGTCATTGTAAACGATACCCCCGTTGCAGAAGACGTTGTTGTGGAATTCCAAGACCGCATTAATGATATGGAAACCATCTTTGAACAAGTCATGATGCAGCGCGACGCCCTCTTGTCCATCTCCAGTGCCACACTGGAAGTCCACCGCCATCTCTCTACACTAGCATCCACCGGTCTTCCACGTTACATTGCGCAAGCGCATAACTTCACCCACGTATGGAGCGAAGAAAACGACCGAATTAACTCCGGTCTGACCGAACTATCCGACCTCCACGCCCTTTACGAAGGCTTCCTGAATGCCTATGATCGCCTGATTCTGGAAGTCGCCCGCCGAGCCCACGTTCGAAAGCGCGTGGAGAAAGTCCTTCAGGACACTCAGCATAAGCTAAGCCAACTCTACGAGGAAGACGTCACCGACCGCGAGGCCTTCCGCGTCGAACAGGGTGATTTCTTACCGTCCGATATCTGGCCCGGGATCGGTCGTGCGCCGATGCAGGTGGAATTCCTGCGCGTATCGGGCGGTCAATTGGAAGGTGCCTTCGATAACGAAGAGGGGCTTGAAAATCAGGACGATGGCGCTGGCGCCAAGGTCCCCATGGCCGAGGACCCTTCGCAGGGCGAAGTCATTCCCGCTCTGCCGAAGGATGTTATTGAGCAGGCTTATGCGCGTGTTAGATCGAAAGAGCGGGATCTTGTTCAGGGGTGAGAAGCATGCAGCTTATTGAACTTATCTATGAAGAGGCTTTCTTGCCGGTAGTGGGCACTATCTAAATTGAAGATTTTGCTGAAGATCTCCAAACTGCATTCCTTTCCTGGGATTGCCCATCCATCCTAGTGCCCAAGACCTAAGTGATGAAAGCTATTTGGTCTGATCTCCATCCAATCTTCTACTTCCTAAAACACACTACGATCAGTAGATACATACTCCTTACTTTTGTAGAGGATGTAAGTACTACTGGCAGGGTGGGAGTGCGGTTGGTCGAAAGTGATGTTCAAAGAGAGCTCTGATAGGTAGGCTCGGACAAGGAGCAGTGCCCACCCTGGAGCATGGTCTAGATAGTGGTGTGAAAATCGCTTCTAGGAAACTTGAACTTCTTCAACCTTGGAAGGTTGGAAGCTTGATCTCAACAACAGGTTTAAATAATTTGCAAAAGTAGCCTTCATGAACTAGCATAAATCCTATCGAGTCTATATCGAGGTATCAAACATAGCCTGAGTTATATCCAAATGCTCCATCCCATATATGCATCTAATCATAAAATCATGCCAAACCAAACCCATGCACAGCGGAAAATAAAAAACAAATCTCAGCCGAGGGAGAATGACTCATTTCTTCTTGCGCGAAGAGGTCGAGACCAATTTCTTCTTCATGTGCTTGGGCATTTTATTCAATCGTGCTTCGCGCTTCTCTTCCTTGACTTTTTGCTTATGTTCACGCTTGACATCTTTGTCCTCGTGCTTCTTGCCACGAGGCTGCTTAGGTGCGAAGGGATCTTTTTCCTCATCGTCACTCTCGTCGTCGGAGCCGGAGACTGAGACGCCGCCGCTACCGTCAGACTCTGAGTCGGCAGCCTCGTCCTCGACAGGAGTGGGTTTGCTCTTGCTCTTGCCGGTGGCGAGGAGGTCTCCGTAAACAAGATCGCCACCCATACCATCGCGCACCTTCTCAGCGTCGCGCTCGACGTCGTAAACCTGCTCCAAATTCTGCGGGATATATTGCTGACGGAAGACGGCGGTGTCGACATCCTCCGACTCGTGCTGTTCGGCATCACCTTCCTCGCGAGCAGAGAGCAGCTTCTCAATCGTCTCGGTCATCTCGTTGTTCTCGGAGGTGAAGTCGCTAGGGCCATCGGGGGAAACGATGAATTGGAAAAGAGCGCGCTCGGGGAGAGTGTCTACGCCCTTGCGCTTGAAGAAGTCGCTCACGTTCTTGATATCCATACGTAGGAATTCCAGACTGCGGGGATGATCGTGCTCCACACTCTGACTGACATCAATGATGTATAGGCGCTTCTTGTGGTAGAGCATATTGTACTCGCTCAGATCGGCGTGGACAAGACGGCAGGTCTGGTACATGACGCGCATGTAGCCGAGCAGTTCGATATAAAGGGAGCGGTAGCGCTCCTCGGCCTCCTCGCGACTAAACTCAACATCCTTGAGGCGGGGCGCGGGGATACCCTTAGAGCTACCAATGAAGCCCATGGCGAGAACGTGCAGGCGAAGGTAAAGAGGCTCCGGGCAGGGGATGCCGGTGGCGTAGATGCGGCGCAGGTTACGCATTTCCTTCTCGGCCCACAGTTTGACCATGGCGCGGTTGTTGCTCTTGCTGTATCCTTGGCGGAAACGGAATTCACCAGTCACGTACTTATCGCGGTCCTTGAAGACCAGAATGCTTGTCTTGTAGACCTTGACGGCACGATGGATCGGGGCGGCGTCCTCGTCTTCGGAAACGGACATAGCGTGGTAAACGTTGGCTTCCTTTCCGGTAGACAGACAGCCGTGAATCTCGGAAACAATTCCTCGGTTGATCATCTGCAACAACAGCATGCGAGTGCGGGGGTCCAGGACTTGTTCTGATGTGGCGCGGTCCGCCCGATCTCCTCCACTGTTGCCCTTGCCTTGAAGGCCGGATTGTTGAGTATCGAGCTTGATCTTGGCAGCATGGCGAGTGAGCGACTTGACTTGGTCATCGACGGAGGCGTGTGTGTTGATGGTGGGCTTTTGGGTGTTGGTCTTGGGGTATGTCCATCTGGGAACGTTGGAATCGGCAGCGAGGTCTTGGATTTTGCGCTGACGGTTGTAGGCTTTGGTCAGGTCGGATGGGTCTGCAGAATTAATGTCCTCGGAGTCCAACTCCTCGAAGATATCGTCGTAGTACTCCTCATCTTCGTCTTCTTCTTCCTCCTCCTGCCCCTCGGGCACTTCGGTGGATTCCTGCCCCGCGGCAGCAGTTGTACCATCAGGATTGACATAACCCTGGTTAGGAAGGTAGGTGTGGGATGGTGCAAGGCCATCGGCCAGGCCAGGCACCTGGATAGGCGTCTCGGACTCACTCATCTTTGCGCAATAGAACGAATGTGAGGGGCAAAGAGCAAAAAGTCGACAGGGAACCTTGGTGGAGGCCCGACTGCAGTTTCCACCTTTTTTTTTTCTTGTGCCCGTCACCGCCCGGCAGAACAACCCCGCCCGGAAAGGCAACACGCGCGCTTCTGCGCGTCCGAGTCTCTCATCGTTCATCGTAAATTCCACTTCTGAGCTCAAGTCGGCCTTTCTCTCGCGGTGCGAGGACTTGAAGCGAACGAAGGTCCTCTATATCACTTTTTCTCTTTCAACACCTCGGCCTTGGCCGGGTAATGCGTGAGTGGCAGTTGTCATCGCGTCGCGCGTCTTCCCAAGATGTATGTCAAGCAGATCATCATTCAGGGCTTTAAAAGGTATGCGCAGCAAGATCAGTCTATACAAGACCCATTGGCATGTCATCTGACCCAATTGTGAACACAGCTACAAGGACCAAACCGTTATCGAGCCCTTCTCCCCTAAACACAATGTCATCGTCGGCCGCAATGGTTCGGGCAAGAGTAACTTCTTCGCCGCCATTCGATTCGTTCTCAGCGATGCTTACACCCATCTTGGCCGTGAGGAACGACAAGCTCTTCTTCATGTACATCTTTTCCTAGCAGCCCCCGTTGTGTCTTTGCTAATCTTGCGCAGGAAGGATCTGGTTCGGCCGTGATGTCGGCGTATGTCGAGATCATCTTTGACAACTCCGATGATCGGTTTCCCACCGGCAAGCCCGAAGTCGTCCTCCGCCGCACAATCGGTATCAAGAAGGATGAATACACCCTGGACCGGAAGAATGCGACAAAGAACGACGTCATGAACCTCCTAGAGTCCGCCGGTTTCTCTCGATCCAACCCATACTATATCGTTCCCCAAGGTCGTGTGACGGCGTTGACAAATATGAAAGACTCGGAGCGTTTGGTGCTTCTGAAAGAAGTCGCTGGTACCCAGGTTTACGAGGCGCGCCGCTCTGAATCCCTCAAGATTATGCATGACACCAACAGCAAGCGAACCAAGATCGACGAACTCTTAGACTTCATCAATGAGCGTTTGGCCGAGCTGGAGGAGGAGAAAGATGAACTTCGCAACTACCAAGACAAAGACAAAGAACGCCGCTGCCTCGAGTACACGATCTATTCTCGCGAGCAACACGAAATTTCCAACGTGCTAGACAACCTAGAGGAACAAAGGCAGAATGGTGTTGAAGATGCCGACAATAACCGTGATCAATTCATCGATGGTGAGAAGGCAATGGCTCAGATTGATGCTGAAATTGCCGAATGTCGCCAGCAAATCGAGTTCCTGAAGGTGGACAAGGCACAACTGGAAGATGAGCGTCGTGAAGCCTCCAAATCTCTAGCACAGATTGAACTTCAGGCCAAGTCTCTCTCCGACAATCAAGCTGCCGCCCAGGCTCTGAAGTCTCGCCATGACTCCGATCTCAACTCTGTCCAAACTGCTATTAGCCAGCGAGAGGCTGAATTGCAAGAGATTCTCCCGCGGTTCAACGCCTTAAAGGACCAAGAGGATGGTGTGAAAGCCCAACTTACTGAAGCCGACACATCCCGCCAACGGCTCTACGCTAAGCAAGGTCGCAACTCCCGATTCAAGAATAAGTCTGAGCGGGACAAGTGGCTGAACATGGAAATTCGAGAGAGCAAGCGTTCTACTTCGACCGTGGAGGGCGTTGTTTCCCAAACACAAGACGACATCAGTGAATTAGAGGGTGAGATTGCCCAGTTAGAGCCTCAGGTCGAGGAACTGCGTAAACAGATTGATGGACGCGGCGATACATTGCATTCCTTTGACCAGCAGGTTCAAAATGCAAAGGATGAGAGAGATCGTTTGATGGATCAACGAAAGTGAGTAAATTCCACCATTGCCCAGATAGGCTGTATACTAATAGAATATATAGGGAACTCTGGCGCGAAGAGGCAAAGCTTGACTCCGTCCTCTCGAGTGCGTCATCAGAAATGGAGCGCGCTGAGCGTACTCTTTCCCACATGATGGACCAAAATACTAGCCGTGGATTGGCTGCGGTCCGAAGAATCAAGCGCCAACATAATCTTGATGGCGTCTACGGTACCCTCGCCGAACTTTTCGATGTGAACGATAGATATCGCACTGCCGTGGAAGTTACTGCTGGACAGAGCTTGTTCCACTACGTTGTTGACACTGATGAAACTGCAACAAAGGTTTTGGAAATTCTGCAAAAGGAGAAAGCAGGCCGTGTTACGTTTATGCCCCTTAACCGTCTGCGCTCCAAGCCCATGAACATGCCCCGCGCCAGTGATGTGATTCCCATGATCGAGAAGATGCAATTTGATCCCTCCTATGACCGTGCCTTCCAGCACGTCTTTGGAAAGACCATCATCTGCCCCAACCTTCAGGTCGCTTCCCAGTATGCTCGCAGCCACGGTGTTAACGCTATTACCCCTGAGGGTGACCGATCTGACAAGCGCGGTGCCCTGACCGGTGGTTTCCATGATTCACGCCACTCACGACTTGATGCCGTCAAGAGCGTTGGCAAATGGAGAGACGAATTCGAGACCAAACGAAACCGTGGAACAGAGATCCGCAAGGAACTGGAGAAATTGGACCAGTTGATCACCAAGGCTGTTGGCGAATTGCAGAAACTTGAGCAGCAGAAGCACCAGGCACAGAACAGCAGCGGTCCGCTCCGACAAGAGTTACGAAGCAAGCGTGAGCTCCTACAAAACAAGACCGATAGCCTTGATGCGAAACGTCGGGCCCTCCGCAACGTTGAATCAAACCTCGCGGCTTTGAAAGACCAGACTAGCGCGTTCGAGGCCGAGTTGGCTTCGCCTTTCCAAAAGGCACTGACAAATGAGGAAGAGAGTCTTTTGGAAAGTCTGAGTGGATCCGTGCAAGAACTTCGCCGACAATATCAAGAGCTTTCATCTGCTCGCAGTGAACTCGAGGCGCGGAAATCCTTGCTGGAGGTTGAATTGAGAGAGAACCTGAACCCTCGCTTGGACCAGCTTACGAACCGCGATATCGATATGGCCGAGGAGGAAGTTCAAGGCAACCTGAAAGGAACGCAGCGCGAGCAGAAGCGTCTTAGTCAGGCATTGGAGAAGCTCAACAAACGCCTGCAACAGGTTGATACTTCCATCGAGGAGCAGAATAGTCGGGTCAACGATCTTGAGCAGCACAATTCCGAGACTCGCCGCAGCCTTGAGGATCTTGCCCGTTCCATCGAGAAACACCAGCGCCGTATGGAGAAGAGCATGCAGAAGAAGGCTGCGTTGACCAAGCAGGCTGTGGAGTGCGCCGCCAACATTCGCGATCTGGGAGTCCTGCCTGACGAGGCATTCACCAAGTACAAGAACACAGATTCCAACGCCGTCGTGAAGAAACTGCACAAGACGAATGAGGCCCTTAAGAAATACTCACATGTCAACAAGAAGGCGTTCGAGCAATATAACAACTTCACCAAGCAGCGCGAGACCCTGACAACCCGTCGTGAGGAACTGGACGCGTCGCAGAAATCTATCGATGATCTGATTTCCGTTCTCGATCAACGGAAGGATGAAGCAATTGAGCGTACCTTCAAGCAGGTATCTCGCGAATTCGCCAACGTTTTCGAGAAACTGGTCCCTGCCGGTCGCGGTCGTCTTATCATTCAGCGCAAGACCGATCGGACTACTCGGGCCGAAGACGAGGTCGACTCAGATGACGAGGAGGCCCAACAGAGTGTAGAGAATTACGTCGGTGTCGGCATTAGTGTCAGCTTCAATAGCAAGCACGACGACCAACAACGAATCCAGCAATTGAGCGGTGGACAAAAGAGTAAGCCAGCCCCCGTCCCATTTCTCCAATCCCACTTTTTTGTTAACAAGTTCCTTTCAGGTCTCTGCGCTCTCGCGCTTGTCTTCGCAATCCAAGCCTGCGACCCGGCACCTTTCTACCTCTTCGACGAAATCGACGCCAACCTCGACGCTCAATACCGTACAGCCGTTGCACAGATGCTGCAGTCCATTTCCGACTCCACTAACGGCCAATTTATCTGCACAACCTTCCGACCGGAGATGCTGCATGTCGCCGAGAAGTGCTACGGCGTGAGCTTCCGACAGAAGGCCAGTACCATTGATGTGGTTTCTCGGGAGGAGGCGCTCAAATTTGTTGAGGAGCAGAAGACTTAATTGAGGGCCTTGCATGTGTACATTTTTTATTTTATCTTTTTCCAACTTCTTGCGTGGAATGGCGCATCGTGATACCGGCATCTTTATTTTCATGGCTTAGTTGATGTTTTTTTCTGAATTATATTTCTACTCGATTCTTTTCCTAACTTTTAAATCATCAAACCTTAGGCTGTAGAGATGCATACTACGAGAGAGAAACTGGACAACAGAAGGAGATGCATATAGGGCGTATTGAATTCATGATATAGTCATACGACGTACTAGTAATATAATGCGACGCGATGCAATGCAATGCGGTTGGTACTTACTCCCTCGTAACGCCAGTCTCCCCCGACCATTCGAAGAGAATATCTTCCGGAACATCTCTAGTGAGAATATGAACATGTTCGAGCGCGCGTACACTCTGCAACCCAACCCAATTCTTAAACCACAAAATCTGAGATTTAGGGTCTTGGAAGCGCCGTTGCGGATCCCGGGCTAGACGATCAACAAAAGTCCGCTGAACAAAGTCCTCAATTAGAGCTCTTGACTCATCAGTGAGATGACCTTCCTCGCCCTGGACCGGGATCGGGGTGCGCAGCCAAACAACGAGATGCGAAATGCCGGGGTCCAAGCCGTAGGGCCAGTCATTCCGGAGAATCTTGTAGTCTTCAGGGTCGGCAAATGGGCGCGGGTTCCTGAAGGTGACTCCACTTTGAATAGCCGCGGGTGTACTGGAGGCGGATGCTGGGGACGGCGTGGAGCCCGGGGTTGTTTCGGTTGAGGCTGGCGGGAATGACCAGCCTAGACGGCGCTGACAGATAAAATTCATGATGGAGCCATAGTGCGCTTTGGTGGCTGCACTCCAGTCCAGGTATCGGCGGAGATCGGAGGGTTTCCGCTTCAGTGCGGCGAGATCATTCCGGGCTAGTCGGGTGAGTGAGGGGGAAGTTTTTTGGGGAAATGAGGAGAGAAGAGGGGAGGGGCTGTGTCTCTGCTCACTTACCGATAATGCCTTGTAGATCATCCCAGTCGTGGGCTATGAACTCCTCGTCGGTCATGGCGAGGAGCTGGTGATCCAGTGCAGTAAGATTGAAGGCAGGAGGGGCCATGATGGGAATTTATGCAATGCAATTGATAAAGATGAATATAATGAACAAGAATGAATATAATGACTCTAACGTCATGCAATGAATGCCATGCAATGAAGGACAAAGTAGATGTGAGGGGAATGAAATCCCAAAGAGGAGTGAAATTCCGTTGGGCGGAAGAGCGGACTCCGTCGAGAGGAAGTCACGCTTCTTCCACTTCCACTTTATCATTTTGGGAACTTCCCTTCTCTCTCAACTTCCTCTTCATCCAACTCCCCCCGCCATGAGGTATGTTAATGTTACGGCTATTCATGACCCGATTTATTATTGTTCAAATTGCCTTGGATTCGCTTGACCCCTTCTCTAACAATGTCTAGTTTCAACGTTGGCACCGCCCTCATCCCCTCGGCCTTGCTGGTCGCAGGTGTGTACGCCGTCAAGCCCGAGTTTGTCGCGTATGCTATCGCTGCTGCCACGGTCTTCACTGGCCTCGCCTTCTTTACCGGAAGTAGTAGTATGTGTCCCTTAATCCCACCCACCATGATCGCGTGGCCCGCGATCGCAGTGTAACTTCCCCAGTCTTACTAACATTCCTCCGTCGCAGAGCCTCGTAAGGTCTTGAACCCCACCGAGTTCCAGAACTTTGAGCTCAAGGAGATCAACAACATCTCCCACAATGTCGCCATTTACCGTTTTGCCCTCCCCCGTCCCACCGATATCCTTGGTCTGCCCATTGGTCAACACATCTCTCTCGCCGCCACTATTGAGGGCCAGCCCAAGGAGGTTGTGCGCTCCTACACCCCTATCTCCTCCGACAACGAGGCCGGTTACTTCGATCTGCTCGTCAAGGCTTACGCTCAGGGTAACATTTCCAAATACCTCACCACGCTGAAGGTCGGCGACACCATGAAGGTCCGCGGCCCCAAGGGTGCCATGGTCTACACTCCCAACATGTGCCGTCACATCGGTATGATCTCCGGTGGTACTGGTATCACCCCTATGCTCCAGGTCATCGAGGCCATTATCCGCAACCGTCCCCGCAACGGCGGCAATGACACCACCAAGGTCGACCTGATCTTTGCCAACGTCAACTCCGAGGATATCCTGCTTAAGGAGAAGCTTGAGAAGCTCGCTAAGGAGGATGCTGACTTCAACGTCCACTACGTCCTGAACAACCCCCCTCAGGGCTGGACTGGCGGCGTTGGCTTCGTCACCCCCGACATGATCAAGGTAAGGAAGGACCCGCACGTGTGATCGGCATGTACCGAGGTGAAATACGTTCCGAGCTCTAACTTTTGCCTTACAGGAACACCTGCCCGCCCCCGCCGCCGACGTCAAGATCTTGCTCTGCGGTCCTCCCCCCCATGGTTAGCGCCATGAAGAAGGCCACCGAGTCTCTTGGCTTCACCAAGGCCCGCCCTGTTAGCAAGCTGGAGGACCAGGTCTTCTGCTTCTAAGCGTGTGCGTGTCTGGGCATATACCCCTAAAAATTTTCACTGGATCAAGTAGCTCGTGATTGCGAGCCCATGACCAGCGAGCGACTGCTCTTCATGAAGAATTTCCGCGAAATGTACAGCGATTGCGAGGATAGATTTGTCTATAGACCCTGGCCAAGCGCAGGCGTCAAAGGATTTGTGAACAATGCTGTTTTATTCCAGATATTGAGAGTTATATAAGCTTCATTTTTGCGTAGTGCCTACAGGCTCTACCAGCATAATACTAAAAAACAAAAAGAAAAACCAAAAAAGAAGCATACCTGCTAGCATCTACCGCTCGCTGCTACCATTTCCCGAGTTCCTTGTGATCTTCGATCTCGATACTAGTCAAACATCGACTCCTTCATAAACGGACTGCGCCGGCGGATTGCAGGTCCCTTCCAGACTAACACCACAGGAACGAACGAGAGAGCAAGCCCGATAAACCCCAGCAATGTTCCGGCCCAGCCATACCCCAATGCGTGAACAGCGCAGTGGAAGACAACGGTACAAAAGCACTAATAATGTTTCGGCCCAGCAAGGTAGCAGATAAGGCCGACGCAGCATATTTCTCATAGCCATCGATGAGAAAGTTATTAACGGCCATCAAGATCGTATAGATTCCCACACCAGTACATCCAATGCCTAGCGTGGGCACAATTCAGTGTACAGATCCATCACCAACGCTACTCCATCCGTACCAGAACAAACCAGCCGCGAAGAGCAGACTGCCCGGTATAGAAGAATACAGACGGGCCTCTGGGACCGGCTTACCATAACTCTCCCCATCACGATTCTTCTTCGCAGACCGCCTATATATAGCAGCCTGGGTGGGGTCAAAAGCGAGACCAATAAAAGTACCGACCATGATAGTCATTCAAGTTCCAAGGTTGATAACGAATCGGATAATGAATTACTAACATTGGAAACTTTTATAAAAACAAACCCTTTTAAACTAAAGGCCCCATGATACTATGATATCGTAATAAATACAAGGACAGGAAACTTGAAGGTCGATCGGTCTCATTACTATCTCCATGGCATCAAATACAAGACCCTCTGTCAAGCTCCCCAAGGGGAAATCCTCGGAATCCAGATAGTCGATAGATTTCCTCATCCTCTCGACGCATTTCTCGGGGTTCCATATGCTATACCTCCAACAGGAGACAGACGATTCAGGCCTGCGCTGAAAATAGGAGAGTCCAGCGAGATATTCGATGGCTCAAAGTACGGCTATGCAGCCCCTGGAAAGGCACTGCTTTCCGGAGGCCCAAACCTAGAGCAAAGCGAGGACTGTCTGACCGCAAATATTTTCTGACCTACCAATTCCCACGATTCACTTCCAGTGGCAATTTATTTGCATGGTGGCGCCTTCAATCGGGGTGCTGCTGCTATGCACGATAGCGCTTCCATGGTGGCCTGGTCAGAGAAGCCATTTGTTGCTGTGAGCTTCGGGTACCGCATAGGTGCTCTTGGATTTTTGCCTTCAGAAGTCAGGAAAAATGAAGGTATATTAAATCTGGGATTAAGAGGTCAGGTTCTTCTCTTTCAATGGGTTCGGGATAACATTGGTCGATTTGTTGGGGATCCGGGAAATGTGACCCTAATTGGTCTCTCTGCGGGGGCGCATTCGGTGAGAAACTGGACGATAACCTTCTGATCTTGATGTATTCTGACATTTTTTGATAAATTGGTCATCATATGCTAAATCATGATCATACTAAGCCCCCTTTGTTTCATCGTGCGATCATGGAATCTGGATCACCCACCTGCCGAGCTGTCCGCCCTTACAATGCGAAGATCCACGAAGAGCAATTTCAAGACTTTCTTAGAGAGGTCAATTGCCCAGGTGACCTAGATAAAACAGAGATATTCCCATACCTGCGCAGCCTCCCGAGTTCAAAAATAACTGAGGCTCAAATAATGGTGTTTGATAAGTACAATCCCTCACTAAGATGGCCCTTCCAACCAGTTATCGATGAAGAGATGATTCCACGCAAACCACTGGAAGCATGGCGTTCTCATTCATGGAACAGAATACCCAAAATGACCAGACTCAACACAAGTGGAGCAAACGCCTATGTCAGTAAGAAAATGTCCGAGCCATCAGAATTCTGCACGTTCTGGCAGACTCTTCTGCCCAACCTTTCAGCCTCTGAACTAGATTCGATTGAACAGCTATATCCAGATCCAAGAATCGATCACAGATCCCCATATAACGAGACAGGTGAAGGCCTTGGAGCTCAATTCCGGCGCATAGAGGCAGCATATGGACACTACGCCTACGTCGCACCGGTCCGTCAGACAGCCCATCTTGCTTCTTCGCAGGGCGGCTTGGTTTATCTATACCATTGGGCACTTTCTCGCATTATTATCGGCGCAAATCATGCGGACAGTATGTAGTATGAGACATCCAAATAGGATATCTGAGAGATCTTCGAGTCTCAAAATGAACTATCAAGAATGCTCCATGCATATCTTACCAGTATCATTACGACGGGAGACCCGAACGCTGTACGAGGGCAATATCCAGAATGACCGCAGTGGTCGCCCTTTGAACCAAGAGATCAGAAAGTGATGCTTTTAGGAAAGTGGAATGAGGAACTGATTAGTAGCTCCTCCTGCGAAGATCGTTGTGGATGAATGGGCGAGACAAGAAACGAAATTTTGGTGGTCTAAAACTGATCTTTCGGAGCAAGCCTGAGTCTATCTGTTGTTAATAAAGATTGGAGCAATTATGAATTACATGTCATCTTCATATTGATAGTTTATCGCTAGTTCTAATTTCAGTGTGAATGCTATTGCATACTGGTGTCCCACTCTCATGGCGAACTTTCTGTAATGCTGGATGTTTCATGAAGCTGATACTGAGGAACCTCTTCCCCAGCACGCCATTTGAACTTGCTTCCTGGGTGATCTTCAGGCAATCGATCCGACCCAATGAACACATCCCTTGCAGTAGCACCCCCCCTTCTCAACCTCTGCACGGAAAATTCCTCGGCGTCTGAGCTCGGGAAGGAGAAATTCAATAATGTCCTCAAAAGATCCCGGGTTCGTGATATGTGCCAGGTTGAATCCATCCACTCCAGCAATCTCAACCCATCTCTCCAGCTCATCTGCAACGGTTCTAGGACTGCCAACTACTTTGGCTTGAAGACCGCCAACACTGATGTATTCTACGATCCTTCGCTTGGTCCATGGGAGATTCTCCGTACCCGGAACGGTGGAAGAAAACCTTCGCACGACTGATTGCACGCGTGGAGAGTCGCTGAAACGGAAATCTTCATCATCTGAGTAAGTTGATAAGTCGATGCCTGTCCACCCACCAAATAATGCGAGAGCGCCTTCATCATCCGCATATCGAAGATACTCCTCCCTCTTTGCTTTTGCTTCCTCGTCTGAGGCCGCGACGATCACATTGATGCCAACAATAACTTTGATATGATTCTGGTCACGCCCCTCTCCTTGCGCGATTTTGCGAATATTATCCACGGTCGAACGGGTCCCTTCGGGTGTCTGGCCCCCGATGAAGATGGCCTCGCCATGCTTACCCCCAAACCCATTCCCAGCCTCCGAAACCCCAGCCTGGAAGAGGAACGGAGTCCGCTGCGGGGATGGCTCGCAAAAATGGGGGCCCGGTACATCGAAGTATTTCCCCTTGTGATTGATTTGCCGAACAGCATCGCTTTCGATATAGGTTCCGGCTTCACGATCAGCGATAACAGCACCGTCCCGAAAACTGCCTTCCCAAAGCTTATACAGAACTTCCAGATACTCGTGTGCAATAGCATATCGCTCATCGTGCGGAATTTGCTCCGTCAATCCGTGGTTCTTTGCAGCGCTGTCCAAATAAGAAGTGACGATATTCCACGCCAAGCGCCCATCACTGAGGTGGTCAACCGTCGACAAGCGGCGTGCCAGTGAATAAGGCTTTTCGTAAGTCACGCTAGCAGTGACGCCGAAAATGAGATTCTTGGTTACTGCAGCCAGGGCAGGGACCAGATAGAGAGGGTCATTGACTGGGAATTGTGCGCCCGAGGCGAGTGATGGGACTACATTAGCCGGGCCTTTGTAAACGTCGTATGGGCCAAGGGTGTCCGCAATGAACATAGCATGGAAATTTGCCTTGTCCAAAAGTTGTGCGAGATTCGTCCAGAATGAAAGTTTCTTGTACTGGTCTGTTTGATTTCGAGGATGCTTCCACAGGCCAGGGGCCAAATGGCCGGGTGTGTTCATCACGAAGGCATTCAGGATAATCTGCTTTTTGCCTTTCGGGGGGATTTACCCCTGCTTGAGGCTCTTTGTTCTCTGCCATGGGTATCTCTGTTCTTCGGAGACTTCCAAAAATGATGAATGGTTGAAACGGTAGTTGCCAACTTCAAGAAACTGGGAGGTGTCGTGTTTTGAACCCTTCGAGTGGGTTTGTCGGCAGTCATGGTATCACAATTGCATACATTAACACTCTTCTGCTCGCCATCGATACCATCTCGCCAAACTCCAGGCTGATGTCGAATATGATCCTATCGGCCGACAGATATCTGGTCCCTTTCAGACTGTCACAGCATGGTGATAATGTGGAGAAGAATCAGGACATTTTGTTGGTGCGTGATAGCGCAGAATCAACTCGCTATCGCGCCATGGACGCACGCCATCGCGACTCACAACCCCCAATTCCACCAAACACGATCGCAAAGACCAATCATATTTGGCACTTTCAATATTAGTGTCTTGACAGAAGTCAACCTCGCTTTTCGGTGCCTTAAAAACGTTCCGGAACGTCATATTGGAGTCGCTCTGCATAACGCAATATCGGATTTGAACGACGCGAGAAAGCTCCGACCATATAGCACTTCTAGGCGCGTGTGGTTCCTTTAGGTCATTGGCCATGAAAAGGGACCAAGCTCCAGGCCAAGGAGATAATGGTCCGTGAAATGAATAAATAAGAATTCCAAGGACCCGACTCCATTGCTTCTCGTGTTCCTCAATTGTCGGTATCCTACCATGTCGTCGAATACGATAGACACGGGCAAGCTGGCTCTGATTTCTCAGGGCGCGGCCTATGGACTCTTGATTGGACTTGGCGTCCTTTTTTGCGGCGTCATTTTGGTCGCCGTCAAAATCCAGAAGTTGTATCTTTCGGAGGATTCTGGGAAGTCAGAGATGTTCATGGTCGCCAATCGGTCTGTTGGGACGGGTTTAACTGCGTCCGCGGTCTTTTCATCTTGGATGTGGATCAACGAGACTGTGCTGGCGGCCGCAATGTGCTACAGATATGGCTTGGCCGTTCCATTGGTATGAGTATTCTATCATCGATAATTGGCAAATCTCTGACGAACCTATAGTGGTGGGGATCTGGACTATGTTTCCAAATTGCATTAATGGCGGCACTTGGTGTGATGGCCAAGATTCGAGTTCCCTACGCGCATACTTCTCTTGAAATTGTCCGAATGAGATATGGCAAGATTGGACATGTTGTCTTCATTATCCTCAATCTGGTCAATAATGTCTTCGGGTGCGCCTCTATGATTATGACCGGGTCCCAGCTCATCTATGGTGTTTCGGGTATGCACTTTGTGGCAGCGACTATTCTGATTCCACTCGGAGGTAAGTCATCTTGATATCCTGAGAATCGTAATCAAGGAAAAGTAGCTAACAATTCTCAGTGGTGTTGTATACCGCAGTAGGTGGCCTGAAAGCTACATTCTTGACCGACTTCCTGCATACCGCCATTGCGTTGATCCTTATCATCTACTTCACCATTGCTGTTCTGACAAACGACGCCATTGGTGGCTTGGGTGGTCTCTATGAGAAAGTGGCCGCTACTGCGAGCGAGAACTACATCCCTGGTAATTATGAAGGATCTGTCCTCACTTTTAAATCCAAGGGCGCAATTATCTGGGGTTTAATTCTGAAGTTTGGCAACTTGGCTCTTGTTGTTATGGTAAGCCAACCAGCATTATTCTAAATTTTCATACTCTAACAATATTACCAGGACACTGCATTTTGGCAAAAGTCATTTGCAACCGAAGTCAAAGCTACTGTCCCTGGCTATAACATCGCCGCTGTCGCGGTTTTCGGCATCCCCTGGGGAATCGGCACCGTACTCGGCTTGACAGCTCGGGCAATCCACAACACCCCCATTTTCCCAACTTATCCCAACCCTCTAACTGACACCGAAGTCAGCATGGGAATGGTGATGCCATATGTCATCAAAGCACTGATTGGTGATGGCGGAATCGTGGGATTCTTCATCCTGCTCTTCATGGCGATCACCAGCACGGTTTCCTCTTCCATGATTGCAGTCAGCAGTATTCTGTCCTATGATTTATACAAAACATACTTCAACCCGCAAGTGACAGACAAGAAGCTCGTCAAGGTCAGTCATCTGACAGTGGTGATCCACGGCGTCTTCATCACCGGAATTTCAATCGCATTGAACTACGGCGGCGCCAATATGACTTGGATCGGCTACTTGCGACCTGTGATATCCTGTCCCGGAATCATCCCGGTCATTCTTACCCTTTTCTGGTCGCGGCAAACTCGTCTTGCTGCCATTTTATCCCCGATACTGGGTTTCTTCACGGGTCTGACTGTCTGGCTCGTTACCGCGAAGACAATGTACGGCGCGGTGGACATTGCGGCAACATCAAACCAGTATCCAGCCCTTTATGCGGCGATTGCTTCTTTCTTCTCGCCGGCGCTTTACTCCGTTCTCATCTCGCTGTACAAGCCTTACACCTTCGACTGGCGAGTATTCCTCCGTATCGAACTACAAGACGAAGCCAAACTACACGCCGATTCAAACTCTACGACGCCGAACGATAGCGGTGATGAGACTACCAATGCGTTCGAAGAAAACGAGGTCAAGAAACCCGTTGGGAGTACACCCACCTCGAAATCGATCAGCAGCAATGACCCGGAGCGTATTGGCGCTATCGATGAAAAGGCTCCGCCCAAGACACCGCCATCTCTTGCGGTAGAACAACAGAGTCTAGACGACATCCAGCATCCATTCGACGACGCAACAATCAAAGAACTCTATCGCTGGCTGAACATTGCCATTGTGTTTTTCGTCGTCATTGTATTGGTCACTATCGTTGCCTGGCCTCTCCCACTTTATCGTGACTACATCTTCACCAAGTCCTTCTTTTCTGGGTGGGTCACTGTCGCGATTGTATGGCAATTTGGAGCCTTTGGGGCCGTCGTTGTTTACCCTCTTTACGATGGAAGACATGAGATTGCAACGGGTGCTCGTGGAATTTGGAATTCCTCGAGACGGTTTTTCGGGAAGAGAAGCGAGGCTTGATTTTCGAGTTACGCTAGGTGTTAGACGATCTAGTGGGATATCCAAATTATAATTTCAACTTATGTTCAGCAATGATACTTTGTATTGTGAAGTAGCTTCACTAGTATTATGTACAAGACGTGAAGGACGCAGTGCTCTGGTCATTTATCCTTCACGCATGCGTAATCATGAAAATTGCGAATGCCTAGGCAGTGTAGGGTCCCTTGTCCTGGAGACTCTTGATGCGGCCGAGCAAGAATTCAAGCTGGCGGTAAGCGGCGCCGGGAACATACTGGGGAATTTCTGCAGAGAAGTTAGCATAAGTTCATTATGGAAAGACACTTCATCACTCACCATGTCCAGAGCCGTAGACAGAGCTGAAGGTCAAGCCACGCTCAGTGTGCGCAGTGCCCAGGATACCACCACCGGCGTCATTGGTCCATGGAATGGAGCCTCTTTGGTTCGCGACGGTGTCTAGTGCGCTTGTATAAGGCACAAAGAGCGGCTCGGTTGGTGGCTTTTGGAAACCCTGGGCACCGTTCCATGTCATGTTTTGAATAGTAACCAGAGTGCCGTTCAGGAAAAGGAGATAATCCAGCCATCCGTGGCCGATAAGCACATTGTTAGTCCGCTCAATGACGCTGGGGAGGGGGCCGAGAGCACTCGGAACGGATTGGTCGCCTTCATTACCGAAGATGTTACCTCCACAGACTGCATAGTTGGTAGGCGGGACGTGAAGGGCCTTTTGGACAGCTGACTGGTTGAAGTAGTTGTTCGGGCCTCCAGCCAAAGAGGGAAATCCCATCTCGTCCCATAGGAACGGGCAGAAGTCTGTTAGGTGGTACATGTTGAAGCAAGGGTTGATGTATGTTGCAGCCACAAGAATCTGGTCCCAAACATTACAGTCATCCTTGTTAGGGTCTGGTGTGACGGGGAAGTCTTTGGGTGGGGGATAGGTCAGGGCAGTATCCAAGAACTTATTGTAGCCACACTTTTTGGCCTTCTCGTTGATATCGGCAAGGAATGTATCGTTCAAAGTGAAGACATTGGAAAAGTGGTTCAGCGCGGCCACGGCGGGGGCTAAGTTTTGTCGTAAGCTAATTGCAATATACAGATAAAATGGTTTTTCAAATGAGTCTTACCATAAATCATGACACTGTCTTCGTTGATAGATGGATCGTTGATTTGGATACCCTTCAAGTTGAAGTGGGTTGTATCATTCTGGTCAAGAAAACCCGCAGCCAAGTATGGGATATACTGGCCTGCGTAGCTCTCACCAGTGATGTAAATCTTGTAGCCCTGCATGCTGAAAGTCTGGATGAAACGCCTCCAGAAGTCGTTGAACTGATTCGAAACATCAATCTCATCCTGCACGGTAGCCGGGCCCGGGGAGAAACCCGTGCCGGCAGGTTGATCAATGTAGACCATGTTGGTCAAGTTCGTCCATGAAAATGGATTGCGGACGGGTTCATATGTGCCAGACTGCCACAGGAAAGGGCCATGTTCCTGGAGAAGACCGTCGAGGGAGCTGCAGCCGGGGCCACCATTCAGCCAGATGGTAATCTAGGTTGACGATCAGCGCATGCTTTTCTAAACGCTTGTTAGAATGGTCGGAAAGGTACCTCTTTTTTGGCATCGGGGTTTGTCGATGGGAAGAACCAGAAGAACAGACTGGAATTTCCATGGGGCGTGTTGGACAGCAGCCCAGAATAGCTCTCGCCAATGTCAAAGGGAACCTGAGGGAAATGCTTTCCGTTGACAAGGAATTCTATGGGGAATGATGAGTTTCATCGAATCTCTTATGGCATATGGTAGTGATTCTTACGCTGGGTCTTCTTGTTCAAATATTGGTAGTCTGCCTGATCCACTGAATGGGTGTCTCGCTTCTGAATATGGTTGACGACACTGGACTTCTTAGTAGCCTTGCGATGGGGGCTGCTCAAAGCAGCGACCGTGGCCACGAGGGCAGTCAGGGGAACGAGGACACGCATAGCGAGATCTCTGGAAGTTCCTGGTGAGGGTCAAGTGTGAGGTGAGGGCCAGGGGAACTTGTTTAAGTACTTTCCGGATAAGTCGGGGGTGGAGCATGGTCTGAGCGATGCTGGAACTCCGAATGGCTCTCGCGAGATCAATGGAGCACCAAGCCTCGCCAATACACCTGCAGATCGAACGGGCGAGTGGCGGAGCGATCCGTCGCGATACATCGGAATTTCGGTTTCACAACAAGCTGCTGTCTAATTGAGGGGTTTGGTGGAGTCCTCCGAGGCTCGCGCGTTGTAACGTTGGAAAAAACTAGGAAGGTGACATGGTCGTGCATGGCGTCATGACCAGCTTTAGGCTTAGCCTTGTGGTGGATAGATTGGAGAGCCGACGGAGCTCCAGCTGAGGGGGATCACATTTAGTTGTTGCCTAGCAATGATGATTGGATCGAGGCTGAGATTTGGGGCAATTCAGGGCCAAAAAGTGGGGAGAGGTGGAGAGGTTCTTACCTTAGGTTAAGCGTTGGCGGAAACAAGAAATGCCAAGCCAAGCTTATCCGGGGCCTACCTGAAGTAGACTATGGATTGTATTCTAGAGGTATGAAGTAGGGTATTCAAGGATAGTGTCTTGTTGGGTCCGAACTAATACTTTTGGACTTATACACAGGTCATTTTGAATGAGAAGCAAAAAGATATCTCAGGTGATTTTTGTAGGAATAGCCGAACGGGGGGGGTCGAACCCCCAACCTTGAGATTAAGAGTCTCACGCTCTACCGATTGAGCTAGCCCGGCAGGGCTGTTGAAGGACGGTGCCAACTATGGCACCATGACCCTGATTGATAGTACTAGCAGTGGTACCTCCAAGATCAGAGTGCCCACACACGACCAGGGACAGAAAATCCATCAGGTACAAAATGCGTTACCGAGGTAAGTAAAGAAATACTACTACTTTATCAGTGTCAGACTTTGACTTACATATACTTCTAGCCTACTAGTAGGATGACAACTTGAATTTGTCTGGTTATTACTGAAGTCGTACTCCAGGCTGGGGCTGGCAGTATACTACTGGGAGTACTACCTAGATAACTAGTACTACTAGTAGGTATATGTCATGGTATCTTAAGCCTTCAATCCTCAATTTGAACCTGAATTTGAAGACTTCAAGCCCTCCGGCTGGTCGCGGTCCACGGGTTCAAGGTCAAGTTCTCACATCCGAGTCCTTTTCCTCTCCCCGATTACCAGCAAAGACATGGCTTTGCCATTGACGGGCTGGGATACCTTCCTCAAAAAACGCCGCAATTTCTACCTGTGTTCTTTCTTGAGTTTCCCCAACACAGAACCAGACCCAAGCAAGCGAAGTGAGAGTTGTCGCTGCGTAAACGAACCCGACCATTGGCCCTAACCCGGCATCATAGTATAGGTATGGTGCTGTGAAAGAAATAACCCACAGAAAGAAGTAAAGCGCAACGATCGAGATCGAAATGATCTTATCCTGATTCACCCCAACGGATAGTTCACGCGTAATAGCATATGTCAAAGGGCCCTGTCCGAAATTGTACGCGCAGATGACCACGTAGGAGAAGACCACGATAACGTATTTCGATGCAGTCGAAGGCTCCTTTTGCGTGCCAATGCCTCCAATCACGACAAAAGATATCAAAATCAGTCCCGTACTGATAAGAAGATTCGTTCGTCTTCGCAGTTTGTTCGCCGTAAGCACCGAGGCTCCGACCGCAAAAATTTGCAGAATCATGGTGATCAGCGTGATGGTGAATGGCTGAGAGACGCCAATTTCCTGTGCAAAGACCACCCCATAGTTATAGAAGAAGATAATGCCGCAGATTTGTTGCGCATACATCCCGCCTGCGGCCCAAATCAACTTTTTGCGCTCGACGGGGTCGCAGATCAATGATCTCCAGGATGACGCTTTTGCTTGCTCGTTATCATATTCCCTCGCTCGTTCCAATAGGGCGATATCAGCAGATGGGTCGTAGCTCGGGTCATTCCGGTGAATCTTTCGCAGCGAGGTTTCGGCGTCATGTCGTCTTCCTCGGAACACATACCATGTTGGACTCTCTGGGATAAATGGCAAAAGCGCAAAAGCCACGAGGGGTAGAATGACGAGACCGCCCATCGGCAATTTGTACGAAAGGGAAGACGTGATTTCGTTCGTGCCTTGTGTGGTCCCAGAAGCGACTAGCTGCGAGCAAGATTGGATAAATTGGTACATGTAGAGTGCTGGGCTGCGTATCTCAATAGGTGCAATCTCCCCCATGCTATTAGCTTGTTAGCAGAGCTTTGATAGATGGAAAGTGGCAATGGGGAAAAAATGACACTCACTAGAGAAGCGACGTGACTGTGAAGTTACCAACCCCAAGGCCAATGAGAATTCGACCCAGCACAATAACTCCTTCAATATGAGTATCCGCAGTCTGTGTAATGCCACCTGCCAGAACAAGAAACGAAGCGATCCAAAGAACAATTCGACGGCCGAAACGATCATTCAACGGCCCAGCGATAAAAGCGCCAACCATGTCGCCAATGTAAATACTCGAAGTTGTAAGGGAAGTGAAACTGGTTGCGAGTGCCTTTTGGCCATTCTCATATTGACTACCGTAGTCATTTTTGAATTGCTGCATTCCAAGGATTCCACTGTAGTAAGTGTTATCATATCCAAAGACAAAGGCCCCTATGGCAGATATTGAGCAGTATAGGATCGCCCATTTGTGACGTTTGAAGTCTATATTGATATTGAGCATGGTCGTGAGAACAGAAAATACTGGTGTCTCCTCAAATTTCGGATCAATGGAAGGTATGTATGAATTCGTTCATCAAAAGGGAGCTAGAAATCATTGTTGGGAATCTCGACCGAAAGATACCCCCAGACTCTTCATTAAATATCGCCAGCTTGGGCGCGGACCCCTGCTCGGTTGGAAAATCCGGGGGAAAGATCAGCAAAACTTCACTTCTAGAGTTTAGTACCACAGAAAATGGACTAGTCTCCGCACTATGACCAAGTTCACAGAGGCTTCGGGGAAAAGTCTCGGAGAAATATATCTGCACCCCACGTCTTGCGACCAAGCCATATTCAAAGTCCGCAGAGATTTCGAGTTGTGATTTGCTAGGCAATTTCGGTAAGATGGCAGAACAAGCCTGGTGTACGCTAGTGGCGCTTTAGGTAGTACCCCCACGCACAAAAGCTGGGGATGGCAGGAGAAGGTCTGTTCCGAGTGGGGAAGTCAAGCTGGGGTGTCGGCTTCACGCCAATAGAATTCGATCCCACCTATCTTTAGCCTCGGCTATCAAATGTATCCATGAAAAGAAATGAAAGGGAATTAAAAATAGAGACAAGGAGAAGTCTATTGTTTTAAATATGCGGACCGTGGTGATATTGATTATCTAAGTGAGCGAGCTATCTACTAGTAGTCATAGAGTTGACAGAGGTACCAGGCGCCGCACTTAAAAAACGAACTTTCCCAATCATGAGTTCAGAGCTCCTTTTTGAATTGAAAATCACATAATTCTCCAAGCTAGCAATAATATCTCACACGAGAATCTTGGAACTGCATGGTCTTCAAGTTCCACCAATATTACCTCCTTAAGGTGCCGTGGTAAGAATTTATTTTGCCCGGGGAACTGGACACTTGTGATGAAGATCACCTTTAGTTATTTTGCTTGCTGCGCCTTGTAACATGAAACTCCAGATTACTCCATTTACTCCTGGACTAGGTGCTTTTTAGCAGTATTTGATATGATTGTTGCGCTGCCCCTTCGTCGGCAATAGTGGAGCCAGCTGACTCTTCCCTGAACGGGCAGCTTTCCCGAGGTCAACGAAGATTCTTTGAATTGAATCTTATCTGATCAGCGCTAAAACACTCACATAAGTTAATCGTATTACGTCGCTTTCATGCGTGGGCCAAGACAACCTTGGAACCATGGAAGATGGCTTCACATATATCGGAATCGTGCCGCTGAAGTTTCCGATATATAGCACCGTGCTTATAGACCCAAGAATCTTAGTCCACCTCGTAAAATTGCCGGCGATCAACTTCTCAACTTCGAGTTAAATCCAGATAACATCAATGCTTGTGGTGATCAACTAAATCATGTGCGGAAAGAGCACAAACGGGCGAGTTACTTGGCCCGATACTGTGGCATTGACGGTCTGATTAAGATTGCCTGGCACTGAACTGTCCTGAGGGGTGTGGATGGCCGGTATTGTGCCCAACATTACAATTGCTGATGCTATGAATTTTGAGAATGAGGGAATGTGCATCAAGTACGATAAATAAAAGGCAGTATTCTTGTTGTCGACTTTGCGAAGGGGAAGTTCTGTTGAAGAGGAGTCTCAGGCATTCTGGTGACAAAACGAGGTACCACGTTACTGTTTCGAGCAATGCGTTCTACCTAGATTCAATTTTAAGATCGCTGAGCTACAGGCTTGGTTATTACTAGTAATGATTGGAAAGTTGTTATCTATATTGGAATTAGGAAAGTCCGATAAGGTGCTTTGGATTGCACGATGTATTATCATTTGAGAGAAATGTCTATTGCCCGTTAAAGACGTCCGTATTTGATCAATCGCTGATCAGGTCATCTTTACCGAACATCCCATAGTCAATTCCAGGCTCAAGTCTACCTAACGGGAGAAAGGTGCAAGCTCAAGCCAGACCGTATGAGCCGATTTGAATAATAACCCTCCCCCCGCAGCCCTCCCCCCACGAGTCAAGAATCTCATCATCTCAGAATGACATGCGGTGCCCATATCCACGACTGGAACCAGGCTGAGTGCCATCTGATCCCGTCGCAAAGTCATGACTTTGACCGAGAAGACTGAACCTCTCCGCAACACGATCGATCTCAGTATCTCCCGAAGTAATGGCGATAGGATCATCGGGATCCGCAAGTTCGGCAATCGCATGGGTGTAGATCGAGCGAAAGATGAGTTCGAACAGCAACTCGCTGAGAGTAAGTTGGTCAGGACCGATCTCCCAATTCCCATGTCTGGCTGCGTCCTCCAGCAGATTGACGACGGGCATACCCAGTGCTCGACGAAGGTTATTGACTTTCAGCACTTGGTCCTGAATGGAGGTTTGCACGGTATGGGCGACATAGCTTTCCTGAATGCGGATCGCTGCAAGGCTGAGCTTTTGGAGGATCTTGTTGAGGTAGATCACACCAGCTATGAAGTCTGTCAGGAAGTAGAACTTGTCGTTGAAGCCTTCGCGGCGGTCCATGTATCGGGCACGTCGACCGAGTGGGGTGTCTGTCTTTGCGTCGAAGGCTTCTATCCAGGCGTTCATGCAGAGGAGCTTTAGGAGGTGGATCGTGTGGACATATTTGACGATTAGATCGTAGTTGTCGAGGAGGTCACCGGGGGTTCTGTGGTCGCTCATGATGATTGGCAGGGTGGCAGGAGATGCCAGTGGCACTCCCCTAGTAGCGGATAATGGAGTAGCTAGGGAAAGAAGTGTGCATCGGGAAACCTAGGAAAGCAAATGCGGAAGTGAAAGAGGATGCAGGTTCGTGAGAGAATGAGAGAGTGGGTTATCTCTCAACAGTCTACATCTAATTGGCGTGCTATCTTGTATATGGGCACGTGCCCAGTGGGTACAGTTAAATGTAGTTAGGTAGGCAGCAACCTTGCATGAACATCACTAGAAATGGGATACTATGCCCTCAAATCACCACCTTCCCGTAGCCTTTGTTTTATCAAAGAGAAAGAATGACAGACATACCTCTTTTCTTAAGACTGAACCAAATTTGAAAGTTGGAATATGCAATTTCCCACGTCATTGACATCAGCAGCTATAAACTCGTGTAATTGGATGGTACCAGTTCATTTATTATTATGTGAACTTAGTGAAGAAAAATCATTCCTCAGGAAATAACCTTGAAATATAAACACTCATCTACTCACTCTTCTTCTTCAGCTTGTGCCTGAATGCTAGCTTTACCAGCCACAGGTACCTTGTCATTCTGTTAAATATAGTCTTTGAATTTTCGAGCAGGTAATCCAGCCTGAAACATCTCCTGGATCTCCGCCACAGTGCGCCCCTTCGGTTCCGGCAAACAGAAGTACAGGTAAACGCACATGGGCAGCGACAGGCAAAAAAATACGAAGTAGATTCTACCACCGATATTCGCCTCGTCCGTTTTAAGCAGGTATGGTAGGATTCGCAGCATAGCGTATGAAACGGGTAGCAGACATGATATTGATCGAGTATGTTTTCTGGCGTAGAAGTGAACTAGGAGTTTCGCCGCCGACTGCATATGCAACTGCCCCAAGAGTGGTTTGGTACTATCAACGAGTTAATTTTGATTGGCGTATATTTGAGATGAGAGTAGGTGGAAGTCTTACCAAGAAGCCCCACAGTGTCATATAAGCATCATGCAGAAGCTGGACTTGGGACCAGCCCCCGTCGGCTAAACGTCGGCTGATCGGAAATGCAGCCGAACCCCAGATTTGGGAATCCCAGCCACTGGGATTCCCAAATCTGGGGTAAAGGTTTCCCTGGTTGCCTCTGTGATCCGCTGGACGAGGATTTTTGTCGCAGAACGGTATAACGGTATCTTCACGGCAGAGTCAAAAAGACGAAGAGTATAAGGGAACCGAAATGTGAAAGGTCTAGCCTGGTCCTCCCGCTTGGAAACAATGCACTTCGTAATCTCACCAGGATAATCATAGTGAACTTGAAACCAATATGACTCCTAAAATGCACTGTTACCCAGCAGACTCTACTACCAGGGGAATTCCCAATGTCTCACCTCATTGCCCCACTTACACTATTTCGTCTACAGAAGGACGGACGTAATTTTTAAAGATAACACAGGCGCATGATTTATTACAATGGGATATAGTATGTGAAAAAGGGGCATCAGTCATAACATTAAAAGAGAGCGTGTTGGAGCACCGAGGACAAAAAGCCATCCAAAACCAATCAAGGCGCAGGCGAGCGATTCCTCCGATACTTGTCCGGAATTTCCCCCATCTCAACCCAAGCACCCCTCGCATCGCTCTTGTCCAGAATATTATGCGGAGTGCGCTCATCCGAGATCCTCGATCCAGTCTCGGAGGGCACGACCGTCGTCGCCCCGTCCTTCGCTGACGAAATAGAGATCGTGGTCGTGACCATCGGCGGCGGGAAATTGGGAGACATGGGCGATGCAATGGCCGTAGTGCTGTAGCCGGCATTCTTGTACTGGTAGTTGTAATTGTAATTGCTGGGGCCGGGTGTGCGGGATAAGTTCGATTTAATGAAGCGTGTTGTGAAGGGGCGGAATAATGGCCAGACGGGCGGAATGGACATTGTGATTAGGACGATCCATTCTTCGACTTCGCCCCAGAGGAAAAGAGTGCCGACGCCGTCTAGGTTTCAGATTAGTGGTATGTTCGAGATATGTAGTGGCGCTAGTCTTTCTTACATGATGAATCGACGTCGAGAATAAACTTAGCGGCCCAGGTGCGAACGATTGCGGCGACTCCGGCGACAATGCCACAGCCCATGAGGAAGCCTAGACCCCACTTCAACTTTTTGTCGATTTTCAAGGGCACGAGCATTTGGATTGGGATTATGGCGAGGTAGAAGTCGGATAGGGCGGCGATCGCACCGACGAAGTAGGTATAGTAGACGCTCTTCTCGTGGTTGCACTGGTCCTGACGAAGAGGGTCCCAGAGAGCATTGACTGGCTTGCATTGGAACCAGACCATGAGAATTTGGGGGATATTGACAACGATGTTGAGAGCGGCCACGGCGATGAGACTTTTGCGGATCTTGGGATCTAAAAAAAAGGCCAAGGGTGAGTGATGATTCATGGCAAGGGTTGTGCGAGGGATCACTTACTGCCCTGTCCGTTCACCTCAATAAGGAATGCAGCCACCGCCACTTTACCAGTTGGAATAGCCAGGTTGAAGAAGAAGACCGTAATCCATGTGTAAAGAAGGAATTTATGAAGGTCGCCGACTTCCGTAATGACTGTGATGTGGTTTCCTAGACCGTGCAGGGCTGAAAGGATACCGAAGATTTGGGTAATGGCCGTGAAAAGCTGTTCTGATTAGTACATCATTGCAGGTAAATATAGTTGATAGGAGTATCTTACCCAAGCAATGAGAGACAAGATCAACGCGGTTGTACCGAATTTGTTAACGCGCAGGCGAACATACACCCGCATAACCATGAAGATGGTAGCAATGATGGCGAGGGTAATACCCAAACGCAGGTCCGCCGGCCCACGACCACCATAGGCCGGATATTGATCGTGAAGCGACATTATGCAAAAATGAGTGACTGGGGAGACTGGTAAACAACCGTTCCCATTGTAATGTGCTGAAGTGGGTATAGGTAGGGGTAGGTATCGACAGACAGGACCACCTCAGTGAGCGACGCGCGGAAACCAAAGAGCCCTTATAAGAAAGGTATGAATCTGAATCGAGGCTGAAAAGCGGAGGTGGCCGTCCTAGTTGCACGATCCAATGGCAAATTGTCAAGCCAAGCCCAGTGGAGCTGGGGGACGTGCAGAAGGAACAAAAAGGCTTGGTTGGAAAGACTGTGGTCGATCTGGTGGAACTATCGAATTACTCGGTGGATGCGGAGGGTCCGACATCCGCGGTTTATTGGATGGATGAGTGGGATTAACCCGAATTCCCTTGGTCCTGTTGACAATTCCCATTGACAGATGTCAGAAGTTTTCCCACTTCTAGCCTAGGCTGTCTGCCACAAGTGGTCACGATCCCCTGCCTCGGCGTTGATCAAGTGTATTTGTAGTGTAGCTATTCCTCCGTCTAGTTCCACAGCACGCGACTGGTCACAAACCCCCAAACCACGAGCATGAACATGCGATCATCCCCCCACTCGGAATCAAATAGGACCTTGCAGGGATGTGCCTCGTATTGCATGGCCGACTTCGACCGTGGCCAACTTCGTCCCACGGTTCTGGTGGGGTCCATGCATCGGCAAAGCGCATGCAAAAAGAAAATGCCCCTGAAACGTGCATTCCAGACAAGACTGACCAGACCATGTCAATCATTACCACATTCACAATGGAATTATAGGGTGATCCTAGCCGTGTCCGGATGTGCGGTGTTTTCCCTCTCGCGTGGAATGTGGAGAACCGAATTGTCCGATTGGGCCGGACGGGATGATAATTCCAATCATCTTCGTTCTGTGCGTCTTGTCAGGCCGCCCACTTCATCTTAAATCCAGTATGGAGTAGGTTCAAGAAAACTTTTTTCACCCTAGCAGAGGCCGCTATTGAATTGTCTCTGATTCAGTTACGGAGTACCTTGTCTACCTTGGGCGATGGTGTGTCCGGTACTTCTCCGGACTCCATAGCTATCTCCTCTATTTTCCAAGGTTGATACCACAATGTGCCGCGCCTAATGCATTGTGCCGCCACGAAGAAGCAATGATCGCCCTTGGTGCATCCACAATCGCCCTATGTACAACACGAGTCAGTCGAGTCCCACGCATCGGCCGGGTGATAAAGGTTCGGGACAACTGCCGCATCAAAGCATTTTGGTTGATCACTGTCTTCCTTCTTCGCTTTTCACTACCTTGCTCCGAGACTACCGTTATCAGATGGGCAGATGAGTGAACCTAGCCATTGACACCCCACGACCAGAGCGCCTAGTGGAGAATTGCCGGATGATGAACTGGAAGCGATGCTTGCACCGACAAACCGGCTCCACTAAGTAGGGAGCGGTATGTACTGTAGAAAAGACAACGCCTTGGCAGTCAAGCCCTGTTGGTGTGATCGCAGCTTCCGAGTCGGATGTTCTCTTTTAAGAAGGAGTATTAAACCGGTTCGGACCAAATGTCGATCAACGGTGTGTGAGTCAGTTGTACATATTATCAGACGTGTTTAGTTGGCCCGGTAGTTATAACTACTATTTAACTAGTACCTAAAATTTCCGCGGTCGCATTTGGCATAAACTTCAAAAAACCGAGTAGATTGCTCGGATTTGATGAAATTGTTACTCTCAAGTTATACTTGAAGGTTTCCATCATTAGCAGACTAGCGATCTAAGAATGGGGCCCCGTGAGTCTTCAGAGAAACTGCCCCTCCCGCTGGGCGCGGATGGTGGCGTTTGAGGTGAGCTAGAGTGGAGATGTGGCGGAAAGGAACCAGGGCTTCCATATTTCTAGTGTTGACAATCATTTATTTGTGACACGGTCCAGTAAGGTTCAATATTGGAAAAATAGTGATTGTAATTGATTTTGTACCGAACAGACACTGGCGATCTACTAGTAGTATGCCTGGCCACCATGGCAGAAGACTGGAATAGCTGATCTACGATTGGTGAATTAGAAGCTCATAGATGTAGATAACCATGGTTTCCAACACGTGGGAAACAAATCATATACAGAGTACATACATACCCCGTGGATATCAAAAAAGCAGAAAGAAAGGAGGAAATACAAACTTGGAATTTTGCTTTTCGTTAACACTTCTCGTACCACCCGTAGACTTTCCGCAGATCCGAGTCAAAGCCCAACCCCGGATGATCTCTGTGAAACTCGGCATTATCTTTGGAACCGACCACCAGGATAGGGAGCCACAGAGACTATCAAACCCTGTCGAAGGTTCCCGGATGGTTTCAACGTCGATCACTCGGTCACACCCGGTGTTCCGCTGCTCAGGTTGTCCGCGGGAACGTGACCCCTTGCTGAGAGCTCGTAGCCTACTCAAGGCATACAGACCCTAGCTCGTCATCGAAGATGCCCAATCCATGGGATCCAATGGTGTGAGACGCACAGTATACACCCTGACAATGACGGAAGATCGACGTCGATGAGAGCGCACGGCTTTGCCACGCTTTTGATCTCGGGAATTGAGTATTGGATATGGAGTGCGCAGTGCGGAGTACTAGTACTCGTTGGACTTACTGCATGCATATATCCAATGTTTCTGCGATTCCCAAATTTTGCCCAGGTGCTGGAGCATTAAAACTGAGCCCGCGGCAATATGATGTACCTTGATTTTCCCAGTATATCGGAATAGATTATGATCCGCCTGCAGAGCGATGATTATGCGTTCAAAGTTTGCAAGGCATCGTGCATGATAATGAGATCACCACTACGTTTCAACTGCAATATCGATGAACTCTGGTTATACACAGTACTAGACCTATTTAAAGCCCATCATACGCCCCATCTTCATTCTATTCTAGTTCTAAAAAGCCAAGGAGTAAGTCCTCATCTTTCCATTTCTTGAGAGTCTTAGTCTTCCATGCTTCCCACTGATCGTCTTCAAAGTTGAAGGCTCGCTGAATTCCTATGAAGCAATGTGGAAGAATCTGCTTATCTAGAAGAGAGCTATTAAGGTAATGAAGAAATCTTGTGATCAAAGTGCTGAAGTAAACGAAATAGAGCCAGAAAGACAGCAAGTCCGCAGTTTTGTTAATGCCCCGTACGGTTAGGCGCGGGAACACGGAAAGTCCCAGTGTTTCACGATATTTCAGACGGCTTCCTCTTTTTGATGGGAGAGAAATGGCCAAGATCGCCTACATTGTTCACCGACTGCCAATGTTGCCAGTTGGACAGTGAAGATTGTTAAAACGGAAACCTATAATTAGTGAGGATATTAAGTGGAACAATTTTACATGCCAATCGGATGCAGTTTTGAATAACCGGTGGGCCAGAAATAGGCCAGTGCAAAATGGTTCCCATGATGGGCTTTCTGGATGGGCTTTGCCCAGGTCTAGCAGGGCATAATTGCCGGCAGTACTCTGAGTTTTCGATACAAAAATACTACCATGGTCTACTACGCCTTCTGAATTGCATTAATATCTTACTTGCATAATGTCTAACATTTAGTTTACTTTCCAGTTTCGGTATTTATTTTCGGTGGTGGTGTCAGCGAGTCAGCCAGTCACCGGAGGCTCACCTGAGGTTGAGTCAGACACCTTTCACTTTTCCCCAATTTCAAGTTGCTCGTTGCTTTTTCCTCCTTCTTCTACCCTTCGCCCCTTTCGCCCTTTATTTCTGCCAACTTTTGCTTTTTCTCTCGTCTGCACCAGACCGCCAATTCCCCGGAGTCTAGAAGCCCGCGACCGAGCGTGAGAGTGGGGCGAACTGCTTCGCTCCAGATCCCCGAGATCACTCGATCTCCCACTTTTTCATGCCGTCTTACCCATGCGAAGTACATTAGTCTGCCAGGAACGTGGAGACCCGGCAGCACCTGAAATCCAATCAATCGTCCGTCTCAACAAATAGCCAATGCGTGTCTCAGACCCTTCTCGACTCGTGAGATCACAATTGGCTTTGTGTCGCGGACTCGCCCGCTGCTAATATTTTAGGGCGACTTACTGCACCAGCTTCACAATCACCACGAATCGGACCTGCCTACGCGCGGAATGCCCAGACATGAAGGCGCAGAGGGATGAGAGGAGAGGGCATTTCGTCTCAATCATCCCATCCCATCCCGCATGCAACAAACAAGAGACCGAAAAATGAAATCTATATAAAGACCCACCAAGATCATTCCTTCTGAGGATCAGATTCCCGATCGATCATCCGATTCCAAACCCCCCCACTCCAAACAGAATGTCTCCCCGATCGCTTTTGACAGGTCTCCTGGCCTTGTCCAGCACCGCGTTCGCCGCCGCACTCTACCAACGCTCCTCCGAGTCCATCACACCGCCAGACGGCTGCCCCATCCCCAACTGGACCGTCTCCAACTTCAAATGGTTCAATGGCTCTCACAGTTTAGACTGTATCCACAGCGATGTGGACAAGAACACTAAGGGGTGTCTCTGTGGCCGGGCCTGGTGCGATCCGGACCCCACGACCTGCAACGGCTCAATGGTGAATGTCTGCTGGACCGGCATGCCCAATTATGAGCCCTGGGGCTATGGTCCCAAACAGACCCTCGACATTAGCTTCGAGGATGGTCTGACCTGCCACGATGAGTACATCGGATACCGCATCCACGATATTGCTCATGGCGAGAGCAATTGCGGCTATGCGGATCGTGGTGCTGGGCGCATTGTTGCGTTCTACGGCTCCTCAAACGACGACAGCTCGATCGGCCATATGGATTATACCCTCGGCAGTGGACATTCTCTGAAGTGTGATAATGGAAGTTCTATTACCTACTCCGGAAGTGTCGATTTCCCTCTGACTTGCGAGCATGATTCGTATTTCAATGCCACTTGCACAGCGCCGGTATTTGAAGTCCCGGTCTTGAGTTACCAGTGGGTTTAAGCAGGCGAATCCGAGCATCGGATGGGAGTTTCGGGCTCGCCGAATTATCCGTTCAATTCATCCCATGGACGACCGGTGTACTCGCTTTGCTGCTTGTTATTTGGCAAGGCCATTTTTCAATTGGAGCCTTGGCATAGACTTGTTTGGAGATAGGAGGAAAGGTTAGAAGGCATAAATTGAGCTCGTGATACTACAATATCGAAAAGAATTTAATGACTATGATTCAATGTCAGAATTTATGATTTTGTTCCGTGGTTCGGAATTTCTGTGTATACATGCCACCAAAATGGCCGGCCATTGCTAAGCGGGTCTACCCGTCTGCCTCCCCGAACTGACTGCATTAATTTCAACGGCTGAGCGCCCAACTCTAACGATCAGATTATCGAATCAACGACGCAATCCTTTCAAAATGCTTTTTTGAAAATTACAGGTGCCCAATTGACTCTCCTATACCTTCTAGTTGACTCGAAACTAGCCGCATTTTGAGTGAGGAATAATGAAGAGTAGTGGCGTACTTTAGTCCAAGAGTTGAATTCAAGTTTCTACTACAATGTCTAAGAGTGGCTTACAGTAGCTAACATTAGGCATGTGTACACTGTCTTTCTGCGAAATAATAGGAAATTAATACTCATCCAAGACACATTCAAGCCTCTTGACGGTTGAGGGAAAAAGGTATTTGACTCTGAGGGGTCCCCGAGAAGAGTTTCAAACTTTCTGCTAGGCATGGCAATGTCGAACGCAATATTTCCCAAACATTGCATTTTTCGATAGGATTGAAATAGCTTTGCAGTAGGTTCTTCCATGATCCTTTTACATGCTGCCACATTCACCGATATACCTGCAAATTTGTTCTGCTCCTGTTCGAATGAGATATCAATCGCAGGTCTGGGCCCTCCAAGCCCACTGGCAACCCCCAGCCACACGCCATCTTCTCTCACTTCTTCAACTTGACCTCTTATTCTCCATACTGAATCCCTTTTCCAACATTCGTCCTACTTATTGCTCGCTTGTGTGGTTCTTCAAGCACGTTCTTCTCTTCAGTACCCTCCTCGTTCGACATTTGAAGAGCCCGTTCGATCTAGATTGGCCTTCATCACTTCTCCTTTGCAATTTACCAGAGCTGGGTGACTTTTCGTGCTCTTCAAAGCTTGCTTGAACCCTCATTCAGCTGACAGCTTTCGTGATCCTTCAGGGACACGAGTCTTTCATCCACGACCCCTCCGTTCGACCGCCAAAGAATTCGTCCGACATCCACCGATCTTTCGTCGTATCTCATCAACTACTTCTTCCCACGATAGCCACTATAATTAAACGAGATGGCTACTGAATTCACCCTTTTTTCTTTCCTCCCTTGGGAGCTTCGGCGAATGATATGGCTCGAATGCACCGAGAGCCGGGTCGTCGAGCTCGAAGTCCCACCCGAGATGTACCTCTCCGGCCACTCCATCACCTGTGTTTCTTGGACTGCCCATCAGAACACAAGACCACCTGTCGTGAGCAGAGTCTGCCATGAATCTCGACAAGCTGTCCTAAGCCAGTGTGCCAGGGCCCTAGACGACCAAGAGACCCGGGAGCGCGCTGACCCGTACATCACCACCCAGTCTCCATGGTTTCACCCAGGGAAGGACATCGTCACCTTCAGCTCGCTAAAGTGCATCTACCCGTACGACCTCGAAATCGATGGAGAAACATCGTACTTCATAGAGTACGCGAAACAGGCGAAGGACGTCGTCATTCCGGCTCGCCTTATCTACCCCCTTCGACACCTACGCCTTCCCATGGAACAGGGGGAGTTCAGATCAATCATCCCCCGTGTGGTGGCGGACCAGCTAGCTCCATTGAAGAGCTTCATGGTGTGTCTCAAAACCATTGAGGTGCACATGCCACCGGAGGAGTTCCTGAAGTCAACCCTCTCGGGCCGAACCGGCGACAGCCTGGTTCACATCGTCGACGTCTTCGACATGGCCCAGATCGAGCAGATCCTCGGAGAGGTGGAAAATGCCTGCCCGCAGGAGAAGGACGTCCTCTCCGCCTTTGCCCTCCTTCGTGACAGCGAGAAACTTCACGAAGAGGTGGGCATTTGGCAAGAGGAGGCCAGAAAGAACTGGCTCTGCCAGATGTACGGATGCACACACTCCGATGACCAGAGGGCTTACGACGAGGCAAATGGCATCCCGAAGCGCAACCCCGAGTGCTTCGTGGGCCCACCTGGGGAAGACTCCAGTGTTGAACCGCTGAGTCGGGAACAATTCATTGAATTGTACCGCCAGAAGCCGCCGCGCTTCGACAAGTTCGGGTTCGACATGGAGGATCCCTGGGTCCAGTGGGCTAAAGACCAAGTGCCGACCTTCCGTCCGGTCATCATGTTTCGGCTCTGCGTGGGGAATTGCGCATCGCTGCGCTCTACCTACTTCAGGAGACAATTGTTCTCCGGGAGATACCCGGGAGACTACTCCCAAAGCCTCATGTCGCAGTATAGCAAGGTGCGCTTCACTGAGTGGAACTCGGAGGGGGAGATGGCTGCCGATAAGAGAAAGGTGGTGAAGAGGCTACAGTAAGGCAGGACATCTGGCTAATGCAAACGGTGGGGAGGGGTGGGATAGGATTTTGATTTTGATTTTCTATCTCCAAGGGAGGCTTAGTGGATAGTTTAATAGAAAAATACTTTTTTCGAACATACCAGTAAAACCTTTGATATTGGTCTCATAATGTACATATGAACCTCCCAAACGTTGGAAGTAGTTACCTGGATAAGATTAATTCATCTTCTAAATATGCAACAGTTCTACATGCGCACGGAACTGGATTCTTGCAAGCACTCTAGTGGGACATCAAGATCCTCGCGATCTGCCCCAGATGGTTGGATACAAAATGAAGTATCTTCGCAAATACGACTCTCCAGCCCCTGTTATTCCCGTCCGAAAATATTCTGACGAATAGTTGTAGCAAAATCCATCAATGTACCTGAATCATCTCCCGAATCATCTTCAAAAAGTTCCTTCGATACTCATCCGCCGTAGTAGTAATCGACATGGGCCCCTTCTGCCCAACAACATTGAAAGTCTGCACAACGCCCGACAAAGCCTGCGCATGCAACTTATGCTTGGCCCAAAAGAAATCAAGTATAGCAACACGATACTTCCACTTCCCATCCGCCGACCGAATCCCCTCCCGCCAAGGACTCTTCCTCCCCAACAGCCCCGGACTCGAGGAAGCGGGAATACGCACCAGAAATAACGAGTAATCGACCGCATTCGCATCCTGCAAAAACTGCGTATCGGCCTCAACGGCTTTGAGGAGCGTTTCTGAGTCTGAAAGCCGGAGATGAAGTTTGTCGTTGAATGTATCGGCCAGTTTGCTCAGGGTTTCCTCGCTTACGAGGGACTCGGGGATTAGATCGCGCTCTGGGTAGAAGTAGTTTATTGGCTTTAGGTCGTATGTCTCCCACTTTTCGCTGTTGGGGTCGTCGGCTTTGCCGCTAAGGGTGTTCTCCATTACTATGTGGTGGGCTGGGGTGCAGCCGCATAGGGTGCCGAGAGTCGTGTATGGGGAGAGAATGTAGTCTGTTATCCAGACGAGGACGGAGTCCGGGTTTTCTGTCATGAATTCGAAGTATGGCTCAAGAAGCTCTGATTCGAAGAATGTGTATTCGAAATGTCGGGGCAGACTCTTGATTACGAAATGGCCGTCAAGTGTCGATATGAATGTCTGGCCATATGGTTAGTAAGAAATACGAGTATCTATTGTGTCTTCTTGGCATCGACTCCGATGTCTTGATACAACCTACCGAGCCGGAATAGCCCAGGTCGCCCATCATCTTGAGCGGAGGCTGGCCACTTGTTGTCCGAAAGCTCGCCTGGTATTCGGTTTCGTCGAAGCTCCACACCTCTTGTCGGAGCTTTTCAAATAGGTGTTTTTCATGACGGATCAGTTTGATTCGTTGGAATGTGAAGAAGGCTAGAATGGAGCCCCATGCTGATTTCTTGAATTGGTCTGGATCGCGCAATAGACCGGCTTGAATGGACTTGGCCAGGGCCTTTTCTCGCCGCTTTGTCCCCATTATGTGATGAAAAAAGGTATATGAAGGAGTTTGATTTAGGATAATGCAAGAAAATCCGTGTTATGTAGAAGCGGGCTTGTTTTTGAAGAAGTTGGTCGATGCAAGGAAGTGTGGTGACGTCAGGCCGGTCTATGTCCGATCGGCCGATGATCTGCACTATAAATCTTACAAATCTTTAGTTATACTAACTTGAAGTAAGGAACCTATTCAACTTGCCTTTTTTGGACTGACAAGAAAAATTCATAGTGTTCATGATTCTAGATACGACTCGCAATACTGGTTTCGGCGAGGAACAAAGATGGATTCTTTGCGGTGCGGCGCCAGCGAATCTAAGGATTCTCCTGAACATTTCAAAACCATCAAATTAGGATTTTATGAATATTATCTATTAAACGTAACGAGGTTTGGTGTAAGTCTTCATATAATCACGAATATCATGTTGATCCTGGGGTGTGCAAAACACATACTAGTTACTGGGAAAGGTAACCCACAACAACCAGAGCGAAAAGAGAAGTTGTAGCAGATGCTGATCTGGAAGACCCTTGTCCCGATGGTTTACCTCCTCAAGATACAGATGCAGAAGTCGCCCCTGTTGAAGTCAAATATATCGTGGATGTTGTGGTAAAAGATGCAGATGTAATCCCAGACACAGCAGACGCCGGGCTGGAGACCGCAGATACAGAGACAGAGTGTATCGGCACTGAAGATGCCGGCGTGGAAAACGCAGTTGGAAAATAAACAGCCACGGAATCGCTTTGCGTAGGTGTAACAACGGGTGCTGATGAGGCCTGAACGGAAGACGGGGAACAGAATGAGGCAAAATTGTAACAGTGGTCCTAATGATCGGGGTAGATACGGTTGGCGCTCTGGGGGCTGACGAAGACACGCCAACTTGAACCGATCTGGATGATGCGATGGCAGAAGAATAAGATGAAGCAATGCCGGTAGATGTGTATGCAGATGATGATACAACAACAGAAGAGGGAGCAGATGAATGAATCGAGGACGACACAACAGTAGAAGAGGAGATGGCCGATGGTTGAACCAAGGACACGCTACTGGTACTGCTAGATGCCGGACAGGGGTTACCGTCCAACCAATTAGCAATGTATTCAATGGTATTGTCGTCCGGGTCTTCATAGTCATAGGGTATGTAACGACTGACGAGGGTCGAACTTGAAGAGTAGCAGACCCCCAGGAACCAGAAGCTCCCAACACAGTTTGAGTATTGCGAGCAAACTTCAATGCAGACCCATACGACAGCCTGGTTTGAATTGCGTATGGCGAATCTCGAGTGGCTCTCGACATGATAATCATATAGGACTTGATAATGATATCCATCATATTGATAGTATCCATCGACACATTCGGCGGTGGTAGGCAGTGTATTGAGAGTGGAAACAGTGCAGACCGAAGCAGTGAATGTTGTCGTGGCGGCAGATGAGACGGTACTAGCAGTAGCAATAGTGGGAGATGGGGTTGAAGTGCTCGTTGAAAGAGTGATTGTAGACGTGATATTTATCGTTTGTTCCACCACCGCCGTTTCAATTGAGAGTTGACTCGAAGACCCAGTTGAAGTAACCTCACACGGGTTTGTGGTGAAATGCTCTAACGCTGCATTTGTGCTGCTACTATCTGCAACCGTTGCCACGACGCTCCTCAGCATACCACATGTAGAATTGCGTGTGTTCCAGTTAGCAGCAGCGCAAAGCGTACTGTATCAAATTCACTCGGAAATGCAATGAGAGAGGGGAAGATACCAATTAATCAAGGCAGCTCCTTGGAAAGAAACTGTTGTACAAGACTCTTTCCAGTAAATCCCATTGCTAGACCACACGCTATTGGCGCACTGAAGACTTGCTGGAGCAACAGTCCCAGGGATATATGTGGGTTGGGTAGTAGTAAATAGAACAATGCTATGGTCACCGTCTCGGGGTAGGTTGACGTAAAAGTAGTGAGCGAGGTGGCAGCTGGGGCTATAGCTAGGATTGTGAGGACGGAAAGTCCCCCTTGTACTAGGAGCACCAAGAGGACCAATGGTGAGGTCCATGCCCAGAATTGACCCATGATGGGATATGGGGAAAAGACTGAAAAATATCGAATTCAAAAGAAAGGACTTCTTGAAATTGATAGGACTGAATGAATGAATGACGGTGGGTTATCGGGATAGTGGGGATATTGGAGTTATTATTCAAAGCCCTGACAGGCCAAGACCAGATCCCGAATCAATAGATCGATAAAGGAACTATCCCATAACCGGGTAAACTAAGTGTGGCTTGTGCTCTTTTCCACCAAGGATTCTAGTCATCTTTGCCGACGAGCTGCGAAGCTACATCCAACCCCTCTGGATAATCTCTGAGTTTTCGTTTAGATTAGTATGCAGCTTATGCAAATTGGTTCTTCCAGACATTAGATTGAAATTTTTGAATATTTGATAAAGCGTTTATACAAGCCATGGTATCATCATGTGCATTCCAAATTTCTAAGACGTTAGATAGGTGGTGGATGCTTAACGGACATCGCCGTCAACTAATCCAAATCGGGAAGAGGATAGCTCAGATAAATTAATCATGAGTACGAGACAGCTTGTGGCTAATCGGAAGGATCCACGCCCGGTAGATCATGGAGATAGTTAGATTTATCAATTTTCTGAGTCAAGAAATGTTATAGTTTCCCCAGGTGGGCGTCTTCACATGACTAGCAAACCCCGATAAATTTCATGGTACGCCTGGCATGGATAGATTCAAGTGTTGAAATTGACAATTATGACTAACCTTGGAAGAAACTAGGTAAACATATTTTGAAATGTTTCACTGGCAACTTCTCGAAAATTGGAAGGTCGAGGTCTCAGGTCAACCACTGATATGCCCGATCAGTATCAATAGTATACTTTACAAAGTTTAAGCTTAAGCTTCGGCTGCTTCTAGCATGACCTTAGACTCAAACTCAGACTGGCGTACTACGAGTAGTAGTTTACTTGTGCCAAGGTTTAAGAGAATGAAACTCGTAAGTTGAATGATGACAATATGAAACCCATTTTCTGCCACTTTGGCATTTCTTTGTTAATGTTAAAAAAAGAATATTCCCTGTTGTAGACCATACCCCAACTGATACAGGGTACCCCACCATCACATGACGCACGTAGTCAACTTCACCGCCCACCATGTTGGGCATGACTGAGTCACCGCAGAAAAAAAGACCCCCCCCAAATTGGAATTCCCCCTCCCCTCCTTATGGGTCGCAGTTTTCTAAGCGGGGCCCGGCGATTAGACGTCTTTTTTTCTCGGTCATTGTATCCTTGTGCCTCTACATCTCCATCCCGCTCCCTTTCAGCCCGCCTGCAAACCCCCTCGAATCGCGCTCTTCGATCCCCTGCGCGACTACGTCTCTACACCACCATGGCGTCCGCCGAATCCCTCCCCACCTCCGTTGAGGCTCTTTCTTTGCAGTCAACCGCTTCAACCTCCAAATTCCCCGGCTGCTTTCCCACCTTGAACCCTGTTGATATCTACCGGGAGCACATCTCGGAGGCATTGGGCAAGGTCGCCGAGGTTGACCCGGCCATGATCTACACTCGCCTGCAATGGACCAACACTCTGGACAAGGGCGATCTGACGCTGGCAGTATGTGAAATGACCTGAAACCTATATTGATCTACATGGATTGCCTCGTTGCCTCGTGAGGCCTATATCTCATCCTATGCCAGATATGCTAACTTATGACCCTCTCCGTCTAGGTTCCCTCCCTCCAGATCAAGAAGAAGAACCCCATGGAATTATGCAAGGAATTGGCCGAGAAGTTCCCCGAGTCCGACCTCGTCCACAAGCCCACCGCTAGCGGCCCTCAATTGCAGTTCTTCTTCAAGGGCCAACCCCTTATCCAGACTGTCCTTAGCCGCGTTCTGGCTGAGAAGGCCGCCTACGGTACCAACGGCAACCAAGGTCTGAAGGACCCCTCCGACCCCTCCAAAGGCAAGAAGAAGATCATCATTGAGTTCTCTTCGCCCAACATCGCGAAGCCCTTCCACGCCGGTCACTTGCGCAGTACCATTATCGGTGGTTTCCTGGCGAACCTTTACACTGTCATGGGATGGGATGTCATCAAGATGAACTACCTCGGTGACTGGGGTAAGCAGTACGGTTTGCTGGCCAACGGTTTCGAGTACTTCGGTAACGAGGAGGCTCTCCAAAAGGACCCCATCAACCACCTTTTCGATGTCTACGTCAAGGTCAACAAGATCGTCAAGGACCAGGAGGAGCCCATCAACGAGCTGAAGAAGGAGATCAAGGAGAAGAAGGAGAAGAGCGAGGATGTCTCCGCCCAGGAGGCCGAGCTTGCCAAGCTTGTGGATGTTAGCGAGGACGAGAAGGCGCGTCGCTACTTCAAGAGCATGGAGGACCAAGACCCTTCGGCTCTCGCTCTGTGGCGCCGCTTCCGTGATCTCAGTATCGCCAAGTACAAGCAGACCTATGCCCGTCTGAATATTGACTTCGATGTCTACTCTGGAGAGTCGCAAGTCAAGGCCGAGAGCATGACCAATGCTTACAAGGCTATGAAGGAGGCCGGTATTGCCGAGGATTCCGAGGGCGCCGTCATTGCCGACTTCACCAAGCACGGCGCTAAGAAGCTTGGCAAGGCTATCATTATCCGCAAGGACGGTACTCCTCTCTACCTGACCCGTGATATTGGTGCTATCACCGAGCGTGATGATACCTACCACTTTGACAAAATGATCTACGTCGTTGCTTCTCAGCAGGATCTGCACCTGGCTCAGCTCTTCAAGATCACTGAGCTGTCCGGCCACAAGGACCTCGCCAGCCGTTGCCAGCACATCAACTTCGGTATGGTCCACGGTATGTCCACCCGCAAGGGTACAGTCAAGTTCCTTGACGACATCCTGCGCGATGTCGGCGACAAAATGCACGAGGTGATGCGAAAGAACGATGTCAAGTACGCGCAGGTCGAGAACCCCGTGCAAACGGCCGATACTCTCGGTATCACTGCCGTCATGGTCCAGGATATGACCGGCAAGCGGTAAGTAGTGATGACACCAACTTGGAAGTTTGAGCGTTTTTGGATACTAATTTTCTCCATTTTCTAGTGTCAATGGCTACACCTTCAATCTGGAGGCCATGACCTCCTTCGAGGGTGACACCGGTCCTTACCTGCAATACGCCCACGCTCGTCTCTGCTCGATGACCCGCAAGTCCGAGCTGAACGTGGACGAGCTCCCCAGCGCCAACTTCGACCTCCTGACCGAGCAGCACGCGACCGACCTGTGCCGTCTGCTCGCCCAGTGGCCCGACGTTCTTCTGAACACTGCCAAGACCCAGGAACCCGTCACTGTCCTCAGCTACCTGTTCCGCATGACGCACATGCTGAGCTCCAGCTACGACGTGCTGAAGGTTATTGGCAGCGAGCCAGAGACTAAGAAGGCCCGTATGGCTCTGTACGCTGCTGCACGCCAGGTGTTGCACAACGGTATGCGCATTCTGGGACTGAGCCCGGTGCAGCGTATGTAAACATGCATTGTGGAAGAATACTGAACTGCAAGCATACACCTACTCTCCTCCTCCTCTTCCCCCTCCTCCCTCATCACCACCACAATTTTCTTTCATGTTTTGAAGATCCCCCGATATCACAATTATTTCTAGATGCATTCGGCGCTTAAAAGCTAGGTTCATCAAATATCACTATTCAGCTCGGTTTCCCATTTGTTCCCTTGCTACTCCGTAAAAAGTACATAGTAACCATGTAGTTCAAACAACTAGTACTAGTAGTAATTAATAATCCACTAGGGCAAAACCGATGTGACATCACAAGCAAGAGCCGCAGTAGTAGGAGCTCGTATCACCTCTAAACAATGTCATTGTGGGACGATCTCGCAGGAATGCAGGATCAGCGACGAAGCGATTGGCATGGGCGCGGGCTTTGGTCGATAGTGGGAGGCTTGGCGCATTAGCGGGTGACGGGGGGTCAACCAAAGATTGAAGACGAAAATTTCATGGATTCGGGGACATTCAAGCATTCCCGGAGAGATATGACATTTATAAGATATTGGTCCAGACCATGGGATCCAGGCCATCTAAGGTTATATGGAAAGAGAGCCCGATACTATAAGCTCTACTTAAAGAACATCGGGGTTAACTAAGCGGGTCCCCAAGTCTCCGGGGACCATTTCCAATCTGACTAAGACCCGGAAAAGCCCATCAGCCTCAAAACGGACAGTGTACACTAAATTGATCCAAATGCTGAGAATCGGGGATCAGCCATCAAGACCCCGCTTAGACTCCGTTCTCTGTTCGGCTAGGGCTGGTCACTCCCCGGTCAGGTTGAAATGTTTATAATAAGTATTAGCTAGGACCAGGTCAGGACGGTTCGCAGCTTTATCCCATGTGTGACCCTATCTCTATCTCACCCGACCAATCACACCTGTCACCCTTGCACAGTGAGAATCCTAGGTGAACGTGAACGTGAACTCAATCTGGATTTCGATCTGGTTGTCCTACTTCAAGAAACCCATCATTCTCCCCTCGACCAGCATGCTTTCAGCCAATGAACAAGAAAAGCCGGCCCTGGCCGATGGCACTAGGACTGGGGCCCTCGACCCGGATCTCGAGCGCAACGAAGATCACCAGTTCCTCATGAATCGCAGTGTTCGCAACTTCTCGTGGAAAGGATTGACCGTCACTGTCAAGGATCGTCAGACGAAGAATGCTCGGGACCTGATCAATGATATCTCGGGTGATGTGCAGCAAGGTGCGGTTGGAATCAAATTGAATCGACCCCGGTATAGAAACTGAAATCGTTACTAACTCCAGCCTAGGGGAATTGGTCGCCTTGATGGGCCCATCGGGCTGCGGAAAGACAACCCTGCTGAACGTCCTGGCGCGACGCCCAGCAGCATCGGGCGCCAAAGTACTCGGCGACAGCTATGTCAACGGGTCCGGGGTCGACAGTAGCGCATTTGGTCGCATGACTTCATACGTGGAGCAAGAAGATACTCTGATCGGTTCACTGACAGTGCGGGAGACGCTCAAGTTTGCGGCGGACCTCTCGCTACCCAGGTATGTGATGGCATAGAACACCACTTGGGGAAGATTACGGCGCAGTGGCAGGGAAGTCAAGTCTGGCGACCATCTTACTGATATACCCCGGTTGAATCAATCCAGCTCCGTAACAAAGAGCCAACGCATCGAGCGTATCGACACACTTCTCGAGTCCTTCGGAATCCAGAATCAGGCCAATACCCTTGTCGGCACCCCGATTCGGAAGGGAATCAGCGGCGGCCAGAAACGACGTGCCAGCGTGGCGAGCCAGCTCATCACTTGCCCAAAGATTCTATTCCTAGATGAGCCGACCAGTGGTCTCAGACTCGACGGCCAGTTTCGAGGTCATGTCGTATGCAAAGGAGCTAGCCAGAGCCAACAACGTGAGTTCCAGACAGATTGCAAATACGCCCGCAGATCAAGATCAAGAGCAGGAGCAGAATCGGAGATCAGTTGGGCTAACATTTAGCGCCGGGTTATGGTGCGCTTCATCTAGATCATCATCATAGCGAGTATCCACCAACCGTCCACAACAACATTCCAGCTCTTCGACAAGCTGCTCCTACTCTCTTCCGGCCGCACGTGCTATTTTGGCCCCTTGACTGGCATCGATGCGTATTTTCGGGGAATTGGGCACCCGATTCCCAGCAATACGAACCCGGCGGAGTTTTTGCTGGATATTGTCAGCTCAGACTTTGGAAATGCGAAGGACGTTGCACAAGAGCGGGTACAGCTTATCCAGAATTCGTGGGCCCAGTCCCAGGAGGCCGATGCTATTTCACGACAGGTTCTCGATCGGGTGAGCATGACGGGGAAGGATGAGGGTAAGGTGAATGTGGAGGATATGGCGAGACCGGGGCCAGTTCGGATCACCGGTGCTTTGCTTCATCGATCTTTCATCAAGAGTTACCGCGATGTGGTGGCGTACGGGATTCGCATAGTGATGTATCTTGGTACGTGCTATGCTCAGTTCAGCGTGTTTCGTGTTAGCATGAATATTGGGAACGGTACTAACTCGCTCCAGGTCTCGCCATCATGATGGGTACAGTGTGGCTGCGTCTACAACCGACGCAAGAGTCTATCCAACCATTCGTCAATGCCATTGTACGTTTCCCTATCCATTGTATGAGAGGAACATAACCATCTAAGAAATCATTGACACAGTTTTTCGGTTCCGCATTCATGTCGTTCATGGCTGTAGCATACGTGCCAGCATTCTTGGAAGATAGAGCCAATTTTGCCAAAGAGCGAGCCAATGGCTTGTACGGGGCAACTCCATTCATCGTCTCAAACTTCCTCATTGGCCTGCCATTTCTATGTGAGTGTCTCGTCTTTCTTCAACATCCCGTCCCAGCCGGAGCTGCTCGCTAACAAACCCAGTTCTCATCGCCATGCTCTTCTCCATAATCTCCTACTGGCTCTCGAACTTCCAGCCCACCGGCACAGCGTTCATGACCTGGGTAATGTGGCTCTTCCTCGACCTTGTTGCCGCCGAATCCCTGGTCGTCTTCGTCACGGCCATATTCCCGAACTTCGTGATCGCCCTCGCACTGGTCGCTTTTGCCAACGGGCTCTGGATGAGCGTTGGCGGATTCCTCGTGACGCCAACAATCCTAAATCCGTTCTGGAAATACGTCTTCCACTACATTGATTACCAGGTAAGCCCGTCCCCAGCCCACTCCAGCCTGTCCCCAGCTCCCAGATTGTGACTAATGACCTCCCCCTCTTTTTTCCCAGGCCTACGTTTTCCAAGGCATGATGGTAAACGAATTCTCGGATCGCATTTACTCCTGCGGTACGGGCTGCTATTGCATGTACAACACCGACCTCGCCGATCAGTGTCAGATCCGCGGAACCGGCGTCCTGGAAACATACGGATATGCGACTGGCAGAACGGGGAAATGGGTGGGGATTCTCGTGGGTATCATTGCGGTGTATCGGCTGCTTGGATGGATTGCGCTGTCGCTGCGTAAGACCTAGGCTAGCTGAGCCAAGCTGTGTGAGTGAGGTCGAGACTCTTTTCTTCATTCTTGCCTCTGAGGCGGTATGCGTTGCACTTGCACTTGCACCTCCGCACTCGCACACGCATTCACATTTGCCTTCGCCTGGCCCATGGCGTGTCCTTGTACTTTGACATCTGTATTCTATTCCATTTGCAGCTAGCTATTGGTGGTATCCATCAAGCTGGGGTAAGGTCGCTTGGCAGGGTACGCTTAATAGTTACTTTGTAGTAGACTGGGGCGTTTTCCGGAGATAATTCGACTTGAGTGATTCCAATTGATTTCCAATCAATGTGTCAATGTGTTAAATCTTGTTTTGCTCGCATGATTACTGGACCCAGTGATCTAGTCCCAACACCCATGTCCATGTTCACGCCAACCAACTCCCACCCGAGAGCTATATCTCACGATATCGGATATCGGCCGAGCTGAACTGGACCGAGGCGAACTTTAACCCCAGTCTAGGACATGGATATGGATATGCCATGCGATGATACTACTAGTAGCCACAGATGACTGCGACCCGCTGGCCAGACACGAGCTGCCACGACCATCGCTATCACGTTCGTACGACGTGAGTGCGATCAAGTCGTCTGGTTCAAGCTGAAGATAGGCGGGAATTGGAATTGGCTGGAATTGCTTGGAGTAGAAAGAATCACTTCCGTCGAGGAAGGAACTACCCTTCATTGACTTGAGTGAACCTGAAACTTTTCGTAAGAGTGGTACTCCGTAGACGGTAAGCATTGGAATAGATCACGGGGATCCCATATCACGCCAGGAACTCGAATCCCAACCCAACCCAACTAAACCCCACCAAAACTTACAGCCGGGGTATACATGGCACTGCAAGAAAAAGAGAAAAGATAAGAGCTTGAACTTCGATCCACGCGAGACTGGAGCAGAAAATTCCCGACAACCGAAGAAATCATCCGAGTAGATGCGAAAGAGCGGTGAAGCACCACTCTCGGAAGCTGATGACACCCTGCAGAAGGGGACGCAAGGGGGTGATGAGGAGGCGGGACTTTCTGTATGTATGCATGTACCTACATCTACATGTGTGCACAACTACTTCGTACTGTGTGTAATTGTACACTTGAAGTAACTTGAAGTAGCACGCAAGCCCTTGAAAGGGACTTTGATCGTGGCCAAGACTACGGAAATCAAGGACGTGAGGCGAAGTATATCCCGAAAGGCAAAGCAAAGCCAAAGTCAAAGTATAGCACGAGATGACATGCGTGGAAAGGTGAAGCTTATTGAGCTCCAGCATGCGGGTAGTAGGACTGGGGTAGGGGAGGGTGTAATGTAGACTCGGAGGCGTGCGAGATCATCATGCCGATTTCGACATGGGCGTTGTACATAGTGCAATAAATAAGCAAAGGAGATGGGCCGATCTGAGATCACGATCGGGACGGATCTCGCTCTGCTTTGCTCTACTACAGTATAATCTGGTCTGATCTGATGTGACCGAGTAGGGCATGGGGGGTCCTGATCCTGGCCTACCCTCTGAGAGTGGACTAGACTAGGCTCCTGTTAGCTGGGGTGGAGGTTTTGCTGGTAGAGCCGCATGGATAATCCAGGTCTAGTCTCGTCTCTCTGGGGTGAGTTTGGTTTTGCTTGTCCCGTCTTCCCCTCTTTTGCGAGATGTACATATGTACGTCCCCTTTTTTCCTTCGAGGGACGGGCACAGATATAGGTACAGGTACAAGGTGTATTGAAAGACATTGTTGGCTGGGGAGGGGGCAGGTCAATGCTCATCATATCTTGCGCGCACGACTTGCATTGCAGAGTTATCGGCTACGCTCACACGTGCGAGATTGACGGTCGTGCGGGCTTGGAATGGGGGAGGGAGGGGGGGAAGACTAGGCACTTTGTTGGTAAATGGATGGAGATAGATGGAGGCGAAATGCAAGGAGGTGAGGGACAGATTGAGAAGGGAAAGGATGTTCGCGTCCGTGCTGCACGTCATTCGTGGTTAAGTGGATGGATGGATATTCGGCACAAAATTCAAGACAGTATCTACAGCGAGGATGGCAGGGTGTATTTTGCACCACAGAGGAGTAACTAGTATTGATATTGTAGAGGACTACGGAGAAGTACCTCTACTTGCCAGTGGTACATCCCACTTATCCCACTTGCTCTCCTCCGTACCCCTCTATGAGTCAGAGTCACCGGAGAAGACATCAGGCCCATAGGACCCCGCCACATGGGCCGGGCAGGTCGGAGAGGCTGCTGTTCTAGCGTGGTTCTTTAGGGATCCACCGATGGAAGTGGCGACATTTCGGGGGTTAGTGTGGTGGTTAGTAACGTGTTTCACAGGAAGTACTAGTGTTGTGGATGGTAGACATGCAGCGGCATCCCCACCGACTTTTCGGAAGTAGATTGACAAGACATTGTCGAGTCTCTCGAGTGAATCAGCTGAAATGTTATAACAATTATCTATGGATGGGAGATAATGGGGGATAATGAGTCAGTTCAAGTTGTTGATGTCTAGAGTGGCGGAGGCTTAGTTGGGCCGCAATTGGGCGGGAGTGCAGTATAGGTCAGTGTCTCCGAGTATGAATGGAATAAATCAGGTGTAAAGAAGGGAATGAATGAAAAGCGAGATATCGACCGTGAACTCGATAGAATGTATACTAATTACTCTATGTATACAATGTATACATACTACATTGTATACATTGTTTACATCCTAGTATACAAGTACTAAGTATAAAAATATACTTCTGAACCAGGGAACCGAGCGGGTCCCGAGCTTAAGTTGGTCGCACAAATTATGGTCGTTCCTTCCTTATGATGACACCCCCTCCCGCTTCTTTCCTTTTCTCTGTTGGGCACCCGAGAGCCTCTTCAAGTCAGCTGCTCTCTCTTCCTCTGTCGTCTTCCCTCCCCCTTCCCTCTGTCGTCCCTGTCCTCTTGTTCTGCCTCTGTCGTACTTCTCATTCTCTTCTCTTCCCTTCCTTTCCTTCCCTTCCCCCCTCTCAGGGCCTCTTCTCTTCACCCACACTCACACCCCTTATCGTTTTATCATTTATCATTTATCGCTGCCCTACTCCACCACCCCCACTGGGTACCAGTCAGGCAGAATATCCCAAATCAAACCCAACCCAAAGACCACAAGCTGCAGCTGCAGTCCATTCTCAACCACTCGGCTGAGTTCGTGGCGACCCACGAACACCCAACGACGCTCTCTGCGCCGCCCGACTCTTTTCGTTTCTGCCCGCCTAATTTTCCCACCAATTTCGATGGAGACGTTGCGATCTGGAATATACCACTTCACACTCTCCGCACGTTGACAGAGCCCGACCTCTCTGCCCTTCGCAAGCCTCCCCTGGCGATCGGCAGGTTCGTCAAAAGTCCAGTCGCCCGGTTGGGCGAGAATCGCTGCAGAGGAAGACAGACAACACTGAGCGCAAGCAAGTGACCGTGAGCGAGGGATACCGCGTGGGAGGGGACACAAGCATCATCAAAAATACCTCCCGCACACAACGACGCACACAACCAGCACTGACTCATCCTACTTCCTTTTTGGTTACTTTTTTTTTTTTTACTCTCCCTTTTCTTCATTACCACTCGCCTCTCCTGCAGCTCCTTCCTATTCTCTTGCCATCGGGCAAGAGTTGGTGGCTTGCAGCCAGTCCAGCCAAGCAGATCTTTCCCTGCTGGTGTAGTGGGTAAGCAAATTCCACTTCTTCACATCGCACAACCCACATCACCCCCCTCTCCAAAACGGGTCTAAACCTGGACTCCCTGACTAAAGAATCCTGCCTAGTTCCCAGCCTTTCCGAACCTCCTGCAGGCCATGGCGGGCAAGAAACCACCTCGCCCAGCTATGGTGGAGGATTATGACGAGGAATTCGATGACATCGTACCCGAAAGCCGGCAGGTAGCCAATACCGCGGCCAAAGTAGTCACCAGGTCTGATCATAGATTCCCGGAGCCGCTGATCGACGGCGCCAGTGACTCAGGCTATTCTAGTCGCACCGCCGCCACCGCCAACAGCACCCAATCTGCCCCGTCGGGCGGGAAGAGTCCACCCGTCCCTCATAAACTGCACATGCCCAAGCAGCGAGCCGACTTCGACAGACATCCATCCACCCGCAGAGAACACAGAGAACGAAGAGACCATCAAGACCGACAAGACCGCCCCCGGCCAGGCCACGAAGAGAGTATGAGGGTTGGTGCCTATCCGGGCTCCGCCCAATATCATTCTCACGTGCCCAGGTCGCCGTCCAAGTCACGCAGCAGACGAGACTCTTCCGCCCGTCACTACCAGGACGCTGCCCACTACTACGAAGGTGGTCCCGTCTACCATCAACAACAACCACCAACCCCCATCGACCGCTATCCTCCAAACATGGAGTACCCGCCCGCCATGTACGGTCGCCCACCCATGCCGGACATGGTTCCTTCCTCACCGCGCTATGCCCCGCCACCGCGCCATGCCTATGGCTATGAGGAGTATCACCGTCCCACAAGTCGGACAAACCGGTCCCATTCGTACCGGCCGTCGGGTGGCTACAACCAGGACAGCAGACCCATGAGTATGAGCATCCACGAGATGTCATCAATGGGTCCCCCCCGGAATGTACCATTCACAGGTGCCATATGATTCATACGGAGCTGGTGGACCTCCACCTTCCAACTCGGCCTATTATGCTTCATCCCCTTACGGGGCAGGATCTTTCACAGGCTATGCTGGGTCGGAGTTCCCCGCTATGGAATACGGGCCTGAGAGATCCCCATCCCGGACTCGCGAGCCATCCCGACGTCGAAATTCCCTCTACGATCCTCGCATGATGGAGCCAGATGATGTCTTTGCTCAAGAGTTTGAGGAGTTTGACCAACTTGAACGTTACTCTTCTCGTGAACCGCGTGGGCGCTACAGCTCCAAGCCTCCTCAGCCCCGTGACGAGGATTATTATCGTGAATATAGTCGGATGCCGCCTCCTCCTGTACCGAAATCCCGAGCTGCTCCAAAGATCATCCAGAACAAACGGCCCGAAGGTCCTCGGAAATCTCAAACTGTACAAACCGTTCCCTCGGCTCCTCAGCGCCGTATGTCTCGAGCTACTGCAGACCATGCTGCGGAGTTTATGGATATGTCGGAAATGCGCAATGCCCTTCCCGATTCTGCCCACCGCCGCCTATCCCGAGAAACAGGAATGGCTCCCGAACGGACCCAGAGCATGCGCGAGAGCAGGAGGTCGAACTCTTACCACGACACCGGCCGGGGTACTCGGATCGCAGTCGAGAACTCTCGTCGACGACGGCCGGGGCGTGCTGAGCAGTATTACGACGTCGATAATGACAGCCAAGAAGACGAATTGGAGGAACAACTCTCAACCGTTGAGCAATACCAAAACGCCAAGGCAGGCCGCTCTACCACTGCTGCGCTACCCGCATCCTCCGAGTCACTCATCCCAAAGATGGCGAATGGTGCTGGTAGCGAGAATGGCAGCCGAAAGAGCGGATCACACAGCAGCCGTGAAAGCGCAACCGGTTCCAAAACAGGAGGAGGAAAAGACATCAGTCTGATGATGGACGGGATTCAACTCGGATTCAAAGAAGAGGCGGTCCATGGCAAGATGATCAACATTCGAAGCGACGACTCCGGTGGTTTTCACCTCAGTCTTGGAGGAAATGCAAACCGCAAGCCGAAAGCTTACTTGCCTGCTGGATCGTCTTACTCTGATAAAACGAATACTGCAAGCCGACGGGAGTTGGTGGAAGACGTGCGACGAACGCGCGATGATCGACGCTTGGAACGAGCTAGTACTAGGAGGTCTTCACAGTCCACCTACGGCCGTCGTTACTAATGTCAGATGAACGCCGGGTCGACTGTCTTCTTTCTCTACCTTGGTTTAAAGTATATCCCTTTATGTCTATATGTTGGATGATCTCATGTTTTCTCTTCACGCTATGGTCACGGTACTGCTCGCTTATTAGCGGCTTCAAAAGTTGGAAAAAAATCTATTTTTTTCTTTGTTTGCAAAGCGTTTTTTTTTCTCTCAGGGCGGATTTGTGTGGGATTTGGACCAAAAACAAAAACGGGTGTTTTTGAGCAAAGCTTTCAACAGCGGGCTTCTTTCTTATGGTGTCCCCTGTCTTCACCTCCTGGCCCTTCCCATGTTACCTACCTCGAATAGGGAGATGGAGGGTGACTGGTTACATACCTGCAGAGGTACCTGTTAGGTACCTGTGTAGTAACCTTGGAAGGGAGAGGAGACAGGACACCACTATGACCTGTCCCGCGTCGGACTGGGAGGACTCCCTGGTTTTTCTGTTCTTTTTGCAATTGCTATCTTGCGTTTGGGCGATGTCGGGCCATGCTTTGTCAATGACTGACACCTTGCATGCTTCTCAGCGGTGCTCGGAAACTTTCATGATTTGAGACGCCTGATGAACTCCTGACACGGCGATATGATTGTACGATTTTGATGACCTGCGATGACAAGTTCGATGATGCTTTGGCTGTTTTCTTTTTTCTTTTCATCATTTGCCTATCTGTTTTGTCTTTTCTTTTCATGTCCTCATGTCTGCAATCATCTGCTAGCGTGTATAGCTCGCTTCATCTATGTTTCATGTTCCATGTTTCATTTCGTTTCATGCCCATGTTTATGCTCATCTCATGTCTTATCTCCCTTTCCTTTCCTGTCTGCCCACCCATTTTATGTTTTGGACCTGCTATGTCGGGCTCTTTTGCACCCTTTTGTCATTTTTGGAATCGGGTTGGAGCCCTTCTTTTCTCTGTGGTTCCGTTACGTTTCTGGTTTGCGTCCGTGTTGGAGGGGAGAGAATATACCCATGTCTTATGTCTACGCCTTTTACTTGTCATGTCTCAACACCAGGTTATCCTCTTCTTCCCTTTTTTCTTCTCTCTACGTGCCTCTGGGTCCGTATCGATGTATGAGTGTGCTTGTGCTTGTGCTTCGTAGGGTTAATTTGTATGACAACGTATTTTTTCGACAGTCCATCTCAAGTTGAGCGAGCATAAATGTAGCCATTTCCACTTTTAAAAAGTGTCAGTAGGCCTAGCCTGTGAACTCGAATCCTGAAGTCCTCAAGGATCGGCACAGGTTGAGAATCTTCTGTTGGCTCCTCCCGATAAAGCCAAATCACCACAAGAGTTTTTTTTTCCCCTGCTGCGTACTAGTCGGGGTTATAAATATGATTACCGCACGTTCCTCGTATAAACCTTTCCCAATAAAGTAATCGAGATGTTCCGATCGTGCCGAATGGGGTCAAGCTCGCAGCGCTTGAACCTGAATACAGTCGAAAAGACCATGAAGCCCAGAGTCCCAGATGTGGTGTGAATCGGTATCTTCAACACGGCCATCAAGACTTTGCTCATCAACACCCAAAAATGTCGGCGTGATCGACGCTCAGATGGAAGATCTGGCGCTGCCCGAGTCTGATCTATTGAAGCCGATTGGATACAGGTAAAGGTTCGTTCATACGGGCGGGTCATTGGTAATGGATCCACCCCCGCTCTGGGACCAGGACTTCCGTAGATTGATGAGGCCGTCTGATTGATTATCAAAAACAAGCACTAAAACTTTACAAGGTATCATCACTCGGTTTGCCTCCGTGTTGAGGTAATAAGGCGGAATGGGGCGGAGTTGCAGGAAGCTAAAGATGACTAGTATTTAGTTGAAACGTGGCACTTCATCCACTCGGCCATCAACTCTGCTCTGCCCATCTGACTGATCTATCAAATTGCCATCCCAGCCAGGCAATTTTTAGCCATCAAATTGTCAACTTTGCATGCAGTCCTGTTAAAAACCCCAGCCTACCCCTGACAGAGACAAGGCTCGGCCTTGCCCCTCCATCCTTCTTCATCTTCTCTGAGTCCCAACCCTCAACTTATTCTTATCAATCTTCATTAATTCAAGGCATCAAAGATGTATCCCCTCATGCCGGACCCAAGGATATCATTCCAATCATTTCTATACGACAACCCCAATGTCGAATTCATCTGGCTACAATTCATGTCATACACATCAAACACGCTCGTCCGAATCATCCCCATCGCCAAATTCAAGAAAATGCTCCAAGAAGACCAATGGCTCGCCCTGACCAGAGCAGTCCTCCACCTCATCCCAGGCGACCGCCTAGCTGAAGGCGCCAGCCCAAGCGGTAAATTCCACCTCCGCCCAGACTTCAGCACCGCATACTGCCAACACGGCTCAAACGGGACCCGCGCCGTCGTAAACGTATACAGCGTAAACTCCAAGGGCGAACCACTCCCCGAATGCGCACGCTCAAGACTGCAAGAACTGCATCAAACTCTGCAATACGAGAACGACTGCAGCATCCTCATCGGCTTCGAGGTAGAAGTCACATTCCTCAAGCCAAAATTCGACGGCAACCAGCTCGTCGACTATGAACCGCTCAACACGCCCTTCCAGCATTCGTTCACGGGCATGGCTGCCGAAGACAGGCCCCATATCGAGTTGATCGAGGCCGTGGCGCGAGCCTTGGCCTCCGTCGATATCGAATTGGAGCAATTCCACGCAGAAGCCGGTCCTGGACAGTGGGAATTCGTCCTCCCGCCTTTCGAACCGGTCATGTCTATTGAGATTCTTCTTCGCGCGCGTGAAACGATCATGCTGGTTGCGCAGTCGTTCGGATACCGCGCTACAGTCGCAACACAGCCATTCCCGCAACAGCCCGCGAACGGATCACACATCCACATGTCCCTCAACGTAATGGGTGAGTCGACAAACGCAGCATCCGCAACCCGTCACCACGTCCAAGCCCAGCAGCACAAAGCGCAGAGCCAAGCCGCCCATCGACAGAAAGCCGAGTCCTTCTTCGCGGGCATACTGCACCACTTCCCCGCCATCTTGGCCTTCGCTTTACCCAACGATATGAGTTACTCGCGCCTTGCGTCGGGGACATGGAGTGGCGGCGAGTATGCGGCTTGGGGCTGGGAGAATAAAGAAGTAGCCCTCCGCCGGATTGAAAACAATCGCTTCGAAATTAAACTCGTGGATGGGTTTGCGAATCCGTACCTTGTTCTCTGCGCATTGTTGAGTGCTGGGATTATCGGGTTAAGGGCTGGGTTGGCGTTGATGGGGGGTCCTTGTGAGAAGGCGGCGGCGCAGTTGTCGTTTGATGAGAGATGTAAGATTGGGTTGATGGATTCGTTGCCGGATCATCTTGATGCGGCGCTTGATGCGTTGGAGGAGGATGGGAGGATTCAGTATCTTTTGGGGCAGGGGTTGGTTGATTCGTATCTTGGGGTTAAGAGGGGGGAGGCGGAGGTTTTGAGGGGGATGGAGGACCGGGAGAGGAGGTTGGTTTTGCTGGCGAAATATTGATTTTGAGATCGTTGGGTCTAAGTTGTGGATAGATTGATTGTTGGGGAGGTGTGCACGTTTTGAGCATCTAGATATTTTCTTGTCCATTTCCCTCTTCCCATCTGGTTTTCTCATGTCACGGTATTTGACGGGCTGTTTTGTCGTGTGTAATAATCCAGCACGCGGGCACCTTTGCGTCCGATGAAACCCAGAGACGCATGAAGCCATTTGGATTCTTCGGAGTTGTTCGGCCAATTCTTTAGGGCATCGAGTACAAGGCCGATTGCAGGAGTAACCGACAAAGCACCGATCATGCCCATATCATCTTGCAGGAAATATTCGATGGATTGGCAGACATTGTGTGCCATGGAAAGATAATCCTCTCGATGTTCCAAGGCGGGAAGACATTTCATTGATCCAGAATGTTCGCAAATGGACGTATGTTCGTTCAATAATGCGGAGTTCACAGAATAATACCCTCTCAGCATTTCATAATGCTTGTAAAGACCGCCAAGTCCTGACCAAAGCATTGAACGTGTTGCCCATAACAGTATAAGTGCTGAGGATATGGCGGGCTCGGAAAAGGAAAATGCAAGCGGAAACATGTTTATACAGTCGTCTTGGTCGGCCAGTGGGTTGATTTGAGACGGCACCGTAGTATAGAGCGGGGATAAACTGGAAGACTGAATTTCGCTGTCAATCATATCCAATTTATTATCAACCTGCCAGCATTCATCTACAAGCTCAAGCACCAACTCTGCTTGTTGATGCGGGTCCAGGTATGCCAATAAAGGCACGCGCTCTAAAATCCCGGGCGCTGCAACAAGACAATCTATAACGCGGTCGAGATGAGTCTTCGGTGACTCTTTCCAAGGCCCATCCATCCATAAGGGGTCAAATAAAATGGTAGATGCACTCCGATTCAAAGCGTACAGAATCTGCGATTGGCGTCAGAATTGCCAGCTCAGGAAAAGGATTCCCACCTAAATCTCACTCACCCCTGGTACTCTGATCCCCAAAAATAAACGGTATCCCGCGCCCGATGAGTGTCGCTCGACGCCACGAGCTTGAATCAAAGCTAAAAGACCATAACAGTGGCTGAAATAACCATCGGATACTTTACTTGGGCATTCGATAGTCTCGTAGAGATTGAGTGCCATGCAAGCAGCCAGAGTTGAATCCTCTTCCATGAGGAGAGGGTGACGCAAAGCCCTGCGCAGCTGATTGAGTCCTTGGGTGTAACACTTTAGACCTAGATCTAGCAACGAGGAATCCTGGCGCTCGCGTCCTATGACTGAGGCCGCGAGTGCGATACTGGATAGTTCTAATGGGTCGGAATTCATGATAGTCGGTAGCTCACTGAGCAGGGGTAGCCATGAGCGGCTCGTCCGGGATGCCCACCCACTGGGAAAGCATCTTGAAAGAAAGGCCTGGATTAGACTGTGATGATTTGCACGGCTTTGTATCATCGAATATGCAGCGTTTGTCTCGAGTAGTGGATTAGTCCGCTCCTGAACGTCGAGGATCACCGATGGAGATGAAGAGGACGAAGAAAGGACCGACATCTCTCGACTTGGAGAACGATCATCTGGTGAATTCGAGAATGAACTGGAAGCCAAAGACTCAGGTCTAATAAAAGTGTGGGTCTTTTCACTCGCTGGTGCGACTAGGACGAAGACTCGGTCTCTTTCGTAGCCAGCGCAGATCCGCTTGGAGCGTGTGCATTGTGTGCAAGCGGGTCTTTGCTGGTCACACTGAGCGGGTGTCAGAGAATTGTACCAGGTATAAAATTCAAATACAGTGGTTTTCACTAACAGCAATTTTTCTTTTCCGACAAGTATTGCAGCCTTTGGACTTGCCAGCTACCCCCACCATGGTGGTCTGAGTCAATCGTTGCAGGCCGCGGCGTTATTTTAACCCTGCGTGTTGTGGCAATGCATTGTCAACCCCCACTTCTTGCCGTAATTTCGATCCCGAGTCCTTTCAAATTGCCTCTTTTCCGAGAAGATTGGGCTATGGCGTCGAGTTGCATAGTCATGGCGGAAAGATGAAGATGGAGTGGATTGAGGCTGAGGCGAGATCATACGCTAAACCCAAAAGGGTGGTGATCTTGCGAACTGCGCCGACCCACTCCACTTTTCCTTATTTTTTTCTACTTGAGTCTTTATCCTGCTGGTGATCAAGCCTTATAAAAGGCTAAGAAGTTTACTGAAAAGATTCTACTTTTTTTTAATTAATTACAATTCTTCTCAGGACAATCCGCCCTTGACTGCCAATACCCTCATATTTGAGCTAGCCTCAATCTATAACTTGGACTGCTATAAGAACAACCTTTGATCCACAATAACGAACCACTATATCCTACTACACTCATGTTCGACACTCATTCAAAATTGGGCATTGCCCAAATTATTTTCTACATACCGGTCACGGTTTTAGCCGTTTATCTCGCGTTTTATCGACACAACCGACCGCGCATGGCATGGCTCATCTTAATGTTTTTCTCTATCAGTGTGTACCACCCCGCTATTCTCCAATACTAAAACCAGCCACGAATTAATGTCTGACCAATTGATAGTTCGCATCACAGGAGGTATTCTGGTCATTCTTTGGGGCCAGATTCCACAGACCGGACTAATGGTCGCCGCCATCATCTTCCTCAATACTGGCGTGTTTCCCCTAATTGCAGCAACTCTTGGTCTCATTCGACTCATGTAAGTCGCAAACTTAAGAATGTTCTTTCTCTGTTCTATTGCCTTCTTGATTCTAATATCCGACAGTATGGCCCGGGAGGACATGGAATCACGAATCAATCGCCATTTGGTTCTTTCTCGAATGCTTTTTTTCATTGCTCTTGGTCTTACAATCGCCGGTGGAGTCCTTGAAGGAAGTGATACCCTCAGCGATGTAGAGACCGGAGTCAAACTTGTCAAAGCTGGCTACAGCCTTGTCGTGGTCTTCGTGGCTTGTCTATTGGCCATCCAAATCTCCCTTTGGACTCGCTACACTTGGCTCGCTACCCCAAGTCAAACAGTAAGTTATACTTCTCTAATCGACATTAGATTTCATATACACTGACCAAGGTCGTCTCTTCTCGCAGATTCTCAACGCCGCCACCCTTGCGACACCTTTTATAACTGTTCGCATCTGCTACCTATTCCTCTCGGTTTTCTATCCATTAGATCCGCGATGGTCCAATTTGACGGGTCATATCGTGCCTTTCCTCTTCATGGGTCTCATCATGGAATACTGCGTTGTGGGTCTTTTCCTTGGGACGGGCTTTGTTATTCCTCGTATGAGAAACGGAAGTGATAAGAGGGGCTTGCTTGTTCCGGATACACCAGACCGCCAAGGGAGGGACTCAAGTTGTGGCGCGGAACTTCAATAGATCTTTTTTAGTAATATGTAAGTGCCCCTTTGTGGATGTACACTCCCAGTGGTGACTGCAAATTGTATAGAAGTGGAACCCGGGAGTCCCCGATCTAGTTATGCCTTATTCAAATCCCATATATTCACCCCGCAACAACTTCTAGGATCAATTGCTGTTATTTTTTCACTCCTCACGCCCATGTATTATTTTTCGGACCAAACATTCTATGTGTAATATGTTGACAGCATCAGGAAAGAACTGCCAATGGCATGACTGCCCAATCGCATCACGTGGCTTTATACTTCCCGTTGTCGGGCCAACAGGTGGATGTCAACAATCCCCAGCCTCCCCAATCGCCCCCTCCAACCTCCCCATTTCTAGATCCCCAAAAGACTCTCGTCAGTGGACTCCTGGCTTTGTATTTTCCCACTTCGTCAATTCCTCGTGTCTACTAACCACCACCCAGGTAGACTATCATTTCTCTGCATCCAACATTCCCAGATATTTCCATTCTACGGAACAAAGCGCCCGTTCCACCTTGATTTGGCGCTGATCATTCGTTAAAGGTGAGCCCTCTTCCATGTTCCAAGAATGTGTCACAAATCTAACATTCCTCAGAGTCTCGTCTTGAGCCCTGCGCTCTCGACCGCTCGAATCGTTCATCATGGCGCCCGTTTTGCCGATCGGGGATATCCCCGACATTCCAGTGATGTCGGTGGAGACTCGCGATACTCCATCAGACCTTCTCCTCGATCCCACGCCCTCCCTCAACTATAACACTCTCGTTGCACGCGCCAAATCCACATCCACAACAACAGCCGCGGGCGAAAAACCCGTCCGCGGTGCAGGCACAGTCAGTCCTAATAGCATCAAAATGCAGGGCCTGATGGCCCTATTTGCCATCATTGGTGCAGCTTTCGTCATCGCCGGCATCTGGTTCTTCTTCTGGGCCAAGAACGGCGGCTTCCAATGGCGCAAGGGAGACTGGGATGACTACAAATCGACCGTGCTACGTCGAAAGGGACCAGACGGCAAGACCCTCAGTAACGCCACGAAGAGCACAAAGCTAGGCGGAGGCAGTGTCGTTGGCAAGGGCTACAGCGATGATGGATACTCTTACACAGACTACGATACCTACGCCGAGACTGCTACGAACCCGGACACTGCGACCGTGATGACCGAAGACAAGCCAAAGAAGAAGAGACGCAACTTCCGCGAAAAATTCATGCGCCGCCACAAGGACGAGCGATACGAAGGCGCAGGCGACGACGACGTCCGCGCATACCGTGAAGAGAAACCCGCTCGCATTGGCGGTATGAACCGAGAAGCCGAAGGCACCTACAATGGCAGTGACTACGACTCCTCCGCCGTCCCAACCAACTACCAACAGAGCGAGATGAGCGAGGTGCGAGACTACGCATACGAGCAGCCCCGTCGTCCTCACCGCAGCTCTCGTCGTGGGCCCCGAGACTTCTCCTTCACTGCCGGCAGCGAAGACGTCCTCAGCCAGACCACCGAAGAATCCCAGCTCCGTGACCCGTCTCAACGCCGCCAGACTCGCCGCCGTGATCGGGAACGCCAGCGCAGTGCCGCACCCCCTCCGGCGCCTTCTTCTCGCACCAGCAGCCCTCGCAAAAAGGACCGTCGCTCTATGCCCGGTCACTTTACCGAGCCACTGGATTTCTCATCTGCCGGTTCCCGTTCGGAGTATCAGTACTCGAACGTTGATACTGAGGATTCTGCCGGTACTAAGAGCTATCACCACCCGATCCCTGGATTAACCAAGGGCTACCGCCGTGATGGTCGCGAGGAGCGAAGCCACCGCCGCCGTCGTGATAGTCTAAGCGACAGCGACTAAATGTGTGATACAGCGACGTTCAAATTACGTTTCGCCTTTTTCTTAGTTCTGTGAGGACAATGATTTGATGTACTGGATATACGGCCTCGATAATGGAAGGTTTATGGGAATTTTCTTTGATTTTAAGCGTTGATCTGTTGGATCAGGATAACTATGGGATTTACTGGGAATGTACATAACGAATGAAATTGATGATGGAATGGCATGAATTCTATCAATTGCAGCATATCTTACGTTTCACTTTGCATTCACATGCTTCACGCAATTGTACGCCGCATGACATAGGACTGCTTCTAAGTATGTAGACAAAGATATGAAAACTTTTGGGCAAGCACTCTGTCGCGATCAGCATAGCGACACCGCGGAAAATTGCAAGATACAGATCATTTATAAAGATCAGAATAAAGCCATACTAGCCACAGAGTCTAGAATTCCATCTCATTTCAATTCAATTATCGAGCTCTGACTCATCTGAGTCTTCATCAATGCCTGCCTGATCACCCATGCACTGTTGAGGCTTCATATAGTAATGAAAACGAACGGCGCCGTCTCCATCTTCTTTCTCCCAGTCATCCTTGTCACATTCGTCGAGAGCATCGATACTCACCCCATGAGTCTTCAGCAGGCTAACTATATCCTTAAAGCCTTTCATCTCAGCAACAAACAGGCCAGCATTCCCATTCTCTGGAGCTTCCACGCCACAGAGAAGAAATTGAACCATGGAACAGTCCTCTTGTAACACAGCAAGTTTCAAAGCTGCTTTCTGGGATCGCACATCCAATTTCAGCAGAAGAGAAATGATATCCCGACGGTCATCTTCAACGGCACGGTATAACGGCGAAGGTGTATATAGCTGTGGATCAGCACCACGCGCGAGCAAATTGCCGACCACTTCGACGTGTCCGTACTGTACAGCTGTAAATAGAGGCGGGTTATCAATAGGAACTTGAAACCCGATACTATGGAATCGTATCCTGCGTTTTGGAAGTGGATTTTTAAAATGACCTCTGTAGAAATTGACCTGCGCGCCAAAATCCAGCAGGATCTCGATGACCTTGATATGACCGGCTTGAGCAGCTACTACCAGGGCATGCTGGATATTGATGATAGCCAAAACAGAGTATCCTTTTGAAAGAAGAGGATGGGCGTAGATATCTCTCCAGTAAGGATCTTCTTCACAGGGTTCCTCCTCCTCCTCCTCCTCCTCCTCCTCCTCTTCTGAGTCCTCCTCTGAGTCATAATAACGATCCACCTGGGACCTCGGCCCACGGGTCGCTTCTCGGGGAGGTGAGTGATCCTCATTGTGGGCAGCCTGTAATCCCTGTAAGATACATCTGATGTGGGGAATGATGTTATGCTCTGAAGCAGCAGAAATGGCCGATCCGTGGTTATACCGAGCATTCCAAAGGCATAGACACTTTCTGAGCGCATGATATAGATGCCGATTCGTTCTAATCAAGGCGTAAGTGTCTCTCTGGTGCAAATAAGGGAATGCAATGATCCATAGAATTTCGGGAGGCAGTTCAGAGAGGCCCATTTTGATATGGACAACCAGAGTCGAAAACACACAAGATTCGGATCGGCCGGAAGTGATGCCCAGGTGGCTTTCAAGTTCAACTTGAAATTGTTTATTTGGCCCCAGGCTCGCAAGCCACTAGTCTCGAAAAGGAAATAGAGTATATTGTACGGAGTAGATCTCCTACACAACTCGGGGTATATAAGGCAACAACATATTGAATCAGTGAACGACAATTTTGTTTCATCCTGAAATCAGATAATACTAGTACTTAGACCACCTTTGTGGACCCACACTGTCTGTATCAGTATCGCCTGGATGCTCTGATTCCTCGTCTTCGCTAGACGCGTCTGGGACGTAACCTTGTACTACAGGTGGCCGAGCACTCTTAAGTGGACACCCCAAGTCATTATGTGAACACCCCTCTGGCTAGCTTAGCAAGGTGCTGTATATGTATTACCAGATAATGTTTAGTTCTAATTACAATGTTACTGTTCATCCACACTTTTTAGATATTAGGTATAGGCCACGACTAGTACAACCTACACTCAATCAACACTGAAATAATTAATTTTGGAATAGAAAGAACCTTGGAAACGGTCTCTGTGCATTGTTTAGATCTAGATCTAGCCCTGTTCTCTATGTCCTACACTCCCTAGTATACCCATACCATTAGCATACCTTCTAAAGAGTGTGTATGAACTGCAACATTTAATTAGGACTGAACACAGTATAGTAATACACATACAGGACTTTCCTAATTAGTAGGGGGGGGGTGTTCACATAGCGAGTTGGGATGTCCACTTAAGAGTGCTCAGGTGGCCGAGCATGGTCCGAAACTGGAAAGATATAGCGCCGACAATCGCATCTAGCACCTCTCTTCCTTGGAGTTGCTAGGTTTCTAGTCTGGGGGAAGGCCATAGCGGATCTAGAGGTAATCATCACTGATTTCAAATTCAATAGGGTTAGATAACATTCAGCATACCAAGAAATAAGAGGATCTTAATAAAGATACCTTCGCACTATAGACCTCAAAATAGTCCGGATTAGGTTACTATGCCTGCCATGCCTCAGGGTTAGCCTCCGCCGCATCCACCGCCGCATCCTCCTCCTCCGCCGCATCCACCACCACCCCCCCCTCCTCCCCCTCCTCCCCCTCCTCCTCCTCCTCCTCCTCCTCCACCACCACCACCACCGCACCCTCCGCCAGCGGTCCCTCCTCCACCACACCCTCCTCCACCGTACCCTCCTCCACCGCACCCTCCTCCTCCTCCCCCAGAATACCCTGCGTATAGGTATCTACGCGTTGGTTTATATGTATCCGCCCACGTCTGTAGGTATGCCCTCCCGCCGTCCACCATATCCACAATGGGATGCATACAGGGCTGTACCTCTGACGGCACGATCGAGTACCACGACCCGTCATACCGGTCTTCCTGGTACTGCTGCTGATCATCATGGTTATCCCCACCATCTAAATTGAACTGCCAGATCGCCTCTGTCGCTAAGGTCACCTCAGCCGCGAGCTGCTGCTCTAGGAGCTGCCTCGCCTCCTGTGCCTGCTCCCATTCCTTCTTGCAGTGGAGCTTCTGCTCCTGTGCCACCTCATATTCGAGCCTGAGAGTCCCCACCTCGCGCTGCTTGTGCATATACTCCTCCACCAGCAGCCGGTGTTTATCTTCCAGTTCCCGCAGCTGCTGCCTTTGCAATCGGCGGTAGTAACGCAGTTCGAGTAGCCGCAGTGCCGGCTTGACCGACTCTTTCGCTGTCTCTACGTCCGCTACCGCCGCGTTGAGCGTGCTCACCGCAGTATGTGTTTTGCGCATGCTGGCGTGTTTGGCTGCGAGAAGGTCGCTTGCCTCGTCGAGCTCTTTCTTTATATCTTGGTGGCTGTAGTCGTACGCAGCCAGTTTGGCTCCTATGGCCTCCTGCTTCTGCTTACACGTGGCTTTACGTCGTTCGATCTCTGTATTCTTGGCCATATTTTCCGGGTCAAAGTAGGACTCGCCGTACCGTATCGCCCAGAGGCGCGCCGTGTCATCCTCCCCCGTGGAGCGGCTTGCCGTGTGGATGGTATCGACGTGGTTAACCCGTCGCCCTACGTGCGTCTCACAGTACTTGTTGTACGCGGCTGGTGAGAGCTGGTGAGTGTGCCAGAGAAGATCGATGTCGAGCGTCGGGACAAGGGTTGATTTACTCTCTTTTATGAGCTGCAGGAACTTAAGATAGCGGAAAGTATGGTCCGAAACCAGGCCTTGAACCTGGGTCAAGGCCAGAATCCGGTCCACAAGACCTTGCTTGCCAAACTGTCGTTGAGGACTGTCCCATAGGTCAAAAACAGGGAACCCGAACGCAACACGGGAGAATTCAAGCAGGGCTGTAGGTTTGGCTATAGGCTTGGTCTCTCTGTTAGTGAACGTCGTCTTACAACCTGGACAGATGAGATTGGCTCGGCCAACCCGGTATTTGGACCATTCATTCATTGGGATGACATATGTTTCCTTGTTCTTGCAGTGCTTCGAACCACACTTATAGCCGTGGATGTCTAAAACATTCTCAGCAGTGATGTATGCGTGATCTCCATCAGGAGTAAACTCAACAGTCTGATAAGGGATATTGGGATACTCGTTCATCCATGCAAGTTTACTTGCATTATCTGTTTCGACTGCGCGCATTCTTGCAAGAAGAAATTCGATCTCTGCTCTCCAAAGAATCTGGAAACTTGACGCGATGTCGCTCTCGAATTTGAATGGTGAGAGGAGATGAGCATAAAATATGATGGCCACGTCCCTGCCAAAGGATGTTAGCACTACTACTACATACCCCCCTTGCCCTAAAAGAGCAAACAACACGGAAATTTGGATTGTCACACCATGGTGGGAGCGGCCACTCATTCTTAGGTGTTTTGACGCCATGAGACCCAATCCAGCTTTCCAACATTCGAAGGTACCTCGAGTACCGGACCTCAGCGCTCATAAGCAGGCATTGTACTCTCCATTTACCCTCTTGTTCCTGACCTGAAACGCCGCGAGGAGGGGGTGGGAATCTATGCGTGTAATTACCAGGTTGCTCCGCATCCTCCAAAATGCGTTTGAATTTTCGCATGATCGCGAGATGGTCCTGGACAAGGTCAGACGGGGCTCGCATCGCCTGAGCATCACCTAGGTAAAATGAGAATAATGACGCACCGCAACTCGCTCTCTTGAGCTAAACTCGGGGTTTTCCGGGAGCGTCACCGGTAAAGTCGCCATGTTTAAAGGTTGCACTGCACCTCTTTCAGCGGTCGCAAGGGATGATGTGAGGACCGTAGATCTAGGAGAAGGTTAAGATAGGATGACGAGATATAAGTAGTATTATCTATACGAGTGCCCAGGTGCCTGCGCCACACTTTTTAGGCTACACTTCGTAAACACAGATGCCACCCGGGCAAACTTCGTATAAACCCCATTAACCGTTCCCAAAATAGAATATTCTCCGCACGGGGTTCTCTCTTCCGTACTAGTAAGGCTCATTTTATTATTGTCTTTAATACTACTACCTAACTAAGAACCTTGGCCCAAATCAGCGAAGCAGTCAAAGATCGTAGAAAGCGCCCCGTGTGGAACACGCTCGTACACTCGAAAAGCCTAACTTTACCGCTATTGCGCGTGATTTCGATGAGTCGGCAACCTCGGTCAGAAAAGGAGGCACCTAAGACGCTTAACGATAGTTAGGAGCAAGCTCGAATACGATGGATGACCTATTTTGATGAAAAGCATATTGCCCCGAACCATAGCGAAGCCCAACAAGCAGCAAATCATATTTTACTCCGTTACCTAAGACTAGATATCACCCTGTGAGAGGTTAATCGCGAATGTTCGCGTCGGCTTATAGCGCACCTGCCCTCTAGCTGGCACAGATGAATCACTTCCATTCGGGTAAACTGGTTGAATAGTCCAGTTGGAAAGCTCACTCTACATGTTATGTACTGCAACAGGTGAAGGTCTTCGAGAATACCTCACGAGGTGGAAATGCTTGACGAATTCCAGACAGATGGCCAGAAGGTGGAATGGAGTCTAGTCATTATCTGTCGGACAATGAAAATCGAAACATGTCCTATGCTCATAGAGGAACATCACCACTTCAACATGGCCAGATCGTGAAGCCGTAAAGAATGGGGTCCAGCCATCATTTGTTACCCGATGAAGATCGACATCCCCGCTATGCTAAATGGCTTGTGCCTTGCTTGGTCTTAGGTTCCAGGGAACACTCAGGGCCGTTATGACTAGAGTCACTCACATCGCGAGTTTCTGGGTGTCCTAGCCTGCCTCCTCCGCAATTGCTTGTGACAAGTCCTAATGTCTAATCAGACACTCGAATCCGATATGTACTATTTGGGAGAATTCTCGATATGCTTACAAGAATACTTCGACAAAAGTGGGTGATAACGCAAGCTTAGTACACAAGAGAGATAAAAATTTTCTCTTTATTCAGATAAGCCTTTGCTAACTTCTAGCTCATCGTGCACATTACCTAGGGTACCCATGCAAATCAACTTATCCAAGTGGGGAGTTGGATGGATCCACACCCCTTGATCCCACAGCAATACATTTCAATACTCCGATCTCCATTTTGATAGTCAGCGGTATATTCCCGATTAGATCCACTTTGTATCCACTCGGTTCATTTCTATCTTACTTTAATGGCTTACCTAGGCAATCTGGACTCGATCTCGTATTTTCTCGGTGGAGTCACCGACTGACTAATCGATTATGCACGACTAGCAAACGAATCAGACTAGTGACTCAATTCTTATCTCGAACATTCTTCCAATTTGAGGGGTTGCAAGAATGTAATTCCAAGCTTGAATTATCCTTCTGCACCTGCGCATCTTTCTCGTTTCTCGGGCAGAATCCCACGTGGGAGACTTGCGGTGCATTTAAGGTGATACAGATACCTCGGCATTGACTATACCTACTCACCGCGTCTCTTCACTCCTTCTCCTCTTCTTCTTCTACTTTTCAACCTTCAATCCACGGTAAATAATCGCCCCAATGGGCTCAAATATGTCTCCAGCATTTCCCCCAGTGGAGTCTTCCGCCCAGGGCCATGAAAGCCCCAGTGATGAACCGATCGTTGCCTTTTCACAAGCGCAAATCAAAGAGGCTACACAGCGCGAGCACGACATGTCCATTCCAACTGCAATCCGACTCTATTCAAAAGCAGTCTCATGGTCCATTGTTCTCTCAACAGCGGTGATAATGGAGGGATACGACCTCTTGCTAATTTTCTCGTTTTTCGCCTTCGAGCCCTGGACGAAGAAATACGGCCAATTGCAACCGGACGGAACCTACGCCTTATCCGCAGCCTGGCAATCGGGACTCAACAACGGCGCATCCGTCGGCGAAATCATCGGTCTGCTATTAAACGGATTCGTGGCAGAGAGATTTGGATACCGCAAAACCATGATCGGCGCTCTATTCCTGACCATCCTTTTCATCTTCATCCCATTTTTTGCGCCGAATGTCGAGGTGTTACAGGTTGGGTTGATCTTGATGGGCATTCCATGGGGTATTTTCCAGATCCTCCCTGTCTCCTATGCATCTGAAGTCTGTCCTGTGGCTCTTCGGGGCCATCTTACGGCCTACATCAATCTCTGCTGGGTCATTGGTCAGCTTATTTCCTCTGGTGTTCTGCGATCGCTGCTTCACCGGACGGACCAGTGGTCTTACCGGATTCCATACGCTCTACAGTGGATGTGGCCTGTTCCCTTGATCGTCGCAATCGCATTCGCGCCTGAATCGCCGTGGTGGTATATTCGACGTGGTGATAAGAAGGGGGCCAAGTCTGCTCTGCGATCACTCACGGCCCGCAAGAGAGACGATGCGGTCGATCTAGACGCGGCCGTAGAAGTCATGGCCTATACCAACCAACTCGAACAAAAAGTCGTCAAAGGCGCAAGTTATATCGACTGCTTCAAGGGCCACAATCTTCGCCGAACGGAAATCTGCTGCTTCACTTCCATTACCTCGATCTTCTCCGGAACAACACTGATGGGAAACTCGACCTACTTCTTCGAGCAGGCCGGCATGGACCCGTCAAACGCATTCGACCTCACAATGGCCCAGTACGCCGTCGGCATCGTCGGCATCGTACTAGCCTGGTTAATAATGGCACGTTTCGGCCGCAGACAGCAGTATCTCTCGGGCCTCTTTCTGCAATTCATTTTCCTGATCGGCATCGGAATCACCGGCGTCGTTGACCGCAGCAATAAAAAAGTTTCTTGGGCAACGGGCGCCCTGTTGATCGCCTTTTCGCTCGTCTACCAGTCCAGCGTCGGCCCGCTTTGCTACTCGATCATATCCGAGATGTCCTCTGTCAGACTTCGCGCCAAGACAACCAGTCTAGCCTGGAATGTCTATAATATTTTCAAAATCATCAACGGCGTTTTAACGCCCTATATGATTAACCCGACAGCATGGAACTGGCAAGCGAAAGCCGGCTTCTTCTGGGGTGGTCTTTGTCTGCTTTCTTTTATCTGGGCGTTTTTCCGACTACCCGAAACGAAAGCGAGAACGTATGCTGAGCTTGATATCCTGTTCGAGCGGAACGTGGGCGCTCGGAAGTTTGCGATCACCTCCGTCGACCTTTTCTCTCGCAAGGTACATGAGTCTCAGGAGGAACTCCAAGAAACGGGTGAAACCGGCAATGACCCAAGCCATTTTTCGCAAAGTGAGCGCGGAAATAAAGGGTTGGTTGGGATCACACAGTCGGTAATATAATTACCCTATAAACGCGGCTGATCTTCGTTTGCTGTGGACAAGCAGGTTAGCCCCTCTAAAATGAGTGAATGCGGAAAGGGCCTGGGGGTTTCTTATGATAACGAATAAGCATCAAAATCAGATATAAAAAGCGCCATTAGCTCCAAGAAAAGACTTTAAGGGTTCTCTTATTCAAGTTCCAGTCGAAGTAAATCAAGCATTCGCTCTAATTAATTAAGCTTTTATCCTCACAAGTTAGCCTCAAAAAGTCAAATTGAGCAGGCATAGAAATCAAAATTGGCCTTGGTAAAGATTAGCCTCCACATATACCCCGACCATGAAATCACAATTTCCTACCTCTACCCACCAGGTACAGTTGCCCAAAGCGTTGGTGACCCAGGGCAGAGGTAGAACCAACCAATCAGTGATGTCATTCAATAAACTGCAAAATCTTCGGAGAAGCTGCTGGCCGACCTGCCCGATTAGGTAGTTGAGAGCGCAGACGAATGTCATCGCCAAGGACAGGACAGCTCTGTCATCGGGATTCGCAGATATAAAGAGGATAGATTCGCTGCATCATGCTTGAATCTCATTCCAATTCTACTACCCCAACCCCGGACTCCTCTCTTCCGCATAGACAGACATGGCGCAATCCAAAGAGTGGCAGAAAATGCTCCGAGGCGAACTCTACTGGGCATGGGACGAAGATCTACAAGCAAACCGCACCCGGTGCAAAAAGGCCTGCGACGAGTTCAATGCTGCTGGATCCGCTTCCCGGCGTCGCAAGGTAGAATTATGGCGCAAGTAAGTGTGGTGGTGCCTGCGTACAACTCCAACTTGGAATGCTTGCTGCTGATATTTGTCCTCTTTGCTCAGTATTCTCATGGATACTCGACCCATGCCTCCAATGCATCCCGATCCCAAGGAAGACGAGGCTCTATTCGAAGAAACAGATCCATTTGTGGACGGTCCGATCTCTGTGGACCATGGATTGAATTTTAAGGTCGGCAAGGGTACTTTTCTTAACTTCAATCTTCTCGTTCTTGATACGTGCCTGATCACTATTGGCGAGAATGTGCTTTTTGGACCTAATGTTTGTATCTACGGCGCGACTCACCCGATGGATCCTGCTGTTAGACGAGGACTGAAAGGGCCTGAGGGGGGTAAGGAGGTTCATATTGAGGATGATGTTTGGATTGGTGGGAGTGCTATTATCTTGGGCGGTGTTCGTGTTGGGAGGGGGAGTACGGTTGGAGCTGGGTCTGTGGTTACTAAAGTAAGTCAAATGATTCTGCTGACAGGGTGTCCATCTCTCTTATTGATAGAACTAAAGCTGACTATTGATTGATGTTATAAAGGATGTTCCTCCGTTTCATTTTGTTGCGGGGAACCCAGCACGAGTGATTCGTCGGATTGAAAGTGAAATGGATACAGAGCAATGAATAATGGATAATAGATAGAAATTGATAGACTTGATTCTGTTGATTGCCTTGACAGCTTCCAATATCTGTATAGTATACCCTATAACTACCTTGAACCCTACCTTACCTGAGCAAACCAGAGATAAGATAAGCCCCTCTGCCCCGCAGATCGACATCGCATCGCATCGCATCGGCCAAAGTCTTCAACTCCAACTCTCCCCTCCTTCCTTTACCCAACCTAACCCAACAGCATGGCCTCCCAACCGATAACCTACATAGTCGGTATATCCGGCCCCTCATCCAGCGGCAAAACAACCCTAGCCCGCCTCCTCCACCAAATCTTCTCCGACCTCACCACCGGCCAGGCCAACAAACTACACACATTCATAATCCACGAAGATGACTTCTACCACCCAGACAACAAGTATGCACCCCATTCCTCCCTCCCCCAAGCATTGAACCTCCCTAATACCCCCCAGAATCCCCTACATGACCCTCCCATCCGGCGCCAAAATCCAAGACTGGGACACACCCACCGCAATAAACACAACCGCCCTCTCAAACTCCCTCACCCACGTCCAAAAAACAGGCCACCTGCCCCCGACCCAATCGAGCAAAGAAGACCAAAACACATCAGGCCCGCCCGTCGTCCCAGAATCCCTCATCGCGGAACTGCGCTCGCTGGTCCAGACCCGATTATCCTCGACCTCGACCTCGACCGCGTCAACACCTTCCTCAATCGCTTTTCTGGAGGGATTTCTCCTCTTCGCGCCGCCGGTAGATCAGCCCGGGAAATGGGCTGATTCGCACCCCTCACGACCTATCCATGAGAAAATTCATCTATCGCTTTTCTTGCCTGCGGTCTATAGTGCTGTGAAGGTGAGGAGGGAAGGGAGGGATGGGTATGTTACCATTGGCGAACAACCTGCTCCGGGACCGGGGAATTTATCCTCGACTGAATCTGAATCTGGGTCTTTACCTGTTGAGAAAACGGGTGAGGGTGGGGATAGTCTTGATGGCCCTGCTGAGTTGAATTTCTGGGTCGACCCGCCGGGTTACGTGGATGATGTTGTTTGGCCGAGGTATTTGAAGTATCATGACTGGTTGCTTGTTCCGGTTGATCGGGATGCGGCTGAGAGGGGGGATTTGGTGGAGGCTTTTGGTGAGGGGGGAAGTGTTATACTGATGTTGGTGTGAGCGTTGCGCCAGGGGAGGGGGCTGTGGGGATGGATGTTGTGCTGAGGTGGGCTGTTGAGGAGGTTTTGCGGGGTTTGGCTGGGCATTGTTAGACTGGGGTGAGGGTGAGATAGAATAGAGTTGGCCTGCAAGTTTGTGATACCGGGATGTTTGCTTTTATACACATTTCTGGCTTTCATAGTCATGGTAGCTATTGGGTGTAGCATTTAGTAGGACCTGGAGTCAGAACCTTTGAAACTACCTATTGTAATGACTATTCATCCGATTTTAACCCTTGGAAGCAATGCTACTCATATAGAGTAGCTCAGTAGACACTGGGTGTCAGAATAAACGAAATAAAAGCACAGGACTAAAAACTAAGCTCACGCCACCGGTCCCCTCCACCCGAGGAAGTAGTCAATTTTATCCCGCAAAGGTCTAGCAACGAGTCGAATATCCGACTCATTCTCACTCGCCGTCTCGGAAACAGATTCCTTGCTCATATCTACGAGCACTTGTGCTTCGTCAACCCCAGCTTCGTCTGCGAACAATGCGAAGGAACAGTGGTGTACACCAGGCGGATTCTCCCCTACCTCACAGTGTAGCTCATATGCACCAGGTTTAGCTCCAGCCTCAGCTATGGCATCGGCTAGGGCTTTGGATTCGGGCTCGATGCCAGAGCAGACATGCAAGACATTCGGATGATTGGGATCTCCTTGCGCACACGAAATTTCTGAAATAGGAGTTCCCAGAAAAGGAAAGGGCACCCCCATCTGATAGCGCGTCCAGCAAAAGAAAAGAAAAAAGAGGACATAGTATATGCGAAGGCAATGTTCGAGGTACCTCCACCAGCGATGTCGTGGTTTGTTCGTGAGAGTAATGGAAGGGATCTCCACTTTCGTTTCAGGGAGGATGAGGAATTCCATGCTCGAGCCCTTGTAGATCGCTTCGACTTTGGCACATTCGGGATCTTGAGTATCAGTGGCCTGCTCGAGCAATTCAACCTCAATGTCAGCCTCGGTGTGCTCGCTCGATTTGATACGAGGCATTCTGATCGGTGATCCTTTGGCAATCTTGACTACCCACGTGATGGCAAACTTATCAAGATTCGATCGACCAGCCATGATCTCCACCCTAGAAACACCGATTGCATTGTCATTGCCATGGTGCTGGAGATGGATATCTTGAAAGCCCGGTTTCTGTAGCGAGCAGAAGAACTCCCCTTGAGGGCCGCCGTGGATATAGAGCCAAATTCCACACTTCTCGGCCCAGAAATCAGTTTGGATGAGATTGATAGAGCAGATAGCGTGATATCTGACGAGACGAATGGATTCATTGTCTGACAGAATATCCTGGACGATTTCTTGACTGACATTGAAATCCTTGAGGTAGCCGAAAAAATTTGCCAGACAGGGGCGAAGTGGTAGAACGAGTCGAGACGAGATGAGCATCTGACCCATGAGACAGCCCTCAATGATCTTGTATCGTTTCAAATGACTTGTGCGGAATTCCAAGCTGAGCTCCTGTGGAATTATAAAGTACACATAACCATATTCATCCGGCGGCAATCGCGGCAAGCCAGGGACAAGGAGTTCACGCCAACCAGGTCGACCATCTTGAAGCGGTACCGAAAGCGTGATTTTGACCATATAAACTGCGGGCTCCATACCGGAAGGGGTAACGATGTAAAACTTTCCCGCGGTAAATGTAAGGCGTGGCTCTGGTTCTCTTTCGCTCTCATCCGTGCTATTGTTATCAGTGATCCAAATGGGCAGTGGCTGCACAAGAACAGCAGCGCCGGACTGGCCAGGGCTAACACTGAAAGAGGCATTGTCCGCAATGTCCGAATCTCCAGGCAGACCGGTGAAGTCACACGGACTTCCAATATTTGCAACGGTGGAAAGCTTCTCCAGATCAGACTGGGTTCGAGCCTCTGCGTCGTGAGCCTTATGATTGGATTTGGAAGGTGTGACAGGAGATCGCGTGGACAAGCATACAATGGGACTTCCATCTTTATGCTTCAATACCCGACGATCCAGACCGACGTCTTTTTCAGTGCCCTTCTTTTTGGGTTTGCTGCCTTTGAACAGCGGCGAGATATCATTTTCGAATTGGCGGAAGTCGGCTTCGATAATAGGCGTGTACTTGCCTCTCTGTAGCGAAGGGGGCAGCGAGGGTGGCATCGAGCCCTTACTAGACTCGGAACGAGACTGACCATGGCTAAGACGGGAGCGTGGACGAGGAATCAAGCTGCGCTGATGAGATTCGGAGTTGTTGGAACTGGTGGTTTGAGAGCGCTTGGCTGGAGACGGCGTCGATGGAATGCTAGGAGGGCCATGTGCACCCTCGAGCTTCTTGCCCCGACTGTACCCTCTCTCCGAGTCTGTTACTGAATCGGGCAATGAGGCAGCCTTTGCGGATCTTTTGCGCGAGAGAAAGGTCCCGAAAAGTGGTCCGCCGCTCTTTTGATCAGGGCTTTCGAATGTCGAACTGAGCTGATCCGAATCTGCCTGGTCTTGATTCAGCTCCCGCCCTTCATCCTTGGGCATGTTCAAAAAAGGCGAACTATCCAGCTCCAATCCATCACAAAACGGATCAACAAGGATATCGTCGCCCAAAAACCCATCCTGATGCAGATTCTCCTGCACAACAATACTCTCCGAGTTCGAGACAACAGACGCACTCTCCGCATCAGGCAGCGAGGAATCAAAAAGACCCGCAATCGACCCAAGCGTCTCAGACTCGGTAATAGACTGAGTATGAGGCGTGGAAATCCTCACGTCGACGGCGGGTGAAGAAGCAGGCACGTCGAAGGGCGGTGGTTCATTGAGGGCGACATCATCGCGAATAGCTGGGACCGACGCATCAGGCTGAGACTCACTCTCGGGCCTTCTCACGAGAGAGAAGTCCTTCACGAAGGATTTTGTTGGTGTGCGGGTGTCTAGTACGAGGAATTCGGTGTTGGGCGTGCACCAGACCTGAGTGTTATACGAGTCAGTTTCGGCTTCGTCAGGGTTCTTTCAGTCGGTTGGAGGATCCCTGATCGGCTAGTTCAGTTCGACTTACATCGACGGAGATGATGATCTCCACGTCTGCTTTGTTGGTTTCTTTCCAGGTGCACCAGACGTCGAGGTTGCTGAAGGGAATGTAGTATGGTGATTTAGGATCCATGTTTGTGTAGATGGAGAGGAAGGAGAGGGAAGGAGAGGAAGAGAGAGGGAGGCGATAGTCATAGGCAACATTCACATTCACATTCACATTCACTTTAGGATGGAGGAGCACCCACGGAAGGAGCCTGAGAGGAGTGGATTAAAAGAAAGGAGCGAACCATCTGATTAAAATGGGAAGAAGAAGAGGAAGAAAAGAGTATATACACACAGAAAAGAAAGAACAGACCACTTTTAAAATAATAATACCATCCTCCCTTCTACCAGCGCCAGGGAAAAAGCGAAGTGTCCAGTAAAACAGAAAGAGGGACAAATCAGAACAGAAAAACAGAAGACCACCCGAAGCCAGAACAGAACAGAAAAGACAAGGAAGGAAAAGACAACAACCAGAGACGTGATATCTAACACCCCGGTCTATCCAGACAGACAGGGAAAATGAACATAGTGTACCAGACCAGACCAGACCATACCGTACCATACCGCAGTGCAAAGCAAAAGCAAAATCCATAGCCAAAGCCAAGAGGACCGGACCATCGAGGTCAATCTAGGCAAAGAGAGGAAAGAAAAAGAGAGCGCAAGTGGAGCCAGGGCCGAGCCAGAACAATAACCAGAACCAGAGCCAAAGAGAATTCCACTTCAGCAAGAACCATCAACGACCATCAATCATCGAGGAGTCCCATTCGCCGAATCCGGATGCTCAAATTTGAATTCCGCAGATCCGGCCGCGGTGCCTTCGGCCCCCATCTGAGAAGGAAGAATCGGTGTGCCCGAGGGTGAGCCAGTCGTACCCGGATCGTAGTATTGTCTCGGACTCCCGTTATGGCTCGGATAACCGCGATTGAGATTCCGTTGGAGCGGGGGGAGGGTGGTTGAGCTCGTACTCGTGGCGTAGGCGGACCGGGGGTATCCCTGAGCCATCATCGCTCCTGTCGAATCCGGGGACTTTGCGTACCCGAGAGAAAATAAATTTAGCCAGGGTTGTTCCCTACACTCACTGATTTGAAGAGGGGTGCCGTACAGGTGTGCCAGGCTGGTTCATCGCCATCAACTGTCCCACGGCCGCGTTCTGCTGCTGGCTGGTGCGAGCTTGCCCGGAGGGATCGGCCATCTGGGACAGCGGAGCTGACGGTGGCATTCCATAGACCTAGGAGGTAGTTAGCTCAAGTCTCTAATCTCTCTCGGATCTCTTCGCCAAATGGGGCCTCATGCTGCACGCAAACGCACCATCCCGTAATCTGGCATCACTTGGCTGCCTGAGTAGCCCTGCATCGTGGGCGTTTGGTAAGATCCTTGTTGGCTGGGGTAGATCGGTGCCGGTTGACCGTACGCATCCATCTGGCGAGCCATTCGATTGTCCTCATAGATGCTCTGTCGACCGTAGTCGATGGAGGTGCGGTGACGCTTGACAGGAGGTTGTTGGTAATAGCCATAATCTGGCCTCGCTGCCGCTGGATAGCCACTGAAACTGGTCGCCGGGGGGGATTCCCTGAACGGACTGACGATCTGGCGACCGCGGAGGAAGGGCCTGTGGGAACTCGTCCTGTCGAGGCGCAGAACGTTTCCTAGGTATGGTAAGCCACTGTCCTGTTCACCTTGGGGAAAGGGCGAGACTTACATCATAGTCCGCGGTTCCTTGCGAATGCGCAGCTTCACCCCTTGGTCTGCAAACGAGCGCGAAAGAAAAGTAGATTCCATCATCCCTGGGAAGTTTTTGGGAGGCGACACTGGAGAGGTCAGCTCAGCACAGCAAGCACCCTCGCGGCGGGAGTTCTTCTTACCTTTGAAGCGGTCTGAAATGATGGTCTTCAGGGTCACGACATTTTGCCTGACAAGTCAAGTTAGTTTCAATTCCTTGCGCTGCACTGAAGTCTCGTCTTGGACCTCTCGACCCGACCGCTCGCGTGACACTTTACTTACTTGCGCATTTCGTACAGGGTGAACTTGAGACGAAAGTCGCCCTCAATTTTCACCGACAGGTCTCCAAAGACGAAGAAGCCACCATCTACCAAGCATTAGCTTGGTGGTTCAGCCGCAGAAAATGAAGCGATCACTTACCACTGTTGTCCACGTCTTTTAGACGGTGAAGGGACGAGACCAGCGTTCCTGCCAAGGCAGTCGATGGCGCGACGGGCACTGGACGATCATCTGACGCATCGTACAGACTGCAGGTCATAAAATAATAAGGACTTTGGAGGTAGTGTCTGGAGCGCCGAGCGCGGGGAGATCAGCCACAATGTTCACACACACAGACGCACAATCGCGCACATCGCCACCTCCCACGCCCGAGTCGGCGCGCAACGGAGGAGAATGGGGGCGATCAGAAAGGCATTGATTGCAATGGGAACCACTTACTGCGCTAAGTAGGAGTCCTCTGGTCGCACCCGGAGCTGGACGATCGGCGGAGGATCGATGGGTTTGCGCTCTGTAGACCGGCCGGTTAGGACGGAGGTTGACGAGGAATCTCGAGTCGTCTGCCCATGACAGGCTCCTGGTGAGAGTCAGAATTAGAATGGGGATCCGATTCGAATCCGAATCCGAATCCCAATTCCAATTCCAATCCCAATCCAGATCTCGGGCTAGCCCATGCCAATCCAACCCAAGCCACCCCACTTTGCGATGGGATGAGGGGAGAACTGGAACGTGCTCGCGGCCGACGGGCAGATCAGAGGCGAGCAAAATGGATGAGAGAGACAACGTACCTTTCTCCTTGCCCCCAGCCACGCGCGCCCGGTCGGGCTGCTGGCGAATGGTCAGGTCAAAGTCACTGTCGTTGGACAACATGGTCAGTTGGGAAGCCTGGAGCAGCGAGTAAGAGTTGCGACCCAGTCAAACGAGGGTGGGGGAAGTGTGGGTGATCAAGGTGTGTGTGAGTGAGTGGAAGATTAAGAAATAAAGAGAGAAAAGGTGAAAGAGGTGAGAATGTGATAATGAAGCGGGCGCAAGGGCCGTAGCAGTGGCAGCAACAGCAAGAGGAATAGTAACAAAAAAGAACTTGAAGAGTAGAAATTACGAACCTCTGTGCTTCGCGCGAGAGAGAGGCGTCGTACGTCGATGCACTCATCAAGACGACGGCGAGGTGGAACCAAAATCCGACAGTAAGCTTAAGCCAAGGTCAAGTGAACCACGGCGGACAGATGGATGGATAAGAGTATGGTAGAGGGTTAAGTTAAAGGGCAGTTGGGTTGACAGTTGGGTAGAGTGAAAAGGAAGAAGAGCTGTGGTGGGGAGATGAAAGGTGCGGGATGCGCGGACTACCATGGATGGTAGTTTGACGGAAACGGTGAGGTGGAGAGTGGTGGTAATGGTAGAGAGTGACAGGTGCAGTAGTGGAGAGAAGAGTAAGAAGAACTTGAAAGGTAAGAGTAGAGTAGAGTAGAGTAGAGTCGAGTAGAGTAAGAGTGGTGTCGTCAACGCAAGCGGAAGTAGCAGTGTGTGTCGTAGTAAGTAGGAAGGAGTACTATAGCAATGGGTGGTGATGGTAGTCACTACCTGATAGTCACTGCACTGCACTGCACTGTACTGTACTGCACGGTATACCAAGTAGCTCTGCTAGCTCTCGGCTCTGACTCTCACTGCTCACTGATCACTGCTCCCTCACTCCTCTCGTACCTGCAGATAAATCGAAAAATCAAAGCTTCAGCGCCTGAGGCACCAGAAATCGGCCCGGTCTTAGTGTCTGACCTTTCCTCCAATGACAATCTCCAGAGACCCTTTTTCAGAACACTCTCAAAGAAAATTTTCCCTTTTAATCAGGTGGAGCACAATCGAGACTCGACCGTTTGTGGAGGGATGGAGACAAGGAGGCCACTTCTTTTCTCAGCCTTTCTCAGCTCCGGCTCAGCTGGTGTCGACCACGGTCCACGGTTCAAAGGCCCACTCTTAGCCTTTGCTGTTCTGCTTTGGGGGGGTTTTTTTATCCCAGTTTAAATTTTCGGGGGGGCGAATTGGCTGCGCACGTCGATCCGGAATGATGCGCACATTCGCTCGGCCGAACCTTAGCGGTACTGCGATACGGCGGTACTGCGGTACTGCGGTGCCCTTTCGGTGCGAGCTGGTTGCTTCTTCCCCTGCAAGGCTAGGCTCGGCTTGATCTGGTAGGGTAGGGTGCTCCAGATTATGGAACTAGTCACCGTTGAGTAGTTCGAGTTCCTGGATTCGCGGCTATGCAGGTGATGGCAAAGTGGACTCGGCCCCTGGTCCGGCGCCTAGCATTCCAGTCCCGGTGGACACGGTGGAACACACAGAAATACCGGACAGGACAGCTCAGCTCAGCTCAGCACCCGGAAGTGACAGGAAGATGGCTGTACAGTATGCTGTATTCACTGTATGCTGTATGGTGTATGCACTGCCGGGATAGAAATAGTACTCTGTAATCCGTACTGATGGACAATATGCTCGGCTCTCGCCTCTTCCCTGTGGCAATTCGCAACTCGCAACCGCAAGTCGCAATACCGGGCTCAACTCGGCAGATGACCCACTAGTCACTAGTCACTAGTCTAGTAGTCGATGGCGGAGAAAGGAGGCGTGTGCACCCCCCTTGGATCCCCCGCTTCGATCGAGATGCTAAGGTCGGGTTAGCCTGGTTCCTTTAGCTTTATCACAGTGCAAGCCACGAAATCGTAATCATTAGCTTACTGCTGAGTCCGGAGCACAGGGCCGTAGACTCGACTCGACTTTGAGTTGACTTTTGGAGTTATGTCATCCGATGTGATATCGACGGAGCTGCCCTGCGAAGAAAGGGGCTGCACTTGCACTCGGACTTGGACTCTCTCGCAAACTCAACTCTCCTTCCCCATAAACTGAATGAGATGCGCTTTCTCACCTTTTTCTCTTTGTCGATGAGTGTGGGGGTGGGCTGGGCATGAGCCTGATGTGATGCGATTCGATGTGGTGTCAAGTTGATGCGCGTCTGTTATTTCACCTGATCCAAGGCCGTGAAGTTATCGCTCAGTGATTGCGCTGCTTTCCGACCTCAACCACTGGTGGACTCGACTTGATAAAACGATGCGATATTTGCGATAGATTCGATTCGATGCGATGCGATGCGATGCGACGCGACGCGACACGATTCAATTCCCCCCCCACTGCGATATAATGCGATGCGATCGGATGCGGCTCAAGTTCAAGCTCAAGCTCGGTTCTTGTTGTATACCTCAACCAACCCTCGAGGCCCCAAACCAAAGTCACCCCCACGATAATGAATGACAGACGGAAAGTCGAATAACCGTTAATCCCAACCCGCGATCGCAATACACTCCGGATAAAGACGAATGAGGGTATCGTTCGTGTTATTCCCTTAAAGAACGGGAAAGTGGGAAATCAAATGAGGCATCCCGGACCATACTGTGAGGTGAGGCGAGGCAAAACGAGGCGATGCAAAGAGTCGAAATCTGTCAAACCAACCCAAATCGTATCCAACCGAATCAAACTGCGCGCGCGACAAAAACACAAAGTCAAAGCCAAGGATTAAAGCAGGGAAAACAAAAATCTAAAAAAGGGACAAGGGTATTATACAGACAAATAAGAAAGAAAAAAGAAAAGAAAAAAAAGGCCGCAAGAATCAGATCAGGGCAGACAGAGCACGAACCCTCCTGCAGAAATGGGGGACTCGAACTCGATGCGTCACATTGCGCCTGCGATATGCAGGCTGAGATCCTGCAGTGAAGTTCAAATCAGTTCGGTCCAGTCCAGTCGAGTACATACACTGCTATGTGTACATACGGAGGACCCGGTACTCCGGTGATCCAGATCCAGATCCACCGCACCTGTCACGTCACAGCGTGGTATGGCTATGATTTGTTTAGAAGCCTTACTTAGATTTGGGCCCAAGATCTCTAGACGAAAGCCGAATGGAAAAGAAGAACAAGAACGCTACGCCCTCTGGTCCGGGGAATGACCGAGCACACCTGCGCGATCGGGCATCGTGCATCGTCATCACGACTTCTCGCCCATCGAGCCCTGCCATAGGGCCAGATAATAGGAGAGGGGTGTGCGGGGCTGGCTGGTTCGGGGGCGCCGTGTTTGCAGATCAGTTGTCTTGTCTTTCTTTTGGCTTTGCGTTGCTTTGTTTCCGACGAGGCTGCCTGTGCTTTTTTGCTGGAGGTCTGAATGGACTACAGTACATACAGTACGTCGCTGCGCCACACATGTATGAGTGGCATGCATCGCATCGCATCGCATCCTATCCCATCCCAGGGGTGCGGTGCGATGTGATGCGATGCAATGCGATGCTTCCCTCTTGGTTGGTTTGGCTTGACAGCTGGACTGGAGGTACTTTTGTTTTTCAGCCACATCGCCTGCCAACAGGATGGGCCTGGAAACACAAACGCAAACAATACCGTGCTGTACCTACTTTTGCCAGGTTTTAAACCCGGTTCGACCGTTGCGGCACTGTAGTCAGATCAGCTCAGATCACGCCAAACCAAGCCCTCGGCTCGAGGCGCTTCGTGGGGGTGGATGCAGATGCAGTCGAGGAGGGGGAGGACAAATGCGCAACTGGCAGATGCAGCCTGCTCCTGCACCGCAGCTGGATATGGCAAACGGTCCACTTAGAGGCAGAGCTGCATGGCTCTCCGCACCGGGACTGATAGCGCGGGCGATCATGCAAGGGTGACTTGACTTGACTTGGGTTGGATTGGGTTGGGTTGGGATCAGCTGGGTACAGAGATATGTACTCCGTACTATGCTGTACGAAATGTACATCTCCAATTTTCTGTTCCTGAACAGAGAGACATGGCCAATGGTAAATACTCACACCTCACCGACAGATTCGCGGGCAAAGGAAGGGACCCGCTTTAGTCTGGGAATTTCGAATTCTCACCCTGAGGCAGTCCCCGTTCTGCACTGCACTGTACGGATAGAATCCTGCAAGTATTTTGCCCGTCGCAATGATCTTGGCCCAGGCACATGCTGACGCAGATCATAGGGGAAAGCCAAAGTGTCTTCCTGCTCTACTCCTCCCGCAAGAAGAGAACACTGCCAAACAGGCTAAACCCCATGCATTGCGCCGTGTGTCTTCCACTCCACGATGCATGCTGCCGGTAGCCGCCGTGGCCACCTAAGCCTAAGTCTAAGCCTAAGCCTAACCCTGAGCCTGTATGCAGACGCGATGCCATCACCGAACCACCATGCGGGTAGGCCTGAGGATAGCAAGATGGAGCCAAAACTAACAAGGCCCGGTGTGGCTTGGCTTGGATTAGACAGGTCTAGTCTATTTATTCCGGCTGCCCAGATCTGAGCTCCGACTCGGTAGCGTTGTCCGAGAGCGAAGATCCCATAGGCCGGATGTCCAGGAACGAAAAAGAAAAGTAAAAAAAAGGGGGGAGGGGAGTGGGAGAAAAGGAAAAGCAAGACAGAAAAAGAAAAAGAAAAAGACCTGGAAGTACTAGTAGCAGGAAGAGCAGACAGAACACAGGAAATCTCTGACCTCCGAAGTCCCTAAGAACGGGGGAAAACTAGGCCAGGGCGTGGGGATGATGAAGTGGCCCGGGAAATTTAATTAGTGGGAACTTTGTGGCTGTCGTACAGCGAAACGCTGTACAGTGTACAGTTGTCGACAGAGGAGTACGGAGGACTGGTACTAACATAGAAGCACTGATGGATATACGGAGTATCATATCTAATACTGCAATAGTATCTAATATCTAATATCTACTTGCGCAGAGACAATAACTAGTGGTACACTAGCAGTGACAGCGGCATGCCCGTCCAGGGAACCACGGCACCCTGAAACGCTACGCGGTTATGCTTAAATGCGCGTGTTCCGTGGTTTCCCCGCCGATCACTGAGACTCGAGCTATACCTATGTATACATAAATTACTAGTAGTAGCTGCACAAATCTAGAACTTGAATTGCATATCTATTCCACGGTTGCTTCCTCCGAACTATACCATTGTCTTGAGTATACTCTCGACCCAGGTGTCTGACTGGTCGAAATTCTCCGGTCTGAGTGGATCCGGCTCGGCCTCGCCTTCTTCATAAGGTACCCTAGAGTACTGAGTACATAGCCTCCCTCCCCCTTTGGGGCCTGCCCTGCGTGAACAACACCCTTGATAGCACAGGTCAGATCCTGGTTTCACGCTGGGTACTACGCTGTAAGCTCAATCGGATCTACGTGGAAATCTACTCAAATCACTTTAACTTTTCGCATGGACCGGCATTCTTACATTCGTAGGGCGTGTGCCCCGCGTTCGCAGGTTGGTAATTGAGTTTGTCGGCCGTGCGGGCGCTCGGTCCTAGAGAGGGGAGGCTAGCAGTGTATACCTAGACTAGTACTAGTTATCCCTGTAGGTACATAGGTACACTGCTGACATTTGCTTTCGTACATTCTCCTCAACTGTATCTTTAACCTTGCTGGAGACTTGATTTGGACAAGAACTAAGTTTGCGCAACTCAATGTGATCTCATCTCGGGTATGTCATTGGTACGAGCAGTAGATACATACGCACTGACGAGGCGAGGGGCAAAGACTACAGAGTACGACTAGGACACATACATCACAGAGTCAAGTTGGACCTGGGTCCAGAATTTGAACAAAGAGACAAACTCGAACTCGAACTTTCCTCACAGGGGGTGAATACAAGGTGATGAATTAAAAAGAATACCCAACACAAACACAAACGCCGAGCGCCACCGACGCTCCTGGCTGAACAACTAGAAATCCCCAAAAAGTACCGAGCAACAGTGCCTGCGTCCGCAGGTCTTCCTCGGCTGGGTCGACAGTCCAGTCACCCACCATAGTAGCCATGACCCAAGAAAGGGGTAGAAGAATGAAGCTGGGATACAAGAAAATGTCCATGTAAGAAACCAGAATAAAAAGCAAAAGTAGCAAGAGAAGAGGAGGAGGAAGAAGAAGAAGAAGAAGAAAAATGTGGAGAACTAAATGGAAACAGCAGAGACCAAAAAAGCAAAACGCCCTGTCCAGATGCTGCGCGGAGATGCTTCTTATGTCCCCATCACCACGTCGCCGTCTACTTCGTATTCGCCATCAGCGTCCGGGTCGTCTTCACCTTCGGCATCTAGGTCCGGGTCGATGCCGTTGGTATTGGTATTGGTGTTGACCGCAGTCTTGTTCGCTTTCCTGTCGGCCGACCCAGGGTCCACAGGTATGACGACTTGGATCTTCTCGACAAGTGCTTTTCGACTGACTGATTGCGGAGTTTTGGGATGATTGTCGGACTGCTTTCCCCGGGAACGGTGTGAAACTGCTGTGCCGGGGGATTGGGATTTCGATTTCGATTTGGACTTCTTTGGAGTCTTGGGTGGCTGTTCGATTGCGGGTTCTTCGTGTTCAACCCCATTTGTTTCGATCGCTTCCTCTGGCTCCCCTTCGGCGTCGGCATCAGCGTCGGCATCATCATCTTCGTCGGCCATCCCATTGACCTGTTCGGTTGCCTTGCCGGCTTCCGAGGTCTCATCGATGACAAGACCAAGATCCTCAGGGCTAGGGTCTAGCACAGCCTCCTCGTCCATAATTTCATCTTCGTCAGGGTCCACGCCGTTAGTTTGATTGGGAGTTGCCTCTGGGTCTGGCATCTTCGCGCTACGACCGCGGCGCTGAGGGGTGTTGGTCGAAGGAGTGAACAACGGCGGTAGCCCTGACGGTCGTCGAGGAGTATTGCGACCACTAGTTCGAGTGGTGGTCGGGGTCATTGAAGGCCGAGAGGTTATTTTGGTACCATGTGGACGACCAGGCTTGCGTTTGGACGCCGGAGGTACATGCACGGGAGGCCAAAGTTCAAACCGTGCTGCTGGGATACCGGCGGCAGGGTTTGGTATGGGATCCTCATTGTGTTCAAACTCGTGCATGCCGTTGGTTTGCATGAGTGACGTGGAAGGAGGACCAGCGGAATCTCCGAGATTGTCTGCATTAATCCCGTTTAAGGCTAGCTCTTCGTCACTGGTCCCGTTCGCTTTTGTTTCTAATCCGTCCTCTTCCTCTTCCTCTTCCTCGTCGATATCTTCTCGGGGTGCAACAGCGTGGAGAGGGGCACGGTCGAAATGCGTCTGATTGTTCCGACCCATGATGTAAGGAGTCCAAAGCAGTGCATCCGGGTTTAGTGTGACATAGCCTTTGCTCTCCCAATTTTGGATGACCTCCTCGAAGTACTTGGTATCAAGACGGAATGCATAAGTTTTCGTGACAGGGTCCCGTACAAGAGCACGGAGTCCCTCAAGAGCAGACACGAGATCATCGGCGGTCATGCCTGTGCGGTCGGAGAGATCAGCAATACTGATGGGTGTTTTGAGGTCTCGAAGTTGGTAGGATAGGATTAGACGCCAATAGTTGCGGTAGGAAACAAGACCCATATCTGAGAGGGGCTTCTCGGGTGATCCGCTTTTGCCTTCAATGCGGGTGAGAAGATATGAAAAGTCAATGAGGAGGTTGCCGTAACCTTTGCGTTGGTGGATGGGGAGGGTAAGAATACACGAGACATTGTTTGCCGAACTTGGGCGCTTCTCTTTGCTGAAATAGCCAACAAAGTGACATCCAAGATCGTCGTACTCACTCATGACATAAAACAAGAACGGTTCAACATCGTAGTAAAGGGTCTTAGAGCCGAGGAATAGCTTGGCAAGAAGACACAGGTTTTGACAGTAAACGGGGTTCTTTCTTCCGTCAACCTCGAATATCGAGATTGAGCCATCGCGATAGATCTCGTCGCCGGGTGGGTGTTTGGCAGGACACTTGAGCTTGTGTCGCCAAGCGACATAATCCGAATTCATGTATTTGAGGCAAAATTCACAGATATAGAGTACCCGATTGCGGCTATACTCTTCCGGGTAGGGTGCAGCGTACCAGGTCTCGATCTCGTAACCACCAAAGTTGATGTGCTTGATCTTGGAAGGTGGACCAGACACCTTGGCTGATGCAGTCGGTGCCGCTTCACCATTCAGTTCTGCTTCTCGTACACGGCGCTGCCATTCTTCTTCGGCCTTTTGACGGGCCGACTCAAACTTTTCCCGGTCACCCTGTAAGGGCAGAGTCTTTGTTGTGTCTGATTCGATCTCAGTCAAAATGCCGCCGTATGGCTTCTTAGCCTCATCACTGTCTCGGTCATTGATAGGAGCAAAGTAGTTGTGAGGGGCGGGCGGAATCGGGGCGAAATGAGCTTGTAGTTCTTGTGCGGCGGCCGCGGGCTTCGGGACTTTCTTTTTATGACTTCGCTTCGGTCGGCTTTGTGTACTGAGGATCCGACCGACTTTGTTTTCGTCTAGCCGGAATCCAACGACGAGTTTGTGAAATTGCTTGGACACTATCCGGCAATGTTCTCGCTCAACTCCGCGGGTTCGTCTCGGGCGCACCGAGCGGGATTCTTCGGTGGCTACATCACCGCCGTTCTGGAGAGAAACTTCGTTTTCATCCGGGTGATCTGTTTGTCGCCGTCGCTTTCTAAGCACCGGGACATGCTCGTCGGCATCAGCAGATGAAGCTTTCCTCTTGCGTAATGATCGCGAGCTGTTCAATAATTCGTCGCTAATGTTGGTATCGAATATGGAATGAAAATCGGAACCCTCTTTTCCCACATGGGCCGGCATGAGCTCCTTTTTAAGATAGGGAGCTCCGCCCCTAGCGTTTGGCGTCTGAGTCTCGGCGTGGTTAGAGACCGATCGATTGTCACGACAAGGGAGACATTTCCAGGGATCTACGTGTTTCCACGTTAGTGAGTGGGCCCCATCGGCAAGGATCCGGGGCGCCAAACGGGCGTTGTAAAGTTCCACTCACCTTCTGAATCGCCGAATGCTTCTTGATCGCGAGCGCATTGCCGATGAGCTGTCGGGATGCCGGGTCAGCAACCGGTAAACAAAAAACGGGCTAGGGCCGAGGGTGGCTTAAGCTTTGAGCTCCGACCCCCGCATAGATTACTTACAGTGATCGCCACAACCAGTACAAGTGAGCCATTCTTCGAAATCCTCACCTGGATCGTGTTCTTCGTCTTGACTGCAAAACCTGCGAGGCTTGTTAGTCCGAAAGCTAGGCCAACCCTTCATATCCCTTTGGCTGGTTTGCACTCACATGCATATCACACGGCTGCGGTTATCGGCATCTTCTTCATCTTCGCGTCCGTTGCTCTCTGCCTCCCAATCCCCTTCCTCTTCCTCTTCTGGTGCCGAATCGGACTCGGAAGCATCCCGGTCATTGTCATCTTCAAATGCAGAGTCTGCTTCTCCCTCCCCATCAGCAATTCCAGATTCAGCCTCCGAGGACGCATCATCATCTAAACCCTTCACAGCACCGACCGGTTCGGTCTCATCATCATCGTCATCATCACCATCGCCACCTTCTAACACACCCTTCTTGCCCAAGTGCGCCTCATCATTGGCATCTTCCTCGGCTACTTCTCCGGAGTATGATCGATGCACTGCATCTTGAAGCTGCTGGTCCATTTGGTACAGGTCGGTTTCCTCCTCTCCCTCCGCGTCGAGGTCACTGTCAACCTGGTCCGCAGGCGGATCGAGCATTGCCGGATCCTCATTCACTGGCGGCTCTGTCGCCGCCATTCTCAGTGCCACCGCAGCCGCCAGGTCGAACAAAAAAGCCCGTCTCGAGTGACGCGCAGATGCGTTGTGTGGTGGTGTTTTGTCTTTGTTCAAGGACCAACCGAGATAAGCTAGAGAAGCCACCCCGCTCACATCGGTGTTGACCGGGGGTGCATCGGGAGGCTAGGTTGGATCGGCAAAGATCGGGACAGACAGTCGTTGAGTATCAAGCTTTGAAATTGTGCTTTCGATCGCAAGTCAGGTAGGTCGAGCGCAATGTAGCTAGAGAGCAGCAGAGGGTGTCAGTTGGGGTTGGGAGGATGGTTACAGGTCACAAACACGTGTCGCAGGGGGGACTAAAGACCTGATCGGAAGCCCAAACAATCGAGCGCGGAGAGTAGATATGCACAAGACGCGTCGAAGAGTAAATGAGACCGTAAGTCCTTTGACAATCTTCACGAATGCGATGCGCTTTCCCCCTTGGCCTGGGGGAGTGTCGTTGCAGTGGCTGACTCAGAATGCGCTAATCTCTTTTGGGTCTCACAGACCTCGCAAACCGCCGCCCGCTGCTCTCCGCCCTCTACGACTCCCCTCCTTGCGATCTCCCACATAGGCCTGCTGTTCAGGTGTTTCTACGTCGTCTCTATTCGCTTTCCCTTTCTCAATCCTTCGCCATGCCTGTTCCCTTCGAGGCTCTCCTCCCCTGGGGCATCATTGCCACCGTATGTCTCGACAACTCCTCTCGACCAGTCCCTGCCGAGCTATTACTCACCACCATTCACAGATGTTCGGCGTGACTGGTGTCGGTCTCTACTACACTAAGCAGCTTGGAAACGAGGGCAAGAAGACCCGCTGGAACAGGGATCTGTGGGATAGAGTAAGTCATTCCTCAACTCCATCTCAATCGGCTGCGGTCGGGAGAACTCGCTCTGAATGTCCGCTAACACTCGTGCAGCAAAGTAAGTGATTTAATTCCAATGTGATCGACTGCGACTGCGAACTCCCTGCGAATGATCAATTCGAATTTTCCTCCACCAGGAAGTTTAACCGAACCGGAACTAACAATTGGATCAGTGATGGAGCGTGACCTCCGCCTTACCGGAACATGGAGAGGACAATCCAGTAACCACCAGGCGCCCCCGGGCTTCGAGCTGAGCAACCAATGGAAGGTATGGAACAAACAGACACAGCATATGGCCCCCCCGATACCCGGCAAGTCACTAATTCTTCGACTCTGACAGATCGAGCGCCGGATGTTCTAAATTCAAAAATTGCAACGTTTTATCCTACTATCTGCGTTTTCCCTGTTTCGCGATCACTCTACATACCTTCCTACGCAATGTTTAGAAACATCGCTGTATCATACCATTTCAATCTTTCCATTGTCCACATTCGACGGTAGTCTATACAGTACCCGGTAAATGCAAGGCTATCGGACCTGCGAGACCAATCCCCGAATCCCTTGGATTTCACTGTTACGAAGGTGCATGTCAAAGTACTCCGCCAGGGCCTTGACCCGGTCATCCTCGCTTTCAATAACACCCAGAACCTCCGTCTGACCGTGGATCCTTCTCTTAACGTCCTTCCCGGACAGACTGCACTGTCCGATGATCTCTTGACCGGTCGAATCAAGAATCATCCGCGTGCAGACAAACATCTGAGTAAACCAGCTAGCCCGCCTTTGACTAACGCCGAAATTCATGAGTTCGAAATCTTGCGGCAGGAGCTCCATGTCCGCAAAGCAGATCATCGACAGCCAATTGCTTTCAAGGCTGTGTCTAGTTTGGTAGATCCAGAACTTCTGGCTCTTGTCTGTAGCTTCAACGAGGCTGTCCTTGATCAAACGCATTTCCGACGGCGCGATACGTGTAGAAATGACGCCCTCCTGTAAAAGCAAAGGCCCAGTCGCGTTGTAGGTGCCGAATCCAACATCAACCTGTAACGGATTAGTTGTGAACAAACGGAGAATCTTGGAAGGAATGAGAAAACAAAACAAACTGACCATATATTTAACCTCATCAATAACAACGATCAAAAGCATATGGCTCCTGCGGTAGCAATTTAGTCAGTAAATCCTCACGCAAACAACTCGGGTCCATACGCACAACTGTGAAAACAATCCATTTTCCACCCCCGTGCCTACAGCCTGGCCAACTCTGGCGCCAATGGCATATACAACGTATCCCAGGGATCGCAGGATAATGTGAAACAATCCTGTATTTTCCATGCAATACCCATCCAAACGCCGGGCAACAATCTTCTCGAACAAAGCTTCTGGGCTTAGGGAGATGGTGTGATGCTGCGAGTAATGCAGGCCCGAATTCCCCCATGGAATCGAAGTAAGATGTCTTCTGTGCAGCTCGAATAATGTGCCAAGTGCATCCTTTGCAATATTTTGACGGATGTTTTGGACTAGAGTGAGTTCGGTTTCGCTGTGAGGGTACGAGATCCGTTTGAGATATTCCTCCAGCTGTTCTTCGGTATATTTTGGTGGTTGAGTCATGGTACGGAATGGAATGGGAACGCTAGAAGCCCGGAGTAGCACGACACCACCGACTGTCGTTTGTATCGTTCTTGAGAAGGAAAGAGCCCTGGAGGGATGTCGATATATAGCCAGAGATGTCGTTTAAGGAGAAGATAAGATGATGAGTTTGAACACGAATGCCGCGTTAGATTTCCAATCATAATCGTCGTGAAGTGGGTATCGGAATAGTTCCTTGATGACCAATTTGCACCCCACATTTGGCCGAGGCATTTGGCGGGGAACTACCGTTGGGAGTAATGGCGAGGGAGATTCTTGTCAGTGCTATTATATACTCAAGTATACTCCTTTGCATGTTAATACTTCAAATAGTATTAGGTCAGAGTTCTGAGTCTGAGCCAAATCATGCGGGAAGATGAGATGTGAGTGCCTGGGGCGGTGCCCGAGGCCTACTAGTACTCCATAACAATGCGGAAGAAAGAAAAGGACGCGGCGATGGATGTTTTTAATTGCTTTCCAAATTTGTCCTTCCAGTTTGAGTTCTATACTAGTACCTACCGGTCCACCTGGGCACCTGCCACTCGTACCAGGCTTCAACCTTGGAAGTTGTGAACACTATATATCTACTACTACTACTAGTAGGAGCACCTAAGTAGTGGATAGGTGGTATACTATCCTCTTTGAAACACCATGGTTCAAATTCAACTCCATAGTAGTAGTGTCCATGAATTACTGCCAGTGTGACACCTGATAGTAATTTCTTTGGAAAAATCATTCCGGAGCAGAATAGTCTCGCTCAAGTTTAGTGATACTAGTCCCATCATCCAAAACCTCCACGAACTCTTCCAACTTATATCCTCCCCACCTCGGCAAAAGCACAGTCCAAGCATACCAGTAAACCACCGCAAAAAGAATCCTGCACAATCCCATTAGTCACATGTACTTGAGAGTACTGGTCTCCAATAGGAGAACCTTGGAATGGTACTTACACTCCGATACCGACAATCGCATACGTCGCATAGAAGAAATCGACATCACCCTGCCAATTTGGCGGTGGCACGAAGGGCGCTGCTAATAGAACCAAACATACAACCACACGCAACCAAACAGCAGGAAGCCATGCCTTGAAGGGTCGTGGTCTGTTGGGTTCTTTGTATCGTAAAATCAAAAGACCAACCGTTATCGCGAGAGCGAAGATCTGACCGGGATATCCTTCCACATCTAGAATGAAACTATAGACATCTTGTTGCGGTGGAAGAGCAATGACCAACACTGATGGCACGTAGTGGACAATCAGGCCGCCGAGGGGCGTGTTGAAGGGTCTTGAAGATGAGATCACCTTCTGCCAGGGTAGAAAGCCTTGACGGGCGATTTCTTGATTGACGCGAGCCTGGGGTATATCCCGATTAGAATTGTAGTCAAGCAATAGAGACGCTAAAAGACCAACTCACCAATGCAAAAGTCACCACCATCACATTACCGGCTGCGGATATAGCAATTGCAAGAGGGAACAGAACTCTTCCGACACTATCGCCAAATAATCGCTCGAAGAGTAGCGCCCCGACCAGTTCGCCGCTGCTTTTGATCTCTTCAAAGGGGATAACCAGGAGGTAGGACGCGTTGGCTAAGAGGTAGAGGCCACTGGCTGTCACGAGGGCAGACGGACATACAGTTTTGATCGTATGAATGGGGTTATGTACCTCGCCGAGAACATTGTTGATGTTGCTCAGTCCCGCATAAGAGTAAAACACCTTGAACAGAGCCGTCGAAAGCAGACTCCAACTCCAATTAGAGCCCTCCCATATAGAATCCCAAGAGGCGAGGTCGTTATGCATATATCCCGGCGTAACCTGGTGAGAGTTACCAAAAAATTGGAGAAGAAGAACCCACAACCCAGTCAGTGACATAGCCCCGATTAAAAAGATCTTAACCCAGCCCAGCGCATTTTGAATCGCAATCCCCGTGCGCAAGAAGCACCCGTGAATAATAGTAATAATAGTAAGTAGGCCGACAGCGAGCGCTTTATGCTGGAGATCGGACGGCTCGACTTTAAAGGCGAAGAGTGTATACTTTGCGAAGATAATGCAGTTACTCGCCGTGAATCCTAGCACGACGGCCTGCACGGCAATTAAAGTTGAAGCGAGGAATCTCGGCCGAGGATAGGTATACTCCAGGTACACCTGGAAACCGGATCTTTTAGCCTAATGAATTTCGGCGTGATGGTCGGAGATTTATCTACCTTGTCCCCTCCCGAGCGAGGAAGCATGCACCCGAACTCCATCGAGATGGATAGCCCACACGCTGCTAGAATCGTCCCGGCAATCCATACCAGAAAAGTGAGGCCGACACTTCCTGTCGATTTGACGATGGATCCTGGAGTTGCGAAGATCCCGCTTCCAATCACGCGGGATACGACTAGGATGTATGCGCTGGACCAACTGAGGTTTTTCCCGTGATTTGCGCCAGGAAGGCTGTCTGGGAACCCATCGGTTATATCTGTGGAAGCGGCGAGCTGACGATCCGTCTGGCCTTCGTTTGTTTCTAGCAACGGTCGCGTCTCCCCCGTGGTCATTATGCGCGGTTGACCTAGCTAGTACTAAATAGTATGTGGAAACTCGGGCTCGGTATAACACCCGGGAGGAGTGCCCAAGTGATCTAGAAAATTTGAATAAATTTCCTCGGGCTGAAAGGACTGTGTTGACCAGTCATGGAATAGCCATTTTTAAAAGGTTCTGGTGATGAATGTTGCTTGGAAATCAGCTGGAGTTCCCCTCGGCACGCCATTCGGGCTGAATGTTGTGTGTTCGTCCTTGCGTGACGGATGACACGACTTATCAAATAGTGAAACATACCAATCAGATGTTCCAGAATATTTTGGCCGGAGTATTCGGATCGCCTGCTGAGGAGAAAGGCAGTGATCAGACATGATTTGATTTGTTTGTTGAGGTGGATGGTCCGTTAAGCACTACTGTCGATGTGGAAATGGTCTCGTAGATGAGGATGTAACTGGGTATATACTATCGCAGAAAATGAATTCTAATCTACGGGCCAAACAACGACTTTCGCCTTGGAACTGGAGAACCACTACCCCGATCTTGAAATGATGGAAGCTGTGTCTTAGAATTCGGCTGAGAATTCGGAGTCGGTACATGACCCGACTCCGATTCAATCTCCGGCTCAATGATCTGTACATTGGCAGCAAACCCGATCCGCGGCCTTTTCGGCGTTGGACTCGTCACCGACTCTGGCAGATCAGTGTCATCGGCATCCGACTCAGCAACAAGACTCCGCTTAACCGCTTTGCGCACTCCAACCTCCTCCTTTCTCGCCTCATCCGGGATCGGCAGTGGGTGCCGATCGAAGAATGTGGTGGGATGCTGCAGATACATTGCTTCAGCAAAGCGATTCCCATTTGAATCATGCATCGGCAAAAACGGCTCTCGCTGAATGATATAATTCATAGCTGTATCGTCCAGCAAACTTCGTTCTGCATGCTGCATCTCCGTGTCCGACATCTCCTTTCTTCGCCGAAGCATTCGGTCTTCCAATGTATCCCGCAAAACCAACGTCTCGACATGAACAGGTCTGGTCTGGCCGATACGGTGAGCACGCTTGATGGCCTGGCTTTCGACCGTTGGCTGCCAAATTGGATTGATGATGTAGACGCGCGAGGCATGGGCAATGTGCAATCCGTGCGAAGCCTGTCGCAGATCCATCAGTAGCACGCGGATGTCGCTAGATTCGCGGAAGAGTTCGAGGTATTGAGTTCGGAGCTCAGGCTTCAGTGTACTGGCGTAAATGCGGAACTCGATTCCTAGTAGTTCCAGGCCTTCGGCGATCCAGAAGGCGGAGTTGCTGTTGTCGTAGAAGATGATTATCTTCTCTTCTTTGTGCCAGCGGAGGACTTGGTCCAAGAGATAGGTGAGTTTCGCCGAGCATGTGGCAACGAATTTCGTTTTCATGAGCGGGGAGTCGGAGGGCAAGGTGCGGAAAAGGTTTTGCTTGAAGGTCTTCTTGGGCGATTTATGGCTCCGAGGCTTCGTGCTGTGATTTAGTTGGCTTGGTGTCGAAACTGCGGATGTTGGCGTAGTGGCGGATTCGGGGGCACCCTTGGCCGGGGCATGCTGATCTCTTCTTTCAAGTTCGCCACGAACTTTAATCCCGGCACCAGACAGCCCCTGGGTGGGATCTTGCGATCGCAAATTCTGGGTGACAAACTGCTGTGCCCGTCGAGCCTGGGTGATTCCGATAAGAAGCGGCTCTTCCTCCGAATTCGAATCTAGTGCCCAGTGTGCACGATTTTCTTCAGGGAACTCCTGGAGAAAGACACCTAGTTCATGAAGTTGCTTGAACTCGCGCCAGCTCCCAGACTCCATTGCCATTCGAGCAATGACCATCCCTTTGACCAGCTGGTCGATATCATCGGGTGTCATCTTCTCCGAATTCTTATCCATGTATTTGGTAGCATGGTCAACAGAGTCTTGAGGATTCATCTCGGACCCCGCCCACCAGAATCCAGCTTGTCGCAAATTATTTATGATTTGGTTCAAATGTTTCCGATTCTTCGGATCAAACATGTAGTCCGGGCCTTGCCGTTCAGAGGTAATGGCGTTCACCGCGAGGCCAAAGAGAAACAGGTTTATAGAAAGTCGGTCATGAAACGTGGGTTCCAGGTAAACAACTCGGTTGTATAGATCCGGAAGTGAAATCTCTTTATTCAGAGTTTCAAGTTGATGTCGTACCACAAGGCCTTGTAACGTAGCGCGAATGGCCGGAGACTTGCGACGCTTGCCATCGAGGCCGATCGGCTTCATATATTTCGTCCAGTCCGCCGAGTCATTGTCCTTCGAGTTCGACCAGGGCTGCAACTCGAGAAATCCTGTCACAATGCGTCTTAGCCGATCGAGGTCTTTCAGCTCACTAACTACTGCGTTTCCGGTTTTTTTCCGGCCTTGCAGAGCAACAGCCGTCACATCACCGGGAGATTCCGTATCACTAGTCGCTGCTTCCTGCGTAGCGAGACTGATTTCGACTCCATAAAGTCCAGTTGACGGGGTCCCTGATATGACCCACCGGCGCTCAATGTGCATCTGCCCAAGAAAATGGATCATGTTGGTTTTTGAGCCGTGTCCCGCCACATTGTGGCCTTCATCGACGATGACACGCAACCAATGAAGTTCCGTAAGGGGCGAGTCCATCTGCACAAATCTTTCACGTTGGTTATTCACTGGCTCGCCGGCCTCCTTCTCGAACCGTGTTTTAGAGAAGAGCACGATATCGTAGTTGAGAAGGTCGTCGGCAGATGGTGTCTTATCCTTTTCAGGCCCCTGTTGCAGGGTCAAAACGTTAAGACCTGATGTATGTTGCTGGATCTCATTTTGCCAATGATCTACCAAGTTATTTGGGACAATAATTAACGTTGCCGTGCAGAGCCGAATGCGCTTGGATGGTGGCCGTGGGTACGACATGCTCCGGCGCCCCTGGTACCTGGTCTGATGCGGAGGGATCTCGTAATATCCACAATTGCGCTTGCATGCCTTTATACATCGTTCATAGTGCGTTCCTTGAAGCTTCTTTTGTTCGAAAAACATTTTCCACGGAGCGGAGTGCCGGCCCGCGGCAGCCGCCGCCATTTCCATGAGCGATCCGGTCTTTTCTCGAACTGGCGTGTGGTCGGTTTCTTCTGTTAAGAGATACTTGATGGGGATTTTTGGGACGTGGCCTCTTGTTGCCCAAATGACGGCAAGGGAGATGAACGTTTTTCCACATCCCATAGTCTCGGCGAGGATACCTAGGCGTGATTAGTTATATTTCCACTTAGTAGCTCAGAGTTAACACACCTCCGCACGCTTCTGAATATAATGCCTTTTCTAGAAAAATGCAGGCATCCTCTCTATCATAGTAGTATTCCTTCCCAGTCGGAGTTCTATATGCCTGTAGACGAGGATCCAGAACTTGTGCCGGCTGGACCTCCCGCTGTATAATGGCTGCAGCAGAACGACGCTGATAGGGATGGAGTGGGGTTTTGAGACCAAATTCCGAAAAGTCATCACCTGATAGTAGATCCAACATGGCCTGTTGCGACCATTTGTCTTTAATCAAATCGGGCCGTGGGTCTGGGTCCTGTAGCGTGTTGAAAATATACCACAAGGACTCATCTTCGTCAGAGTCGGAGTCGTTGGTGATTGCTTTTCGCTGACCTTCCCAAGATTCCTCCGAGGCATCAATGTTCGACATCAGTATCTTGAAAGCTGCTCGTAACTTCTTGATAGATTTTTGGATATTATTGCGGTGAGTAAGTTTCGAATCGACGTAAATTCGCACGTTATCATTTTTCACCCGGGCTCGAATCCAGGAACTCCCTTCCAAAATTGATATTTCGGCGGCATATTTCTCAGTAGCTGTTCTCGAGTCAAGCACCCCCAAAGGAAGAAGAGCACTGAAATCTTCACTTGCCTCGTCGGGTCGAGTTGGTGCTGAATGCGAATGTTTATCGATGGTTCGACCCCTGGCCTTAGCAGTTTCACGGTTTGTGTGATCATTTTCGCTCGATGTCGCAACTATTGGACAACCGGGAGGTTCTTGGCCATTTTCTTGCGCTGGCTTCGTTGCTATTGATGCATTCCAAGGATGCTCATTTGTATTCATATGGACAGGTCCGCCGGGAATGCCCGTAGCATTATTCTGACAAGATTCATTGGTCATAGGCCTTTTCAGTTCAAGGTCGGTCGCATCACGATGTGAGGAAACGCCCGAGGACAACTTCGCACTAGGAGTACCAAGTGGTGGAGCACTAGATTCATTTCCCGCGGGACCCGCTAAGGCTCCATAACTCGAGGAAGCGCAGGCTAGGGAAGAAGAACATCCAGGCCGAGCTCCGCATTGATTGGTGTCGGAAGGTGTCGCGAGAGGCCACGTATCGTTATCTGCAGTCTGCAGGGGCAAATCTGAATACATCCCGATGAGACGTATCAAATTTTAGATTAAATGAGGCAAACCGAAAGGGCCGGGGATATGCTGGTGGCGGCATAATTATTCACCGCTATCCGCTTCCGGACACACTTCATAGTGCCAGTAGAGACTGCCCAGGTGCAGTATACTTTGCTAATATTGGTTGAAGGATTTTACAGGGAAAGAATGTTCTCATGCAATGTCATTAATTCAATAATTACAATTTATAAAATACTCAGCTTAAAGCCAAGCAAATATCCAGCGCTACCCAACCACCTAAATCAAATCAAACCAACCAACGCCACGACCCAAGGAAAGGTCGACAATATGAGATATGAATTATGAGATATGAAAATGAAAATGAAACACGAAAGAGAAAGAGAAAGATAAATTATCCTCCCCCTCATAATTTAATTCACTATACCCTCCACCCATTCAACAAAATAATCCAATCCAAGACAAAACAATCCAACTCCCTCACTGCGTCAAAAAATCCTCAATCTCAAAACCCACCCTCTTCAACGCCTTCTCCTCAAGCATGCCAGGTGATCCCATAACCTTCCGAATAACAATAGTCCTAGCATCCTGCAACCGCATCTCAACAGCATTATTGCCAAACCGCCCAAGCTCCTCCCGACTACACTCACGAATATAAACAGTGATATCGGGCCCCGCACAAGTCCGCCACAAACTCGCCATCCACTGCCAATGATCGAGAGAAGTATACGAGTCTCGGATCGGAATCGAGCACGCGAATGCATCCGCCGTCGTCAGTTGATACCGCGGCACGAGGGCCAGCGGCAGCGCTGTGAGAGAAGTACTTGTGCTGGTGGAGTGGTCGGAGCCAGCCTCGCTTGAATTGGGTGAATTGATGTGCATGGAGGCCGTTTTGGGAATGAGGGTTTTTGGACTGGCTGAGCCGTCGTCGTGGAGTGGTTCGGTGGCTGGATTTGGATTTGGATTCCCGCTTCCGTTTCCGTTGAGCGTGCGGACAAAGTCTTTTACTTCGTCTGAGACGCGGTGCCAGGAGGAGATTGTGTCGAGGTATTCGACTGTTGGGTCGGAGGAAGATTCCGCTGTGGGGTCTTTGATTGTTGGGCCTTGGAAGATGCGGACGTGGTGCTTTGCTTCCTTTTTGAATGTGTGTTCTAGGTAGTTCACGGCGCACTGGACGAGAATTGGGTCTTGGCCGTCGATGGCGATGACGGGCCCACGCATGACGGGGGACTGGCGGAAAGTCGGTTGCAAGGGTGGGGATATTTTGGCCAGGACTTTGATCTTATTCAGGTATGGGATTGTCATGACAGTTGCCTCGACGGAGGCGTTGGATGCGTCTTGCGAGAATGGAGTGAGCGGGGCCATTATCGGCGTGGAGGTTTTCAAAGGTGCGAGTTTAAGACTTGACTCCGGTGCGGCTGGTTGGCCGGGAACTGGGGGACCGTTGTTGAAAGGTCGGCTGATTGATGGGAGTGGGTGTCTTTGTTGCTGTTGCTGTTGAATTGTGGCGTTATATTGATATGGGGACATTGGGTAGGGGGATACAGAGTCTGGACTTCGGTTTCGGTGGACCGGTAGGTCGGACTTTATTGATGCGTGAGAGACACGGCGGCGCTTGAGATCTGGGGATTGTTCGCCGGCGTCGTCAAATCTCCGAGGTCGTACACGGTGGTCGAGCTGATCGATTTTGATCGGCTTGAGCTCTTTCTCGCCACCGTGTGAGCTTCTTACTGACATGATTGCCGTCGGTGGTCGCCCTGGTACGGGACCGGAGATGCTTGCTGATCGACCTGTTGGGGTGAACGGAGTCATTGGAGAAGTGGGTGCATTCATGATTCTACCGCCGCAAGAGTTGCATGTCGAGGCTCCGGATGGATTGTGGCTGATTCCAGAGCCTGAATGGCGAGTATTTCCGTCACGACCAGCTCGTTTTGGCTGATATCGATAAGTTGGATATTGCTGAGCATGGCGGGCTTTTTCCTCCTGGTGGATAGTGAGCAATATATTCAGAAAATAGTAAACCACCAGGGTAAATAGCTCTTTTCACATACCTCTGCCAGTGCTCTCCACTCGTTCTTTTCTCCCTCTTTCAACGCTCTCCATTGCATGCCGATGATTTTTGAGATTTCTGGATTAGCAAGACCAGGATTGTGTGTAACGACAGCTGCTTGGTGGTGCTGACGGTATAAGATAAAAGCTATAAAATTGACAAAGAAGCACCTAGTCAGCATGAGTCCAAAAGAATTAAACATTCCAGATCCTGGGCCAATCCCGACTAGATCACAAAATGAAAGAAAAAGGCACTTGCCATGCTCGTTCAACATCGGCGCGGACATCATCGACTCACCATTGCGAGGCCGGGGAATTTTCGGATCCGGCTTACAGAGACACCACTGGCTGGCATACTCTTCCTTGCTCGATTTGACTGGACTAGAGCTACCCGAGGAAGGAGGGGAGCGCTCTCTTAAAGGAAGAGGAGCCGTTGAGATAGAGTGTTGTCGTGGGTAAGCGTCCACGATGGAGTGCTTGTCGATCGGTGGAGTATAGGGTTCAGCCTTGCCGTGATACATGGCAATCTGCTGGTGGATCTGAGGGACCGCGTTGGGACGATATTCGGGATACCTGCAGGTTCCGGCTTGAGGTTCTGGCCGGTGTGGCAGAGCGCCATGGGACATTGGGAGATCATTCATAATCTTGTGTTCGAATGGATTGCTGTGGAGAAAATTTGAGCCTGAAGACTCATGGCGCACAGCAACCGGGGCGGGAAGCACTCGATCGTAAGACATTTATCTATAGACGACAACAAAAGGAAAATAATAAAGCAGATAAGTGGTGGCAAATCAAAGCAAGAAGAGGAAAAAAATATTTGCGAAAGAAGCGGATTGACGGCGAATTCGGCGTGAGTCCTTTGTTCAAGATGCGGAATGGCTTGCAATGACACAAGGGAAGGGGAAATTGAGGGGGATAGGGTGAGAGAAGAAAGGGAAAGTATAGATGGATCCGAAGAGGGATGAAAGGGGAAGAAATAAAAATAAGTGAAATGAAGGCGAGAGGGGAGGGGAAAGCTGTTTGAAGGCGAGACAAAGGGAGAATGGATCTATATCAGGCAGGCGTTTGGAGAGTCGACGAATTGGAGGGGAAGAAAAAAAACAGAGAAGCATTAGGAGATCGGATAGAATAGGGTGACACCTTTGGACAGATTGGGACAGTTTCTAGGGCTCGTTCAGTCCCGCCAGGCGAGACAAAGGACGGCGCAAATTAGTGATTCTTTGTCTTGGATGCAGGAATCCCTGTCGGTGAGCATGCTTTGACAATGTATGATCTTCCGTGAACCAAGGAATTAGAGCGCCAGGATGATGAGGGACTTAATGGGGCTGACTGGGGTCAGTAGTTAGCTTAGAGTATGGTGGTAGTTGATTCGATGGAAATGTACGAGAGCAGCATGGGAGTAACTGTACCAGTAGACTAAGTTCTATACTCAAGAGTCTAAATGGCGTGAGTACTACTACGACGACTATAACTACGACTACCACGTTTCCATCGATAAAAAAAAAAAAGGTAATCAAAAAGATGAATCAACCAGGAACAGAACAAACCCATATCGTAGCCGACGACCAAACCTTGGAACTCCTTGAGCAAACGAGATCATTGTTTCTTCGAGACCGGATGCGGCGACGCGCATGCCCCCATTCCTCGGGCCGAATTGTAATTGGTCGGCTCCCGGCGGCTGCATTGACGTCGGTTCCCCGAAACAAAGAAAAACTCGCAAACACGCAGAAACTAGCGATCTGGCTAATTCAAAATTGTCATTCGTGGAGACCAACCAGAGTGTCGCGATCCGATTGGAAATCAATCGCCCTTTCTCTCATTTTCATTGATTTGACACGGGAAACCCCCTCTTGTTCCACCTCCCCGACTCTGTGTATAGACCATAGTCTGTAGCTCCGTTAAGGTACGGTACTCCGTACCTGTCAATGATCTCATGCCGATCGCTCTCCACTGTAACTCAAACAATATCGCCCCGATTAGGTCGCTGCGATAGGAGATTCCGAGTTTCAATGGAGACCAGCGGTACATGTAAGAAAATCATAGATGGCGTTACAATAAGTAAACAAAATGATTGCTATGTACATAGTCCCAACCCGGGTTCACCCCATCAGAAAGCCTTGTTGCTTAATCTTGGGCCTTCTGACGTGGGCAAGTCAGGCCGACCCTTAGTGATCTGGGGCCAACTGGGTCCCAAAAAAAAAACAAGAACCGAGAACAATCAATCCATGTCAAACTAGTAGACTCGCCACAGTTTCCCTGACTCGCAAGTTTCAACACCGGTAAACCTTAGCCCTAATTTGTCGGTCTACCCGCTGCGCAAGGGCCAGACCGTAAAGTAACCACGCGGTGAGAGTCTACCAGTCAGTCTCATTTCTTTTCCCTTCTTTTTCTCCCTTTTTGCCCTGACACCTGTCACGTTATGACCTCAAGACATCACTTTTCTCCGCTAGCACAGGTAACTCGATCCAAGTGGGCCCGATCGGTACTACCCAACACCCGCTACAAAAGTACCACCTCAGCCCGCCAGGCCGCATTGGTACATACTACATCCGCAGCTCGCTTTATGTCGTTTGTCTCGGAGACACACAGGAAGAGCTGAACAGAGCTGAATGAAGCTAAAATCTGAAATGAACCCCATGGACCAAGGGGCAAAAATATATTCAGTAAGAAAATAAAAAGTATACAGAAGAATATACATGCTGCAACTGATTCATGACAATGTCTAAGCTAAACTGCAACACCCCGTCGGCTAGCCGCCGACTCAGACTTGCTGGGGGTGGCGTTGAGCAACTCCTTCGTCTCCTTGTAGACAGCATTCCCCATAAGCTTGTGAGCAGATGGTCCTAGATGCATTTGGTCCCTAGAAACAGAAACAGAAACCTGGTCAGCAAAGAAAGAAACTCACAATGTCGATCAATCGTGTCATGGATCATGAACATGGCCATTCGGCCATGGGCCTTGAACCACGGGTTCAGAAATGTTGAATGTTGGGAAAGAGCAGGGAATAATGGAACAGGAACAGGAAAAGCGCGCACGCTACGCAAAAAAGGCGCAAGTGCAAGCGCAAAGGGAAAGGGAAAGGAAAGGAAAAGGAAATCCACTTACCAGAACAGATATTTCTCTGGGTGTTGGCACCGTGACTTCTCCTCCGTCCCTGACATCATGACCCCGAGCCCACCCTCACCAACCAGGCAAGGAGCATTGACATTCTCCCACCCAGGCTCAGTATTCTTGCCCATTCCATTCTCCTCCTGAATGCCCGAGGCATAAAGCTGCCAATCGCGAATACGATCCAAGACAAAGGCATTGGTATCAAACATATAGAGCCACTGAGCCTTCCCATCCTTCCACTCCGTAGCAGCAGACTTGAGTTTAGAATTCCAATCCGTCAAAAGACGCACCGCATCCTTGAACTCGTCACCGCCGGCGCTCGTAAATGCCGGCAGGAAAGTCACGTCCATTGTCTGGGTCATGATGATCTGCAACTCCGTGGGTCCCCAGCCCTTGAACGCCTCGGCCAGTCGATCCAATTGCTCGGTCAATTTCTTGATCCGTCGCTCCACCGATGAAACGGCAGTGTTGTAGTCGGCTTCGCGCAGACTCCAGAGGTCCCAGATTCCGAACGAAATGACAAAGGTCGTGCGCTCTTGGCGGGTGATGCGCTCCTCTTCGGTGAGCCTTTCCATCGCGCCCGTCTCGGCTGCTAGCCACTGATCCAGTTGGGCCTTGAAATCGGGGACCTGGTCTCTAGACAGCCAGCCGAAGGAACTTAATTCGTCGTTGTCGATCACGGCGCCGGTGTCCTTCTTCGTATTCCCTGCGGATCGGGCCGACTGCGCAAGATTCTCTTGGTAGCAAGAAAACTATATTGTAGATGTGTCAGTTTGGTTTGGTCTGGTCTGGTCTGGTCTGGTCGGATCCATTCCTGCAAGACATATTCCCGAGACAAATTTCATTACTCTTCGTGTCTTACCCCTCGTCTCTCTTGTCTCGGATTTCGGTATCTGGGGCGAGGAAACACATACCAAATCACAAAGATGATCCGTCCAGATCTTCTCCTGCTCTTCTGCCGTTTCACTGGCGCTCCAAGAGTCTCCGAAGACAACCAATCGGTGGTCGAACACATCGGCGGTCTGGAACGTACCGGCCAGCGGTACGACATCGCCAAACGTCCTCCCCGTCAGAAACCATGCTGTGTAGAGAATGGAGCAGACGGCGACGGCACAAAGGCCGTAAAATCGATTGAACATGCGCATTTTCACTTCCTTTGACGATGTGTGGGGTTTGGTGTGTACGCGCAACGGCGCGGTTGCTAGGTAGGTGGTGAAAATCCGCTCGCGGTGATGAGAGTGATGAGAGCAATGAGGAGAGATCAAGATCGGCAGTTGAGTTGGGTCTGGGTCAGCGGGATCGGATCGGGTGTCTTATCGCTGTCGCCACTCTGATGGATTCGTATTCCACTGTTCCACTATTCCACTTTTCCACTCCGCCAAGGTCAGGGGGACGGTAAATATGGCAAGAATGGGAGAAGAGAAGAGAGGAGAGGAGAGAAGAGGAGAGGCGGAGGGAGGTGGAGAGAAGAGGAGGTTAAGGTAGAAATCAGATTATGAAAAGGAGAGAGTGGTCAGAAATCTCCACTCCACCGGCAGGTAGCGGAGTAGGTGAGAAGTGGTGCGGAGTGCGAGTGGGCGCTAAATTAGGCCCTGGTTATCCCGGATTATGATTAGAAAAGGGTATATCTTAGAGGAGAGACAATTGATATTCTTTGTATATATGTAGGCAATGGTAATTAAGCTATGAAAGCCCTGCACTACGTACTATTGGGGGATGCCATGCTATGTGAAGAATGCGACCGGCGGGCCGCGTGGCGGGCGGGGAGGGAGGCTGAACGTGGAAAAGCCTCGCGTGCGCCGGGTCGTACTGCAGCGGTTCGTATACGTAGTAGTATTAGTATTACTATCCGACACCAGATAGAGAGTATCCTGTTGCTAGATATATCTTGCTGCTAGATGAAGAATACAGAGTATGCCATGTCAGCCAAGGACATGATGGCGCCATTCTGGTAGTGTAAGAAATCTCCCCATGGCCAGCCAAGAGGTGCTGCCAATGGGACAGTCCAGTTGACTCCTCGTACTTCGTACAGCCCTACTTCTTCGAGAGGACCGAGAACTCCAGTCAGAGCACAGAAGACCACAGGAGTCCACAGTTTCAGTCCAGCTGTGGGGGGCCAAGACAGCCACGGCCGATCAGATGCCAAGACATTAGACAGAGCAGAGTGCTCCTGTAGAGTAAGCTGAGATATGAGAAGTGGTGGGGATGGGGGACAGCAGGAATTGGATGGAATTGAATTGATGAAGGCCGTGGCTATGCTGAACAGTGAATTAAGTGAGAAGTAGAGTGGGAGTGAGTCGAGTGAGGGGAGTTTAAGGAGTGTGGTTACTCTAACTCTAACCTTACACTCTGGTGTAACATTAGGTAATCCTCTTCTTTAGGCTATTCTGATAAGAGTAATCAATGCCAAGACCGGCAGTTGTCAGACGGGGAGCGGTGAGTGGGATGACAACACCTAAGCGGTGAGGATGGCGATAATACTGCCGGTCATAGATTTCCAGTCACGTGGAGTCACATGGGTTTAGAGGCGGTGAATCGATCGGCGGGTGTTCAGTCATGTGACAGGGCTACCTCCAGACTCGGCTAGTGCCAGCTGACTCAGCCACACACACTCGCTACGGCCGACTTTTGCGAGTTGCAAAATCCACAACGACGTTCGCCCTTTAAACTCACGTACGACAACTTCCGCGCTACCGTCTTGACCGCGCAACCTCGTCAAGATGAAGCTCAACATCTCCTACCCCGCCAATGGGTCCCAGAAGATCATCGAGATCGATGATGAGCGCAAGCTCCGCCCCTTCATGGAGAAGCGCATGGGCACCGAAGTCAGTCTCCCGATCTCAAAATACATCTTCAAGATGCACCACCCATAAACACCCACCACCCAACCTGGAACGCACACATCCACCTACAAATCCACACAATACACCCATCTACCTACCCTTCTACACAATCACACACACATCACACACACATGAAAACGGATAGTCTAGGACAACCGCTGACGGTTTTTGCAGGTCGCCGGTGACGCGCTCGGTGATGAGTTCAAGGGTTACCTCTTTAAGATTACCGGTGGTAACGACAAGCAGGGTATGTTTCTCTCTCTCCATGATATCAATGGATTCCATCCTAGGAATTCTTCGCTGGAATTTTGTTTACTGACTTCCAATCACAGGTTTCCCCATGAAGCAGGGTGGTACGTTCCAACAACACTTGCACACTCCCACACTCCCCACAAACCAACAACCACACCCAAATTCCAAAAATTCCTCCCGCAAAATACTCACCTCTCTCCAGTTCTCCTCCCCACCCGTACCCGTCTGCTCCTCGCCGACGGCCACAGCTGCTACCGCCCCCGCCGCTCCGGTGAGCGCAAGCGCAAGTCCGTCCGCGGTGCCATCACCGGTCTGGACCTTGCCGTTCTGGCCCTGTCCATCGTCAAGCAGGGTGAGGGCGAGCTCCCCGGTCTGACCGACACCGTTGTCCCCAAGCGTCTCGGCCCCAAGCGTGCCACCAAGATCCGCCGTTTCTTCGGCCTCGACAAGAAGGATGATGTCCGCAAGTTCGTCATTCGCCGTACCGTCACCAAGGAGGGCAAGCCCGAGTACACCAAGGCCCCCAAGATCCAGCGTCTGGTCACTCCCCAGCGCCTGCAGCGCAAGCGTCACGCCATTGCCATCAAGCGCCGCCGCGCTGAGGCTGCCCGTGAGGCTGCGTAAGTTCCACCCAGCCCCAGCCCCAGGTTTTCCTTGCATGCATTGCATTGCATAGGCAACCCCACACTCCTGTGCTACTACCTGGAACCCCTAACTAACAATATCCTTTTACAGTAACGACTACGCCAAGCTCCTCGCCAACCGTGTCCACGAGGAGAAGGCCAAGCGTGACGAGCTCCGCAAGCGTCGCGCCTCATCCATGCGCAAGTAAATATCATGATCCGATCCGCGACGTCATGATTTTTTATTTTCCGCATAGGTGAAATGGTAGGGGGGGGACTTTTACTACTCGATTCTCTATAATGGAGAGAGAGAGCTGGGCGAAGGGAAGGAATTTTCCCTCACGTTTCCCGGGGAAAGGATATGGTTTTTGGAAGGGAATGATATCTTGCAACCACACACTTTTTAAAAGCAAAAATGAGAATCATTTTTTTTTCACCCGGGCGGACCAAACGTGGGGGGGATCTTTTTATGTCTGATACTTGAAGAATCCAATCTCAAAAAAATGGGTTAAGTTTATTTTATTGTTTCTGTTTCTTCTCGACGCGTAGACATGCCTACCTGCTGCCCCGTACCTGGGTGACTGTATTGCCTGAACTTGAAGGCTAACCGTAATTTCGCATATGTCCGATACCTTCCTAGGTAATATTTCTGTTTACTAGTGGGAGCCTAGTACTTGTACCTACTTCTAGTACTGCCTCCTACCTTCCAAGGTTCAAGTTGAAGGAACCGAGCTCGAATTCCCGACAAGACTTCCATCATGTCCATGTGGGTACTACTACTTGTGCCGATAGAGCACTAACTACTACCTAGGTACCTTGGGCATCTACTAAAACACCACCAAGTCACACATATCACTCTGACTCAATCCTAGCAATACCTAGGTATCGCCTAAGACACCCTACGACCAAGCATGATCTACATAAAGCCAGTGCAAACCGTCTTCGATTGCAAAGCCACATTAGGTACCTACCCGGGCCGAGACATACCTAGGTACTTCTAGCAAAGACAGACAAAATGCAAGTCACCGCGAGCCTGGACTCTCCAATAGGTATTAGTTAAAAGAGACAAACGGCCAAAAGAATGAGTCTCATTACGACGTCATTACGTACACTCTTGCCTCTATTGTGTAGTGGTTATCATGTATCGCTCGTAACGATGAGGTCCCCGGTTCAAATCCGGGTGGAGGCACTCAAAGAGAATCTTTTTGCTGGCCGTGTCTAGTGTTAGCCATCCTTGTGGACATCAAAGAAAATGCTAGCGGATTGAGAATCTGCTTCCGTTTATGACAAGATACCGCTCGCTCGAACCCAGTAGCCATCAAAGATATCCATTATTTTGCCAGCTAGGGAGCGGGTATGACCACGGTAGTGCCAGAGGGGAGATAGGGGCTAAATGGAGCACAGTTCTTACCAGTACTAACTTGAACTATTGCGCCAGAGATACAGGCATGTCTTCACAAGATGCGGTCTGTACTAGTAGAGGCTAAGACGCAAATCTCGGAAGCAGAAACAAAACTTGGAAGTGTACATGATCAGATCAGATTATCCGAGACCACTGGGGAATTCAAATTCTAGATTATAGTAAGACACGGGGCAGTAAGTCAGGAACCCTGGCCAGGCAATACTAGCACATGTATGAAAGCGCAAACAGGTGGACTGAGACACAAACACAACCGTAGTAACGCGAAAATCAAAAACCCGGACATGACATGTCGACAATGCAGGCAAGGTCCGCCGAGGACAGAAGCAATGAAAAGGATAGCTCTATAACACTGACCTTCTTTTCGGGCCCGTAGGTCTATGAAAAAGAAAGAAATAAAAAACGAGAGAGGCACATTCACATTTCCAGAGGGGTGTGTTGTACAATACCACGATGGAAGAAAAGATTTTGTTTGAAATGGTCATAGAAATCGTATTTTTGTTGTTTCTTTCCCACGTGACACAATGGACTCTGCCACTAGCATATAGCAGAATAGAGTAGAGTAGGAAATGAGAGGTAGATAGATAGATAGGTATGAGAGCGATGTGGATGAAGAGGGTTGTTAACGCCCAAATTGGCAAGAATTGGCTTGGAACAGAGACGAGACGTGACGTGAAACGATGGGATAGAAAGTAGAAGAGAAAGCAAGAGGAGAGTTAAGATGCTTATGCGACAGCGTGCGAGAAGAGGAAGCTAACGGACTCGCCGTTGTGGGTACGACGACAAGCCTCGGCAAGAGTGGGACTGACATCGATCGTCTCGATGCGATCGCATTGCTCCTTCTTCTCGGCGTGGGGCACTGTGTTGGTGACAACAACACGGCTCAGGCGGCTGCCGTTGATGTTCTCGATAGCCTTGCCGGAGAGAATGCCGTGGACAACGATGGCGTTGACTTCCTTGGCACCGTGCTGCATGACGGTGTCGGCGGCCTTGACGAGGGTACCACAGGTATCAGCCATGTCGTCGACGATGATGGCGACCTTGTCCTTGACGTTTCCGACCAGAACCATGCGGGAGACTTCATTGGGTCGGGCACGTTCCTTGTGAATGAGGGCGAATTGCAGATCGAGACGATCAGCGATGGCGGTGGCACTGGGAAGCAAGCGTAGCGTTAGTTAATGAGATCAAAGTCAAGATCGATATGCTGCATTTTAAATCCAGGGGAAACGTACCGCTTAGCACCACCGGCGTCAGGGCTGACAATGATGCAGTTGCTAACGTCCAGGTTCTCACGGATCCACTTCAAGATGCTAGGCTCGGCGTACAAGTTGTCGACGGGGACATTGAAGAAGCCCTGGATCTGGCTAGCGTGCAGGTCCATAGTGATGACGTGGTTGCAGCCAGCGGTCTGGAGCATGTTGGCCATGAGCTTAGCGGTGATAGGAGCACGACTCTTGTCCTTCTTATCCTGGCGGGCGTAGGGGAAGTTGGGGATAACGGCGGTGATACGGCGGGCGGAGGCGGTCTTGCAGGCGTTAATCATGATCAGGAGTTCCATGAGGCCATCGTTGATATCGTTAGGTCGCGTGGACTGCAGGATGAAGACTGTATATGGGAGAATATTGTCAGTTATGGTAAATCTTTCAAGGTATGATTTCATGTCTGGCATGTGTGCTCTCCAAGTATTGGTGGACAGTATATTCACATACCATCTTCGTCGCGCACACTTTCACCAATTGTGACACTAGTCTCCTGGTTGGAATATTGCAGGACCATGATCTTGGTCAATTCAATACCCAGACTAACTCCCATAGATTAGTTTCCCGCCTGCACGGAGATGGAGATCGGGGATCGGGTGCTGCAGAACGTACCGGTCAGCCACGAGCTCGGCCAGCTCGGGGTGGCTGTTACCCGTCAACAGCTTGATGGAGTTGGAATTGGTCGACATGATGTGTTTATGAGAAAGAGGAGAGGAGAGGTAGAGAGGGAACTCCCAAGAAAGTCGAGATTCAATCAAAAAAAATCGAAAAATCGATTACCCGCCATCTGCCACTGCCCGCTTTGGGCCCCGCATTGTCCCGTGACTGCCACTCACCGCCTTCCGCGTGCATCGAAGTATACAAAAGTATACAACCGATTGTTAATGGATGGCTATAATACCCAGGTATAACTGCTACTACTCGTGGAGATACTAGTAGGTACATGCATCGGAAGAAATACAAAAAGTAGAACATATGGATATTCCGTAAAGCAATCTAAGTACAATATAGGATCCAGGAAGTCCCTAGCTGACCTGCACTTCAACCAGAAGCAAACCCGACCCATTCAATATCAATTCGAATCCGAATCCATTTTCATCTTTCCTCCACCCGCGAAATTCATCACCAAGATTCCATCCCATTCCCAGACGCCATTGAATGCTGGAGAAGAGAACACAATTGCCAATTAGAAGAGAATGATAGAAAGAAACGCAGACAGAACCCGCTCCCGCTTCTATGCGAAACCGAAGTACTCGCTGCCAGCCGTCATGGCTGTGTACAGTCGGTGACGGAGATCTTCATAACTTTCATACTCGGGAAGATCAAGCTCTGCAGGAAAGAGTTAGTAAAATGCAATGCCACAGGCGAGGAAGACAGCGGGGAAAGGGGTGAAACTTACGGTTGAAACATGTGTGCGCGCTAGGGAGGCGATCCTTGTTGCCATAATCGCGGTGGATATTGAATTTGCTGACACCGTTCATACCCTCCAGCTCCTTGAAGCCGTTGAGAGGGACCTTGCTAGTACCCGTGACAAACTGGAGCAACTTGGCGCGTTCTTCCTTATCGAAGGAGCGGACTGCACGCCAGAACCACTGGATTTGCGACGAGGAGGCAGAGTAGTTGTGATAATCGGTATTATTCTTCCACTCATCGACGTCGATCTCAGGAAGACCCGAGATCAGAAGTTCCAGCTCTTGTTCGTTGAAGATGGAGATCAGGTCTGGCGGAATGATCTCGTGGAAGCCGGTCAGGAAATTGTCGATCTGCTCCTTGACAGACTCGACGAGTCGGTACTCGACAACGCGCTGGACATAGTGCTCCTTGTTCTCCTGGGTGACGGGGATGTTGCGGCCGTTCTCGATCAAGTCGATGACTTGCTTCTCGCCAAAGTCGTCAGTTTCGATGGCGAAGGTCTCAGTAATAATATCCGTGATATCATTCTCCAGCATCCAGAGCAGAGACTTGTAGTAGTCCAGATCCAGAGATTCCATATCCTTGATAGAGACAGCCCGGCCGAGGATCTTCTTGTAAACAGCGCGCGAGAAATGACAGTCCAGAACGCGTCCCTCGTAGAGAGCCTTGGCGATGATCCGCCCAATGAATCGGAAGAACAGAAGATGCTCCGAGTTAACGCCACTGAGGCGGTTAGGGTGGAATGTGGTCCGATCAGAAGCAACGGGGGTGAATAGAGCGTAGTTAGCGTTAAACATTCCCCGAGCGAGGACCTGGAACCATTCTCGAGTCACACCACCAGCATCGACACCTTCTTCACCGTGGAAACGCACGTTGAGCTTGCCGTATTTAAGCTCATCCGCGGTCTTGAAGTAGAGGGACTTGAACGAATCAAGGAAAACCTGGTCGCGACGGACGGAGAGTTGGAGGGGAGGGTGGGGGTGACGAGGCTCAGAGCCACGAGAGTGCACACGACGGGTAAAGTAATTGCGCTTGTTGTCAAATTCCAAGACCTTGGGGTTCTTGACCAGCAGGGAGAACGTGCCACTCATCAATCGAGGGTTGGAGCGGACAAGCTCATTGAGGATCTTACGGTGCTCCTCAGTGAACTTGAAGAAAAGGTTTTCCATGCCAGGACCAACATCGGGAGCACTGTTAACAGATGCTTCTCGGCTGTTGCGGTTGATAGGTTGGTCCTTGAGAGTGGTGTTCTTGCAAACAACCATCAACGCCTCGATCAGTGGTAGAAGTATCGTAGCCACGTTAAGCATATTCTCCTTCTGGCGTATAAGAGACAGGCAGTCACTCAATTTGGTCCACAAAGGCCCGAAGGTAGCGCTTTCATAGAGTCTCTTGAGGACATCCTCCTTGGGTGCGGCTTCAGGCTCAGTACCCTTGGACTTGTCCACACGAGTAGGATCGAAGAGGTAATCGAGGGCGGTAAGGATACGCAGCAATTTGGCTTGATCGGAGCTGGCGGGGGAGAACTTGGCCAGGGCCAAGCCTTGCATGTCTGTGCCGGTCTTGGCTTGGTGGATATGAGGGAGAAGTTCCTCCAAGTCTGCCAGAATTGTATCGCTTAGGGTCTGTGCTTGCCCAACGAGTTCGTTGCCAATAACATCACGAGCTCCGGGGATAGCAGACAGATTGTTGATGGTTGAGAGTGTGTCACGGAAGGTCTTGCCATTGCATTCGCGAGCGGCAAGGATGTGAACAACCAGTCGGAAGTTGTGATCGGGAACGACGGGGGGGCTCAATGGATTTGCGCTTGCGCTTTTCCTCCTCACCAGGTTTTGAGCCATCTTTTTCGGCGGGTTTCCCATCTTCGCCCTCTGTGGTCTGAGTAGTACCTTGGTCTTCAGCAGACTCGACTGTAGGCACGGGGGGCATCTGTCATGGCGGTATCAACACCCGATGCCGAGTCAGCAGGCTGCTCAGCGGATTCCTCGGCTTGAGTTCCTTCGGCCTTCTTGCCCTTTTCCTTCTCCTCTTCTTGCTTCTCCTTCTCACGACGAAGAAGAACAGTGAGTGGCTGAGTGATGCTGCTCAAAAGAGCAGACAATTGCTCCATGCAATTGGGGCTGTCCATGATCAATTTCCGATCCAAGAGCGAAAGAAGAGCATTCAGAGCGAACTTGTTAGAACGGTTATCCTTGCCCTTGCCCTTTCGCAATGCCTTGAGTTTGAGCGAAGAGGCAGAATCATGCTCGGTCAGGAAGAACCAAGCGATGTGAGGGTTGAACTGCGAAAGGAAAGACAGTGTACCGAGGCACTGCTGAACCACCATGATAGGAGTAACGTCAGTGCTGACGCTGGAAGAAGACTGAATGGTTGGGTTGCGCTTGGTGGATTGAGGAGTCTTTTGCACACCGGGAGCCTTGGCACGTAGAGAAAGGTGGGAGAAGCTGCGTTCAATTGCGGAGGAGTCCACGCTACCGTCTTGCAGAACAGACAGAAGGAGGCTGATGACTTCGCTTCTGTTCTGTCGATTCTCACAGACGTTGTGGAGAATGTCGTTCAATTGGTGGCGAGCATTTCCTTGCAAAGGCATGAACATGAGACGAAGGAGCGTAGCAACGCCAGCCTTATCAAGCATTTGAACGATTTGACGACGCTGCTGCTTCTTGGGCTCTTGACCTTCAGCAGCCTCACCCCGTTGACGAGTCCCCGCGCCCGGAATGCCGGGAAGATCGCCAAACTGAGCGATGCGTCGACCGCCCAGAGTTCGTGCCTCCGTCAGGTACTCGGGGCCTAATGTAGCGAGAACTTCCTCGGGCTGATCAGCAAGAACGGCCTGGCGCAAGGAAGGATCTAGAGTGGCTAGGAAGCTGGCAGCATCCATGTCTTCGGCACGTGGCGGGGCGCCACCAACGTTGGCTTGTCGTCGGGCGCTATCCCGTTCACGTCGGCGTCGATCAGCGGCTTCTTGTTGGAGCAGTTCTTCACGGATCTCGGCAGGAAGAGCTTCCAGGAATTCCGAGTTAATCTCGGTTGGTTCTTCGCCCGCGGCAGCAGCCTGGGATCGTTGTTCAGCGAGCTGCTGCATGATAACTTCCTCGCGGAGTTCCTCTGGAAGCGCCTCGAGGTATTCAGGATCGATTTCCAGACCAGTGATATCAAGCTGGCGACCGCGAATGGTGGTGTGGACTCGTTCAGCAGGTTCGACTGGACCAGACTCGGGCAAAGTCGCAGTTTCTCCGGTAACAGACTCTGTCTCTTGGACGTCTTCCATCGGCTCATCACCGCCGGCAGCTTGTCGCTCAGCTTCTTCTTGCTCTTGCTCAGCCTGGCGTCGAGCATTTTCTTCTTCCTCCTGGCGCTTGCGTTCACGCTCTTCTTCTTCGCGTGCAATGCGCTCTTGTCGCTCTTTCTCGGCCCGGACTTCTTGAGCCTTCTTGCGCTCTTCTTCGGCAATGTTTTGACGTTCCTCTTCCTCCTTGAGGGCAGGGGGCACCAGGCCCTTCAGGAGGGAGTTGACAACACGTTGGCACTTTTCAACATAGGTACCGCTGTAGAGAATGCGAGCTTCCTCTTGCCAGCGGTTCTTGGTCACAGACAAGGAAAACTTCACGGCGTGGTGGGGATCATCGCGACCACGAGGGGGATTGGCTTGTCCTCGGCTGAGCCCGAACATATCATTGAGACGGTTGGTGGGGAGGACGGTGCTGCGGTCGACGTGAATATGGATGCCATCTGGTCGAGTAACAACTCCAACGCCAGGCTGGGCTTGGCCACCAATGGCTTGCATTATGGCATTCATAAAGCTCATGGGACTATCCATTGGCATGAGGCGACCCTGACCACCCTGTGCATCTAGAGCAGGCCAGTCGGAGAAGCCCTCGGGGCCTTGTCCGCGGAGTTGGGAAGTAGCATCTCCACGGTCGTTACGCATTAGCAAAGGATTAGTGCCATCATCGTTTCGTCCTCCGGGCATTTGGCCTCTGTGGACACGTTGGTAAGGTTGGATTGGTACCAAGCCGCCATTGCGACCGGGCATGATTTCGGTTACAGTTGCCCAAGCCGGTCCTGGCCCACCACGGAAGCGATGGTTATGGTGGCCACGAGGGGGTGGCAGTTCATCGCCCTCCCAACCCCATGGCTCAAGGAGATCATCGTCTAAACAAGCATCAGTAATGAAATTGAGGCACATCTCCGCCCTTGCATAGGTGCTCAGCCTACCTTCCATCTCTCCTTCAGATCCCTGATCCATCTCGTAGTCGTCATAATCGTCACCTTCTTCTTCGAGTTCGTCCATTTCGTCGTCATCTTCTGGAAAGTATAAGCGAACGAGTTCACGAAAGGGGAGAGAAGCGGACAAACCTCCTTCCTCGTTCAAGTCATCAAGAATTTCATCGTGGATATCTCCTCCCAAGCCTTCACCGTGGAGATCATCCATTCCACCGGCGGCTTCGTTCAGAGCACGGAATAAATCATTGATGCGGTGGTGACCTTCGGGTTGACGGTTAGACTGGCGCATGTCCGCCATTTCGTCCTCGAATTGGTTCATCATCTCGGCTTCTTCTTCGTCTTCGGTCATCTCTTCGCTCTCCCACTCGTCTTCTTCACCATCTTCGAGGCTGTCATTGTCATGGTCACCGGTGATTTCGTCCGCAAACATCACATCTTCTTCCATATCGGAGTGGTCGTCGTCGTCGTCCTCATCGTCGTCATCCTCATCATCATCCTCATCATCGATAATGACCTCAACAGCATCACCAGAAAGACCTTCAATGGGACCCACGCCATCCTCATCGTCACTGACAACCTCACCATCATCTTCGGGCATGTCCTCGTCGTATTCCATTTCTTCATCATACTCATCATCATACATCTCATCGTCCTCGCCCTCAGATTCCTCTGAGGAGGTCTCTTCCTCATGTCGGGGTTCGAGCATGCCGAGAGTAGAGTGTCGGAATAGATCAGGGGTTTCCTCGCGTTCGTCCTCCATGTCAGAAACAGATGTTGCCGAAGAAATCTCATCTTCATCAGCTTCGCCGAGGTTAGAGATGTCAGAGTTCTCACTAAGGAGCACGGCTGTTTGAGTAAGTTTGTTGAGGGGGCGGAGGATATACTTGATGACACGCTTAGATGAGGGGAAATTCAAATCGATTTCGGCGACAGAGGCTGTCAAAGCAGGAATGAAATGCTTCTCGAACATCGTCTTCGCGAGTTGTCTTGTGGAAGACGGGAATCCTGCATCCTGGGAGTAAGAGTAGCCGCTAAGCATCTTATCAAAAAGATCGGCCAGGGACATCAACTTGGAATACTTGGAATCCAGAGGCTCAGTAGAAGCATTGGCATCCTTGTAAGATCGAAGAGCGTGCTCTAGAACGAAACGGCGCACAAAAGCAAGCTCGGGTTCGTCTTCTTCGTTGCGCTTGTGTTCGTTTCGACGACGGCCGACGCCGCCGAACTCGCCGGTCTTGGTGCAAAGAGCAACGAGAACTTGCATCGTCCAGCCAGAAGTGATGCTGCGCTTCTTGAATGAAAGCGACTCATCGTGCTCCATAGTTCCGATGGGGACAAGTACGTTCAACAAGTAATTGAGAATTCCAGAACGAGGCTTCGAGGGTGTTGTAGCCAAGGGGTCGGCCTTGCGGGAGAAATTGATGAACTCCACCTTCGTCCGGTTGTAGGAGGATAGAAGCTCGGTCAGACATTGAAGCAAGAAGCAGCGATAAATGTAGATGGGGTGATCCTCTGCCTTGAACGTCGGCTTTTCACCCTTCTTTGTAGTCGTGGTAGGGTTGGCAGCGCGGTTGGGCTGAGAATCAGCAGCGCTACTCGCAATAGAAGGCGTTGGCTCATCAGTACCCATCTCGACATCAGTTTGAGGATCGGTCTGCTCAGCAGTAGACTGTTCAACCGGCTCGGTGGTTTCCTTATCATCCACATCCTTATAAGACAGAATTTCGGACAGGAGATAATGGATCACACCATCTGGATTCTCCACCACAGGTGGTTTGAGCTCGGCAGTCTTGGCCTGATTTTTGCTGTCCTTGTCCTTATCGTCTGAAGCGGCTTCCTCTACCGGAGCGGCTGTCGAATCCGACGCTTCACCTGCTGGCTCATTCGTGTCATCTTCGAGGCCCTTACCCTGGCGGAGACGCGTAGTGCGGTCCTTGTCAGCCTTCAGACCAAGAATCTGCGGCCGCTGTGAGCTGTCATAGCGAAGGAGTCTCAGTTTCTCGTTGGTGACCTCGACAAAGATTTCAGGCGCCCTGAGGACGAGGTGGTACAATTGTCGAACGTAGCCGGTAGTGTCGATTTGGCGAGTATTCTTAGACTCAAAGTTAGCAACGATCTCAGCGCGCATGATTTGGCGGATCGTAGCCTCGTCTTCAACAATGTGTCGCAGAATGATCATGAAGGAGCTTTGAAGCTTGTCATTTGTTGCGCTAGCCAACTGCTTGACCATAACGAAGAGGCGCTGAAGGTTTCGCTTTTCGCCAAAACGAGCCGCAATGCTGCGCTCGCGAGTGAGGATGACTAGGACACGGCAGATAGACAAAGCAAGGGTCTCATCCCTGCCCACGCGAGGAAGAATTTCCACCAGAGCCTCAAAGAGCTTGGTCTTTTCCTCCAGAGAAACAAGAGGTTCCTCGAGTCGAGCGGGACCATCGTTATCAGCGCTGGGGTTTTCGGGATTAGGAGGGGTCCATGTGATAACAGGTGGCTTGCAGTCATCGGACAACAGTTTCTCCATAATCAGCAGGACATGGCCAACCCACGGGAACCTTTCGTCGTCAGCCTTTTCAGGGAGCTTGACGAAGCCGAGGAAAGTTGAGAAGCAATCCTTCAGTTCCTCGAGAGTTGCCGTATACATGTCGCGGTCTTGCAGGACCAATGCGAGAATGTGTGCATAAGCAGCAATCTTCTTGCCGGCAGTCTGGAAGTTCTCCATCTGCAGAGAGACGAGGGACTGAACAAGAGTTTCTCCGATATCGCGACGGAAGTTCTCAGGCTCGGGATGCTTTTTAATGGCAGAAGAGATAAGGTCCGCGAGCTCGAAGGAAACGTCATGGTGCTCGTTCAAAACGTCAAGGCATCGATCGATGAGATTTGAGCGGATTTGTTCCCGTTCCACGTCCAGGGACTCGACTGTCACTAGTTGGCGGCGAGGAGCGGATTCACTCGGGGCTGCGGCAGGAGCCGGAGGAGGAGCATTGATCGGTTCGAGGGGCGGCCCATCGTCATGGGACTGCGCATCGCGAGTTTGGTTTGAAGATTCAGCCTGGTCATCTGTGGCCATGTCATCGTCGTTCAGAACATTGTGAATTGCACGAGCCAAGCCGTCCCGCATGAGAGGATCCATATCTTGCCCATCACCTTGTTCGGGGTTCATCGGGTCATCAACAGGTCGTCCTGCCTGAGCCAGAAGCATTGCGAGACCAGAGCGCTCAAGGAAACCGCCACCGTTGAACAGCGCACCCTCTGGGCCAACAGGCTCATCCGCAGCTTCTCCGCCTGAAGCAGTGTCAGAATGACCGGTTTGAAGATCGTTGGGGCCCGGGGGAAGTCTTGGCGGAGCTCGGAGCCAATTCTGTGCTTTGCAGTATTCTTCTGCATTGACGAGCGCATTGTTGCAACGATAGAGGGCCTCCTTATTCAATTCATTGTCATTATATCCCTTTTCCACCAGAGATGCGGCCCGTTCTTTGCTGACCACAAATGCACGGCGAGGCGTCTCGGACAGAGGAGGCTGGGTATCTGACTCATGAGCAGCTCCGCTCTCGTACTCTCCGTCCAGAGATGACCGAAGGATATCAATAAGGCACTTGATGACCGAACTTTCGGATTGAGTCGCAAAGTCGGAATTCCACATCTCCTGGGCCATGGGTAGAATCTGCATGCGAAGATCGACGATGAATTGACCCGAATGGAAGTAATCGGAGCTGCCACGGTCACGGTCTTGATGACTGGTCAAGGCCTGAGTCTGGCTGGAGTCGACGATACTCTTTCCTCCCGCGAGTTCCGAAAATAGAGCAAGGATAATCTTGATTCCACCGTAGGCAGATGTGAGCTCATCGGGCATTTTCTTATCGGTATAAGGGGCGTATTCCGAAGGCTTGAGAGACTGGATCTCACGCATAAACATTTGGCTAATCTCCTTGAGAACATTCAGACCATTTTGTCGCTTGAAAGCCACGAGGACCATTGTCAAGTAGTTTGACTGAGGACGCTCATTGGAGACCTCGTATAGAAGATGCGAGAACGAGGAAAGGGTCACAATGAGATACGCGAATCGATGTCTCGGGCTGTCAGAAGAGTTTGCAGCAGCCAACTGAAGCTGTCGAAGAACAGATTCCGCTATGGCATCAGCAACCATTGTGGCATTCTGTTTCGCCTTTTGATCAGTAGTAGGTCGTCTCTTGGTAATGAGGCTGAGTCCAAGGTTGTGGAAAAAGCCAGTGACAGAGGATGGTAGGCCACTCAAGAGGTAACGAAGGGCTTGGGCATTCTTGAAAGCAGGGGTCTCTTCGTCTGGCTTGGCCTCATCATTCGCGGTCTGCTCGGGTGCAGGAGTCTTGCTGCCCTCGGCAACTGTTGTTCCTTCGCGCGAGGCTGCAGTTGCAGAAGCCGTGGCTTGCTGAGGTTGTGAGTTATTCTTTGCATTCTGGTTGCTAGTAATACCAGTTGACTGCACCCATTTCTCGGGGATGTTCTTTTCCAGCATGATCTCTTCCCAGACACATGCTGCTTGGAGATCACCAAGCGAGGCAACCAATGTACAATAACGATCCGCAAGATTGACTTGAGCGAAAGGAGCAGTTTGATTAACCGATCGGGTCTGATATAGCGGCAAGGCGAAAACCTCGCGCAGAAGATCAGTCAGAATCAGAACAGCATTCAGGTGCTTGGCGAAGAATGTGCCATGTTGAGCGGCGAGTGTGGGCTCTGTGGTCGGTTCACTTGAGTCATTGGGCTTGATCAGTGCAGTGAAGAATCCAGAAGGACTGGGGGATGTCGAGAAGGCCGAAAGGTTGTTCACTGCAAGCTGCGCGCGGTCCACCAGGGAAGGTATGATGAGGTGTGGTTTTGTCTCAGCGAGCATGTGAACAAGGACCGTCAATTCTTGGTTGGCATCTGTGCTGTGGAAATGGAAAGACATGCCCTGGAGCGTAGCATAGTCAAGGACAAACTCCGACCCTCCGGCCTGGATAAAGGCTGTGCAATTCGGCTGGTTTTCAAAGAAGGCACCAAGGAAACGAATAGCAGGGAATATATAGTCTGTGAGTGTTAAACCATGCTCATCATAGTCTTTAGGCTCGAAGCTAGCATCTGGCGAGGGAAGCAGGCTTTCTAGGGCACCATAACTGAGCTTTCCACCGTTGGGCAGGGCAACCGAATTCAAAGAATGTATACCGAGGAAGCGGGGGTTTTCCACCGACGCATCAACAGCGACGCCGATATCCCGGAACAAAGATGCGATATCCCCAGAAAGGACAGATTGACCCTGTGAATCCTGAGTCCATAACTTTGTACCGAGACCCAGCTCCCAAGCCTTGACCCGACCAAGAATATTGACACGAGCCGCCATCACAATGACGGCGGACATGATTGATGTCTTCAAAGCGGGGTGGTGACGAATAAGCTCGTCAAAAGTTGTACCAAGGGAACGGATCAAATTGGGGGTCTTCTTTCAGACATTTGATGTGCTCCGGGTTCTCGAAGATCTCGAAAAAGCTTTCAAGAGCGTCGGAGGACTGGAATAGATCCAAGCCAGACGAGTTCAAGCAAATGGCTCCAAATGCCGCAGGAATACAAGCCAGCGCGTCGGCAGCAGCGATGATTCCGGGAGCGAGAGGGGTGTTTCGGGGCCGCGCAAGAACATACTCACGGCCTGCTGACTTTTTAACCTCTGCTGGAGTAGGCTCAGCAGCGGCTGCAGGTGCTGACGGTGTAGCCTCAGTGCCAGCAGCTTCAGGCTCAATAGCGGCTGGCTTTTCCTCGGCCTGGAGCTCACGCCCCATCACAGCCGCAAGTAAACTCTTGCTAAGTCCAGCTTCGGCAATGACCGCATAACTAGTGGGCTCGTTGTGAATGAAACTGCTGAGGATATTGACAGCATTGCTCCAGACATGGGAACCGAAGATCCGAGCATTCTCGAAGACCAATCTCAACGAGGTCAACAATTGGGGAGAGTCAATCAGATTGCGCAGGACTCGATCGAAACCTCCACCATTATGCTGCATGATGTGGTTGACAAAGCGGAACATCCACCGGAGGGTTTGCTGCTGAAAATAGGGGATCTGATAATCGATGGAAGGGTTCTTATACTGGTCCGGGAACCCAGCTCCACTAGAAACATTCTCAAATGCTGTCTTGGTCTCAAAGTCAATCAGGTCAGAGATAGCATCGAACCCCTTGGCAGCAGTCAGTGTACCAAGAGCATCGCGAACGGCGTGCACAAAGGTGTCCAGGAATTCCATGATTCGTGAGTAGACCCGGCGAACTTTGCTGGTGCGGAGGTTGAGGATATCAACAAACATCGGAATCAAGCCAGCCGCGACCAGTGTCTCTGGAGTGCGCGAACTCGAACTAGGAAGCGTCCGCAGAAGAGCGAGTAGTGCATCCCGCCATTCATCGTGGAAAGAATCATCGGTGTCATCATCCTCGGCGCCCAGTTCATTAACTACTTTGCGAGTAAGGAACATCAATACGCCATGGTTTACATTGACGCTCAAAGCAGCACAAACATCAATAGCGCGAGATTTGTGCTTCGCCAAGGCATCAAGTGCTTGGATTGCCAATGTTTGTAATGTTCTCGAAACCGTAAGGTCGCCACTAGCGCCAAGGTGAACAATCTCGGCAAGTTGGTAGGTCAATTGAAGGCGTTTTGACTGTTCCAGGTCGTACTGCAGGATCTTGTGTTGGAACGCAGACTCTGTCTGGACATAAGCCAGATTCGTCACGGCCAAGATACGAATCGACAGGATTTGCTCGCGAGTTTCCTGTGATCCTGACAATGCTTGAGCCACCCGAAGCTTATGAAGAAGCTCGTACTTCGCTTCCACGGGTAAATTTGGTGCATTCGATGCGATAATATCCTCGGCCTTTGCTGATAAAATCTGGGAGTACGTGAGATCCAAGATTTTGCCATTTCGAGATGGCTCCTCGGTCTTAGCACCACCGCCGCCACCAGTATTGGGCGCGGGAACTGGAGTCTCATCCACGTTCAAGCCCCGGCTTAAACGTGGGGTAGGTTGCGTTGCGCTCCGACGCAGCGGGGTTGGCGTGGTCGGAGTGTTGGCATCTTGCTCGCTTTTCCCAAAATCGGATGTTGTTCTTGTCTGCTCGGAGTTTCCAGTGGGGTAGTAGAGCACGCGAAGGTTGCCCCATTCTTCCCAGCCATTTTCATCGCGCACAAGCGAAACCAACTCATTCGCATTCAACTTGGTCGAGGTTGGGGGGGGTCTTTTCCTTGGTTTTGCCGCCAACAGCAGGGGAATCGGCGAATGGAGTTTGACTTGTGACAAACGGGCGAGGGAACGGTGCAGCGATCTTTTGCAGTTTCTCCAAGTCAATATTGTAGTGTGTCGCCAGCATAGTCTGCTGTTGATGACCCCTTTGACGCGAGTGGTATCTTTGGGCTAGACATAGGGCAAGGCGTAAGGTGGACTGGAGAAGAGAGAGTGAAGTGGTATTCAAAAGGTCGCCTAGTCGCTCACTACTATTGTAGAGGCTGCGGTTCCCGCATTTCTCAAGTAGGAGGCGCGAGAAGTTCAAGATCGCCTCCACCAGCTCCTTGTCTCCGTCCAGGCCATACCCAAGGTTATTCAGTTTGGCATCGATGCCCTCCGCCGGTGTCTTGCTCGGATCGGCAGCATAAGACTCCTCCAGGACACTCCTCGCGAATGATTGAGTCTGTGGGCCGGTGTTCAGGAAGTATTTTTCGATGACGGAGGCTAGGATTTCATCGAAGCGGTCTAGAACGGTGATCCAGTGGTAAAGGTCGCCGCGAGGAAAGGGCCATAGCCTAGGGAACGAGTTCAGGTGTGCAGGAAGCTCTGGAATAGGAAGATTTATAGATTTCCCGATAAATTCTTCGAGAAAAGGTGACTATATCAAGTAGGAAAAATTTTAGTCGGAATGCAGATGGGGGGGGGTGGAAGTGAGTGTGGATCGATCAACTCTTTCATCACGGAACGGGGAACATACGATTGTAGCCTCATGCTTGCGGCTAGCCACCTTCTTAATTCTCCCCATGTTGACGATCAGAGGGACAGCCAACCATGAGGAGGCGTTGAAAATCCAGGAGAAGAGCCTCCCAGAGGGTGGAGTGGGGAGGTCGAGACAACCGGGTCGCCGAACAAGCGCGAGGGTGCCTTATGACGTTTTTGGGTCCTCTTCTCCGGCCGCGCGAAAACTGAGTCGATTTGGAGACGTGGGAACGCGCGAATCGTATAGCAGGCGAGGGTTTGATGTCGGGCGGAATAGAAGAATAAGTAATAGATGATCAAATCGAGCTCTGAGATCGAGAATAGCTCAGGCTGGATGGAGGATGGAGGTATGGGTTGCAAGTGTCAAAATGGGCCAGGGAAAACGGGTGCAGGTCGTTTGGCCCTGGGGAGGGATGACAATCGGAAAATGATCAAAAGAAAAAAGTTGAGAAAGTCGAGAAGAGAAAGATGGAAGGTTGGGGGTGGGAGTGGAAGAAAGAGGGAAGAGGGGGGAAGTGCAGTGGAGGAAGAGAAGGTGAAAGAAGAGCCTGAGCTGTCCGTAGAGCTGGACTGAATTGGCAGGTCTCCCTCTGCAGGTGAGCGGGACTGCGGTGGGCTTGGGGGGGGAGTTCCCGGAGGCTCAGGCGCTAAGGCACACATTTGGGCATAAATACTGCATACTAGTAGCAAAGTTTGCTTTTGTTCTGCTTGGATTGTTTTGGATTTTTAGATTTAATTTAATTGTTCCATGTATCCCGGTGATTTGTACTTTGTAACCTGGGAATTACTAGATGAGGTTAGTTGTGCCATTTCTAGTTTAGCGCCCTATCTGTAAGCTCCCCTCCAGGCCGGAAACAAAGGCCGGGTTTTAACTATCGATGTTGTACTTATTAAAATAAGTGTAGCAGGTCTATGCCCAGGTGGGCGGATGCCATTATGGTGATTTTTCTAGGTGGAAAGGTGGCTATTGTCGGTGTCAGCTTCCCAGGTCCTCACATTATGGTTATAAAATGGGACAAATCCCACTTCATCGGGCCAACTTCGATTGAAGACTGGGCGGAGGATCATTTTCGCCGGCTATCGCAAGGAATACAATAAGATCACAGTACTTCAGCTTGGATTCTTAAACCTGGGTAATAAAATAATTTTCATTTTACATCAAAGAAAGAGTTGCATTCATCAACCAGATACACCAAATATAAGTCTCTTCAACACCATCGTACCTCTGCCTCTTCATCCATCACGAATATTTCGCCTTGGGCAGCTCTCCATCCCACTGCACCTTCATAGTCGACGGATACGGCGAAAAACTGCTCTGCTCCGCGTTCATATACATCGTGATTCCGCCCAGTGCGGGAATCTTCTTGAGTTGACCCTGAGGACCCGGGGTGCGACGGAGATTCTCCAACTGTCCCACAACTCGGAGCATAGTGGGCAGGGCCACTTGGCAAACCTCCAAACCGAGACACTTGTGCGGACCAAATCCGAAATGAATATACTCATCCAGGTCCCGGTCCAAGCGAACCTGTTCGGGGTCCGGGAATGCCTTGGCATCATGACTGGCAGCCACCTACATTGGGTAGCCGAATTAGTACCAGGAAATAGGGAACGCAGTAAAATGCGGGAGAGCATAGCACAATAGTGCGACTTACCAAGTTGCAATAAATATTCTGTCCGGTCTTCAATGTCACTTTCTCCCCGTTGTCTTCGATGACGGTTGGCTTAGCGACTTCTCGCGGCAATGCCACCGATGATCGGATACGGGCACCTTCCATGAAACTAGTACAAAGAGCGTTAGCAAAGTGACAATTTCAAAGACAATCAAATGATCAGAACTCACTATCGCAGAAGCAGCTCATCGGATTCCGGGGTATGTTCCTTCGACAGTCGCTGGATCTCAGCCAAGTGAGCAGCATTCTCTTTCTCCAGATAAAAGTCCAAACACTGAACGAATAGCTGCGCTTGGTTGGCAACCATAGAGCTTGCCGATGGAAGAATGTGAGTCCAAACAATCTCCTTGGGCGGCAGTCCACTGTCCAACAGGCGCTGGATCATATGAACACCATAATCACTCAAGGCATCATGACGATGGAGGCGATTCACAATATTAGCAATAAACCCGGCCTTGTCGACAAGCTCGACGTTCGCCATCACTAGTTCACCAAGCTGCTGTGCAACCTGGCGGGAAGCTTGTTCAAGCTGGAAGGACTTTGCGACATCAACGTCGTAGAAGATACACGTGAAGATCAAAGCCATGATCTTGTAAAGCTCCATCTCGCTGAAAACGCCTCGAGGGTTGGACTCAGTCTTTAGCGACAGCGAAAAGATATTGGCGCAGAAATTTATCTGGGCTAGATTGGACACGTCGCGGCAGATATCGACCTGGTTGACGCCTGCAATTTTATACGAGTGTTTTTTCAACAGTTGCAGGGTGATGTCTTCGTAGAAGGAGCGTACTTCCGAGTCCCATTTGTCTCGGTACAGGGCATTTCCAATCATTTTCCGGGATGCTGCGTTGGGTGGATGATCCCCTGAGAGCATGAAGTCTCGGCCAAAGGACTGGCCATCGCGGTGAAGAATAAACTCAAGTTTCTTGCCCCATGTTACCTTGAATGTATCGGGGTCAGTTAAGACTGACTTGCAGGCGGCCTGGGAGTTGATGAGGCGGGGAATAGGTCGGAGTGTAGGCCGGTCAAAGCTGTATGTGCTACCAAATCCAAGGCTTGTCAAGATCTTCTTGTTCTCGCTGGGAACCACCATTGGGAAATGCGCATATACTGAGTCTCCGCGGATGTGGTTGGGGAATGCCCTCAGAGCGAGCTTGTAGAAGACGTGACCATGGTCGACAGAGGTGTCATAGCTGATCTCATTGAAGGCCCAGTTTGTGAGGTTCTTAGGAGTATAGTCAACTGTGTAAAAGCGATCGCCGCGGACAAGAGCAACGGCATCGGAGAGAATGGCCCGAGAAGTAGTAAAATTGGCGCACAAGCCACTGCCAGGAACCATTGGCTCTTTGGCATCTTCGACGATCAATCCAGGGTACATCTCCACAAGATCTGGGTGGTCATAAAGATTTCTGAGTTGATCAGCGATATAGGGATCTGAGTTGATATCTTCGAAGGTTTTGTGAGGAGTCAGGTTGAAGAAAGTACGGAATTCGTTCAGGGTTGCCAGGTTCCAGGACCGGGCCTGCTTCATCCCGAGCACTTCAATGCTCTTGAAAACAGCAGGTACATTGGAAGCGCCATAAGCTCCGGCCACATCTTCAACTCCCTGTTCGAAAATCTGAACCAGGTCGTCGTCATCGAAGGTGCCATCAGCAGTACGCTGCAGCTTCGCAAATGGACGTTCAACGGGGTCGGTAGGAAGTTTTGCTTCCCAGTGACCGAGCCCCATAGCAAACTGCTGCAGGTTGATATCATTAGGATTCTGCCCCGCAAATATCTCCTCGTACAAGTCCTCTGACCACTTCTGGTCGCGGGCAGAGACACATGAATGCCATCGGTAGACAAGGTTGAATTCAGCAGACACTTGGTTTCCAGTAGCTTCCGCAGCAGCATCGCCCAGTAGACCATCCTTCATTTCTGATCTAGGATCCAAACTCCATGCACTATTGGTACGGTTCAGGTTAAGAATCGTTCGGACGTAATCCTTCATGATGATGTTGACGTATAGACCGCAGGTGACAAGACGGGCGGTCTGGAAGAGGTCATTATCCCATGTGGCATAAGCTTTGGCATTGGACTCGTCGGGCTTCGTGAAGCGGCCACCTTCATTGATTTCTGCCAGTTGTGTCACCACGTAGTTGTGGAAGCGGTTAAACATGATGAGCATGACGCCAACTCCGGGAGGGAAGCCCAGAATTCGCTTGGTGGAGAAACAATCAGGCTTGAGCTTTCCATCCTTAAAAGTCCTCACTAGATTCTGTTCTTCCTGGTTATTACCATAAAGCGGAGACAGGTCCAGATATGAAGAGGTGTTTGAAATCGAGCTGTCCTTCCGATCCGTCTGGAAAAGGTCTGTTCCTAATTGTCAGCTTGGTCCGAGGAATTGGATCTCAATTGGGGCTTGTTTTCGGGCTTTTTCTTACCGTGAATGATGATAGACGCAAGATAAAACAGGGTGCTAGATATTTTATTTGGGTGTTCCTTGAAGCTCTTTCGGGCTAGCAGGCTGTCGAAAAGAACCTCTGGCTCTGGAAGAGAAGCCGACTGAACGGTTACTGGTCTGACGGACCTAGCATATGCAGTGCCTGCAGCGCCTAATTTTGGCCAAAAGACGTTCTAACCGTGTTAGTAAGGTGATTATATCGGCTGGGTCATATGGTAGGTCATACATTTCCTGAGCCATCGGCGCTGCGGTACAAAGCATCACGGCCAAGATACCTTTCCACGTCATGAACATTAGTACTCTGTACCACGCATTTAGGTAGTATCAATGATATGGGAGATAGGACCAGACTCACGATCTTGGCGGGTGTTCCAAATCATTCCAAAGCGTACTGAGGAAAGTATTTGTTAATCCTTTTCCAGCCCGAGATGTCGCAGGCAAATCGGCCGCAAGCTAGGCAGATGTGAGAATGAGATACTCCAAAATTCGACCACAGGAAACAAACCTGAACAATTCCCTCCATAACGTAGTCTTTGTCATTGAGCGGCTCTCCGCTAAAAGCGCTTTTCGCAACCTCGGCGAGCGTCTTAACATCATTCAAATCGATGTGCTTCAGGTCCTTGGCAAATCCAGTCACCTTCTTACTCTGGATATAGGTCCCATCGCCGGTTTCAGTAGGCAGGGGTCTCAGAGATGCCTCAACAACTTTTTCGATTTTTTCAATTGGGTTTTCTCTGCCATTGGCAGCTCCGTTGTTATTCTCAGACATCGTGGAAGCTGTGAGTAATTATACAAATGATAAAAATAGAATGTTCAAGCTGTAGAAGAAGGTATAACATTAGCTGGGGAGTCAAATATCAGAAGTAAAACGAAATTCTATTTTATCCGGGATTCGAAATTGGGAATTTTGTCCATCCTTGAAGAGGGGTAGTGGTAGTTGGGGCTAAAGGGTAACTAATGAGAATAGCAAGGAGTCGTCATACCAATTCAAAGGATAAAAACGCAAAGCCGAATGTCTGGATGGAGCAATGGTCTTCGGACCAATCGCGTACAAGGAATCGAGGGGGTAATCAAGAACAATCGCGATTCAACAAGTACAGAGCATGGAATATTGTCAAGAAAAGAAATTTCCCATCATGAGGACACATCGGAGGGTATTGGGGCAATTATAGGCTTCCAGCGGCGTAATCCGAGGCAATACGACTGGGCAAATACGGCTGGGGCTGTTCAGCCGTACCCAGGCTACCGACTCCATCGATTTCCAGAGACTTGGCTTGATCCGGTGATAGTCTGTCATCTAGCGCCACAACCCTAACCACCCAGCTGCCAGTGTGTGCCTTGGTGTCTGCATGGGAAAAGACAGACGACGGGGTGCCCCACCGCAATGTGAACAATGGGGCTCTCCTTATTCGTGCGTCGAATCGCATGTGAGGAACAGAATAGCGTACAGTGCCGCCTCTGTCTGTTTCCGCAAGACTGTAGAGAAAACTCACTGAGTGAAGTTCGGTCAAGAAAAAGGCCTCATATGGGTTAAGGCCTGCTGTTTCTGTCCAGGTACCCTCGTCGTGACCAGGTCCAGATGGTGTCCGTGTCAGGCCTGAAGGAATGGGGCAGTCGGCCTAAACTATCATTGGCACAATGACAGGCCAGCTTATCCAGTGGCGATCTGCAACTGGCCCCGCAGTCAAGTAATCCACGCATTTCATAATGTCTTGTCGCTCTTTGGAGAGCACGGGCTGCATCAATATGCGGGTAAGAAAAATATAGATTCATGAAATTTCCCAATATTCTTTCTTATGAGAGATCTGGACCATAATCAGACCTGAGGACTGTGGGTTTAGGGGAGCTGATTGGGTCCGCCATTCGGGCAGACTAGCCGATGCTGCACAGCCGCGCCGTTTGCTCAAGTGAGCTGATATCCGGCCGGGTTTCAGAAAATAATCCAGGCAACGAACAGTGGATTTTGGCCCCAAATCGTACTCCGTCTCTGCAGGGGTTTCCACTCAACCCGGGCTTCCGGGGCTCTCCACGAATCCGATCTGGCCTTACAGGGCAATCCTCGAGATTGAAGACCATTCAGCTCGTCCGGATTGAGTCGCTTATGGAGGTGCAGCTGGAAAACGGCCCCAAATTCTGGCTGCTGGATCCCAGGATTGAATCAGCGAATAAACGAACAGACGTTGTCATAGCTGACAAGACGGCTCGTTTAGCGTGCTGATGGCAGATGTATAGTATGAAATGAGGCTTGCATTACCGCACCACCGTCGAGTGACCTTCGTATTTCCTAGCTGCTGCCAAGTAGAGTCGTCCCTTCTAGCTGACTCGAAATTATTGAAAATGACATCTTCCAGGATGATGTAGTAAAAGTGTATTGTGTTCTGTTCTGTTCTGTTTTGCTCTGCTCTGCCCTTATGGAGGCAAGAGATCCGATGTTCTTGCCTCAGGTGTCAGCGTCATGTGACTTCATGGATGCCGAGGTCGAAGTGATTGCCAACAATTTCTCGATGCTTCGCGTGACCCCAACAAGCTCATCAGGTCCTCTCAATTTGCCTGAAACATCTTCAGCTTTTGAATTGAAGCTTGTCAGCACATAATGGCCAAGATCACTCTCACCGTGGAGCCTCGTGGTGAGCATACAAAGATCCCCACGACCAAGTCCTAGCTTTAGGGGATAATCCCAACAAGTCTTCAAAATACTGACAATGAACAGGCAAGCCCATCCGGAGGCTCCCCAAGACTCTCACCATTGCGCTTGATGCCTCTGGTGAAGATCTGCACAAGATGATCGCCGATGTCTCCGGTTCTTCAGTCCACCGTCTGCGAATCACCAAGGGAAGTGACCGCAGCGTCGTCCCCAACGCCAAGGATACGACCATTGATGATACCGGGCTCCGAGAGTCCAGCGTGATCCATATCAAGGATCTAGGTACGTCAAATACCGGCATCGCTTGAACTGATACCAATACATTGGCAGCAGAGCATGCGGACATGCCAACAGCCTACACCCCGCAGCTCAAGAAACACATTCTAACAAACATCCAACAGGACCCCAGATCGCCTGGCGCACCGTCTTCATCATCGAGTACCTCGGTCCTCTCCTGATTCCCGCACTCTTCCTCTTCCCTCTCCGTCCCCTTCTCTACTTCAACTTCGACACCATCCCCGCTCCCTCCGACACCCAACTCCTAGTCTGCGCCCTCCTAACCCTGCACTTCCTCAAGCGCGAGTATGAGACAATCTTCGTGCACCGCTTCAGCAACGCCACCATGCCCGCCCGAAACATCTTCAAGAACAGCGCGCACTACTGGGCCCTTGCCGGATTCAACATTGCTTACTGGGTCTTCCGCCCGGACTCGGTCGCCGCCGTCTCCGAGCCTAACCCGCTCCTGCAATATGCCGGTCTTACCCTGTTCGCCTTTGGCGAGATCTTCAACTTCAATGCCCACCTTATTCTGCGCGGCCTTCGTCGCCCGGGTACCACCGAGCGCGGCATTCCCCAGGGCTTCGGGTTCAACATGGTTACCTGCCCCAACTACATGTTTGAGATCATTGCTTGGTTGGGTATCTGGCTCGCCAGTCAGTTGAACTGGAGTGTGATTATCTTCACTCTTGTCGGTGGGCTGCAGATGTGGAGCTGGGCCTGGAAGAAGGAGAAGCGCTACCGTAAGGACTTTGGCGATAAGTATAAGAAGAAGCGCACTGTCCTGCTGGCCGGTATTTGTTAAAAGATCGATGTGCCCTGCCCCGACATACAACGGGTTTGTACGCAGAAATCAAGATTGACTTCTGTGAGTCGGGCTGAAATGCCCAAAACAATCACAGCCATCACCCGAGTCTATTCGATTCTATCGGCATACACTTATCTGCCATATTCAAATAAAAAGCGGTTTTAATATTCTTCTGTGGGAGCTCGAGACAAGAATCGGTGAAGGAAGTGACGGGAATGCGACGATAATGCATACATTCTATTATTGAACATAGACGGTGGGGGAGATAGGACCGAGGGCATTTTGTCCTCAGTATCGGTTTTTTGCTGCTTGAACAAATTTGATTTCATCTTTAAAAGATAATATACTACGTCCATGGTCTGCTGTAGAAATGCCTACTTAAGTATATACTAGTGGTATTCATATGGTGCTCTCTGGCAATCAGGAATAATACTATCTAATCACTAGTAGATGTTCCGGGTATACCAAAGCAAAGCTTCAAAAGAATTAATAAACACTGCATTCTATTACTGAGCATATGTAGAAAATAATGACCATGTTTCCTTTAGGCCCGACCGTATGCACGCCAAAAGTAAAAAAAGCACAACCACGCTATATGGGAAATATTACCGGGAAGACCATGAACTCCAAGCCAGATAAACATCGTAACTGATGCACCTCAGCGGCGCAAGCCATCCATTCTGGATGAGACAGACATCAAACATTTTTCGCCTTCTTCTGCCAGAGCATATAATACGGATCCAGTTCGTCGCAATCGCCGCCTTTTGCTTCACACCCGGGGAAACGAAGGACGAGATCACCGTCCTTGTAGGTTCCATCCATAGACGCACCAGGCGAGTCTTTGCTGTAAGCATTCAAAACGCGTTGCGGAACTAAAGCCGTTCGAGCGAGAACTGTCGGGTGCCATTGAATGATATGGTCCTAGACGGTAAATGTTAGTCAAATATATCTATCAATGCCTCCAGTCCAGCGCGCAGCTATCGGGATTTCAATCATACCAGACCATGCGTTTCGGCCTTTGCAAATCCATAGCTGCGAAACAGCGGATCAAACCAAAGATCAAGGAAATAACGGGCAAAATCGCCATTCTTGAGGATAAAGCTGCCAGGGCTGAGATCCTCGCTGTCCCGCGTAACGATCAGGTCCACGTCCTTCTCCTTAAGATGTGGGAATGTTTTGATGATGCTATCTGGCGGGACGACGGGCACGTCCTTCATCATCAGCGATTCCAGTTTGCTCCGATCTAATAGGTGCGACTTGAGCGACTTGGTTGGGTCCATGATCAGCGCATGGGCGCTGAGGTAGAAGAAGTATTTCGAGCTTGGATTTCTAGCAAGGGCGTGTCGGACGGCGGGGAGCGTAGCCCAGCTTCGGGGTGAATCGCCGATGGCTTCTTCATAGTCGGATGTGCTTGCGAAGAAGTTCGTATAGCCTGATGGGCAAGACGAGTCAAGGTTAGCTACCTTAGGTAATAAAGCTTTGAGGGGTGAGTTTGGAGATGTAAAGCTTACCGTGACGCTTTGCATAATCTTCGCGATTGGTCACGATCTTCTTGATGAAGCTCTCACTTAGCGCCTTTCGATCCAGAACCGTGACGATCACCACGCCTGAAGTGCTAGCCGTTGCGGCCACAGCAGATGTCGAGGTTGAAGAGGTAAAGTAAGAGAGGAGGTAGAGGATTGTGGCAATTGCGATCGCAGCTACAGCGATGGTCTTCAGCTGTTTCCTGCGGTGGTAGGACAATCGAGTCGATCGGGCGCTGGGGAGAGGATGGGGACTCCTCCGCGGAGGTAAAGCGAACTGCATTGCGAGGGGTGATACCCAGCGCGGTGTTGCTGGGCGGGGATGAGATGGGACGGAATAAATCAGACCATCTTACAAAGGTGGACGAAGGAAGGCTTCACGGGGGTTGAGATTCCAGTTGTAGAGTGGTTACAATGACGAGGTTGGATGTTCTGAAGTTCAAGTTCCAGAGTCCAGAGTCCAGAGCTTCCTTTCCGCCAAATCTCCGAATCCGGCCGTGTCTCTGCCTGCGCATTCCAACGTCCTTGAATATTGCCCGTTTCGAGTTAGTATTTGATTACAAAAGATAGAAGATAGATAACGCTTGAATTTGATTTTTTTTTTCTATCTGGCAAATATTACCACTTAGGCGATCAAGTGCCGGTTTGTAGTTTTCAAGTTGTAGAAGTCTTGGCCGGGTACTAGTTAATAAGATCATAGTAGTAGTATTACTACTAGTACTAATAGCCTGGGGCTATGAAAGAACCCTGGAAAGCCCTGGAAAGTTGCATTCATCAAGAAAACTATTCAACACAAGACTAGTAGTTATCAATAGCAGAGATAACCTAATCAAAGTTTTAGAAAAGTGGTTCAGGCATTGGGGGTCTCCGGGAAGGTTGGAACTTGAAATATATATGGTGCAGTGCTGCAGAGAGAATCACCACCATCCTCTAGGAGATAAAAACCAACCTTGGACCTTGAAACCTGAAGACACCTGGGCCGCATCTATGGATTTCAATTGCACCGCCTGCTGCATATATACCATCATTTGAATACTAGAATAATTACAAAATCGAGTCAATTACACTCAGGCGACTTGATTACGAGTAAAACTTGATCTCAGATTGTAACATGTAGATGTGATTGGAGTATAAATACAGGAAATTTAATATGCAAGCCCAGTAGGAGCCCAGGTGAGTCGCTCATGGTGTTGACAGAGAAACAGTGGCTGGGCAACTCGGCGTAAAAGAGATGCTCAATCGCGTCAACCGATTTGTTGCGATAATGATACAATAGGAGGAGCGCTCGTCCAAAGCATCCTGGCCGATGCAGGATAAAAGCCAAAAAAAGAAGAAAACAAAAGACACCGATGTATCTCAATCAAATCAATAAACGATGCAATCACTCAAAAGACCGCTGAGCGAGCTTCTGGGGGTCGGCCTGGCCCTTCCGGCGCGGTGTCGTGATCTTCTTGATATTAAGTCGCTCTTGAATCTTCGCCTCAACCTCGTCCTCCCTCTCCTTAATCCACTCTTCAAAGGACTTTGGCTCGGAGAGTCCTAGCTTCTGTCGTTCTTCTTGGAATTGTTCTTGGATCTTGGGAGTTTGCATAATCTGGTACCGGAGATTCCAGCCGAACATGCCGAGCTCTCTGATGCGGCCTTGTCCATTGCCCAGGAGGTACTTGTCGAGACTGCCTTCCTTCTCAATTGTGCGGAGCGCTTTGCGGGTCACCTTGATGAACAGGTGTTGGTCGAGAGCGTCGCTGTACATCTTCTTGCGGCGGACGTTGGGCTTCCAGCTACGGCGCGTCTTGCCCTTGTTGCGACCGTCGGAAATCTTGTTACCGAAACGGATCATGGCACCACCGTAAAGACCAGTGTCGGCCTGCTTGTACCATTGCCTGGCGCCATAAGGGTAGGGTGGGATGTGCTCGGAGAGAGGCTTGTTGGCCATGGGAGCCAATGTGGTGGAGAAGGAACGCTTCGGAGTCGAAAGGGAGAGGCTTCGAAAGGCCGATGAAAGAGAGAAAGGAGCCGCCATGGCGGATCGAGAGTGAATAGCTGCCATTGAGACTGGAGGGCGACAGCAGTTGAGTATCACAATGTCACAATTCAACGGGAAGCTGGTTTGGTCGCGGATGGAGGAAAATTGGAGTGAAGGTGTTGACCGCCTTCAACGCGACGCCGTGAGTGGCTGCGCAGATCCCTTGCTCGCGAATTTCACGAAAGCAAAGAGATACTACGGAGACGGAGCCCCCATCATCGCATTACCCGGTTCTTTTATCTCTTACAAGCTCATCTTACTTTTGATTTCTCTCCTCCACCCCCATTGACCCTCGTCTTCCTCCTACACCGGTGGCTACGAAGCCAAATTCTACAATCATGGTCCAGATCAGTGAAGTCAAGGGCAACTCGCGCGAGAACCGGACCGCAGCGCACACCCATATCCGCGGCTTGGGCTTGCGCTCAGATGGTACTTCGGAGGTTACAGGTGATGGATTTGTCGGGCAAGCATCTGCCCGAGAGGTGAGTGAATCGATTCTCTTTTGATGCTGGTTCGAAACCGGAGCTGATGATGGACCTTCCATTCGACAGGCATGCGGCGTGGTAGTCGACCTTATCAAGGCCAAGAAGATGGCTGGCCGAGCAGTCCTGCTTGCTGGTGGCCCTGGTACCGGAAAGACCGCGCTTGCTCTTGCTGTATCACAGGAGCTGGGAACAAAGGTTCCCTTTTGCCCGATCGTTGGTAGCGAGATCTACTCTGCGGAGGTCAAGAAGACAGAGGCTTTGATGGAGAACTTCCGGAGGGCAATTGGTACGCGACGCGATTGATAGGATATGGCCGGGAGACCGGGAGATTGGGGACATATTAGGCTAACATGGATTAGGATTGCGCGTTCGCGAAACCAAAGAGGTTTATGAGGGTGAAGTGACCGAGCTCACCCCCGAGGAGACCGAGAACCCACTGGGTGGCTACGGCCGCACCATTAGCCACCTGATAATTGGATTGAAGTCCGCCAAGGGCACCAAGAAGCTTCGTCTGGACCCCAGCATCTACGAGGCTATCCAGAAGGAGCGCGTTACTGTCGGAGATGTCATCTATATCGAAGCCAACACCGGTGCGTGCAAGCGTGTTGGTCGTTCCGATGCCTATGCCACCGAATTCGATTTGGAGGCGGAGGAGTATGTGCCCGTTCCTAAGGGGGAGGTTCACAAGAAGAAGGAAATCGTGCAAGATGTCACACTCCACGATCTGGACATGGCCAACGCCCGGCCGCAAGGAGGACAGGATGTTATGAGCATGATGGGCCAACTGATGAAGCCCAAGAAGACCGAGATTACAGACAAGTTGCGACAAGAGATCAACAAGGTGGTCAACCGGTATATCGACCAGGGTGTGGCTGAGCTTGTCCCTGGTGTGCTCTTCATTGATGAGGTCCACATGCTCGATATTGAGTGCTTCACATATCTGAACCGTGCTCTGGAGTCCACAATTTCCCCTATTGTCATTCTTGCCTCTAACCGTGGTCACACTGTCATCCGCGGCACCGACGAGATCAGCGCCGCCCACGGCATCCCGCCCGACCTGCTTGCCCGCCTTCTCATCATCCCCACCAACCCCTACGCCCCCGAAGAGATCAAGACTATCATCCGAACTCGTGCGAAGACGGAAGGTCTTAACATTACCGATCCTGCACTGGACAAGGTTGCCGAGCACGGTAGCAAGGTCTCCCTGCGGTACGCTTTGCAACTGTTGACTCCGGCAAGTATCCTTGCCCGCGTGAACGGTCGACCTGGTGGAATCGAAGTGGCCGATGTTGTCGAGTGTGAAGATCTGTTCCTGGATGCGAAGCGCAGTGCTGCGATCGTCCAACAGGATGCCAGCAAATTCCTTCTCTAGACGACACTGGACAGTTGGAGAATATTGGACAAAGGGAAAAAGAAGGGAGTTCCATGATTTGTCATGTATACCATGGGGGTATTATTTTTGTGTATTGAAAAGGCGAATCTTGCTTGCGTAGGCCTGGAATTTTATGCTAATGCTATCGATGTTACCTGATTTATTTACCTTAAGGTAACCTCCAATGGGGTTTCTAGTAGAGCTGCCAGGTACCACGAGGGTATGTCTGTGTCTGCTGATCCGCTGCGGCCTGCAGGCACACTCGAAGAAGCGAAGAAGGGCAAAATGATAGAGGTTGAAAAGGGCAAATTGAACTTTCGACAGTTTAATTCAATCTTCTGTTCACCATTTACATTTTCTTGTAATTATTGTCTTTGGGTATACTTTGTACCCCACTGACGTTCACCCCCGGCCTCGGCGAAGATCACGTGGGTCGACTCGGATGGGACATCATTCGGCATCCCCCAGCCTCCGGTCCATTGCCTCATCACAATTTCTCTTGTTTCAACATTTGGTGACAGTGAAGCATTTACCTACAAGCTGAGCGAACTCATACTCGCATTCGCAATATACGAATCTGGTCGAGACCTTTGAAAGATCGCCACTCGTCCCAGCAGAATAGCTCAACCCCCAGATAACAGTGGAGCCTGCGGTTAAACAGCATCATCACTTCAAGCCGACGTAACAGACACTCTCTCTTCCGGAACACATTCCTTCCTGGCCATAATCACCAAAATGTCGAACCCCCTGGACACAGATGCGGGCTCGGAGATGTTCGCCAGCTACGAGAACGAGCTGAAGCTCGTACAAGCCGATCTGAACCAGAAGCTGGACCAGATCACCGAGGCCAGCGGCGAGGAGCGCAAAAATGCCATTCGCCAAGCGGAGCAGGTATTAGGCGAGGCAACAGAATTGGTGAGTTCTTCCATTACGGCTGCAGACAGATTCTCTCCGGCCTCAACCCCGCATCACCATCTGCAGCAATAAGACCCTCGAGAACAAAGCAATCCACTAACCAGATGAACCATGCAACAGCTCGATCAGATGCGCATGGAGAAGCAAAACATCCCCTCAGAAGCCCGGTCAAAAGTGAACCAGCGCTTCCGCAATTACTCGACTGATATCGACGAAATAAAGCGCAAGATGAAGGAACTCACCGACGATCGCAGCGCACTCTTCGGCGACCGATACACTGACGACCCCCAAGACGAGCAGGTCGAGCAGCGCCAGCAACTTCTCTCCGGAACAGAGCGTCTAGAACGCAGCTCCGCTCGACTGCAGGATAGTCAGCGCATGGCGCTGGAGACGGAGGATATTGGGCGCGGCGTGCTGGGCGATCTATACGTGCAGCGACAGACGATCCAGCACACGCGCGATAACCTGCACCAGAGTGAGGGTTACGTTGATACCAGCATTAAGACTTTGAGGGGCATGGCCCGTAGGTAATGATCCCCCTGCTATATTCCCCCCACCCCCATGGCTCTATGGCTCTGGGGGTCGTTTAATATGCCAATCTGACTAACTTTGACAGGATGGCTACGAATCGGATAATTACCATTGCTATCATTACGGTCCTTGTTCTTCTTATTGTTGCCGTCATTTATAGCAAGTTCCATTAGCGGTGGGTTTTTATGGCGTTTCTCAGCTTGGGATTTCATTTTTCTGTTTCCTCTTCATGGATATTGTATGTTACAGCTTTTCCTCGCAGTATCTAAGGCTTTCTCTGCCTTGTCTGGTTCATAGATGTTGAACCATGTAATTGAATATTGGATATGATGCAAATGCTAGCTTCCCTGTAGCCACATAGTAGAACCGCATCACCAAATCGATGAAAAGCATAACGAACTTCAATATCGCCATACAACTTCTGTGTCAGATGTCAAGAACAGCAAATGCTGCCATATGCCAGTAAGTAGGTAATTAGATGCATGATATTCAATGTAAATATGCTAAAAAGGGGGTATATCGCAAAAGGCCAATCAAGAAACCAGCAAAGCATCAGACATACTAGTAGAAAAAACAAACAAAATCAATCAACCCATAATCCTCGCTGCCCCAAAAGCCCCATTCATGACCACTCCCACAAAGACCGCAACGCCCTTCCTCCAGCTCCAAACCCCCTCCTCCCTCCTCAACCACATCGCACAACCAATCGGCCAAAAGAACCCCATAACCGCGCCCCAAAGCATATCATCCCATGCACTTCTAGACCCAGTCCCCAATCCACCATCATCATCGCCACCAAATCCACCCCCTCCGGCACCAGCACCAGCGCCCGCATCCCCACCCCCAAGATTAGCACCCGTACTCCCCTCGTCCATCCACCGATCCTCTAAATCCCGCAACTCCTCACCAGAAGGCATCGTATCCGGCGTCCGGGTAACAGACTGCACGGCCAAGAACTGCGATCGCAGCGCCGTGACCTCTGAAGCCGTGAATCCCGCGGAAAGGAGCCGATCGAAGCCGCGCGGAGCGGGTATAGTCGTCGTCGGGGGTGCGGTTGTAGCAGAAGCCGAAGCAGCAGCTCGCTGGGAACTAGAACCATTCAAGACACTCTCAGTAGAAGGGAATAGCGAAGACCCATGCCTAGGCCCAAGTTTCATCAACTCATCCTTCTGTCTCTGCAAAAGCGTCGTCGAAGCAATAGCAGCCTCAGCCACGAGATCCGAGTCCGAAAGCGCGATATCTCCGATCGAGCAGTGGATGTAGATCCTGGGTCTAGAGTCGCGAACGGCCTGTTTGCCTTTGTCGCTTCCATTTCGACTATCGCTCGGATCGCTATGTTGCTCTGAGTAGTCCTCTGCGGGGCGGGGAGAGCGCGCTGGTGAAGGCGGTAGTTTGAGAGACGCTGAGAGCGCGGTTTGGTCGTCTAGACCGCGACCTGCGTAGATGAGGCGGAGTCTGTGGGAGGATATGTTCTTTGGGAGATTGGCTCTTATGAGTTGTTTTAGGCCGGCGCCTGTTGTTTGCGTTGGGGTTTGAATGTCGAGGGGGAGGTCGGGGATTGAGGCGGAGAAGCGGATTGTTAGGAGGAGGGCGTCGAGTGGGTTTAAAGTGTTAGGTCCCTCGCTTGGGGCGAGGGATGTTGGCAGTGCCATAGTTGCGAGTTTATTTGTTAGTTTTGTTTCATTGGAGTAGTTGTATAGCTTGGATGGGGTTCGGGGTTCGGTGATGCGGACCCTCGCAGAGGCTCTAACGGGGTTAGGTCGCCGAGGTCGCCGTTCCATCATGTGACGTAGTAGCTGCCCGGGGAAGAGGAGGAACTGGATGAAGTTTAGTTCACAGGGTACCCTATTTTTGATTAATTAATCATGCTTTTCTGTTAATAGGATGCGGTATATTGAGTTGCCTTGCCGGTCTGCACTAGTTGCCCTGGTGCCTATATTGGAAGGCATTTCTGGATATCTTGGTGAATGCTGTTTAGGAACTAGTTAATATTCAGGTAGTAGGTACATGGAGTCATGCCACTGAATAAGGCAATTAGGAAACTAGGAAGGTGCACGCAGGTATATTTTGATTGTTATATTTGAAAGGTTAACATTGGGCTATATACCTGAACACAGTTATATAGTGAAAACCCTAGGAGTATTCCTCCAAATCATGACCATGTCCATTGGACTAGTCTATACCATGGTACAAATATTTAGTGTCACATCATCTGAAAAGCGAGGTTCCGGCCAAATGATAACGAGTGGCAACGGAAAAGCAATTCAGCCAGGCTCTAGGCGAGCTGGATAAAGCGTAGCTCTACCCGGTATTCCTCACACCAAACGGCAGGGTAATATCGGTGTAAAACGAGAAAGCAAACAAAGCGAAGAAAGAAAGTATCGACTGGATATCAAGCGTATGTACTCGACCAAAAGAGCGGTCACGACCCCGGCAAAGTGTATAGATAAAAAGAAAACGCCGACCGATGCACCGAAGGAGGACGCCGAGAGAAAGTAATCGAATAAGGAAATCGTTTTAAAGGAAGCGTTTAAACCATGAAGGATTCTCCGCAGCCGCATTCCTCCTCTGTAGGAAACTGTTAGTATTGTAAATGACAAAGGCGGAGCGGGCTCCTGAAGGATTGTTGTGTGGTGTTGATCTTTCCCGGGGAAAACTCACTGATGTTGGGGTTACGGAAAACGAATCTCCTGCTCAGTTTATCTTCATGCCAGTCCATTTCACTGCCAATGATACTGAAGAGAGCCTTGCTGTCGATCAAAACTTTCACACCGTCTTGTTCAACAATTTCGTCGAATTTCCCCGGCTTCTCCACGTACTCCAGGTGATAAGCGAGACCGGAGCAGCCGCGGTTCTTCACACCCACTCGAATGAACTTCGGTTCCGGCTGCGCCATCAACTTTCGCAGCTGCTCTGTAGCGATGGGGGTCAACTTCATGGCTGCCTTGCGGGCTCGGAGCGGTCGGCGGGCTTTCGGGGAAGCCTTCGGAGGAGCTGTGGTGGCCGGCTTGGGCTTCGGGGTCTCGGCCTCTCGCAGGGTTGGTCGAGAGTATTCTGATTGAGAAGGCCGCTGGGCAGATTCTGATGGGAAGGGGAAGTCTGCTGAAATTGAACCTTCGGCAGGTCCACCTGTGCTCCGAGGCATCGGGAAAGACGAAGGGAGAGTGTGTGGGCGATAGGCGGTGGCGGTTTGCATGTCGCGCTTAGAGGACTGGTGGGAGTTTCCATAGGAAGAGAAAGAGCGCAGAGCATTGCAGCGCTGGCCCGAAGGCTTGAGCCATCGCAGAAGAGTGGCGGATGATGTCACTGGACGCTGCATGTTGGTGTAGAAACTCATGATGTTGGGAGATGAGGGATGGTAGAGTCGAGAGGGAAAAGAGAGATGTTTATGTACGCATAGGAACACTGGATTGAGACAATGTGGTTGTGAGAAGGGGAAGGTAGAGGAAAGTTGTGGGTGAACAACAACTTGAGTTCTGAGGAGTTCTACGGTCACCCTTGGGGTCGCTTGGATGACTAAGGTTGCATGACCCGGAGTAGCCAATCAGCAATGAGGTATTTGAAGACAGCCGGTGGCGCCACGCGGTGATGGTGTGAGTCAGGGATTAGTGATGAGATGAATAGGTCAGCAGGGTCAGCAGGTGTTGATTCTAATTCCCTAAATATAACTCTTTATTTAAAGTATTTTTTATGGTAGAAATGTACCTAGTAGGATTGTTTGATCATCATGCTCAGCTGAAACCCGCATTCAAGGATGACCACATCGCCGACTATCGGCAGCTGAGTCATTAAAGCTGGAAGCGGATCCCCCGAGCCTCGGAGGAAACCAAAGGCAGAACACCAACACCAACCAAACACCCAACTAAACTTGTAAGTACTATACTATAATCTACAGACTACTATTATCATCATAGTGAGGGTACCGATTAATAAATGACCCCAAATAGAAAAATATGAGATTAACCTTACACTTCTTCTTTAAAGCTCCTCCAGCCCAATCTTGTAGTATCATTCGCCGTACTCCTAAAGGACATGTGGCTGGACCCGCTGACAAAGTGGCTGGTGCCAAGCTGCTCGGACTCGACACAACTCTTCAAAGAACTAAGGCCGGAATCAGTGACCTAATTCAATTCAATTATTGTTTGCTGGTGCAGATTACTTCTCGACCATGGAGGCCTCGCCCCTCACCCAGCAGAGTCGACCGGAGACCTTCCAACCTAAGGTTGTCCAGCTTTATGAGACCCTTTTCAAAGTATGCCCCTCCGCATGAGCCTTGCCTCCGCCCAACGCTGATATCAATTTGTCTGCATTAGCCATCCGATGAGGTCGAAGAGCCCTCAGAGGGCTTTTGGAGAGAGTTCTTTCTTCTGCCACCCGATCCCGTCCAATTGCATGCTCTACTGGATGGGTTGAGCCCCGATGAGACCTTGGGCTTGCAGGTCAGTGCCTTGCTTCGATCCGATCCATGGACCCGTGCACAACGCTAATTTCAGCCCTCCAGACCCAAACTCGACATATATTCTTGCGGGCTATCCGCGGGGCGGCTTCTAACACTGCTCCCAGTGATGCCTATGCATTGGATGTGAGTACCTAGCCCCACCGGTTACTTGTTCCTGTTACATCACTGACATTATTCCCAGACCTTGACCATTTTCTTGACAAGTATATTGAGCAAAAAATACACAAACCCCAGCTCGGATGTAATTACTGTTCTGGCTGGACTTGATGAGATCGATCATATCATTTCGGAGTTTGTCACTGTTCTGGACACCATCATTCGCAATGGCTCAAGCTGTACGTTCCCTTCTCAAGCGTTAAACTGGCACGGTTGACAGAAAGCTGACTTGGGTATCCGATCAGTTGAGGTGCGGCGGAAGGCCGTTCGAGTGGCCATTGCCATGACCAGTGGCGCCTATAGGACGAGCCTCGTCTCCTATTTCGCTCATAGGGACCTCTTCCCATCCATGATGAAGGTATGTTATATGAACGCGACATATTATGGAATGAACGTTAATAGCCCGCAGTATGTGCACGACTCTGAAACACCCATACAAGTGTTCGACCCATTCCTTCTGTTGGGGCTTCTGGCAAACTATAACAAGTTCGAATTTCAAAACCCCTACCAGCTGCGCTTGGACGATTTCGTGAATGAAGCGAGCATTCAAAAGGTCGCCAAAGGTGTTGGTTTGGCCTGTGGTGGCCTTCGAAATGGCTACATCGCTGTGCAAGATGACATTCCCGAAGGCTGGTCCTTGACAAATACTCTGATTTTCTTTGGACTGCGGGCTTTGACCCCCGGTACACACAACAAGGCGAACCCTCCAACCGCCGAAGAGGCGAAGGGAATGTTTGCTGAGCTGTAAGGCACCATATCTCCGAATCTGAAACCAATCTACTCACAATACCGCAGTCCTGCTCAAGAAGCCGCCATCCTGCTGGCCACATACGACTTCACCAACTCGAACAAGCTTTTCGGCTACCACATGGTCCACATGAAGCCGGAGAAAACCACCGATGAATCGCCCTTCTCCAGCTTCCTCTCGCTGTCATCTTATCTCCTCCAGCATGCATACCGATCCACGAGAGTCTCACACTACGCGGAGCTGAGCCTCTTCACGCTCCGCATTCTGGTCGAAGACCCGACTCTATGCAAACACATCTGCACCGACGACGGAAAGCGAAAGGTTCGAATCTGCAGGCAGAGACAACCTTTCCTCCCCCTTGTCGGCGGCGACCGTGTCCTCGCCACGGTCATCTTCGACATCATGATCGACACGATTACGCACAATCTCCGCCGCCGACTAGACGTTAACTTATACTGGTAAGAAACCTACAACTAATACACCCCGCCCAACTCCTCCCCAGCCAACTAACACCCACCCAGCCAAGCAATCGCCATAACCCTCCGTCTCCTCTCCTACCTCTCAACCAACAAGATCCGCCTAAATTACCACTGGTCCGAGCTATGGCGCACCCTCCTCTCCCTAATGCGCTTCCTAACAACCTACGCCAACGACCTAACCACCAACTCAAAAATCCACTCCCTAACTAGCTCCCTCGCAGAGCTAATGGCATTCTGCGTCTCAGGAGGCGACACATTCCTCCCAGACCCATCCTCCTACGACGACCTATTCTACAAGCTCGTTGAGACCGGGCCCGTCATTTCCAAATTCCGCGACCTGTATTATCCCTCAAGCACATCCAAGTCTTCTACAACTGGCCCCATCACCCAAACCCAGGATAACATCCACGTTGCAGCAGTTAACACTCTGCTATCCGTCTCAACGCACTTCTACACCCTCCTCTTCCACTCCGATGGCACCGAGCAAACGACAGCAGCAGCGGCCGTGGCCCCGAGCCCGAAGCCAGACGGTGAGCCAGTCCCCGTCGCCTTGCCGTCTATTAAGAAGAAGAATCTCTCTCCGCGCGAGATCCATCGGATTATTAAGCAGGGGTATGATACGCTTAGTATCCAGCCGCCGGAGGGATTGAATGCGTGGACTAGGTGGAGGGAGACGGACTGGAAAGGCGAGTTGAAGAGGGCGGCGCGGTGTGCTGTTGATGATGCGCGGCATTTGGTTTCTTGATGGCGAGGGCAGTGGGGCTCATTTATAGTGGGTGTTCGTATCGTATCGTATATGCGAGTGGTGGATGAGGGTATATAGTACTAGTGTGTGCATATTTGCATCGAAAAATGGGATGGATGGATACATGTACTGGGTGGGTGTCCAGGTGGATGGGATGGGTGAACGGATGCAGTCTATTAGATACATACCTACGCACCCAGTGTACCCGTTGTTATTGTTCATGATATCCAGGTAGAAATAGTATATTCGGTAAAATTGCATAGGTACTTCTTACCTTTCTTTATTTGACTAAGTAATCCATGGATGGTTACTACGAGTACCTGTTACCTAGGAGGTGGCCGTGCAAAATGTAGAAGAAACTTTTGAAGTGAGCACCGATTATGATTGATTGTTTCCCATAGAGCAACTCGCTAAAAAGCCAACCTATCCGGGTTGAAAAAAAGTGGGAAAAAAAACAGAGAAGAGAGACAAGCATGGAAAAGAGCCTTCACACATCTGATGAAGCTATTAAGAAAACAAAAAAGAAGAGAAGAGAAGAAGAATTAAGGTGGAGGGGAACATGCGTGAAGTGAAAAGAAACCTTTATGAGCGCAGCTCTCGACAGCAAGCTATTCTCCCTAACCCTCCTACCGCATTAAAATCCACACATGTATGACTTAACGCGATGATTTCGCGGCCTTGGGCGATTTCTCGTAGGTTTCTTCGACAGGGACGTACTCCGTGCGGAAATACTTTTCAGAGTTCTTGCTCAGCCACAGAGAGAATTTCGAGAGTTCTTCACGCAGGCGCTGGGTGGACTGGAGGTCCATATTGGTTTGGGCGAGGAGTTCAGGGAGAAGGCCTTCGAGGGATTAGCAAAATAGAGGGAAAGGGGTGGGCAAGAAGAAGGGGAACATACTGAACAGACGAATCAGGTGTTCGGCACCGTAGACATCGATAGGGCCATTTCCGGGGCCAGACTCGTGCTGGGTCTTCTTGCGGAGCATGCGATATTGAGGTCGTTCATAGCGATAGAGGAGGATTTTATCGAGCATCTTTTCAAAATACTCCATTATTCCGGCGACGACTTCATCGAGGACATCCATGTCGATACGGTTGCCCTTGCGCTTGGGCTCCTCTTCGTCGCGCCAGTCTTTGAAGATCTGGCGGATGGTCTTCTCGGCGGGAAGTTTCACGACGGAGTTGTTCTTTGTAACACGCTCCCAGTCGTCGACGATGAGGGCTTTCAGGTTATCCGGCATCACGATGCGAATAGAAGGGCGGATATGGAATGCTTCCTCCTGTTCGCGAGGAGGGTCAGAGCTTTGCGAATCACAGTCATGGATCCAGCGGAGAATGATTTCGCTAGGGGTGGGATTCAAAGGTGTAGGTAGGGGATCAGGTGCGCGTGGTGTATGCTTGATACGCGCCATGGTGGGGGTGAGGTAGGAGATGCGACGGAAACGGGGGATCAGGAATTGGGAGGTGAAAAGGAGGGGTGTAGGCTCCGGAATTGATGTGGGAAAAGGGTAAACATGGCATCAGTAGACTCACCTTTTCAATATCATTTTCGCCCTTGGATCGCTTGTTGCCGCGGCCGGGCACTGAACTGCCACGTTCTTCACTATCACGGACCGAACCCCGATCAGACAGGGGACGCTTGTTTTTGTTAGGTTTAGCAGTTTTTTGACGAGCAGATGCTTCGACCTCACGACGAAGATTAGCTGCAAGCTCACGATTCTCTTCAGTAGCTTTTCTCAGCCGATCCTCAAGAACCCAGTCATCCCAGCTGCAAAAGAGGTCAGCGGTGTCCTCAAAGTTTAATGCTAGCCTGTCAACCAGAAAAGGAGTCCCTTGGAATATCCAACGCGAACTTCAAAGCCGAAGGAGCATCTGGACCAGGATAGACATGGGAAAATGGTCGTGCCTCGTTCTCGACGCACAAATATCCGATTTTCACGGAACCAAGTTTCTCAAAGGGCAGGAAGGCACGGAGGAGGCCGGGGGAGAAACTCACGTATTCTTCCAGCCCTTGTAGTGAACAAGGAATTCAAGGGGATTCTTCTTGTCGCCGTCTCTGTGCCTCACGTCGAGGATTTTGGCATCGTAGAGGATGTCATGGTGGAAACACAGGACTTTCTCGTCCTTCGTGTACATAGACGGGGGCATGTTGAAGATAGAGATTCTTGACGGGGGGAAGTGTTCTGGGAGAAAGAAGACAGAAGAAAAGAGGATTAATCACGCAAAGCACCGTGAATTTCGCGTCTGGTCGAGAAGTGTCGCTTCACTGAGCCGTCGTCGCCGATAGTCAAAGGCAACCAAAGCCGCGTTTGAACTCGGCTTTTCGGAAACAAAAACAGCCGAAGCGTGATCCTGGCAAATAAGACCAAGTTTTATACTTGGCTTTGCTGATATAGTCGACGGCAAGGCGATATCTTGATGAAAAGAGGGCAATCTGGCCCGGTTCTGATGGATTTCGAAAGCTTTTTTTTGGAATGCGCCGGGAATGAACACCAAGTCGCGCACTGATTGAAATGCTACAGGTAGTTTGTATCTTTGAGAGATTGATCTTTGATATTTGATCAGGCTGTGGGGTGTGAAGTGCTGATGGCTGGGGAGTTTCTGGTGTTCGAAAAAAAGACGGCGCGGGCGCGTTGCCGTTCTCCCCTTGGAGAACCCGCGCTACAAATGACATAAGCTGAGGCCGGGGCTGCAGAGGATCAACCTCCATGAGTCTTGGTTTATTTGATGTTGAGTGCCATATCGATCCATTTAAACTAATTAGATTGGCTCTTTGGATATTGGTTTGACACATTTCATCGCAGCACATCGGCGTTGTTACTTGTGAATGACCTCCTTATCCTACGAAGAGGCGACGGAGCCCTATTTTTGGAGTATATACAGAAAGGATTAGCCTGACCATGGAATGTTTAAGCCCAAGAAGAACTATCTAGATAATAATTGATTAGGGGGTACTTTGAGCTATTCCTTGGTAGAAGTGTACGCGTGGTGCTCTATCTTTTGCTCCCTTGAACTGGATCCAAGACCCTTACGGTGTACTACTATAGGAGCTGTATTCTTAATCCGAGTCCCAAGAAAAGAAAACAAATTTCTAAGCATATATCCAATCAGAAGTAGTATTCAATTTTTCCCCATAAACCAGCGTGAATCCACTGCTCCAGTCTTCGCTTTCCTCAACGTTTCAAGAGGAGTACATCAATCAAGTCTAGCCCATGAAGTCACATTTCAGTGACGGAATAGGGACTGTCGCAGTAGATATTCTATTCTACCTCTTAAGCATATTCAATTGTTTGTTACTGAGGAGGAGGAATGGCACATCTCGGTCAAAAACGTTGCCCAGAACATTATGTACAATGTGGTCGGGAGTACTTTACATGTACAGCAGTTCAAAACCATCTACTTTGAACAACAGACCTTGTTATTTGGGTTGAATTATCTGCAATGCTGATGCATCGAGTGAGTCTATCCCATGGATTCGTGCCTAGGGCAATATGACGAACATTGGCATGGTACTCCGTACATGAGTGAAATATGCAACTATCTTAGCCGATGATCGGATGCACCCGCACTTCCTTATTCCACGCCGTTCGCAAGATCACCCACTCCATTCTAATCAACTTCAATATCAGCCTTGCAGATTTATTCTTCCAAAAAATATTTACCAAACTGATCCAACTCCATCCGAGAAGGCGTATTCGTTGTCGCCCAACTCCCTTATATTGGCCACGTGATCACCTGTCACGAAAATTCGCGAGACACACGCGTCGCGGCTTCATTCGGAGGACGCGCCTCGAGGCCGAAAAGAACCACTCGCCGCAGCACCAAGAGGCGAAGCTATCTATCAGGCGCAGAGATACAGAAAGACCAAAGCCCAGGCTCAGAAACCAAAATGGCACCCACTGAAGAGTCCATACTGAGCAACTTTCTGCTCTCCCCAGCCCCGTTGCCAACAGTTCTCTCCCTACAAAAGTTCACAGAACTCTTCCCCAAACGCCTACGAGGCCACCCACACATCCGGACCTTATACCGGGAACTGCAGCAAGTCCGCGAGCATGACATGGACCGGGTAAATGAGAACATCGACCAAGAGATCCAACAAGGCGAGCGACAAAAAGCCGAGCTCCGCAAGGCGAGTCTGGCCGCCGGCGTCGAAGGATCTAATGCGGACGAGCAGCGCGAAATGAACGTCGATTTGCATTTATTTGGTCAGAACTCTACAGATCAGGAGCTTTTTCATTCGACTGCTAGTCTGCTGGAAGAGATGGAGGCTGCTTGTGCGAATATTGAGCGGGAAATTGGAGACGTGGACCGCGAGGCGGCGGGGCTTTTGTCCGAGTTACAATCGACGGTCGGGGATTTGAGTGATCTTCGTTATGGGAAGTTGCAGGGTCTAGCTGGGATGGAGAGTAATCTTGGGGAGGAAGCTATTCGGGGATTGGAAAATCTTGAGAATGCTTGTTATGGGGCGAGTATGGGGCGGGGCAAGTAGATATACCTGTCTCCTTGTTGATTTTGTTACATATGTCCTTTATTTTAGCGTGATGAGCTCTGTTCAAGCTCATCTTTATGATTCTGATGACAATAATATTGTGAGAAACAAACCAAATACCCTTCTCGTATATTTCGGGGCTTGGACCAATTTGCTAGCGAGCTTGGAGTTGAGAGAATCTACAACACAGTAGAATATATTTAAACAATATGAATTACATGTGCACTAGGGGCTGGGAATGATTGAAAATGAAAGCATCTATCACAATATTCCGCCTTATTGGAGCCACCTGGGCAGGGAAATAAATCCGTGGGGTCAGTTAAATCGAGTAACCCCGCGATGTGGGGACAACGCGAGCCGCGTCGCGTGTGAGCTTCACCTTCAACTTCAGCAACTCCAGACGGGAAAGACAACCACGAACTACAAGAACATATACACGCCAACTATGCCTTCAATCCAATTATACCCGAAATCCCTCAAGTCTGCTGAAACAACGACTCCAAACCCCAGCTCCCACCCAGCTAGCAACCCGTTCCCTCAACTTCTCCAAACCCCTTCGGGCCTGGCAATCCTCGAGCTACAAGCTACGATCAACCTACCCTCATTCGAGACCGATGACGATCAACATGCGAGCCTTGGTTCCCCTCTGGATTCAAATGGGGCCACCTTCGAGACGCCGGTCGGAAAACTTATGTTCCCGGACTACTCGCCGTTGAACCCGGATGATACCAAGTGGATGAAACGGGCTTACCTCTATGTTGGTCGATACCAGCGTATGACGGGCGAGGTGAAGAAGCTGCCAAAACCACTTGCTGTTCTACGGAAGCGGTCTTCATCGGCGAATACCGAAGAGCTGGAGGTCATGGAGATTGTTCGCTACAAGGTCTTCTTCAAGAACAGGCCGGAGCCCGTCAGTAATGTCTGATTTCTCTATTAGAGGGAGTATTGGAATATCCTGAATAATATATGCTGGAATAAGAGGGTGCTGAGCCTGCTTACCTCTCTGTTTCTCTAAAACGTGGCTGTGGGTGACGCGGCCTCAGACCGCACACGTGAAGCAAACACCCCGGGATACGCCCTTTGGATCGAATGGAAATTGGAAATTGGACTTGTTGAAGCTCCAAATCCATTCAGTACCATTGAGGTACAGAGTACGAGGGGGTCTAGGTACGCCCTGTACGCCATGCATCGACCAAGTCAGGTTTCATACATGTCAGGGGACATACAAGGGATGAATGGCATGGCATGTTTGGCAGGGACTGCAATTTCCAGCCACGAGCAATGAAAATAGCAGGGAATACCTAGCTCTTCTTGGGTAGAACCAAGGGAACTGAACAAGTTTTATTTAATCTAAAGCCTGTATCTTGAGTCAATTCAACCTAAGCTGCGCCTATCCGCGGAGAGGAAAAGCGAAGCGGAGTGTTGAAACCTTATGCAGAAAAACCCCGCCAACCCGGACTTTTTGTCTTTCACTTCCACATCCCAACCTTAAACTTCAAACCTCTCGGAACTTTCAGACAAGACATCTTGTTGTTGAACTCAATTCGATCCTCTCACCCTCCGGCCGTCGTGGACGGGTCTATCTTCCACCTCGAGCTCGCATCCACACCCCATACCATACTTCCCCACACACCGCAAGATGACCATCCCCAACAAACCTGACGATGCGATCTTTCCAACCGACCTCGGCCCTGAATATGTCGCCTTCGATCATGTTCAATGGTATGTCGGCAACGCCAAGCAAGCTGCGTCGTACTACAGTACACGCTTCAATTTCAAGTTAATCGCCTACCGTGGACCAGAGACGGGCTCGCCTTACTTGACTAGCTACGTCGTTGCCAACGGTGCCTCAGTCTTCATCCTCACAAGTCCAGTCTGCGGACCGTCACACCCAGAGAACAAAGTCCTCAGAAGCGCCACAGCCGAAGACCGTGCGACATTAACCGCGATCCACGAACATCTGACCATTCACGGGGACGGAATCGCCGATGTTGCATTTCGAGTCACAGGGAATATCGAGGAGATCTGGAAGCGGGCTGTTGAAAATGGGGCCTCGCGCAAGGCAGAACCGCGAGTCATCGTGCTCGAGGGACACGGTCTGATCACAACAGCTACCATCGGGACATATGGTGACACCGTGCACTCATTCATCAACCGTGACGAATACTCCCCCTCCGCACCATTTCTACCAGGGTATCGGAGCATATCGGACGAAGAGGCGGACCCAATCAATAAATTATTACCTCCGGTGGATTTTGTTGAGATCGATCATTGCGTTGGTAATCAGCCGTGGGGAGGCGTGGACAAGGCCGTGCGGTACTATGAAGAGTGTCTGAATTTCCATCGGTACTGGACAGTCGACGACAAGGACATGTGCAGTGATTACTCGGCTATGCGCTCGATTGTGGTAGCCTCATCGAACGAGGCGATAAAAATGCCAATGAACGAGCCAGCGCCCGGCAAGAAAAAGTCCCAAATCGAGGAATTCGTGGACTACTACCATGGTGCCGGAGTCCAGCACATTGCATTCCGTACAGAGGATATCGTTACAGCGGTGACGAATCTCCAAAAACGCGGCGTTCAGTTTCTCAATGTGCCGCCGGGGTACTATACCGATCTTCGACAGCGTCTTTCTCACGTGCCTTGGTCCCTCGAGGCTGATGTGGATGTCTTGGAGAGGCTGAATATCCTAGTTGACTTTGACGAGCGTGGGTATTTGCTGCAAATTTTTGCGAAGCATGTTGGTGATCGACCCACTGTGTTTATGGAGGTGATTCAGCGCAAGGGATTCGATGGGTTCGGGGCAGGCAATTTTAAAAGTTTGTTCGAGGCATTTGAGAGGGAGCAGGCTTTGCGGGGGAACTGGTGATCGTGTTGTCTTTTTTTTCTTTTCCTTTTCCCTTTGTAGTTAGCATTAGATCTCGGGGTTGATCAGAATTCAGGAATGCATTTCGAATCGGATATTCACGGAGATAGGATTTAGCCTTCATGAGTGTGACAATGGCAAATAAACCAGTTTTTTCTGTCTGATACCTTTTCATGGGAGAAGTAAACCAAAGAGAATAGATGAATTGTAGTTAGTGCCCTAGACTAATAATTTCCGCTCAACGTCAGAATTAATTGACCCGCGCGGAATTATAACGCACTTTTTAGGAAGATTCCGCACTCCTTCAAGCACGACTATGTGCGATTTTGTAGAGAAGAGATTGTCAACAGCAACAAAAGAGAGAAGTATTAATACCAGAAGAAGAAATGCTTATTTCCGAGTCATTCCATTCTATTTTGAGTTGACGGAGCCACAAATGGGGGTATATCGGTCTTAAGTTGTCATGGTACGATGAATAAACAGCCGGAGCTATCCCCGCCATCTTTCCCTCCCCGCACCCCGTCAACTCCGAGTCGCTCTTAAAGGCTGCAATGCCCCGCGCCTCGCCCACTCTACTTTTCCACTCCTTTCAGCACCTCCGTCAATTCACATCTACCTCTACAATCATGGCCCCTATCGAGCGCATCACTCTCTTCAAGATCCCCAGTGCGGAGGACCGCAAGCGCCTGCTGGAGCAATACAAGGTGCTCGCGAAGACCGCAACCAAGGTATGCAAATGGAATTCCCCTTGCGCCGCACTCTACTAGACTGTATTCCTATTCGGTCGAATCGATTCCCATCACGTGAATGTCCCTTTTCAAAGAGAGAAAAAATCATCTAACGCGCAATTATCCAGGACGGCAAGCCTTACATTGTCGCCGCCGCCGTCGGCGAATCCTTCGATGACCCCCGCAACCAGGGCTTCAACATCTCCGTCAAGACTACCTTTGCCTCGATGGACGATATGAAGTACTATGATACCGAATGTGAAGCACACAAGGCACTGAAGGCTGTCGCTGGCCCCGCCAAGACGGACGTTTTGACTACTTTCTACGAGAGTGTTCTGTGAAGAACCCGACCCGCCTGGAGCTGTGGAACGAATGTCATGATAGATATGTGAATAGAAAATTGATCAGGGAATTGGTCTTTCAGAGTTGCCAGTGTTATCTTTCGAATCTGAAATTGTGATTGATTGATTAGTCTTGAATGCCTCATCCTGTGGGGTCATATAATAAGCTTCCGATTGGCAAGGATGTATAGAAAGCCGAATGTGGATATTCCACCAACCTTGAATGGCAATGGGCTGTAATCGAGTCGATCGGCTATAGGCTGAGGATTTGGGGTAAAATAGCTGCAGCTGCAGCTGGTTCAAATCTATTCAGTTCTATTGGCCGTTCTATTGACCTGATGCAACCTAAATCAAATGATTTGCATGCGATCCCTCTGTGGGAAACAAGATTTTGAGACTTTGCCGGTGCATGATTGGTATGCTGTGACATCCATGGATAATACCTCCAGGGCTGTGAGGGACGGCTACTATCCCTCAAGCTGAAATATGCGTCACACCTGATCGTGTGTAACGATTCCTATGTTTCATGACTTGGATACTTTAAGCCATCATTATGGGCAGTCATTCAATTGTATCTGGTTATGCACCTCCCCCTATTCCTTCTTATTACTCACTGTATAAATTTTTCTGAGTCATTATTGAGGCTTGACCTAAGGATAAGGCTTAGTTCCAAGTATAACTAGTTCTGATTTCTATAACTATCTTGTATCGATCAGTAATAGTACCTAGGTATCTGTATATTAAAATAAATAGAAGAGGAAATTTAGCTTATTGGTCTGAGTGATTTAGTTTAAGTTATACAGCGGGCGTTCCAAGGTTCAACCTATTAGTAGCCTTTATATACTTGTCTGAACACTTGTATAAGTATTACTGAGAGAAGACAGTGATTATTGAAGTCTCCGATGTAGGAGACTTTATTAAAAACTAAAGTTCCAACCAGATTATTAGATTTAAACTATTTGGTAGCAGCTACGGAAAACTGGGTGGCTCTGACTTCATGCCAACCTTGGATCAAATTGTACTTGACACACTTTCGGGATATCATAGCAGCATGTTTGTCTAGAAAAGTTATTGGTCCTGTCTTGATGCACTCAGCTTGGTCGATCAACTTCTTTAAGCCATCAGGAGTGGCTGTTCCGCTAAGGGAGGGTTCCTAGCTTAGGAAGTCTGGCGGGAGGTCTTGAACTGGTCCTCTGTCGTACTTCAGAGAAGCTCGGGGGTTGGTTCCAGGATGCTGGGTGACTGGGGTCTTTGGTTGATGTATACGCTTCAAATTTGCCGCTTTGGTGAGCTGTCTTGAAGAAGTATTTATCTAGTGCAGTCCATAGAAAGTAATTGGGAGTTGTTGGGCTACTGGAGTCGGATTCCGAGTCTTGTTAGGGATGATAATGCCATGTGAACAAAGCACTGTCGTAAAGTGGCTGCGTACCTAGGTAAATATAATATGTTAGCCTTCTTTTTCCTCAAGTTGCCGCCTGCCTCGCTGGCTGGGCCGTGAGCCTCAACACCCTCTGGAACAGCGAAACTAGAACGGAGCCAACGCGGACGAGAACGGAGAGAGGGAGAAGAGAATGGGAAAGGGAAACCAAGCACCAATTGAAGTTGAATTTGTTAGATTGCCTGTCAAAAAATACGGTTTCTTAGTGGTTGGTCACTGGCATCAAAGCCTAGCTCAGTCGGAGATCAGACACGCGGCAATTTTGTCCTGAAATTAATCAGCAGAGAACATGATCCAACAAATTACATTCGACTTATCCAGCGTGTGTGAGCCAACAAGGGCGTACAGGCTTCCTGTTACCGTTTCTGCTGCGGTACCCAAGGCGTGGTCATGCCGAAAGACCGACCATAGCTGGAGACACCAACGATCAGCTGCTTCGATGGGACGCCGGCCTTAGTCACCATAGACAGGGCATTCATGGTCTCGGTAATGTTGACATGTGAGCGCAGACAGTTGCCAGCAGGACAGCCAGTGTCCGCAAAGGAATTGTCATAGTCCCATTGCCCATGTAGATCATAGGTCATCAAGACAATATAGTCCGACACCAGACTAATGGCCTGAATGGGGAAGCCCTTGAGATACCAGAAGGACGCCGGAGCAGTCACCGAGATAGTCTTCCCTGGAGCCTTGGTCGCCATGCTGCTTCTCAGCGAATTGAGGAATAAAAAGTAGTTAGTACTATCGCTCTCAGGAGATGGTGGAATGTTTGGAATGTCCGGCTCCCCGGGATATTCCCAATCCCAGTCCACACCATCCAGGTCGTTGTCATTCAGGAAGTCGATGATGTTGTCTACCAGCGTGCCGCGATTCTCCGCCGCCATTGCGGTGCGGAAGATGTTGTACGTCTCCGGGCTGGCCGAGAAATCCCAGCCACCCACCGAGACAATACGCTTGATTCCACTCATACCAACCAAAAAGGGCAGTTGGGATTCAATCAGAGTGGTGTTCAGTGAAAAGTCCGGGTTGATCGTCAAGAACGAGAAATGAATGTGGGTATACCGGCCTTTGTCAATATCCGTAACAGACATGGTCAGACAGGGGCGAGACCAGTCCGACGCCAAGAAGTAAGCAATGGAGAAGAACTCCGGTGGCGGCGACGACACCAGAATCTGGGTGCCGCAGTCCGAAATACACCCGTTGGTGTCTTTGGCTGCCGTGCCAGGAGCACCGGTGGGCGAATCGGTGGGAGTGCAGAAGTCGGTTGTAGTTCCGCATTGGCCCCAGATATCGCAACAGGCGTTGAGAGGACATGGATTCAACTTATTGAGATCCGTGCCATGCGGCGCAGTGGCCGTGTCGTTCATCTGGGGACCACAAACGGCATTCTTCACGTTTGTCGGCATCGGCGGCCAGCCAGAGCTCAGACACATCCAGTTGTCCGGTTGCATGTTACCGCAGCCATTCCACGCCCACGTGTTGTTGTTCCAATTCTCGATATCCTCAACAGTAACCCCATATTGCGCGGCTAGAACGCTACAAACATCGCCCAAAGCGATCATGTGTTTGGCGCAGTTGCCGTCGCTGTCCGGCTTTAGACTGTAGTCTGGCAAGTCGCCCGCCGTACAACAGACGTGTTGGCCTTCGGGGAGATTATTGCACGGGAGTTTGGGGTTATATCTCGTAAAGTCGGAGGCGGTAATTCCACACTCGGTTGCAAGGCCCGGGCAGCTGTCCCCTAAGACCACCTGCTTGCTGGTACAGGTGTTGGCGCGGCCAACTTGACTGCGAGCTGGATGGGATGCTGTCGAGCTGTCATTATGCACGACAGAAGGAGCAAAGAAAGTGAGAGTCTTCCACGAGTCATTCACTTTGAGATTGTCCACACATCTGTTGTTTCTCCAGGTTTGAACGGCCTGCTGGATGAAGCCCAGGTCTGAATTGAAGTTGACTGCAATTCCCATGGAGTATCTAACACTGTTTGCCTCGCAATTTTGGACCACAAGAGTCTCTGAAACATCATTGCTGCCGAGTTCTTCAATCAACTCATCGATGACAGAAGATGCAATTCCCTGAGCCTCAAGCCCGGGGCCAACATATAAGCCGACGACGGCTTTCTTTGCATACGCAAAATTAATGACCCCGTTCCCGGTTGACACATCCTGGCCCAGATATGCCTGCAGCTGTTGCAGGGCATACACGGCATGCCTCACGTTCATCGATGGGCCAACAGCGGCGCCTGCGTGGCCCAACTCAAGCGGTGATGTGAATATTTTCTGGTTGGCTTCCGCGGAAGTCCGCGTGACGTTGGTAACCGCTGCGTTGGCATCCCAGTCGGCCGTACAAGCGCGAAGGGCGAAACGTGCGTCTGAACTGTTCACGTAGCTGGACAGTCCAAAGTTGAGCATCATCGGCTTGTTGAATCGCTTTAATGGACTGAGGCTATTGTAGAGGGGCGAACAGAAAATTCAACAAAATATACTAGTGCTATGAGAAACATCTCCATCAGTTTTCCAGTTGGGGTTAACCATCCTACTTGAGCTGCGCTATACCACCCGTCAAAAAGGCGGCAGCTTTCATCCCTGCCGGCGGATTTTGATACATATAGCAGGCGAGTGAAAACATCACATAGGACTCTGCATTGTTAACAACATTTAATTTGGCCCCGATGTCGTCACTCAGGGATGCACTACTCAAGTCCTTGATGCCTTCTAGTAGGATGTCAGTCAAGATCAATGAAAGAAAACAGATTTCATACCAAAGAAGTCACCCGAGGTTCCTCTATAGTCGGTTAGATGGAAGAGCTCATGGTACAGCGTGCAGCCCAGAGTGCCGTAGTAGTCCAGCCCATGATCCTCATTTGTTGCGGATGGATACACAGAACTCTCCAGGATGGCCCCGAGAGCTGGTTTGGAGTGAGCGAAGAATTTACCACCCGGTTGGAAAGCCCTGGGGCACAGAAAAGTGTGGGGATCAAAGTCTCCGGTGTTATCGTTGCGATGGATGCCCTGGGATGCTGGCAGAGTAGCAGCATACCGTGAGGGTCGGCCACAAAGCCTATTCTGCCCGTCGTTGTCAAAGTCATATCCCCTGAGCTTTTCAACCCAGAAGGGTTCCCGCTTTTTATATTTCAGGTCGCCGTATAAATCCTGGATGGTATAATATTCGTCGGGGTCTCCGTCTTCGTCATATGTCTTCACTGCAGATTCCCCATTGACGTCTTTGGCAATATCTGCCCAGTTCTTTTTCACGGCAAATTGATCTGAACAGAAGAGCCACGGTTTCACCCTAGTTCGGCTGTTCTTGAGGCCGCCTTGGCGGAGAAACTGAGCAACCGAGGCAAAACGATCTAGCATATTGGATTGGATTCGATAAGTATTGCGCGATTGACCAGGGCGAGAAGATTCATACCGTTGATCGTATTCCATAAAGATTTGCTTTCATCCTCGAGATCAGTTCCATCCCACTGGATGCCGAGCCACGCAGAGAATAGTTCACGATATACCTTATCCGTCCTGTGTCTCGCGATGGCCGTCATACCCGCATTCAGCAACTCAACGGATTCGCTCAAAAACCCATCGATCCTGTCGAGTACCGAAATGCAATTTCCTTTGTCGTTTATTGTCGCAAGTGAAAAGACATCGCTAGTTGTGGGGACCTGACTGACTGGAGCGGGAGGAGGAGGCTCTTCAGCGACAACTTGACTGGGATTCAATATCAAATAAAACACTGTAGCTCGAAAGAGCCCTGGAAGCACACGCATGGTAAGATGGATTGGCGTGTAAACAGAGTATGCCTGAAACTGTTCTGCGTATCGAATAGCCTAAGTGAAAGAAAAGAAGAAGAAGAAGAAGATTCGTCAAGACTGGACCAGAAAAGTCTTGATAAATGTACCGGCCTCGGAGACCCTTTGAATCGTGTGGGGGCGTATCTTTCTCCTGTTTAGTTCATCTCTAGTATCTTTTTGGGGGGTGCCTTTCTTTCTTCTCTTCTGCTTCTCTTCCCTTCTTCTTTTTTTTTTATTTTCCAGAGAAAAAGAATTATGAGTATTTCCCGTGTCTCACTTTCATTTCGTCGTTAGCTCGACCCAAGTACAAAATCATGAATGTAACCAACTAGTATAGCTTGCTGTCACATTATGGCTCAGGTAACCAATGAAATCTGATTCTCTGACTGGGCTGTCAGGCCTAGATCTACTTAGCTTTATACCAACGAAATTGCTGCCTCGGGTGTTGGCTATTCGTTAAGTTAGCCTTGCAGGATCGAACTAAAGCCTCCGTTCGCTAGCCTTAATGCGGCACGCAGGCCTGCAGTAGTATATCGCCACAGCAGTCTAGTTCATGGAGCAGAATCATTTCATTGTGAGAAATGTAACATTCCATGGAAGCGAGCGAAGTATCTTCGGAAACAATCGTGGAAGTCGGATGTACGGAGTATTAAAAAGTTGGAGATACTAGTAGTATCCCTCTTTCTCAACCTCCCGTCCATTTGTATCCCGTGGCCCCCTTAAAAGAGAGAGACAGAGAAAAAAAGGATGCAATTATCTTCAAATTTTCTTTCATACTGTTCCCTCATCAAGTGAAACTGTCTTTCTCTCCGTGTGGCCCTGGTCACCATGCTTTTTAGGACCAATGTCCTCGCGACATTGGCAGCCCTAGTCTGCCTATCTCATGCAGTAGTGCAAATACAATCTGCAGAGGCTAGTGGTGTTGTCGCATCACTGAGACAGCATATCCACATTCCAACAGCCTCTGCACATACTGTTCTTGAACCAACAAGTGAGCCAAAGATTTTTGCTGGAATAATCCACGGAAACTACACATATCGACGGCCATGGAATGACACACGAAGTGTGTGTCCAGAAACCTGCTCCTCCACTGGAGCTGATACAGCTTCCTGGCAGGTTAGGATTTCGGATTTTGCCATTATCAAGCTACATCTTCTGTCAGAAGTTGTGTAGTTCCCAGATACCTTCAATGAGACTGTTGTTTTCCCTCTTTCCTAGACACTTCAATATCTGAGCCTCAACAGCAATTATGGAGAGCTCTTCGATAGTTAGTACTCAAGCATTACTTAGTAGTATCGCAGGTGCCTCCAGCATCAATTCCCTTTAGCCTTCTACATCCCGGCCATCTGGCCGTATTCCTGACAAGTTTTCAACTAGCCACAGTTTTGTTCTCGAAACATATTATTCCCTTATTCACCGGATAATGGCGGAGAAGAGACTAGAAACCCTTCGCCTCAACAACGCCGGCAGCTAGTGTCACTGCAATTCTAGAAGATATTGTCTAACGTGATCGTTCGCCCCCAAAAAATGAATGCAACATCATGAGATGATAGAACGAGCAGATATTGACAAGACACCTGCAAGGATAGCAGGCTTTCCTGATACTCACTCTAGAAACCCCCGGCATACTCCCATCTCCCCTCCGCCGCTTGTAGCTGAGCCCGTATAGTTTGTTTCATTCGCCCCAGCAACAGCAATTTCTTGCCATTGTGATCTACTGCGCGGTGTGGATTTGCCCCACGATCTAGCAGGGATCTAACAACGGCCTCATTTCCGCCCTTGACGGCGTATGTGAGCGGAGGGCGTCCCATATCATCCGTAACCTCCGGGTCTGCGCCACGTTCCAGGAGCAGATCTACCATCGCTTCATGGCAGTCTTCTACGGCCCAAAATAGGACTCGGTCGAATGGCTTGCTCAATCCGCCCCTAGGGTATTCAGTACACCGCACGTTCACATCCCCGCCTGAGTCCAACAACAGCTCTACTAGCTCTAGCCTCTTATTCAGCACCACTAACAGTAAGGGCTGCACCCAGTCCTCGTGATCCCAACCCGTGCGACGTGGTATCTCGGATAGATCAAATTGGGGAGGTGTACTGCTTCGAAGCAATGTCTCCGCCATGCTTCTGTTCCCATGTGCCACAGCGAAGGCCAATGCTCTGGTGCGCTGGAGCCTCGTCGTTCCCTGGACCAAGAGCGGAAGTAGATGCTCATGGCCTTGAATCACCGCCGCCTTCAACGGTGTCTCCGATACTCGTGGAACCGGAATCAAGTTTGGATCCGCACCGTACGCAAGAAATAGCGACACCAAGTCGCTCATCCCATTGGTCGCTGCTAGTAACAGGGGAGTCCCTTGAAAAGGACCAAAGCTTCCAAAAAGATTGACTTGCACTCCATGCGTGAACAATAACCGGACCACCGGGACGTGCCCCGCCTTCACCGCGGCAAAGAGAGCCTCTTCCATCAAATCTTCTTTGTTGTCCTCATTCCCGTCTCCTCGCAGAGCCAACAGAAGAAGTTCAACTATATCCACATGCCCCTGAAATGCTGCCAGCCCTACAGGCCGGAGGGTTACAAAGCTGCGAATATCCTGCTTGGCACCCACGTGCAGCAAGTATTTGGCCAGAGAAACATGGCCATGGGCAGCGGCTAGTGCCAGTAGTGTAAACCACTCGGGGTTTTTTGTGTTGGGACTGACCCCGTGATCGATCATACAGCGGACGATATGTAAATGGCCCGCCTGAGCCGCCAGCGAAATAGGATGTGGCCGGAAGTCGTGGAAGCTATGCGGGCCTTCGATCCCGAACTGGATGGTTCGTGGGCCTTCCTCGCGAAATTCGCCCTTGGCCTGTTTCTTGGGTAAAGGGGCGCCTGCACGCAGCGCCTTCTGTAGTGTGTCCATCTGGCCGGATTGTGCCGCCCATTCTAACGCGGAGCTGTTGTTGTGGAGCACATTGTTCCGGTACAGACTAGGGGTGCAGATTTGTTGGAGATGGCGGTTTGTCCGCGCTAAGGCGGCGAGAGATGATTCCGAAGAAAACAGGGTGATTTGGAGAATGAGCTCGTCGGGCAAGGTTTCAATTCTAGACATTTTGAGGGAGAAAAATGTGAGGAACGAATGGGGGCAATTGAATTGAGGGCGTTGTTAGATTTGCTGAACATGGGAGATCTCATAACGTGGTGAGCTTGACCAAAGAAACAAAACTTTCCGGATTGTCTTTGACCGAGGACTATGCAAGCTAAGAATTGTTGGACTATGGCTGCTAAACTAGCACTAGCTTGCAGTAGTTGATGGGCAAAATCATCCGGAAAGGTTGTGACACTCAGGACCCGAAATTAGCCCCAATTTTTTGTCCAATATCGGTGGCAATGTAACCTCACCGTCACTAGCATCTCGCAGTCTTCAGATTAACTTACTTCTTGACAATCGAGCAGTTAAAGCCGACGAAAATAGAGTACCAACTATTATGAGAACAATATATGACCATAGAGGTCGCTATCTCAGTACCACCTCTCCTTAATCGCCAACTGGATTCGCCCTCAAGTCATGTTGTTTACCAAAGCTACTCTGGTCAGCCTTGCGGCTAGCCTCGCCTCAGGATATCTCGTTGCTCCCATACCGATAGCCGAGCGGCACCCATACCAACGGCTGAGTGGCACCTATGCTGACGGCTGAGTGGCACCCGTGCTGACGGCTGAGTGACACTTATGCTGATACCTAAATGATGCCCGTATTGGCACCTCAGCTCACCGATACCCCGCTTATGGCGCCTATACATCGCCTAGACCTACTTATAACGAATAGGGTGGTTATAACAATAAAAACTAGGTGTAGCTATAATACTTGATATAGATATAGGACCTTCTTGCCCATAGAATAACATACATAACAAGACAAACAAGACAATCAATATAATATCAGCAAACATTGCAAACACCAATCTTCTTCTTTATCCAACCTTTCCTAAGCCTATTGAGACATACAAAGTCTTAGATATATACTTTAGTTATAGGAGTATAGTGACTAAAATAGGCCTGCAAGGCACTTCCAGGATCACAAATTCTTAGATCTCTATTAATTATAATATAGGGTTAATTTAATATCTTTTTAGTACTATATAAGTTACTTATAGTAATAGGAATAGTCTAAATACTATAGATATATATACTCTTTTTCCTAACTACTTTTAAGATAGAAAAGTTAAGCTTAGTATATTATAAGTTATACTTAATAATAAATTTATAGTTAACTAAATTAACTTTAATCGTCAAGATTCTGGATATCGATAGGTTTGATACAGGTATAGTCAAAGTGAAGATAAAAATCATTCCACTAGTCGGGGCCTAAGCTGTTTAAATAACCCAAGAACGGGCTCTGGATTGAATAGTACCCAGTGCCGTGTGACTAGCTAGTAGGTAGGTTTAAGTTCGGGGTTATGACTCTGTTCGGAGAAAATAGATTAACCTAATCGTTTCTATTCCTGGATAAACTCCTTAATATTTCAATTAAGAGTACCGGTACGAATTATGGTACTTTTTTGAGTTGCGGTCCCCCCCGGGCGAAATAGTTTCGAGGCGTTGGCTGGATAAATCCAATTAGGCAGAAACCACCTTCAGCCCTGGAGGTTTCTATGTGGAGATTCCAACCGACAAAAACCCCGCATGATTTTAGCCATTCCACCTGGGCATCTTGGTCTTTGAGACAGAGCACCGTCTTGTAATACACACTTGTGGGAGCCACCCGCTGAGGTTAAATACATCAAAAGAATTGTGAATCTATATTGGGGTCTCTATGGTGACACTTGACAGATTAAGGCTGTGCTGATAGTTTAAGTTGTCATTATAGAGCTGTTTTACTACAAAACATACCTGTGTTTCAGATCGTTTGCCCGGGTGGTGATACTATCTTTTCAAACGGAGTTAGGCCTTGCAAGAGATCCTTGAAGAATGTCGGAACCAGTCTGGACCGGCATTTAACTTGGGGGCTTTAACCGAGGGAAGCTAAAATGTTTCCACTTGTAGCGCAGGCTACTTAGTTTGAACCACTTCGGGTTAGTGCTAATCGCTGAAGTTCTCCACATTTGGACCCTTGTTTAGTTTCTGCAAACCGCATTCTTATGCTTTCGATAAACTAGGACTAAAATTGACGTGAATGGAGTCTGGGCGTTTGGTGATATCCAGCCTAAAATCTTATATGCGATCTCATTTAGGCTGAAAAAGGAACGATTACTCTTTTAACCGCGGTTTCTCTTACCAAGGAGCTGAATTGATTAGACGAGATGTTCTCCATCAGTGAAACAGGGTCTTCCTAGATGATGCAACATCCGTTCTCAATTGGGAAAGATGTCCGTTCGGCTAGTGATAGGCTCAACTATGAACTATTCTTCATCAAGAGAATGTTGATGAATGCTATTTTGTATAAGTATCGTCTGCATGCTCCTTAGGTGGTATCCTGTACCTTTATTTCTATTCCAAGGTTACCCATCTCGAAGCAAACACATTCTTCAACATGGTTCAAATCAAGGCAGTTGCTCTGGCTATGCTTTTCGTTGGCCAAGCGATTTCCGGACCTGTCGAATCTCGACAGGCATCTGTGAGCATTGATGCTAAATTCAAGACACATGGGAAGAAATATTTTGGAACTATTGGTGACCAGGGCACCTTCAACAAGAACGCAAAAACCCCGGCAATCGTCAAAGCCGATTTCGGCCAACTGACACCCGAAAACAGTATGAAGTGGGATGCTACTGAGCGTGAGGACGGCTTTCTATGTGACATTTGTATATTAGAAGCTGATTTGTGAAATAGCCAGCCAAGGGCAGTTCTCCTTCACAGGGTCTGACTATCTTGTACGTACCCAGCTGGTATTTACCAAGGTACTGCTCATTTTCCCGATTCTTACAAAATATAGGTCAACTTTGCTCAGTCAAATGGGAAATTGATCCGTGGCCATACTCTAGGTAAGTCATCGGAGGTTCAGGGCTTCAACATACCAAAACAAGAAAAAGAAAAGCTAAAACCCGTCAAGTGTGGCACTCCCAGCTCCCTTCCTGGGTTTCTTCCATTTCAGACAAGACGACTCTGATCAATGTCATGAAGAATCACATTACCACACTCATGAACCGTTACAAGGGGAAAATCTATGCCTGGGTAAGTTATATGATACTCTTCTATGAAGCCACACTTTTAATCGATCCCAGGATGTTTTGAACGAAATATTCAACGAAGACGGTTCCCTACGCAGCAGTGTATTCTATAATGTTATCGGCGAGGACTTCGTACGAATTGCCTTTGAAACAGCTCGCGCTGTCGATCCAAATGCAAAGCTCTACATCAATGACTACAAGTGAGCCGTATTCCATAAACGAAACTGTTATTTGTTTTTCTTGTCCAAGTCTGATTTTTCAAGTCTGGATTCTGCCTCCTATGCCAAAGTGCAGGGCATGGTCAACCATGTCAAGAAGTGGATTGCTGCCGGAATTCCAATTGATGGAATCGGTAAGACACTAACCATATTCACTTGCTGCGAATGATTACTTACTTGTCAAAGGATCGCAAACACACTTGAGTGCTGGTGCAGGTGCTGCAGTTTCTGGATAAGTCCCCTCTTCCTTCTTTTCAATCGAGTATAAGCTCATAGCCTCTCACAGCTCTTAACGCTCTAGCAAATGCGGGAACGAAGGAAGTTGCCATCACCGAGCTTGATATCGCTGGTGCTAGCTCTACCGACTATGTCAATGTGAGCTCCCCAGCTCATTTCTCCTCCCCTGCAATTTCATGACTTACATGGCCATTCCTTGCTAATTACTCATTCCACAGGTTGTCAACGCTTGTTTGAACCAGGCGAAGTGTGTCGGAATCACAGTTTGGGGAGTGGCTGACCCTGTAAGTGCCCAGTACCAATTCTTTGTAGATATACAGCATCCATGGATACTAACACTGGATGTTTAGGATTCGTGGCGGTCCAGCTCCAGCCCTCTTCTTTTTGACAACAACTACAACCCAAAGGCTGCATATACCGCTATCGCAAATGCCCTTTAGTGGTGTCCATGAGGTCCTCCCTTCAAGTTGTTTCGGCTATATTCAACTTGTTCATACCTAGGTATTAGGTTCTGGACACTCTTTTCCAGTCTCCCAGCCACGTCATTCAGACCTTGCATGTCGCCATAGACCACTGGTAGTACGACTTGTGAATATGCTTCGCTATGTATATATCAGCCAGTGCTGCTCTGATTGCCCAACTCAGAAAGTCATCTTTCCTTAACTTGAGACATGTTTGTTATGCTCCAGTTCCTCGATCGCCACCTAGTAGTTCTCGCCGAAAGTTATTTTTTCTTTCGGTAATTCCCCTCTATATTCGTAGTATGAGTTAATTATGTCAATCGTGCGCCTAGGAAACCATGAAAATTGGGTTGCTTTTGGCTCTGCTGGGACTACACGTTCCATCGAGTGGTTGTGTGCAGATGCCAAGAAGTCCAGCGTTTCGGATGAAGACAGGTGGTCAAATACAAACTCTTGTTGTTATTGTATCGAATTTTAATTTTACCTGTTGGATCTCGTCAATTTTAGGAAGAAGCTGAATGGGGAAATAATTAAATGGTTGATCTTTATTTTGAATGTCTGGATGCTAGCAAAGCTCTGGTCGCGAAATGAAAGAAAAGAAAACGAAGGTCGAATATCATGGACGCTCGTCAGGATTTCTCTTGGATCTTTCACTCCACATCTTACCACGGGAACTATTCCAATTCCGAGGGACTGGACTAAGACAATTCAAATCAAGTCGGTCAAAGTTGCGAAGGACCCGCGCAACTTCTCCATAGCCCTCCGTCCGGGCTGCACCTAGTGCATGTGCTCCACTATCGCAAATGTGATTGGGATCAGCACCGGCTTCATGTAGCATCTTGACAACTGGCACTGATCCATTTTTCGCCGCGAGAAAGAGAGGGGTCTCATTCTCATTATCCTTTGGATCAGGATCAGCGTGGTTATGCAATAAAGCGCGAACAATATCCTCTGTGCCAAGTTCGGCTGCGAAGTGCAATGCGGTCTTCCCATACTGGTCAGCGTGATTGACATCGATTCCCGGTGCCGTGAGGAGGAGATTAACCATATCGGCGGATTTGAATTGTGACGCGACAATCAGCGGCGTCCTGCCGGCGTGTCGGGTGTGCATAGCCGGTGACCTGTCCTCCACATTGACATCGACATTGAAGTTGCTGCAGTTTAGGAAACACGATACTATTTCAGGTGAAGGTGAGTCTGACAAGACGGCATAGAAGAGCGGTGTGCGGTTTTTCGAGTCATGGGAGTCGACATCTATTCCCGTTACTTCTAACAACAGTTTCACAATATCGACAAAGCCCCAGTAAGCCGCTATGGACAGAGGTGATGGGATTAATGGGTCTTTGGGGTGCGGATGTGTATCTTTGGCCGATAATAGGACCTTGATAATTTCCGTATAGCCTTCACGCGCGGCTATACCCATAGCAGTCGATGGGCGAAAATGATTCTGGATATTTGGATCAGCGCCATCTACATGAAGAATGCAGGAGATGACGTCAATATGCTGGTTCGCGACGGCATCGTACAGGGCATGGTTGATAGCGAATAGTCGCTCGCTAACATCATCAATTGCCCGGCTAGCAGTTATTGACATCTGGGCGGTTGCGACGACCCCACTCTGCGCCGCCCAAGAAAGGGCTTCCAGGTTATCTTCGAGTGCATCGTGTCGATAAAGATGGTTGTTTAGGGTATTGAAGAAACGGCGGTTTGCTTGAGCTAGCGCGTTGATATCGCATGAGGCGTCCAAATTAGCTGCGATCGCAAGTAGGATCTCACTGGGGAGACGGTCCATTGGATGGAAGCATGTGTTTAGACTGATCCGGAATTCCCGGAAACTAGAACTTTGATAGTTTGAAATGAGAACGGGGAGGTGGATAGTAGCAAGTGGTGGTGATTGGCGAGTGAACTTGAACTGTTGTGGTCAAGTCCAGTCAGGGGAGAAGTGTTGAGCCTCAAGTCTTGGCGGGCCGCCCCGCCAGCATAACTTGAACATAACTTGAAATTGATATAAGCCACTACAAGACTGGCTAGGCTAAGAGTATGTTGAAGACTTAGTATTTTCAAAGACTAAAATTGAAATTATCCTAGATATTAATTTAAAATACCTATACACTGACTGTGTCAAGAGTAGAACAGCTGGTTACTGATCTCTCATTTTAGCCCCGGGATGCGTGCCAAGATAAAAGGGAACATATAAGGGTCTTGTTGGCTTCCTGAAGGCTCTCATAGTATTAATACCAGTCGCTAAATTAGGAAGAAACGGAAGTAAATCGTAAGAGCCGAAGCCAAAACGAAAGCGAAAGCCGGCAATCTTCAAAGCCGAAAATGTATGACTCAGCAGTATCGGAAATCCGGCAAACCCGACGAGATCCGAGAAACATTCTTGCGATCCAGTCAGACCATTGCCGACCACGGGCCACACCTTATTCGGGATGCGATCAAGTCTCTCGTGTGAATTCTGCAGGTTGGACCACTCTCCGAATGACATCACTGGTCGCATTGGAGCCTAAGCTGACATCCCTACTATAGGAAATCAAAAATCAAATGCATCAATGAAGGCACAGCACCATGTCAAAAGTGCCGGAAATCGAGAATACCAGGCTGTGAATTGAGCAGACCACCAAGTAAAACACCGCGAAAGGCTATTCGTCGCGATATACTTGATACCCCAGGTCGGCGTTCCGCCAATGAACACGAAAATGAAAGCCCTGTGCCGCCGTCGAGTACAGCGACATCGCCTGCAAGAGTAGCACAAGATCTCCAACTTGAACCAAACACCCCAAGAATCGTTCATGAGGAGGATGATCTTTCGCAGACAGACGGCCATTTGACGGGACTATCAACCGATCTTGTCTTGAAATCATTGAACGTCTTTGTGAACAAATATCCCGAGCTGGCCATTCTTCACCTACCCTCTTTCGCCAAGAAGCATCAATTGCAAGATTCGAAGGAAATCAAGACACTGCTAGCCGCGCTGTTAGCAATAACTAGATCACATCCTCTGCTAATCACGTTTCCTTGGGAAAGCTCCCTCTTACCAAAGGAGCGCTATGCAGAGTATGCCCGAGACAGACTGTCTAGAAGCTCTTTTGAAGCCCCCAGACTCGAGGTAGCGCAGGCGCTCCTCATCATGACTGTATACGAGTGGGGTACTCGAGAGTTTCACCGGGCCTGGATCTACTGTGGTGAGTGAGAAACTAATTCATTTCCAAGTCAATGGTAAGCTAATGGACAAAAGGCATCGCTACGAGAATCATGCAAGCATTGAACAGTTCACGAATCGCACCTTATCCGCTTGATTCCACTCCAAACCAGCGTGAAGCTGTTTCATTTGCGATTGAGAACAGAACCACATGGGCCTGCTTCATTCTAGATCGCATGGTCAGTTCGGGAACATACAACCCTCCTATGCTCCCGTGGTCGGAGATGGAAAAGCTTAAAGTTTTTCGGCCTCTGAGTGCTGTCGAGTTTGCGTTTGGACCCGATCTTGTTTCGCAAATGAATGGCATAGAAAATAACCTTTCAACGCCACAACGCGAGCAGACTGCTCTGTTCGACATCACACAGTCCTTTGAAGTCCTCGTCTCTGGATTTGATATCTGGGCACAGGTCATGACTTTCATCTATAATGATGGGCGCCGGGCGCCGGGAATGTGCGCTCCACAAAATTGCCCTTGGGCTTCCGAATCACCCTGGTCAAAAACAAGACATCACCTTCGAACATGGCGAGCCAATCAGCACCACAGGCTTTATTATCCTGATAATAGTGTGCTCGCCCACACGACATTGGGCTACGGGGAATCCTTTACTTATCTTAATTTGCTTTATTCAATCTGGTATGTAGATGGCCGTTCTTTCGGTTTCCACCCAGCAGATGCTAATGATGTGAACTTAAGTACATTAATGCTTCACCGAGAATATTTCCCGTTTATGCCGACTGGACTGACGGCCCCTAGAGGGCCAATTGACCCTCCAACACTCGAGGGAGAGTCGCCGGAAGGATGGTGGGAAGCAAGTGCATTTGAGTTGTTCGGGGCTGCAGAAAATATTGCCTGTCTTCTGCACGAGGCTTCCGAGTGTGGCGCTGAGATTATATCTCCATTCGTGGGATTTTGTGCATTTTCAGCGGCATATATGAATCTTTACGTTTTTCGATTTCCACAAATGAACCTGGGCCGCAGCCAGCATGCAGAGCGCAACCTCAACTACTGCATGACTTATCTCGAACACTTTCGACAGGTGTGGACACTCGGAGATAGCTGGGTGAGTCAAATTGAGATCCCAACCATTTTTCCTGAGGAGCATGACTGACAAGCAGTTCGCGATTGAAATCGAGTAGCTCGCAACTATCAAGAACGCATCGCTTTTGTATCAGCGAGCCACGTCCAATAGGTCCCGATACCAAGGGAAATCACGAGCAGACTTTGATGTTCTGCATCAGTCGATCCATGAATTTCGGGTTGTTGACCGATCCGATCAACATCTCCAGGAAATCGAGGGCGCGGAACGAGAGGCCGTCCCAGTTCCTACGCCCGCAACAAATGCCGGTACAGATTCGTTGGATCTCGATATGCCGCTCAATAATCTTCTTACCGAAGTCAGCACGTATGCCCATGAACAAGGCATGTGGTCACATTGGTGGGGTTCGCTTGATGACATTAATATGTCTGTGTTCCAAGATCAAGACAACCCAGGACAAGACAATCCAGGACCAGTGTAAACTTCGGAGATATGACGATGCTGCGTCAACTAATCACAAAACATTTCAACAAGATTGGCGATTGCACTTGCCAATACTGATTATATTCCAACAAACACCAACATGCACCAAAATGCACCTTTCCGATGTGGTTTATCTATCGAACGGATGTTTCGGGTCCCATTTTTAAGTGGCGTCTTTACACTCTCCCGTTTAGGCTAGTCCGCCTCACGAAACCAATTCTCAACGCCGAAAATCAAACTCGGCCCCACCGTGCTAGCAATTACCCTTAAGGCTAGTTATCTTTCGGTGGAGTCAATTTGGTAATCTGTCTGGCTTGATTGCTGATGGGAATGTGAAGTTTAGAAAAGTCCATAATAAATATAAGCACGGAACCCCTATAGAGCTGCTAGGTAATCGTCATCTTGTCATATCATTCATTACCTTCGTCCACCACTACGACTTCTATAGCTTAATATAAAAAACATGGCCACGCAGACAGGAAATTTTGCCGAACAGACGGGAGAGGCTGGAGCTGCAATTTATTCACCATTTGTGTTATCACTCTACGATCTGTGGGTCTTGAAAATCTCAAATTCATTTGCTTGGCGTTGTCCGACAAAGAGCATCCAATTGCCATTCTTCAAGCAATTCATCGGCAAAAGACATCTCGATATTGGTCCCGGATCAGGTTATTACCTCGAGCATGGTAACATCCCCGAAGAAACCGCCGTCACATTACTGGATCTGAACCAAAATTCACTTAATGTCGCAAAACAACGACTCGGCAGACCGTCGACTGTGACAATCGAAGCCGACGTGACCCAAATACTTCCCCTGGAGGGGGTTTATGATTCAATTTCGTTGTTCTTTCTTCTTCACTGTCTTCCCGGTCCACTGGAAGAGAAGATGAAACTTTTAACCAGTTTGAAGCCGCATTTGGCCCAGAAAGGAGTGGTGTACGGATCAACTATTTTGGGGAAGGGTGTTCAACATAACTGGTTTGGAACTCGACTCATGAATCTTTATAATTCGAAAGGAATCTTTGGGAACCAGGAGGATGGTGAAGATGAGATTCGCCAGGCTCTCTGCAGGGAGTATGAGAAGGTGGAAACGAAAGTTGTTGGATGCGTGCTCTTATTTTCAGCTTCACAGCCAAAGGAGACCGACTCGGAAAAGAGTGATTGATAGGGGAGGATTAGAGTTATTTCATGTATATTGAAGAATTTTGTCCAAGTAATTTAGCAGATCACCCAAGGAGAAAGAGAAAAAGGTGTTGAACCTATTAGCTTGTAGCCATTTAAGCAGCCGCCTTCGGGCATCGGCCCCGACCGCCGAAACGTGGCAACCCCAGCTTCTCCGCACTTTCTCCACGATTTCATGTCGCCCTCAGAGGATTGGGGGAGGTATACATAGTTTCATGATGCAAGCTTGCGATCGCTGTTACCGTCGCAAGTCAAAATGCGACAAATCCATTCCTACCTGCGGCCAATGCCAGAGAGCACGCGCGCCCTGTCACTACGTGGATCGGACTCGGGAGCCGACTGTCCGTCGTGAAGTCTTCGACCGGCTTGAACGACGCTTACGACAAATGGAGGCCAAGAATCGCGCCTTATCATCGCAGTTGGTTTCGTCTCAGGCATCCCAGCGGAGTGAATTTGCCCATGAACGAGCTCAAGATTCTCAGCCACTAGCGCAGAGCCCCGACGCGACTCCGTTCCCTTTTGACCGCAGCGAAGTTGCCGATGAGGTATCCTTTTTGTCGCGACAGGCTGGTGGTGATGGCCAATATTTGGGCTTTGCCAGTGGGGTTATATTTGCAGATCTTGTTCAGGGCGTTGCTTCGTTGCATTCGCCCGTTCAGCGTGGACAGTCGTCCACCCATCGGACATCTTTGCGATCTCTAACGGCCCCACAGCCTACCTCCTCGTTATCACTCGCACAGGAGACTTTACCACCAGAAAGAGTGGCTCGACATCTACACGAAGCATATCTCAGCCATGATCACCTTTGCTTTCCATTCCTCAACCGCCACTCTGTGCTCTCAAACCTTGACCGCATTTACGCCGATGGCACTGTTCTCGAAAGAGATGCTGGAATGTCATTGATCTTCTACATGATACTTGCCATAGCAATGGCTAGCGCTCATAAGTGTGAGTGGCAGTCTTTGCCGGAAAGTGAGAACTTCCAGGCTCGTGCCATGGCACGGGTGAACGAAGTCTTGCAGCGTACCGACATTAAAGCGCTGCAAGCTGTACTTCTTCTATGTCAGTATAGAATGACAAGTTCCGCGGAAGAAACTTCGGCGAGCTTATGGCACATGGTGGGGATTGCTGCTCGGATGTGTTTTGAATTGGGGCTCCATCGTAACCAAACTTACCGTGCCTTGACAATGCCTCACGCTAGCAATAGCGAGCTTCTAGCGGAGAGTGAGACTCGTCGACGATGCTTTTGGTCTGTTGTCGATATGGATAGGTAAGACATAATGTCTCGATTTTCTCTCGCCTTGCTGACACGTTTTATAGAGTTGTCAGTATTACCTTGGGCCGGCCGCTAGCCATTCATCTTGAAGATGTAGATACCGCTCTTCCAGATCCAGATATTGACGAATCGAGTGACATGGACGTGGAAAAACCTGAAGGAACCCCATCACCAACGGCAATCTTCAATCATCTCACTCGGTATCGGATACTCAGCGGCAAAGTCATGGTCTCACTTCACAGCCCCCGCGGGCAGACTCACGATGAGACATCTACTGGAACAACACGCTTGGCATTGACGCAAGAGTTAGAGAAATGGAGGAGCGAGACAGCAAGTCTGTCTCTTATCGCAGATTCCCAGACAACGCGCCAGTCTCAGCTATTTGTCACCCGAGTGGTATGAGCTGCTATACTACAACACGCTGCTTATGCTTTATCGACCATCGCCGGCGCTGTCTAGCATTCCTGCTCGCGCGCCTGTCGTACTCCAGCCTATATTTGATGCATCGAGAGAAGCTATCTCTCGATATGCAATGTTGCACACATCCCAACGCATCAATTATACCTGGATCACTCTACACGCGGTTTTTATGGCCGGCCTATCCTATATCTATGCCGTGAGCCGCCATTTCCGCGCACGTCGCGCAAGCCCAGATATTGCTAGTTCTGCCGGGACTCTTACAGTCGACCCAACGATACTTGAAGTGGTCAACACCTGCCGATCTTGCTCGATCGTACTGGTAGCAGTTTCAGAGCGCTGGGCTACACCGCGTCATTGCCATAAGGTGTTTGATCGTCTCGGTGACGCTGTTCTCGCCGATGTCATTTCGTTCTTCACTAAGTCACGGTCGGCTGGTCCACTGATACCGGCTATTCAACAAAATCTACCGTCGTATCCATTAGCCGCGCCTCAGGCAGAGACACAACTTTCCGTCTTTGACCCCAGTGTTCATCTAGCCCCCATGCAAGATTGTTCTCCTTCTGTAATAGGAGTGGATTCAGTGCTCCGAGATTGCTTCGAAGACTTGCAGCATTTTCATGATGCAAATGGAGGTGACGGGCCAATTCAACAACTTTCTCAAGATTGGCTACATGAAATCGGAGGTATGGCTTTAGATGCGGTGCATTTATGGGGAGAATGAATTGAGAATCTATAATCTTGATGGTAATATGACATGAGTTATTGGCAGTTAAACTTCTCAAATACAGCCCCGTTCAAGAAATTTGACGGGGACCGGGACTAGCCGACTGCGAAGAAATTCTCCAATGCCCTTACCAAGTCCATCAATTCTGCTTGAACTGGCGATACCCCCATCCAGAAAGTCCAGGACGCGGAAATGCACTGCCAGAATCTTGGGAAACTCACAGCGCTCCACTCTTCTTTCGGCTCCATCTTCCGTATTATCAGTCCAGTCGTCTCCAAACAGGAGCTTTAACCGAGGAACTGTGAGGAACGATTGCAGCCAAGGATATTCGTCATCGTGTTGGACAAAAAACCCGATATTAGAATTATTTGCCTTGTCGCCGGATCGTGCATGCACAATGCTTCCTAGTGGAGCTAGTTGTGTTGGGCCGAATGTTTCCAAAGAGACAGGATGCATAGTCTCATAGGAGGGCCGTTGAACTGGCTGTTTCATTGTTATGGATGGAGGCGCAACTTGAATTTCAGGACCATCTGGGAACAATCTAGCCCGGTGATTGAGAAGGTTCATCTTAATCAACACAGGGAAAATCTCCATGAACGGCTTTGGGTCCATGGTACGGAAGTCGAGGTTCATATGATAGCCTAAAACTTTATTAGTTGACTGTTCAATCTCGGGAAAGGTACAATTAGAGCTGTCATACCTGGATAGCTCTGCATGCGTAAAGCATAAATGGGAATCTTGAATTTCGAAGCAGCGATATCTTCCAACTTCCTCGATTGTGCAAAAACACGCAGGGATACAGTCCCTTCTTGCTGGCTTTTCGGGTCTGTAGATGCGGAGCCATACAATTCGATGGATAGCTTGCTGAACTTGTTATCACGAAAGATATGGGATAATTGATTGCGCATCATCTCTGCTTTCTCGGCGACATCTAGTCCATTGATGTAGAAGGTTGCCTCGGCTTGATAGCCACCGGGCGCGGCAATGATTGCTTTAGTCGTATCGGGAGGTGGATTTCCAGCCATGCCGCATACTCGTATGCGATTTGAGCCGATTTCTTCGATCTGAATGTTGTGGAGATCCGCCACAACATCTGAATTGAGATATTGTTCTCCTTGGAGTTCGTAGAGAAATTGGGCGATTGTGTTATGCTTGGTCACTGCACCGGCATATTGTTGACACTTAGTGATAACACACGTACCGTCTGCTTCGATCTCTGCAATTGGAAAGGAAAGATCCACTAATTGGGGTAGGATAGCTTTGAAGCCAGAGAAGTTGGCTCCGGTGACATAAGGACCACACTCGATCAGATCTGGAGAAGTAATTGTTAGAACAATCATCTTCAATTTCAGCAATTCAATACATACGGCCTGCAACCAAAGCACCCGCAAGACTATTCCATGCATCCTTAGACCATTGGTACCACCATGCTGCGGCACCAATGACAGGAGATGCATCGGTGACACGACCACAGAGCACTATGTCCGCACCAGCTTTGAGGGCTTCGACAATTCCCCACGCTCCAATATATGCCACACCGCAATGTGGCTCGAGGGGCCAGTCCTCACAAATCCAATCCGGATGATCAAGATGAGCCAGGCTGCTTCGAGCCTTCGGGTCTTGAACCAACTCGGAAATGTCATCACCGAGCACAACGGCAATATTCACGTCCCGATATCCCTTCCCCAGACACATATCGTGAACCTCTTTAGCTAGTGCTTCTGTGTTCAGTGCTCCGGCATTAGTTACGACCTTGATCTTCCTCTCCATTATTAGATCGATCGAGTCGCCAAGCTGCATTAGGAAACCAGACTCATATCCCAACGAGGGATCCTGGGCCTTCGCGATCGCGTTCCAAGCGATATTCATTTCGGATAGCCAGTCTCCAACAATAACATCGACATTTCCATCCTTTGCCATGCGATACATCGCATTTGGGCTGTCGCCCGTCGCGCCCGAAACATTTCCCACTCGCAGCGGTTTCTGCTGCATGATGTTTGATAATTTGTCGCGTCGTTGTGGCTTTGAATCTGTGATAATCAAACAAGCTACTGAGTATACAGCCGGGTAGGATACAAATTAGAATCACACCTGATAATGGAATTGAAAACCAAGATTGTCACTTTCAGAGAAATGGCCTGGTCTTTTGAATTATTACCGAGTCCTGATCGAGGGTGTCAAGCTTCCCCACATAGGTTAAGGCACGTCGGCCATCGGCCCCGACGTCCTACTCCCCTGGAAGTCTCCACTCTCAACAAACATTCAATTTTGACCGGTAGCCCTATTTTGAATTAGTCTGGTGAGATTGGATGGGTCCAAATGTGGAAAATCTGTCTGATATATGGGTCGGCAAATGATTTGCCGCATCTCATTGGCATGGTGGCCTTAGACTCGTGGGGAAGTCATCGGTGCGCGGTTCCGTTCACCGCACATATCGAAATGCGAAGTCCTTTTGTTATAAAGTGACTCCGCGCGGATCAGATCTGGGGACCCCGGATTTCACTTTCTTCTTACGCGACATCACAATGACGGGCCAACTGAAAGACCGTGTTGAGATGACAGAAGACGCGGAGACAGGCATCTCGAAGGAGGAACAAGGGGTATGCCGTCCTATCTGCTATTTTGCGTTGTTGTGATTACGACCTAACGTGATTGTCAATAGATGACCTGCAATGAGAGTGTTCTGTCTATCGATGCCGCCCGTGAGAAGGCACTGGTATGGAAGCAAGACTTGCGAGTCGTTCCTCTTTCTGCGTTTATTTATCTGCTTTGCTACTTGGATCGGTCCAATATCGGTGAGCACCTAGGAAGCACTCAATTACTAGCTAGGCCTTATCCACTGATTTTTCAAAAGGAAATGCCAAAACACTCAATGCAGATACAGGCAATGATCTGGTTACTGAGACAAAAATCACGAATTTTCAATACACGTACGCGGGCCACGGGTGTGCAAAGCTTAGCTTGTCTGATACTAATGATGCTGCAGGATTGCCTTGATGGTATTCTTGATTGCTTATGCTATATTTGAGGTTCCATCTAACTACCTATTGAAGAAGCTCAAACCCAGCGTTCGTTATGTTTTTCTCCCCATGAAGCGCTTGACTAACCGACTTTAAGAGATGGATTGCGTTCTTGATGTTGTCCTGGGGTGCCCTCACAATTGGCTTGGGTGGTGTCAATAACTATGGGGAACTCACAGCAGTCCGGTTCCTTCTGGGTGCTATAGAAGCTGGTCTATTTCCTGGACTTGTCTACTATCTCACGTTTTGGTATCGCACGTTCGGAAAGGTCTCTACGAGTCGCCTTGATCCTTGCATCAGCCACACTCGCCGGAGCCTTTGGAGGTGCGATTGCATATGGAGTAGGTCAGATGAATGGGGTCAATGGAATCTCGGCCTGGAGATACTTGTTTTACATAGAAGGTGCACCATCCTGTGCATCTGCATTTCTCGTTTGGTTTCTTCTCCCAGACTACCCGGAGACGGCTAGCTGGCTCTCGGATGAAGAAAAGGAACTGGCACGCGAGCGACTTTCGGTTGAAGGATCTCATGGAGAATCTGGGGGACTTACTTGGGCTGAAGCGAAGAAGACGCTCGTTGACTGGCGTTTATATGCCCATTATTTGGTACGCTTCCGAAACATCGGGACCTTTGGTGGGAATATCTGCTCATTTCTTTCTAGATCTACTTTGGAATTTCCACGCCATTTTCTAGTCTCTCGCTTTTCACGCCATCAATTACAGCTGGTTTGGGTTTCTCTAACCTGCGGGCCCAATTAATGACCGTTCCTCCGTATGCGACCGCGTACGTTGTGACGGTCGCAGTGGCATGGTCGGCAGATTATTTCAATGCGTGAGTCCTGAGCAGAAATCTTCGAACACACAAAATCCGCTAGATATATGAATCTAACATTTTTGACCAAAGGCGAGGACTGCACTCTACGATTTTTGCACTAATAGGTGCGATTGGCTTCTTGGCCTCTGCTGCCCTTCCAGCCGATGCTTACGCTGTAAGTGACGGTTTATCATCCTTTCAAACCAGATTGATTTGATTTGCTAATAAAAGCATCACAGCACCGGTACGGCTGTCTAATTGTGGCATCAAGTGGCGCTTTTGCCTGTATTCCCCCACTCCTTGGGTGGCTTTCTTCCAACCTTCACTCTACGGGCGCGGCTGGCCTCGCTATTGCGCTCAATATCTCCTTCGGTGCCCCAGGGCAAATTGTTGGTGTTTGGATTTATAAAGCGGATGAAAAGGAGAAAGGTTACCCGACCGGGCACTGGACAAATGCTGCCCTGCTATTTTTTGTTGCTGTGGGATGTGTTTTATTACGTTTCTATTACGGCCGAATTAATCGGAAGAGAGCCGGCATTAAGCCATATGCATATTAGGCCATAATACGGTGTCAAAACTTGTCTGCTCGGTGAAAATCTGAACACAGAGTATTATATTTCGTAAGCAGCTTTGGAATACAGACATATTGTCAGACTCAGGAACAGATGGTCACTATTGAATACGCATTTATTTTATACTGCTTCCAAGTTAGTAACCTACACGGCTATTTTAGTTATAGTTAATTACTGTCAGTGGGTCAATCCATTGCGGCCATACTAGAGCCCCGTAGTTATAGTAATAGTGTGTCACCGACAGATGTTGACAGCCCGCGATAAGCTCCAGGTTAACAGGGGAATTAATGTAGCTTGTCTATTTCAATTCTTCCGGCCAACGGAGGATATCATGATCATACAAAATGATGCAGAATGTGAAACTTCTATGCAAATGAGCGAGAATCTATTTACAATGACTAGGCTCGCCCAGTCATGTCCAGCCATTCTATAGCAATCTAAAAAAACCCATATCCTAGCAAATTTACCAACCAAAACTTATAAAACAATCGTCTCAGACGTAGCGACAGAGAAATCTTCAGGCTTGAAAGTAGCCCATCTAAGTGGCGTTGTTGGCGCAAGTCCAGGTAGCCTTGGACGAGCTTTCGTTGATCGACTTGCCCGAGACGTAAAGTCCCAAACCGCACTAGTATTGTTAGCAAATTTTCTGATTTTAGCAGATAGTACTGTATAGGTCCATGACTTACGATAGCGCAGGCAATTGCCAAGATGATGAGGTTGATGATCAGTAGAGTGATCTTCTTCCAGTTGGCCGTCAACTGTCCCTTGTTCATAACAATCCAGAATAGGGCGGGAAGTCCATCTATGGAGTATTAGTATCGTTTCATACTCGACTTTCTGTTGTGGGCTGAGTATAAACTTACAGCTGAACCAACTGCCAAACAGGGCACTCTGCGTAAAGATATTAGTGATGCACGACACAAGGAGCGTGAGGGAACATACGATCAAACTGAGCAGGTCGTTGAACACGGGAATCGACTCAGCGATGATCCATGCAATGGTCCAAGTGCTCAGGGCAATACCAACCCAGGTTCCGAGTGCGAGAGGGCTGTTTTGGTGCATGTGGTGGGAGCGATCGCCACGGAAGATGCGTACATAAATGTACTTGCAAGCAACGTGACCAAATACAACACCCGCAACAACGACCTATTGAGAGTTAGAATAATTTCCAAGAAATTGAAGTAAGAGTCAAAACACTTACGGTTGGAATAGCCAGGCCGTAAGCCACCTTCTTCATAAGCGGGCCGGCTGACGACAAAGCCGGAGACTTCACATCGGGTCCTGCGTAGCAGTAGATAACCATGGCCGTAACAATGTACATCGTGGTATCAACAACCTGCAGCATAGCGAGGGCCTTCGGGAACTCGCGCGCATCCTCCATCTCAGACATGATACCGAAGAAAGACACATGGGCAATGTAGGCGAAAACGATGTTGGTGACAGCAAGGAAGGCGTCCACAAAGGAGACATCGGTCGTGATATCGTTTTGAACATTATCGGGGGGCCTCGACTCCAATGGAAATCATGGTAACGAGAGTGGCGACCAGGATACTGACAGCGGAAACGGTCGACATATAGAATACCTTTCCAGAGGTACGTGGCAATGCGGCAATACAACAAAAAATCAGGCCGACAACACCAAAAACGATGGTGCAGGTGCCGTGGTCGGTGATAGTGTTGAACAACACGGAGAATGTAAGGATGTGACTGGCCATCAAAAAGATGATGAACAGCAGCTGGCCGACGAAGAAAACTTCTCGCCCGATGGGACCTAGAAGGAGTTCACCGGCATCACCCATACTGTGCACCTGGGGGAAGCGCAGCTTGAACTGGCCCATAACATATCCAGTATACCAGGAAATACCAGAGAGACCGAGGAGAATGAGGAATGCACTGACGAACAGTCAGCTATTGTCTCGTAAAGACAAGCAGATAGGAGATGCTTACGGGACAATTCCAAGAGTGGCAACAGCAGATGGAAGAGATAGAATACCAAGCGAGATGTTTTCGGCAACCATAACTGCATTTTCTGTTAGAAAGGGATACTGATGGCTGTAAGCTCGGAACATTATGGGTTCTTACGCATTCCAGCTTGCCTGTATAAGAGTTAGGCTAGGCTATTCGTGACATGATTCCCCGTAGAGAAAGCGAGAATTCAAGTACTTACCACCACTTCATGACTCGATACTTGACTTCCCCGGATTCTTCATTTCCAAAGGGGTCATCTTCAGGGACAGAATCTTTCTGGTGCTGCTTCTCGGTGTCGGTGGAGTCATTGTAGACTTCGATGTCATCCGCGACATATTGGGGGGGCTTCGTGAGCGCTCATGACGGCCTAATTTGGAGGGATGTGAATATAATAGGCGTCCAGATGAGATAGACAAGAAGAAAGAAATCCGGAGGTCGCGCGACGTGGAGGTTGACCGGAGATGAAGACATAGCGACCCATATTTTTTTCTCTTGGCGCGTGGCGATGGAGAAAAAATGGAGAAAAATGGAGAAAAATTACCTAAAATCATAACTACATCACGATAGCGACCGATAAGTCATTGATTTGAGCTTACACCGGGTCTCCAAGTACGGCAAAAGAGCCTATTTGTTCCAGTTTTTTTTTCTAGCGCCCAAATACTGTACAAAATGCGCCCAAAAATGCGTATATAGATCCAAATTAGCTGCCGCATGCGCCACTGAAAATCGCTTACATAACTCTTCGCGTTTTAGATTTTATGCACGCCCCCCACACCGCCTTCTACAAGAGGCATGGTTTGCGTATAAGGCACGAACGAACCAACCCCAGGCCCGGCTTGTTCCCGGGCCGGTTGGGGTTGAGCCGGGCCGGCGAAGACCCCCCGGGGCCCCTCATGCGACTCGGCCGCTAGAGAAGATATCATCGAATCCAGTTAAACTGTGCGGTTTACCTAGGGCTCTTGGCCCTCCGATGCGGAGAAACCGGCAACCAGGCACCTTCCAGAAGCAAGTTAGAACAGAACCCCACACTAAAGGCCGTTGAAACAAGGGGGAGCCCAGGAGTCGATCTTCGATTTTGGGATTCGAACCCATTCGTGTCTTCTAATACTACTAAGTATACCCACTGTTCAAGTTTGTATCCGACGGTGTCAGTTTAGCGTGAGATCTACAATTAAACAAGTTCCGAGGTGGAACTTTCAAGATTGAACGAAACAAGGCTAGTGATTTTCTGAGTTGATTTACAATTTGGACTAACGCCGCCATCTTGCCCAAATTCAAGTTCACGACCGCCAGCCTGAGCCCGAGGGCTTACAAGCAAAGTTGGACTACATAACTACTAGTAGGTAGTAGTAAGAAACCCGAGGTCCCCGAGGTCACCACTGGCACTAGGTATGGTAAATTGCCTCAGGCAGGACTCCCGTGGATAACCGTGAAAACACTGGTACTACTACTACTAGTTCTAAATAGTAATCCTTAAAGCACTGGTAATACTGGTGGTTACTATAAAATTCATTCTGAGTCGGACCCGTGGACTCTTTGGCCTCGCACTCCTCGCTTTGGTAAAGCTTGAGTTTCCAAATCTTACGATGTCCTGATTCTGCTCATCCGGTATTAGTTGTAGTAAATTTCTTCAGTCCCATCAGGACGGGCCAAAGATAGAAATTTGACCCTGTATTGCACATTTCTGCCGTTATCCGCGGGCCCAATTTGGCGCCGACGGACAAACTGGGAAATTTCAACGTTCCGACCCACGAGTCGACAGGTATACTGGTAATAGTATGATGCGGATCGAGGCAATGAATTTTCTTGTTCATTTCACCAACAGCTCTTCCAACTTAACATCACTTGGGCACCAGGACAAAATGAAGCGGGTTTTCTCCAAAGTAAGAGGGGTTTCTTCCAGCAGGCAGCTGGCTTTTCCTATGCACCCCAATATTCCTTTTAGAATAGTGCTGGACATTTTCAGTCGGCTTTCAGTACCAGACCAGATCTGCTTTTCGTTGTGTTCCAAATATAGATTTTTCGCTATCTTCTAGGTACCAAATGCGTCCAAATTTCTCACCTTTGCCCACCAGAATCGAGACCGGTCCTATGTCTCAATATCAACATCGAGGAACGGCCCAGAGTACAGCTACTTCGCCGGCTTGAGGATACCCGCTGGAAATTCTGTAATGAGTGCTGGCGCCTTCAACCAAGAGCGAAACATTAAACTCATCATCCGGCCATACGCGATAAAAACTTCGCGATTTGATACTTTGTCCGACACCGAAAACTCTCAACGATACCGAAATTCGGCATTTTGGAGTGGTCGAGATTTGCCCGTGCCTTGCTATTACACTTAGCGATAAACTTCGATTGATATATGAAATTGAGAGACTTGAGAAGGAAGATCCACACGAAAAGAAGCTGGATCCCTCAAAGCTCCCAACCCAATAGCCTTATGATTTATCCAATGGGCGCATTCGTCACCGCTGCACCTTTACTGATCATCCCTTTGCACATGTTGAAATCGTGACGCAGCTTTGGAACGAGGGACCACATTTACTTACAAGCTCCAATTATGAGTTTCCAATTGGAGACAATATGGCCTCGAGAGACATATATTCTGGCCCTAGAACTTCCTTCGTGTTTGTAGAAGAAGATGTCGAAATTTGGATCATGAGCTTTTTCTATCAAGCTGGTTCAGGGTTTTCCGGCTGGCCAAAAGATCGTGATATCACCTTATCGAAAAGCGGAAGGGATATGAGACTTGAAATCCAGACATTTAGGAACCTGGGAGATCGAGATCTTCTGAATCGGGATTGGCTTGGTCATTGCTGTTGATACTGCTGTGCCGCTTCTAAAGCTATCGTATACGTCGAAAATACGGATATCCGTATGTTTTTGTAAATGAGCCCCTTGATTTTACTTAACTCCAAGATTTCTTGTTTTATTTATTCAAACTTTGCTTTTACCTTGAACTTGCCAAGATCCCATCTTTCCACTTGAAAATATACTAGTACCCAAAGCTCTGAGTCCGAGTCCGTTGTCAATACTGAATAATTATCTTACCATAGTAATGATGAATTGGAACTTCAAGACAGAGGAAGCCGCTGTGAAAGTTTATTTCGCACCTGGGCACTTGGTCCACGCTAGGTTGGAACTTGAATGAGCCCTGCCGGTCGAGATCGGTCTTTCAAAGTCAAATCCACCGTGACGTCCACGTTAGTGTAACCCGCGGCCAGGAAGCTCGATGAAGAGCCCGGGCTTTGCCACACCTACCCCACTCTTACACCTCAGCCGCGCCGACGCCTCTTCAACACGAGAACAAATGAGTGGCCGCTCTTTTACACCGCGGAAGGATTAGAAGTTAAAATGCCTCATTCTGTCCATCGTGGAATCATGATCAGATGACTCTACTTCTAAGTTGTAAGCAGCCACTTACTAGTATTCTCCAATGCTCACCAATGAGGGTTCTCGAGACAGGAGGCCCCGAAATATTTAAGAGGTATCCTCGCCTCTCAAACCTGGAAATTTCTCGTCCTGGTCAACTCGGAAACAAGTTCATTCTATTTAACCCCATATTAACGACCAAAAATACAATGTTGGGTTCATGCATTTGCGGAAAGCTGAAATACGAATTCAAGGGGGATTCGCAAGGGATGGTACGCAAATTATGACCCACCACAGTACGTTACGGATTCACGGATGCTAAATTAAACATCATATTTAGGCACTTTGCTACTGTCTTTCTTGCCGCAAGATCAGCGGTAGCACCCACACAACAAACATCCTGATCCCCGAAAAAGAATTATCTCTTACTAGTGGTTCCGCACAAACATCCACCCAAACCCATGAAACCGGCATGAAACTTACATTGCACTTTTGTGAATCCTGTGGAGGAACTCTGTACAAAACAGCCGATAGTGAAGACTTCGCCGGTATGGCCATAGTTCAGGCCGGAACTGTCGATCAACCCAATGTACTACAGGAAGTCAGACCGACCGTAGAACTCTTTACTAAGTATCGAGCTTCCTGGATTCCCAGACTCGAGGGCGTTGTCCAAAAAGCCGAGTTTTGATTTTTTTTTTTCTGATTCAACACCTCGGCATTTTACGGAATTTTGTTTTCTAGCTATTCCCCCAATCGCCAGAGATTGAAAAAGATCAGAGAGCAACTCCGCAGTTTACTGGAAATCAAGCATTACTCAATTTAATATTTCTTACTGATTCAAACCTTGGTTTCCAATTATCTAGTTGGATGCTAGTAGGGTTTGATGTAATTTCATCTCAATATTACTACTTCAAAAGACTTGAATAGCCCTGAAGTTCTTCAGGTCGAGTATAGTATATTCCCTGGGATTGGAATCTCAACTTACGAATTGATATGTAGGCGCTTGAGCTGGTGAAGAATTTTATCGTGCTGAGCGATCCATCTGATGGAAGGTAATCGATTGCTGATTACCATGTGTATTGGTCATTCACGTCTTAGGCCATTGTCAGAGAGAATATCCATTTCCAGATATTTAGAATTTTTCATTCTATTCAAGTTCATCTCTCACCTGGGCACAAAAGTGATGAATGGGCAAAGAAAAATACCTACCTAGGTATTTATTCTGGAGCGAGGAGGCAACTACAGGGAGCCAGCGGTAGCTACTAACTAGTATTAAGCCTTGGGCCACAGCGATCATTCGATCAACATTGGCCAACGCATCTTACGCCCGTCTGCACCTGGACAGGTGTTTGAGTGACCAATGTAAGCTCTGGATCATCAAGTGCCCAGGTGGCTAGTATGCCCAGGTGCATGAGAAAATCTGAATGTCAATCCTTGAGACAAAGGCAATCTAGAATGGTTCTCCGGATGTATGAGGCTCCGCATTGGAAATAGCTTAGCGTAAAGCTTTGGTCAAAACCTCATTTGAATAAATTGGAAGATGGTCTCGGATAGAGTGACCTACGCGACCGGGTGAATATAATAGGCTCAATAGCGGTCAGTGTTCCCTTTTGACAGCGCATTGTACATGCTACTATGCACATGAAAGCCCCGGATTTATCGGGGGCGCGTATCCCGCCAATACGCAAACAGCTGACGAAAGGGACACGGAACCCGCCTACTTGGGTAAAGAGTGCGATCATGTAGCCCCTACCCACAAGCCCCCTTATTAACAAAGACCGAGCACATTACCAGGGAATTAATCATGTTCCTAGGAGGTATCTGGCGCCTCTGATCGTCCATAAGCTGGTAGGCTCTGGAGCTATCTGGTTATCACACCAAGTTTCACGATACGTGTTGTAAAAAAAGGTCCACAGAACAATATGATGGAACCTTTGTCGAACAGTGCGCCGCCTGGTGAAGTGACCGTGGATGGAACTAACACTCAGGAGAGTGAGGAGCACCCCACAACCGAATACATGCAAGGTTGGGCTCTTGCTTTGTTGACCGTGGCTTTCATGTCCATTTGCTTCGTGCTGGCCATTGATAATACAATTCTGGGTTCGTGTTTCATCATAGCAAGGGGGAGCCATAAAACCTAATTTTCATTCCAAGCGACGGCGATTCCCAGCATCACCAGCGACTTTCATAGCCTCAACGATATCGGCTGGTACGGCTCTTCCTACTTGATCGCGCAAATGTCACTTCTACCGACTTGCGGTCGGCTCTACACATTGTACAACATAAAGTGGATTTACTGCGGCTCACTGGTCATCTTTGAACTCGGCTCTGTTGTCTCTGCTGTCGCCCCAAATTCCATCGTGCTTATCATAGGTCGTGCAATCTCTGGTCTCGGTGCTGCTGGCTTGGTAAGTGGAACGACAACTATTCTATCTTATTGCGTGTCATTGCAAAAGCAGGCGATGCTATCGCCCATCGTCCTGGGAGTGTACAACATCGGGTCGGCAATTGGGCCACTTGTGGGCGGTTCGATAACAGATAACAAAACGTTGACATGGCGATTTATTTTCTGGATCAATCTCCGTAAGTCCCCGTTGAAAACAATTTGAAGGCTTTCTTCCACTCCAAAAACGTGAGCTAAAGATTTGAAGCCTTTGGAGCTGTCGGGCTAGCTCTAGTCTGGTTCACTCTGCGAAAGCCACCACCTGCAGTAAAGGCGGGCTTGCCCTGGAGTCAGAAGCTGCGTCAGCTCGACCTCCCAGGAGCTACTCTACTGCTCGGTGCGACATCGTGTTTGAATTTGGCATTGCAGTGGGGTGGAATTGTCTACCCCTGGTCTGATGCCAAGGTGTTTGGGTGCCTTATTGGGTTCAGTCTACTTTTGGTTGTGTTTGTGGGCTTACAATTCCGATGGAAAAAAAGGTCGGCTCCTCCTTTTCTGAATATTTGCTACCTGCGCAGGGCCGTTAAAGTGGCTTACTTTCTACCATCATTCTAGTTCGAACATTCCCCTGCACATTTTCCGAAGTCGTACCATGTCGGTATCATGCGGTTTCACGATGCTCGTCCAGGTAGCTATAGTCGTGCAATCGTATTATTGGCCCATATATTTTCAGTCTGTCAGGAACACCAATGCCGAGGTCTCAGGAATAAATCTACTCCCGTTGATTGTTTCTAATAGTCTCAGCATGCTTTGTGCAGGCGCCATAGTGTCGAAATTTGGGCATTATTTGCCATTTATGTGGATCGGACCTCTCATCCTGGCTACTGGAGGGGGTCTATATCAACTAGTGCGGGTCGACAGTCCACGTGGACAATGGATAGGGCTTCAAATTATATCGGGGCTTGGATATGGCTGCTGTAACCAAATGCCAATTCTCGCTGTGCAGGTCGTCCTCAAAAAGGCAGATATACCAACGGGTATGGTCATGATCATGTTTTTTCAATTCCTGGGGGGCGCGCTGGGTCCTAGTGTTGGGCAAAACCTTTTTACCGATGGTCTTCTACGAAGGCTCAGCAAGGTGCAGAGTATAGATGGGGCGGCCGTTGTAGCGGCCGGCGCAAGTGGTTTCAGGGAGGTGGTTCCTCCCGAACTCATCGATTTCGTCGTGGATGCATTTAATTCCGCTTTGAAGAGTGTATTCTGGGTTGCGCTAGCTACACCAGCCCTTGCTTGGATGATAAGCTTGGCAATGGAGTGGCTGAAATTGTCGAGCACTAAGAAACATGATACAGAAGCTTCGCCCGAGGAGGCTGCGGAAAAATAGCCTGCTCCAAGATTACTAGTAGTGGCAACCAAGAGGGGAATGAGGATCAATTAGGGGAGTTAAATAAATATACGTACGAATTTAGGGAAGATAAATCTAGTAAATGCGCATATTAAAACTGTTAATATTACAAAGGGACTTTTCCTTTTTAAAATTTTTTTTTCTAAAAATAGTGGAAACATCCTTATCATACTACTAGTTAGTACTCCTTCCTACTCGGTATCATGCCTAATTCAACTTTTGTATAGGTGGAAAACCTGAAACTCACTAAGACACTGGGTCGATTGCAGCGATTGCCCAGGTGCCTACGTAACCATGGGGCATCGCACGCGAGCTTCTGTCAACTGCCCAGGTGTCAGCACGAAATGCTTCGATTCATGGATATTGAGAAGTAGAATGGAAACGAATAACAGGCACGTTTCTCAATCAGGCTACACACACTCGAGTGTCTCCCGTCTATCCACTCTCTTGGGCCTAATTCCGACGGATCCCCGGGATCTCCATCTCCACAGGACCCACTCAGAGCGGAGTTCACAGGTCCGAACCCCCATGTCGATGCCCAGACCTATTCCATATCCATACCTCCTCATGCAGGTTTCTTTATCTCACCGCTCGATAGTGCAACGCTGTTAGGCAACCAACTGCCCCTTTGCTCTGACTCTGACCCCGACCCCCTGATGACTGTTACTTAAGCCGCGACGGCCCAGACAGGACATTCTATATCGCATCCACGACAATGATGGGTTCTATGCTCGATATGCACGACTCTGCGGATATCAACGCAGATTCTAGCTTACAGTCACGGTTGGTTATTGATTCTAAAGCTCGTAATAAGAGCGATGAGACTAACGCGGGAGCCTCTCTTTCTTCACCGAAAACAGAACAGGACCAAGCAGATCTCCATGAAAATAGCAGGCTACCTATTCCTTCGAACAACGATGAAAATGACGGTCGCGTGGCCTCCGAAAATGAAGTACACGATCTCCTTCATGTCGTTGACAAAATTCCGGCTCGGCTTTGGGTAGCATGTATCGCGGGTATTCTGGAACGCTTTGTCTGGTACGGGGCGACTGCTCCTCTACGTGCGTGGTATCTTCATCCTGACCCCAATATTCTTCGGCTGACGTTTGACAGAAAATTACCTGCAAAATGCTCGAGGTGGTGAGGTTCCGGGGGCACTGGGATTGCACCAAGCTACTGCAACCAACATCGTCAACGCACTGATCATCGGGTCGTATATCACACCTGTACCTGCTGCCGTTGTTGCCGATAGCTGGCTGGGTCGTTATAAAACTATGCTATATTCTGCTATGTACTGTGAAGTTCTATCTCCTTCTGTTTCGCTACCGCTGACCTTTGGGTGGCTAACATTCTTGCAGTATTGAGGCCATCGGGGCGACTATTCTTTTTGCGACATCTTTCCCCGTCACCATTGACAAAGGAGCTGCTCTGCCCGGAGTGATAACAGCTTGTGTACTGCTGGCTATTGGATCCGGGGGGTTTCAAAACCACTGTTGTCCCATTTATTGGTGAGTCAATCTTTCAAGCTCTTGTGGATTGGTCTGGAGGCTAACATTGTTTAGCCGATCAATATGACGAGGCCGAGTTTCGAATTAAGATTGAGAAAAGCGGAAAGATGGTTGTCACTAGTCGAGAGCTAACTATCACATACATCTACAATGCCTTCTACTGGTGAGAAAAATTCTTTCTTCGTTTCTCAAAAATTACTCACACAATGGACAGGGCTATAAATGTCGTGGGCTTTCTAGCCGATTCAACGCCGCTGTTGGAACGATATGTTGGCTTTTGGCTAGCCTATTTGATTCCGTGCTGCGCCATGTGGATTGCTCTGATACCAATTCTCGTTGGTCGCACGTTCTTCGGTGAGTCCATTTCCCTCCGAGTCGGAGCACGGCAATGGTTCGGTTTAATAACATCAAATATCATAGTCCGAACTTCGCCAACAGAGAACATCATGCCCCAGGTATGCGATGTGCTGCGATATGGGATCGCCGGTCGGTTCAAAATGGATGCCGCAAAGCCAGACGCGCAGCTTCGTCAACATGGTCGCCAAGTTCCCTGGACAGACTTATTTGTCGAAGATATCAAGAGAAGTCTTCTAACTTGCCGAGTACTGTGAGTTAATGCCCCGCTCCTTCTCATATGCAGCCCGAACTAACAGTTTCCTAGGCTTCTGTTCCCTATCCACTGGCTCTGCTATAACCAGACATTCAACAACTTGATCTCCCAAGCAGGACAAATGATTACATACGGTATTCCTAACGATATGATGAAAATTGCCGGTGCCATTTCTGGGATAATAGTCGCCCCGATCATTCAGAAAGGACTCTACCCCTTCCTTACAAAGAGAGGAGTCTCATTTGGACCCATCGCACGAATGTCAGTCGGATTTCTCGTGCTGACCCTGTCTATGGCCTACACAACCGTCGTTCAAAAGCTCATCTACCGGGCTGGACCGTGCTACGATATACCTCTGACATGTGCTGCTGCCAACAATTCCACAATCCCCAACCAGATTTCGGTCTTTCTCCAAATCCCAATTTATTTTGGTGGGGCATTGGCGGAGGTATTTTGCCTCACCACGGGAACTGAATATGCTTATAATCAGGCACCGGAGAGTATGAAGACACTGGTTCAAGCGATCTGGCTAGCTATGGCTGGTATTGGAGCTTGTCTTGCACTGGCCTTCACCCCTCTTACCAAGGATCCACATTTGGTCACTATGTATGCCATCTTGACTGGACTTCTGGGTGGAGCGACTATTCTGTTGTGGGCTCTGTTCCGACAATTGGACAAGTCGAAAGCCAAAGACGGCGTGGAATAGAGGCATACTCCTCTTGAAAACTTCCAACGGAATGGTGCGGGATAATACATATCATTCGCTTGGCATGAATCATTCTGCTTCATTGCACGACTTCAAGGGTCTGGATTGCAATTTGACGTTGAAATAACGGTGGAATGGGGTCTGCGATGCTAGGAAGAGATTGTTTTTGTAATAAATAAATTGGAATCTTTATAATTAGAGCAAAAAGCCAAAGTTGAAATTTCTCGAGGTCTGCACGGTCTCCATATTACAGCTTCTACTCCCGGAGGACAGGTTCATATCCACAAATTCTTAGGACATGGTTCTCGTAGCATGGTATTGTTTGTGAAATGAACTAAGTGCCCTAAACTGGCTTTACCAGTAGAAAGAGGCCAGTATGACGGTCATTATCATCAGTCCCGTACCGGTGGTCACGGGAATGGAGAATGCCTGGCGAGCATCATTCCCAGGAGATGGGTTCTCGGTGCTATCTGGGTTATCGGCAGCCGTCCTGGCACTGCCGCCACTGCTCGTGATCTCTGTGCTCTCAGTGTTCGTTGTAGCGGTAGGGGTGGCAGTCTCTGTAGGAGTAGGGGTAGTGGTGATAGTTGTACTGGTCTGGCCTGTCTTTTCATTTTCTTGTGGAAAGTCGTAATTGAGGCATGAATTCAACTCCTTCCAAAAGCTCGAGTTTTCGGACTGTCCTTCCCACAATTTGTAGAGCGTATCATTACAAGGTAATCTTGGGGAATACTCTAGGTCGACAGCTCCTAAATCCTCCATGGCGGGTAGATAGATGCTATATTTTGAAGACAATAAGTTCTCTCTGTTGAAAATCCCCAAGATAGGTATGGTTGACAAACCTGTGTAGCTCACCCCATATCCTGAAATATCTAGCAGTTTGAATAGTCGAGTAGAGGTCGAGAGGAATTCTCGTGGTTATTTCAGCGCCGACAGTTGTTTTGCCCAAGGAACCCAAGCTGAGACTGCTAAATGGTTAGGATGTGACAAGCCCCGACGGGTTTGATGATGTAGTAAGCTGGGAAGTCGAACCTAGATACACCACCGTAAACTTCAAGCGTTCCATTCAAGGTATGAAGATTTGGAGCGTCAAAATCCAGTGTTTCTTCATAGCCCCATTCGATGTTGATCCGCAGCCCTTGGAGAGTCGAAGGGCCAGTCTGCTCTATGTATCCCACCACTTCTAGCTTAGGCAGGAATACGCTTGATTGATATATAGTCAGCAATAATTCTCGATCGCAAATGAGGTCCGAACCTTTTCACTGTCCCCACCACTTGGAAGTAATCTGCTTTCTCGAGCGAGGGAAGGTCAACGACGATATAAGGAATATTCTTGTCAGTTCCAGAAATGCCACAGTCCTCAGAGCCACAGAATTCACAAGTCATAGTGACGGTTTTCAGCGAACTGAAATTTGTGCTATCAAACACGTGTGAGAGGGAATTTCGGCCGACGTTACGGTGTTGATACATACCTTGACCAACTCCCCTTAATGGACACATTGTCGGCCTCGGTCAACGATCTCAGATCTATCTCGCCACTTTCCGACTTTTGAATAAGCTCGACGTCTCTCGTTCTATTCAGCTTCGGTAGGTGAACGTCGCCGGCAAGAGCAAGGTGAATATTATCGATCCCTTCAAGATCGCGCATCTCGAACAGATCTAAATCAGGTGCGCCATCACCAGCCGTGGAGATATCTCCGTTGAAGTCAGTCACTTCATTGAGAATAAATTTGCCCTCGTATTCTGACTGAATAACAATATTTCCATTTAGCGTCGTACACCCCTCAAGCGCGTCCAGCTGGTCGGGGGTGTGTAGTTCGAGGGCCTTTGTACCATTCTCGTCCACGTCAGTAGTAGTGTCGCATTCCTTTGTTTCGGCACCTATCTAAAGTCAGCGGTTCTTCATGAATAGCAGTAGAAAAAGAGTGACGATTGTTACCGAGACATGATGTCGCTGCGCCCAAGGCGACTGCAACAAAAAGCCGTGAAACCCTCATAACTGTCGCTGATCGCCAATGAAGATAGAAATCTGAACGGGGAAATTCTCCCCTTAAATATAGCGGGGCATCTTTAGACCTAGCAGTCACAAACAGAGCGCGACCCTGGAAACGAGATTGCATCGTATCAGACTAGACGCGACGGATCTTCTTGGCCGCCCCTGGGCCCGTTCGCCGCGATTGCCCGGCCCTATAGGGCCCCTCCCCCAACGGTGGAATTTATGGGGGCGGGGGGGCTCTTATTCGCTTAGTTTCAGGGACCATGCGAGCTTCTCTTGGCTTTCCATTTCAAACGAAAGGGCCAATCCGACATTGGTCGTTCCAGCCAAAAGGTTCCAGTGTCTGTTTATGTGTCTGATGAAGTTGATTGGGGCGATGGGCTGCTAGGCTCGGTCCGCGGAATACAGTGCCTGCTCTGAAAACACATCCTGTCATGCAGAGATGCTATCGGGTTTGTTAGCTAAAAACCGAGACCAACAGTGTTTGCCACTTGGTAGCCTCAGGCTTAAGGCATCTCACTAATGCCGCCTATGGTGACTGGTATAAGTTACTAGTCAGTAGCTGCCGACAAACAACTGGATAGAATGCCTGAAAGGGGTTGCATAGTGATCGTCCGGATGGGGTTCTTTTTCTCTCAAAAAAAGAAAGAAAAAGCCTTTCTGATCCTGCACTACATTAGTCCACAATGCTTACGATAATTGCTGCAACTTCCAAGGTTGTAAGTTGTTCAAGTTGACTTGCTCAGGTTTGCGAAAATACTCACAATATAGGACCATACGCATGCTCGTACTATCTGGACCAGGTGTCTTCAATGAATGGGGATTTTGTCTTTAACCTCAAGAGTTTAGTAGGACCCGGTATACATTCCAATTTTCATTGGTTTACAGTGCAGGTTGGTATCTAAGCCCTGGAGTAAGAACATACTAGTTAGCTATGGCGACCGATACTAGTAAGAAAGTGCCTCTAGTAAATAGACAAATTACTTCAAGTATCATGCGATAACTAGTATAAACCGGTAAGAGTCCACCCGAGTTACAGATACCTAGGTAGTAATCGTTCAAGAAAAATTCATCCAATGTTAATCAACGCCTGTGATGGCCGAGCTCATACTTTTATATTGATATTCATGCTGCATTTTTAGCAAAATTGGCAGCGTCCTCGACATTCAAGGCATAAGTCAAATGGGCAGGGCCAATCAAGATACCATTTTTGCAGATATCATCCCCGGCATGACATGCTGTGTATACCTTGGATGCAGGAACATTCGACAGAGGCTGGGTATTTTCTGTTTCTCGTTAGCAAGAAATCAATATATAGTCATAAAATCAGATTGAAATCATACTGGGATCTCCAAACAATAATACGCTGCTAATCCAGCTTGCGGTTGTGGCCTGGAGCTTCGAAACGGCATTGTGCACAATTTGACAACCCTGAGAATATCCAGAGGCAATGAGCTTGGTCTTGGGGCATTGCGATTTCACCGCCTCGATTTGTCGCGCCCTACGAAGGCAATATCAGTCAGCATAGTATAGTCTGTGTTGGGTGGAACATTCTTTTGTCGACTTACATTTCTGTGCTTCCAGCCGCATCTCCACCAGACAAATATCCTTGGACAGATGCCACGTAGTTGTTGACACCCTGAATAGTGAGTGCAGAATCACCGAATGTGTCTAGAAGGGCATCGAATAAGGGTGGCCCGACGAGAACCCCAACCTAGCGACGAGAAGCGTTTAGCAAGTCATTCATCTGGTAGAATTGATACACCATGAGACTTACATTTCCCGGCTCAGCTGTACCGCGCGCAAACACCACGGTCCATTCTTTACACGCCCCACCAGCTTCATTATAGGTTTCTTGCGCGCCGGTTAAAATGCCGAGTAATTTGCTGAAATCGGTGATGATAGCTGTCCCCTTGGTGAGAGACTCGCTGATCACAGGTAGGTGGCCAATGAGAATATTTAAGAACTCATTCAAACTGGCGCCCCTCTTAGTAATTTGTGCATGGGTGTCTTCGGGTAGAGGGGCAGCGTATATGGTATTGAGTCCGAGGAAGGTCAACAACAGTAATTGAAACTTGAAGTTGAAAAACATGATTCCAGTGGAGTAGATATACTTTGTGTGAATTGTGTATCTTACTCAAAAGGTACTTGTGTTTGAGGAGATTTCTTGCTCTATTTCAAGGTTTAAAGGGAAATGTCCCTTCATTTATAACATAGCATCAACGGACACATTGGGTTGTTCACATGGCATTTCGACAGTCTCTAGTTTGGCGCCGAGGCTTTGAACCATATCAAGGCGTAGAGAGCATACAGTGGAAACCAGGCACCGATGGATCAAGAAAACATTTAAAATGCGTGAGATACTGGTATAGTCAGTCCTGCATGACGAATGCTACAACCCCCGCTTCACTAACGAACTTAAAAATCTACTCACGCCGAGATTGCCCAATTATAATTAAGCTTACATCTTGGCAGGTGGATTCTGCATCCTTATTGTTTGCCAAGTACTGCGATTCTCCGAATGCCCGAAGGCATCAGTGGTAGATCCCACCCGGCGCTATTAATCAGCCATCGGAGATACCAATTTTAGGCCTTCTTTTCAATAGAAAAGAGGAAAGAAGAAGACAAGCTGCTGCTGCATTTTTGTGACTGATTAGGATCACCCAACGTTTAATCTGTTATTGTGAGAAATAGCTTCCTCGTGGTAGTATATCCATTCACTAGTTAATATCTTCAAGTCAAAACTCCCATTCTCTTAACTAATCTCGGTTCCGCCCGGCTCGCCAGGATTCCTGCAAAGTGGGGAAATAAATTCCGTGAACTTGGGGAAGTACTTGGCTAACTTTGGAATAATATAATAGACTTTGGTTCGTCCTAATTAGGCATTTGGCCCGCTGCCAAAAAGTCACGAGTCGTCAACGTCTTCCCCGCCAACTGTAATTCACGCACTCCCGAGTCCGTACTTTATTTGGACATGGCGAGCAGGTGAGCGAAGAATATATACCCAGAGAGAAGTCACTCGGTTCATGATAGAACTCATGGTGACTTAGATAATATTCAATCTTCAAGGGACGAAGGTGGTGTTGAAAAGTGGAAACGCGAAGTAAAACAATGTTTGTAGTCATGCGACGAGTGATCAAAGTGCCCCACACTTTGAAACATGGTCCCTGTTCACATGCTGTTTGATACTGAAGCTAAGCATCGAGGAATGGTAAATACTCTCTACACTATGAGCTCAATGTATTATGAAAATCTGATTGAAGATGATGATAGAAACAGGATCCCGCAACACTAGGAGTATTATGTTACAAGGGCAGAGAATGAAGGGCTTAGGGACCATGTGATCAATTTGGTCTTGGTGCATGGTAACAATACGAATCATATGCAAGCCCCTGGATTTACTAGATTTACTTTGAGATCCCACATATTACCAAAAGAATCCGGGAAAACATCGTCCTGGCCAGGTGTGTAAAAATTGGTAAAAATATTACGGACTAACGATCGGTCGACCTGTGGCCCTGGAAAGGACGCCTTGCCCCATTTAAGCAAAGTCATTTCTTAGATCATATACGCAGGACGGAACCGCCTCGTCAGCCCTTCCTATGACGACCGTGTCGTTACTCATCCGCCCTGTCATATCAACGAGGAACTATTGTTAGTACATCTCAAGGTAATCAGACTCAACTTCAACAAGTTATTCAAAGTTTGAATAGCTTCTTATCTAAAAGCTGATAGTGTGCGGTCATTATGGCTTAAGTGTGCAATATCTTAAGTGTACCATGATGCTACTGACATGCAATTCTCTTGAGAGCCTTGGTCCGGGTACCAGATCAATTTCATACAAGGTGAATTTCATTTGCATCAGACTACTAGTTTCACAATTGAAGGTGGACAACTGACATCTGCCACTGGCACCTGGGCAGTTGGTAGTGAGACCGACTGCGATCACTGTAATCGAGCGCCGTGCGAGGTACTATTCAGAGTAGCAAACCTCAAGAAAACAACCTAAACTTCTAGCCATGAAACTGCCACGGTCTAGACTACCTATGTAAAATCCCTGGTGAGGATGGGGGTGGAGATGGATGAAAGAATGATGATATCGATAGTACCGTGTGTGTGGAAGAAGACAAAGAGGAAGTTGAAGCAAAAGCAAAGATAGCCCGAACTGCTTCAGGCATGGCGATTCATAGCGGGGATTGACCCGGTGTTTGCTAAGGTGAAAGTGCTTCGAAATTACTAGGTGCCCAGTAGATATTTGGACTATTATTTTTGTAGATAGCTTGAGAAAACCTATAATCAGGAACAGGGAGTAGTTACTTGATTGGTGCTAGTATGTTATCTCTAGTATTAGAGTTGATACCCATTATACAACCTAGTATCCTACCCAGTATCCCACCGAGCGATATACTCAGTACCCTAAAAAAGAAGGGTCGGCCAGTTTGTACCTAAGTATACGAAGCATAGCTTCCACCAACGGCTGGGAAATTCTTGATAAACCCTGGCAAAAACACTGGGTCGATTGCCACTATGGACCGCGGTATTGATGCATGCCAGCCTCAGAACCCCCCAAAAGGCTTTATAAAAACATCTCAAATGTTTAATGAGATTATTGTATTCGGAGATAATGCGGCAAAGACCGATCCAATGGCGAAACACCTTGAAATTTACACAATAACTAGCACATATTGTTTCATAAACAAAGATCTTCTGGTTCAAAAATATCTATTTTCGGTGAATGACATGCCACGATAACGTTTACCACCCCCTTGGCCCCAATATACGTGATCTCCTATCAACGCCAGTTTCGTCTCTAGGCTTACTTGATCCATGCCACCATGTAAAAATTCTATCCTTAACCGAGCACTGTACTTTATATTCCTTTAGTCTCCTGTATCTAGTACATACGACCATAGGGTGTGGAGAACAGGGCTTCCCCTCCGCTCAGCCGTACTTAGGCCACATACTAAACGCAGTCAATAACCAAAGAGCCCTGGGTCTTAAATTAGCCTCAGTTTCTGTGTTAGGGTGAGCGCGGGTGATATGGGTGAGAATTCTGGAGACTGGGGTGAAAGAGCTGAGAACGGGGTGAGAGCGGGTGAAAACAAGGTGAAAGGGGTGAGAATACCCACTATGGTGCATTGCGTTCTCCCAATCTGCTGCAATGGTAGAATAGAAACGCCCGAGGGCACAATTTTAGTCTGCCATTGATGGCACGAATTGGTTCGGCAGGAAGTCTTTTGAAAGGACCCATGATCGTCGAAAATTGCTGCGTACAGCGTGGCGGAACCGATCGGAATTCTACGGGTGACAGAAGGCAAGGAGAAGAGCCCCTTTAATAGAAAAAATGATTTCGCAGTTGTAAGAGAATTTGTAACTATGGTAGTACTTTGTAATAGTGTGGGTTACCTAAATCTCATTCTGTTACATTACTTCGGGGCCTCTGAAGCAGAAGCTGAAATTGGAGCTGGCGGGCTATCCAAATGGACATACTAAAGCCGGTGGATCTAGCTGACTCGCGGGACTCTGATTTGGGGGCCGGAGTCAAACCGTCATGCAGTTATTTGGGTCATTCGGTTTGGTGCCTTGCACTGGTGGATCTTGGTAAATTCAGAGTTTACCCTGGAGAATAAGAAATTGAATGTTCCCATGAAATTAAACTCGCGGAAGTATTGTCAACAGATGATCTTCAGCCATTCAAATTACCGGGCGGGCTGATCTCGAAAAATTTTCAAGTTCATGTTGGTCCAGTAGGTACCTTTCTTTTCGAGGCCCCAGTGCTATATTCGAGGGCCTGGGGGCTGTTTCGTCTCTCCATGATAACTTTGAATCGCCGGTATGCAGCTTTTTGAGGAGGCCAGTTGAGCAAAATTGGTGATTGTATAATTAAAAGCTGGAAGCTACCTAAGTACAAAATATGTGGATTGTTTGAATAAGAAAAAGCCTCAGCTCAGACGCACGTATGACGCTGGAAAGGCGAAGCTGATCAGTGCATTACTGCTGATATTTCGGGTACGCCATCTTGTCAAGCCGCCGCTGGGTGGAATGTAATAAAATGGAATACCGAATGAAGGACCGTTAAAACCTGAAACATGATTCGATTGGATGCAGTGATAAAGCGGGATCAAGGTCAATGTGGCTTCTACCAGATCCGCGGATCACACACGAACAACACACCTTTCCCACCATCCCCCCATCATGTCCCTTTCCTTCCACCACGGATTTCTCAACACCTCGAAATCAAAGAATATGGGAGACACTAAATCATTTGTCGTTATCAATATTATTTTATCAGCGTTCCTTATATCGCTGGTCAGTGCCCTATATGACTGTCCTCGGCCTCGATGTGAGACGTGTCTTCCCGTGACAATCCATGACGCGCCTGGAGTTGGCTTTGATTTGACCCCGTCATATGGGTGAGCTACCAGAGATTCCTGTTACGGAATAGCGTTTGAGGTAACTAACAATTCTCAGAACGGCCGTGGTCCATTACTACAACGGAACAGTGGTGGAAGTTGGCAAGATCGCTGGAAATTCCCAGTATCTGAAACTAATGGAGGATCTTGCCAAACCATCGCAACCATTACATCAAACCGAAAGTTTCTCGGATTCCTTCTTGCTGCATCTAGAGGAAATTTTACTCTCATCAAATGTACCTTCTTCCTGGAAAAACTGGTGGCGTTGGCTGAAAGAGAAACTTGGCTGGGAGGTAAACGCCGACATACAAATACTCAGGGTCTTGATCAACGACCTCAAACAGGCTACCGAGGAAGCGATATCCCAAAATCTCCAAAGAGTTGCTGTCACAACTCCCGATCTTCCCTCGCTCAATAGCGACACAATCAGTTCTGCTCTCAAAGACTTGAACCTACGCCCATGGGTAGGGGATAGCCCTTCTTACACAAATGATCTGGTAGAGGCCGACACTGTCTACGCGGCGAATGGGTATGGATTGTGCAGGAATTACCAAGACCTTTTCGAGTGCTCGGACGAATTTGAAGGTTCACCTACGCCCAGGGTTTATCTCGTCTCTTTTAGTCGCCATCTGCTGTACACTAGCATCATACGTCCAACCCACGGTGAAGCACTGGCCACTTATACGTCGGACAAGGCACAAATTTTCAATTTTGATATAGGGCTGGACCGCATCGAGCAAGCTGAGCTGTCGGATCATTCTTTGTGGGACCATCTTCGCAGAGACTTGTTGGCCCTTCCTCGCGAAGCAGCTGGCCCCATTACGCATATTATTTTAGCTGGCGAGAGTGCAACTGATCACCGCTTTCTAGCCATATTGAGAGATGCTTTGGCTGGTTTATCGCCGCCCCTGTCCGGTGATCTCCAAATCACCATAGGGAATTCTCAGAGCCAGTTGAATCGAGAAACAACAGTGGATCCAACATTTGCAGCGGCTCGAGGCGCAGCTCTGTATGCTCGTCGGCGACAGGAGGTTCAGAGTGAATGTACAGAGTCAGCAAAATGTGAGAAGAAGAGGTCGAAAGAGCGATCACATGAGCATGAAATAAATATCCTGGCTGATCTATGACATCCAAGTTGTACCTCGTGTCATCCACGACTGGCAGTTCTGCCAGAAGTAGGAGAGGCTCTTACAACCTGAAGGAAGCTCCTATGACAATTATGAAAACAAAAGAAAAGCTTCGACGGCCGTTTACGCTTCCCCTTATTCGTGCTTGAAATCTAGAAATAGGTTTGGAACCTTCGTGGAGGAGTAAGACCTCAGTCGTAAAACATCGCGGGCTACGAGAGCTCTCACCTACCAGTAGCGCAAATATATTGAAAATTTATGAAACTCTCGATAGAAATCAAGCAATCTTATGAAATGCTTGGGATACAGGAGATTCGGGGTTTTCAAATCTCAGATATTGTAGATTTCGAGGCTTCCAAAGCTAGCGTATTTTTGAGATCTCCTAGATTGCAGATAAGACTTTTCGGGGCTCCAGGGCAAAGGCCTTGCTTCTTCTTGAATAATTGGGATGTTTAGTTATGTAACCGTCATTTTAGCCTTGCTTAAAAGCCAAGGCACTATTCTATGTTGAAAAAAAAAAATCAAGGCTACGCCTGCGGCCTCCGGGCTAATCGGAAAGGCACGTGAGACAGTCTGTGCCATAATAATTGCATTCATTTCTAATCCTCCAGGTCATTACACACCGAGCAGCGTCAAGCTGAGTAAATCGAGCTCAGCGGATTGGCGCATCAGTACAACCCATGAATTATTAATCGCTGGCAAGAAAATCAGTACAAAAAAAATGTTGTGGCGCAACAACAACCTTAATGACGTGTTTACTTTGCTTTCATCGGCGTTTAGCAAGTCCCGGTCGAGACTATTTCAAAGACGCTGCACATCCTACCGCCTTCACGTTGAAGGGTTGAGGCTTTGCCTCAAGAAGAGATGGGCGAGTACTCTGACTAAAAACGAATACGAAAACTCCATTTTCGAATAGGAGTTATCTCGTTCAACAGCAATTCGCCGAGGCCCGCGGTTTTGTTTTCTTCGTGTGGATTTCGGGTCTGCCTCTCAACATTCAGAACTGGTCTTGAGCAATTGCGAAGTATTATTTCACAGCGGTCGCCAATTCAATGCTGTCTCTTTACTGAGTGGGCTTTGCATGGTACCTCGGCGGCTTAATCTTTCACTCCTACAGTGGACACGAATATGCTTGCTCACGCATCTCTGGCTGAGTAAAGGGGTCATAACAGCGCCCACCTCAACTAACGTCGGTCGGCAATACACTGGACGGACGGGTCTCTAGCACCCACCCCTATCTATTGCACACTCACCCTACTCAGCCCGAGTCACGCGACGCTAAAGCGGCGCTCACCCTATTCTCACCCGGGCGGCACCCACCGCACTACTTATTGTGTTTTAGCCACACGCTGGCAGGTTAGTAGTATGGTAGGTGACCATATGCGAAGGTTTGTATACATCAATTCACGCTCGTTTTCTTTCTCTGATTTTCAATTACAGTAGATCTTAGTTTTCTCCCAGACTATCTCAAGCACATACGACCATAGGGTGTGGAGAACAGGGCTTCCCGTCCGCTCAGCCGTACTTAAGCCACATACTAAACGCAGTCAATAGCCAAGGAGCCCTGGATCTTAAGATAGCGTCAGTTTCTGATTTAGGGTGAGTGTGGGTGATATGGGTGAGAATTTTGGAGACTGGGGTGAGAGAGGTGAGAATGGGGTGAGAGCGGGTGAGAACAGGGTGAGAGCGGGTGAGAACAGGGTGAGAGCGGGTGAGAACAGGGTGAGAGGGCTGAGAATACCCACTACGATGCGTTGCGCTCTCTTAACCTGCTGTAATGGTAGAAAATAAAAGCCCGAAGGCGTAAGTCCAGTGTGCTATTCCTGAAAAAATTTTTACCTAGCTCCTTGACCAAAGATATCTCTAGAAGAAATATAAAAGAAGCTGGATAAGAGGAAGGTATGTGCCGCGTTATATGGTTTCACCTGTGATTATCAGAACACGCAGGAATAAGTGGTTAATACCCTCTGCTATAAGTAACTGACTCTAGCTACGCTCCGTAACTACAAGAATATAGTGTTAAACTAGGCACTATAGGTAATCAAGATATTAATTTAGGTTATAGAGGCTTATCAATATATAATAGATAGAGACTTTCTTGTAATAAAGTGACTAACACTAATTTCTCTAAGAGAAGCCTAATCCTACCCTATAGCTATTAAAATTCTTTACAGAAGATTATATAGCTATAAGGGGAAAAAATGCCTCTATAGAAGTTAGTATATTTAAACTTTATCAATTTTATATTAAGATAGGAGCGGGAAACTTCTTGTTCTCTACTAGGGTGTTTCCGGTGATCTTATAGAACTTGAAAGTGAGTGATGGCATTTACAGTATAAATTTTGAACTCTGCTTTATTTTGTCATTATGATAGGTGATTCGAAGACAAGGATTTGGAAATAAAAAGAATTTGACATTAGATTTCGGAAAACGAGGACATAATCATCAATTTACGTTCTCTTAAGCGTTATATGTATATAAATAATAGCACAACTCCATATCAAAGCCGATTACTAGGTTTTCACATCACGTCCGCATTGAACCCTCGCTTGACCGCAATCGGTTTCCTTCCCATCGAAATCTTTGCAAGGCAGAGTGTAGTCGTCACATTTAATCTCATCGTCTTCGTATTTGCAGCCCTTCAGAACTCCATGGTCAATATCCATGGTATCAGGAGGGTCGTAGTAAGTGCCTCCATCTGATACTGCAACAGGGACGATGTTGCAAATATCAGGGTCATCACTAGAGTCACTGGGGAGAATCTGATAGCCGAATCCAGCCCCCTCAGCGGTGAAAAACGTGATGTAGACATAACCAGATGGAGTGGCTGCGGCAGCTGATGCGGATGCAGCTGATGCTGAAGCAGCAGAGGCACTTGCCTTCGAAGCACTGACACTAGCTTCCGATGCCGATGCTGCTGAAGCTGCCGACTCTACGGAAGAGGTGTATGCCGCGTAGATGGTGGAAATCTGGGTGATGGATTTCATCGAGGTCACGCAGGATTTAGAATCACCGACATTATGGTCAAGGTAGCGAGAATCGTCACAATTGTAGACGGTGCCGTCTTTCGCGGTTGTTGTGAAGGGACCCTCGTTATCCGGACTCCACGACATTCCAACAGGGGGCCTGGAGTAGGGGCATGGCTGGTAGGATTTCTGACCAGAGGTTGAGCTGGCTATCATATATTTTCCAGTGTATTCAGTGCATCCAAATTCACAATACTCCCATCCGTCCTTGTTATCCACCACATGGTTCGCACTGCATGTAGGGCCTGCTGAGGAGGTGGTGGTGGTGGTGGTGGTGACAGAGGACTTTGTTGTTGAATATGAGCCAGTTGTCTTGGGCGCTGAGCCTGGAGAAGCTGTAGAGTGAGCCATTGCGGACGAGCCTCCAGAGACACCAGCACCGGGTGTTGCGGATACACTAAAACTGGTGGCTGCGACTCCAACCCCAGGAGCTTCTTGAACAGAAACGAAGGAGCATACATCGACAGTAGATGTGGTCTCGAAAGTACTCGGCTTCTCATCACAGCCAGTCCGTGTCGTGCAAGACTGGGTACTCGTAATGACACTGATCGTGGTAGTGTCGGAGTTGGCCACTGGAGTGACGATGGTATCCCAAGTGCAATCGGAATATGTAGTACTTGATGTACAAGTACCTGTCGTTGACGAAGAAGTTGTTGAGGAATCAGATTTAGACGAGCTTGTGTGGTCATCGTCATCCTTCTTCTCATCCATGTCATCCACAATGTTGCTAATTTCGTCGAGATACTCAGTTCCTTTCCTGACCTGGTCCTCAATCTCAGGGGTGATATCTTTCACATCAACATCATCAGGTATCACATTTTTAATGTCATCAACGATCGGTGCCACACAGCTGAGGGCAGAATTAGCAATTTCGCTAGCAGTATCCACTGTAGCGCTGACCGCCGACTTTGCAATACTGGCAACGGCATCGAAGAGGCCTCTTTTTTCGATGGACGATCTCTTTTTGGAGCCAGAGCAAGGGGATCTGCCAGTATCAAATCCAGTCTTGGAGAGATACTTCGAGGTTTGATCTTCGATATCTTCAATATGCTTCTTGTATGTCTTCGGGTCCTTCTTAAGATCATCGATGTTGTTATAGCTATTTCTCAACATCAGTGCAATGATAGCACTGTCAGAGCTAGTGCTGGCTGGGCTTCCGGATGTTGTGGTAGCTGGCATAGAAGCCCATTCCTCCTGGGAAGGAGATGCTGAGGGCAAAAAATCAGCGATATTAGAATTGCTTGCCGCGGCAGATTGTAGATCAGTTGCTGACGCTAGATCAACCGAGGAAACCCGATCAGATGGATTCATTGTGGGAAACGAGGAAGGGTGACTTGTGGTGCTGTGGTCTGGGGTTCCATTAGGTGTCTGACCAGTTGAGGCACCATCTGAAGGAGATGTTGACTTTGTCGTAGTTGCGTCACTTGCAGGACCCTTCGGTGTGGAGCCTGTAGTACCGCCTGGAGGGTTTGGTGTAGATCCACTTGGGCCTACAGGCTTTGAGCTTGATGTGTCCGATCCCTTTGTCCCGGTATTGTTGGGTCGGGAGCTAGCAGGGCCATCTGGAGATCCTGATGTCGGAAAACCACTAGAGGTTCCAGCAGGCGAGCCTGATTTGGTCGTGTCTGGGACATCTGGTTGAGTGGTTGTGTACTTAGGATGAGATCCTGAAGTTGTAGACCCATTGGGAACGAGTGGCTTGGAGCTTGAGTGACCTCCTGGAGGGACGCCTGCAGAACTGGTGGGCGGGTTTCCAGTGGTTCCCTCAGCAGCTGAGCTTCCACCTACATATGGGGTGGCAGAGCTAGCACCAGAATTGGCGGGCCCTGGAGAGGTAGTCACGCTAGGGGGGTGCTGTTCCTCTTGAGCCTCCATCTGTTCCAGTGGGCTTGCCTGACGAAGCGATGGCACTAAAATGGACAGTGGGAATCTGACCGTCTGGGACAGTGACAACTGAGGTCAGCTTCAGTTTGTGGCTTTTTGCATGATCATATGTCAAGGGCAAAGACGATGGAGCAGATGATAGAGGCGTTGCCGGAGGTGTAACAAATTTAACAATTGGGGTGACCGTATTGGGTACAATAAGAGTGGTGTGAACTATTGTAGTCCAATCTGCTCCTACTCCCTGCAGCAAAGGGAGGAAAAACAAGAGAGCAGCACTCTTGACGGCCATTCTGAGAAAAATTGGTTGATCTCATTGACCGACGAGGACCGGAGACATGTCATTTATACAACATTCATGGCTTGGGGCCGAATCATGAAACTGAATGAACAGTATCCATTCAGTAATACAAAACACTCTGAAATATTTCTGTAATTGGAAATGGCGTCACTGGATAAGAATAGATATGGAGCATCGCTTATGGAGTACTCGGATGGCGTCGGTCATAAGATGATCAGTCTGAAGGATTCCGCCACATTGCGAAAAGTGGGAATGTTGCTTTCTACGAAGTACTTTGCAAGATGCATCTGTGTTCCGTAGACTACTTCACAGCCTCAGCACGGCCCTCGGCCGCCTTTGAGTCTCGGAGATCGTCAGGGGTCACATATCTTTGGCCAAAATTAGATGATATAGACTTGATACATCGTACTGTGGCGACTGGCCTAGTTGATATGAAAACGTGTTTTGGCCTTGACTACCAACTACCACAAATTACCACAAATCTTTGAATATTCCTGAATCCACCTAAGACTCATTGTTTACAAAAATTATCTTGCGGAGAAAGAGATTCCCGTACGGAGTACTGGGCACTCCACGCGGAGGAGATTTCCCGAGAAGCTAGAAATGTATTCTTTCAGCATCGAACATCATAGGTCAGTTCTATGTGATAATAGTGCGCGGGAATTGTTCTTGGGGCGAGAGCCTTGCAATTTGGGGCGAGAGCCTTGCAATTTGGGGCCAGAGCCTTGCAATTTGGGGCCAGGGGTTTAGAACGTGGGGGCTACAGTACTGCAACTTGGGGCTGAATCATAAAAGTCGTCGATCTTTACCTTAATAGTAGGTTTATTGCGAGCGGCACCAATGGAATTCATATAGCAATTTGGGGTCGAAGAATTGCAGAATTTACATCAATTTGTATCAATCACAATATTGTAGTCCAGACTTCGTGTTTTGTCAATCGTTTTACGTTTCAGCCCCTATAGGGGCTGTAACTTCGCTCGCTGTATTACGAGAAGAGACTTTAAAATGGCCCTTCCCTGCTCCCATTGAAGGTGGTTTCTGGTCAAATTACACCAATATACCCTCTCTCTTCTTTTTCATACTGGCACTAGGCTAGGGCACAGAATCTACAGTGGACGGAAGTATTTGATACTTCATTCTCGAGCCCACAAGCCCTTCTCAGTGACCTCAGTCAAGCCGTCAAGATGCTATTATCAAAGAACTTTTTCCTCCTTCTTTCTTTCCTAGTCCTTCATATTGCCCTTGCTGCGGATATTCAAGTAACGCGGGATACTTCTGCAGCAAAAATGTTAGGTGGTGATGAAACCTCTTATCTCTGGACCGGAACTGCCGAATTCGAGAAGAAGGTCACCAACGGACAGCTTGTGCAAATATGTGACGATGCTTTCAAGGCTATGGCCGCATCCATGGAAAAATACTTGCCAGATATTGGAAACAAGAAAATTCCCGGAGTCATGGTAGCAATGGTATACGAAGCCGATCCTGGAAAGAAATACAAGGTCTATCTCGCTTCGTCCGCCAAGGGTTCGAAGAATATTGTCTACGCAGCGAAAACGTCTTCACGCGATCAAGCAAATTGCGCTGTGACAAACGATTTTCTTCCGGAACAATTTAGAACAGAGCTCGAAAATTGCAGGGGTGACTGGAGCACGGGCAATGGCGACAACCCTCGACACAAAAACGATGCTAGCTGTGGCGAACAAAATGCATTATTGATGATCTTTGCCGAGCAGGGCAAGATGCCAAAGATCACAAAGGAGACCAGTAGTATCGTTGCAATTGCAGGAAGAATCAAAGATAAGAAGGATGAAAATGGAGAGATACAGAAGAAGCAGTATCTAGGGGGAATGACCATTCCCCCTTGCACGGAAGATGGCGGTTATGGATGCGACGAAGTGTTGAAGAAATACTTCGGGGACAACATCGATGTCATAACCAAAGACCAGGCAAAGGAGCCATATGATGACAATAAGCCCGTGTCTGTGGGCTTTCAGCCAATCTTTGATGTTAAGGATTCATGAAGTCAGAAATCGGACTATAATGAAGCATAATACATGTATCATAATCGAGATTATGAAGCGCAGAGTTATGGGAGTAATGAGCGTCATCGTTAATGAAAGTATGATGTAGAGTACCAAGTCGCTGGGAATAAAGCTTCTCATTGCCCGGGTCACACTAAAGTGAACGACATTGTCTGATCGTCATCATAACATTGATTGGACTCGTAATGCCGTCACCCTCCATGCGGCTTCTACATCTGGATTAGACGACTCTCAAATAAGCCATAAAAAGGAAAAGTTCGAGAAATTCGTAGACTGTTACAATATGGCACACTTGACTTTGATTCAACTACACTTGCTATAAAAGAGTTGGTTTCATTTCAGCTAAATCAGAGATCCCAATCCTAGCATTGCCAGCTTTTCAGAGAACCTTCCGGTCAGGAGCTAAGCGATTTTCAGTCCAAATTCCATTGGAAAGCTCGTCAGAAACAACCTGGAAATGAATACCCTTCTGGGCACAGGCTGCCCGAGCAGCTTTCGCGAGGGGTACTGTTTCGCCGTCCTGGGCAAAGTATTCCCATCTCCGGATCCAGACGCGCTTAAGGTGAGGTAAATGCGCCTTTAGCTTTGATGCGTTATATGTGACTAATTCCGTCATTTCCTCCGCGTGCCAGGAATCGTAATCAACTGGAGCATAATCCGACCTGAGACATAATTGTTCAACCCCTTCGGGTAAACCTGAGACCAGATCACTTGAGGCCTCCATTGTCCATCCTGTAAGTAGATTTACAGATACTTCAACAGAGCGAAGCTTTGGAAATTGCTTCAGTAGACCATAGAATGGAGTACTGAGGTCATACTCCCCTCGTTGAAGATGAAGATCACTTTTCCCTGGTGGATAATACTCAATGCCAAAAGACAGATTCGTGAGTGACTCCTTGGAATATTTCAGGCCTTCAATTATTGCTGGACCATCTTTCAAAGCTACCTCCTTGCCCCATCTGTATGCCATTCCCAGATGCAGAGTTTTCAATGAGGGAGCAAGACAAAGAATGCTAGGAACCTGATTTTCTTCAATAGTCGCTCGTGTGAGAATAAGCCTTTCAAGCCGAGAAAGATCTGGCCGCCCACAAGGCGAAGGCAGCTCTATGCCCTTCTTGGTGCGAAGCCATATTTTAAGCGACCGAAGAGCTGGCAGGTAGAACCAAGCAGGAAATTGTTTAGGATTGCACTCAGGATATCCAGGCTCTTCATAGATTAACGGCTCGCCAAAACTCATTTCGTCACGACGGACATTGGCCCCGTAATCCACGTGTGTAAGAAAATTGAACTGTGACAATTGCTTCGATAAGAGTGCATGACGTAGCATTAGTCCAGGGAACCCAGATTGCCATACAAAAGTATAATCAAGCGACAGTGATTGGAGGTTGTGAAGCTGCGAGAGGAGGATTGACACAAATGCATAGGGGTTTCCATTAGCAAGAGCTTGGGTCCAGGTAATAGAATCTGGGAAAGCAGTTTTCTTCACAATGTGTTGGGCATGCTCAAGAACATCCTGAAAATGTGTGATTTCTTCTTTACAGTCCGTTTCACAGCTGGGGGGATGCCATGACTCAACTGCTGAATCGAAACTTTTCTGTGACAGAAGACTGAAATGTCGAATATTATATGCCCGCTCTGGCTTCCGCAGTACAGCGCGAAATAATAAAAGAACTCTTCTAAGCGGGATTGGTTTCCACTCCCAGGCAATAGCTTTCATTAAAAATGGCTCAGAAAAGCAATTACTGCTTTTAGAGACAAAGAGAAGCGACCGATGATCTTCCAGGGAGAGGTAGCTCAGAATTTTGAGCCAGCAGTCGCTGGGTAGGAGAGACACAGGACTGAATATATGTCAATTAAGCTGTGGTAGTACATAAAGCTAGACACAAATTAAGCAGACCAACCTTGCTAGGGAATTGTCACCCATTGTTGAGATGTAGGAATATTGTGAGAGGAGAGAGAGAGGAGGGGGCAAAAATTATATAAAAACCAGCCCCCAAACTCAGACCCTTTGGCCCCCAACTTGAGCGCTCTGCTACGTCACATGGTCATCCCCACATCCCACAACTTTCCATCTTGTTAATATTGTAAATCTCTTTTTCTCTTTTACTCTAATATTTTCTCTTATATCTGTTTCGAAGAGCTCCGACATCAATCGAAGCCGCTTTAAAGGATCGAGGTCTAATATTTTTTGGGGGTGTTGAGTATAAGGTATATGGTTGGGAGATATACCTAGATAAGTTTTCATTGATCCCACAGTGCCCTACCTAGACCTAAAATATACAATTTTATTGGTTTACTATTTACTACATATCTCGATCTGAAATTAATTCAAATATATAGAAGTTTCTCAAACTGCGATTTCTAGATATAAGCTGTTACGCGCTGCTAAGTGGTCACGGCTAGTGGTTAGACAGTTAGTGAACTTTACCTTGTTCTCAAAGAGTAACAGACCGATTTGGGCCGCCACCGCCGGAGACGGCAAAACCCCGCCCCTACACGCCCCAGGCCGGTTTAGCGCTGTCCAGATGAGGTTTAGCCCATCCAATATCCCTTAACGGGACCGCCATGGTCCCTTACCGCTGGGCAATGTCACTACCCAACTGTATAAAGGCGTAGTGTGTCACTCTACCTTTACTCTCTCTTACTATCTTACCTTCTCTCCTCTCAGTAAGCTTACTATAAATCCAATTAGAGTATTAGCCTTGGGGTGGATCACTGTTTCTAGACTGATTACTAGTGTTTCATGGTAGTACTGTTTCCCTACTTACACAATACTTCTAATAACTCTTTATTCTCTTGACTAAATAACTACTTACTCTAGTACTTAAAATCTGTGGCACAGATCTAACCTACAGAGTAGTGCTCGGGGTTAGACATCGTAGGAGGAGCTAATTGAATGTCAGGGTTCTAGGTATCAGTGGGATAGTCGAGTCTTTGTTAAATAATTTCAGCCCAATAGTGGTAGCGTACCAAATAGTTACGCGGTGTGATTGAGTGTTGCCAAGTTACCTGATATAAATACTCCTCGCTTGTGACTTGTCTCGAAACGTAGCACCTGTCTCTGAAATTCGATGCAGCTTTAGTACGCTGAATTCGGTGGGGAGTGGCTATCACCTTACACGGCTTCCCCTCTCTATTTTCGGCGATGAAAAGAACTTACAACATTGAAAAGAGTTTGAGTGATAACTGAAATTTGATCCTTCGAAATCCTGTATCTAAGATAAAAAGTCGCTGGTCATGTTAGATCTGCAATCGCTTTACTATATTAACAAAGATACATGGAGGCTACGTGCAGATGCCAAGAGACCGATTGTTTCAAGGAGAGATTTTGGCCCAATGATATTTCAAGCAAACTCAGCTGAAAGGGGCCAGTGCAGTGATCGCTTAACAGAGTAGGATTCTCACCCGGCTCACCTCATTATCACCCTGTCTATTGCGCACTCACCCTAATCACCCGAGTCGCGCGACCCTAAAGCGGCGCTCACCCTATTCTCACCCGGGCGGCACCCACCCGACTACTAACTGTAGTTTAGCCACACGCCGGCAGGTTAGTAGTATGGTAGGTTACCACATGCGAAGGTCTGTATACATCAATTCACGCTCGTTTTTTTTCTCTGATTTTTAGTTACAGTGGTTCTTAAATTGAACCAAAGCTCGTTCCTGTACATACGACCATAGGGTGTGGAGAACAGGGCTTCCCGTCCGCTCAGCCGTACTTAAGCCACACGCCGGCAGGTTAGTAGTATGGTGGGTGACCACATGCGAATCCCTGCTGTTGTATGTTTTGTTTCTCTTTTTTTTTGATTATCTTTTACTTCTTAACACTTGGAATGAGAACATACCGAAGGAGGCTCACGTGATTGGGTCGGGGGGGGGGGTTGAATTCGACGCGACATGAAATACTTCGACCTCAATTCTGCTTCACGCCTTTTTTTCAACGTTATATCCTTATAAGACACACCTTGAAATTGAAAAGCATCATCATCCTCAACCTACTGTGACTATTTCTACGCGAACCGATCGACTCACCATATACCCGGCCACAGCAACCGCAATAATGCCACCAATTGACTACTCGACATGGGACGTATTCACAGACTTGGACTCTGATCAAGAATTGCCTCCTCAGGTCTCAAAGCCAGCTGTGAAACCTACACCCTCGACTTTGCCTCCCTAAGTCCCAAAGCAAGCCGCGAAAACTACGCTGTCGACTTCAGCTGCCACATCCACCATCGCAACCTCCACTTCCCCGACGCCCTCTTCCAACAACACAATCAAGGCCGTGATCGTGCGGTGCGGGGGAGACATTAGGGGACGACCATGGGAAGCGACAACCATACCCTCGGACCACGCTGTCTTCAACAAAAGTGTCCCGCCAGTCGCTGCCTTGCTCGATCTCCTCATCGTCATCCACCGACTGGGAACGCGTGACAACGGGCAGTTTCGCAACATTGAAAATCAGGCCATCACTCATCTCAATGCCGAAACGAAATCGGGACTTGCACCACCTCAGTGGCAGTCGGGTATTGGCAGTGTGATTGTGGCTCGCAAAGACAGAAAGTCCCTCTCGCCGGAACACTACTAGGCGATCTGGATGTACCACGACCACTGTCTTGATTATTGCGGATATGGGTCAGCACCGGAGCATCTGTACAACCGGCAAGCGTTTGAACGGTGTTTCGTGACATATACGAAAGAGACCGCCGGTTTCGGACGCAAAGAGTGGAAGTCGGTGGCACTGCTTTACTAGATGTATGGATTTCTTCATTTAAATCCAGTCATTTGGGTTCCCGGGAGGTCAGCATCTAAGCCTTCGCCAAGAAGGAAAAACAATGAAGCCAAGATCTTAGCGCAGCCCCTCGGGGAACATCACAATCTCGAACCAAGGCCTCGTTTATTTTGTTCTCTTATTTTGTGAAGGGAAAAAAACGTCCGGCTGAGAAAACTGAAGATCTTTCACATTAGTGGGCTTCATTACCCACAATTGTCCATCATCTGAAAAGGAACAACCAAGGGGACGTGCTGGTCGGCAAATTCGCTTTTCCAAGTGTCGAATTTTGCTTGTGTGTTTTATTTCATTCTCGTAACTCTCAAGGCTATTCCTCGCTTCGCCCTATAGCCCAGAGAGGTACGAAAATGAACCAAACAAACAAACAAGAGAATTTGTCAACCACTAAATGTAGAGTCCAGATCAAGTGCCTATGCGGTGATTGGAACGAAAGATGCACGAGAGGATGTGAAACCATTGTCTAGCTTGAAGAAAAAGGTAGTCACACGTGCCAATGCCTAATTTGAAGCTAGCAATAGAACTGGTCGTACACGGGCAGAATCGGAGATTCCACATGCATATCGGTACCAATGAAGTGAGTTTTGAGAGTGGTTGATTACTCCGTACTGTAACCGCCGAATCGCTCCAAATGACGTCCCAAGTATCAGCGGATCCCCGAAACATTCTACAAAGACCTGAAATCTTTGGGCAAGGTACTCCGTACATCCATTGATTGATCCCATAAGCGAGCCATTGAGTTCTGACATATGGAAGACCCGTATGCGTATGCTTTGCATGGTTTTACCGGATGCTCTATAGGGCCAACGGTATAATATCCAAAAAGTTCAGACTCCACTCTCGCCATCACCCGTTCGCTTGACTCCATATGTACCCACTCTCCCCGAGCCGTGGACCATTCAACGCCGATTCTGGCACCCCGTGGTACATCTGCTGGCCCTCGCTGAGTTTCAGCAATCTTAGTCGAGGGATGTACTCTGCGCCTATGACAGAAACGTCTTGGTCGCAAAATGAACTCCACAATATGTACTCCTGCTGTGCACTCATGTCTAGGATTTGTCTTGGCACGAGATCACTTGCCTTTATAGTTCGATTAGATTCTCAGCTTCTAGCCTCAACTGGTTAGCCCTCGGCACAATTAGCACAATCTCATCTTGGTGGCGTTGATGTGATTACTATTGACAGAAGTAGCACTAGAATTTTCAGTTACAAGCGGCAATTTGCCGAACAGATTCCCCCCTCCGTCTTGTTAAATGCCGAATTCAGCGCTCGGATCTTGATTTACACTCATTATCCCCGACCAAAGCCCAACGCACATGGCAGAAACAGACCTATGGCTCAATTCAACCCTTTCAGCCACGCTTGTTCTTATCAGCGGGGTCTTCGCGGGCCTTACTATTGCGTTGATGACTCAAGACGAACTTTATCTACAAGTGATCGCATTATCTGGCGAAGCCACCGATCGGAAAAATGCGCAAGAGGTCATCACCCTCCTGTCACAAGGGAAACATTGGATTCTTGTGACGCTTTTACTTGGGAATTGCATTGCCAGCGAAGCTTTGCCGGTCGTATTAGACCAAGTTGTTGGCGGTGGACTATCGGCGGTACTGGGTAGTAGTATTCTGATCGTCATATTCAGCGAAGTCATACCACAATCCATTTGTGCCCGTTACTCCCTCAACATCGGCGCATATATGGCGCCTTTCGTATCAGTATGCATGCGTCTCCTTGCTCCGGTCGCATGGCCCGTTGGAAAATTACTGGATGTATTCGTCGGCGATAGCCACTCTACAGGATACAAGAGGGCGGACCTCATGACATTGTTTTCTCTTCATGAAACACTCGGAAAACCCGGAGACCGCATCCGCTCCGATGAAGTGAGGATGGTCCAAGGTGCTCTTGGACTAGTGGACGAAATGGCGACAAGCATCATGACACCCATAAGCGATATCTTCTCTCTTCCTGCCAACGCGATTGTCGATTCATATACACTTAGGCGTATCAAAGCTCGGGGTTTTTCAAAAATTCCCATACATGCACCCGATAACCGTAAGGATATCATCGGGCTCCTTTCCGTCAAACAATTGCTCAAATACAACCCAAAATCCGGTCGACGAGTTTACAACTTTGACTGGATCCCAATTCCTGTCATACATGCTAAGACTACTTCATTGAATCTCCTGAAGATTTTCCAGGAAAGAAAATGCGAACTTCTTCTCGTCGGCCGCAAAGAAAGAAATCAAATTCTGGGAATCGTGACTCGAAAGGACGTGATGAGAACTTTGCTCGGTCGAAACAATTCAAATCAACGAGAGAAAGGCAATGTGAGCGACAAAGGAAGACACATAACTCGGCAGGAAGAATCTCCCCGCATGCGTCGTACACCCAACATCATCCAAAGTATCCTTGAAAAGCCCCAAATAATTGCCGTATCGGCTGCGGAAGGGGAACTTCTCCCGCTTTGGGTCAAATCAAGCTTTCCTTCCAACTATAGCTCCTTCGACTATTTCAACTCTCCAAGCAAGTGGACGTATATTCGAAGTTATATTTCAGATACAAAGACCTGTCAAGAGATAGAGCTTGGTACTACATATGGAACCCGATGATGATCTTTTTCCGACGTTGAATCCTTCTCCCCCGTATAAAATGACTGTTTGGCTTTTCCCCTTTCCATCTCATGTCTTATATTCATGTATTCCAAAAGTGCTATATTAGCGGTGCATAGTCAGATAAAATATAACATTCATCCTCCAAAGATTTCGGGTCTTGAAAAAAACTTGGTCAATATGACTAAACACTTTTCTCATTTGACCAGGCAATTTGTGCGGGCTTAGGTGGAATCAATAAATTACTTAGGTAATTGAAGCGAATTACCATTCTACTAGCTAGTACATCAATCATACCTAGAATGCATCATAACTGTCAGCTGATTTTAGTTTCATAATGAAGCCTCGGAAAAAGCCTAGCCCGGAGGTGACTACTTCAAGTTATCATAGTCTGGCCTTTATCCCGGGCGCTAAGTGAAATTGCCTATAAAAGCAACATCCGTGCGAAAAGTTTAGGTGACATCAGCCGCAATCCCGCCGTCCTCAATCCTACTTCCCGCAATCTCAGAACTCAAAAATTCAGGCCGGGTTAAACTGGAATCGATCTGCATTACGCTACAGGAAGGATGGAAGAATCAGTCTCCTCCCTCAAGTTACCCTTGGCGTTGATTTCTCTGTAGTTGAAGTCCCTCGCTTAGAGAGGCTACCAGGGTACGATTCCTGCCGGTGCCCCTGTTGGACATACAAGCATCACCTCTACGGTGACTCGGAGTAGTAGCTTTCTCTGGGATTCAAGGGAACTGTAACAAACGCGGGTTTTTCTTCGTTGCTCTGATACCTTGATCGGGTGGCATCCATCCCGACATTCATCTCTACCTAGTTCCTGCTTCTTCACTCTTTTCTTCTTTCTTTTGTCTATGATTGTCAATTTTCTTCTTTCTACTAAAGCCTGTCTGGTATTACCTTCGTTGTATCTGTGCTCTTCGTAGGCGTGATGCGAGAAAGAAAGTTGCTTAGCCCGACACCATCTGAAACATTTTCATAATTCAAAATGTTCCTGATAAGACCTCAAAGCATACCTACGTAGAGAAGATGAAACATAAGGTTACTTTCGACTCAGCAACGAAAGGAATCTTTCCAAATCTCACATATGATCAATATCTAATTTGATTTATTAAAAATTCCATCGGCATGTTGTATTTTGGTGAGGAGCTCAGGCACAACGAGACCATGATACGCAAATCGGAAGAACGTGTGGTAGTGAAGGACCAAGGTAATCAGACTGGGGAGAGAGAAAGAAGGAGAGGGGGAAGTTATTAGATATATGCCTAGATATGGATGCCTAGGTAGATGCTATCGGACTGAGGCATCAGCGCCAAAGTAACAACCTCGGTTCGTTCAAATTTTATCTTTTTCCAATCGACTAATAAATACAGCAAAGAATAGACTCTTTTCTTATTCTGTCGAATCACTGGTGATGATTGGTTTAAGCTTTACTCTTTACTCGGTAAATTTCTGCGAAGTCTTGTGAAACTAGCTAGTTTTCACACTCGTGAAATTGCTTTCTTACTGAAGACTCGTACCAGATACAACCTAGGAACCAAAACTTTGGCGAGAAAAACTATGAGAGTCCTGAAGTGACAATCTTTTAGAAAATTCCTGGGCGTTTTCAAGAAAACCCTATTAGGCTTTTCTCCAGGCGGAAGAATTCGCGGTTAAAAATTATCTATAAGGGCATGGCTATAATTTCCTAATCATACACCAAGGTGTAAAACGATTCGGATAAATTAAACCGCTGGCTAGCACTCAAATATTCTTCTTCGCTGGGGATTGACGAGAAATAGTTTTCCAGAATCGGGATAACCGGGTGGTTATTCTTCTAAGCGAAGGTGCTGGTTCCCATGCCAAGAAGAAAGCAATTACACCTATGCTACCCCGCAGTATTGGCACACGATTTCGGCATAACAAAGACCGACATGTGCATCAGAATAAGTATAAATATAACAAAATTTAAAAATCTTGTACTATCTTTAAATAGGATCAAATTATCCTAGCTCTACAGATTTTACTGTGATATTATATTGAAATGCGGGCAATAGGCGCCTTTCTCACCGCTTTGTTAGCCACTCCAGTGAACTGCAAATACATTGTTCCTGGGGGTAGATGGCTCGACACAAACGGTTCAATCATCAACGCCCATGGAGCTGGCATTACCTTTGATCAAAAGTCTGCCCGATTCTGGTGGTTCGGCGAATACAAAACAGAAGCGCAGCCAGAGGGAGGAGGTGTTTCTGTTTACAGTTCTGATGACTTAAGTACATGGACCTGGGAAAGATTGGCTTTGGGTATGTTTTCTTTCCGCGAAATTTTATCTCAGCCGTGTCGGCGGAATCTCTGTTCTAATGATATTAAGCTCCGGTTGAGGGACATCCTTACATATCGCCAAAGAATGTAATCCAACGTCCAAAAGTGGCCTACAGCGCCGATACTGATGATTATCATGTATGTCGGCGGCAGACCTAGCCTGGAATTTATGGACAAATGATGAGGCTGACCTAACAGATGTGGTGGCATGCCGACAACTCCACCTATGGACTTCTCCTCCAAGGCCATGCAGTATCATCTACGATTGGCGGGCCATACAAATTTGTCGATGCAACGGCACCTCTTGGAAACTGGTCCCAGGATTTTGGCATGTTCACAGATTACAAAAATAATCAAACATATGCCCTCTACTCCAATGGGGACAGTGTGGAAGGCCGGGACGTTTACATTTCAAGTTTCGACAAAAATCTTAGTTCCCTCGAAAAAGTTGTCTATCGGTTTCCGAAGTTTGATCTGGAGGCGCCGACAATCATGCAAACAGAGAAAAGTTACTGGGCTCTTATGAGTCACAAGACAGGTTATAGGCCTAATAGTAAGATACTGGTCGCCGAATTGCTATTTTCCAATCTAATTTTCCAGATGTGGTAGCATTCCGGGCCGACTCGCTGAGTGGGCCGTGGTCTCAACCGTTTATTGTCTCCCCTTTGAACACCAGAACTTTCAATTCGCAGTCTGGGTTTACTCTCAGAATAAAGGGAACCAAGAAGACGACCTACCTATACATCGGAGACCAGTGGGACTCAAACTCTGTCTGGGATAGCCGCTATATCTGGCTGCCGATTGAGGTTGACGAGAAGCAGAAGTCGCTGGAACTCAATTGGCATGATATTTACGACCTTGATGTGTAAGGGCGACCTTTTTTATGAAAATTTCGAATACTAACACTGCTCCAGTAAAACTGGTGAATGGTCCGCTGTCAAGGGAAAGTCATACAGTGCCCAAAATGCGAAAACATCGGGGGATGCGTATAGGCAGGAAGCTGTAAGTATGGACAAACCACCAGATAAAGTACACAACTGATAAACCTCAAAGAACTTCGCGAATGATGGTATTATTCTCACTGGGATTTACGGAAACGATAGTACCATTACTTTTGAGAATATCGAAGGGTCAGGGAAACCACAATGGGTATCTTTCTATTACCAAAGTACGTCTATGATTTTCATTTTATGTGCCTCAAAGTCTAACTAATTGAAATTTTAGATATCGATGATATGGGATTTGGTGATCAACGTAAGTAGACTCATTTTAAAATTTATGCACGTCTGGGTCAATATTCTAATGAAGTCCCTAGCTGGAGGAACACCTGACAGAATAGGCGGTTCATGGCAGCTACGCCGGATCAGCAGCGTCGTTGTTAACGGAGATGTGTCAAGCATGCAAACACTATACCAGAGAGATACACACAAGGGAATAATTCTTTCGACGCCCTTGCAGCTGACATTGAAGAAAGGAAAAGCGAATACCATTACAGTGGGCGGACTCTACAACGGATTCGATTATAAAGGTGCGGATTTGGATCGGATCGTGGTATATCCTGCCGAAAATTAGTAGTAGCTATACAGCTTTCTCAGAAGGTGGAAACTTTGTTTTGAGTCTTGGGTAGTTGGTCGGGAGCCCTGGAGTAGATTTCCCATATTTGACCGGTTGAAGACTAGGCAACAGCCAGATACAATGAGTGCACGCTCTCTTATCCCAAATTTTACATTTGTGACTTTTCGTAATCCTAGCGAGAGGTGATGACAGAGGAATATATGTGTGGAGAAACTATTCGATTTAAGAGAATGTAGTAGATACAAGAGTGGGTTGACAAAGCCTGTGCGATGGGACAAACGATCTGGCTGTGCGTCTCCGGCCTCGCCCCGCTCGCGATCCTGGGGCCGGTGACATGTTATCACAGTGTGAAATTTTTGCCATTATTTTTTCTCTGTGTCTTTTTGATTCTCATGAATCCTTTCGGAATCAGTGTTCGCGTCACCAGTCACATGTTCCTCGGTAGATATTGGTTGCTGCTGGTTTGGCTTAGAGGCGGGTAAAATGTTGTTGGTTGATTTGGTGTCATGGTTTACTTTCTCTCCTTGTTTGGTCGTAATGTGGTTCAATTCTTCAAAAGAAGGGTCTTTATTCTGTTGCGATTCGACGGCTCGTTCCGCCTCGACAATGCTTTGTGCCTCATCGGTCTGCTGTGCCTCAGATGGCTGCTGTGCCTCAGACAGCTGCTGTGCCTCATCGGTCTGCTGTGCCTCAGATGGCTGCTGTGCCTCAGATGGCTGCTGTGCCTCAGATGGCTGCTGTGCTTCTTCGGTCTGCTGTGCCTCGGATGGTTGCGCAGAAGCTTCAGCTCCATCAAGGGATTGCTCTTGATCTCTTGTCTGGGCAGACTCAAATGGGAAGAAAGTCCCATTCAAGACCTTCATGAGAACCTCTGCTTCCGGGGGCGATGGAGTCAATCCATCCAGCAGCTCTCTAGCACGAACTTTGCGTCCGTAAATCTTCTTATTCGCATCTGCACGTTCGACGATAACACCACCTTCGACCGTGAGACCACCATATAGGCCACGGGTCTTTGAATACGCAAAGACCCCAGCGGCACTCTTAGTCCCGACAATACCACTGGCTTCGGCACTTCGACCAACAGGACCAACAGCCATCGAGATATTTCCTCCTAGAGTCAGAGACCCAGACTGCATGAATGTCTTCACCGCTGCATCTGTGTTAAGCACAAACACGAAGTCAGTCAACTCTGCACCAAATTGACCCCCTGCGCCGACGCCGCCCATTGCTATTGCTGATGGCGCGGTCCAGCTGCCATCAGGCCGCCGGGCAACTATTAATCCTGAGCCAAAACGGATAGAGCCCAGAAAGCCCACTCTAAAGGCTGTGTAGATTGCAATTCCCTGAAGAGTAAGCGGATTGCAGAGAATACTAGTATGTTGGTGAGTGTGGATTACCTTTGCACTCTCGAATATCTTCCGAGGAATTTTCCCATCGATTTTCAGCTTTGGGTTGGTAAATGATTCAAGGATTGCCGCGGCCTTTTTGCACTCGCCTATAGACGTCAGATTGGGCAATTCAAGCGGAACATCTAGGTCAGTTACTAGAGAGTGAGGCTGGCAATGGGTTGTGCATTGAATTCTTCATAGCGACGACAATTCTTCTCTACCGTAACAAGACAGACCGGCACCGCGAGCTTTGAGCAGTCATGTACTCCAACTGAAAAATATAAACCGGTTCAAAGTCTGATAGGGGCTGTCGAAGTTTAGAGTCAGCGCACAGACGTGGGGGCTAATTATGGCACTGGTTAGTGCAAGTGGGACAGTATAGGTACAGGGAGGCCAAAAGAACTCGTCTATCTCCACTTTCTCACCGCTATTAAGCTAACTAATTACGTCCTAGTGTTACATCAACAGCCTATGATACGTACCCTTTAAGCCAGGAGATGCATAAAACGGGGCGCATTCTGCCGGCAGAACACTATGTAATTGTGGATATGGACGAGTTATTTTGGCCCCCCACTGTAATGTGCTAGATTACATTACCTTAAGTAGTATAGCTTCGTCTATCATTTCCAGCTTTGGTAATAAATAAACTATCTTAAGAAAGCGGTCAGCAGGGCTCAGAGTACCCGTCCGCAACGCCGTCTCTTCCACGTTCTCCGACTCACATTCCTCTGCTCTCCTACCACACCTCTGATTGTCACAACTTCACTTGAACGCCTCAAATAGTATACTGCCTCCAAATCGAATTATTAGAGATGAATGTGTCGAAGATAGACGGGTTGGGGATGACGTACTAGTATGTCTAGAAAGAGAGGAAAAGAGACAAAAGCGGTGATCAAAGACGCTGATTTTGATGCTAGGTCCACGGGTGGCTCACTAAAACGTTTCACTACCGAGCTGGCCGCCCCAAAACACATAGTAAATACGAATAATTACGACGTTATAACTCAACAACAACCTGGGTATTTCTACTACTATTCAACTTCAAGTTTGAAAAGCTGTATGCTACCTTCACCTTTACTTCAATGTATCCGCCGAAGACCGGAAATATACTCTCTTCCTTGGAAGGTTTGACTTTCGGCACATATTTAGTTCGTGTTGAGAATTCAATCGCGCGGGCGCGCTTCGAGATAAACGTTGATCACGATCGACCTGTAAAACGCCGACAGACTGCAACAGATCCGATGGTGTTGAGATTCCATTTTTCAAGTTCTGTAGTATTTGAAATCATACCCTTGTGTAGAGGCGATGAATTGATGAGATAGATGGGAGATAATCACTAGTCATATTCATCGTTGCTTCGCTTGGAGTCCAATTGCAATTCCATACATGATTTGGGGTAAGACGGTCAAACGTGAATGCGGTATCCCACTGGCATCCCATGTCTCTACCGTCGGTATCCCGTCGGCATCCCAGAAAGAAAATATGGGTGGTTGCCCTCAGTCGATAAAAGAAACCCCCAACGTAATCTATGAGAACCAACATTAGATATCAAGGGCTGTCTTTACCTAAAGAATATAATAGTGTTCCAAAATCCGCCTTGGTTCGAACCCAATTCGCAGAACACCTCAAGGTTAAGAATCAACATCCTGGCTACTGTCCAAGATAAGAACAAGATACAGAAATACTTGAAGAAATTCTGGGGCAAGGACAGTGCAAGTATTGTTGATGAGCTTTTCTGTGATTACTTCGTTATCCATTATCCCACACATGGGCCTCGTCGCAGTAAAAAAGCGGCCTGTCGTAAGTGACTACCTACTAATATCGTACAATGAGATTAGTGATTACTGTTACTATCTTGGACCTTTTTTCCAGTTTAAACGCAGCCTAGCTACTATTAAAACTCTCATAGAAGATTGTCTTTGAGGAACAGTCCTCGAATCCAACGTCATTTTAGTTTTCTCTGTCATATTTTCAGATCTCATCTTCTCGGGGGCTTTGAGGGATACCCAAAACACACTGGCTCGTTCAGATCATCGCCACACCGATGATCAAAGTCTCAGAATGAAACTAAATCCGTAGAGAGAGCTACATCCACCGAAATCGATTGGCCACAGCGTATTACTATACCCTCCTACCTTGGCATCAAAAGTTCCTTTGGCATCTGTCTGGTTTTTAGCTGCCTATAGAGTAAGATTATGGCTCGGTCGATTCGTCACCACATCGTGACTTAGCTTCGAAAATGAAACCAAATCAATGGGTACGGTCTTCATCACTTACTCTGACTGGCTAACATACGCAAGTGACTTCTGGTATTCACTGCCCATCATGAATCGAATTCTTCTCGACATTTTCCTGGGGAGTCGGTTGATACCCGAAAAATTCATGGCTCAGCTCAACGGGAATGTCCTATTAGTGGCGTTCGAGGTGAAACTGAATCAGTGGACAGGACGACAGTCGTCTCATGTGATTCGCTCTAATGAACGCCAATGTCAGCACTACGAAGAGGTGCAGGAATATGGAACAGTTCAAGGCAGAATTACGGCTCAGTCGTGCCATCTCTATCGGGGTGTCCACTGTGTCCTAGCTAATTTGAAACCAAATCAGTGGACAGGGCCATTCCCACTTCTCGCAATTGGTCAGAATCAGCAGTCTTCGCTGTCAAACACGATATTCCCCTCAGCACTGCCCGTTGCCCCGCATTTGCCCCGTCAAATTCAGATAAGATCAATATCTTGGCTAGCAGGGTTCTGCGCCCTGCTCGTGTTCTCACCTGCGGCTAAGAGAATGAATCTGACAACTACGTGGCCGGCACGGCGATCTTGTATACTTGGGGTTTAGTATAACGGCTCAGCTAGATGCTGCGAATTCAAGGAGGGGGGCGCATCAGAGCAGTTTTCGAACTGAATAACGGCTGGAGTCTCCCTCCGTGTATAATGATTGGCCCTCATTTCGAATGACGCAAACTTTTACTACCTCTTCATCTTGGCTGACAGGGTTCTGCGCCCTGCTCGTATCTCCAACTGCGGCTGAGAGGATGAAGCGGACAATTGAGGGGTCAGGATGGCGATCTAGGATACTTGGGGTTTAGTTTAACGGCTCAGATAGATCCAGCCAGTGAGATGGTCACATTCTTCGCCTCTCCATTCCAAACTGAATCAAGGGAGTTGTCTATACTTACTTTGTGTGATTGGCTCTCTTTTAGTCTCACGTTGCTTCCATGCGATTCATTCAGAGTGGTTTCATTTTTGGCTCGGTGAGAATTGTGGACTCTGATCTGCGAAACACTCAAACTTGGAAAATGGATTTGGTTGACTGTGATCTTTATGGTTGGATGGGATCATGCATCTTCCAAAAGTCCAAATGGCCAGTTGATTGACTTCAAGTTGGTAGCATTCTAGGACGGCTTTGCCCGAATGGACTCTCCACACTGATCCACGGCCATCTCTTCCAAGATTAAGTATGGAACTCTACTTCAACGACCACCTGGGCATCTGATAAAACTTTTAATCATTTGATTTTGAACATGAAATAATCTGTACAATCTACCTATACAACCCCTCCGCTCACCCACTTTTCCACATCCCCACCACAACCTAATTCTTCAACTGCTTACTGGCAGAAACACACCAGTTATTCCAATCCGTAAAGAAAGAAGGCTGAACATGCGACTTAGTACTCAGAAGCATATCCTTCCTTGTCTCCCCATAAACATCCACAGCACCCGCAACAAGACCCTTATCATGCGCAACAAGTACTTTCACCACCAACAGCGAAGCCTGACTAACAGCCGTCGCATGCGCAGGCGGTCCACTGTGTCCAGCTTCTTTGTGGATACTCCGGAGTAATTCCCAGATAGCCTCGACGCCTTCCTCGGCATCTTCGTCGTCGGCGGCGATCTTCGGCACTGCGGAACCCTTGCATAGCTTCGTGTACTCGCGCAGCACTGAGTTGGCCTTGTTGGCGATTTGCTTGACGGTCGAGCGGCGGGTGAGACGGAGTAAGGGGAGGAGGAGATCCAGAGTCAGCAGGCGGGAGTGAGATTTCTTGACGAAGATCTCTAGCAGGTCCAGGACGCGGTTTTTGAAGTTGACCATGTTGGACTTTGCGTCTTTCTTGTCTTTTTGTTGAGAGACAGCGTCACGGCGGGCGCGGAAGACGTTGGCTAATTGGGCGTCGACTTGTTCCATTTCGTCGTCGTCCATGTCTGAGTCTTCTTCTGAGTCGTTGGCGTTTAGATCTTGGTCTGCGCGGTGGGTGCCGAGGGCGGCGGCGAGCTTGGCTTCGAAGGCGGCGACTTCGGCGGCGTCTTCTTCTTCCTCTTCCTCTTCTTCTTCTTCGTCGTCGGAGTCGGAATCGGAGTCGGCGTCACCGGCTTCGATGACTTCGACGTCGCTGTCTTCTTCGCCGTCGACATCCATCATTTCTGCGTCTGAGCCGGATTCTTCGTCTTCTTCGACGTCGTCGTCATCGTCTTGGTCGAACATTTCTTGCTGGCCAGCCAGACTTTCCTTGGCTTCCAGGATCTAGAAAACGTTAGTAACTCTAATATCAATACAATAAAAAGGGTAAGTAAGACAACATACCGAGATCAAAGACTCCAAGCCGTTCTCAGTAACTTGATCGGCAAAGGCACCAAAAACCTGCTCACTCATACGGCGGAAGAGCTGCGACTGCTTGGACGCGAAGCTCAGCAGGATTTCGACCAGCGCATCCGAGGCATCTGAGGTATCCCTCTTCTTGTTCTTCTTAGAGGCTTCATCGCCTAGGAACTGAGTGTAGCAGAGCTCCAACTCATCCAGCATGGACACAGCATCGGCGTCTCCGTTATACACCTGCAGAACCGTCATGGAGTAGAGTAGCTTGAAAGCGGCCATGCTCGAGGCCTCGCCCTTCTTCTCCTTGCTGGAAAGCTTCTTCAGAGACTTGAAGGCAGTCTTAACAGACTCCTGCAACTTATCATCGATGTTGATGATGAACTTTCCAAACTCGCCGGACTTTGCGCCGTCGCGAATCTGCTTGACAACAGCGTAGGGAATTGTTGAGGCGTATTTCTGCGACGCGAGGAGACTGTTCAGAGAAGAGGAAACCCTGTTGCGCAGCATTTCCTGAGTCGCCTCTGACACGGCCGGCTCCGGCGCCGACGAGGCATTCTTATCTGTGAAGTAGGCGAATCGTACAAAGATGAACAGGATCTGCTCGAGGACAGACTCGAAGTCCTCCTCCGAGTCATTGTTACCGGTAGCAGCCTTCGCGCGCACGATGGATAGGAGGAGACCAGCAACGAATTGGCGGTCGGCTGCGGCGCTCTTGTCATCGCCGGCACCGGGTTTGCTGATGAGTTGCTCGAATAATGGGACAATTTCCTTCAGCGCGTCTGGGCTGGCATCGGCCACGATCTTCTCCACGGTCTTAGTCTTGGTGACTTGGTCGAAGAGAACGGCACCGCCGGTTCCCATCAAGCCCTGGACAGCAGGGGCAGCAAAGCTAGGGTCCTTGGAAACGCGGGCTTGCATGGCCTTGGAAGTCTTGACGGCCATGCGGTGTAGGTAACGGTCTTCAACGGCAAGCTGGTTCATCAAGCAGCGAACGAGGTTCTTAGTGAAGACCTGAGACGCTTGCTGAGGCGAGCCCTCATTGAGGACTTTGTTGAAAAGAAGGAAACCCCAGAACTTGCGTTCCTCAGAAGAGGCCGAGGCAAACAGACCGTCTAGGTAAATTCGTTAGTTTTGGGTTCATTATTTCCAGTGTAAAATAGAGCCAGAGGGTACTCACTGTCAACAACCTCAGTCCAGAAATCCGCAAAGCTCAAACGGCCAGACTTGGAGCTCTTGGAAGACTTGGAGCTGCCATCGCTAGTTCGAGAAAGAACCGCATCCCAGGCAAAGTGCAGCTTGGCGTTCCAAACACCAGAAGACTTGCTGCTCTTCTGCCCATCCGCCTCCTCCGCAGAAGACTCCTTCATAATCTTCGATAGACTGTTGCGCTCCTTCGTGTCAAGCGGGTCATCGTGTTTCCAAACCTTGGCGGGGTACTCGGCCTTGGGGAACATGTCCTTCGCAGCGAGCCAAACGGCAATACCCTCCGGGGAGCGGGCAAGGTCATACGAGCACAGGCGCTCAATGGCAGCTTCCAGGTACTTAGCGTCCATCTGTCGTGCAGAGAGATCGTACACGCAGCGGTACAGAACCCAACCACACTCCTCCCGAAGCCAGGACTTCTTCTGGGCGAGCTCGAAAAGCAGATCCAGGACCTGGGTCCATTGTGTGAAGGGGGTGATGGGGAGGAATAGGACGCCGGATTTGATGAGGGCTTCGGCGCCGAAGAGGCGGCCAAAGTGGTGATCGCGTTGTTCCTGCGTAGAATACCATTAGTCTGGGAAGTTCGAAGTGTTACAATGCCATGCATCAGCTGGCAATGGAGATAAATCAATCCACGTACCTGTCCCGACTCACTACCCGCAGAATGAGAAAGCGACTCCCAAAGCTTCAGCACATCCTCAAATTGGAACTCCGCATCCTCGCGCTTAACAGAGAAGATCTGAGTCAAGAGCTCGGTGAGCGCAACCGAGAATCCAACACGAGCAGCCTTACGGCTACTGCAGAGACCGCGGAACAGTCGCTGGAGAACCTTCTTGATCTGCTCATCGGTAGGTTCCTTGTCCGGGGTAAATTGCGAGATCAGGTTCTGGGCAGCCTTGAGACGGATCTCATCCTTCTCGCTGGCGAGATCTTCATAGATCTCTACGAGCTTGGTGTCGACGTTGTAGTGTTCGCGACGGCGTTTGAATCCCATCTTGCTGGGTTGAGGCAGGTTTCAATGCCTGCTTCGGGTGGTTGGGGGATTTTACAGCTTCGTTGGAGCTGTTTGGACGGTCTCAACTCGTCGGAGGGTCGGAGTTGCGCGAAGTTGTCCGCAGAAAATTCGGGAGTTACCGCGTTGGGACTAGCGTAGAGAGATAAGCGGATAAGGTTTGGTGCCTTCATACTTAGGCATTAATGCAGACTACTATGTACATACGACTAGTTATGTACCAAGGGCTATTACAAAACCAGCCTGGATGGCTAGTTACCCTGATTAAGCTAAATGTAGAGGGCGAAAAATCAAAAGCAACAGTATAATCACAATCACATGATAATCATGGAAAAAGAAACATGAAATTCATAGGGCAAAAAACCCATCTCAATCCGAATCTATCAAATCCTCGAAAAGAGCAACCAAAAAAGAATTTTATGTACAATGCAGGAATCAACCAAGCACATACATGAGGCGAGAAATGAAAAGTGAAAAGAGGAAGAAGGAAAAAGAGAGAAAAGAAAAGAAGAAAAAAAACAATGGTATCAAATGCTTTCCCTCATCCAGAATCATGTCCAATCATGTCCAGTTCAGTCCAGTCCAGTCCAGACTGGTCTAATCCAATCCAATCCAACCAAGGAATGAGGGAGTCGAAACAACGAGAGAAAAAGAAAAGAAAAGAATTTCCAAAAACAATGTGTCAAAAAGGTCGTATCTACGCACTCGACGCCCGACCCGGTCGGTCCAATCCAACTTTGAAACCAAAGGGAGACAGAATACAATACAGAGCACGCAGTGACATATCGCAGGATGCGCATATCCACAATCTATGTTCATGCTCAATTCACACTTATACATCACGGTAAGTATTCGGCGCAGGTTTCCGTCCACTCTGCAACAAACTCGGCGGGCGATTATCGCGGGGCTCAGAAACGGCCGTCCCAATAGCCGGACCGGGGGCCACGTACTCGTGGGATCCATATTCATGGGACGCATACTCATGCGGCGAGGTAGCATATGAAGGCGGCGGGGGGCGAGGAAGCCACACCCGGTGAAGCAGTGTTGCTGCGGTATGGCTGATGGGTTGTATATGTGGGTGGATACTGGCTTGAGCCGAAGGAAGGCTGGCGGGTGAAGCCGGCAGGTTGTTGCTGCTGGTACTGGGGATCCGCGGCCGGGGATAGGGCAGTGGGGACGGCGTTGTAGGTTGTGCCGTGGGCGTGGGGGGTTGTAAGCTACGGGTGAAGGCGAGGATACGGCGTGGTAGCCGGCATTGCCGCCGTCGTGGTAGTTGTCGTAGCTTTGGTAGGGCTGGGAGTCGTATGGGCTTGGGGCGCCGACTGGGGAGGCGAGAGCTGGGGACCGGCGGGCGTATGGGTCCTGCGCCGCAGCGAAGGTGTTTATCGGTGCTGGGGACCGGCGAGCGTAGGGATCTGTTGCTGCGGCGTAGGCAGCTTGCGGGCCTGGGGACCGGCGCGCGTAGGGGTCTGTTGGGTTCAAGGCTGTTTGGGGGCCTGGGGACCGGCGCGCGTAGGGATCGGTCGGGTTGAATACAGCTTGGGGAGCTGGGGACCGGCGTGCGTATGGGTCTGTGGGGTTCAGGGCGACTTGGGGCCCTGGGGAGCGGCGCGCGTAGGGGTCTGTTGGGTTGAAGCCTCGATAGCCGCCAGCGGAGACATTGTGATCGTTGGTATAATCCGAGTACGCGCCGCCAGGGCTGCCGCCGGGGCGGAAGGGCGTACCAGCGCCCTGTTTTCGGTCCAATGGTTTCATTTCCACGTCTTCATGGTGGGTGTCGTCTTCGACATGTTTGTCCACGGCGTTGCCCCAGGTGGGCATTGCGGGAAGCGCATCCTCGTCAACATGCGAATTTGCGGTTTTCGGGGTGTCGAAGGTTGCGGTCTGGGGCTGGGTCTGTGTAGCGCCGCGGTATACAGGAGGGGCGGGCGAGGATTGGTAGACTGGATTCGCGGCTGGAGGAGGTGGTTGGTGAATGGGAGGCTCGTCGTAGTATTTTGGTTGCTTGTTTCTGCGACGGCCGGAGGGGCAGCAACAGCCGCAGCAGCATTTACAACATTGGTAGCCGCAGCAGATGCAGTTGATCACGCAGGCGAGGATTGCGATCACGATGACGGATCCGACAATAATACCGACGATGACGGGCCATTTGCACCAGGACTTGGCCATACACGTATCCCAGCTGTTGACGGATTCGAACTCAGAGGTGATGCTGCGAGCAAAGATCGGTTGAGCCACGGGGCTCATATTGGGGAGATGCATGATTGAGGGGTGCTAGGAGGAATCGATCATTGGATTGAGGAGAGTTGGTTGGAGATGGCACTCTTCATGCCTTCCGAGAAGTCGAGTAAGTGTAAGTTGAGTCGATGAAATCCGGGGTTTAATGGAAATGTCTCAGGCGGCGCGATAAGCACTACTAGTAGTAAACGGCGAGGCCAGCGATGCCAGAAATAGAACAGTTGGCGGGGCAGGCGCAGCGATATAAGCTTGTCTAACAGGTGGTCCGGCGAACCAATTCGCGCAGCACTCAGAATGAACGAAAGGATGGAACAGGCAGCAAGGTTCGCTAAGATTTGCACATCGAAGATGGCGAAGCACCGCGACGCACGGTTGAGGGGAAGAGGTGGAGAGTTGATCGAGCAGCGTGTGGATTGAGTCGAGTCGAGTCCGAGGCCAATAAACGAGTGGCGGCCTGAATACGAGAATGAAGCGAAAGTAGAGTACGAGTCGAGATCCCCCAAAAAGCAAAAGAAAAGAACGTGAAACAAATGAAACACGGAGGGGGAAGAGAGAAAGGGAAGGGGAAGAAGGGTTGACAGGGATCCATTGGCAGGTGTGGGTATGGCCAATCAGAAAGCTCACATTCTCGTGAGAGTCTGGTGAACCGCCAATCGTCATAAACTGAGGAGACGAAGATCCACTGGTTTGCCGATCGTGTAATTTTGTTTGTTAGCTTTGTAAGGTACGGAGTACAGCCTCGGGGGGATATGAGTGTTTCATACTTAGCTATCTCAACTGCTGCTGCTGCTGCTGCTGCTGCTGCTATGAGTACGAGTACTACTACCACTACTACACTCTGGATAATTCATTGGAATAATTCATTAGAATGGTGGATTTCTGCTCGACAAAAGGAAAAGAAGTTATCTGCAGCCTCCATGAGGCCCTCCAGCCATTAAGTCCCAACAAGTTGGAGTGCACCACAACACCACTGGAAGTAGTAGCAGTGATCGTTGTCTCGATGCACCTCCATCCTCACTGCCAGGCAAATATCGCTCTCGTATGTACAGCTTGCACAGCCACTCGTCATGTGTTCTGTTCGGTTCGATGGATATGCAAATCCGTGCCCTCCAGCCCCAGCGATCGTCCCCGCGAATGCAATGTACGGCAGGGATCATCAAAGCCGACGGGCTGGAAATGAGGCAACGATGCAAACAAAGAAAATGAAGAAAAAAGGAAAATGAAAAAACACGCTCCCACTCGCAATGCCACAAGATGGAAAAATCATGGTCAAAAAAGCGCTCTCGAAGGTTATGAGTAGACTCTCGCTCGATATGCAACTCGGTACAGGCGGGGAATGGAGATTCATTCCGGAACATCATGTGATTAATAGCGTTTGTGAAGTCAAAGAAAGAGAAAAGGATCGGGGGTCCACTGTACAGGGAAGTGATTAAAGGGGCAGTATGGTGGAAAGGGAATTAGGGTTGTGAAGAGAACGGAATGCGCCCAAGTGGACGGCAGATTAGAAGACGCTTTCGTGAGCGTTTCGTTTCACTTGATGTGGGTAGTAGATTGGTTGAGATCCGTTGCTGCTGCAGAGCAAGGAAGGGAAAGGAAATGGTTTTTCCGAGCAGGAGCCAGGGGCGTCGGGCGCGTTATCAACTGGTGTCATCGGGAACATAGGAGAGAGGATTGCTCGATTCGTGTCGAGTCTGTCGTTCATCACTGGGCAAACCAGGGGGTGAAGAAGGAAAGAGAATTTGCCCAGTATCGTTGCGTGTGCTCGACGCGATGGTGTCAGCCATGCGAGGTGGAAATGTCGAGCAACAGGATATCGTATCGAGAAAGGAAAAAGGAAAAAGAATCGCGGGTATCGTATCGGACTCTGAAGGGTAGAGAGAAAGGAGAAAAAAATGGAAGTCCAGGAATGAAAGACGATATCAAGGGATGGTTGATATCGGGTCGGTCAGATGAAAGTGTTGAAAGGAAATTCGGTTGAAGGCCGCGCTCTGCGCAGCTTCAGTCGCAAGCCAGTGCTTAGAGGAAAGACCATTGCGCCAGGACCGAACTTTTGTGGTGAGAAAGAGGTGGGTGTGAGAAGAGTAGAAAAGATGAAGGGAAAAAAAAAGCCACCCAGGAAGAAAAAAGGCACCATGCAATATGCCTCAATGGAAACAACTCGCTCCAAGAACAATTCAAAAATTTCATGTTATCCGCCAGGCGCCATTGGAAAATCACCAATGCAAGGAGAAATCAGTAAGAGAGCATACGGCGGCCGGGGGTGCGATGAGGCACGGGGCTTTCGGCGAAGGGGGAGGAGAGGAGCCGATCTGCGCGATCATTGCGGCATCGGCCAGTCGGGCTATCCTCCATTTGAGGCGAGTGTTGACCAAAGGCGAAAGTCTGGGCACGGTTCAGCTTGGAACGTTGCTTGACCTTACCAAGTCCGCGCTCACAGGCGAACTGGTGCTCTTTGTCATTCATCTCGACGTAGTTTTGCGGGTAACAGAACGACCGGTGCGCAGCGAAGAACGAGCTGTATCCGCCATCCAGAATGTACATGTCTGGGTATGTAAGATTGGGATAAGTATCGACATTGACCGCGCGGTCTTGGTGACGAATGTACTTGGCCATAATGGGCGCACGATGCGCAGAGTATTCACAGTGTAGGATTAGAGCAGTGCGAGCTTTGGGACCGTTGAAGAGATCCCCCGCCAGCGCGTCTTTGTCATTGTAGTTGATGGCGCCGTCAATGTGGCCGCCCTCATATTCGTATTCGAACCGACAGTCGACAATAATCACATTGTCGAAACAATCGTTAAACTTCCCATCCAGAACCTCCAGGAGGGTGGTCTGGTTGATGCGAGGCAATGAGTCCGCCTTGTCCTCGGGGACAAAGTGAGGCAGCTGGAGGCTGGGCGAACTTTGGATGTCACTGATGGACGGTGGGGGTGCATTTGTTGTTACCTTGGCCTCTTGTTTCGCGATAACGTCGGCGGGATGTTCGAACATACTCAAAGAGCGGCGGCACTGCTTGCGTGGGCGCATCAAGGGGTGAGCGGGCTTGCGGATGGAATTGGCAGGCGACCCAGTGCTACGGGCGTGAGAGAAAGGCGGCCGCAGACGAGGCGGGGCCAGACTGCTGGACGAGGAGTTACGAGAGATAGATCTCTCTTGAGGGGGAGAGTCACCGAACATGTCCTCCAGGGAAGTCGAGGTGCTCAAGGAGGTCTTCGCAGAGTTGAAGCGGAATGGTGGTGCTTTGCTCTCCTGCGTGGGACGGGTCATACCGAGCTGGAAGGACTGAGCTTTGCTCTTCGCCAAACTGGGGCGGAGAAAGTGAGGTCGGCGACGTCTATAACCCATGTTAGTATTCAGTCCGACAGTCTTTCAGCAAGTATTCTTACTCGGCGGGAGCCTCCATGGGAGAGGCCTCTAGCGGGCTGGGGGCTGAGGAGTAGGAAGGCGAGTAGATCGGACTCGCCAAAGGTGAAGGGGAGTGCACTTCAATCTCAGTAGTCACTACATAGGCAGGCTTCTTGTGCGGCAGCGGCGACATCTCCATGACGTCCATGGCGGGAGCGGGCGACGAGGCAGGGGGGGGGAGTGGTCATCACGTCGTCTATTCATTGTGTCAGTACTGTGACTTTTCAAATATGGATTGTTTGTTTGCAAGGATTGCTTACCATAAGAATTCGCTTGGCCCAAGATGTTGGACGAGAACAAAGACCGCCGGGGTGTGGCCAACTGCGGGCTGTTCATAGAGTTAGCAAGGATCCATACATTCGTTTGTTCTGGCCGGCGCAGCACCGCACCGCACCAGCAAACAATGAAAACGAACCTCTGGTCAATGTGGAAGTTTTGCGACAGGTCGGCTGCCAGACTAGCTGCGGGCGACGAGCCGTGGAGGGGGTTCATATTGAAGTAATCGGGGCCAGATTTCTTCATAGACAGATCCTTGAAGTTGAAGCTATTCTGGTTGAATCCCGACAAGGACGGGTATGACGTGGGGGCATCAGCCCGGAAACAGTGACCAAACATCATGGATGGAGGCTGCATAGCAGCCAATGGAGATGAATGTTCCATATTTGGATGTGGATGTGCTATAGTTGGAGTCGACGACGAGATAGACTCATGTAAACCCGTAACGAACCCGAGCAATTTCCAACTTGAATTGATCACTTCCAGCGGAGAGCAGAGACACCGTCTTCACGAATTCCCACAAACAAAATGACCGGACGATCGGGATATTTTCCAGCACAATTCCAAAGTTGACCAAAAGCAATGTGATGACCTAATGTGACCCTGAAACCCAAGACCGTACACGAAGACCGGCGATGACGAGGTTGAAATCCCGAAAATCCCGTAGGAAACCTCTCTCGAACCTCGATGAGGAGGACGGGAAGTTGTGAAATCTGTTGGACGGAGGATAGGCGGGTTAAAGAGGCATGACCGGTGGAGAGCGGAGGTCTTATGCAGGTAATTGGAGAGAGGGGCCGACAGCTCGTGGGCGATGGGGGAGGGGAGGCGCAGGCGAATCCAGCAAGTAAGCAGAGGTATATGCTCTGGAGAGTCGCCGAACAAGTTGTAGATGGTCGGAGGTCGAAAGGTCGAAGTTGTCGTTGGCAAAAGGATCCTGGTGAGAAGGATGGAATGTCGGGAATGAAGAGAGAAAAGGTGGAACGGAACGGTTAGAAGAAAGAAACTCGTGAAGCTGAAGGGATGGGTCTGTTGCAATGGGCAACGCAAGTGGGGAGTGATCTCCAGATAGTTGTATGAGTATGTTATGACGATACGAGTATTGTACGAGATACAGTATGGGTATCCGAGTACCGGGTACGGAGACAGAGTACGTTACTCATTACTGCTGACTACCCACTGCGTACCTGGAAGTGTACCCGTCCCCCAGGGTGTGCCTGTGGCTACTGTCAGTGAGTCCGTTGCCCGGGCTCCCTTGCCGCCCAGAGTCACCCTATCCAGCTTACCCGGCACACCAACCTATCATCATTTCTTTCCCTTCTCATTCCCACAGAGTGCACGTCCCTTGCCATGTGCTCGTCTGCCTCTCCCTGCCTTTTCTCTCCTTGATCTTTCCTTGCGGAATATGGGGAAATCCTCAATTCCCACTGTAGTCAATTTCTCAATGTGAGGAGATCAACCTATGTTCCAGCGCCGTTGCTCAATTTTATGCAATCAGTAGGGACCTTTCTTATTTTACAGCCTGTCTCGCTACTTCTGTACATATATATTCTCCGGTACGAACGGGTCCGTTTGAAACGAACAAACGGATTTCCGTGTGTCTTCCATGGGTCTTCGGTCTCCATAGAGCCCATTGCGGTATCCACCGCCGACTCACCAGACAAATGAAAAAACTTTTTCCTCTCTCTCCCGTGTCATGTTCAGCTGAAAGAGAAAAAAAGAGGAGGGAGAAAAAAAAACTAAAATGAAATGGGACCAAAGGAAGATCGAGCCTAAGGCCAGTCGGCTCCACTTGGTCCTTACACTCGGAAAATAGAACTGTACATAACGAGGATGCAAGTGATCCGATCGTCCTGCAAGGAAACCCAGATTGAGATGATGACCCAATGGAATGAAAGCCCTCGAGATGCAATAAAGCATCAGCTTCAATCAAACGTCATTCTTAAACTTTCCCGGTGTAGGTGAACACTGGCATCCTCCTCCATCGTCAAATAATCTGTACATGTTCAGTACACGGTTCGGGGTTACTCGATCAGGCTAAGCAGATAGTCTCGCGAATGGAGCAGTGCAACGAGGCCGATCATTCCCGGAGCGAGAGGGCAGCGTCAACGCGAAATTGGGGTCCGGTCGACTGGACAAACACAAAAATGATATAATCAAACACGACCGAGTGGTCCTATCGAACCGGTATCAAGATTTCGGACTATCCTAGGATCCTCCCGGGTCGCTGATTGGCAGTTCAGATCTCCGACCAGCGATGAATGGGCGCATTGGGACATGCTCAGGACATCCTGGGACATCCTGGATGGTCAATCGCATCATCGAGGAGTTCGTCCTGTATGATCCTTTCCCAAAGGGGAATCCAGGAACGCGATCGTACCCCACCAATCTCAATCTGGTGCGGAGAGAAACACGCACGGTGGTATTGGTATTGGGCTCATGGGCAAGGAATGGCCGACAGGGCACAATCTGCTAGTCATTCCAGCAAATTGCGAGCTAAGATTACCGCTGAGGTTATCTTGCGCTTCGCTCATTCATAACCCATACCCCGGCCGGCCCTTACATCTCCCTCCGTCCCTGCCCACATTCCGAGTAATCAAGGGTCCGCGAGGGGATCTTTCAATGTCGCGCATCCCTTGACACCCCTTCGTAGAATGTTTTAGCTATTAAGCGTGTATCCCAGGTGGTAGTTTATTGAAACCTTCGTCTGGTTCTGCTGACCTCCCTCTCGCGATGCTGGAGCAACGACCCCGTCGTCCGGGTCAACCACAAACCGTGTCTACCTGTGTGTGTGTGTGTGTGTGTGTGTGTGTGTGTGTGCTTTGTGATCTGATGCGATGCAAATAACCGAGTTCCAGTGAAGACTGACAAAGTTCCCGGCCAAGCCTCGCGTGAGCCGTGTTGATGACGATGACCAGCACTAATGCTAGCTATGGGGCCAAAAGCACCAAGTGATTAACCGGATGGAGGCAGTGTCAGAATAACAACAATGAGCGCAATTAAGCGCTGACATCGGGCTATACCCATCAATCAGGTCCATCCTGCGTCGATTCCCTCCGATATATCCCCCAGGCCCGGCATTATTCGGTTCCTCGAATCGATCAGCTAAATATCATGGGAAGATATGGGGAAAATGCCTCGTACAGAATGGGCAATATCGGAGCATCCAACCCAGATGGGCCAAACGTGGGGATCATCCTCGGGAGCGCGAACGAAAAAAAGCAAAGATCTGAACAACATTCGCCACATGATATCAAGCGGCTCTGGGATTGACTATGACACTGCTAGTGGATGGACCCTCCCAAGGCAACAAACCATCCAGTGTGAGTGGACATTGGATCGACCGAAATGGCCATACCCCACGTCCAGAACTTTGGCTAAAATAGTCAAGCATACGGAGAAGTCAGCCCCCTCTCGCGTGAAACGCCGGGCGCATTGAACTCCTCCCTCGTGATGGTCCAGCCCACTTTCGACCGGGATGCAAGATGTCGGGTCCGGCGTCAGCTTTGTCGCAGATATCTGCATCGAATCCAGTTTCGCTGCAGATACGGCACGTTTTGATAGAAGCGGTGTACTTGCACATACACATCCCCTTCATCCTCAGCAATTGATCTGTCTGGGATTGACCCCATGTTGGTCCGTGATGTTACGTCACTTGAGCTGGTCTGTGATCGGAGGCAATTAATTTATTTGCCCAACCGGTTGGAAACTCCCCGAGCTGGGGGGGTTCATGACGTCGCCGAGCTGGCTAGAATTGTCGATTTCTTGATGTTCTATTCCTGGTACCTAGACGCGTCGGTCTGGTTGTTGTTGTTATTGTTCCCGTTGATGTTGATGTTGATCGGAGTGTGAGTCCGATACCCTCGCGTATCTGCGACCAAAGAACCCAAACTCCCAAACCCAGCTGAATCAACCCAATCACACGGGTGGGCGGCTGCACTGGGCTGATATCACGCATTGCGACCGGGATAAGGCTTCTCGGCCAGGCCGATACTGGTCTATCTTTGGCTGCGCACCAGCAGTAGCTCTGGTGGGGTCGCGCCCAGAGAATGATGTGATGCGTCCAAAGCGTCACAGCTCCATGTGCGATGGACCAGTGAAGCCTCGACTTGGACCGATTTGCCTTGTCGCAGCTGCGGGGTCCATCACATTTCCCTCTTCCCAGTGATGTCAATGAAGGTTGACGCGAAGTAAACAAAGAAAGGCTTTACAACAAACGCGAACCGGTACGCAGTCCCGTGATGATCATCGAATCAACATCCTCGATTCTTCTTGTCTGCAACGATGACCGCATCTCTTCAATCCCAGATCTTGTTTCCCACTGTTGTCGTATTGCATGTATCTGCATTACACGAAATACCCATACCTCACTAACTTCACTGGTGTACTCTTTACGCTCGACTTGTCCAGCCTCAATTCCGCCCCCGGCGATTTGTCAATTAATTCTCCAGTCCGGCATCCCCGATCGACGGCGCTATTGAATGCCCCGGCCGTCAGCCATGCGCTTACCCACGACTAAAGCGTGGCTGTCAGGAACCGATCCATTCCACAGCCCCTAATCGTGCTAGCAGCTTTGCCCTGGACTCCTCTGTACTCCGTTTGCTCGTCTGTATGCTCGTCTATCGGAGATCAACTTCTACTCCGTGCAGTTTGCGGCCTCAGGCAATCGAATCTTGGTAAGTCGCACAGCCCCGATCGTCACACGGAACGACGAGGACTTCCGGGCAAACTCCGGCTGGACTGGATCTTTTCCAATAGGGGTTTAGCTCATAGTTCGCAGATAGATCACAGTCGGGCTGCTACGGGGTGCACCGTATGTACTTTCTACAGACAATCCGTTCGATGAATCTACTTCTGCAATCCTGATCTGCTATTGTAAATCTGTAATAATGACTTCTCGTATGCGGATCTGGTATTCGCCTACTTTGTACTCCGTACTCCGTACTCTGTACACCGTACGGAGTACATCCTCTGCAGTCTGTCTCCGTACCCCGTATATGCAAATGCACATTGAACTCATCGCACACCATTGAAACCCGCCCGGTGCCTGATCAACATATCCGTAGTACCCTAACCCCTAAACCGACCATCGGATGGATCGATCTCTCTGCATCCAGACCATAGTCCAGGTTTACCTATCCACTCTCCGATAAGCTGTCAACCGCCTGATCCACGGATTGACTACGGAGTAGCCTGGCTGGCTGCAAATAAACGCAGACAGGCGCATGATTATGGTCGCGGCGATGACTGATCGCCTTCGTGTGACGCTACGTGTCCGGTGCCACATTGCTGCAGTGCAGCGTCGGGGTTATCGCGGTAATGATTTGCGATATGCGGTCTCATTTTGCGACCGGGGGGCCCAGTATCGCGGCCGTTGCTGGGGTTTCGTAGATGGGTGGATTGATGTTTCATGAGTTGTAATTGGGAAATGGGTCTGCTTGAAATGACTGTAAAGACCGCCTGGTTGTATATACATACTAGTAACTACTCTCCACCTGGTAGTACTATGTGTGAGTACAGATATACAGTACACAGTACTATCGACGTGCTACTAGTAAAAGCCAAATGATACCAAATGATATATATCCATTCCACCATTCCACCATTCCATCCATCCACTGCAGGTACCGCACACACTGCATCCGACACCTCTCCACTCCCCCGTTCTCCCCACCACAACCAGTGGTTCAAAATACTACTAGTACACATTGTAAGTAGTTAATTAACTAGTGTCTGCATACTGGTACTTTGTTACTTTGTACCACGCTAAACTTACACACTACTAGTATAGTTCCCAGGTTAGCTACACTGTATGCGACCTGTCGCCCGGAGGATTTCGATAAAATGCAGGCACTGCCTTGAACTCGAGTATAATATCATGCCAATTTCCCCAAAGCCGCGAAATCCCAGACATTCAAAGTTCGCCCTCCGTCATCGTTTCAATAGCCTGTCGCTGTCTAGACAACGTCGACCATGATTGTCGCGATCCATTCCAAACCCACAGACTCCATTCCATTCATCACCGGGTGGGTGCATTCGTTGAAACCAAACTATTGTATGCTACTAGTGAGGTAACTATACACTTCACGGGTGGATTGTGCGTTTTACATACATTCCCGTATGTATATTCGAATTTCGGGTTTTTACAAGTTTGAAGGATTCGCTTTATTGTACAGCCACTGTCTTCGTCTTCGGCCCTGACCTACTCGCCGTTATCCGACTCGAAATTTCACAAGTTGCACCGGCAACCTCTCAACCTCATACATCCATACCTACATACTGACTACGTACTCCGTACTCCATTCCCACCGTTAGCCTTTCAAGTTTCGCCTTTCCCCTGAATCCTGCGTATGAACTCGTCAGATTCTAGAATAGCGGCAGTCCGCCCGGCCCCCAGCCAAGCCCTCTGGCAAGAAGCAATGGTTCCCCCAATCGGCCTCGATTTTGAGTCCGCGCTTGCGTAAATGTGACGACGAGCTTATTTGCCATGGCAACCTGTCAAAAAGAAAATTTTCAGGGGCTTGTGGGGTGGATGGATCTGGTCTGTCCAGTGGGAGTGGAGCGGCGACGGAGGTGTGCGATAGGTACGATTGGGGCTGGACTGGGGATTTTGAAGTTGCGATGGCATCTTTGAAAGGTGTAGGGGGGGGGAATTTTAAGAGCTTCGTGTTGGATTTTATATTCAATACGCTTTGATGGTAAAATAAGGTGGCATTAGGTGCTATCCATGTGGTCTGGAAGTCAGGGGTTAGCTTAGGTACACGAGATATATAGTGCACTCGTGGCCGCCCTTGCGGTTTCTTCAACGGACTGACCGTAGGCAGTTTTGACATCAGGTATCCTTGAATCTTTAATGGGACTCCTAGGATGAGATATGTGACCTTAGAAGTAGTAAATTGTGATTGTCGAATTCAATTGTCGAGGTATGAGCGACCAGGGCTGGCTATTCTCCGTGCTACTTGATGTCCAAGTGAATCTTCAATTCTGCCTGAATACCTGAACTTCAAGGCATCGACATCCCTTGCTAGAGCATCAGGCCATATGCACTAGCACTGCTCCCGATGTCCTCGTAGTAGGGCAGTGGTAGCTGTTGAGCGCTAGAATCCATTATGAAGTGACCTGGGAATGCCATATTTCTATGGATCCATGAATATATACCACTGATAATATTGAATAGCCCTAAAGCTAGCTTTAATAATACACGACAATGCGTTTTCATTCCAAGTCAATTCGTAATTGAGAAAATGGTATGAATCTCATCACTCCATCGAGAAATCATACTTCTTGAAAGCCTCCTTGAAAGCCTCAGCATCCGCCTCCTCCTCAGGCTGCGACTGCGTCGCATCCTTCCAGTTCATCCGCTTATCCAATTCAAGTAATTTGGCCATCACGCGACGACCGAATTGGATATCGAATCTGAAATCAGGATTCAGTTCCAGCATGAGGGTTTTCTCTGTCCCAGAAGCGGTCTTCGCAGAAGATTCTTCCTCCCCTTCTCCTTCCCCCTCAGCACCCTTCTCCGAACTCCTCCAACTCGAGATACGGAAGAAATCACCAGGTTCAGCACTACTATCTAAGCCCTCGGCCTTGGTCTCGAAACGGGGATAGTTCAGATTCTCTGCCTCAACCTTAAAAGCAGCCTCCACCAGCCCCTGCTCGATAAGATCAACCGGCACAGGGAGGAATTGCCAGTGTGTATGGATTCCATTGCCACGACTAACCTCCCAAGTGACGGCGCCCAATTTACCGGATGAGCGATCAGAAAGCATCTGATGCAAAGCAGCGCGGTAGCGCTGCATTTCCTTATACGTCCCCGTGCGCGATTCGGGGTCCGAAATCGAATTTAGCGTTGGCGCGTGTGAGAATGGGATTATCAGCATATGACCCGGGAATCCGAGGTCGGTGAATAGGTCGTTTGGAGGGAGAGGGCCCTTGGCTGTTGTGATGTAGCTCTCGTTACCGATTGATGTGATGAGGTGGGCTGCGATGTTGGGGTTGGAGAGGCAGAAGAAACATTGATCTGGGCCTGGGGGTGGGGCGCGCTGGTGGCGTTTTTGCGGGCGGTTGTTATTGTGGTGGTGGTCGTCGTCTGTGGCGAAGCGTTTGAATGATTCGCGTTGGGCAGGGAGACCTTTTCGTTTTGTTTGCGCAGGGCGGAGGGGTGAGGCCGTTGCGCCGGCGGGGATTGTGAGGGGTGGTGCGGCGGTTAGATCGAGCGTGAAGGCGTACATTGATTTTTGCTTTGAGCCAAATGAGGCCAGTGAGATGAAGCGGGTCAATGGCTTGACATCTGGGTTGTCTTCTGTTGGGAGGTGGAAGAACGGTTCTCGTTCGTAGAAGACTTCTTCGGAGGAGGAAAAGTGGTAACGGGGTTTCAGGGTGGCGGCAACATCGGCTAGACATGGGACTTCGGTCAGGGCTTTGGCCTGATCTTCTGGTATGTCGACCTTTGATCCCGTCCGAATGCCCTTGGGCCATTGGTTGGTGATGAGGATGTCGGCGCTATGCGTTCCGAATAGAGCGCGTGCATCGGCCTCGGTGTATGTGGGTTGGAATTTGCCGGCGGCGTTCGTCTCTGGTTTTGATTGCGAGGCTGCATCGGTATGCAATTTTCCTCCAAGCGCACTAATGCGGATACCCTCTGAGGTCTTTAAAGTCCCGCGCTTCCCCAGGAAGTAGAGGTTAGGGCAGACTTCATCATTGGCTTCGATCTTTTCCACGATTCTCGTTGGGAGGGGTTTGTCGCCGAGAGTGAAGTAGGTCGGGAGTGGGACGCTGATAGTTCCTGATAGTAGCGCGGTGATTTCGTCCAATTCGCTCTCTGTTGAGCAGTCGCCGAAGAGATTGCCGACTAGAATTGCGAATGCGAAGTTTTGCTTGACTTGCAGCTTGGCCAACTTGGTGAATGCTGCCTGTAATTGGCAGTTCACACTTCCAAGAACGATACTAGTGATTTTGAATTAGTATAATCTTGAGATTTTGGATTGGAGGACACTCACATCTTGGACGCCATGATGTATATCCTTTCAGAGATCTAAGAGATAACAAAGTCGAGAGGCGGCAGGATCGCAAGCGCAAGTTGCAACCGCGGAGGAGCTTGGGCCACCCCGTGACTGGAGCTAGCCTCATTCAGGACTAGCGTAGACTGGCCTCCGCGGCGTCGGAAGAAAGTGCAACCGGCGCCGCTCAGTTTTTTTGGAATCGATAGAAGGCAAGCCATCACTTTGATCGAGCACCTTTCTCGTTGACAGCGCTACCTGTCTCATCTACCAAAATGGTAGCGCCAAGCTCACGAGACAAGCCTACAAGGCGCCTGAAAAAGGGCACCGAAACCACAAAAAATCATCGCTGGGAGCCTTTTTCGCAGCGTATCGCAAAGCTCAAAATCGACCCCATTCACCGTGTGCGCCGGGCGAGCTTTGGTGAAGATGACGAGACCTCGTCTTATTTCCGATCGGCCCTCGATCATTGGGTCGAAATGAACCTTTCCGACAATTTCAGCACATTCGTCCGCCGTGTGAACAACCTCTCCGAAACCCTCGCCCAGATTTTGTACCACGAAGAGAAAATAATGGCCCTGTTGGTGGAGTTTATCGAGAAGAGAGACCAGCACTCAATCGAGCCTCTGATGAGTCTGCTGGCCCAATTTGCCCGAGACCTGGGAGTGAAATTTGAGAAGCACTTTGCGACCTCGGTGACATTGGTAGCATCGGTTGCCGCAACACACCCCGATGTTGAAGTGGTGGAATGGAGTTTTACTTGTCTAGCATGGATTTTCAAATTCCTCTCCAGACTCTTGACGCCCGACTTGCGTCAACTTCTCGGCATTATGACCCCATATCTCGGCAAAGAGCGACAAAAGCCTTTTGTTGCTCGGTTCGCCGCCGAGTCCATGTCATTTCTGATTCGCAAGGCAGGTCTCACCTACTATAAGAACAAGACGCCCCTCGAGAACGCCGTCTCTTACCTCTACGATGATATCTCAAAATCAGCGGAGGAAGGAAACAATGTTGAAAACTACAAGGAGGGTTTGATGGTCATGTTCGCGGATGCCATCAAGGGTGTTAATAATGGTCTTCACTCCAATGGAATGGATATCTTGCGCTGTGTTCTGGACCAGATTCCCCCGTCTAGTGGAACTAGCAGTCAACCAGCGCAGGTTGCTGTTGGATTGGTGATCAATCTCATTCATCACACCACTCCCGAGACATTCGGCCCCATTCTCGAAACAGTCAAGGAATACGTTGAAAGCCGGTCTCAAGGTTCTGATAATCCCAACTTGCCCGAGTGCTGCCGTCTCATCTTTGTCTGCTTTGGAACCCGTAAGGCAACCCGAATCAGGGATTGGAAGACCGTGCACCAGACCCTTGTGTCACTTCTGAAGCAGGTGGCATCAAACCAGAATGTGGACTCAGAAACAATCACACAGCTCCTTGGTGCCGTCGCCTACGCTCTTCAGCTTTCTCCAATGGATGAGATGCTGCCATTCTTGCGACCTCTGATGGACCATGTGTCCACCGGACCTCTCTCAAAATACTTCTTGTTCTTCTGCAACACATTTTCACAATGGGGCTCCGAGCGTTTCCAAAGTCTTCTTGTTCCTTATTTCCAAAAGTTCCTCAATGCTTCCTGGAAAAAGCAAGAGTGGGAAACGTGCTTGACGCTACTCCGACTCAACCAGTCTGGCTGCATTACATCCGAAGCTTCGAAGCCAGGCTATGTCTCATGCCCCGAAGGCTTGAAGTCTCACCTCTACGACTCCTTGAATTACCCTACCAACGACGAACGTGTTCTTAACGCCCTGGTCAAACTCCCGAAGGCCATCTCATTGTTTGCAGACTCTGCTAGCCTGCCCAAGATCGTGAAGAAACTACATAGCAATCTTGTCTCTGCCTTGAACGATGCCACCACCCAGCAAAACGCTCAGCAGAACAGTGGCTTGATATTCTACCTTGGTCAGGGGTTCAAGATCTACGTCGATCTGGCTACCCAGGCCGGTAAATTGGACACAGAGCTGTGGGAACCAATCCTTACAGCCTCAGCTGAATTCTCGCGTCTTCCTTTATTCCTAGAGGGTGTTTTGACTTTTGTTTCTGCTCTCCCCCAATCCGCGGAGCTCGAAACCTCGACCTTGGAAGGATTTGCTCGCAACTTGATCCTCAACCTCGCCAGTCCTTCGCAGAGACTGAGACTCGTCTCTCTTCAGATCTTACGTGAATTAATTAGCCGGGTCCCTGGAGATGAAGTTTCCCCTATCTCCCTGGCAATTGAGATCGAAGAAAGTCCCCTCACTCTTCAAAGTGCCAGAACCGTATCGATGCACCTCCGCAAATTGGCACTTCTCTACCCTCAGATCGCTTCTCGCAGATGGATGGCTAGCCTTATTCCGTACTTCTGCTTCGGTCTGTTCTCGAAGAAGTTGACTCCTCTCTGGGACGATTCCGCTGCTGCTCTAAAAACCATCAGCGAACATCTCGAGGGAGAGAAAATTGTTTCGGACTTGTCTGTTCAGTGGCTGCAGGAGCGGGACTCTGGCGCTACGAATGAGGATGAACCCGAGGAAGAGAATGAAGACTCATTTGTCTCGAGCCGTTTCGAGTGTTTCAATGTTCGCAAGATTGAGAATGTTTCCACCGCCAACGCGAAGACTATGCAGGATCCTTTGGCCGCTTTGTCCATCCAGTTTGAAAAGGACCACAAGATGGCGGACCTCGTCCCTGGGTTCCCCCGAAGCCATGCGCTGCGCGTCTTGAGTGCTACCCCCAATGTGGCTGAGAAGCGGTCTCGTCAAATCATGCCATTGTTCCTGAGCTGGGCTACACGCGATGATCAGGACGATGTTCCTACCGCCAATGATGCCGAGAATGATGCCGACACGGAGGCTGATTCAACACCGATCAAATGGGGATTCAAAGACCGACTGGCTATGCTTGGTCTACTTGGCCAATTCCTTAACCCCAAGGTTCTGTACAAGGCCCCCGAGGTTCACGAGGCAGTCCTCGGTCTTTTGTGCCACGGTAATTCGGAGATCCAGAAAGCTGCTCTCAAAGCTATTTTCACTTGGAAGAACGCGCACGTTGTGCCTTATCAAGAGAACTTGCTGAACATTCTGGATGAAGCCAGATTCAAAGATGAGATGTCTGTCTTCGTGCGTGTTGGTGGCGAGGACAGTCTGATCGAGCAGGAGCACCGTCCTGCTCTGCTTCCCATTCTTCTTCGACTTCTTTACGGTCGCATGATCTCCAAGGCTGGCTCATCTGGTCAGGCTGGTCAGGTTGGTCGACGTAAGGCTATTCTGCGCTCGCTTTCTCTTCTCTCGGAGGAGGACTTTGGACTTTTCATGCAGCTCGCATTCGGCCCTCTATCTCAAGTTTCCGTTGTCAAGGATAACAGCGAGGTCGCAGCCGCGTTCTCAGAGGAACTCACCAGTCCAAGAAGACAGCTTGGTCTACTCAAGATGATTGATACGGTTTTCGAAACTCTCCAGAGTCGCATGATCCCATTTTCCATCCAGACCATGAACGTTGTTATCTACTGCCTGGTTCGAGCATGTCGAGCAATCTATGACGAAAATAGTGATCTTTACGTGGATAGAGAAGACGAGCGTCTCCTGGCAATCTTCCAGAATATCCGCCAGACTTGTATTCGCTGTCTGACTTTGATCTTTACGGTCTCATCCGACCTCGATTGGACACCATACGTTGCCATCATCTTCAAAGAGTTGATCAACAACAGGCTGGATCTATTCCCCATTGAGACCGCTCAGGGTGTCTCCGGACTGCTTCGCCTCTTCCACACCTGGGCGTCTGCCCCGAGATCGACCTTTTATCTTGTTCAGCATAACAAGGATGTTCTCACCAAGGTCATTGACTGTCTTGGCGTCGAGTCGGCACGCGATGAGGTTAAGATATTCGTCATGGATGAAGTCCTTATCCCACTTGTGCAGCAGTCTACCGGAAAGAAGGAGGGAGAAGACCAGGAAATGTCGGATATCCCCCCCCGAGCAGATTCGCTCTGAAGTCCTCTCTCCCTACCTTGAGCACGCTCTCTCCCTTCTCGGCCCTCTTTTGAGAGTTGGACCTCCTTCAAAGCCTGTCCTCAATTCAGGTGTCAATGCTCTTTCACTTATCGCCCCCTGCGTTGAATCTTCTAAGGAGACATCTAGCTTGATTAGCATCTCCACCTATCTGCTTCGCCAACCCCCCGACCGTGTCAGCCCGAAGACCAAGGCTGGTCTGTTGCGAATTCTCGAACATTTCCTACCCCTGTACACCCCGGAGGACGACGCCAAGCTTTCTCAGCAAGTATTCGAGGCGGTTGTATCCATGTTCGATTATTTCAAGGATGATGCAAACAGAGAGGTTTTGGCACGAGTTTTTGCTGCGCTCGCAAGTCATGACAAAGAACTTGCCGAAGTCGCTGAACTCTGCGCGGATCTGAACTCTCGCTCCTCCAAAAAGCTCGAGCCAGATTTTGAACGTCGTCTTCAGGCCTTCAGAAAGATCAACGATGATCTGTCGCAGAAATTCAACGCTAAGCAGTGGAGGCCTATTCTCTACAATATGCTTTTCTATGTCAAGGACGAAGAAGAATTGGCTGTTCGATCCAGCGCTTCCTACGGTCTCAGACGTTTCATCGACAGAGCCGCCACCGAGGCCGGTGCGGATGACTTTGAGGCTCTTGTGAATGATGTCTTTATCCCCGCGATGAAGTTTGGAGTTCGAAACAAGGCTGAATTGATCCGAGCTGAGATTGTTGCTGCTCTTGGCTACTTTATCAAGCTGAATCCCACTCGGCCATCCGTGCAGGATATGCACGATCTGCTCATGGGCGACGATGAAGAGGCATCCTTCTTTACCAATATCCTTCACATCCAGCAGCATCGTCGTCTCCGTGCATTGCGACGTCTGGCGGGCGAAGCTGCCAAGGGACATCTCCAGCCAACCAACCTGGGCTCCATTTTCCTGCCTCTCATCGAGCATTTCGCATTCGAAGGTGCGGAGGATGAGAGTGGTCACAACTTGATCGCCGAAGCTGTTGCCACTATTGGTGCCCTGGCCGAGTGGCTGGACTGGAGTCAGTTCCGCAACAACTTCCGCAGGTACCGTGGGTACATGCAGAGCAAGCCAGAAATGGAGAAGAATATTCTCAGACTTCTGGGCAGAATGTCCGATGCTCTGTCTAGCGCAATGGACCAGAAGAAGGAGACTAGCCAAGAGTCCAGTGCCAATGCCGATGCCATGGATACTGTTGAAGTCAAGTGCACACTCGCGAAAACTGTTCCTGATCTGACAAAGGTCTCAACCGAGCTAACCACCAACTTCATTCCTTTCCTGACTCACTTCATTCACCACAAGAATGAGGCAGAAATGAGTCTCCGTCTTCCTGCCGCTGTCACCACGATCAAGCTTCTTAAGATTCTCACTGAACAGGAGATGGCCATTCGCTTGTCGCCGGTTCTTCTCGATGTTTGTAGTATCTTGAAGAGTAAATCGCAAGATGCCAGAGACACAGCCCGAAAAACGCTCAGTGACATTTCCCTTCTTCTTGGTCCGCCCTACTTCGGCTACATCCTGAAGGAGCTGCGTCATACTCTTCTGCGTGGATACCAGTTGCACGTTCTCTCATTTACTGTTCACTCCTTACTGGTTGTTTCCACCGATCACTTCAGCCAGGGGGACTTGGACTACTGCCTACCGGAACTGGTTTCGGTCGTCATGGACGACACTTTCGGTACAGTTGGACAAGAAAAGGAAGCCGAAGACTACGTAAGCAAGATGAAGGAAGTCAAGAGCAGCAAGAGCTACGATTCAATGGAGCTCCTCGCCAAGAACGCCACAGTCGTCGACCTTTCCAAACTTGTTAGCCCTCTCCAGGCTCTTTTGCGCGAGAAGCTTAATTCCAACATGGTCAGGAAGCTTGACGAGCTCATGAGGAGAATTGGAATTGGACTTTTGCGAAACCCCGGTGCCGAAAGCCGAGACTTGTTGATGTTCTGTTACGAAATCATCAAGGAGTCCTACAAGGACAACACAGAGGGACGGGAAAAGCGCCCAGAAACCGCAATCGAGAGGCGCTTCCTGGTCAGGCTCCAGGGTGCCAAGCGTGGTGAGAAGCGTGGCATCACGTCCTCCCATACCTACAAAATGACCAGGTTCTCACTTGACATCCTCCGTGCCATTCTCAACAAATTCGGCTCGCTCATGACCCCGGCCAATCTTTCTGGCTTCCTGCCCATCATTGGCGATGCTCTTGTACAGTCTCATGAAGAAGTCAAGATCTCTGCTCTCCGTTTGCTATCTACAATCATTAAGCTTCCAATGCCCGAGCTTGATGAAAACTCCCATGTCTACCTCACGGAGGCTGTCAAGATGCTCAAGGAGTCCCCAACCACGAACTCAGAGGCATCCCAGGCGTCTCTCAAGCTAATCTCTGCTATGATCCGCGAACGAAAGAGCACCAAGCTTCGTGATGGACACCTCGCTTACTTGCTCCACCGCCTCAAGGCTGACATTGAAGAGCCCGATCGCCAAGGCATCACGTTCAACTTCATTCGCGCTGTCATGTCGCGCAAGTTCGTTGTGACGGAAATGTATGAATTGATGGATTCTATTGCAACCATGATGGTCACAAACCAAACCCGCTCTGCTCGTGATCTTGCTCGCGGCACGTACATCCACTTCTTGACTGAGTATCCACAGGCCAAGAACCGCTGGACCAAGCAACTTGGCTTCCTCGCGAAGAACTTGGATTACAAGCACCAAGAAGGACGGCAGTCGGTTTTGGAGGCAGTCCACCTGCTCCTTTCCAAGACAGGGCAGGAGCTGGCGCAAGATATTGTCAGCACCTTCTTCCTGCCCGTGGTGCTTGCCATGGCAAATGATGATTCGCCCGAATGCCGTGAGATGGCTGGTGCTCTACTGAGCCAATTCTACAACCGAGCAGACCAGGAGCAGATGAAGACCATGTTGACTCCCCTCCGCTCGTGGCTGGAGCAGACTGATAACATGGCTCTGAGCAGTGTCGGACTGCAGGCCATGCGGATCTACTTCGAAGCAGAGGAGACAGAGAAGGACAAGCAGGCTCGCTTTGTGGTTGGAATTCTGCCCGACCTGATCCGGCCGATCGCCGACGATCATGAGAACGGGAACTGGGAGACTCTCTACTTTGCCCTGCAGCTCTTCACGAAGCTTTGTAAGACAGTTCCATCTCTCGCCCTGAGCCAAGATTGCTCTGCTATCTGGACCGCTATTCGAGAATCGTTATTCTTCCCTCACACCTGGGTCAAGTCCTGTGCTGCCAACCTCGTGGGGACCTGGCTCTCCGATCTTGCTAAGACCCACGCTGCCGCTGGCTACAGTGCTCTTCCTTTGAATTGCACCACCGGTCTCATCCTTGACAAGGAGGCTATGCTGCAGCTCATCCGAGCCAGTCTCCGCTGCCTGCGCACACCGGGTCTCACTGATGACCTTGCTCTGCAAAATGTGCGCAACATTGTTTTCCTTGGCCGTTGCTGTGCCCAGAACGGTCTTGAGCTCCAGAAGACCGGAACGGAAGATGACGTCGAATCTGAGGAGGATGAGTCTGATGAGGACGAAGATGCTGACGAGGCTACCGACGAAGCCGTCACAAACGGCGCCGCTCCGGCCAAGACCGCCCTCCACTACATCTTCGGGCAAATCGCATACCTTCTCCGTCGGGAAGTCCTTGGAGGTCGCCCCGCAGCATTGGTCCCCAAGACTGCATCGATCACCCTGCTCGCTGCATTGATCCGCCATCTCGAGGCCGAGCAAATCAAACCCTCGCTTCCGGTCATCCTCCTTCCCCTCCAGCACTTGACCGACACGACTATCCCAGGCCCGCGCTCAGCCGATCCCGCATTCCAGGATATCTACAAGGGACTTGTTTCCAACTGCCACGAGGTCCTTGATTTGCTGCAAAAGAAGCTTGGAAGCTCCGAATACATTGCCCAAATGACCAAGGTGCAAGATACTGTCAAGGAGCGTCGTGAAGGTAGACGTACCAAGCGTCGCATCGAGGCTGTTGCCGATCCCGAGCGCCACGAGCGTGACAAGAAGAGGAGAAACGATCGCAAGAGAGAGAAGAGAAAGGAGAAGGGACTGGAGCATCGTGGAAAGAGGCGGGGGTGGTAAACAGGTGACAGATGATGTGTTGATTGTGGATGGTGATTTTGTTTTTCATGTTGCATATTTTATGATGGCATACTAAAAAGCTGGCGTTTGGGGGTGGTATTTAGGTCATTTTCAGTATATACCTATTAGTATCCATGTCGAATAGATTTCAATTTCAAGTCAATTCTTATGTGTGTTCTCCTTTTGGCCTGCTTGAGGATACTAATTCTTTCCAATTTGATCACAAATGAACTGAGAACCAGACACAATACCTAGGTATGCTTCGCTGCATCGAATGTCTGTTCTCAGCTGTTCACATGGAGAGGGGTACGTAAAAGATACGCCTGTTCCAACCTTCAAGTTGGAATATGATGCAGAACTGTGCCCAGCCCCCACCCCACCAGCCCAACCCCACATAAGACGGTGATCCGGCTGAACATCGATGGAGATCCGGTAGCCCAGGCCACACTCTAAGGGACGATGTAACAGTGAATCACCTGACTCGACGGTAAGACATTTATTAGCTGGCATGGTTCGATTTTCCTTGATATTTTCTTTCACATTTTACGCATGCCAAGGGTGATGAGACACAGCAGCTGTACACTGTCTCGATAAATATTACCACCTAAGCAATAACGTGAAAAAGTAAGTGCTCAATCGTAAAGTGAAATTATTTTTCAGTTACTCCCAAGGTTGGCAATCTTATTCCTTCTATGGAATGGTGCTAATAAGTAGACGGACCCTGAGAGTAAGGCTGACATGATCGTTGAAGTTATTGAGAGCTACTCTCGACCGCTTCGGTAGAGGTGAATGTGCACCAACTAGTATGGAGTCAAAGGAGTTAAAATTTGTTCACTTCAATGATGTAGTAAGTGAGAGTTTGGAACTAGCAATTTTCATGGAATTAATGCTCCCATTTCATAGTATCATGTGCCATCTGCAGAGAAACTTTCACGCTTCATGCAACTGAAATCCTCATTTATGACCGACGGAGCTTTGACTGTTTTCAGCGGAGATGCCTTTTCACCGTCCCTTGAGGCGAGTATCCTAAAAGGCGAGCATATGGGACCTCTTCTCGACTTTGTTGGTGTCGATATCGCCTGTTACGGGAATCATGGTCTGAAGCCAACCCTATTGCCTTGAAGAAATATTAATACCTAATGAGGAGATAGATTTTGACTTTGGCGACCAGCGGCTCATCGAGCTGTCTAATAAAGTTTGCTTTCCTTGGGTGCTTTCCAATGCTTGGCATTTACCTTTGAAAGAGAATGAGCATCCCGATACGCGTCTACTCGGTTGTGCCAAATCCTACGTAACTAAGAATGTCAATGGATGTCGGGTTGGATTCTTTGGACTAGCTGGCACGTATGTTCAAAATTTGAATATTATTCAGTACTGTAGTCCATAAGCTGACAAAAAAACAGGGATTGGCCGTCCAATTGCGAAAAGCTGCCCCACTCACATATCGAATGCCCTGTTAAAACTGCCCAGCGAATGGCATCCCACCTTCGTGTTCGAGAGAATTGCGACTTGGTTATCGCGTTGACCCATATGCGTCTTGCCGAAGACATGGAAGTTGCAGAAGCGACAAAAACGGGCAAAAGTAGAGTCGATTTACTTTTGGGTGGCCATGACCATGAAGTTGTTCGACGGTTCAATGGCGATACTGATACGGACCCAGCAAATGTTGAACAAGGTCACGATAACATAGATATTACAGTTGAAGGCTTGATACGCGATGCTCAGGGTGATATTCGGATTATCAAAAGCGGGACAGACTGGACAGGCTTGTCTTTGGTACGAATGATAATAGGAAAAGATGAGAAAGGAAGTACTAATATCTCCACGGTTGGTGAGTATATTATAATATAGGTCATCTGTTTGCTCCTCGTCTAATTTGCCTTACTCTATACAGTGAGCCAGTGGAGCAATATCGATACAGAAAATCCGCTCGTCTCTACTATTACGCCCGGAATTAACCAGTTACTGGATTCAATTCATAACCGTGTCGATGATCTTGTTCAGGAGCCTGTCTTGCACTCCTATACCTTGCTCGATGGCCGTGGCTCAGTCGTTCGCAGCCAAGAGACAAATCTAGGTAATATGTTAGCAACTGCAGTTCAGGCTTTCTATAATACAGATATAGCGCTTTTCAACAGTGGCTCTATTCGCTGCAACCAACTTCTTGGTCCATCCATACCGGGTGGCTCCCCATTGTTGATAAAAGATATTATTAGTACGTCATGCCTTTTTTGAAAGCCTACTTCAGCTAACGATCTAGACATCTGCCCTTTTGAAAACTCCCTTCTGGTAAAAAGAATCAAGGGTAGTGTTATAATACACTCTATGGAAAACTCAATTGGAGATATGCACATGGACGGACGTTTCCTTCAGGTAGCTGGTCTACGCATGGTAGCTACCTGGCAACGAAAACCGGAGCATCGCGTCTTGGAAATATTCCTTGATCGACCCGGTGCAGCGCCACAAAAACTAGATCCCTCTCGCGTATATACCGTTGCCTTGCCCAAGTTTATCGGGGATGGATTTGATGGATATACCTCATTTCCGGCAGAGGAGACAATCGTCGACGAAGAAACTGCTATAACTGATACCGGTCTCATGTTACAAATATTTGGACAAAAGGCCGAAGAGAGGTGTGATGATCACGAGCTGGGTATCCAGCGAGCGCAAGCTGTTACTATCGTTGGTACAGCCTCGGACGGCTTGCCTATTGTAAATCCTGTGGTTGACGGTAGAATTCGGTTTATCGAGTGCCCGGCGCTCTAATACTATCCATGCTAGATATTTATGGCTGCCTTTAGACATGTAACACCTAGGTATCTTGAACTGCACTGGCAGTGCTAGGTATAAGATGAAACAAATCTTGGAGGCTTGAAAGATCAATTAGACTCGACAGATAAATTGAAATATCATTCCAGGGGGATTTGAAAATTTCTCCCAGGAGCTAAGAGGATGGAAGTCCAATCAGCGTCGATTCAGCCGCGCTTCTATAGATATCTTACGAAACGGTTTGCAGAATTCTGACTCAACGAATGGGAATCCCAGGCATTTTAAAAATGGCAGAGCGCTAAGTATCATGTTGGAGGAATACCAAATAACTGGGTTTCTTCGACCAGCTAGCCACAACAGAAGAATGAAAAAAGGCTACAGATTGGCCTTTGAATATCCATAATGCCAGTTTTCTCCCGCTAAGTCCTTCCTAATCTGATAATTCTTCTCGGCAATTTCCACCAACTGCATATCGACATCTAAAGTACGCATTCCCTCTTCGCCGTCATTAAAACTTCCAGGCACAGTCCCCAGGATGGGTAACACGACTTGACTGCAGCCGAAGAACCCCTCTTGCGCGGGACCACCGGCATTACAGTAGATCACCGCAGCCGTGTTCTCAAAACGCACGAGTAACGAGGGTATTTTGGACAAACATTTTCTCGCATTCTTGGTTGTATGCAAGTCCTTCGCTGCACATATCTGACGATGTCCAGTATGAAGGGATGATGATGATTTTGGCGCCGGCTAAAACAAGCTGTCGGAATGCTTCTGGGAAAGCAAGATCCCAACATACCAAAATCCCAACAGGCCCGAGGGGGGTATCTATGACTTTGTGGGGGTTTGGAGTCGATTGCCCTTCCTTCGTTGCCCCGCGTGCATGTTCGATGAATGATGTCAAGGTCCGCCGCTCGGGGATCCACAGATTTGTTTTCGTGTACGATCCCAAAAAGCGACCATTGTGATCTATAAAGTCGGATGTATTGAGAAGCGTACGACCAGAATCTTTGACATGATGGTGGGATGGTGTTTCAATTGGTGCCTCAGAGACAACAGTGCCGGTGCAAATATTGATGTGAAGTTCCGCAGCCAAGTCTTGATACTTTTGACGAAACTCGAGAGCTTTCTCGGCGGTCAAGGCAAAAGATGGCTCTTCGGGTACCCATCCCGTCAAATGATACTCTGGTAAAACCGCTAGCGATGCGCCTTCGCTAGCAGCAGCGCGAATCTGCTCAGCAGCACGAGAAAAGTTGTAATCGGCATCTAAGGGCTTCCTGGAAGTGTTAGTATTCGAGATAGTCCGATAAAAAAAGCCACCAAATTACCTTTGCTCTGCTCTGGATTATGGAGACCTTGAAGGAAGGGTATGCTGTGTTCGCGGTCATGGTGAGTGACTTGAAACTTGAAAGTAAAGAAAAGTTACTATCGGAAAAGTTACTTGACAAGACTGGCCACCGAGGCTCCGGAGAACAAGATAAAAAATGCCCACAACCTTTTTTTATCTTGTTGTAGTTTTTACGTTTCGTTTGTCGCGTGGTAAAGACTAAACAGATTCCATTTGGAGTTTTAATATGCTTAGCTTTCCATAACCCGATTGGGAAGGCTTGGTGGATCCGATTTGCGATTGGTTGGCACCGACGCTGCGCTGTGGGCACGCGTGGCAAGTTGTCCGATGCTTCGCGTCAGATCTTGATAGCTAAATGCTAATCAACAACCATCATCATTATTGGAATTCCATTTGGGGTCTCATAAATTGAAAGGGGTGATAGTGACAAAGTTTCAACGAATCCAGTAGTGCCATTTTGAAGCACCGAAACAACTAGTACATCCATCTCAAAAGATCGAGGTCAGATTCAACATGGACGCCAAGTTGAATTCAAATTATTATTTGTCAAGGTCTGTTGCATGTGACTACCTATAAATTTGAAAGTCTCGAGATTTATAAGGAGAATCTGGCACAGGTATAACTCGGAATAAGAGAAAAAGCAAGTCACGGGGCTCAAATTTACCCCATAAGAGTTGTGTATCCCTTTTCAATCATGACATCCATCCAGTAGACATCCGATTGATCCGTTTCCATACAAGCCCACGTATCTTTGACAAGGAGCAGCATTTGGCGTATAGGCTTCGCCGCTAGCATATTTTCAAAACACGAAAGACGAGAAATTATAGACTTCCTTGCTTGCAAAATCTCGATCTCGGTCACTGGAGCCCTCAGCCTTGGGCTAGAGGCGAGACTTGCTAGAGGAAGCTGCTGTGCACTGACAGTTGAGCAGCCCGCAAAATCCAGAGCCAACTCACTGCAAATGCTCACAAGAAGAAATGGCTGGATGGATCGACTAGTCGATGACACAGGGATACCATTTACCAAGTCGAGAATATGCAAGGCCAAGTAAACCAGCCATGCATTTTCTGGATTCTTATTATCTAGACTAGAGGATGCTTCAGTACCTGGACTGAAAGTGATGAATTCGTGCGTTGGATCATGGAGTGATGCGTATGGCAATAGAAGATCTGGGAAATTTCGGTAAAGCTGTAGTAAGCCCGTGCACCTATATGCCTCGGCGATTTGGAGTAGGTGATCTGGCGGTGTCATTTCATCACCAGAGTCAGCGATCGTATCTTTATGCGGGAGCTGAATTGCACAGAGTAGAGATTGTAATTGTTCTGCCTCGAGAATGGCCTTGTGGGCTTGGTCAATATCGTCTCTGGAGGCGAATCGGCGAGAGCGAATGCGCTTTCGTTCTTTTCTGACAAGATATCCAACTTTTGCGACGAGTACCTGAATCTCAATTCCAACGCCAGTTTGGGGATGGGGCATAAGTGGTTCATCCAACCCGCACGCGTCTTGTTGGGTTGGTTGTGCCCGCTTTTGCCTCATTCCCTGGATATTCGGCTCCCTGTCAGAAACGAATGCAAGCAATAACTGCCAGTAGACAAGAGAGTTTCGAAAAAATGACATCTTTTGTTCATCAGATTGACTGGTATTGCCTGGACAGGCCTTGGAAGAAAGAAGTGTCGTGGCAAGTATCTCGAACTCTGATTGACCCACTTCACCAGGCTTGTGCCAGGAGCGACTCATCCCGAGCATAACCAGAGCTAAAAGAGACGAAGTTCGGATCTCATTTTCTTGAATCTCCTCCGACAAGCATATAGATGCTTGTTTTTGAAGCTGTAGCCCGACAAAAGAGAATTTTGGCGAAATTTCGGATAAGCAGGCAGCTGCCATGCTCTGAGTGATATAGTATAAAGATGAGGAACCAGACCAAGCATCAGAGATTGTCGTTCTATATGGGTTCAATTGACCATCGTAACAGGACATCATCCCACAGACTTCCTTGAAATAGTACTCCACTAGTATAGAAGAATGATCTTGGAGGGATTGTGAAAGTGGCGTTTGGCAACGAGACTGCGATATTTGATTTGGGGATCCCAAGCTCGACGAGCCATCGAGATGCAAGTCCGGGACGGTGGTAAATGATAATGGCCATATGGGACCGTGTTTAGGTGTTGGGCTCTTGGAAGGAGTCGCTTTCCAAGGAGTTTGTTGGGGCTGAAGATTCATCTCCCGAGAAAAGTCAGCAAATGAGAGTGTCGATGTAAGACTGTCATCATCTGCCGTGCCAGTATGACTAGCTTCATAGGAGTTTGAAGCCTCCCCAAATATTTCGGAGCAGAACAAATCCACTACCGACTGATGAGGCGCAGAAGGCCCTTCCTGATCGAATGTGTAGCTGCTCCAATCGGAAGAGGACTCTGGTTCAGCGCCCCTAAAAGCCTTTGATTTATTTTTCGAAGTCGTCTGACGAGTGGGCCATTTTAAGTGCTTTTGATAGCCTGGACAGGGGATACCAAGTCTCGTGCAGCGCGAGCAACTGGGCCTGGTTTCGTCGCATTTCAACTAAAATATGGACTGGTTGGCGATTGGAAAGCTGGTCGTGACTGTGAGATGTGCTTACCCTCTTTGATTTGCAAGTTGCACACCCATTGCGCGACCGAGTGATCGTTTTTCGTGTCTTGATATCCATCTGGTATGTGCCCAGGTGTTTGAGGTTGTCGCATCGCTCGGGTGCGATTGTGGAGTATAACGACGGCCTCGGGGATAATCCGTGAAAGGACCGCGCGGGGAAAAGAAGATTTAGTGGAGCCCTTATCGCGTCCTACTATTTTCTCACTCGATAAGAGAGACCCACACCGCGGTCCAAGATTGTCGTTTTCCTTTGCTAATAATTGCCTGTTTCGAAGGATCCGCGAAGGAATGGACTCCCCAAGACTAGCGTGTCGCCGCTTGACCCGCCTTTAAGAAAGACATACTCTGGTGGTCGCATGTTATTGTGAGAACTGAAAGGCTATTTGTATCCTGACTTCTCTTCTCATCACCCCCTTTCTTGCTACAATCGTTGTCTACAGCCTTTTTTCAATCATTCGCCTCCAATATGGAAGAAGGTGGCACCGCCCGAAAGCGCCATACCAATGCCACCGCAGAGGCTGATGCCTCCCTTGAGCGGATGGGCATAAAATCCGATTTAGAACGAAATTCGTTCTCTAGCATGTCGATGCTTGGAATGGCCTTTGCTATCGTCAACTCGTGGTGTGCGATCGGAACCACCGTCAACGCTTCCCTGCCATCTGGCGGACCCAGCAGCGCCGTTTGGGGTATTTTGATCGCAGGAATCTTCAACTTATGCTGTGGCGTGTCGCTTGCCGAGTTTCTGTCTGCCTACCCGACTGCAGGTGGCCAGTATCATTGGGCAGCTGTTGCCAGCTGGAAATCGACAAGACGCGCAGTTAGCTACATCACCGGTTGGATCAATCTTGCTGCGTGGGTATGCCTAGCAGGAGCCAACTGCTTGCTTGTGAGCGGAATCATTATGAGTTATGCGGAATTGATGAACCCTGCTTTTGAGCCGAAGCCGTGGCAACGATTTCTTTTGTATATCGCCATCGGTGCCATGGCGTTCAGTTACAACTTATTCGCCAATCGCTTCCTCTCTCATCTGAACAAGTACAACATGTTCTTCACGCTGGCGGGTTTCATTATCAGCCTGATCGTTATCCTCGCGTGTGCAGCTCCGGATTTCCAAAGCGCGAAATTTGTGTTTGGGGGTTTCATTAATGAATCAGGCTGGCCAGATGGCTGGGCCTGGCAATTGGGTCTATTGCAGGGGTATGTCTCAAATATCCTTCGCTTGTAAATTCAAAGCTAACGATCTGCTCAAGTGCCTTCTCCGTGACTGCCTACGACTCGACCATCCATATGATTGAAGAGATGCCGAATCCCACAACCCAAGGCCCCAAGCTGATGATATCCGCCATTGTAATGGCCGTCATCACTGGATTTGGGTATATCGCTGCTGTGCTCGCCGTCATGACTGATATTCCATCGGCAATTTCGGCCTCGGAACCTTTGCTGGAAATTTACTACCAGGCTACATCGAGCAAGGCCGGTAGTATATGCTTGATGATGTTCCCCCTGCTATCCTTTGTCCTATGTGCCATCGACGACATGGCCACTGCCGCCCGCATGGCATACGCTTTGGCACGGGATGGCGGAATGCCATTCAATCGCCATTTTGAACGTGTGAGCCCAAGGTTCGGCCTCCCTGTGGCCGGATTGATATGGTGCTTCGGCTGGGTTATTGTCCTTGGCCTTATCTTCCTCGGCTCTGACAACGCTTTCAACGCTATAATTTCCGCCGCTGTGGTTTCTTTCACCATTACCTACGCCATACCGCCAGGAATCAACATGCTGCGTGGCCGTCGCATGCTTCCTGAAAATCGCAGTTTCAAGTTGCCCAACACTGTTGGGTATATCTGCAATGCGGCAGATGTTGCTTGGGCTTTGCTCACGACTGTTCTCTTCGTTTGGCCAACATCGAATCCAACTACCCCAAGCAACATGAACTACTGCATTGCCGCATTTGGAGTGATTCTCGTGATTGCTGGGTCAAACTGGGTCTTCAGTGCTCGAAAGACCTATAGGCCCCCCTAAGCTGGAGCTTGTTCACGGCCACAATATAGATGGTGTAGTAGCCGATGAGATCGTCCATGAAATCGGAGTTGATCAAAAAGGGGAATATATTCCAGAGAAGACGGAATAGGGATACTAGTAATTTGACTCCGAAATTTCTATATTTGATACATCCAAAGCCCTTTAATTTTTCAACCATCAATGATTAAGTTTCTGATCAGAGGAGAGAGGGAGTCGTCGACTTCCCCTAAGTATATCCTGTTTTATATCAGAATTCACTTCTTCGGCCAGTCACGTTTAAGTCTACGGCTTACGAAAACCATTGACTGCCAGTATGTAGGTATTATTTTGACATTTGATGCTCCGCAGGATACCCCAGCATGAGGACCCGCGGATATGCAGATCTATTATACAATGGGTTGTTGTTACATGACCATAGGTCCGACAGCTAGACACCCTCCTCTTTACCCCCAAACCGCCTCCTCTCCTCGTCGATGCCTGGAACCCGCCATGCAGAGAGTGGAGAGTCTGAAATAATATACAATTTTGCGAAGAGGAATCGCTCCTTGGCCCAAGTAAGCCAACGAGGCCCTTATATACCGGAAGGTGAATACGTGCAAGATCCGTCCCGCCTCGACTTTAAGATGACGACTCCGGCTTGGCGGGTTCCATGGTCTGATCGCCTTCCAAGTTGGAGCTCTTCACTGTGCCATCGTCCCAGAATTCAAAGTTGCCATCGGTACGACCATGTTGCAATGTCTGACCCTTTTCACTGAGCAGATCTTCTAGTGTGGTTCCCTTGTCGAAGAAGATGCCGAGGTGATCGCTCATGACGTGACGGTTCTGGCAGGAAGGGCATTGGATGAGGACAGTGCCGCGGTGGTAGCCTTGCTTAGACATGCGGTGCGAAGAGCGCTCACCACATGGCTTGCAGGTGAAAGTAATGCGATAGGCTTCCTCTGATTTGCGACGCTCCTCGTTTGTTTGCTCGCGCTCGGCGTCGGTCTCGGTTTGAGCCGGGTATTCGGTGAGAGGTCGGGGCGCGGTGGAGTTATATCGGTATAATGATGGAATGGCGCCTCGCTGCAGTCGAAGAACGACGGGTGATCGTAGATTTTGCTTTGATTGGAGCAGTTGTGAAGAGTAGAATCGGGAGACAGGTATGCGACTCGACGCAAGAGCCGAGGTTGGGGCTGAGGAGACGAGAGAACGCAGAGGGCGGAGGCCCTGTGATGAGAAGGGGCGCATGTTGTAGTAATGGATTTCTTCCCTGAATTCGAATGTAATTAAGATGGGGAGTGAAGGAGTGGTGAAGATGGACGATAAGAGAAAAAAAGAGATTGACCTTCCGCAACAACGTCAACGCCAAAGCGGTGGCGGGCCAACAATCTTCCGGCGGCTCCTCCGCGGAGAGCAAAGCAGCTCTTCTTTCTTTGACTTCTACTGACTACCTTTGATCTCGACTGCTTTCTTTTGGATTTTATTTCCCTCACAGCTTCTTCTCGATCACCCCATCTCCAAGATGGCCGCCATGAGGGCTCGCAATAAAATTCGAGCTCCTCGTCGGGTATGCCTTACTATTCTGCCCTCCCCTCTCCCCCTCCCCTCTTGTATTGGAACCCGGTACTGATAGCTACCAAACAGGGCTTCCCCTCTGCCAAAACAGACGATTTTGAATCCAGCTGGAAGGTCCTCTCAGCCTCTCTCACCGAAATCAATACCAAAAATGCCTCCGCCCTGTCCTTTGAGGAGATCTATCGCAGCGCCTACAGAATTGTATTGATGATGCGGGGGGACGATCTTTACGAAAATGTGAAGAGCCTTGAGGAGGATTGGCTTCGCAACAATATTCAACAGCAGGTTACCGAGTCGATCTCAACAAGCCTGATACGTCCCCAAGGCGTGGTGGAAATGCAAGACCAGTCGAACGAGCGTCGAGCTGCGGGGGAGAAGTTCTTGAGCGTGCTCAAGGAGAGGTGGGAAGACCATCAGCTCTGCATGGGCATGATTACCGACGTCTTGATGTATATGGTTAGTGGGTCCATCGCCACACGCGCAGGGCGCAGATCTAATAGCCCCTCCCAGGATCGAATTATTTCCGCAGACCGAACGAAGCCCTCTATCTATGTTGTCGCCATGGCCCTCTTCCGAGATCACGTCCTCCGTGCCGCCGTCCGTGCCGAGTCAGAAACCACCGTATACGATATCCTTGAGTCGACAATACTCTTCATGGTCCAGTTGGAGCGGAACGGTCATATCATTGAACGGCCTCTGATTCGACATTGCATCCAGATGCTCGAAGGACTATATGAGAACATGGACGAGGAGGAGGGTGCCAAGCTTTATCACTCGATGTTTGAGCCTGCATTTCTGCGTACAAGTACGAAATTTTACCAAGGCGAGGGAAAGCGTCTCCTTGAGATCGGAGATGCAAGCACCTTCTGCCGCATTACCTCTCAGCGAATTGCGGAAGAACAAGAAAGATGCCGCTACGTCTTGGCATCGGCAACCGAAACCAAAATTCTCCATATTTTGGACGACGAGTTGATCCGAAAGAACATTGAGGAGGTTGTGAAGCTAGAGGGGACTGGGGTTCGCCATATGTTGGACCACAACCAGCTGGATGGTCTGCGAAATGTGTATCAGCTCAATGCCCGAGTGGACCCGAAGAAGGATGCTCTCGTTAGGGCAATCAACAAGCGGATTGTTGAGCTTGGCAAAGAGATCAATGCTTCGGCTCTTACATCTTCGCAAGGCCAGGCCTTATCTGGCAAAAGCGCGGAGGAGCCGAAGAAGACAGAGAAATCGAAAGAAAAGCCGGTCAACCAACAAACAGTATCTGCGATTCAATGGGTGGATGATATCTTGGCCCTGAAGCGACAGTTTGATACCATCTGGGAGAACGCTTTCTCGTCTGACCAGGGTCTAGAAAGCTCGATTATGGGCAGCTTCTCTGACTTTATCAACATCAACCCACGCAGCTCGGAGTATCTGTCGCTCTTTTTCGACGAGAACTTGAAGAAGGGTATCAAGGGCAAGACCGAGAATGAAGTGGACGCTTTGCTTGACAACGGCATTACCTTGCTCCGATATATCAAGGATAAAGATCTCTTCGAGACATACTATAAAAAGCATCTGTCCCGTCGATTGTTGATGAAGCGCGCATCCAGCATGGATGCTGAGCGGCAAATGATTTCCAAGATGAAATTGGAGGTTGGAAACCAGTTCACCCAGCGCATTGAACACATGTTCAAGGATATGACTGTCTCCGAGGACCTATCAGCCAGCTACAAGGCGCATATTGCCCAGAATGCTGACCCCGATCAAAAGCGCATCGACCTAGAGATCAATGTTCTTACAAGCACGATGTGGCCCATGGAGATGATGGCCAGCAAAGAAGGCCAAGTCCAATTGCCATGCACTTTCCCCAAGGAAATCGAGAGCTTGAAACAGAGCTTCGAGAAATTCTATCTTGGCAAGCACAGCGGACGAAAACTGTCGTGGCAGGCTGGGATGGGTACTGCTGACATCCGTGCTACGTTCCGACGGGCAAGTGGCAAGACCCAGCGGTACGAGCTGAACGTATCAACATATGCCCTCGTCATCCTCTCCCTTTTCAATGACCTACCAGACAGCGAATCTTACACCTACGAAGAAATTCAGGGTCGCACAAGCATTCCCGAACATGACCTCATTCGAAATCTTCAGTCACTGGCTGTGGCTCCGAAGACAAGAGTTCTTAAGAAAGAGCCGATGAGCAAAGATGTCAAGCCTACAGATCGGTTCTTCTTCAACAACGAGTTCCAGAGCCAGTTCGTCAAAGTTCGGATCGGCGTCGTGAGTGGCGGTTCCAATAAAGCAGAGAACCAGGATCAGCGCAAGGATACCGAAAAGAAGCTTGCCGAGGAGCGTGGCAGTACAATTGAGGCGGCCCTCGTTCGGATCATGAAGTTCGTTGACCCTATCCCATCTGTAATTGATCGTTTGCTAACCTTTCCCAGACAACGCAAGAAGTTGATTCATTCTCAACTCATGACCGAGGTTCTCGCACAATTATCTGCTCGCTTTGTACCAGATGTTAACATGGTTAAGCGTCGAATTGAGAGCTTGATTGATCGCGAGTATCTGGAACGAGTTGGCGAAGAACCTCCTACTTACGGCTACGTTGCCTAAAGAATCTCACGGATTTCGATGATGACGATAATGATATCTTGGTATTTATGTTTCCTTTTCCTCGCCGATTTTCGCTATTTGCCGTGGCATTCATTTAGTTCGGTTTTTTTTTTCTTCCTCCACGTCGCATTACAGGTGTTCTGATATTAGCGGGAGGCGTTACCACTGCGGACGGCGACGATTAAATGTTCATAGATGACGACCAAGGGTCTTAGCCGGGGATGTCCTGATATCCCCAGCCATAATTCAAATGAAGTAAATGGCAAGCTATGATGATCCAAAACAATGCAGTACATGACCCAAACCCCCCCAACAACGCCATAAATGCAACCTGGCCAGCGACTCTGCTTTCCAAGGTTCAGGTCCTTGAAGCAGGTCCAGCCAAGCAGTAAACATAACCCATGAACAAAGATGTAAGCGCAGTAACTGCTGTCGTTTCACAATAACTCAACCTCCCCCTTCAACCAAGCAGCCCTAACCCCTTCCCACCTCACAACCCAAACATCACCCATCCGCATTGTAACCCCAACATCCTCCTCCATCTCCCCCTCACCCACAACTAGAACAGGCACCTCCGCACCAAGACACCTCACAAAAACAACCTCCCGCGTCTCAGGCCCCTGAATCATACTAGTCCCACCGGCATTATCATCTAACCTCCTCAATTGCCGCGGAAAAGCCCCCATAAACGACCCACTATAGTGGCTGGCGAGTAATTTCTGATGCGCATGCACAAAACTCGCCTCGCTCTCGGAGAGCGGGTCGAAGGACGCTATGGCCGAGATATCAGGCACCGAGTCTTCGGGTGTCGGCTGTGATTGCGATTGCGACTGCGACTGCGATTGCGAGAGATTCTGGTTTGTGGAGGAGAGTTTGACAAGGTAGTGCATGCTGTATTTTGTGAGTTTTGCTAGGCGGGTACGGAGCAGGCTGCGGATTATATATTGGGTTCGGGCGAGGTCTGTTTGTAGGATTGAGAGGCGGAGGTTTAGGTTTGGATTGTGGTTTGCGTTTTGGGCGTTGGTTGTTGGTGGGGGGACGTCTGCTGATGAGGCGGCGATGTCTTCGATTGTTTCAATCTGGGTTGGTTGATTAGTGACAACTTCTTTTTTCACAGCCACTGCTGCTGCTTTCGCTGCTGTGGGAACGTACCTGCATTCGGACACGATCCATCATTCGGTCCATTAGGGCTGTTGGCCAGGGGAGGACTTCTGAGACGGCGCGTTCGGAGACCCAGAAGCGTGTGAGGGATTGGTGGTCGAGGGCTGTGGACTCGAGGCTTGCGCCTGGTCCGCGATCGACGGAGGCGAGAATGTCGTCGATGTCCATGGTGGGATTGGGCTGGATTGGAGGAGATTGAAGGTGCCAGGGTGATGGTGGAGGGGAATCGCGTCGCGAAAATTGCGGAGGGCGGAGATGGCGGTGGGTCCCGTGCATACCTTAATTCCTCATAGTACCTACATTGACACATTTATGATATTATACCAGTAGGTTAGGTATTCTTCCATAGGGTTATGTCTTTCTTTTTGGACACATCTTGTTTAATTGCCCTTTTGATTGCCCAAGTCGAAGATGAGGCGGCTACTAGTAGGATCAGCTGGCTATTAGTTCTACTATGACATTAACTTGAGGATTATGTACTTATTGCTAAAATTGGAAAACAACTCAAACTTACTAAAAAGTATCATGACATGCTACATCTAGCTGGTAGTATGTAGCTCCCTGGTACTTATGTGTGTCCTTAGTGTTTTTAAAGAGTCCTTTCTCACAAATAGCTACTAGTACTAGTGTGATGGTAATGTATCCCAAGGTTTGCTTGCTCAGATTCTAAAGTAATGAGCGATTAGTACTAGTTTTACTTCGCGGCCCTCCAAATTGAAAATTCGAAGCCGATTTCAACTTCAACTGAGCTTATACTAGTAGTGTGCCAGTGGCCAAGCGGTACCAAGATGCCTCCGCATGTTCCCGCAACGATATTGGGTGAGTATACCCACCCCATACTCAGAACACAGTGAGGATTCTCTTCTCAGTATAAATCATCCTTGAAAACAGGATAATCGCTGACCCCGCTAGGGACATAACACCGCCAAAGATCTTCACATCCAACCAACCACCGACCGCATTTTGCAAGATAGCTCCACCGACGGGTGCCATGGTGAGAGCAGGAATCGAGATGGCGAGGAACATGATGCCTATCCGGTAGCCGATCTCGGGCAGCGGTGACACAGAGGCTGGGAGGGCGCCAGAAAGACCTATAAAGGCCCCCGAAAAGAACCCGAACATGATGGCGAAGCCGATTGCGATAGAAGAGTGCGTGGCCGGGATCCAAAGTGCTAGCTCGGCGATTCCGGAAATACTGCAGGCCAGGATGAAAATGTTCCATCTTCCGATTATATCGGCGCCGTATCCGGATGCCAGGCGGCCAAAGAGACTTGAACGTATCTGTTAGTGTTCTGAAGTACCTAGGTACTAGGGAAGGGCTACATCGGAATTTACCTTGCCGCGTTGAAGATAGACACCAAGTATTGAGACATCTGCTCAGACATATGCGCCTCTTGGGAAGCCTGTACGGCCATATAGTCGATTGGAATAAGGATACCATAGGTCAAGATGAAAGCGCCCAACAGCAACATGACGAATGGGAGCTCCTTGAAAGGAGCAGTGAAACGTCCCACAGGCAATTTTTTAGGGACAGGTTTCGTTCTGGGTCGGATTGTGAGAATAGCGATGAGCTGCAGGCCGAGGATGAGAAAAGCTGCAGCTCTCATTGCCCAGGGGTATCCGGTGCTTTGAATCATGCGGCTGATCATAATTGGGAATATGACGCCGCCGAGTGATCCGCCTGTAGCCATGATACCCATAGCCACCCCGCGCCTTTTAGAGAACCATGTTGCAACGCAGGCAAGTGCTTCATATCAAAGAAACAGAAAAGTCAGCATGAATCTCCAGGGGAGCAACCTTGGAAGGTGGTTCCGACTTACCCGGTGAATATAGACAGGCAACGCCAACGGCACTGCAAACACCCTGAGACAAGATGAATTGATAGTACGTCTTCGCCAACGATGCCATCATCAAACCAAAAACGTGAAAAGCAGTTCCAACAATTATGAGGGGTCTTGGACCATAGTTATCGAATAATATGCCAAGTACTGGACCTAGGGCAAAAACGAAGAAGATTTGGAGGGACGGAATCCATGCAATGGTACTGCTTGAATAGTCTTGCAGAGGCCCAGCCTCATAATATGCCTGAAAACTTCCCACGCCTATTGAAAGAGAGCTAAGGTTAATCAATCGTATCGAGGCAGGCGTGTGAATGTCATAGTACGCACTGTTGATCCAGCCCGGGCTACTGAAAGAGCAGCACCATGCTCCCAGGACAACTAACCATGCAACGGTACCACCGTCGGGTGGTCCAGCATCTTCCACTTTGGCAGCGTCATTGAATGTTTCTCCTTCGCCTTTTTGCACTCCAACCGACTCTTCTGAATTGTATTCTTGTCGTACACTATTTTCGGGATCGACCTTGAGACTCATGGTTGAAACAGAAGAGGGGGAGGTAACCATGTCCACAATATACCAAGGTCAATAAAACTAGTCTGGCTGATGAAATCGAGAAGCTCAGTTCTTAATGATATTTTTTTCAGATTAACTTATCTAGGAGTCGATTTCTTATACGGATACTCGTTGTATACAGGCGGAGGATGGGTGGGGCTTTGCGGAGGGTGATATGAGCTGTGATTGGTGAATTGAGGCGGAGGCGGAGATAACAACAAACGCGGACATAAGAGAGTACACTATAGCGATCCTAGGATGAGTCCAACTTTCCCTCTCGCCATCTCTCTTACATCTACCGCCCCCACGCACAATCATAATGAGTCTTCCTGGCGGATCTCGAGTCCATCTCCGCCCGCGCTCAAGTTATCAGCGTGATAAGCCGCAGCTTTCTTGCAATCATTGTCGGCAGCGGAAGTATACTTCATCCGCTCTGCTATCGAAAGAACGGAGAAAGAGCTAACACAGTGGATAGACGGAAGTGTGACCGCGGAAAACCATGTTCTTTTTGCACTGTGAGATCCTTAACTTCGAATCCCAGGGAAGCGATAATCCAAGGGTGGTGCAGCTGACAACGTCATTCAATGCCGATCAGAAACACAATCTCGCGTCGACGTGTACTTACGCCAACTCGTCAGTTCCGCATGCTTTGTCAAGAAACACTTCTAGAAAGAGCAAAACAAACCGCAGTAAGGTATGCGGGCTGGCGACGCCGAGTAGCTCAGCTTCCGTTCCTTCGCCAGGGACCACGGATTTGGAATTAACCAAGTCCGGGACTGGCTTTAAAGATTCTACTCATTGGACCTTCGTTTTGGAAGGTGCATTAGATATTAATGGCCATGATATTTCAACATATGCGATTCAATCGGAGGCTGCATTTGAGCGGGATTCGCCTGCTGCCATCCGAAATGTGCTTCTCTTTGAGGGATGTGATCATGCCACTGACCAAGAAATTCTCGATTCGATGCCTTCCAAGGTGGAATGCGACCGTTTAGTCGCACTCTACTTCCGAACTCAGGAATATAGATGTGAGTTCTATTGAGTTTAGGGGACAGGAAACTTTGATATCATCCTTGTTAATGCTACTTCTTTTCACAGCTGTGATACACCCGACTGAGTTTTTGAAAAGGGTATGTACTGGCACATAGCACTAGGACTGATAAGTAACAGCCTTGTTTTAGTATAATGCATTTTGGGAGAACCCTAGCGCTGCGACTGTCTCTTGGCTCGGCCTTTTGTACAGTATATTCTGCTTCTCTATTCATGATGGCGGCCCCTCAGCACTCCAGGATACCTCTTCATATGTTTCGTCGCCTGCAACCTCGAATAAGATTTTGAATTACCGAGAAAAGATTGTACAATGTCTGGTTCGAGGTCAGTTTGCTAAGGGGGGTCCCGACATCATGGAAACTTTGGTTCACTACTTGTTGATTGAGAGCCACGCGAACAAAGAGTCCAACATCGAGGTATGGCTCTTGATGGGTAACATTGTCCAAATAGGTATGTGTTTATGATTTTTCAAGTCAAAATTTCATCTACTAATTAGTGTGTGCAGCTATTAGAATGGGCTACCATCGAGACCCGGGCAACTTCAAGTCCCTATCCCCCTACGAAGGCGAGATGAGGCGCCGCATGTGGGCTATTATATACTCGCTTGACGTAGGATTCGCAATGCAGATGGGTCTTCCGAGCAGCATTAAGACCTCCATCAGTGACACACTACCGCCCCGGAACCTTCAGGATCGGGACTTTGATGCCAGGTCAATTGACCTTCCACCAGCAAGACCCATGGACGAGCTTACCTCAAGCACCGTGATTCTCTCGAAACTTCATGTGGCTACCAGCTTAGGCGTCATATCAGATATGATTTGTAGTCCGAATCCGCTATCACATGAGGACCTCAATGCGGCCAATTCGATGCTGGACTTGATGTATGCCACCATTCCCGAGCCTTGCAAGTTGCGACCCGTCTTTGAATCCCTGTTGGATCCTCCAAGTGTCGTGTTCCAGGTCAGTACTCTTTGCTCAGAAGGCCACATTAAAAAGTGGACGGTTTACTAACAACTTCATGATTATTATAGCGTATGAACGTTCATATGCATTATCAAAGATCCCGGATCTTGATTAATTGGAAATTCCTCAAAAGCTCGAGGGATACCACTCAGACCGAAAAATCCTGGAGTATCGTGATCGATGCATCCTCAGAGATCATGCGACTACAGCACCGCATGGCAGAAGAATCTCAAGTCTTGGACGCATTTTGCCCTCCTGGTATGGTTGACTCCTGCTTCATGAATAACGGGTACTTCTTAGCCGCAAGTATCATATGCTTTTTGGTTCGGCATCGCCAGAATATGCTCCCACAGGAGTATCTTTCCAAAGTGCGGACACTTCTTGAGAAGAGCTTGGCTATCTGGAGCCGCAAACTCGACTTGTCGGGAGAAGAAAAAAAGGTGGTCACGGCTCTGAGGCTTGTACTCAAAAGGGCCGAAGGGGCCGATGGCTACAATACAATAGAATTGATGGCGACGCCTCAAGCAGTCGGAGGTGAGAATCAATAACCCCCTGATTGAACTCAGATCTAACCAAGTTCGTGTGCGTTTGTTCACAGATCAGTTCGATAGCAACCGCATGACCATTCATAGTGATGCCTCTTTCTTAGATGATTTGCCTTCGATGATGATGGAGATTGAAAATATGGACTTCCTTTCATTCCCCTTGGTCTCAATGGTGGACGACTGGCCCCAGGTATTAGTGTGAGCGAATTTGAGAATTACTAGTAATAGTAGTCCATATTCGTGAAGTTCAAGTGACGATGGTTATTAAATAGTATTACCTAGGTGCAATAGTACCCCCTTCGGATAGATGGATCCGTGTTGGGAGTATCATGATGTTTACGGATTTCGATTCCGTAGTTGATTTTCAAATTTGAGAACTACTCGAAGAAATTCGTATCCCAATTGAGCCACAATTGACTTAGCAATCATATCTCTGAGTGTACTACTCTGCAAGGAGCGCTGCGCTTCATCTCCAAGACTGCAAGGTTTGTTTAAGTTATACTCCAGTGCGGGTCAAATTGGACGCAGATATAGTACCTAGTATTGAACACCACCACCATGCAACACTACGTGTAGGATACTGAACAGAACGCGAGAGTGAGAGTTGAACTTGCTGTTGCAAGTTTTCTTTTTCGCCAAAATCAAGGTTTTTACGCTAGCAATATCAATAGGACTACTAATAACCTGCTATTCTAAATTTACGACGTCCAGGGTACGGCTGAGCGGACGGGAAGCCCTGTTCTCCACTCCCGGTGGTCGTATCTACTACTATGGGCATATTACAAAATAGGCAAATATCATCGGAGAATTGAATTATTGACTTAATCATAGAGGAGACAAATTCTGAGTAAATCACATGACTCTGATGGTTGATGGTGGTGGGGGCCAAATGGAGGCGACGAGGCGACGCGGGGTCGAGACCTCACTTAGAATTGCTTCCCTACCACCCGTGAAAATGGATTCAGGTTCCTCGTATCGCTCTAGCACTGACTGTTTGGAACAAGGTGTATTCTCAGGTCTGAATTACGACGAGCCTAGCAATAAACAAGATGCCGACGTGATCCAAACACGCGAAAATAAGAACAATCAGCAATCTCAAAATGAGATAAACAGGAGCTCGTTGGATGATATTCTGCCCTACAGCCGTCTACCAGATGAAGATATTCCTCAGCGGATTCATCTTCCCAATTCCCCATCAGGATCTACGTCGAACCTCGAACATGCTACTAGTTCCGGTTCGCGGCATGTCGAACCTGAGAGCGACACGGCTGAAAATTCCAAATCATCACTGGAGGCGATTTCTCGCTACGACAATCCAATTTTCCCGTCGGCAGTTCCTCTTCCAGACTCCACAGCTTCATCTCATGATTCATACTCTGAAGTTCTCGCACATGCGAGCGAGGCTTTAGATCATATCAAAAATGGGAATATCCTCCAAGACTCTCGCCATGAACGGACATCAATTCTTTGCTATGACTATACAGCCAATATGCAACATATGCCAATTATCAGAAAGATTGACAATGCTAGCGAGATAGGCTCTCTTAGGAGTATCCCATCCCATGTCAAACAGCGTGTTATTCTTGTGGAGGATCTCTGCAAAAAAGCGATACATGGGCTAGGAGATACATTTAGCATAAATCCTGAGTTTTTCGAACAACATCTGCTTAACTCTGGGTATCATGTTGAGGATTCCGAACAGCCATCAGCGCAGACCTGGAAAACAGCAGCGTTCTCCAAGTCCTTTTTTACAGTGCGGTGGTTTCGCCATGTTTGGCGGCAACCAACTTACTTTTCGGAAATGAATGTCTCCGAGCTCTTAAAGGATAAGACAGAGCGTTGGTTCGGCCGAAATAGAGTGACCACTCGGGTTAGTACTAATATCTTCCGATCGGAATGGAATCTATGTACCGATCCCAAACAAACCGCCCTGGATGGAACATATTGCGGCTGGGAGGAAAAGGTATCAATTTGGACAAAAGTGCTCAAAAATGAGGACTGTCAAATAAGTCAGCTCTACCATATATGAGCCTGCAGAATTTTGCTAACTCATAATGCAGTGGTTGTTATTTTTGACCCATTGCCAAGAGTCACTGAGGGGTGGCGAGTATGGAAACTTGAAGGAGAAACCAATGAGGCGGAAGATGAAAAATATGATCCTCCGAGTCATGGGCGAGAAGATGAAAAGTTTCGAGGTGCCCACCAAACAGATGAGGAGGGTGGGACCTTTCGGACCTTTCAACCAACTCCAGCCGACTCCCCTTGGCGTGAAAATAACACGCGGCGTCTTCAGCTTGGCAATACCACCGCGCGGAAGGGGAGATATGTTGAAACGAAGCCACAAGAAAGAGTTTTTATTGAGCAGACTTCTCTCAGATACCAGGACGATACGGACTTAGATGAGGTGTTCAAAAACAGGAAATCAATGCTCGCTTTCAAAAGTCGACTCGGACAAACCAGACCCACGCGTGATGACCTACATGAATCTGCGCTAAAGCATTCTGCCGTTGTCAGCATAGCCCCTTTATTGTCGGAGATCTTTTTCCGGGACACATCGGCGCTTCTCAAACACCTTAATCAGATTGCCGATGAGATCGACATTCAAATTTTAGATGATACAAAGATGGAGGATCGACTCGTTCTATGGCGCCAAATCATCAGTAGGGCTCATAGAGAACTTCCAGAGTTGAGAGCATCTATGAGAGCCTTGATCGGCTTCGAAAAAGCTATCGCAGCGTTTGAGCCGTTGCAAGAGGCGGGAATGTCTGATCCAAACTACAGAGTTCTTTCAGAGGCCATTGAGAAGACTATTGAACGACTACAGAAAACTTCGGCCTCTCTAAACTCCAATATGTCATTATTAGACAGCAAAAGATCAATTGCAGAGGCCCATGCTATAGCAAGACTCACAGAGCTCGCATTTATCTTTATTCCATTATCTTTTGCAGCTACGGTTTTCGGAATGCAGATTGAGTCTTTTGCTGAGCCTGCGCCAAATGGTATGTTCTTCCTAGTGGCCATCGTTGCGATATCTTTCTCATACTTGATGCGAGCTTTCATGAGAAGCCAATGGCTTGGTACCATGCAAACCAAGACAAACGACAGTATTGAAAGGTACGCCGAAAGGCATGACCTTCCCGTTCACCCACGCTCTGTTCCCACACGACTCATTATTTGGTGGGCGAAAGATCTCGTTACTCGAAGTGTTTATCAGTCCTGTTCGTGGGCTACAGGCAGAATACCTTGGGCATACCATGTTCTATCCCAGAATTTGGGGCTCTTACCAACCTTTCTGTTGACCATTCTTTTACTCTCAATCATACCAATTGGAATTCTCTGGTCTCGCCCCTTGGATGCTGGAATTCGCCTTGCAATCAGTCTTGGTACTGTCGTCACGATTGCTATAACTACTCTCATTGCTGCCACCCTTCGGTCCTCGGCTAGGAATTCCATCATCCTTTCTATCAACTATGACTACTCATTTTCCGACCCTGTGGGGTCCAGTCGATTTTCGCAAATTCAAGATACATCCCATTATTTTTTGATAGTCTGGCTTGGAGATAGAAGAAGGGCGTTAGTGCGTCGGTGGATGAACAATTCGGTCTTCCGATTCTTTCCGCTGGCAATACTGGTGCTGATACCGCTGGCGCTCATCTGGACTCGCCCACTGGCGATGGGTATCAAAGTCGGGTTGACTGTTGGAATTTTACTGTTAGGGCTCTTTTTCTTCTCTTTCAGATTGTGCTTGACCCACACGAGGAGCTTTGGCTAGAGATCCACACCCCAAGTTTAACAAATCTTGGAACCATCATGATCCACGAATTCTAACATGCTACTTCATACTTCTAGTATCGCCATTAGATTCCTTAAGCCATATATCCTATTATTGGCGGAGTGTTGTAGCGAAGTGGAAACTTGAAGCTCAAGATCAAATTACCTACTACTCGTAGTACCCCCAGTCTGAGAGTTGGATGCGGCCCGCCCCGCAATCGCAAACTCCACTTCACAAGCCTCTGTCAGCTTTCACGTCTCAACAATATCCGTTCTAGCAAGGCATGGGATTTTTGGTTCGGTGGCAAACTGAAATAGACCATCGTAATCATCCCGTCACGCCACTATCACAACTTAACGTGGAAACCAAGGCCTATCGACTCTGTAGAAAGCTGAGGTATTTTCAATTTTCAGTGGCCACCCGTATCTGCATTCGCACTTGGGATTATGGCCAATGAATCTCTTCGTCTAAGGCACTGCATAACCTTTTAGCCTACTCCGGACTAGCCACTTCTTACATCCTTCTCTGGTTTGTTGTGGAGTGGAACTCCACTTTAGTCAAGTAGCGAAATTTGAAATTCTCGTCATATGACCCTAAGTCCCCTAACTAGCCGGAGGGGAAGAAAAGTGATTTTGCTTTTCCAGCCCCGCCTGTCACCGTCACTATTGTCATCCAGGTCCTTTAGGAAAAGTCATCATGGTATCTATTTTTGACGCATTTGCCTGTAAGACATCGCTAAGAGAGCCCCTTTATCAGATTGCATACTAATACATGGCCGAATGACACGGCTTATCATAGCCTTTGCTACCAGAATTGCCTACCATCACGTTTTGATGATTATCCTAGTCATTGCAAGCCTTCTACTATGTACTATATCTCATATACATCATAATCTCCAAATAACTGTTTACTGATGATATTTCAGTATTTTTGGAGGTTGGATGCACGTCCGCCAACCTAAGTAATATTTACTTATTATCATTGAAACAAAACACTGCAATTCCTCCGTTGGCGAAGGATTCGACCCTTGTGGATACAACAATTGCACACTATATTCGAAATTCATCGTTATCACATAATGGAACGAGTTTGGAGGTGCGTGTAGGATATAGGGGAATGTGCATGATACAGAACAGTGAGGTCAAAACTTGCTCTACTAGTGCAAGGAGCCTGGCACGTATACTCCAAACCAGCCCAATTGCTGAGAGCATCACAAACTATGCGGAATCACCCGACCCATTTAATCTGGTATACATTGCTAAGAAGTTTCAAGCGGAGGTTGTTTTTGATGGATTGATGTGAGTTTATTTGTTCAGGGCGGAAGTGAGCTTTCCAAGTTCCTGGATCGTTGACGGAGTTCAACCATAGATTCCTGAGCCTCGCCTTGGTGTTCATTTGTTTTCTAATTATGGGGACATTTCCTGGCTGGCATGAGGAGCAAGACGAGGTTGAAGACACAATCGAAGTCAAACCATTTCCGGTTCGTCGAACGGCCAATGCTGCTGTTACGAGTATCCTTGCAGGGTCCATTTTCGCATTCATTTCCATCTTGTGGCAACATCTCAATACGAGTGCCACAGCCTCAATGATCGAGACTCTTTCTTATGGAGGGGTTACTTGTCATGTGGGCCCGGCGGCAATGTCACTTGCTTGGATTGCAGTTGCTTTGATCATGATTACTGGTCTGGGGTTGAGTGTGATGATGATGAGCATAAGTTTGATTCGGAGACTCACCGAGGAAGACTAGCAACTTGGATAACTCGCGCAGGACTTCGGGAACTCCCGAGATCGTTAAGGTTGAAGATAGGGTAGATACCCAGGTGGGCATTTTATATGTCTTACTACTTTATCAGGGCCCGGTGCTTCAAAATTGTTGTGGAGTTCCAAGATTCCAAGGGTTATGATGTTTTCCAACACACGCGCATTGGAAGGTTTCAGCAATGACGCTGAACCTTGGAATAAAGTCATTTGCCTATCGAGGAATGTGCACATAGTGAGTAGTCAACTTCCAAGGTGGAAGACTGATATGTGTTGAATTGGTTCAAATGTGAGGAGCCTGGGCACGGCGCCACACGTAGGTGAACATGTGGTGGTATAAAAAGCAAGTAATCAGATTGAGGAGAAGGGAAATGAGGAGAAGAAGAGAAGAAGAAGAAGAAGAGGAGGAGGAGGAGGAGGAGGTGGTGGAGATGAAAGAAACCAAGTACATGCGTAGGCGTGGATACCATCTGGATGATGCACCAGCACTGTTGGAGGCTGGTGCCTAGGTTCCGCGCCTCAGGCATCCAAGCCCGCCTCTTCCTAGATAGCTTCATCCTTGGCTCTTCATCCGATCACCAGGTATTATTGCCTCCCACTGTAAAGAAGAGAAAAAGGCTAAAGTGAAACATGGCAAATTTAGCCAAGTGGCCACGTGATTGATGCCAAGTGCTGCTATTGTCCAAGCGAGTACCAATTGTCAACTTGATATATTTTCTTCCACAGATAGACCTTTCCTTCCTTCGACATCACCGCAACCATGCCCCGGGTGAACACCACCCCTCAAAAGGTTCTTGGTATTGAAGACGCTCTAGTGTCAGACGAGAACCCAGCCTGCAATGGTACTTTCGACTATGAGCGCTGCGCCAGATTACACAAGTACATCGTGGCATTAGGTTGGAAGGCTCTTCACAAACAAGACACACCCGACCTTGATGCACTAGCCAGTGAAAAGTGGCTCTTTAGGCAGGCAGGAGAGGAAATAGCGTCTATTCGGAGCCGCCTTATTCCGCCGCTTAACTCATTCCTGGATCTTATCTATGAATCTAAACATGAGTTCTTTTACTGGGTTGACTCTCTTGTGCTGATGCCCTGCGATGAATATGTCATCGACTCGGAAGACAGGAAGTTGGAGAAAGGCAAAGAACGATTCGTTCTCATTTATCATACTCAAGACACCCTGGGCTCACATAATCTAGGTGTCATATATGACCAACAGCGCAATCGACTGTCGTTCTCTATGACTACAGACAATAGGGAAAGTCTAGAGCCCATATATGAGCATGAAGAGATGTGGCTTCTACTGGAGACTATTGTGACCTACTGGATACGCCTGGTTCAGATTGGTAAAATTGTTGCTGGAATTCCAGATAAGAGTTCTTTTGATGAGCTTGGTTTCCCGACAGATAGACCACAGTTCAATCTGTTGGCATTGCTCCCTTATTGTGACTTCCAGGTTGAGAGTACAATAACCGCGATGGAGCGCTACTCAGATATCATTGAATCTCGAATGTCTCCTGACTCACTTCTGTCAATTTCTTCTGTACATGCTCTTCCTACCGATGCTGAACTTGATGCGGCAGATGTGCCGAATAATGGCTTTACGGCGATGGTTGAAAGTGGCATATGGACTGTGGGCGATGATGGTGTGGAGGGAGGAATCGACAAATTCAGTGAAGCAGACTTTGGCGATGGATTTGAATATTCAATTGAACCAAGCTGGTGATTTGATTCGTGATTTATGTGATAGCCTCGAAGAAATAGTCAGATCACTACTAGTATTCCGCTCGAGTAAAAGAAGGGGCCTGCCTATATTCAGCATTTATCTAGTACTTCTAGTACTAGTATCACCACCACTTCTCTCTATTTCTGGCCTTAAAACCGAACTCAAGCGTAGGAATCAAGTTTAAATATGCTTGTGGCATAACTATGAAAATACTACCAAGCCACGAAAGCACCAAATTCCCCGAATTTTCCAGCCCCCGCGGTTCAAGCTGCCGAAACAATTCCTCCCTTGGCGCGTTACTCTGATCAACTCGTTAGCCGCCGGAGATCGTCATATTATCTACTATGGGGCCGAATGGATATATCTGATTGGTTGAAACGAGTCCAATACTAGTAATTTTGCACGGTTAGGTGGCATTGCCGCTGAGCCTGCGAGTATGCGGCTGAGATGAATTGCCCTTGTTTCAGAAACTATACTAGTATCTCGCTAGGACCACTTTTCCCGGGGCCGTCACGATCATGATAATACTACTAGGGGTAAATTGGAAGTGGAGCGACTACTAGTAGTGTTGTGCCCCCCTCCAAAATCGGTTAGATTCGGGGTCTTACGACGACTTGGCACTGAAGAATACGAAGAATCCGAAGTTCACACTTAGCGCGTGGCTAGTCGGGAATTTCCAGATTTGTGGATAGGGGGGACGGAGACGCAGGGATGTTGAAAGATACACGCCTCATCCCTGCTGCCACAAGTAGTCAGCATTTCTATGTTTGGACCCGAGATTAAGTTGTACAGCGTTATTTTCATGGACAAGTTTCAGTCTATGAATAGTTCAGGCAACCATGAACTCGAGTCTGGTGGAAAGTGGAGCAACACAGCGCTTTTGAATAGAAAATGTCATTATTGTAGGAATAATCATGTACGAGCAATGTCCGCCGCAGGTCTATCTGTACCCCGGTACGCCATCCATGCCGTCGACCCGAATCATATCAGACCGGCCAAGTCAAGCACAACCGAATTACATGGCAGTGCAGAAGGTAACAGAACAGGACCGCAGAGCAGAGTGTGATGGCGTAGAGGGTATTAGGGGATGCTCTCCCAGTATGCCGAGAGGAGAAAAGCCAACGCAGGTCTTTTCGCGTAAGAAAAACGCGCGTCAGATCAGTGCGTGCAAAGAGAAGACAAGAAAAGAAAAGAGAGATAGATCATCACACCCCCAAACCATTCCATCTCGCACAGACTCCAAAGCCGAATCGAAAGGGGGGAATTTAAAAAAAACAAAGACCAGCATAAAAAGAACGCCAGATTTCCCGTGCAAGCAAGTAATTCCGCATCATTATCAGGTCAATCAGATCGGCACGGCCGGCCCCTTTATCGAGCCAGGGCTAGAACCGATGGGATCCACCGAGCCTGAGGATAGATCTAAGCATGCAGCGCGCGCGCATCGAGGAAGGGGCTGATTGGGGGCCGAAAGAAAGCGGGCGGCTAGGTCCTTTCACTCCCCGGCCCAACCTAGCCCAGCCCGAAGGTTCAATCGCAGCGCAGCGCATCACATGCACATAACCCAGCATTTAGACCTTCGCAGGGGGTGGACCTTCGGGAGGCGCATACTCGCGCGCACCCTGTCCATATGCATTCGGCGGGGACTGGAGCTCGATACCATTTTGTTGCGGGTGAGGGCCAGGGCCCTGGTTCTGATTAGGGGCAGCGCCGAAGTAGCCGTACTGGTTCGGGTTGGCGGAGTATTGGGGCGGGGGTGGTTGTTGGTTGTAGGGGTCTCCGCCGTAGGGTTGTTGATAGTATGGTTGGTTTGGAGGAGGCGGGCCTGGTGGTGGTGCCATCCAACCTGTTCCGGCCATTGGTCGGCGGCCGTGAGAGCGGCGGCGACGGGCGTTGAAGCAGCTGGAGAGGGAAGATTAGCGACCGGTCAAGTCAAAAGTCACGCAAGGGAAATGAAAGAAATGTAAAATGGGGAACTCACGCAAAGCCGAAGAATAGAAGGAATGCGCAGCCGACGATTACGGCAAAGGCTACCCAGCGACCCCAGCGGTCCCAGTTGGAGCCGTAGTAGCAGTCGTCGCCATAGCTGTGGATGTTAGTGAGGGTCAAGAAGGGGATAGTAAGGAAGGGGTGGGGGAAGCGGAAGAACATACCAATTACTGTACCAACGGGGAATGATGGCCATGATGAGTGATGGGGGGGGAGGGTTGAGAAAGCAAAGTTGCAGATGAAATGAAGTTGGAAGGTCAAGTGTTGCCGGGGCTGGGGACCCTTTAGGCTTGGCACTAGGCTGCAGTCAACCACAGAGAGAAGTAAGATAATATGGGCTGGTGGGATCAGCAGTGGCTGGGATAAATTGAAATTTGCAGGAATTAAAGTGAGCTACAGGAGAGAAAGAATAAATAGGATATATAGGAAATATCGGTAATAAGTGGTGAATCCAAGTAATTTACAAATTAATGATCGCCATCGAGGCGCAGTTCTTCCCCGGGCCAATCCCGCCACAGTGGAGTGAGGCGCGGTCGATGACGAGTAGGAGTCCGGAGTATACCGGTATTATTAATATGAGTATCTAGTTAAGTTTATTTGGGTATTATTTATGATCATTCTACGACTAGTACTAGTAGACCAGCATCTTATAGTATACCTAGGTACTCTCTAGTCGTAACTGTAATAACTATACTAATAGTAATAATAGTACATATCCACATGTCGCTTGGCAGGTGGCCACTTGCTGCATTGCCAACGCATCACTTGGTCCGTGTGTGCTCGCCTTATTTATACTCGCCGTCTCCCTGATACGTAAAGGGAATAATCTCAATTCTCGATCATAATACTTTATCACAATCACTCATACATACACCACTACCGCAAGACCAAATGTTATCACATAATTCGTTTCATCGTCACAGGCTGCGAGCCTAACCGTCTACTGGAACAGAACAGAGAAGAGCAAAGAAGAACAGACAGAACAGAACACAACCCCATTTCCAGGGCCAAGGTCATGAACAACAAAAACAACTTTCGACAGGAACCTTGGAATATGAAGAATCATAAACGAAAAAAAAACAGGGATATAGTGCCACGAAATGCGTCGAGCTAAACGAATTGCAAATGATGATCGCAGATAATCAAAAGTCGCAGATACAGTGGACAGAACATTATCAATGACAAGGCAAATTCAAGGCGAGGGGATGTTTCATCTTCACCTTATCTCATCGACTCGCCCGGGCAATCAGCCAATGCAGTACCGCGTCGAGGTTAGTCTCCTCTTTCGCGCTGATCCCATAACAGCTGACTTCCCGGTGCGTAATGGACTTAAGGTCCATCGCATCGATCAACTCATCAACAGACAACTTGACCGGTAAATCGGATTTATTACCCAGTACGAGGAGTGGGATTCCGTCCAGGGTGGGCTTGTTTATCAGCTCATGCAACTCCTCCGTGGCGGCGGGTAGAGCGCCTCGATCGGCGGCATCTACAATATATCTTATTTTTCGGCAGGTCAGCAGATGCGATGCGGTGCGGCCCCCGACGGAGTGCCGGCACGACGAAACGAAACGAAACAGAATGGCTTACACGATGGCGTTGACGCCCCGACAATATCGCTCCCACATGGGGCGAAAGCGAGGTTGGCCACCCAGATCCCAGCTGTGCGGGGTTAGAAACAACGGACCGATGGCGGGGGAGGAGAACGAGAAATGGAAAGGTAAGGGGAAGGGGGGGGTACCATTTTAGAGTCACATGGCCCTTTTGGACTCTTTTGGTGTTGAACCCGATAGTCGGGATGGAGCTGTCATCTCGTGAGCGGAAGCCGAGGGAAGCGATGGGATTTGATACGCTTGGATACGCTTGGACGATCAACGTACTCGATAGTGAATTCCCCGCCCTGCCAGAGTCGGTCAGTGATGGAACAGCGACAGCGATGACACAACACACAACATACAACGGGGAGGAAAGGAAAAGGACAAGGGAATGAAAGGGGACAGGACATACTGCTAAAACACGCAGTAAGGAAGACTTTCCCGCATTTTGCAGGCCGATCATGGTGACATCCATCTCGGTGGCCCTGCAGGGGTTCTCAAGGTTAGCCAGGCTTCATCTGCGGGGAGACACGGGGGAACGGGCCGGGGGGGGTCTTCCCGGACGCCTCGATGGCCCACTCTTACCAGAACATCCTCAGAAGCCAGTCATAGATGCTGCGGAAGATACCAGCCATGGCGAAGGGAGTGAGTGAGTGAGTTCTGGAAGATGAGAAAAGATGAGAAGAATCGGAGTCAAGAGGACCAAAACTGGATGTAGACCAAGGCGCGTAGATCGGAACCGGAATCAGAATCAAGACCAGGATTAGAGGTAGGGAGGAGGGCAAGTGGGAGCGTGACCAGTTATGATATAGGAGAGCAGGTCAGAACAGAGGAAAGCAAGCGGATTGGATTAGAGTGGAATAGATTGGATTGGGTTGGGTTGGATTGGGTTGTGGGAGAGAAGAGTGGGGTCGAGGGAGTGATGAGTGAAGAGGTCCTACACAGGGTGGAAGAAGAAGCAAGTAGAGTTACCCGCGGGACAGCGGGAAAAAGAATGGAAAAGAAAAGAAAAGAAAGGAATAGAATCAATAGAGTAAATAGAATAAAATCAAGAAAATAAAATAGAATAGAATAAAAGAGCACAAAAGCAGGGGAAAAGCCAAATAGCAAAAAAACCGGCGTTTAGGCAGTGTCGAATAGATCTACGCCCACATGACTCCCGTTGAGGGGCGCTTACCTTGAGGCTTAGGTACTCTCGGCCTGACGTCGTGTAGTGTGTAGTAGCTTACCTATTACTTCTTCCATTTTAATATCCCACTTTCACCCACTATAGTATTTCAGATACTAAATACTAAGTAAATCTATGTGTATTTACTCCATACAGTTCATGTATGTCCCATGTAGTTGCTTTATATGATTAGTCATACCCATTCTGATTCTGCCATCCTTTCTAAGGTTGCCTCAAGGTGGTCTTGGCAGCCTCAGTACACCGCCCTCTATCACCACGTGCCGATAAGGATCCACTCTCGAAAATTTCCCCGACAGCCCAGCAAGAAAGAGAAACCTCAGGTAGTCTTCATCCAAAGCTGCCATTGCTGGCTCACTCCTCTTGCTTGTTTGCGTATTTCCTGGCAGACTGAGGCTGAGGGTCTGTCATTCATTGCCCGTCTTTGAATTCCCCTTACTCTTCTACCTTATTCCCCATTGACCCCCCCAGCTTTTCTCTGCTCTATACCGGTTAATCCGACAGCTTCATTTCACAATGGCGCCCGCGCCCACCGACACCCAGTGGTCTGTCGATTTCGACACCCTGAGGCGCGAGAATCTCTACAAGAACCCTCCCAAGGATCACACCGCCTTTCCTTCCCTGTCCGACTCCATTCGCCCTCATATCGACTCCTTCAATGCCATCTTCGATGATAGCAAGATCCTCGAGGCCGGTCTGAAGGATATCGGCGTCAAGTCCTTCCTGGATGGCGAGCTCGAGACTCCCGAGCAGAAGAAGGCCCGTGTGGCTCAGGGCCTCCGCGCCCCCAAGCGCAACCGCCTAAATGTTCGCGTGAAGGAAGTTTTCCTCGAAAAGCCGGTCCTCCCGCCTACCAACAAGCACAGCCTTAAGAACCGCAACATCTACCCTTCAGAGTGCCGTGAGCGCCACGCAACCTACCGCGGAAAGCTGCGCGCCCGTCTCGAGTACCAGGTCAATAATGGAGACTGGATGGAGTCGGTGCGTGAGCTGGGTCAGGTCCCCATCATGATGCGCACCAACCGGTGCCACCTCGAGAAGGCCACTCCCGAGGAATTGGTCACTCGCAAGGAGGAGTCTGAAGAGCTGGGTGGTTACTTTATTGTCAACGGTAACGAGAAGCTCATCCGTATGCTGATCGTTGGCAAGCGCAACTACCCCATGTCCATCATCCGTGGTTCCTTCGTCAAGCGTGGTCACACTTACACCAAGTTCGGTGTGCAAATACGATCCGTCCGACCCGATCAAACCTCGCAGACCAACGTCCTCCACTACCTCTCCGACGGAAACGTTACCTTCCGGTTCTCATGGCGCAAGAACGAGTTCCTGATCCCCGTCATGATGATCCTCAAGGCTCTGGTCGAGACCAACGACCGCGAGATCTTCGAGGGTATTGTGGGCAGTGCCTCTTCCAAGGGCATGAAGAACACCTTCGTTACAGATCGTGTAGAGCTTCTCCTGCGAACCTACCAGGCCTACGGCAAGCACAGCAAGTCTGACTGCCGGGCTCACTTTGGTAAGAGCTTCCGTCCGGTTCTGGGTGTCCCCGCCGATATGCCCGACGAGGAGGTTGGAACCGAGTTCCTGCGCAGGGTTGTCCTGCCTCACCTGGGTTTCCAGAATGTCACCGAGTCCCAGGATTACGACAAGTTCAAGATGATCATCTTCATGATCCGCAAGCTGTATGCTCTGGTGTCCGGCGACTGTGCGCCTGATAATCCCGATGCCGTCTCCAACCAGGAGATTCTGCTCGGTGGTTTCCTCTACGGTATGATCCTCAAGGAGCGTATCGAAGAGTGGCTCCGTTCCTTCGGCCCCATCGCCCGTGACTGGAGCATCCGCAATGGTGGTGCCAAATTCACAGATCCCTCATTCGAACGCGATTTCCTGTCCAAGATCGTTAAGCGATCCAACGAGAATATTGGCCATGCTCTCGAGTACTTCCTCTCCACTGGTAACTTGGTCAGTCCTACTGGTCTCGACCTGCAACAAACCTCCGGTTACACTGTTATGGCCGAGAAGATCAACTTCTACCGATTCATCAGTCATTTCCGCATGATTCATCGTGGTAGTTTCTTCGCCCAATTGAAAACTACCACCGTCCGTAAATTGCTGCCGGAGAGTTGGGGTTTCCTCTGCCCTGTCCACACTCCTGATGGTTCTCCTTGCGGTCTGCTGAACCATTTGGCCCACAAGTGTCTGATTTCCACGGATAACCTTGAGGTATCCAACATTCCCAAGCTTCTCGTTCAGCTTGGTGTCCGACCTGAGTCTTCCGTCGCCATCGATGACAGCGTTGTCGTCCAGCTGGACGGCCGAATTGTTGGTTTCTGCTCTCCCGACCAGGCCCGCAAGGTTCACGACACTCTCCGCTACTGGAAGGTTGCCGGCATGAACAACGTTCCCCTCGGCCTTGAGATTGGCTACATTCCCAACTCGAACGGTGGCCAGTATCCCGGTGTCTACCTCTTCTCCCAATCCGCCAGAATGTACCGTCCCGTCAAGTACCTTGCCCTGGACAAGACGGACTACGTTGGCCCCTTCGAGCAGCCCTTCATGGAGATTGCCTGTCTGGAATCCGATCTCATCTCCGGCCTGTCCACTCACATTGAGTTCACCCCTACCAACATCCTCTCGATCGTCGCCAATATGACCCCCTTCTCCGATTACAATCAGTCCCCTCGTAACATGTACCAGTGTCAGATGAGCAAGCAGACAATGGGTACTCCCGGTACATCGATCGCCTACCGTACAGACAACAAGCTGTACCGCATCCAAACCGGTCAAACACCCATTGTCCGTCCTCCTCTTTACAACGCCTACGGTCTGGACAACTTCCCTAACGGCATGAACGCCGTCGTTGCCATTATCTCGTACACCGGCTACGACATGGACGACGCCATGATCATCAACAAGTCCGCCCACGAGCGCGGCTTCGGTCACGGAACTATCTACAAGACGAAGGTGCACACCCTGGCGGAGCGCGACTCTCGCCGCAGCAAGTCTAAGCGCGACGTGAGCAAGCTCTTCGGTTTCGCCCCCGGCGACGAGATCCGTAGCGAAGCCAAGAACATCATCGACGAAGACGGTCTCCCCCACATCGGAATTCGTGTCAAGGAGGGTGATAAGATTGCCGCCTGGCACAATGTCCGCTACGACGCCGCCTCCGACTCCTACATCAATGTCGACGGCATCACCCACTTCCTCAAATACAAGGATTCCGAAGTCGGTTACATCGAGAGCATCCGCCTCATGGGTTCGGAGAACGGCAACGAGCCTATCCAATCCATCAGCGTCAAGTACCGCATCCCCCGTAAGCCGATTATCGGTGACAAGTTCTCCTCTCGTCACGGACAGAAGGGTGTTTGCTCCCAACTGTGGCCAGCGGTCGACATGCCATTCTCCGAGAGCGGCATGCAACCCGATCTCATCATCAACCCTCACGCTTTCCCGTCCCGTAAGCATTCCCCATTTCCCCCAACGCCCTTCCCAAATTCCACACTAACAACTCTCCCTCAGGTATGACAATCGCCCAAATGATCGAATCAATGGCCGGAAAAGCCGGTGCCCTCCACGGCCACCCGCAAGACTCAACGCCCTTCAAATTCAGCGAAGAGAACACTGCAACCGACTACTTTGGCCACCAACTGAAGAAAGCCGGTTACAACTACTACGGCAACGAACCCCTCTACTCCGGAATCACGGGCAAAGAATTCGCCGCAGATATCTACATGGGTCTAGTCTACTACCAACGACTGCGTCACATGGTAAACGACAAATTCCAAGTCCGCACAACCGGCCCCGTAAATGGCCTAACCGGCCAACCCGTCAAGGGCCGTGCCAAGGGTGGTGGTATCCGTGTCGGAGAAATGGAGCGCGATTCCCTCATCGCTCACGGAGCCGCCTTCCTTCTCCAAGACCGTCTGATGAACTGCTCCGACTCCCAACTCGCCTGGATCTGTCGCGGTTGTGGATCTTTCCTCTCGACGCAGGTTGCTGTTGCGGGCTCGGGTGCGTCTCGTCGCGCTGCTGTTAATGCCGGCGCTATCGCTGCGGCCGCTAAGGCTGCGCCTAATCAACAGCCTGCATCTGCTGGTCCTGGCGGTGCGGGTATGGGCGGTGGTGCGTTGGGTGGTGTTACTGGTATCGTGCGTTGCCGTCGTTGTGCGCGTGAGGCTGGCTTTAATGACTCTAGGGCTGAGGCTTGGGAGGATGGCGATGGGTTGCGGTATGTTGGTGGTGATGATGTTACGGTTGTTGCTGTCCCTGGTGTGTTGCGGTACTTGGATGTTGAGCTTGCCGCCATGGGTATCCGCATGAAGTTCTGGGTTGATAACTGAGGCGATTCTCCGCCCTGCTGCTAGGGCGTGAGTAATCTCGTTTTCAGTTGTTGATCTGTAAAAAATTGGTTTTTGGATTTCCTTTTTTTTCCCTTTCTGGCCCTTTGTGCCAGTGGCAAGTTGTGCTTGTTTATATCTTCTCTGGTTCACAGTTTATGTCATAGATGGAGCGTCTGGTGTGATTTTCCATGTTGTTTATACTTTATTTTATGTTCTACGAGGTCAATATCATGTCTTCAAGATTATTATCCCAAGGTTGTTTAGCTCTGAGGTCCATACTAGCTACTCGTAGACTGCATAAATGAACGAACGCCGACAGGTAAAAGGAACTCGAACTTCTTGAACGACACGTCAGCAAGAGCGGCTGATATACATGGATGTATGAAGTGTGCCCGCGTTGTTCTTGCGCATTCCCACGAGGATGGCAGAGGATTCCCCGAACCGTCGATCTTGAGTATATAGTAGAGGATTGAGGAGTTTGTGGAAACGGTGTTCTCCGTCACCGTGTTGTAGTTGAACTCGCCCAAAACTCGTCTCATACTGAGCAGTTGGGCACCCTGCCTCGCAATTCTTGTTTGAGCAAATTCTTGCCGATGCCAATGCCTCCATCCCGCTGGCCGCGAGTCATCTTTGAATAGTGACACCGTTTGTGACTTTTAGGCGCATAGTGATTTGGTTTCTTGTTTTCTTGGTTTGCCGCATTTCAGAAGGGCGATCAGTTCTTGCGTTTGAGTAGGCTGTTTCGCGTAGCATATCTCCTTTCCTTTTGACACGACGATCATGCGCTTGAGAAGAAGGGTGTGATCCAAGAGCGGATGGGTAAGAGACGCTTCCTATGCAATGGTCCATGGGCTGTCAGCCTGTAATGAGTGCTTTGGAGCAAAAAACGACCTCAAATTCGAAAGCGATGTTTTGTTTCGACTCCGCCGCCCCAGTGAAACTAGTGCCTGGCGTGGGCCATTGACTAAAAGGCAGGTCAACCCCAGCGCGTAGCGTAGGCCTTCATTTCAGCGTCTATTGAGTAAGGTACATTCGATTGGGCAGTAATCAGCAGTCATCAAGAACCTCCGCAAATATGAGCTTTGCCATTGCTATGCGAGATTGTAATGATAGTATATGATGCAAATTCATGTCTCCAAACTATTTGGTCATAAGCTCTTCAGCATGATCAAATCTCTGTGAATAGTATCTGAGCCTATCTCGAAATCATGTTCACCCACAATTTGATACCCCCACCTCTCATATGCACGAATGGCGCTTGTATTCTCCTCCCAAACACCGAGCCACAAGTTGGTGAACCCTTGCTCCCGCGCAAGACTCTCAAGGCTTTTTGCCAATAAGCTGCCAACTCCTTTCCCTTGTGCCGAAGAATTGACGTATATCCGTTGCAACTCAGCTTTCTGGCTCACATGGGCGAGACAAGGGTCATCACTTCCGCGGGTCAAGTAACCGAAGCCGATAACTTGACCGTTCTGATCCACTGAGACGAGAAGTGTTCTAGACAAATCATCGATGTCATTCTCAATTGCTTCGGTTGAATATTCATTCTTGAGATATGTCGCAAGTGACTGTGGGTCGATTGCATGGCCAAAGCTGATGGTGAAAACGTGGACACCTATCTCGGCGATCGTGGCGGCGTCAGATTTCAGCGCCAAGCGCACGGTGAAAGGTGGTTGAGAAGAGGCCATGGTTGTAGGTGGTATTTTTGAATCACGGCCAGGAATGGCCAAAAGAAAATTGAACACGACGGAATTGAGTGAAATTCAGTCTAATGTTTTTTGAATGGATTGCGAGAGTCATTTAAACCCCAGGGGATCGACCGGCGGTTTCCCATAGCGGTCTAGCCCTGCGCCCTTCAGAGAACACCCACTGATAGGGTAGCAGTTGAACCCTTAAGTCTGAAGCTTGGTTTGCAATTTAGTGACAAAAACCTGCCCAGGTGATGGGGCTTTCAACTTGAATGCAAAAATATTTAATGGTCGGGGCCAGGGAATATGGGAAGGTCTAAGTTTTCATCTTAGATTCATATAACATCATACAACATGTTTTAGTGTGAAATCAGCCTCTTTGAATATTGTATGAATGAAACGTTTAATACTAACTTACCAGCAGCATCAGAGGCTAAAATTAAATCATTTTCTAATTACACCAGGTTCATGTCATCAAAGATACTGAGATCAATACCGCACCACATTGAGCTGTTCGACACCCAAAACTCATCCCCCTTCATAGCATTCTCGTGTCCATTTTCATGTTCCATCACCACGTTCCTGTATCCATTTACTTTGAAAGTAGCCAGAGGTGTCTGCACAGAACTGTGATCTCCCATGGCTGAGGAATCCCTATATTTTTCATGGTACCCATCACGATCCCAGCACCGAGATCCACCTTGACAAGAACGAGAGCTTTGGGAGGGCTCTCCATCTGACCCTGGGAGTGATACAGTTTGCGAGGAGTCTTTCAATATTGTCTTTGTGGTATCTTTAGCTGCAGATAGATCGTCACGGAAGACCTGGATAGGGGAATCGTGATATCCTGGCGAATCAGGAGTCAGATGCTGGCTCTGGGGGTCACTTTCTTCCTCTTTATTTATTCTTATGTATAGCTGCTCAGCCCCGTTCAAGGTCGCTGGATTTTTCCTCTCATTCGTTTTCATATATCTGTATGATTTTTATCAGTTTCAGAAGAACGAGGTTTGGTGAGTTCAGAGGCTCACTTGGAAGAATCATCTGTGTGTTGCTTCTTGCCTTGACCAAAAATACAAACAGCATCATCCTCTTTGCAGCGATGACATGGATTGAGACCATCGCACTTGAAGAGAGTTAGTACATTGCAACATACTGAATAGTCTCCGATTTTGCGCTTTCTTGTTTTTTCAATCCTTACTTTGCATTTTCTCAACCGACACCGGTCGCAGGCTTTGCGTGATCTTTTTAGAACTCTTTGACGGGAACGGAAAGGGTAGGGAGCCTTGTCTCTGAGCCGTTGAGTTGTCACTGCAGAATCCAAATGAGAAAAAAGAGGCATTTTCAGAGTTATCACAATTCCCCACTGGCAAACTGCACTCTTCTAATTTATCAGCATTTCCCATTTTCAAGCAACAGATGCCATTGACATCTACATGTGGAGTCCTGGCGTGATAAGAAACGGACAGAATGTTGTCCCGAGAGATCAATTCTAATCTGTGGATTATTGCGAGAAAGCCGATTAATAAATTCTTTTCTGTTGAGTGTTGAGGGACCCCGAGGTTCACCGACTCCTAATGACTTTCTAACCGAGGCTTCTCTCCATCTGATCAATGATTTCTCATCTTAAATTTGCCCGATACTGGCATTATCGATCGCTGAAAAAATTGGAACATTCAAGTGTTCAGGTGTGAAATCATTATTTTTGAAAATTTATCTGCATCCTGAGGTCTATAGGTAGCAGGTCTCGTATTAGAGTGTTAGCTTGGTGTGAAAGTAACCGCATGCAATTCAACTAGCCAACTTTGTTCATTCGACCGACATAGCATCCTTTATAAGCTACTATACGCTAGAAATTAATCGATATTTCTAACAATTTATTTGAGTAGTCCAATCAGCCAAGAATATGCTAAGCATTCTCTCTTGTCCGTAGCTTTGTGGATTGAGATATCCATATCTTACTTCCAATATAAGATCAGCGAAGAGCTGCCCAAGCCTGAAGTACACCAGCAAATGCTGTGAGGAATCCACTAGACTTTACCCCTCTGCGAATATACCAAGCAGAACTAGCCCAGGAAATGAGAACGAGTAGAGCAGCCATGCAACGTTGAAGTGGCTCTTCCAAGGATGTTGGATTTTGCGCCCAGTTGAGGTTTAGCAAAGCTGGGAGAATAAATGTTAGAATCAAATGTAAGTTGGCTTAATGATGTTTTACCAAAGGGCAAGACATGCCAGTCAAAATCAAGAAGCCGCTTCCTTGGTACCATCCGATAGTACTGCGTGTGTATGCAATGTTTGGCAGTTCCTGGAATGCGCGGAGGTTCATGAATTGTTTCGCAGCAGCCTAAAAAAATGAAGTCAGACTTATATTTTATCGCAATTTTTTCTTCTCAAATTGGCATCCATTTCATGACTGACCGCATGGGAGAAGGCAACAGCGAGGGAGCCGTATCCGGCAACTTTGAGGAGAGTAGTGTTGGGCATTTTTGTGAATGAGAAACGAATTTTTGATCGGCTTTCAGTCTTGAATTAGATCTGGATGATAATGGCGAAGACTATTAAGAGAATCATGACAGATGAGTAAGGCCCTAGCTCCCAGCCTCCTCCCTCCCAATCGAAGGGTCGGATCCCCAAAAAACCCCGAGTCAATTTCAACCTCGGCATGTGTTTTGCTTAGTAACAGACATAATTTCGGTCCGTACTGGCGAGTCAGTCTTTACTCCCATGTTAGCTGGATATGTTGGCGACAACACAAAATCGCGCATTCCCAACAAGCGGGGAGACGGGCAGATAGTCGGTCCGGTTCACTGCCAGTGCCCAGGTGGGGGGTGTATAATGGCATTCAGTCGCCACTGAGATAGATAATCCGAATTCCGTATGAACTCACAAGTTTAAGGTTTTTGCACCACAGAAATGGAAATGGGCTAACCCGAATAGAACAAGTGATTCAATTTCTTTTGGAATCATGCCATTGTCTATATTCTATCAGTCCGAAGAAAGAAGAGAAGAAAAGCTCTATATCAATTCCTTTATGGCTTTGAAAAAACTTCGTCTAGTGCTAACTCTGGTCCACTCCCCTTCAAATATGTACCAGTAGAAGAAGTTGAGAGACTGGAAAAGTACTAGGCAGGTGGATATCACCCTATTCTGATAGGAGATGTTCTTCAATCCCGATACCGAGTCGCCCACGGGCTAGGCTCAGTATCCTAGCCTATTCAACCACTTGGCTCTGCCGTGACTACCAGTCTAATTCATACGTGGCAGTGAAATTTGGAACGGCGGATTCAAAAGATCGAGAGGTTGATATCCTCAATTTTCTGAACCATTCTTCTCCATCTGAATATCCAGAAAAGACAATGATCCCCTGTATCAAAGATAGATTCGTCCTCCATGGCCCTAATGGCGCCCACCCTTGCTATGTGACAACCCTGTGAAGGTGCAGTGTCTCGAGTGCGAAAGAAGGATCATACAAACGCATCTTTCAGGCCATGACAGCTCGCTCGCTTATTGTGCAAATTTTGCTAGCCGTCGAGTACATCCATAGCAAAGGATTTGTTCATGGAGGACAGTCACCATTACTTATAGCTTTACAACCATATGCTTACACAACAATTCAATCAGACCTTCACATCGGGAATATGCTTTTATACTTCTCAGCTGATTTTAGTAAGCTCTCAATTGAAGAGTTGTACGAAAAGTATGGTTCGCCCGCATCAGAACCAGTCAGGTCAACCAGTTGAGTCTAGTATTCCATCTAGCATTGTCCTTCCTATCTGGCTTGAAAAGGCTTCGGAAGAATTCTCGCCTCCAGAGGCTAGAGTCTTTCTCGGTGATTTTGGAGAGGCATATAGACCCTCGAGAGAGTACCGATATCATTCGCACGCCCCTATGTCCTTTATACCGCCTGAAGCTCGATTTGAGCCAGAATGTGGCCTTTCCTTTTCAGCTGATATTTGGACACTTGCATGTTCCATATGGATAATACTGGGCTAGCGCCCCTTGTTCGAGGATATAATTTCCACGCCAGACGACACCACAGCCGAGCAGATTGATACTCGAGGGAAATTACCACTACGGTGGTGAGAGAAACAGGTGGCATGCCACGAATATTTTGAGGAAAGTGGAAACCCAAATCAAGGTCGACAGGTGAGGTCTTGGGAAGACCGCTTTGCAAAGCACATTCAACTCCCACAACAAAAGGCTGAAATTTCAAGTCTTGAAGTAGAAGAGAAAAATGCTGTTATGGATATGTTGCGATCGATGCTGTCTTTTGAGCCAGAAAAGCGGCCAACTGCGCAGGATATCCTAAAATGAGAGTGGATAGAGAGATGGGCGATACCGGACTTCGAAAAATCCCACCTCGAGGAGTGCCGGGGCCGCTGAAAATTCCCATGGTGCCGGGGTCGATAGCTATTTGATTGATTTTGCATGGGGGTATGGCTCTCAATGGGAGAAAAATGTTGCACTACCGCCATTGTCGATATTCTTTCAGATGAAAGCCGTCGGTGGGGTGCGGAAACTGTGAGTTAATGATTTCAAAACTACCAGGTCAAATATCCTTGCAGTTTCCGACGTTTCCTAGCGCTTTTAATCCCATCATATTCACCTAATACTAGCTGTGGCGCTCCCATTATATCCACTTCCGTGAAATAGCGCAATGTGAAACGAGGGAACAAATTTGAAGTTCGAGAAACATTCACCTGGGCAGGGAGCCACGTAACAAGCAGCGAATCATTTTCTTCTCGACCATATTCAAACGTACCAGATTTGTCGATAACGCAGTCTTTTATCACCTGGGCAGTAGTAAGAATTTGTGCTCGCCTGAGGATATTCCAAACGCTTCGGCCCTACTACTTCTTTCGCAGCCTTCGTCTCGATATTCACATCAAGAATCCAAGTTCCTAAAACAGTGACTACCCTAGTAGAAAAAGACACAAGTTCTTTAAAAAGGCATATAGCAATGGCACCTGGACACTTCCGAGGTATTGCAGCACGCACGGTCATAAAATAGGCAAGCTATGTCTGCACCGACGAATCGGGATCGGGGCAATTGACACCCCGGCCATTCATATGAGGTCCTCGGGACTACTAACTCGTTCGGCAAACCATCTGTTTATCATTTAAATTTATATATCCCTCTTCTCAAACTCACCAAATCCATTCAACGCTCTTCAACAATGGTAGAAAACAAAATATCCCTTGTGACAGGCGCGAGCGGCTTTATCGCCAGTCATGTCGTCCAGCAACTTCTCGAAAAGGGTCACGAGGTCCACGCAACGGTCCGGAGCACCAAAAATCAAAAGAAAATCAAGCATCTCCTCGACATGCAAGATCGATGGCCCGGAAAGCTTACTTTATTTGAAGCGGATCTACTTGCGGCCGGATCGTTCGAAGATTCAATGAAGGGTTGTTCGGTTGTGTACCACATTGCCTCGCCCTTCTTTATCGAGAACAAAATTCGCGACGGGCAAAAGGAAGTCGTTGAGCCAGCTCTGAAGGGGACACAGCATGTTCTGGATGCCGTTCAGAAATGCGAAACGGTCAAGCTTGTCGTTTTGACTTCATCCGTGGCAGCCATCTTCGGCGATAATGCCGACGTGTTGGAAATGAAGAATAGAACTCTCTCCGCTGAGTACTTCAATACCACTAGCTCGGTCACTTATAACGCCTACCCATATTCCAAAGTTGTCGCTGAGAAAGAAGCTTGGAAGTTACATGATGCGCAACCATCGCCCAAACGTTGGAAGTTAGTGACGATTAACCCTGGGCTTGTCCTGGGCCCGTCTTTATCCCCGGCGTCGGAATCCGGCAGTCTATCGCTACTTGATCAATTGCTACGTGGTCAGCTATTTTTGGGCGTACCCGATATGTGGTTCGCAATCGTTGATGTGCGAGATGTCGCAACCGCGCATCTTCGCGCTGCTCAAAACCCGGACTCCAACGGTCGCTTCATCCTGGCAAATAACACGACACATGGCTTCGTGGAACTTGCTCGCATCCTCCGATCAATTACTCAAAATTCTCGGATCCCAAAGAATAAAATCCCGAATGCTGTGGTACGCATGTCTGGACCGCTTCTTGGACTGAGTCAAAAATGGCTCAAACTGAACCTCGGCATCCCATTTGATATCGACAATCGTCCCAGCTTGGATCAACTAAGCATAATTTACCGGCCCCTGGAAGAGACATTGGAAGATCACTATTCATCGTGGAAAAAATCTCAGAGCTAGTCGTATTGATATTGACGGTAACTGGAAGGCTTTGCACAACAGCCCATGCAGAGGAATGTCAAATTCGCAATATAGATTAGATATTTTCGTCGTAAAGAGTTAATGAAATCAAACACTAGATTATTGTATACCCTTGAAGACTATTTCATCTCTTCCCGAAGTCCCAATCTAAAAAAAAGACATCCAAACACCAAATATTACAATTTTCTCACCATCCATCATCTCTCTCAAAATACAATCACAGCCTTCCCAACACCACCCTTCCCATCAAAAACGACCTGACAGGCCTCTCTCACCGCACCGATATCCTTGGCATCAACACTCGTTCCAACAATAGTCTTCAACCTTCCCTCTTCCACCCACCCCCGAATCAAGTCCAGATCAGTGGCATTCGGTTCCAGGAAGATCGACGCATACTTAACCCCATATCGAGACGCACGCATGACTCGGATTTTATCCATGACATTCAGCGCGATGCGGATGGGGAAGGGCACTGTTGCTTTGTCCGTCTTGTCGGGTGATCGGCGCATCACACTGGAGTTTTGAAGGACGTCTCCGGAGGTTACGATTGATACGGTTATTATTGCTCCGTTTGGTCGCATTAGGGAGAGATAGTCCATCGCGTTGCCGGTTGTGTCGAAGATGAAGTCGACTGACCGGGCGGGGATAATCTCTTTTGGATCTGATTTTCTGTAGTCGATTACTGGGAGATGTGAGTTTCTTTTTCCTTTCTTGCAGGCCGGTCCAAAACCTGTCTGGCGTGTCGAGTCTAGGATTAGTACTCACTCTCGTCCACGACTCCCTCGCCTAAGAGCTCTTTCACCTTCGGCACCTTTGCCGTGGAAACCGTCGTGATCACCTTTCCAGCTTTGAAAATGTTTTTGGCTAGCTGGCATGCGAAAAGGCCAGTACCACCCACTGGAAGAGATGTTAATACCTATCTCTTACACAAGTTGACAGAGACTCGGAATAGTGGGAAAACATACAACCTGCAGGAATAAAAACAGTCTTCCCTTCCAGATCCCCCTCAAATCCCCTCAGCGCCTGCAAAGCCGTCATAGCTGCAAGTGGAATCGAAGCAGCGTCCTCCATAGAAAGACCCTTCGGCTTCAGCGCAACGAATTCCTCCGTTGAGCGCGCAATCTCGCTCCACGAGCCACGGTGACATTCCGGCAATCGGACAAAGACTTCATCGCCGGTTTTGAAGCGCGTTACCTGGGAGCCAGTGTCTAGGACTGTTCCTGCGCAGTCGTAGCCGATTTTATATGGGAAGCTGTACACGAGTTAGATTGAGAAATTACACGTCCACGGAGATCGGATCAGATCTTACGTATCCTTGAGAACTGCCTTGGTTATACCCGAGGCCTTTTTCACATCAATTGGGTTGATGCTTGCGGCGTGGACTTTTATCAAGATGTCGGTGGGTCGGTCGATGGATAGGGAAGGGACTTCGCCTAGCTCATATTCGTTGGGCGTGGTGTGTTTTGGGATATTGATTGAAAGCATCTCGATCACTTTCAGGAGTAGGTGAGTAATAGAAACTAAGTTGGTTGATCCCGAGTCATATCAAAGTGAAGATGAAGTCAAGATCGTCATTTTAATAGGTGAAACTCTATTTTCGGTCGGAGGTTCTATTCGTCCGACGGGAGCGGAGGGAGAAATAATCATTTCTGTCTCCACTTTAACTTGAAGCCGAGATAGTTTAAACTTGACCAAAATTCAGAATTTGTCTATTAGTTCCCAACTTGAATTTAAACTTTAACTTAGGGATCCTATATTACTCACTAGGCTAGCTTAGGTAATTTACTCTTCATATTTTTTTATACCTACGTACCGAGGGCGGATTTCCCATTTGCTTTGTCTTTTCTTTCAGTGCTCGGTGATCGCTGCTTTTGTTCACTGAGTAGATCTGAGCACCCACCATATCTGACACACCGCCCTGCATTGCCATTTACTATATCACCTTTCGAAGAACACCCACCTTCTTCTACTGTATCTCTCACTGTGTGACTGTCTTGACGGCCTAGATATAAAACTTCCTCTTCTTCAAATTCAAGGCCCCTAAATTACTAGTAGTCGCCATTCATGTTTGCAGCTTTATTGCAGAAGCATGACGCATCTTGAAGACTCCCAACGAGCCACCATAATCGCGTCTTGTGCAAATCCGGAACCTGGCAGTATTATTAGCCAATACGGTAAACGGATCATCAGAATATCTGACCATCAAGTTGTGAAGTGAGGCCCGGATGTGACAAAAGAAGAGTTCGAGAATCAGAGGCTAGCCTATGGACTGGTGGATAGCCGTGAATTTCGTATCCCACGCGTCTATGAATTCTTCTGTGATGAGCGAGGCTGGGGGTACATTTTGATGGAGGTTATGAACGGAAAGGTCAATGATCCACTGGAAGATGTTAGCTCCATACGAAGGGTTGCAAGTGTTTTATATTATTTCTCAACGCTGCGGTATACCGTTCCGGAGTCACTGTATGGGGGTGCATGTCGCGGCCTTCTTTTTCCTGACACCGAGGATCTGCTTTTTGAAAGTCTGGACGCAATGAAAGAGTGGTACAATAGCCGGCTTTTCGCGCACGATCCACACTTGACTCTACAAGGCCATGAGCTTGTACTTTGTCATTTGGGAGAGAATTTCTCGTTCGAATAGGTCGTGCGAGCCTCCGTAGCAATCGGCTCTAAGTGTTTTAAGCGCTACGTATCTCTGGGCTCTTTGTTTTGATTTATGTTTGATGAATGTAGAGAACTGGAACTACACTCACTTGGAATCCCTGGCTAACCAGACGGTAGAATATTGCCCGTGGCCTAGTGTCTCATCAATTTCAAGTTGTATGTGCCAGAGTTGAAGGTGTCTCCAAGAGATACGGTATGGAAGCCTCTGGTCGAATACTACTAGTCTGCCTGTTCTGTTGTCTGTGCATTGGGAGATGTGTATGTTTGAGGAACGTGTTTGAAGAATTTGGGAGCCAAGCTCGAGATTTTATCCGAGTCAAAGCTTTCTTGAAGGCAGTGGCCATCTTGAGATTTCTTCTGCAGAAGTTATGGGGATTGGAACTTTTGATCTGTCTCGTGCGATTGAATATAAACTTGAATGATCTAGGGGGGATCGCGAGCGCTAGACGCTCCAGTCACGTGTCACACGCCAAGTTAATTTTATAATGTGAGTAGTAGGAATAACATACTCTGAATCCAAATTTCTGTAAAGAAATTGTCTAATTTGGGTAGATATAAATACACCAGTCTCTCTGAAACTGTAAATACTCTATAGATCCAGCCGAAGTCACCTGCTTCATGATCCAGTCACATCAACACTCTGACAGCAATCTCGGTCAGACCAAGATAACCTTAGGAAGACTGCAGGTCGGGACATTGATAAGAGCATTTTCACCCACTCGATCCCTGGACATTTGTCAAGGCCATCGACAGAGATGAAAGAAGAAAGCCTTGGGATCCACATTGGCCAATATGCCTGCCAACTAACTCTTTGCTTTCACACATCCTTTATCTGATCGCGGATTTCCTCCAAAGAAATCCAGACAAGATCAGCCGGAAATAAAAGCTCTCATAGACAGCCGCGTCTCGGGTCTAGCTCAATTTAACTTGAAGTTATAGCTTCGCGCCCATCAAATCCAGTATTGACCCCAAATCCGCTTCGCTTCTTCGTCCCCGACAAACCGAAACGGAACAGGGTGGATATCTTCAAAGCCCTCGTCAAGGGTAGGTTCCTGGTATCGGCGTTTGTAATCCGCGAAAGCGATACCCGGTAGTGAGATTCTGGATTCGGGGTTCTGGGACGACGTCAGTAAGAATTTCGCTTGGGTTAAATTTAGAGCAAGCCAGGGAAAAGTTCCATAAGAAGGCAATATTGACAGAATTTGCCTTGAATGGTGTTCTTTTTCCCATGGGTTGCTGTGGGCTTTTTGGTGAAATTTCAGGGAACGTACGAGGTTTTTATTGGCGGCGCGCACGGTGGCGTTGTGCTTGCATAGTTCTGGCGGGGAGAGAAAATGAATGACGCGGACTGGAATGGAGAGTTCTTTTGCGAGGGTTGTATAGTGTTCTCTTGTTTCTTGGTTGGCGTTTGTGTTGTCTAGATAGAATAAGCATAAGCAGTGGATCGATATGTTGTGATGTGTCCAGTGGAAGTGCGTTCGGGTTGAAATTGACCAAAGGATGGCAGCGAGATACACCGCAGGAAATAGAACCAGACACATGGGGATGACACGACTCACCAATGACGACGGATTTCTTTGCTTCGAGGAATTCACGAGCAACCTTGAGACATTTCTGGCGCTGTTGAACGATTAGCGAGGAACTTTGAAGCATTATAGACCGACGAACACTTTTCAGAATATCTTGGTTGACACGCTCGTAACCGAGGGGTTCAAGATTGTTCCAGAAATAGGTGGACTTTCCAGAGCCTGGACTGCCGCAGAATAGGACAATTTCGAGTGGATGTTTGCGTTGGAATTCTGCCAGGATTAGTCGGTTTTCCATGTATCTCATTGATCAGGTATATCTATTGTGAGAAGTAGAACATACCTGTCTCAGGTTTCGTTTCAATATACTCCTTAGGGTCGAAGAGTCCCGATGCTTCGACCGGGTCCTGACCCAGGAAGAATTCCTCGGGCGTTTTGAACGGAATGCCGACATTAGCGGCAAAACCACTGACACAGTTAGATCGAGTGAAACAAGACAAGAAGCAATCAATCGGACTTGGATCCGCGGGAACACTTACTGATCTGTCGCGGCAAAATCACCAGGCCGCCCAGCGGCATCACCCACATAAACCGAATTCGACATGTCAACACCAACGACGTCAAGATCATAATCATCCACAAACTCAGCCCACATTCCCGGGCGAGGCTTGCGATACTCTGTGGCCTCTGTGGAAGCGTACACGCTCATGGGAAGATCTAGCTGCGTCATGAGGGCGGTCAATTTCTTCTTGAAATTGGAAAGAGCCGGCATGTCGCCATCCTTTCCCTTTTTCAAGCTGATCTTCGACTGGTTGGAGAATATGACGATTTGGAATCTAGGCCCATTCATCAGTCTTTGCCATGGGACGACTTCATCCGGATCTTATCTTGATACTACACTGTCAATAGACTCACCCTTCAGAACTCAGTTCCCGAACTTTCCCCGGAACGCCCGCGTCCCACCATTTCCAGTCGTCGGCTCCTTTGGCGAACTTATTACCGGACTTAGTCTTGATCAATGTTCCATCCTTTCAGACAGGATAATTAGCAAGATTCGTCTTTCCAGACTCGTTGTATTTCCAAGGAGAATAAACTCACAAGATCAAAGGCTGCGACTTTCCGATTCTTCGATGGAAGTGTCGTACTCGTCGCCTCAGGCGAGTGTTTGCCAATAACCAGACCCTTTTCCAAGGCCCGCCATGTAATAGGTCCAGGCTTCTTTTGTGAAGTTGGAGCAAAGAATGAGTTCATTGCTTTTTCTGGTATAGGTTAGCGCATTGTTTCAGTTGGGTCTGCATTACTCTTACTGTTGACGCTTGATTCGACCTTGCGCCGGAGTGGAGGTGGGGAGATTGACCGAGTGGGGGAAGCTGTACGCTTCACTGTCCCCGGGGCCATCTTTAATGCTCGGTTGAGTGGAGACGTGGTGAAGGTTTTGACCGGGGCTGATGGGTGATGTTGATTAGATGAAGGCGGAGTGAAATGTGTGATGGGATGTGAGGTGAAGTGAAGCGTAGTCGTCCCGAGATGATCGACGCGCCTGAACGCGCTGGTTCACGAAGTCACATGGTCAACCGCCCAAAGTGGCATAATTGACAGTGACAGTGGGAGACCAAGAGCCTTGGTCAAGATACAATTAGGAATATAAGAGACATGGATAGTAGCTTAGAATTATCCATTCATTAATTGAATTTATTTCTACTCTCCACAATATTATTGAGTCAAGGTCGGAGGCTGCCTCTCCGGGTATCAAATTCATGACAGCCAGCACAGGTGCAAGACAAAGCTTGACTGTATACAAGCTTAAACAAGAGATCACTATTTAACCCGAGTATCCAGTGACAATCGATCGGCCATTTCCAGTCGAACGGCCGACTTGAGTTGTTCGCGCAACCCAAACAAGTGCTGCGACGCCGTCTTCATTGTCTCCTGATTACTGCCGTCGTGGACCGTCATGGATGCCTGCAGGACATAACTCCCGCTCTTCTCCAGTGGAGCCATCTGCTGGAGCGCTGGTATCTGGTGACGGGGCTGGGTCTCCTCGCCGGGGATGGTTGGGTAATGGAGGACGCGGTGGAGATTGATGACGATGTCGTTGTGTATGAACATGTCACCCTCGACGAGATACTCGGTTACGAAGCTGGAGAATGACGAGTTAGCTTAGTCAAACGGGTGAATGAATCGATCATGGACAAGACTAGTCTAGACTAGACTAGACTAGACCATCGATATCATATCCGGGTAGATCAAGATCACGCCACTAACCTATAGCCCCACGCATTCATGGATGGCACGATGTCTCCGCGCGGGAGGGCGGCGGTCGCCATGACTCGGGACGTGACCGCGGACCGAGTACCTGCTTCGGGAATATCTCTGAACTCCAGCTGCCAGGACTGCTGATCAAAATCATATGCTGACCGGGGGATGTTGGAGTCCGAGTCCATGCCATCCATCTTGGTATCGGTATCGGGGTCGAGCGGGCTGGCATTCGGATTCGGATCCGGATTCGCATTGGCGGTTGCAGTTACAGAGGGGTCTGCAAAGTCGGTGGACTGGATGGGACCAACGACCTGGGTGTAGAACATGCCACCGTTCAACATCTTGTTCACGCGCTGCAGGTCCCCCGACTGCAGATCTTGACTGGCGCCGACGCGGGCATTGGCCACGCCGGGTTTGCGATAAGCCTTGAAGATCAGACGACGTTCATAGCAGTGGCGAGGTTGCATAGCCGTAAGGCCAGCCAGCTGTTGAAGGAGCTCAGCATGTTGGTGTATAGGGACCGAGGCGAATAGCAACAGCTCGTGCATGGTCCAAGGTGGGTTGACAAAAGAGCGGGAGAATCCGGGTGATGTTTAGTCAGGGTCTACCTTAGGTAAGCCTTGGGGTCCCAGGGTAAGGGCTCGGGTGGCGCCTTATCGGAAACTATGAGCAAGGGGAATTGCTAATATGATCCAGGGCACTAAATAATCGCCTGATTATGTACGGAATACTTTTGTACTCCGTACTCCGTACTAGCATAATTCTCAGCACGGTTGAGGAGTACAGAGGGATCGGGTTTCACATGTGTACAAGATAGTTATGGGCACAGGTCATTCAGATGCCCAGATGGATTGGAAAGTTCTACTCCGTACACATACTAGTATAGTGGACATACAGTGCACAAAGTACTCTTTCTAGACATAGATTAATATAGATACTGGTATGGAGTACTCCGTACCAGAGTAGTGCATCAGCGGGTCCGGGTCTACTCTGCCCTACCACACAATCCAGACTGTGCACTGAGTACAGTGGAGGATCTCGGCAATGTGGAGGACCAGAAAGGCAGGACGATCCTGTGAGGTTCAAAAATGGAGAAGCTTCACCGGGTGTTCCAGATAGGTCAAGATCGGAGGGGCACAGGGAAGGGAGTGTGTCAGATGCATCGGAAAATGGTTTCAATGGCGTGCGGGGGAGGAGAACGGAGGAGTTGGCCGCGGCGCCGTCTACCAATGAAGGGGGGAGGAGGTGGGAGGAGCACCCAGTAGAGTTAAGATTGTGTGATGGCAAAGTACGAGTGATGAGGAGTACTCGGTACTTTGGAGAAATACTTTGCAGGGATACTTTGTCACTCCGTAGTCCGTCGGCTCCGGTGGGTGTCGGATGGCCCAATGCGGTAACCACCCGAATTCTTATTCTTAAGGTATTCCTCTTATCTTTCTCTTCCTCCCACTTTCTTTCTCCCTCTCTCACTCACCATTATACTCTACTCTCAATCCCTTCCTTCAATCTAATCCATCGATACTCCTCTTTCAATTTCAACTCTTCAATTTCACTACTTCACTCTCGGTCGCGTCTCGGTCGGTTCGGATACTACCGGACCCGTTGAATTTCGCACAAGCCCCCCCCCGTGAAATTACATCTCCTCGACACAACACCTTTCCACCCTCTACACCTCCCACACCACACCATCACAATGCGTGCCACCTTCGCCCTCTGCAGTGCTGCCCGCACCCCTCTGATCCGCTTCGTCGGCAAGCGCTCTGTCCCTAGTACGTCTCTCCCGCACCGGACTGGAACCCTCATCCCCCGTAACCACCAGCTAACCTCCAATTCTCCAGAGTCCGTTGACCACACTCCTCGCGTCCACCCCGCCTCCCCCATCGGAGCTCTCCCCGACTCCTTCGCCGCCTACCGCGCCAAGGCTCAACAGCACGGTCCTCTCGGTCGCTCCTCCAGCAGCGGCATCGGTGGCTCTTCCGGCCACGCCCTGGGTCCCATCCGCCCCCAGAACGGCCAGTTCTTCGATCGCACCGAACTGCCTGCCCGTTTCGGTCGTCTGACCTTCACCGAGGCCGAGATGGAGGCCATTGAGACCGGCGGTGCCAGCATGTACGCGTAAAAAGAAAATCCTGAATGGATTCGCGGATCCCGAGCTCGACTCGGCTCGGCTCGACTCGGGTCCGCCTCGGAAAATCTGCCGGCACAGATAATTTACCCATGTTCATGTTCATGAGCGACGGACTACCACACTTCTTGAGGAAGTTGCGTTGAATAGAACCACGATACCCTGCTGGTGCCCAGTCTCTTTTTTTTTACCCTTTCATTATGCACGTTGACGCCGGCGATTGTGGCACGCGATGGGAATGGCAGTGATGGGGTAAGAATCGAACGCGAACGCGACGCGCGAAGTGCGATATGATACGATACGAGATGCAGGCATCGCATCGCATCGCCATCGAGATACACCCCCGATCACCCATTCTCCTTGAAGAGTGCCAATTATTCGCCGGATGCAAGAAGCTATATATCCCCCATACTATTGATCTATGGGACACTTCCACTTCTTGCCACTCTCTTCCCGTTGGGATCAACCTTTTTCTTCTTCTTTTCTCGAACCAGGCGCTGGGGTTGATTTTGGGGTTTTGATTATATCACCGTTACCTTTTTTCAAAGCGCAAGCTGCTCGTTAAAAGTGCACCTTTTATAGACGGGTTCTATTTGGACTCGGTGGGATTGGATTGGAGACTATCTTTGGCACTGTGAATATTCGGCTATGAAGTACCGAACAATAAAGAAATATTTACTCAAGAGACTGTCTAATTACCACTGTAGTTGTAACTGTAGATTTAAAACTCACTTGTAATCTTCCCTCTCTGTCAAGTCCATCACAACTCCAACGCGTCCCCGCACGTGCCCGCCTTGACCCCAAGGCCAGCTATCATCGAAGCACAAAGTCCCATAGCATCTACACTGGCACTTCCAGAGTCCACTCTTCACTCCCCTCACCATGCCACCCCAGGCAGACCATTTGATTCTGCACGAAACAGACGAAGCAGAAAATCACACCGCCGTCTTTATTTACTCCGAACCCTCGGATTCATCCAAACATTCCCCGCGAGGGTGGATATCTCGGTACGTCAACACCTCAGCTTTGTCTTCCGATTGTCCAATATGCATTGCCCTCGGTTGAGAAGTCGAGCGGGATCCTATAGATGCCATTTCTTTCCCGGGCTTTCCTTTATGGATCCACCCTCTGATCTCGTCGGATGCGGGTCGTCAGGTTCATCCCGAAGCTCGCGCAATGGCATGTCCACTTCACTGGGATACTTGTTGACGAGTAATTCTTCCTCTCGGTCTGGGCTGTTGCACTGCACTGCTCTGCTCTGCTCTGCCGTCAATGTCGCTGCAACGCTTGTATCGAGGCATCGCATGAATTGAACGCTAACTGGAACAAATAGCCTACATACAAGCCGCCATCTTCGTGGTCGAAAGATGGTCTGATTGCTCTACTTTGCGATGTCTTTCTTCCTTCTGGATTCCCGGATAGTGTGACGAGTGATTATCTACCGTATGTTCTCCCTGAGGCTGCATCGAGCTCATTACCGTCCCATCTCTTCCCATGCTAATCAATCAGATACCAAATTTACGTGAGTGACCAGGTCGTCCTTAACTCATCAAGGCTAACTAACGTCTGCAGGATTCTCTCCAGGCTTTCTGCAGCTCTATCGCCGGTCTGCTGTCGTCAAGGGCAGTTCTCCAAGGTACGAATGCAATGCAAGCAGCCACCTCATTTCCATCTATCTGACACTGGCACACACAGGTATCGGCGTCGGCAACGTAGACGCCTCCCCTACAAATGCACTCCTCCTGCACATCTTACAAGATACATCCGGCCGCATCGCGACGATCCTATTCGCGCACCGCGTCGGCACGGCGCTGGAACCGGAGTGTAAAACCTACCGTCTCGCTGCGGATGTCTTTAACGATATCGCCATGATCATGGACTGTCTCTCGCCGATGGTTCCGGCCGGTGTCATGCGTGTAAGCGTTCTCAGTGCGGCGGGGGTCTTGCGCGCTCTTTGTGGCGTTGCGGGTGGGAGCTCCAAGGCTAGTCTCAGTGCTCACTTTGCGAAATGGGGGAATCTGGCGGAACTTAATGCTGTGAGTTGGTAGTGGCAGTGGCGGTGGCAGTGGGGTTGGGTTGGCTTGTTTGTACTGACTGACTGACTGACTGACTGACTTGTCTGTATAGAAAGATTCTTCGCAAGAAACTGTTATTTCGCTATTTGGCATGTTGGTATGTCTTTCTGGTTCTTCCCGAGCTGAACTGAACTGAACTGAACTGAACTGATGTCTCTGTCTAGGTTGGTTCCGTCATTGTCTCGCATATTACTGGCTTCATGATGACTTGGGCTGCACTCCTCTTCCTTCTGGCTAGTCACCTGAGTCTCAACTATGCAGCCGTCCGCTCGGTGCAAATGACCAGTCTGAACAGACAACGCGCGAGCATGGTCTTCTCCACCATAATCGAAAGCGACAACTACGCCAAGAAGAAAGCTGTCAATCTGGCGATTCCAACGCCGGCACAGATCGCACTAGACGAACGTATCCTGGCAAAGGGATCCCCATTCTTCTGGGTGCGGAACCGAAGTCGTCAATCTCTCGGCTCGGCGGAGATGGGTGTCTCGTTGGCGGAGTTCTTTGCTCGAAGGAGGGCGGATATTGGGAAAGACACTAATACTAGAGCGTTCCATACTAATATCCCGATTAAGGCATTGAAAGATCTCTTCGAAAAGGAGGAGTATATCCTCTACCTAACACCGCAATATCAATCTCAGTCCCAAGGCCAAGGCCATGCAGAATGCAAATGGCACGCTTCAATCCTCCTAACACCAACCTCGACGACAAAAACCCAGCTTAAAGCCTGGTGTCACGCTCTGATCGTCGCGCGCGCACTAAGTGAACCGGCCAAACCGAAGTCCCAGCCCCAGTCCCAGCCGGACTTGACAGACGACGCAGTGCTGGGCTACATCTCCGAAACGCTGAATAAATTGAATGAGGGCCGGTTTGAGGGCTATCTTTCTGCGTTGGGAGAGAAGGGGTGGGATGTGACTTTGTCGGCCTTGGAAGTTAGGGCTGGTCGGAGGGTTTGTCTAGAAAGTCGTTGATGGGGATGGGTTGGTTGGTCTTCTGGCTCTGCGGGCTGTGGTGGTTTGTGTCATTACGTAGGCTATGTAGATATCCATGGCGGCGAGTGATGGGTGGACAGTGTCATTTGATTTAGTCTGCTGGAGTGTGGACTATTGATCTGAGAAAGCCTTGAATATGATTGACTGATTGAGACCTTGCTGGTACAAATAGTTACTAGTAACTACATTAGCTTATTCCAATGTTTCATAAAGTTGTGGTGGCGAGAAATCATGGCCGAAAATGGAAGCGTGCATGTATGCTTCTCTCCCAACGTCATCAAAAGCCTTCAAGCTGGATGTCGCAGCTCGGTCTCTTTTTATCGATTCTGCGACGATACCCCGGTTCAGAGTTTCGTCGAGACTGCTAGTATACTTTTACTGCATCAACAAGCCGCTACGTCTCGAAGCTAGGAGTAGGTAGAGGGGGGTATCAAGTCTATTGATCCAACGCCTAAGGCGTATATAGATAACATAATATCAACACAACGATCCGTCGACGGATCCTATGAGGGGAAAAAAAAAAAGTCAAAGAAACGCCGACGCATCCATCCAACTCGGCCAGTCGAGCTGAGCTGAACTGAGCGGCGAGATGCAGGACGGGTCGGGCGCTCCGTCTATGTGGTATGATCGTTTCGTTTCCCGCGAACGTTGAAGAAAATGACAAAGAAAACATGTCGCTGACAAGATTGACAAGTGTTGAAAAGAAAAGGAGAAAAAAAGGGCAAAGTAACGCCGTGTTTCGTATGCTGATGCATCGTGCTCTCATACACCGCCAATAAACGCTAAAAATCAAGCGGGTCGTTTGATGCCATTCATGCAGTTGTGTCAGAGTGAGGTGGTGAGGTATTGTTGAGACAAGTGAGGTCATAAAAGTGATGAGGAGGAGTGTGGGGGGGTTTGTATATTCGTAAGAGAGGTGTAGGTTGAATCAGTAGTCGAGACCGATAATTTTAGGATCACCGCGGGAGCCACTGGCGCCGCCGGATCGCTTTTTGAAGCCCAGCTTCATGCCCATCTTTTTCCAGGGGTTCTCAGTGCGGAGCCGGGGGCTGTGCATGGAGAGATTGGCATCGCTGGCGGGAGGTGTGGTCGGTGGTGTCATTGGTTCCTCTGCCGTTGGACTGGACTGCGGACTTGAGTCGTCTGTCAAAGCGAGGGAAACCGACTCGCCGCTGGTACTGAGGAGAGCGCCCGAGGCTCGCTTCCCCAGGGCGTGAACGGCACCGAGGGACAGATTCGAGCGAACGCCTGTTGCGGGGAGATCCTTTGTTGAGGACTGGGGGGGATGTCCGTCTGGCGCGGGATCGAACTCGTTTCATTGGGTTCTCGTCCAGACTGTGACTGGGGAGATTAATTGTGTCCTCGTGGCTGAAGGGGGGGCTCAGACATGGGCGGCATTGAGGGCGAGATGGTGTGTGCGTTGAGGAAGGGGAGGAAGATGGATTCCTCCATGAGATCGTGGATGCGTTTCACGGCTGAGTCGAGGGTTTCTGGCACCGGGGGGGAGAGAAACGTCTCGGTGGCGGAGTAGACCATCTCGGACTTCACTGGATAGGTTGATTTCCCTTGGTGCACCGGGGAAAATGTAGGCCGTCAATAAACGCTGCCAGAGCATGCGCAGATGTTGACTTTCCGGGGTTTCCGTGGTGAGGGTGGACTGGCCCAGGCGCTCGGCGAAGGAGAGGTAGGTATCGCGGTAGCGCTGGGCCTCGAGAGTGAATTCCAAAGTCTCCAGACAGTGATTTTGAGAGAGATAGGCCATGAAAGCACTCAAAGTGTAAGGGGGTGGGGCAGTGTTGGCTAGGACGTCGTTCAGGGTCGGGCGCATGGGGCAGAAGGCTCCCGCCGAGACGGCCAGGCTGACTGGTCGGGAGCCAGAGGATTCCATGTCCTCGTCTGAATCGCTGTCGGAAGAGGTGGGAGACAGTTCCGGCGTTGTACTGGGGGTGGAATTCCAGAAGAATGAGGGAGATAGCGACTTCTTCTTGAGCATGGCGTAGAGGGAGCGGCGGGGTGCCTGAGACCGGGGGCGTTTTCTCACCGGGCCTCCCCTGGCTGGACGATAGTCCAGATTGGTGATGGTTATTGGAAGGGCAGCATGAGCTGGATAGGTGTGAGTGAGTGGATGTGAGGGTGGGAGTGCGAGTGTGAGAGGGTGAAAATGTAGAAATGGTGATGTTGAAATGGTAGGGAAGTGGATTATAGAAGTAAAGTAAAGTAGAGTAAAGCCTCGAGGGAAAAGGAAAAAGAGTTCTGGAATCATTCTGGATCAATACGGTATTACCGTGTATTGTTACTTACTAGTATCCTATCTGCAGGATAAGGGTGGATACGTTCAATACGGTTAGACTGTGACCAGGAATGGGGTGATCGTGGGGCTGTCTGTATTAGGTATGTATTGGGTATTGGGTATTTTTCACTTTGAGAACTAGGCACTGGGATTAGAAGATCGAGTATGGTCCTTACCTAGATATGTACATAGTATAGAGTAACTGGAATAAAAGGTAGGATAGTATCCTCGATACTACCAGTATATACCATACACTATACTATAGTATATGTAGATACTAATATGTATATACTCCGTACTACGTAGGGTACTCACTGATACTCACTTCTAGCGAGACCCACACCCCTTGCGTAGCGCTCGCGTCATGGATTCACCCTGTCGATCCTGGAATTTGGAAAGCTTTGTCACTTACGGAGCACTCCAGTCTTTATTGTCATCATTATCATTATCATTATCATCATTATCATCACAATGTGTAAATGTCATGTAAATTTCAATAGAGCACTCAATACTTCCAAGGTTACACCTCCGTACTAGTACTGTAGCAAATAGCCCTAATTCATACCTCACAGTATAACAGAGTACGAAGTACTCTGTTTGTTCTCCAGCTGAGATTTCTCAGTGGCGACTCTATACCCACAGACACCTTAATCGTCAAAGGTCCAATTAGTCCTAAAAAATATCTCATACGGCATCACAGCATATCTCAGGCAAAATCTGTCAGCCATAAGCCGCCAATGAAAGCCACCGCCATCGCTGATACGACATGGCCGGTCGCGGACATCTTCTAGAATTCTAGAATGCCACTAGAAGGCTCCACTCTTTTTCTCAAAAAGGGAAATGAGAAAAAATTATCTAACCATGGTTTGCCGCTGGGCTTATCTCAATGAATAATACTTACGAGTGTAAGGTTAGGGTTACAGTACAGCCACTCAAGAGTCATTCTCCTCCACTCATCCACTTCCTCATCTCGTAAAGTGAGTCACGTCAAAGAAGAGAATCCCATCCAGATCTTCCTCAATAAGTACGGAGTACGGAGTAAGAGTTAGAGTAAACACTGCAAGAATGTGTCTAGCCCCTGTGTAACCTGTGTAGCCTCTGTAAATAGCTGTGTAGCGCTCAACCCAATCTTCCTGCATGCCACTAGAAGATACTACGTGCTAGCCAGGGGTAGGTGGTCTGTTCACATCCCTACGACTTCACTCAAGGCAGAAAGGGCCACACACTTGTATTCCAGCCGAAGATATCCGCGACCCCAGAGATTGCGAGTTCCAGAGTTGACCGAGTGGACCACTCGATCGCCCAAAGATCGCCACACCCGCCGGGACCCCCGAATGAAATGAGAAAGAAAAAAGGAAAAAGAAAAAAATTTTGATTCCTTTCGTGACAGATACGAATACATGGTACCTGGATCCTTTCGTGCCTGAACTCATGAACACGAACGTCAGAGTTTTATCGTTCGGCTTCTTTCTTTGGCCCTTCGAGAACCACCCCCATCCCATCTCGCCACCTTACTTCTGATCCGCCACACAGCGTCGACTAGACGCGCACGTTCGTTATGCAGCCAAGCAGGCTGGTTGCAGGGATATCGCAGGCGCCCTGCTTCCTATTTATCCCGACACACTTGTCACTTCCCCTATCGTGTGCCCGTCTCTTATGGAGTACTCTTACGGAGTCTTATTCTGACTCCGACACCTGTTTCCCCGTTCGGTGAACCACTTGGCCGAGTGAAACCGAGAGCCAAGACGGACTCCACTTGAGGCTTGACTCCGAGAGCGGAGGGGGCCTCGATCTGCTGTACGGATGGATGTTGCTCTTGTATCGTATGGTGTGCTCGGTCGCAATATTGGGTTTACAACACATGTGCTACACTGTTGTTCTTATCTCAACCTACCAGAGACGGTGCTTCTACTCGTCATATGTAAATGAATTGACTCGGATCCTGGTGCTCATCGATGAGCTAGGCAGATCTGCATTCCCGCGTTGGCTTGGGTATAAGCTTAAGCAACAGCATGAACCCCTTGGTGCGGAACTATAATCAAGCTCCTCACTTTTGGAATATTTGGGCATATGTACGGAGTACTTGATAGACACTGCATACTTTGTAAATGTTGGACGTACAGAATATCCCACAGAATCTCAGAGGCCTCCGGAGTGATCAGGGTCCTCCCCCCCAACCCAACACAACATACTCCATACTCTGTAACATCAAAACGATATCGGCAGGGTTCACCAGTTTAACAAACCACACACTCCTTGCAGTACTAGTGACTAGCAGCTCCAGCTCGAGCTCCTTTAACATCAGCTCTCCTCACTCGTGCAGCCCAGCTTACAGCCCAGGCACAGCTCTTTTGCGCCGAGAAGACGCCATCTCCTCCACAACCAATCCAACCCCACACCACCGCTGCAGCTACACGAATTAGTGCATAATTGCGCCGCTAGTCAAGTGGCCTGGGGCCACCTGAACAGCAGAACCTTTCTAGCGCTACGCTAGAGAACACACTAGCAACCGCCCAGTCCTCCATCCAGCACCTCAGATCCCGATCCACAATTCCCCCGAGCAAGGATTCCCCACATCGTCTCTCGCACTGTCCCATGTCGAATCTTAGACCTGGTCTGTCTTTGGTCGCTCACACGGATACCTTGTCCACGCCTGAACCGTTACGGAATGGATATCGCTCGGTGCTTGCCAATCCTATCTCTCAGGGAGTCCCCCCCCCCCTCAACCCCGGCCAATCGCCCCCCTCTTTCCTTTCACTGGGGTGCATACGATATACCCTCCGGCACAGGCCACGCCGTGCACGCCAGCGGGGACAAGTGCATGGTTCAAGGTTTAATGTGACCAGTGCGGCCTCATTTTCGTCCCAGTGCCAATCTTGGAGCAGTAAGGTTTAGAGCTCGTGTCTCGTGTCCACTGGCCTGATGAGGGGGGGGTGACTAGTACTACTGCACTCCAGATGGGGGGGATTCGAGGGCTCGATCAGGACAAGCTCGGGGACGGGGACAAGGGGCGTGCAGGGTAGGCAGAGTTGAAGAGAGTTCAAGTTGAAAAGAAAATAATTGAATGAGGATCGCGTTACACCAATTGCCAACCAGCCCTTCTAGATGCATGGATCAAGTCATTCCCCGTTTTGTTTCTCATGCTGTTTTTATTTTTGCTTCTGCAGGAAATACAAATACTCATACCGAACAAGAAGTTCGAGAGCATTCTTGCATTGCGAAATCATCGATAGCGTTCCACAACCTAGAGACTACACAGTATGCCTATGGAGTACAGAGTATGTAGATCAGCCCCTGAGCAAAAACAAAAAAGAAGGCCGAACGACGACAACCCATGACGTGCAGCGGGAATAAATCATTTCCGCTATTCTAAAACTTGCGTGGTTTGGCGAGCGAATGGCGGAATCAACGATCAGCGCGTGTCTTCTCCTCTCCTCTCCTCGCGTAGGCCCTGGAGCCCTGGAGCCCTGGAGTGTATGGCGTACGGAGTGTACAACCCCACCCACTCCGATCGAAAAATGTTCTAGACTACACTGAACTCTGAACCATCGAGTATTCCACGCCCAAAAAGACCGGCGCCAATTTCCTAATGTCTCCACAGTAAATAAAGGCCCGCACCTTCACAGCCTAAAGTCTTCGCAGTATCGCAGTAAAACCGGTCTAAACCAAAACGACTCCAGTCGATCAAACGGAGCGCACGGCAGAAGCCGCAAATGAGGTCATGAGCTCCACAATATCGGCCAAAATCTTGATTTTGGATGGATCTTCCCTCACGTGAAGCTTGCGAAGGAATTGGATCAAGCATCAGGATTTCTTTTTTTGGTGTTGTAGAAGGACTCCATATCGAGTCCACTCCATCCCTTCTCTGTGATCTCCATTTCTGCCATCCCACTCCCTTGCTCATATCCTGTTATGGGGAGGATCCGTAGAACCTGTCTGGCTAAGACTCTAGGCCGACACGGGATCTTCTCCACTATTCTATCTCCAGGCTCCGCGTAGTAGATGGTATTACAGGAGTAGACCATACGGAGCACGGAGAACATCTCATACTCCGTACATACGCAAACTCGGGGAGAACGTAAGACGCAATGGGGGAAAGGAAGGGAATTGGAAGAGTGTGGAGCACGGGAGAGTGGCAGCCTTTTCGAGATGAGAGCGGCTACTTGAAACACCTTGGGCGCTCTGCACTACAGAGTAAGCCCGCTATTTTCCCGGGTTGAGGGGCCTAGTCTCAGTCTTATCGGGGTTAGGTACAGACAGTAAGCAGCTGGTTCCGTCATCCTTTGATTCATTAAGTTGACGAGCTTGGCTATCTCTGTGCTTTGAGGGTATATCTGTATCAGGGTTCACAGAGTACTGCTGCTGGTCTACAAATGCAAATACAGATGCAAAAGTATGTAAACCTACTTTCCTCATCCACTTCCCAAATGACGCTAGTCCCATGCATCGCAACTCTTCATCAATCATGATCCCTGCAAAACATCACCCCACTAACTTAGCCAAAAGTATCCGGGCGCGATGAGCCGACCGGTCCCAGTTGCGCGGGGTCCGTATGGATGTGACACCGGGGGGGGAAAGCAGAATGTACTTTCTGTAGCAGGAATGGTGTGAACGTATGTATGTAACCATGGGTATGGTTGGAAGATCTGCGCTAGTCAGTTGATGTTTTTTTTTTTTTACTTTTGCAATTTTACGTGCAAGTT